TTAATTTTACCGGTAATAAATAAAATAAACATAAATTAAATAAATAAAATAATAACGTTTTAACTTATATAAATAATATTTATATATAAATATTAAATAAATAATACGTTATTAAAAAAAAATATATTAAAAATATTATAATAAATAAATTAACGTACGATAAAAAAAAAATAAAATAATTTTAAAAATTATTTTATACGTTTATAAATATTATATTTACGAATATAAAATAAAAGTAATATTTATAATAATTAAATATTTTAAAATATATAAATTAAATTTAAATTTACTTAATTAAAATTATTTTTATAAATATTATTTAAAAAAAAACGACATTTTAATTCCTTTTTTAAAATAATATTTAACTTTATAAATTTAATTTAATATTAATATTATAAATTAATTTTAAATTAATTAATAAAAAACCTTTAAATATAATTATTACGTTAAATTTATTAAAAAGTTTTAATTAATAAAAAAATATTATATTATTATTTTATTAATAAATATTATTAAATATAAATAAATAATTATTAATAATTTATTTAAAAAAAATAAAAATTTTTAAAATAAATTAAAGTTTTATATTAAAAATAATATTTTTAAAACTTTTATAATTATATATAAAAAACGGATTAATATATTTTTACACGTATAACTTGCGATAAATCCTCGTAATTTTTACATTTTTTATATTTTAACTTTTATTATATTTTCATTTATAAAATAAATAAAAAATTTAAATAATTTATTCCTTAAAAATAATAAAAAAAACTAATTTATATAACGTTAACCGGTATATTTATATATAAATTTTAACTTTATTTTATTATTAATAAAAAATTAAATATTACGAAAAAAAATTTTAAATTAATTTAATTTATTATTATCGATTTTTAAAACGATGTAATAATAAAATTTAAAAAATTTTATTTTAAAACGTTTTAAAATTATAAATTTTATTAAATTATTTTTATTATTAATTTATTATTAACGTTTTTTAAAAAAATTTTATATTAATTAAACGTTTTATAATTTATATAATACGTTAATAAATTAATTTTATTAACGAATCGTTCGTTATAAATTATAAATTTTTAAGTTTTTATATTTTTAATTTACGGTAAAAATAACTTAACTTTTTTTTAAAACCGAAAGTAAATAATATAAATAAAAAAAGTTTAAAAAAATTTATACGAAAAAAACCGGTTACGTTTAATAAAAAAAACTTATTTATTTTTATAAATGTAATACGAATTATTAATATAAAAATATTATCCGTTTTTTATAAAACGTAAAACATTTTTAATAAAATTACTCGTTAATTTTAATTTTTTTAAAACGTTATTTTATTAAAATTATAATAAAATTTAATTATTTAAAATAAAACTTTTTTAAATAATTAAAATTTAATTATTAATATAAATTTTATCATTATAATTATTATTTTAAAACATAATAATAATTATAATTATATATTTACCGGAAATTTTTTTACATTTTTTTATAAAAACCATTCGTTAAAACTTAAAATAAATATTAAAAAATAAAAAATTAATTAATTTTTTATTAATATTATTAATTTTAAAAATAAAAAAAACGATTTAATAATGCGTTAAAAAAATAAAATCGTTTAATTAATAAACGTAAAAAAAAACCGAAATAATAAATTACGTAAAAATCGTAATATTTTAAATTTTTAAATTAATAAAAAATCGTTAATTTTTAAATATAATATTCGTAAATAATCGAAATTATTAAAACTTAAATATTATAAAAAGCTTATTAATAAATAATAAAATATTATATAAATAAATAAGTTTAATATATTATTTTAATTATTTTAAAAAGTAATAAATATTATATAAATAAATATTTTATTTTTAAAAATCTTTTATAATATTAATATTATATTAATTAATATTTTAAATGTTAAAATTATATAAATATATTAATTTTTATAAGCTCGTTTATTTATAATTTTATATAATATATTTAAAATATTTTTTTTAATAATACGTTATTACGTAATATTATTAAACTTTAATAAAACTTAATATAAATTATATTATTTAATTACGTTTTTTATAAAATATTAATATTTTTAATTATAAATAAATTTAATATATATAAATAAGTAAAATTATTTAAATATAAAATAAAAAAATTAAAATTTACTTAAATATAATAATATATTAAATTATAATTTTTTTTATATAAATTTAAATTAATTAAATATAATTAATTAAAAATAACGTTTTTTAATTTAATATAAAATTATATATATTATTTCGTATATTTTAAACTTAAAAAAAATTTAACTAATTATAATAATTATTCTTTAAATTTTATATATTTTAATTTAAACGCGTTTTTTTTACATTATAATAATAATAATAATAATAATATTATAAACGATAATATTAATTTTATTTAATAAATCTTTATTAACGTTAAAAATATATCGTAATTTAATTTTTTAATTATTATTTTAAATTATAAAAATAAAAAAAAACCGTGTTTTTTATCGAAAACGTATTTAAATTATATTTAATAACGTTCGAAAGGTTTTTAATAATATATAAAAATATATAAATATTTTAAACTAAAATAAATCGAAATTATATTATTATTTACGTAAAATAAGTAATAAAAAAATTAAAAATACACGAATAATCGTTTATTATTTATTTAAATAAACACGAAATAAAATAAAAAACTATAATTATTAAAAAATTAAATTAAAAATAAAAGTATAATTATAAAAAATAAAAATAAAAATAAATAAAAATTACGTTAATAAAAAAAAATATTAAAACCGGATTTAAAAAAATTTTATTAAATAAAACTTTATTTTTTAAAAAAAACATTAAATAATTAATAAATATTTTATTCGTTAATCGTAAAATTATCCTTTTTATTATTAAAAAATTATTATTAAAATTTTTTATTTTTATATTTAATATATTTTTTATTTATTTATTTATTTTTAAAAAATTACTTAATTAATCGTTAAATCGATAATAATTTAAAATTTAAGTTAATAATATATTAAATTACTTTTTTTTTACGTTTAAATATAAAAATTTTCGTTTATTTTAATATAATTAAAAATTTAAATAATATAATAAAATAATTAAATTAATTTATTTTTATTATTATAACTTTTAATATTATAATAAATAACGATTATATATTTATTTATTTATTAAATACTTAAATATAATAAAGTTTAATTTAATTAATAATTATTATAATATTATTAAATAAATATTTATTTTCTTAATATTTTTATAAAAATAAAAAAACTTATTATATTTATTTAATAAATATTTATTTATACGTATTATAATTTATAAATTTTTTAATTTTTAAATTATAAAACATAATATATTTTCGTCGTACATTATATTTATATAATATACCTTTTAATATATTAATTAAATTAACGGGTTAACGGATTTGTTTTTATAATCCGCCGTCGGATCGTTTAAAATGATAACATCCAATTATTGCCATTTTCGACTTAATAAAGCGCCTTGTATCACGCTTCAAATTAAGTAAGGCATAACGCGTCAACGCTAATTCGGAAATGCAATTTAAAGCACATAACTATGTCTTATATCCGGTGTTTTGGAATCATGGCGGACTTGAATGATTTCTTCTACCTAGTAATTTGTAGTCCATACGAACACTACCTAGGTACTTATGTCCTAATATGTATTTACTCTCATTGTAGAAAATCAATGCATGTTATTACCTAGACAAATATTTCCTTATGACGACCTTGGATTGGAGATATGGTGCACTAAACATGCCCTAAAAAGGCAGGCATGTGCAGGTGGGCGTGTTTTAACTGGAGCTGTGGAGATGAAGAGGGGGGTTTAAAAAAAGAAAAGAAGACTAGATCCTAACTGCTAGGATTTTAGAGAGATATTTGAAAGGCTTGCTAACAGCTGAACGACCCGGGAAGAATAGCGTCGATTCCCTGAGAGGCTGGGAATAGGCACTCTATTTCAAGATTGCGTTACGGGCCGTTTTCTTCAGGAATATTTAGATTTAGAAATATATAGCACCTACCAAATATCTATCTCCACTAGGTACTACTAGCTACCTGTAGGTAGGTAGACACTGGTAGGAGGTAGGTAGGCAAGTAAAGAGCACAAGTGTGTCAAGTTACATTCTATCTAATACCTCAGTGTGTGTCATAAGGCTGCCCCCCCTTAGATCGCATCATCTATCTAGATTCGAATAAACAAGTACTTGCTGAGTAATATAGACGCAACCCAATCATACCATTATGATTGTTTCTTAACCATTTCGGCAATTTAATATATATGAAGGCTTAGGTCTCGGGTCATTAGTATCTTGAGCAGCCTTGAGGTGAGTTGTCCTATCATGTAGTATACATGAATGCGACTTAAACGCTGATCAGGGTCTATTGGGGAGCAACGTACATACATAAATCGATGCAAACCCTGGTAGACTTCTCGGTCCACCCGATACTATCGCGTCACATCACGCATCGATGGGTTTTCTGACTAATAAAACGAGGTAAGATTAATCGCACTTATGTCTGTCAGCGCATAGTATACCTAAGCAGGATATCTGATTCCGTAAAGGAGAGCTTTGTTCTACCAGATGCAATTTGTTACCTATTGATAACTTCATTTACAGCTGGAGCAGTTATTGAGATCCGAGGTATTGGAATTCACTGGTGACATGTGCTATATTTTGAGGAAATAAAGCGCGAGGAAGCGGAAGGGCTGCCGCTTTGCCAAGATGGTCCCGAAAAGAATAGGGCACCATTGAACCCTTGGGGTGACAAGGACTATTTCATGTTATGTAGCATTCGGTTGTTCATCCATGCTCAATTGAAAGTCCAGCTTCGCCATATCAGGATTGAACGGCAACTAGTGCTGACCAGGCATATATCTCTTTAGCGAATCATATTCTCATGGAAGTTTTCTAGAAATTCTATAGCCTACCGATCTTACCTAATAAGAGATTGACTACCCCCACCGCGGCAGCCCATGTCCGCATGGGTCCAAGAATCTCAGCTTCAATTTCATCACCCCTGAAGGACTCCCTCAGCTGTTTTACTTTTCTTTCTTACTCTCGACATTAAGGCCACTTGATGCTATATTGGACCGTCTGCTACTCTTTCCCACGACTTGGGTCTTCAAGTGAACTCTGGGAAATTGGGAATCGTGGGAATACTGCATGACACCATCACGAGGGCCAAGACATCAGTGAACCATACTTATCCACCACCCCGCGATACGAGGCTCGATTTTGCTTCAGACACAACCCACGGCTCTTAGGGTGAAAGCCCCAAATTCACTATGCTCTTCTCCACGATACTAGTCGTCGCCTGTGCTTCGCAGACCATAGCCCGGAGCACACCTAGAATATGGGCGCGGGGTGCAGCCGAAAGTAAGGAATTTCATTATTCTTTATCTCTAATATCGACGCTCGGATTCTTGCCTCTTCACCTTCGCCTTTTTCTCAAAATTTTCGCCACGATCTTATTTTCTGTCACGTATTGAGCTAGCATTAACACAAACCCTTCACAGATGTAATACTGACAAATTGCACCAACCCATCAAACTCAAGTGATAAATCGTCGGAAGTGACGTATTACACTGGCAACCCGGACTCTACACCAGATGACATCTCAACTGTGACTACAGGTCAGTATTGGGACTGGGCGAACAAGACGACAACGGGATATTTCAGCGACACGGGCACCAAGTTCGTCTCCGTACTCAATCCGAAAGGCCAGGCGGGAGATTATGCGGGAACGGGAGATAACGGGTACGGAAACTTCACATGTTGGCAGACGGACTCGATACTCGTGTATACCAATAACAACAGAGACTGCTACGTACAGTACGACTGCAATCATCAAGGTATGTTTACCTTACCCTTTACTTCGAAATATCCCCTGTGTTTCATCCTTATTATGCCTCATCGATATGGTAAGACCTGGTTGGTCGGAATAATCAGATTTATATGGAGGCCATAACTGGCTGACGCCATCACCTCAAAACTATTACTAATCTCACTACCTTTAGGGTCTCCTGCCTCAATAACAGCAGCTTCATCGAGTTCATCTGCCACAGCCACAGCCGCATCGTCAGCATCAGCATCAGCATCAGCATCGGCGGCCTCTTCGAGCAGCTCACACCTATCCGTCGGCGCAATAGTAGGACTTAGTATCGGAGCAGCAGCCGGCGCCGTGCTACTCGCCGGCTTAGCCGCTTTCTTCCTATGGCGGCATTACCAAACAAAGAAGGCGAACGCAGCATCAGCCAGTTCAGCGGAGAAAGGACCGGAAACTGGAGTGCCGCCATTACCACCAAAGGGCCCTTCACCCGTGAATGCGATATGGCAAGGTCCGGGCGCGAGGGAAATGGAAACACCAAATAACCACCACGAATTACACAATTACGATCAGCCGACCGAGATATACGGCGAAGCTCTTAGAGGGGAACTAGATGGGGCCACTAGAGCATCAGAACTTCATAACTACGACTTGCCCCCTCGATATGATTTCGAGACTGCGCCGCCGGCGCCAAGCCCGGTAAACCCTGGGGCTTACGGAGCTTTCAAGGGACCTATCTAATGACACCAAATGCTACTATTCTAAGGAGAAAATTAGTTTCTGCGGATAGTATCCGTGTTCAGTCATTTTCAAACTCGTCGTGGGTGATCGAGGTCGCATGAAAGCGACGGCATACCGGCCTTATACAGGAGTCTCGAGTCTCATTAGGCTCAATCACTAATGGGGGCTCACCACCCCAAGGATTAATGGTGTTGAAAGTTTCAAAATACCAATAGGAGACGGGCTTCTATCTAGCAGACTCGGAGACGACGCACTCCGGACTTCCAGACTAAAGATTGTGTTGGTTCCATTGAGGGATACTTCTAATCAAGCACCATAGATGTGCGGAAATATATGAAAAGCTAGGTCAATGATTGACCAAGCATCTGGTTAAAATTGAAAGCCATGTGTCGAGACATTGAGGTCACGGATTCAATCGGGTTGTTGGTAGTAATGTGCCACGGCTAGAAACTCGCCATTACGGGGTATGAATTTGATGATGGATAGGTAGGTAGTATAGGTAGGACATCTCATGATCTCCATCTGTTACTAAGGCGAGTTGATCTCTATAGTTCAATATAACTATGGTTACTCTGTCAACAACAATTTTCTGGTTGTGTGATCTGTACCTAGGTATTGCTTGTGAGCACCTAGGCACAGTCCTTCAAGGACATATGGAAGGCCAATCAGTCATAACGTGTCTCGCATAGCAACCAGATTCAACACTGTACTGGACTTGGTCAACGCTGAGGAGGAGTGGTCTAAGCTCTGGTGACTTTCTCCTATAGCAAGACATATATAATAAAAGAAGGTACAGTATTTTAACAATCTACCACAAGGTAGATTGGACACAATGGCCGGGTTGGTACGGTGGTGCTTACAATCGACGAAATTGCTATAGCTCTAACTTCTCCGGTGAGCTCCGCTCGAGGGTTCGATTCCCTCGACGGTCCTATCAATTTTTTTCTTTCTTTTTTTTTTGGGTTAGCCAACAACCCCCTTCTTTCTGAACATCCTGATACACAGTACGCACCAGCTTATTGTATGCCCTAATAGTGTAAGTTTCGTGATTATTCTTATAATGTATATGGAACCTTAGTGCGCGCACTCCGATCTTCTGGTTGCAATTGAGGCTCTTCATTTTATTCTAAATCTCTTTGTTTATCGTAAACAAAGCTCATTAAAGTTATAGTACCTAAGGTATATGGAATGTGATTGGTTATGTACTTAAATAGATCGTAGTTATTAAAGAGATTTCAGGTTGACTGGTGGTTTATGGTTATGGTGGCAGATCCATGAATAGTGACAGTGACGTCAGTGTACACACAGTCTACACTGTGTAAGACGAAAGCGGTGAGTTTAAAGACCCGCCCCCACCTGCCATTCTCCTGGTTTTTGATAGGGTAAGAGGAGCGCTTACAATTGCCTTGTTGCCTCAGGCAACATGTATTTGGCCCACAACGATTATTATCGCAAAGATTTTACTTGTGAAAGGACGAAAATTTCGAGACCCCACTAACGAAAGCCCCACCAACCACGACCTAAAAAATACTAAGACACTTGGACCTAAGGAACTTTTATCGCCCCCCGCGCAGATTTCCTCCCACCGTCATCAATCCCCTAACATTCAACAATCTAAAAAAAGTTCGCGGAGGATAATTGAACTTTTTTTCCTTTTCTTGTTTCCACAATACATCGAGTTGTGAGAAACAATAGTAAATTCTTTCTCGCTCTTGATTGCTCTCCACTCATTCATCCAGATTATACGGTCACATTCACTTGTGATCGTGATTGAAAATCGACAACTCGCGGTCGCTATCGACAGTAAACGTAGCCTAAGCGGGGTAGATTTCTTCAGTTTCCTCCTATTCGATCATTAAGATCATCCATCATCTATCGTCTACCCATCTACCATCTACGGTCTCCTTTTTCTTCGGTCGGTAATAGACAAAATAAGAGATAAAAGACATCAAGATGGTTTCTGCATCTAAAGAAAAGCGTCTCGCTAAGAAGGCCGCTGACGGCAAAGGCGAGAAGAAGACCCTCGTATCTCGTTCCAAGGCTGGATCTAAGGCCGCATCCAAGAACGCGAGCGCTGCTGGTTCTGTCGCCGGCGATGACACCCCTCCCGATCTTGACGATGTTCCCGCAACCGATGATAAGAAGATGGAAAAGGCTAAGGCAATGGCAAACCAGATGGATAAAGATGGATTATCTGACCGTATCACCACCGGTGTCCTAGCATCCGTACCCACCAGCAGGGATGTCAAGATTATCAGTGCCAGCTTAACCTTCCACGGTCGTGTCCTTCTTAACGAATCCAACCTCGAACTCTCATTCGGACGTCGATATGGATTACTCGGCGAGAACGGTTGCGGAAAGAGTACCTTACTTAAGGCTATTGCTGCGCGAGAGTACCCAGTTCCGGATCACGTCGATATCTACCTCCTCAATGAAGGTGCCCCGCCCTCCGATCTTGGTGCTCTAGAGTGGGTTCTCAAGGAAGCTGAGAAGGAGATGGACCGTCTAGACAGACTAGCAGAACAGCTTCTTGAGGATGAGGGCCCTGACAGCCCCGTGCTAATGGACGTCTATGAGGTATATACACTATACATCCTTCTATCTAACAAAACTTTACTAACAAACCTCAATAGCACATGGACAAGATGGATCCCTCCACTTTCGCTACCCGAGCATCCCTCATCCTGACTGGTCTCGGCTTTAACAAGGTCACTATCAACAAGAAGACTAAGGATATGTCCGGTGGATGGCGTATGCGTGTCGCTCTCGCCAAGGCATTGTTCGTTAAGCCGACATTGTTACTTCTTGACGACCCCACTGCTCACTTGGATCTCGAAGCCTGCGTGTGGCTCGAAGAGTACATGAAGAAGTGGGAACGAACACTCATCCTGGTTTCCCACTCTCAGGATTTCCTGAACGGCGTGTGTACCAACATGATCGACATGCGAAAGCAGCAGCTCATGTACTATGGTGGTAACTTCGACTCTTACAACAAGACTCGCAAGGAACAGGAGATCAACCAGATGACTGCCTACAAGAAGCAGCAAGAAGAAATTAAGCACATCAAGGAGTTCATTGCCAGCGCTGGTACCTACGCCAACTTGGTGCGACAAGCCAAGTCCCGACAGAAGATTCTCGACAAGATGATTGCAGACGGTCTCATCGAGGAGGTCAAGGAGGAGAGAGAGTTCAAGTTCCGATTCACTGATGTTGACAAGCTTCCTCCTCCGGTCCTATCGTTCGATGACGTCACCTTCTCATACTCGGGTGAGGCTAAAGATGATCTGTACCGCCATATCGATCTCGGTTTCGATATGGATTCCCGAACAGCCTTAGTCGGTCCCAACGGTGTCGGCAAGAGTACTCTATTGCGTCTAATGACCCAAAAGCTGTCCCCAACTTCTGGTTCCGTTCGTCGCCACACACATCTCAAGCTCGGCATGTATTCCCAGCACAGCGCTGACCAGCTCGACTTGACCAAGAGTGCCTTGGATTTCGTCCGTGACAAGTATCGCGAGAAGTCACAGGACTACCAGTACTGGCGACAGTGCCTTGGTAGATACGGTGTCTCCGGTCCTGTACAGACCGCCATTATGGGAACCTTATCCGAAGGCCAAAAGAGTCGAATTGTGTTTGCACTTCTTGCCATTGATTCCCCTAACATGCTTCTCCTCGACGAACCTACAAACGGTTTGGATATCCCCACCATCGATGCCTTGGCAGACGCCATCGAAAACTTCACCGGTGGTGTCATTGTAGTTTCTCACGACTTCAGGTAAGAAGAACCTCATCTTAGATCTATAAACCGGTACTGACATGATCATAGGTTGCTCGACAAGATTGCCAAGCAAATTCTTGTATGCGAGAACCGAACCATCAAGCCGTGGGAGGGTTCCATAGGAGAGTACAAGAACTATCTCCGAAAGAAGATGTTGGCTGCCGGCGCAGTCTAAGATACCCTTCGCCTTTTATAATCGGTAATTGGTTTAGAGGGTCGCGTGAACATGACTGTTCACAGCAGTACTATATAATAGTACGATGTCAGGAATCCACACTTGCATGGTCGCGGCTCGGAGGTCTATAGAATGAGTGGACATCGAGGCATGGAGCCGTCGCCCTTGGATTTGAAAAGCTTATGATTTTTAAGCCTCGCTTTGCACACTTCGGAAACTAACATCGGCATATGCTAGGGTTTCGTGGACTGGGATAGACTTGTTAGATGAACCGAGAAAATGATTCACATTGATTATGAATGAGATACGACTTTGCTATTATGTGATACCTGTGGATAACTTCGTGATAATTACCTTTCCTCAGCCACATTTCCCATTCCCAAGTGGACCGTACCCAGCAGAATTTTCTAACCCCTACCCAAACCACATCCATCGTGAGGCTCCATGTGGACCATCTTAAACTAGACTCTCATCCCACCCTTCTTCCTATTACCAAACACCAGCCCCTAGTGTAATGACACTTACCCACCACATACCCACATCAAACACGCAAACTTTTCCCTTCTTACCTACCTAGTACCTATTCAACAACACCCTTATAGCATAGAACTAGACACCTGTTCTTTCATCCAATCCCTTTCTGTACCGAGAAGGAGGAGCTATGTGGATAGGGCCGCTTGGCCCAATGGTTAAGGCGTCTGACTACGACTGAACGCGTTGTGATGTGTTTGGTATTCAGGTGATCAGGAGATTCTGGGTTCGACTCCCAGGGTGGCCTCTCTTTTTGTGGGATTGATTTCTGCCTATGATGCTTGCCTAGGTACCTGGGTTAGTACCTAGGTAGGCTGGTTCTGTATTGATGTTATTCACTTTTTGGTAAGCGAGGAGGGGGCGGAATAGGTAGAGAGAGAGAGGTTGCGGGATTTCTAAGGGCTTACGGGAAGAAACTAGTTTTCGTATTTCAAGTAGGTAGATGGGTTGTTGAGGTTTCATTTGATTTATCAGTTCTTGAAGTTGGTGCATAGGTACCTACCTACCTTCCTAGGTAACTATAGCATGATGGCATTCGGGCACAATGTAGACGCTGACTCGCCAAGGGAAGTGCCTATCACGACCACAAAACCACAGGCCAGAATGTCTTACCTACTAGGAATCATTGGATCGATAAGGCGACAAGTCACATTCAACGGCAGTTCGAAATAAGCAGCACATACCCAACAAGACACGCCCAACAGCACGAGCACGCGTAAGTTTTTGGCACTTTTAATCATTACTAGCCGTCAATTCAACTCAAACGCCTCGATGGGCATGCATGCATTGATCGACTTGACTCCATGAGGTTCCGTCCCCTCTATCGTAATCCTACAACGATAACAACGGGGGTCCTTTAATCCACGAGGAAATAGTGTTTTTTTTGCGAAAGAAGCAATTCCGGTATTTTGCAAAGTCTAGCCGCCTAATGCGACAGTTTTGGTTCAACTCCCCCTTACACACTACCTAACTCTTCTCTCTCATGTTCTCTCTCCTTCGCGATAATAGAAAAGACGATTAACTAAAGCTCTATGATGATTGTGGTTATCCCGCCAAGAGCCCGTCTCTTCACATATGTAATCGATGCCATTATAACGCCGTTATCCTTTGATTTTGTACAAGGTCTTCTTCTTCTGCGAGAAGTAGTATTCGAGACCTGATGGTATTTATGTGACAAGTAGCCTTTCGTAGTAGGTTAAATGTCCATCTCTCCGTCGGCGATGGCAAGCCGCTGCTTCGTAGTCTTAGCTTTCTTACTACCACTCTTTCGCTTCTTAGCAGCCTTCGCGTCTCCAGCCTCAACGGGAGTAGCAGTACCAGAAGGTTTGTTGCCGTCATCGAAGTGGCCCTCACCTATGATGATAACGTTAGTTATGTTTATCTTAGTGACAGTCATGTAACTCATATGGTGACTTACCCTCATGGTACATCTCATCCAAACTGACTGCCTCCCGCTTTCTCTTATTGCCGCCTCGCTTCTTGGTTTGCTTGTCAAGCTCGCCGCTCTCGAGAAGTTCCTTCTCACGTCGTTCGATGAGCTCTGCTTGCTCATCATCGGCGAGCCACATGGCAATATCGCGATTGCGGTTTTCGGGCGGACGACGACCACTGAAGTCGACACCACGTGCGCCACCTCCTTGGATAACCACTCGTTGCACTTCCTCCTTCTGCATCGCGCGCTTACGGATACGTTCTTCGATAGTACCGCGGGTGATAAGACGGTAGACCGTGACTTGTTTCGTCTGACCGAGACGATGCGCACGATCCATGGCTTGCGAATCGATAGTAGGGTTCCAATCACTGTCGTAGAAGATAACGGTATCGGCAGATGTAAGATTGATACCAAGACCACCAGCGCGAGTCGAAAGTAAGAAGACGAAGATGTCGGGTCGGGTCTGGAAATCGTGAACGGTGTCACGACGATCTTCCAGCTTCGTAGATCCATCAAGTCGACAATACTTGTAGTTACGGTAAGTAAGATATTCCTCCATGAGGTCTATCATTCTTGTCATCTGGAAGTACAGCAGGACGCGGTGACCTTCCTCCTTCAGCTTGAATAGTAGCTGATCGAGTTTAGCGAGTTTGCCGCTGTCAGTGACAAAACGACGCATGCTAGGAACAGTGATGTTTGTAAATCGTCGCTTCTCGCCGTCCGGTTGAGGAAGCATAGCTGGTGGCGGATAGCGCTCCATCGGGACCTTCTGTAATACGAGAGCCTTCTCTTCTGGAGCAATAGGTCCGTACAGGGTCTTTCGCATTCGGATGTTGAACAGCGTGTCTTCGCGCTCGGCGAACGGAGCTCTAGTACCCTCGCATGAAACCTCAACAGGAGGAGCAGTAGCACCAGGCAAAGCCGCTTGCTCGAGTCGGCTAAGACCAGAATCTCGCCATGTCGAACGAGAAATATTCATGAGGTTGCCGAGTACACCTTCGTTAGTAATATCGACTAATGGCTTGCGATCGGAACGCGCTGCGATCTGGAATAACGCGTGGGCAGGAGTAAAGTTCTCCTCGCCAGGCTCATCATATATTACATTCATCCGGCCAAGTCGGTTTGGCTTCTTCACAAGGTCTACAGCTCGTGAGAAAACATCCTGGTGGCTAGCCTTGTAGACTTCTTCGTGACTAGCATCGGCGAATCGGAGGAAGGAGAATGCATCGGTTCCAGATGAGCTTTCGCGCATGTTTTCCGGTGTCCAGATGTTCATAAGATGGTTCAGATACTTATTTCTGAATCCAGCCTTCTCATTGTCCTTCCCAGCCTTTTGCAACCGACCACCTTCGGTCCAAACGAGACGTGGCAAGTGATAATCAATGAGGTTTCGAGTCGAGTATCCAACAGTGACATTGTTTCCTTCGCGGACGAATGAAGCAGTTTCGGCAAAATAACCGGCGAAGAATGGACTCATCGTGTCCGCGCGTTCGAATAGGTCAGGGTGATTGCACACCTTTCGGAACTGCATAACAAGGTTCATGAGTGTGCCTGAATCCTGATCATCTCCAAGAGTAGCCTTCTCTATCAGATCCATGATGCTGATCTGATTTCGGAGGTTCCTGTAATAAGCGCGCTGTCTATAAGTAAGCTCGCAGAACACGTCCTGTTCAATCTTGTCACCGAGTTCCTTCTGCACATGCTTCTTCACACGACGTAACATGAAAGGTTTGAGAATCAAATGCAGCCGCCTAAGCTGATCCTCGTTAAGGGTTGTGTTGCTCTGGGCGTGAGACTCGATATCCTTCGAGAACCATTCGCTAAATTCGTCGTGAGAGTCGAAAAGTGACGGCATGATAAAATGAAGAAGAGCCCAAAGTTCTTGCATGTTGTTCTGGATAGGCGTACCCGTAAGAAGCAGTCGGTTACGGCAGTGGAAGCCTAGCAGGCACTTCCAACGCGAACTTTGGGAGCTCTTGATGGCTTGCGCCTCATCGAGGATCATATACTGCCAACGCATCTTAGCGAAGTAAGCGACGTCAGAAACAACCAGCTGGTAAGACGTGACCAAGACGTGGAAAGGCGCATCTTTTCGGTAGGTGTTATGCTTGCGATCCCAGAATTTACGCAGCACCTTTCGGTCGCCAGCAGTACCCCAGTATGGGAGAACCTTGAATTCGGGGACAAACTTCGCAATTTCCTGTTGCCAATTGTGTAGAGTTGAAGCCGGAGCAACTACTAGATAAGGACCCCAGATATCATGCACTTCCGCAAGGTATGCCATAACAGAGATAGACTGGACCGTCTTGCCGAGACCCATTTCGTCGGCTAAAATACCGTTGATGCCCTGTTCGTAAAGGTTGGCAAGCCAGTTCAGACCCTTCAACTGGTATTCTTTGAGCTGGCAGTTCAATAACTTCGGTTGTTCGACTGTCACATCACCAAGACCGGTCGGGTTCTGGAAGTTCATCTCGCCATCTTCGTCCATGTCATTATCGGTCTTGTTAAAGCTTCGTGCCTTCTGTTGTGCTTCCGCAATAGCGTTCTGAGCATTCGCCATCGCAGCTTGTCTCAGAGTTTCCTCGTCTTCGGCATCGAAGTTCAGCTGACTAAAGTCAGTAACCTTGCCGACAGGCCCGTCCGATGGTTCGTTGACATCAACGTCATTCGACTTAGCCACGGCGTGGGCATCCGGCGCGATATCGGGGTTGTCGGTGCTACGCTCCACTTCGTCGGTCTTGATCTTCTTGCCAATGAAATGAGAGTACAGTTCGGTCTGGGAGATCAAGAAGTTCAGCTTCCTCTTCTGGCGTGCAGCTTCGCGATCAGCTTCCTCCTTTCGAGCGTTTTCAAGCTCTTGTCGCTCTGCTGCCTTGCGTAGATCACGCTCTTCACGTTCGTTACGTTTCCAGAATCCCATCATATCACGCATGCAACGTTTAGCACGCGCTTGAAGATCCTTTGTACCCTTGTTGGTACGAAGCTGCCATCGCTTAGCTTCTTTCGAGGCTAGGATAGCAGTCTTCTTAAGGTTCGAAGCCTTCGTAGCATAGGAATCGCTAGCCAACTTGAATGTCTTCGGAACATCCTTACGAGCGAGGTCACGCCAGATCTGGTCATAAATCTGGTTGTAGCCCTTGGACTGGAACTTGAGTTCGAGAGGATTAAGAGGTGGCTCCTCGACAGACTTCTCTTTCTCCTTGGGTTGCTTCGTAGGAGTGTCCCTAGCTTCATTATCCTTCTCCTTAGGCTCCTTAGGTGTAGACTTGCTCAACTTAATGCGAATCTTAGTCTCTTCCTTTGAAGGCAATTCTTCGCCAGCATCTAGGGCAGCCTGGGCAGCGATAGCAGAATCCTTCTCGGCTTGCTTCTGTTCCTTAGACTTCTTCGGACGATTACCGCTACGACCCTTGTTCTTAGACTTGGAGCCGGATTCCAAGTCGTTAGCCTGGAACGTCGACATAGTACCACCTTCCAAGTTCAGCTCAAGAGGTGCCAGGTTACGAGCTGGACCCTTGATGCCCTTTTGCAAGATCAACTTCGTTTGCTGGGCCTTCTTGTTAGCACGCTCAGCGTCTCGCAGGTATTTCGCACGTTCGGCATCATCTTCGGCAGCAAGTGCCTTGGCCAAGGCAGCCTCCTTCTGCTCGATGGTAACTTGCATGGACTTTTCTCTGCGACGTTTGCGTTGCATGTCCTTCTTGCGCTCCTTCTCAGCGAATATTTCGCGTTCTCGAACTTCTTGTAAGGCATCATCGTAGTGTACTTGGTCGAATCGACGCTTGCCATAACTAGCATGTTCACGTAGTTTGCCAGACAAACTGTTGGTCAAGTCGCCTCGTCGGGCAACTTGGTCTTCGGATTCTTCGTCTTCTAGATCCATTCTACGCTTCTTCATACGACCGTGATAGAATTCTTCCTCAACTTCCAGTTCGGATAGATCGACATTATCCATCTCTGAATCCAACTGGTCGATAAGGCTCTGAATCTTCTTCTCCTTATCAGCAGGCAGGGTCTTGGGTTTGACCTGACCATTAGCCTGTCTCTTGGGAGCCCTCGCAGGAGTGTCCTTGGCATGGTTCGCGGAAGATCGACGCGACTCTTTCTTGGAGGTCGCTCCAGATTCTTTGAGGATCGACTCGCGTCCCTTGCTCTTGCGAGAGGGTTTCTCCTTAGGCTCGGCCATGATTGGTGCCCTCGGTTTCGGAAGGGGCTCGGCGCTGGATAGAATGTTGGAGAAGGACATTAATTCCGCTGCACGGCTCGGGGTCTGGTAGGGAGGATGAAGTTAGCAATCAAGATTATCACGACAATAATAATCATCAATAAATAATCAATGGGCGATATCGGGGTTAGGCGATAGCCAATGTTGTAAATAGTAGATCAGTCAACACGTACATTTGATGATGATGTCGGTTCTGGATTTAATATGGAAGGTAGAGAAGGTGCTGGTGTAGGAGTGTGGCGGTTGGTGGATGAAATGGGATCCAGTGCAGCGCGGTGACGCGAGGGGGGAGATGCCAAATTAAGGGCTTTGTTAGAAGGGCTGGTCGGTCGGCCGTCGATTTTAGGGTGAGAGTGCGAATGCGGGCTTCGTGGATATTTGGGATTTACTGGAGAAGGTGATCCGTAACCATTATAATATTGGTTGGATTCCGACTTGGGCTGAGGGAAATCATACGGGTCAGAACGCTGATGGAAGAATGAAGGTTAGTCGAGTAGGAGTTTGGCGATTTGGCGATTCGGTGATTTGGTAATTTGGTGATGAGGATGAGAATGAGAATGAGGATAGTAATGAGGGAAAATGGAAATAAGGAAGGGAGAAATGGATGACGGTTTAGTTTTTTCAGATTGTAAAATTGGTAGTAATCACAATCATTAAAAAAAAAAGATTAGGAAAATTGATGATGGTCCTTGTTCATAGGTGAACACCGGCCAAAGAATAGAGATCAATGTTCCCGCACTGCCACTAAGCAAACTTGGGTATTGGGTTATTTGAATATTTGGGTGGAATGTGTCGAAAATGTAAAGTTCAAAGGTCGCCAACAAATATGGAATTATTGGCGGGTTTTTTTTTTTACTCTTTTCCTTTGAAGGTTATCACGACTAGTGACTTCCCTCAGCAATACTCCATGTATGATGCTTTAAAACTAAGTACCTAGTATATAACCATCCATGGATATTGCTCAATTTTTCGCGTTTTTGCTCGTGTCGGGGTTTGCGATGCGATAGATGTGCAATAGAAGAATCTTGACAATATTTGATATTTAATAATTTTTTGAAAAAAGCTTACCTGCTTAGACCAGTTGTCGGATCCTCTTCTCTCCTTGGTAGTATCAGTAAGCGGGTCATAGAAACTCCCGGACGTTTTCTCTCTAGTATGTTGATGGTAATCGGGTGGCGAGAGATGGCCCGAGGTCTTAGGAGGCTGTAGAGGTGATGCACTTGCACCATTCGCCGGCGACATCGCGGATGACGACGCCATGATCGAACTCAAAGCTCCTGGCGGAGGAGCCAGAGGTGGTAGGGAGGATGGGTGATTCCCCAATAAAACGGACGGCGACGATGACGAGGATAATTGATGATGCGACGCGTTACTAAAAGGATGCGCGAGAGAAGTAGTAGTAATAGGTGGTGGTCGCGTCGCGGATATCGTTGTAGGCGATGCAGGTGTCGTGATGGATGATACGGAGAAGGTGTGTTTTGGCGTTGGTGCCGGTGATGGAGAATGGGAATGGAGGAATAAGGGAGAATTAGTGGTTGTGGTGTGTTTGGTGATTTTGGTTGTGGCGGCGGGCTGACGAAAATCTAACGATTGCGTCGTGGCCGTAGCCGTGACTGTCGGAGATGTGCTATTCCTAGTATTATTATTTCTGTTGCTTGCGCCAATGCTTGCACCCTCTGCACCGTTACCACCAGACTTCCCATTATGGGTGTGGCCGTGAACGCCGTGATTTGCGCTTGCGCGGGTACCAGACACTCCAGAGGCTCCAGAGGCTCCAGAAGCCCCAGCTGGTCCAGCTTCAGGTCCAGCTATTGCGTGGGTATTGATACTTGAATTGGGATTAGTATTGGTGTCAAGGTTCGAACGGTCCAAGTGGTTCAAGTTCGTTTTGCCGTTGGCGTTGGCATTGGAAATGGAATTGGAGAAACGTGGTCCCAGCGTATCCGAAAATGACATCCCTATCCCTATCCCCATCCCCATATTATTGATTCTTGACTCTGATCCTGATCTTGACCCTGACCCTGACTCTCTAGATCCGGACGATTGAGATGTAGGAGCCACACCACCACCAGCAACACCACCACCGCGGGAATTGTCGTCACTTCGATTATCGTCCGCACGGTGAAGGACTGTCGCATGAAACCCGTTTGACGCCATTTTCTTTTATTTTTCTTTTCTTTCCACTCTTGACTTTTGCTTTTGCTTTTCCCCTTCAACCTTCAACTCGACGCAACTCAACCGTCACTTACAAACGAGACTCCTTCTAGTAAGGAATCGAGGGGTGTGGCTGTTCTCAATCTTGTCTTATGTTCCTATAATTCATCGTAACTAACAAGTGCGACGCTGACAGGGATGAGAGAAGCTGTCGACTTCTTAGGTTGCGATATACTAGGACGGGAAGGGAGTTTGATCAACGGATGAATAAAGTGAATATGAGCTGTTGCCTGACTAGTAACCCGTCAAAGATGTGATTTTTTCTTTAGTGACAACCTGGAACTAAGGAATGATCGCGGGTGGTTCTGTGATCGGCACATATACAGAAACCCGAGGAAGGTCGTGACGTGAACGGCCGAACAATTTAGGTAAAGCTTAAGGTAAGGTAAAGGTAGGTAAGGTAAGTTAAGCGTTTAAGTGTAGATGATAGGCTGATAGGTATTTGTCTACGGTGTTCCTTTGTCGCAAAGGGTATGCGCATCGGCGAGAATATTGCTTTGAGTAGATGTGAGCTTCAGCAAGGATATATCCACGACTAGAAGTTAACTCTGGGATGGTTTAGGCCGATTGGGGCGAAACTCTAGTCTAAATCATGGTTGGCGATACATGCGATACATGCGAGGACAGAGATCGTGATGGTTGGCGGATATAGGACTAGGTTACTTAAAATGCGACGATACAGGTCGATGCGCGAAAACTATACCCGATGTGATGCTAAAAACCCCGAACGAATATGGGAAGGAAATAGAAAAAAGGAAGAAAAAAGGGAAGGGGAAGGAAAACGGGTGTGAATAAACAACAACAAAAAGTGAAAGGAGCAGTAGGCAGGAAAATAGAAGAAGAGAGTGTGTGGGAAGAGAAGAGAAGACTGGACAGGTGCAGGTGGACTTGAGGTGAGGGTTGGCCGATTGTGATGATGACTTCTTTAACGGTATCGTATCGTATGTATCGTATGTACCTACATATTGGATTTGCACCCCGGTCCCAGCTATACCGTGGCAGCGTGGACTTGTGGGCGTACATACATACATTTCTTCATTTCTTACAGTTTAAGGCTAGGTATTCGTCCAATGAAAGTTCACGATGCTAACTGTGGACATCGTACCTCCCTTTCCAATGGCTTTGGCATCGCATTGAAAATGGGGACAGTTGATTAGCCCGTTTTCGTTACTTCCAATACTGCAAGAACCAAGAACATTTGGGAGCAGCATTCAACTGGACCATTTGCCATTTGGGAACCTGCAAGGCAAGTGCAAGCTTCAAGCTGGAGATTGGAGATGGGACCTGCGACCTGTAACCTGCTGGACCCATTCTTGCCCGTGTGGTGCCTTCCATGTCTTCCATGTCTGGTTGTCCTCCTGATGTTGTCACTAGTTGTCACTGCCACTTCTACTTCCACTTCTTTCCACTTTCGCCCCCCTTCGCGCTTTCACGACGGGAACATAAAGCAGTTGTAGTGGATCTGGGCTACCGCCAAGAGAAGTTATTCCGTGACAAGTGACGATCGATTCAGACGGGGCACCTGAGTAGACCGGGGACGACAAACCAGGCCTAGACCCATTTTGAACCAGCCAACTCCATCCACTCATAGAGCTCCCATACAAAAATCCGACAGAGAAAAAAAAAATCCTCCACATAATGTCGAGCTCGAGAGATCCTTGTCTTCCCGCTCATCCAATTATAAACCCCTGTTCAGTCTCGTCTCCGCACTACCCACTAGCCGTATTGTAACTCTGAAAATGTTCCCGAAAAGGTAAGTGGCGCCAAGGCTGAAAGGTACGATGAATTTAGTAAGAGGGAAAAAAGAAATAACAATGATGTATGTAATACGCAAGTTGGTTCAATAAAAGAATACTACTTATTTAGATATGGAAAAGAGATAAAGAAACCGAAGTGGGGTGAAAGGTGGGATGAAAGAGCATTGTAAGAAATGTAATAATTGTATCGGTAACAATAAGAGAGCTGAGCCGATGTCTTACTTTCGTATACCCGAGCAAGAAATGCGAGGAGGTGTGGGTTATATTTTGAGCTTCAGAAATAAAAAAATCGATAAGGCAACGGACAATGAGCCAACGAATTTCCGGAGCAGCCGCAATTTACATTTGCAGCTAGGTAGGTACATCGATACATACGTGCATGGTAAGCATGGTAACGCGATAAGAGCCCTAACCATTTTAGGTTAAAGGCGGGTCACATGCCAGGGGCGTTTCTGGGCGATTCGACTCCAACGAAGACTTCCAATCCCTTCCAATCCCAACAACAACCCAAGACACGAAACAAGCTGATGCGAAATCCTCTTCGAATGTGAGATTTTATTTACGAAAATATTTGGGTCACGGTTTCATCCGCTACTGCACCTCCGTGAAATAATTATGCCAAACATAATGGGTCAAATTGGTCAAACTGGTCAAATACAATTAGCATTTACGCATTCCCGAGGTCTCTCTAGCGAACTCGGGCTATTTTCATAACTTGCACCCAATTCACGGGATCTTTCGGTTAGTATTTTGGTGTTGGGTTGGTGTCTTCAGCCGAATTAAAGTCGAAAAAAAACGCCTACTAGATCTACTAAAGCGTATGGTGTCTCCAAATCATTTAGCGAGTGAAGGATGAGATTGATTATTATTTTATGTAACGTCCTACCTATCCCGATCGAGAAAATGCTATCTTAGAGTGGCGAACACACAAGCCATCATCATCGTTCGTCACCTATCAAACTCTCGAACGGCTATCATAGCCGGAGAAAAAAAAGCACGCAGTTCATGGCTTATCACGCCAGCCATGCCCAAGCCAAATTTTAGGCAACCCTTCCCATTTGCATCTACGTGCAGAAGCAGCGGCACATACCCGTAGAAGCAATTTAATAGCCAATAGATTTCGTAACACGAACATTACATATCTCGAGATTCATCTCTATCAGATCCCTTTCCCATCATCGCGACGTAGACGCGCCGCATATCTCCACTGAAGAAAAAAAGCAAATACTTCAAGTAAATGGAATGAATGAGTGACAAGAAGCGAAGTATACATCCAACCCCCTCCCTTTTGTACGAACCTCCCCTTCTATCCTCCCTTCTCTGCGATTAGTCTTCGTGTCGAAGGGAGGTAAAGGTAAACAGCTAGACCATTCTCCAGCTCCGGCGGAAACGCTGCACAGCCTTGGCCTCGCCTTCACTCTCGCCCTCAGCCTCTCGCCGCTGCATCCCATGACCACCCCACCACGTCCAGTCGGCACTGTGGTCGTCGCCATACTTACCCCTAAAGTGTTTAGTGTCGTGATGCTCAGCGGGCTTCGCAGTAGGGTATTCGTTACCGCCCGTAGATTGCGGGTAAGTAACCAGCGTAGTCGGCGTAGACGAAGTAATCCCCGAGGACGCCGTCACCGCGTCAACAGACGACGCGGCGCTCGTCGGGATCGCGATCGATGGCTCGATCGTGTAGCAGAAAGACGACCCGCCGTAGCCCCCGGATATACACGTCGTCGTCACCGGCGGCGACGAAGACGATACTGAGGATGGTGAAGATCTAGACGATGTTGACGCGGTCACGGCGTCGGAACCACCTGTGCTGTAAGTAGATGTAGAGGCTGAAGTCGACACCGGGGGTGCGAGTGTTAGGGTGCTGGTGCTGGCGTAAGTGGAAGCAGTAGGGTATGTCTTAGACGACGAGCTGCCTGTTCCGGTCGAGCCCGGGGGTGACAGCGTCGGGTACCCGCCCGCTGAAGACGACGTGCCGCTGCCGGTTACGGCGTCCGTGCCTCCGGTGGAATGGACGAAGGGCCCGCTGACGGTTACGATGGATGTGCTAGTGAAGTGGTCGGACCAGGTAATGGGTGTTAGGCTGGGTTTGTGAGTGCTGGTTGAGATAGTGCCGTTGCTGACGCTGCTAGTGCTGTAAGTCGATGTCGATGACGGCGTGGATTCGCTATCGCAGCCGTAGTCGTAGCCGCCTGGGGGATGGGAGCAGCTAGTAGAAGCGGACGTGCTTGATGATGTTGCCGTGTATACCGTGCTGGATGAAGTGGCAGTCCAGATTGTGATAACCGTAGGGGAAGACGTGCTAAAGGATGATCCTGAATAGCTTTGGGAATGCGTGCTTGAGGTGTTGGCGCTCCCCGAGCTAGATGGCAGGTTGTATCCGTTGCTGGACGTACTAGATGAGACGTATGAAGAACCGGTGGCCGGAGAAGTTCCGGAGCTGCCAAGAGTCGAAGGGATAGATGCTGTTACTGTCGAGGTTAAGGTGGAAGCACCATACGTCGACGATGAGGCTGATCTATAGCTAGAACTCGCGGTGCTGAATTGGATGGTCCCGGAAGTTGGCCATGTGCTTGACACGTCTACAGTGATGGTGGTGCTCCAGCTTGGAAGACTCTCTGTTCCCGTTGTACCGTGCGAACTGCTAGGTGTGGAGACTGTTGTCTCAGTGCTGGCTGAATTTGAGGAAACCGAGTAAGTGTTCGACAAAGTTCGAGTGCTAGCAGTAGTGTTTGAATAGATAATGGACGAGCTAGTTCGAGATAAACTAGGAATGGTATAGCTCTGGTTCGAAGTAGTTGTACCATATGCGTCTGTACTAGAACTGGCGTACGTTAAACTACTTGGCGTGCTCTCCGGGGGAGAGATAGTGATAGTGGAAGTGCTAGTATATGATTGCGTAGGCAAAGTACTGGATTGGAGCGGGTGAGTAGAAGTCAAAGTGTATCCAGTGGATGAATTAGTTCTGGTTGAAGACTCCTCAGTGCTATATAAGGTTATAAGTACAAATTTATAATTAGAAACGTTTCTTAATCTCTTTACTACTTACCACGTACTGGTCGAGACTGAAAGAGAAGTGTCCACGGTCGAGCTTATAATCGTTCCAGTGCTTGATGAAGGAGTATAGGTTGTTCCAGAGGTAGTCAAATTGTATGCCAATGTTGAAGAGCTATAGGGAACACTTGATACAGTCAAGGTCTCGCTGATAGTGATAGTGGAACTCGACGTTAAATACACAATAGTGTCTGTTTCACTCGAGGACGCGAGAGAGGAGCGAGTTGAAGCAGACGATCCAAAAGGAGGCGTAGACGATGTTCCGAGTGACGAGGTTGAATATCCAGGGACTATCGTGGACTGTCCAGTAGAACAACCGGCGTAAACTGTCACAGTCGATGCGCAATTGTTGCCACAGACCGTCACTGTAGCCGTAACTGTCTGTGTTTCTGGCTGCTGAGCGAGGCCGTTAACGACGGCGGAGCTGGTCCTGTTAGCAAATAATAGCTATACTAAAGGTCGAGAATCATACCTTAGGCCTACAAAGGCCAAGCCAGTAGAGGAACGCATTATAAGCGTCAGGCGATGGCAGGCGAAAAAAGCGAGTGTGTATGCCTTGAGTTGGCAAAAGTTATCGAGAACAGCTTGGAAGTAAATCTGGATAGTTCGCGTCCACGTTCCCGCTCTTTATAGCATTCGCTACCAACCCAAACTATACCCAAGCTATCGGCGTATTATGATAACATGAGATATACCATCACAAGGAAGGATGTGTGGATCTATATTCGTATACAGCTGGGCAACCTTAGACCTATGCGGCATCCCGACGGAAGTGGGAATTTTATTGACATGGCTGTCTGAACTTGTAGACGACTTTTAGTTGGGTAGAGCGCAGATGTTAGCTATGCCTGTAGTAACGCAAAGTGAGTAGAGTCATCGTGATTCTAAGACAGACTCTTCCAAACACCAAGGCTGTGATGTCGTTCTCCTTAGGCCATTGGCCGGTTCTCAACAACCTTGTGTCTCATACGCACGTTTCCTGATGGCAGAGACAAGGTTATTCGTTGTCCTCCCAAGTCGGAATTGGAATTCCCTTGCAGTGTGCAACACGGCTCTGCTGGTTGTCGATTTAACGGTTGATTACTTCTAACCTTGAAGCCGTCCATGGGAATATACGGAATATTGTAATTGACACTAGCAAACTAGGAGCCTAGTCCGATTGGTTAGCATCAAGGCAGTTTGCTTGAAAATGTCTAGATCCATCGATCTGGACCCTCCAATCTCATCATCAAACGACCTCGCTTCCATTACCAGGAACTAAATTTTGTCCAACACAAAATGGAGTCATATGCTAGCCCCCTAGCATACTATATTCATCAACATAGGAGTTGTAGCCGAACATAATGCAAGATTCTATTACAATGTCAAAATTGTGTGAATTCATAACACTTGGAATATAATATAACCTAAGTGCCTAGTAAGTAGTTGTAGCTATAATCATGACCTATCTTTTTGGGCGAATGTTATCAATCTTAGTACATAAATGCCCCTCATGAGTCATACCCAGAATATCTATCTGCGTATATGCACATATTCTTCGATAGGATGATCCGAAAGCAGGTGGATAGCTACTTTGATCGTAATTTTAAGTGCCTTGCAGCTGCTGAGACGCAGGTTCCCGATGCCGTCCGACGGTGTACGGGAATCGTGGCACGTATTTGGGCTATCAAGTCGGTTGAGTGGAGACATTTGCTACGAAGAACAGGTATGGTATCAGACTGCACAGTAGTGAACCAGTTTTAACATCTTCCTGTCGAATATTCTATAAAAAGACATCAAACTGAAATAAATATACTTGCGACTGTGCGATAAATCAAGGTCAAGGTCAAGTATCAAGAGTAATTCGAAGTCACGCGAGAAACGGATGTCGTTTACCGTAGATTTACCCTTTAGACATAGAATCCTCCGATCCGCGAAATACTTGTCTCGATATCCGGGGCCTGATATCTACTCGTATATGGTTGGACGGGTAGACTAATTCACGGGTATAGTTGCGGGTCGATATCTAATGGGCCGAGACCCTGGGACTGGGTCGTGTGTTGGATGCAATGATGTATGTATTTTGGTTTGGTTACAGCTAATTAAAGGGTGGGATTGGTCCGAGCAGTGATCAATTCGCCTCAAATTGTCTCTCTTACCTACATCACCTGGGTGCGATGGATTAAGAGTAGAAGAAGTTTTTTTCTCTTAGGGATGAGACATCAGATGACGGCTCCGGTAATGAGGAGGTTTGGGTGATGGTGCCCCGTATAGGACCTAGTACAACTTTGACACAAATTCTAGTATCACGTATCAGTTCGTACGCCTAAGAGATCTATTTACTCGGGCGATCGAGTAGCTGCTTGGTACGAATGTGCTTTGTGGTAAGTTTGCCAGCCGCGGCACCTCGTGCTTAGAGCATGGCGGCTATGGAGCGACGTGCCATGTGGTTTGGAGGTTGGTAAACCTCAGTGCAAAATCGATGTCATCATTCATGAGCCGCCTAGTCACGGCCATCTACCTAACGGCATATGCACGACTGCGGCTGCTTGCTTGTTGGGGCACATGTTGAGTTATTATGATGTCTAGAAGGCGGGAACCAGCGCTTCACCATTGCGGGGTGTCATCTATTGCAGACAATCACTGTGACGGCAGATTATGTTGGGTTATGGGGGAAAGATGCATCTCATGATGTCAATACTGGCTTTTGGGAGCGGCTAGGCGACTACCCAGCGAGATGTAGTTCCACGTTACCTTGTCACCGGTACAATTTTCTGTGACCGGGCCATATCTGAAAGACCCTCTCCAGGCCAGCTAATACATCAGGCAACATTTCGTCTATTGAACCCGATGAATCGATGTTACTTACCTCTCTTCAACCTTCTGATGTGATATTGGTGAAGGTGGCACGCGAATGGCCGAATCTTTCCTTGACTGGTCTCGGATGGCTGGGCGTAAACTTCGTGGGTTCGGGGCAACTCGGAAACTACCGTTTACACAAGCCCTGTAGTGCAATAGAATAGCATGCCAGATATTTAGGCCCGGGTTATGATATGGAGTCGTTCAAGTGGGTTCGGGATCGTAATTGATGCTTATTGATTGGACTGCTAATAGAAATATTAGATGATGAATCTGGGGAGAATGACTATTCATTAAGGATAGGAATTTGGGTTCAGGGGGGTAAAATAGAGGAATAGAAGGGCTGCTCCCTTTATCCCTCAGGAATTTTTACCTTACTAAGGGAGTTTACGTGATGGTGTGCCGCCCGTGCTGTGCAACATTGACTATTTCAGATTCCGGATCTTAGGGGAGATTACCTATTGGCTAGCGAGAATTACCGGTAGAGATGCGGAGGTCAAGCAAAATGCTTGGGAGCAGCTAAGAACAGCCTAGATACACCGACTTGAAGGACTGCTGCTCTCTATTGGGACCGGACTTCCAATCAACCCCAGGCATTCAAGTCCGCAATGATGCGCAAAAAATACCGCGGCCACGTCCTCGGATACGGGCACTGCCAATTTCCACCATTCCTCATTTGATATCGGGCTGGTTTTCAATGGCAATTCATTGACCGACGAGGATTCTTGAGGCTCATTGCAATAGTCTGTCTTTTACTGCGCAAGACAGACCGGCCGACTCGTGTTTGGGGAAGATGGTGGACAATCTTCTTGGTGGCGTGCAGTAGCGCATCGGTATAAGACAAGCCATTCTCAAGGGCGTCGAATACCCGCCGATCATCATAGGAGGCCATTCCTCTACAGGGTGAAGAATGACAACTATTGACGTTGACTGCACGATGGCGTCTCAGGGCAGAAAAGTAAAGTGTTCGGAAGACGGTGGACACATAGTCTGATTTTTGTTATATAAATCCGGTCGACAACCACCTCATCATCACATCTTCTCTCTCCATCATCAGCATCAAAAACCAAAAAAACACTGAGCACTCTCTCACAACACACATTCGTTTAACTACATCATCTCATCCAACGCTCGCTTTCGCAAACAATTCACTCGTTTATTATTCGCTCTTCCAACAACCAACTATTCAAAATGCAGTTCACCATCGTCACCGCTCTTACCTTCGCCCTCGGCGCTCTCGCTGCTCCTCAGCTCGGAGGTGGCGCCCCTTCCCGTCTCACTCCCGTTCCCGGTGATGTGACTGTCGGCCAGGCCGGTGACACCTGTGGTTCCGACCTCGATCTCAGCTGCTGTGACAAGGTCGACCAGTCTGGCGACTCCATCAACGAGGCCAGCGGCCTCCTCGCTGGTCTCCTCGAGGGTGGCCTTGAGAACGGTGAGCTCGGTCTTTTCGAAGGCTGCTCCAAGTTGAACGTTGCTGCTGGTAAGTTCCCTCCAATCGATCATCCTCTTTCATCTCTAGCAGCCACTAACGATTCCTACAGTCATTGGTCTCTCCGACTTGCTCGAAAGCCAGTGCAAGCAGACCCCCGCTTGCTGCCAGCACTCCGGTATGGGCCAGGTAAGCTTTCACACCCATTCCTACTTTCACTACCACACACATACTAATACCTTATACAGGAGGGCCTTGTCAACGTCGGTCTTCCTTGCGTTGCCCTTGGCAGCGTGTTGTAAACGCCAGCCTGGTACCAATACGACTTGCATAATCGGTGCATAGCATTAGGGGAAATGAGATATGTGGGGATGTAATGTTGGGGAGAGTGCCAAATTGTATTGTTTAGCCTGCTTTCCATGATTTAGTAAATCCAACTTCAGTCGCTCGTTAACCCTCTACGTCTTCTTTGCTTGTGACCTCCATCCATCCACCTAAGTTTTCTCTCTTCCCCTTAAACTTCTCCAATGTTTCTTCTCTCTGATCCAATCCTCCCTCCCAAACTTGTGACACGATGATGAACTTCTGCAAATGCGAATCGTACCATCCAATTAGATCCAGTCGTCCAACTATCGTAATGCCTCCAAGTCGTGAAAAACACTCCCAGAGTGTTGTACGTTGATGATTGCCTGAAATGTATCGTAGAATTGAAAGGTAACCAACCAAATAGGTATCGAAATGAAATATCTCTGGTTCTACCGAGAATCAAAAACCCCACCCAATGTGGTATCATATCCCAACGCCAAAGTAGAGATCAAATATCGTAATACATCATAATGTCGTGTCAAGTTGAGTTGTTCTGTAATAAAATGTCAATGTTTGCGTGATTGATTCATGCATGCTTCGTCCTGAATTCTAATGTCCCTTCGCGGTAACGGCCTCAACCGCAAGTCTCTCGACTCGACCAATATATAACTTCATAACGTGGCAGACAGGATCGCCCCAAATAAGACCGCGTAGCTGTTCGTCGGTAGCTATATGGGCAACAACTCCCTCACTTAATCTTTCCTCGACAGTTTTCGCTCGCTTGGGTTTCGAGTTCGTGTCGCCTGACCTTAAGACGACGATCTGTCCGGCATTGCTTAAGGTGCTTGAAGGAACTTTCCATATCGGACCTGAAGGTTTGGATTTGCTTGACCTCGAAGATGAGTGAGATGAAGAGCGACAAGACTTCTCAGAAGTCTTGGATGTTTTCGAGGCGAGAGATGCGCTGGAATTATTTCCATGTCGCTTACTGTGCTTCGAAGATGAGTTTTTCGGAGGTGGAAGATGTTTGCTCGACCCCTTAGGTTCTTCTGCTGGTGCCGGGGCCACGAAGAGTTCGAGAAGACTCTTTACATAAGCCTTATCGGCTCGCGCGACTGGATCCCCTTCGTTGATGAAAGTCATAAATACGAATTTCCTAAGCTCAGATTTCGAGGGTTTCTGTAAAGGATAAAGAGAAACGGGGGGCGTTCCAAATGTGATGCAGTGCACTCTCTTAAAGCAACCTGTTAGGATGTTGAGCTCCGAGGATGCAGCTTTGGACGTGGATAGCATATGCGCATATAGAAGAGATGCGACGGCACCACCGGCTGAGTGGCCGGTGATGAGAAGCGAGTAGGAACATCGTCGTGGATCTTCTTCTAAAAGATGGCGAAGCCTGGCTGCTACCGGGGAGATCATCTTTCGCGCCACTGACAGAAAACCTGCATGACAGAAATTGTTGGGATCGTCCTGAATCTTGTTAGATGGTTTAAGTCAAGCAACATAAGCATTCTTATACTTACTAAGAAGCCGGTAGGTGCCGTTGGTGCCGTGTTTAAATTTACAGACCAATCCATGAACGTCGCTGTTCCCCGGACTGCAAAGACTATGGTATCCATATCATCCATGGGGACGGACTTGATTCGCATCGCTTTTGTTCCAGTCCTCCAATCGGCATCAACATGAGCATCCCGTTCCGCACCCCGTGGGTTCTCATATACCCTTTCGGAGTATTTCGCTGCAAGACATATGAGGGGATACGTTGGGATGTGTCTAACAAATATCAGTGCTGTGAATCTAGAAGTTGCACGCTATTACATACAGACGAAGGGGAGGTAGATTTTGAGGTAGCTTCGAGTTCGCATATAATTCTACTTTAGCGAAGTAGCCTCGTGAAGCAAGTGATGAAGCTATCGCACTCGCTTGCGCTTTCGAAGTCTCTTTTGATGCTTCCTTCTTATGACTTTTCTTGGATGTCCCCTTATGTAGGACGATTTGCTGTGGCGGCTCAATAGGAGGAGGTGGTATGTGATTGGACTGATACATGAATAGATCATTCTCGTTTCCAATATACTTATCCCGGTCGATCAATGTCATTACATCATTGAAACTGCTACATATTTGGTCATACATTGCGGCACTTTGATTAAGTAACTGAGTGCCGTAACCATGCCATCTTGGAAGACCATCGTCGAATATTTGATGACCAAGATTTCCTGGCATCATTTCACTTGCTATGTTCACGACCGGGCCGAGTTTCAGTCTGCTCGCGGTACATGCCCCTTTGCCGTGAGGATATGGATTTGCCGGTGGGGGAGGAAGAGCTGGTGGCCCTAAGTAGTAATGTTGATTTACGACAATAGGTAGATATGATCTTGGGTCATGGTACTGAGGAACGGATCCGGGAGGTAGAGTGTTGTTCCAACCAGGTGGTGCCGGCAACGGTGGCGGGGGAAGAAAGCCTGCGGGTTGGCTAGGAACTGGTGTTTGGTATAGTCCATCACGAGGTTGATATTGTGGTGGTGGTACTTCGGATCGTGACGGATTCGACGACTTAAAGTGGTCGACCTTAGATGGCGGACCATCTGGTGATGGATTCTTCTTGGACCGACCGAATAATCCCATAGTAACTCACTACCGCACCTATATCTTGTATGTATATGTGCGTTGGATAGCCTGGAATGCTACCGAGAGGCCAATAAGTGAGCTCATCGATCGGTAGTAGCCTGAGAACTTTTGGAGACTATGAATTGAGACACGAAGCACAAGACGTAAGAAAATAAATCGACAGATAGAGAAACTAGACTCGAGAGTCGGACAGACAAAGGGGAAATTGTGAGATGCCATTGTATTTTTTTCTTAAATGTGTTACAGGTTACAACGGAATCAGCCCATCACCAATAAGCTACAACAACCATCCCGAGATGGTCCAGTCCAACGGAAGCTATCGAAGCTGGTGTATTTCTCAGCGGGTATGCCTTGCCGTTTATAGAATACCGATTATGAATGATGGCTGCTCAGAGCGATGATTCGTCAGGCGATAATCGCTCTGCCCCAATCATTCCATCAGGGATTCATGACCATAGTCTATAGGGAGCCGGTCCGGTAAAACAACAGACGAACCACGAGCTTCATATAGAATAAAGATGTAGACTTATGCAGGTAACCTTGCATGTTTGCCATGTGAATGGTCCCCGCAAAGGATCGGGAGGACATCTAGTCATCGAGCTGCGACTCATTAGAGAGCCTAGAGCTTTACCTAGATGGTTAGCCTCTGCTACTTTAACTATTTTAGCAGTCTTTCCGGGTTTGAAGCTCCTATCGCTTCTGAATAATTCAAGGTTCCATGCATATGCATGCTGCGGTTAACCGCCGGCGATGAAGAATTCCTATTAGCAGAGCGTGTCTATTGGAAATGAAAAGATAAGATATCTCGATATTGGAATGACTCGAGGGCTGCAGTGGGCGATAATTCGGAATGATTCGGATGATGGGCTTGTCACTTAGGAACTTGGAGACTTGAAACAATTGAACGGGGAACTCGGTGGGAAATGATAGCATCGGTAAAAAAACCCAGCCCCAGCAGCCCCAGCAGCCCCAGGATGTGGGGGCCGAGTCGTAGCCTCAGCCTCAACTTGTGTCAACGGTGGCTTATTAAGGAAGCAGATCATCCCTGCCCCACTCTATGACGATTTCGGTCAAGCTCAATTTGGTTGAAGTTCGAGCCACAAAACACTAGCCTCAATAAATCACCTGCCACACCTGCCCATCCCCGTTATGTTACATAATACTTACAATCGATACAAGGATACCCCAGACGCCTAATCATCAAGAAACATCTCAGGCCTCGGATTTAGAGGGTCGTTAATGCAGGCGCGACTGGAGATCAGGAAAGCTTGAAGTTCGAATGGTTAATGCTTTTTACCTTCTAACGTTGTACTTGATACTTGTAATTTCTCCCAATAAAACATTTGAAGATAATGTCTCTTAAGACGCCATGGACTTTGTTTGTTCCCCGTTTGCTCAATACTTTTTCCATTCAGCGGTCTAGATACTAATCGTAGCTCTCTGTAGTGGTCGCGCCTCATAGCTAACACCCGGCTGTCTTCGGGGAGTTCCAGCAAGGATGCTGCACGGGATCCCATAAGACGGCGGCAACGCTTCGAGAAGGAATATGGTCAACTATTGGTAAGTTTGTTATTATTATTTTCATCCTTTGGATATCGTAGACTGATCGGATTAACTAGCATATTTGGCGAAATTGTTCAAACCTTGCTCGAGACGAAGATGCCGCCGAAAACATCGAAATCCGCCTTCAGGGGCTTACTAACATCCTCTCCGACGAATCTCGACGACCTTTGCCTCATCCGTGTATATCTTTTTGTTCAACCAAGCAAATCTATGTCCCGATCGCCAAGATAGCCACAACTTCATATAACGAGTGGATCATCAAGGAAGCGGTTCAATTTTATGCTACCCTTATTGAGAGCGAGGAGGAAGCTTTCGTCGAGAGCGAAGCCTTCTCAGCGAGCTTGACTAACCTTATGGTTCGCATCACTGGAGCCAATAGTATTCGACTGGGACCCGATACCGAAGTAAAGGTTGTCGAATTAGCATTCAACATCACCACAAAAATCCGACTTGAGCCACATATCCTTTCTAGCTGGTTCAAATCCCACCCCGAGAGCCATGGAGGCGAAGAAAAGACGAAAGACCAGAGGGAGAAGTTTGCTGGAAGAACTCAGAAGCAAGACTTCCCGCTTTTCTATCTGTTAATGGACTACATACATCATGAAGGGAAAATAGGTGACTTTGCCCGAACTGGCTTGCTATATATCATCGAGGCTGCCTCATCTTCTGTTGCTCTCGAGCAATGGATCGTTGAAAGTGACCTTTCGACGCTGATGGCTACCGGGCTTGGTGCTTTGTATAGTCAGCTCAGCCGAAAGCTCGTCATCGACCACCCACCAGAGAATCTGCCTCCAATTCTTGCATTGTCCGACTACCAGCATCCGACGTCGACCTTCGAGATTATCAGTTCTTGTAGCCCGGACTTTCAGTTACATTTGGAAACATTCTTGTCGCATATGCTTTTCTGGCAGGATGTTCTTAACCATTGTAGATCAGTGGAAGTTAAGTCAACTCTGCTCGAGCATTTTCAGGTCATCTTCTTGCAGCAATTATTGTAAGTGCTTAGTCTAATCCTGTAAAGCTTTGGAGACTTTGGAGCTAACTCTCAAAAGATACCCTTCCCTCTTGGAGTCTTCCGATGTTGATGGAGGCTCGTCTGTGGCCGTTCTGACTTACCTTCGACGCATACTGGAAACCTTGGACCATCCAGACATGATTAACCTCATTCTCCATTATCTTCTAGCCCTCCCTGATACACAGTCTTCAGCTTTATCCGAGGCTGAGCCATCCGTCAGCGCCGCGCGCAAGCGAAAGTCCATGGACCTCGCGACTATGATGGCTACTAAAGTCGAAACCAGTTATACGCCGTTGCTCTTTAATTTAGTTGATTTAATTCGATCATGCGTCAAATCTAGGAACCAGCAGACTGTCTGTGTGACGCTTCAGCTTGTGGCGGCGATCCTTAAGCGGCATCACCGATACGCAACCACAACCCTTCTCCGCACTGAAGGTATTGACATGAATGCTTCGCGTAGGACTGCAGGTGCTCACCAACAAGAAATTGAATTTCTGACTACTCTGGCCGGGTCTGTTGGGGGACAAGACAATTTTGATGAGATGTACGACAACATTTTAAAAGATAGTATGACACGCGTGGAAGGTCACCCGTGCTCTCTCAAGCTGGTCGCACCGAAATTGTCGACGAACAACCATAAGCTACCTGCGATTCCCGATAGCTTACCTGGGGCACCTCGAGATGTCCCGCCACACACACTTAGTGTTGATGACCCTCTCTTGAACAGCATTCTAGATATTTTTGAAACTTTCTTCATTAATCCCGTCGAGATGAATCTGTCAGCTACAGAGACTGTTATTGACTTATCAGTGTGCGGGTATATATCCGTCGAAGGATGGTTTCTTCGCCACCCTAAGAAATACTCGTACGATGACGCAGACGAGCCTATTTCTCCACCTCCCGATCCCGAATCTCCGTTGTTTGCAGAATTTGAAAAGCTAGCGGCGATAATGAAATGTCGCCGTCGGCCAGCGTGGAAAAAATCAGCCCTGCCTCGTATGCTGACCGTTTTGGAGTCCCTTGCTGACCAAGTCGATTACTTCCGGAGTTCAGTGCCAAGATTCGATGAACTTTTACAACAACGCCGGGAAGCGTTCCAGACAGCTGATGCTGTTGTGATAAATCCGCAGCCTCACCGGCCAAGTTCAGTCGCGACCGACCAAGCAAGTCAAGATGGTTCCCGGGGAGAATCGCCAGCACGACCTAGCGCGCTTGAGGGGTTTGCACAGAGGATACTATCTGAACTTGGGACCCCTAGCCGATCAAATAGTCCACGCGGGCGGAAAGAATCGCTCCGAGGATCGAGTACAGGTTCTGGGACATCAGCAGGATATGGGTTTACGTCACCCACTCCCAAACCCACATCCGCTCCACCAAAGGAGTTTCCCGTGAATTACGAAAGTCCGAGCAAGAGTGGGCTGTCAAGATCGTTTTCACCAGGAAGTCATCACTCAGATGCGGATGGCCCGGTAGCTAGCCAGGCAGCTGCATTTGCAGCAGTGGACCAAGGGATACTTGCTCGACAGATCACTCTGCCAACGGCAAAGATAGAACCTATCCCGTTGGATTTTGATCGGAGGAAGACAAGTCATCCGACAGATATTGGAGAGGAGCAGAGCAACGACGGCGAAGGGGGATTGGATGATACGGACCAACAAGACCACGATGAAAGCGAAATTGTAGATCCATCTATTGTCCCGACGCCGCCAGAAACACCACTCGAAGTCAAGACAGCTTCGGTCTCGCACATCCTCACCAATGTTATCGTCTATCAGCAATTCTTATTGGAATTGGCAAGCTTAGTACAGGTTCGGGCCGGGCTATTCAACGAGGTCAAGTTTGCATAGCAGAGGAAATAGGAATAGGGATGGCCGATTTTGGTGAATGTAAGCAATTATACATAACTGTCACAGGTTCCCTTCCAGCAGGAACACCACATCTAAGGCGCCGGTGATCGCGCCTCGTAGGGACAAAGGAGGCTTGGGGAAAGTGGAGCGATGCTTTGCATGTCACGGGTCCACGACACACAGCATAGAGAGCGGGGAGGGGGTTAGAGAATGCGGGCCTTGCTATTCGGATATTTAACGTTGACTTTACGATAGATACCATTTATTGCATACATTTCTCTTCTAGGCGAAAAGGAGATGGCGTGCTAGAATGCTGCATTGATCTAGTTGAATGGAATTAAGTCTGCGTGCGATACCTATTACAAGTCAGGCCACGTCAATCACCGCGAAAGGCATTGGGTTGTGTTAATTGAGTGCCATTTATTTAGCTGTCTCACAAAGCATCATGGAGGTCCAAGCAGAGCAGGGAATGCCCAGTCCCATGTCTTAAACTTGGTCTCTCGTGTCCCTTGCTCCCTTGCTTCCTATAGCTCCACAAGCCGACGAGCAACCCGACTCTTTCGGCCTTTAGATAAATTGGCTCGTATCCTCTTTCTCAGAACTATCGGTCGATGGCACACGGGCAGTGATATAGGCGACTTCCTTGCCGTATATCCACGTTTCTGCCAATCATGTTCCAAGAGCCTCCGATTGCCGATCGAGGTCCAACTCGCACATCAGGAGCCGGCCGGAGCTGGTGCTTGCTCCCCAATAAGCGCCCAGATGAAGTCGCGTGTCGTCTCCAGCTCGGCACCATGTTCCTCCGCAATACGTTCAACGATGATGGCGACGCTTACTTTGTCCTCGAGGCACTGGGCTCGCGTGAGCAGGCCATCCAAGAATCTCATAGGCGTCATGCTAAGGAGACATTCGAGGAATAACTCTTCGCTGTAGTGCGGGTTCAGGGGAAGCCAGCCCCAATGAGGTCCGATGAACTCCGATGCAGCTGTAGCCGCGATGTTGGCGTCTTTGAGGACAGCGCCGTGGTCCATGAGGACTTGGCAGATGGGCACTAGGTCGGTGCGGCGGAAGTCGCCGGCGCTGCAATTGAACAGGTTCGTGAGAACGTCGTGGATGTGCTCGAAATCCATCGCGGAATGGACTGCTGCGAATACGAGGGATCGATAAGGCGAGATGTCGTTGTGCACATATCCGATGTGCAGCTTGGATACTCCCATTAAGAACGATTCGCCTGTGGTGACGAGCGGGATGTCGACTCTGGCACCGCACTTTACGAGCATCACCGCCTTTGCGAACTTGTCTTGGGGCAATTGGTGGAATTCGCGGAGGAGAAAGTCTAGGACGTTGCCTCCTTCTGGTGTCGCCAAGTCGATGGAAGCTCCATGCTCCACGAGGAGAGTGATTGTTTCCGGTAGACCACTTCGCACTGCTTCTTCAAGTAGAGAGCGTTCGTTCGCCATTCGGGAGTTGGGGTCCGCGCCGGCTTCGATGAATCTCTCGAGAAGAGCATGCTTCTTGGAAGGATCGTCAGCAGTTTGGTATTTCGGTTCATATCCGTCCGCATCGAACATGACGTTCGCGGCAAGGTTTGACCACATGTTTGCGTGATCCATTCTGGGTGAGAATTGGGTATACCATAAAAAAGTTGGTATCAGCTACGAGCAGAATAAGCTGCTGTAATGTGGTAGTATTATCTGAGGTACGCATCCGATTAATCCAGCGGGTCAATCAAATCATTGTCGAACTCGTTGGACTTGTCGATAGGGGTAAAGTCACCGAAGGCGTTTCTTCCTAGAAATCCCTAAGATCGACAAGTAGTCCTGCTTTTTGGCAGATAATAACTATGTTCTAGAGTGACAAGTGAAGTGTCATCACAAGGTGACCATTGTCCTCGTATCCGCCTACACACTGTCGTTTACTTATTTCTTTTCTCGCGACTCGCCATCGCTCTCACTATCTGGGTATGTCACCTACGTTTTCTACCCGTCAGAAAAAGCAGTCGACCTCCCTTAGTTCTCACCTTTGTGCCTGTCTAAGTAGGTACGTACATAGACGACTATCTTAACAGACAACGTCTATATCTACTGTGTTGGGTGCATGAAGCTGTGGGTTATTTGCACGGGTCCATGTGTTTGCACACTTGTTGAATAAACAATATTTTCTGGAATCAAACCAACTACCTATTAGACACACCGCATTCAAGGTAGCCAGTATTATTCATCATCTTCTTCCAGGGAATAGACCTCCAGTTCCGCAATCATAGTCCTTGCAGGGACAGTAACGCTGATAGGAAAACCACCATAATCAGGATTCTCGCTGGGCATCATGGCGAATTTTCCACTCCGCGTCTCATCGCCATTCAATCGCCTCTGAGTCTTCAACTCGCCCGTCTCACTGTTGACTACAGCTTTTTCTTCGAAACTCAAGATCCCCGTAAAGGTAGCCTTTGGGGAAAGTGATTTGGCGCGCACCTGGAAACCCCACCCGATGAGTAGAAATTTGGCACCACCGCGGTGGATGACCATACCGGCACCAGTATCACGCTTTCCAAACACGAAACATGGCTCAATAGTAATCTCGAAGCCACCCCAGTGTCGTACTATGGGTCTTGCAGGGTCTACCAGTGCATTTTGTGGCAGCTCGTCGAAGCAAAATCCGACAGACGAGCCCGGGCGACGCTGAGCTTCAAGCACCAGCGCAGATACGGATTTGAGTAAGCCAAAGTGCTTGGTGAAGGCGTTATCATCCGGGTCCACCGTATCAATTCCGAATGGAGACGCTCCTAAGGCGGCATAGGACCCATACGCAATCCAGATACGTCGTGCACCGTAGTCATCTCGCCTCTGTTCAGGGATAAAAAGGGGCTGGTTTCGATGACGATACTTCGCGCATGAACTTTCGTAATCGTTAAGGTAGATATCAGGGGAGATAAAGTCCAAATATGGGGCGAACTGCTGCCAAATATCTAGCACATTGCTGACTGGGCCACCTGAAGGATAGTCGCCGGGCATTCCGCCACCCCCAGCAACAACAGGAAAGGCGTTGTCTGGGTTATCACCGGAATAATTCATCCAGGTATTGGTGTATAAGGGAATCGCATAACAGAACTTGCCTATGATTGCTATCTTATTGAAATGGAGAGCATAATGATAGACCATGAAGAGCTCGTCTGTCCTTGGGCCTTTGCCAAAGACCTGCTCCCAGCTTCCTTCGCGATATTTACCTTCTAGATGTCTGAAGGCCGGACTAATGATCTCTTGTAGATCGGGATGTAGTAAATCCCAGGTATCTACCAGGAAAATAATCAAATTCCTAGGAACTGCTTCAGCGAACTTTTGGTTGGCGGCTCCACAAGCATCTCGCGAGTCCCCTAGTAAACCAGTCTCGTTCTCAACTTGTACCATAAGAACGGTGGAAAATTCCATGTCGACGATCTTTAGATGATTCATCAACGCTTGAAATGCTTTTCCGCTAGCCTCCAATGTTTCGGGGTGGAATATGGAGAGGACATCAGCAGTTTCCAAGATACCACCGGCTTTACGCAACTTGGCTCTTGGGAAGCGTTTCGGGTTCGTCTTTACCCAAGGCGGTACATAGGTAGAGAGGCCTAGAATAATGTGTGAGTGTTTGATTTCTTGAGAACCTATATACGGATCTTTACTGACCATTCTTGAATGAACCAAACCAAAGTAAGACAACATGTAGCTCATGTTCCCTAGCCCCCTGTATGATCTTGTCGAGCTCAGAGAACTCAAACCGGCCTTCAATCGGCTCAATCATCTCCCAGGTGACACAGCCCAGAACAGTGTTCACATTACTATCTACCAACTTCTGCCATACGGTAGACATGTACTCATGAGACGTAAAAGACGAGTTTTGCAACTCGGCTGGCAACATGAGGAAGGGTTTACCATGGACGATAAGTTGCCATGAATTTTCCGTCTTAACAAGGTGGGGTATAGACGAGATGTCCATTGTCTTTAGAGGCTTGAGCGACTAGTTAATACCTAGGTAGTATACCTGATATAAATGGTGTAATTCAAATTCGGGGATTGGGGGTTGGGCTTGAAAATCTAGGTAGTTCTCGCGACGTTAAACCTTTCACCCCGCATCCACTTGGTCGAGCGGAGTGACATCAAGTTCTAGTTCCGCAAATTTATGATTGGATGAATGGATTTGCTACAATTATCACGTAGGGGAACTTAGTTTTAGACGAATAATGATTATACAAAAACGACAAGTTACATATAGTATATAAGTTAGGTAGCTAGTACCGAACGAGAGGAGAGTACATATCAATCACCAACCTCACCCCCTAAACCCAAACCATTCATTTCTTACTCTCAACCGACCCAAGCTCCGCATGCAGCGCCAGCGCCTTAACAGCCTCCTCCCAAGCCCCATCCCCAGGATACAGCGCGCTCCTCAAATACGCCGTCGTCAACCTCTGCACCGCAGCCAACCTCTGGGGACCCTCATCCTCGGTCTCCTTTGCATCCCAGCCACTGACGCCTCCAAGCCCATGCTTCGCCCCCTTAATCCAAAGCAGGTCCTTCGGGCCAGGGGACAGGAAATACGGATCCGCATGCCAATCCGCACCGCGCGGCGTGAAATGCGGACTCACGTCCTCGTCGCCGCAGACAATCAACGCCGGCGTGTGCATCTCGTCGTAGTCCGGGCCGTAGAACGGTACCATACGACGGCCCATCTCCGAGAGGTTGTCACCGGCTTTCCCGGTGCCGGTGAGCACGACACCGGCCTTGATGCGCGAATCGCCGAGACTAGTAACTACGCCATCGAACGGGGATATGTTCTTCGCGCCAAGCGCTATGGCTGCCGTCCACGCGCCAAGAGAGTGTCCCGCGATAGCGATCTGCTTCTTATCCAGACGCCCTGCGAGGGCCGGGACAGCAGCCTCGATGGCGTCGAGGCTGTCGAGGACGCGGATGATGTCCTGAGACCGGTCTTGCCAGTGGTATTCCTGGCCCTTAGGCGCGTCGAGGCTGTAGTACTTGCCGGATAGATGCGAGGGCTGGACCACGATGAAGCCGTGCGCTGCCCAGAACTCGGCTAGGGGCGTGTAGCCCTCGAGGGAGTTGAGGTGGTTGCTTTGGCCTTGGCCGTGCGAGATGATGACGATGGGCAGGGCGGTGCCGGTTGAGGGGAAGGTTACTTTTACTTCGAGGTTCTTAAGACGGTCTGGGAAGGGGAGCACGATCGGGCTGAAGGTGTAGACTGGGGTTGCGGAGTTAATGGGGATCTCCTTGGCGGTTCCGATGAGGGCGTGGTCTTGGGCTCGCATTTTGACTGAGGGTGTGGTGAAAAGGGGATTGTGTGTTATTGAGAGGGTATTGGGTGGTTTGATGTTTGCTTGTTATGTTTGCTTGATGATGATTGTGATGATGGTTTGAATAGATCGTAGTTCAGGGACGGACGGAGCTATATATACACAAGACGATGCCCACCTTGAAGAGGCTTCACATTATGGATTTAGGAAAATGGATATAAGCTGAGTATACCTTGACACGTCCATTCCGCTATGGATGATTACGTCTATGCCCTAGGTCCAGCATGGCTTAATGCCATTGAAGCTAGCCACGATAAAGTAGTATTGCATTCAATACGTAACACAAGGAGGCCGGGTTTAAGCATTCGGAGTCCTTATGAGAGGTGTTGTCCGGGTTCGACCGTGGGTGACCCGGCGCGACTGGCGGAAGGGCTAGTACTAAAGAGGGAAAACCCGCGAGCTGATGTTCAGTTGCGCCCCGCTGGCCCCGGTGAATTGAATCCTTAACGATCTTGCTAGATCATAAAAGTGGGTGCTTACCTACATAGGTACCGGAGCACCCAGTTAGGTAGCGGCACATATAAGGAATATGATATTCCGAGTTATAATTAAAAGGCCGCGCGTGCTATGTAAGCACACATCTGCACCTACGAATTAGCTTGTTTATGAGTGTGTTGAACAGAATTGAGGGTTTGATCGTGAACGACCCCTGATCAAACCCCCTAGACGTAACGTGGGGTAGAAGTGTGGACACCTAAGCCACAGTGCATATCTTTCCTCGAGGTTGACAGGAATCCCTAGGAAGGCAATGGATATCCGAGAACAAAAATAATAATATGAGACTCTTAGCTGTGTGATGATTCGACCTTAGGATTAAAATAACATGATACCTTAGAGGAAGCCACCTACCTAGGCACTTGATGCATTATGGGGGCTGTATCGCAGCTTGGGTATCTCTGTCACTAGAATGATGTTGAATATCCTGTTCCCGGTGCGTCATTCCTAGGATAGCCCATGCGACGAATACCTTGGATCTTGCAGTTGCAAATCGTAGCCACATCTTAACGGGGAAGGTACGACGTGCATCGGGAGTGGATACACCGGCTTCGGCAACAGCACGGCGGGCTGCGTGGAGTATTAAAAAGCCGTTTCGGGGATGCTGCACGGGAGCGTTCCGGAACGTTCATAGCACTTCCCTCCCGATGTCGATTTGTCAACCCGCGCTAAGAGGAATGTGATGGTATCTAAGATAATACACGCCAAACTCGGGCATCATTGAACCTTCTACCTTTTACCAGTTTAGTAATATTAGGTAGTAGGTAAATCGATGACAAGACGCCTTCACGTCTAAATTAAATAGATAGCATTTGGGAGATGATTGAAATACCTAATGATAGTTACCTCTGTTCGTAAGAATGCCCTCTATTTTCAATTCTCATTTAATACTGTCCTTCGTTGTAAGTGGCTTGCGTATGATAAGGGTCCCGAGATTGTTATCTATCCGACACTATTTCCTTACAATCTCACTAAACGACGATCATCGTAAGGTCCACGGGTACTGGTCCGGATTTTATTAGGGGAAGCACGGACACCTGCCAGTTAAGGAGATAGCTTAAAAGGAGGAACGCGGCCACCTTTGATTGCTGGAATGTACACGCGCGTGACCTGAAGAGTGGTGAGAATGCTTATGCGTGATAAACCAACCCGAATCAACAATACCATGATAGAAAATTTATCCATATCTTTTCCTATTCATATTCGAATGTAAATAGTAGTTTTATCTTCATTATTCTCAGATTATATCTCTTTAGTTCCGGATATAGACCGAGGCTTGCCCCTTGTCATCTTCAGTATGAGCGGGGTTAGCCGAAAGATAAGAAATGGAGCTATACCAGCATCAATGAGGTTGCCAGGTTGAGTATTACGCCTCTTAAAATCCTTGAGGTTCCTCATGTTGACTTTTCTCGTTGTCTTTCAGATGAGCGCAGTCCCTTAATCATGGAATCCAGTCGGTTGGCGGTTGCGCAGCGCCATGAGCGGACGCCGGAGGAGCGCGATCTCGTTCGAAGGCTCGATATCTTTCTGATGACATTCGGATGCGTATCTCAAGGTGGGTGATGAGCTTTCTTCGTTACACAGACTTCGCTAATATGAAATTCAACTTTAGTTATCAAGTGTGAGTCTTTGAAATCATATTTTGGGAAAGAAACGCCAGTTATCTCTAACATCTCATAAGACCTTGACCAACAGAACATCAGTAATGCATATGTATCGGGAATGAAGGAAGATCTTGCCTTGAATGGCAACGAGCTGAACTAGTAGGTTGTGTCAATAACTCACTTGAGATCAACGGCTTTTGCTGGACTAACACACACCCGCAAGTTTCACCACGTACTTCAGCGTGGCGTATTGTATCATGTTAATCCCGTCGCAAATTATCTTGACGTACGTACGACCGAGTTACTGGCTATCCGGATTAGAGATAATCTGGGGCGTGATAACGGGTCTTATCGCTCTCACTCATAATGCGAAGCAAGTGTACATCCTCCGTGTATTTCTTGGACTCTGCGAGAGTTCGGCTTGGCCAGGCATGATGACGTTGTTCAGTGAGTTGCATTCATCCCGTAACTACCACCTAATATGCTCACCGGGTTGGTTGCACAGTGCATTGGTATACGCCTTCGGAGTTAGCAAAGAGAATGGGATTTTACCACTCTTGCCAAGCGATTGGTTCGATGATGTCCGGAGCACTTCAAGTCGCGATCATTAATACCTTGCATGATGCGGCCGGGCTGGCTGGGTGGCGCTGGCTATTCGTCATTAATGGAATTATGACCGTGGTTTGGGGTGCACTGGGATTTTTCTTATTGCCTGACCTACCGAACCGTGTTAATCCTAGAGCCTTTTGGTTTAAGAGTGGCCACGATAAACTTGCGATGGAACGCCTAGAACGCCACGGTCGAGCCGAGCCGAAGCGAATAACATGGGCCGGCGCTAGGTAGGTACTCGTCCATGTGCAATTCTTGACTTCAAGAGAAACTTACAGAAATTAGACGAACTGCTGTTAATTGGGTGACATACTTTATCGCGATCTTGTATATCGCGACTGTATTAGCGTCTTGGGGATACTCTTACTTCAATCTCTTTCTCAAGAGTCTCAAAAACCCCGATGGAACGCCCACCTGGACCACTTCTCAAGTGAACGCTATCCCGATCGGCGGTAGCGCTATCAACGTTGTCTTCGGTATATAAACTCACCCCTCTAGATCTAGTTCTAGCCAAGCTAATAAGATCTGCAGTCTGGGTGTGGGCTATCCTCTCCGATCTTCTGAGGACACGATGGATCTTGATTGTAGCACAAGGTGAGGAGTTTGCAGGCGCCTCCGTGGAGATAATTTCCCAATGAGACTGACATTCCCATAGCCGTGATTGGCCTCGTGCCATGTATTGCGATGAGCGTTTGGACCACCCATCCTAACACCACACCGCTTGCGACGGCCTACGCCAGTTACTTTATCTCTTACCTGGCTTTAGGTACCGCGCCCCTGATCATGGCCTGGATTTCTGATCTGTAAGTTCTAGCGCGACGCAACGATCTTGAACATAATAACTCATACACCGTAGATTGCCGCAAGATCCAGAAGGGAGGACTCTTATCGTTGGTGTTGCGATCGCCACATATTATGCGGTTTCAGCGTGGAGTCAAGTCCTTGTCTGGCCTGCTGTTCAGGCCCCCTACTGTATGTCGCTAGCCATGCATCTCTTTGAATTCCGTTCGACACTGACGTTTGCTAGATAAATACGGTTGGCAATCATCGATTGCGTTATGGATTTTAGTTATCATCATGACTTGTACTCTTCGATACATCGATCTTAAATATCTTCTGTATGATGCCTTTTCGAATGTTAAAATCGCGTCCACTAACTCAAAGCACAGTCCAAAGCGAGAAAACTTCCGCGCCACTCTGATTGAAGGATCAGACCCAGCGGGGCGTTCCGAGCCAGATCCAGACGACGATCCTAGCACACGGAAATCGATATGATGATCGGGGATAGGCAACTCCTACACATTGGGCACTTGGTGGCTTAAAGAAACAAAATCTGCGAAGAGCCTACCCGCATTTCACTTGATCCCCATTTTCGGAACTCTTCATTCAGCCATTTAATTTATTACCTAGGTGTGTTATGCATTGGCAATTGGGTAGATCACATGCTTGCATTATAGAACTAGAAATCATTGGTCAAATCAGTAGAATCTGTCATCCGTCTATGCAACGCGGCAGCATCCGGTTCAGTGAGAATTTTAATTCGTCAAATTTGTAGGTTGGTCAGCAGTCCTCGCACATATTTTCTAGACACAAACAGGTTCATCTTTGGTACTATATAAATCACACATGCGATGTCTGCAGCTTTAATGGGACTGAGTGCGGTGTAGTGAGGATTGATAGGTCGGTGCGACGAAGATGCTGCAAACCTCCATCAGCTCGCAGTCAATAGTCAACACCCCATGCCCAAAACGGTGCTGTAGGCGAAGTCGGCCTTGGCTGCCACGTGGGATTTGTGGGCTCCGATTCCGAACGGCCGGCTGAGGTTGGTAACAATAAAGATTGAGGGTGTCCTGCCACCCCAATGGAAATAATCCTGAAGTAATCATTGATCATTCCGCTAAGTTTAGACCTCTAAGAACCAATTGCCCTCATATATCGATACATCACGCCCTGCCACGACGAACGGACCATTCAGCGGTGAAGCCTCTAATTATACACCATGGTTATAAGAGTTCTTATGTTAATTTACCGGAGGCCGGATTTAACTCCAGAACAATTCCGAAAACATTATGAAGAAATACACATGCCGCTTACAAGAAAAGTTGCTGGAAACACGTTCCCTCTATCGCATATAAGAAGATACATTCCGCGGTCCACCACAATACAACAATCCCCTACCGACAACGACCAATATCCTGCAATTGTTGCTGGTGGGGAACCAGAGGCCGTTCATGTCGATTGTGTTACCGAATTAATATTCCGAGATAAGAAGCATTTAGAGTCATACTTCGAGATGCCGCATGCTCCCGGTGCCGCAGCCCAACTTGAAGAAGAAGCCAAGAATTTTGCAGCGAAATACCCCACCGTCATTGTCGAAGATTGGAGGGAAACAAGACCGAGGGCAAAGTTATGAGATGATCAATTAATGGCGTCGCTATGAATGCGATCGCGGAGGAAATCACGTCATTCGGAAACCCCGGACATATGGCCTACCAATTCAGGCGGCCGAACTGCATCTGAAGTCAGCATCGCTTCCCTCAGACAGGGAATATGCCTCACAACCTTATCATCCAACAATGGGTGCGACATAGAGACGCGCCCAATTTAACTCTATCGTTAATTAGTACCATGGAGGTATCTTGGGAGAATCTCCTAGATGAAGTTGGTAAATAGATCAGATGCATGGAATGGACAACTCCAAGACTAGGCAAAATACCCATATTTCAAAGAGTTCACTCGCTATAACATCAAAAGGAAGGGAAATACCAGGTACCTAGGAGGGGTATATAGATGTTAGCTTGGACCTGATCTAGTTGGAAGCCATACAAGTGTGCGAGAACACGATAACTCTCGATGTAGTACATTGCCGTTGAGCAAGGTACCTGTCAGCAAAAACTGCATATCTACGATGAAATCGATCGTTATGAAATACAATATTCAATACTTCTATTGCTGTCTACCTGTCTTAAGAGGATCTGTGCAAGGGAAGAAGCCTGTAGTCAGAGACTACTATGTCATGTAGTGGATGATAATAGTAGTGAGCTCGCTATAGGCTTTTCGCAAGTTCATAGAACAAGACCTAAACAATTCTTACATAAAGAATGAAAGTGCCCAATTTCTATCGATCTCATGCATGTAATGATGAGATGAGGTTTAGAATCCTTCTCGCGAACCTGGGGTTACCGTTACGGTCCACGAGTAGTAACTTAGTTACCTAGGTACCTAAGCATTCATCCACACATACTTATGTTATACAAGGCTTGTACAGTTAGTACTAGGTAAGTATGCTGCTGCCTTGCTTCTCCCTCTTAGCATCTAACAATCAGATATATATCATTAGGGGAAGAACCTGTAACCTAGTTGGTGACTTAGGGTATTCGGGGTCCTTGATGCCTGTCCTATATAAGGTAAACAACTAGAGGGTATAGAAGCGCAGGTGGCTCCTAGTCAAACATAGGGGATGAAGTGTGGCTCTCATATCACTTAACCTCTCGATTATCGGGGCGGCGATCTCTATATCATAGACACGAAAATGCTTCGTAGCTGCTCTGGGATCGCGCTGGGGGCTACACTATACTCTTTCGTACTTATTCCCTGGCAGAGACTTTCATGAAAGCTCGATAGGCACTAGGTAGGTATCGATCGACCAAGAACACCATTCATGAGTTAGGGCATATCAAGTTAGCACCGCTAGAATAAGGTGCTTAGGTAGGTAGGTAACGGAAATGTACCTATGTTACATCTGAGTTCTTGGCTCTTTTATATCGTTAACCCGGTCTGCCGGGCCATGTGAAGCTTTGTCTCTCCTCCCAATCTCTTACAGGAACTGCTACTATATCATTGACGAAAGGGCACTTGCCGGTATGAATTTGAACTTTGGGCATTATCTGGAAAACTACCTAAGATAAAACCCCATATTGGACTTGGGAGACTATGTTGTTAGCTGGAGAAAGTAGGCTAATGAGAATCTAAGGGTACCTACCTAGGCAGCTAGGTAACTTACAAACTAGTTACAAACTCTCATTCGCAACAACCCTTGCCTGCAAGCTAGCCGGGAAACTAACTTTCTAAAACAGAGACGCGAGTATAAACACATGGAGTTTCGTGTCATTGGTTCGTTCAGGGCGCTCTTAAACCCATTCTCTCTCTGTATACCTCTTACTTACGTGACTATCTACTCTTAGTACTTACTAGTATGCTCCAATCCCGGGCTACTAGTCTCTATTAGCGAACGGGATAACTTCCTCAGAATAAATACATTCATTTGCTTGTGTTGATTAAATGATAAGCGTATTCTATTAATTAAGAGTTGTCGCCGTTTGAGCACATGACGACAGACAATTCTTTAATGCCTATTAGCCCCTGTGGAAGCTCGATTATAATTGGCTGAATTTCGCACTGCTCCCCTAAAGGCCCTGTACAATGTATGTAGTACGCCCCTAAGAGCCTCAGCGGCTTAGCATTTTACAGCGATCTCACTAACAGGGGAAAAACACCGCAATGGGGCTTTACAACTCCGGGGCACAACGGAAATTGGGTGTAAAATTATACACATTTATGTGGGAATTATAGTCGGGCTTGTAGCAGTTTCGGGGATAAGTTTAACAAGTTGGTGCAGTGCATTTAAACTTCTCGTAGTCCCGCAATACGTTGCAACTAATCGATATTAGCACTCTGTAAGGGCTCGAGAATCGGAGCGCTAAGAAGTCAAGGGAATGGGTAGACCCGGATAATAAACGTGTGACTCTGCAGCGTTGTCATAGCATGCATAGCGCAATGTAACGTATAGATAATCTATTAAAGGAAAAGAAAGCGACCCTCCCAAATCTTCGAGCCGTTCGAGCTAAACGTATGATGCGCTGACTGTGACATTAGCGGTTATACGAATTAAGCCGATTGACGCTATTAATTCGCTCTCGTTTATAAAAAGAGAAGACGGCTTCGGAACGGTATGCTGACCCTGGCCTATTTGTCCCGCGGACTTAGTTTAGAGACTAAGAAAAAACATCAGCTCTGGGTAGTTGACCATACGATGATCCCTGGCTGAGCCACATGCTAAATTCGACGCGGATTAAGTTCTATTATTGTTATCCCGTTGTAGATCCAACTGTGGATTCACCCGACCAAACTCCGCAACGACTCAGTCACCTACCCATGAAATCGGAATCCTTCGCATAGGGCTTAGCTGATTCGTGTCTGATGAGCACTGACCTTTAGACGTTGCCGGGTATTTATACCCTCAATGGACGTGGCGGTTGTCTGCAGGCATTTGGAGCTACGAACATACCTCTTCTTATTTTCTATCTAAATGGCAAAATCTCCTCGAGTTATCGTGGCCGGTGGCGGTCCAGTCGGCCTGTATACGGCTCATGCCCTTGCAAAGGCAAACATCGATTATGTCCTCCTCGAACAACAGCCCGAGATCGTCAGGTACAAGGGTGCCGGGATCGTCTTACTCCCACAAACAGCGAGACTTTGCGATCAACTTGGGATATTGAAACAAATGCAAGAACCAGCAACTAGGCTTCATAGCAAGACCAACTCATTATATAATGGACAGCAACTTGTTGACTTTCGTTTGTTTGAGCCGATGGAAGAGGAGTAAGTCATGGAACGAACTCTTGAGGGACTCCCAAGCAGTTACAGCTAACCCACCTTCTCAGTCATGGATACCCAACCCTTGGGCTTTCACGTAGCGAGATGATCGAGATTCTGTACAAAACCTTGCCCGAGCGCGAGACCCGGGTAAAAACCAATGCACGTGTCATCGAAATCGAATCCAACGCCAACGGAGTACGGGTTTACCTCGCAGACGGTAGCGTCGAAGAAGGAAGTCTCGTTATTGGTGTTGATGGCGCCCATAGTCGGACACGGGATATAATGGATAGGCTCATCCGCGAATCAACCGAAGGTGTCGCAAACCGAGAACCATATCCTATGGTCACGTACTTCAAGGCCATCTTCGGGCGCGCTCCGGTTCCCAAAGGGGTCGACATAGGCCGTTTCTACGAAGCTCATGGCAATGGCGTGGCGTCACAGACAGTTCCTGGCAAGAAATACGCCTATTTCTCCATATTGAGAAAACTACCTACACCGACGACCGCGCGACATAGATACAGCGAGAAGGAATTAGAAGAGGAAGTTAAAAGCTTCGCTGATCTGCATCTCTTCCCGAATATCACGTTCGGAGAGATCTGGAAGACCGTTAAGCGCGACGAGGTCTCCCTGGTTCACCTAGAGGAAGGGATTATCGACAAGTGGCATCACGGACGCATCGTCTTGCTGGGCGACTCAGTCCACAAGATGACTCCGATCAGCGGCATGGGTGTCAACACCGGAATGCAATCCGCCGCTGTACTCGTCAACCAACTGCAGAACATGATAAGTTCAGGCTCCGAATTTACCACCGAGGCGCTGAACGAGGCATTCGAATCGTACCAGAAGATCCAGGAGCCGGTGTGTCGGATGACGGTTATGCAAGGGGAGATGATGACCCGGATGGTCACATGGAATACCTGGACGGCTTGGCTATTCGACAGATTTATCGTCCCATGGATGGATCTGGAGGGCCAGGTGAAGAAGCAATTCAGCCCCATCATAAGTAACACCTTCGTCTTGGATTATGTTCCCTTCGAGGGCAAGGCCGGGCAAGTTCCCTGGGTCAATGGCCCTAAAGTTAAAGTATAATGGTAATGCGATTAGTTAATTGTAAATAGGTAGCACACTACATAAAATCCCATCTTAGTATAGAATAATATCAGCAATCTACTTCTAGTTTGAGATCCCTTGCGTACGTGATCGTATTTGAGGGGCTATTAAGATCCACTACAAGTACGATGTAGGTGTTCATGAATGAAGATTATTAAAGGTGTTGGTCTTAAAGTCGTTGGTGTCGATATTTCTCATGGACAAAATGCCTCAGGTTTGGTTTGCTTACCCATGGTTGTCATCGAACTCCATAAATCGTATTGCTAAATGCTGCTAGGGAATGCACGCCTAGTCCGTGCGTCTTTTACGCCACTCGTTTTCAGACTCGTTTGTTTCACGGTATAAACCGACGCTGCAGGTTCGGGTAATACTTTCTCGGTCAGTGTGAAATGTGACATATAGTATCATTTCTGACTCGTTTAGAAAGAGGTATCATGCAAGATACTGCAGCCTTTCCTCGGACTTCCGCGTCCCCGAATGGCTCTTTCGATGGGTCGCACATGGGGCGTAGGGACGGATGTATATCTATATCAACAAGATTAATAATCTTAAGGAAGAGTTCCTTCAACAAACTGAATGTGCTCTCATGGATGATCAAGGACTGTAATTTGTTCCATTTCGGGAATTCAAACTCCCAATTGTTAGTATGTTAATAATATTGAACGCAGGGCTCTTATCTTACTCAATATTAGATTAGGAGAATGGTAGATGGTAAATATGACCAATCTTTAAGCTGCCATCTGCTTTATTCGAACCGCAGTTCCATGATCCGTATTCAAATGACCTGGCAGCCTGGTCATTGAAACCATTCAAAACAGAGTTCATTAACCGGGAGATCGATAGGTGCACGAGAACGACCAAGGCAGCAGGCTCCCGTCAGAAAATCAACGTGGGCTGCTCGTTGCCGACGCCATAGCAAGCCCAAACAAAAGCAAGCAGGCAAGATGCATAAACCTGCATAGGCTGAAGATGCCGGATACCCTGCGGACAGTGATCGCATTACACGTAGATGCCTTATTATGTCGACTATCAGATGCTATCGACGTGCTGTGCCCCCTCAACCCCACCGGTTAGGCTCACTGCCATTACTCACCCCGGGGGAATTCGTGAGGATTTAGATGTTAGACGAAGGTTGCCTAGCCGTGACCCCACATAGATCATGGTGTTAGGCTGGCGATAAGTAGCCTGTAACATATTACAGGTCTGATCATGTTGTATGCGGGTCGAGAGCTGGCAATCTTTAGCGGTCGCTGCGAAGGATCATTGGAATGGTTCCCCGTTTTATTCGCATTGGGGCTTTTGATTGGATCCAGAGCTGCTGTAGATCCTCCCCGGTGCCTAGCTGCCGAGTGACTCAGCCCTTTTAGTGTAGAGGCGTAGTCGCATCGCGATCTGATTGGCTAATGGAGGCCTGCATCCAGAGTCCTAGATCGTGGTGGGGGTCAGAGCTTCTAACAGCTCAGATCTGACATACAGATGTACTACGTATATATTACCATAGGCTGTCTTTGAAACTGTTAGATTTTACCATCAGGCCTTTTTATCTCTCTCTCATCGACCAGAGGACTCTTTTCAAGGTTCTCTTCTCATTCCGAAATATCTTCTTTCTTTTTTAGAATTCATACTTATCAAAATACCTTACAATGGGTCGAGGAGTAAAGCGTGGTGGAAAGCGTGCTGCGCCTTCTGCTCGAACACGTGAAAATGACCCCTCAGTCTTAGCTGCTCAGAAAGAAGCAGAGAGACGTGAACGAATTCTCGCTGATCGCCGCCGAACCGAGGCCAAGTGGCGTCCCAAGGTCCCCGAAGTCCGAAGACTCAACTTCGAGAGCTTCAAGAATCGATTCCATGATATTGAAGAGCCCGACTATGCCATCGACGTCCTCATGGGCGGGAACAACCTCCAAGCCCAGATCCGACGTGAACAGGCGGCTCGACGCAAGGAAGAGCTTGCCCGCGTTCGCCAGAAGTACCTTCTCTCATATGGTGTTCCTCGCGAACACATCTATGTCCCGCGCCACAAGAACGATGCTCAGGAGAGAGCCAGAAGGGAGAAGAGAGCTGAAGCTACACAGGCTGGTGAGACTGAGATTCAACGCATTCGAATCCAGTCCCAGCCCGTTCTCGGTCATCTTACTTCCCTGATCAAGGACACTGAACAGAGGTCTACCCCTCGTACTTTCATGAGGCCTTTCAAGGCCCTGGTCTACTTCCAGCCTAAGATGAAGGAGATTCTTGCTACTCTTGAGGAGAAGTGGGCTGACTATGAGGAATTGGAAGAGATTGGATCTGAGAAGATCTCTGAGACCCCTGAGGAAGTAGAGATCGTAGAGAAGGAGGAGGGCGCTGAGGAGAAGGACGCTGACGACGAGTCTGCAAACGAAGATGATGACGATGACAATGAATCTCTTCTCTCCGTTGACTCCAATGCCGAGGATATTGACTCCATCATGGATAGCCCTGAAGCCCTCAGAGATATGCGATGCTACGTCAACTTCATTGACAAGGAGGTCATGCCTCTCCATGAGCGCTTCGAGGGAACGTCGGCTGACAAGGTCAAGTTCGACGACCTTTGGAGCTTGTTCCGGGTCGGCGACTTGATCTACATGCCGGCTGCAGGAGAGACTGCTGGCCGATATCATGAGGTCTGGCGAATTTACCGAACCGAGGTTCCTGAGCAGGAGGTGGCCTATCCATCTAAACTAGGATGGGAGTTTTTCAGCGATGAGCTGCAACAGGACAAGAAAGCAAGGTTTACCATCTTCGCTTACTACATTGACCATGACGGTAGCTCGTTTGGTGCTGTGAGACATAAGTTTGAGCTTGAGTCCTTCGCGGGCGAAAGACTCATTGAGAGTCTTGAAGTATTCCCAATTCGCTACCGACAGGACCACCGAGTGGTTCTCGACTCGTTGAAGCAACAGGGTGAAGACTTCAAGAGATTCTTGACCGATCGACACCAGGCATACAATGCCTGGACATTGACCCGAAACCCACCTTTCGACACAAGCGATGCTGATAATGAGATCCTGAACGACGAAAACCGGGAGAAGATGCGACATCCCGAGTTTGTTGAAAGTGACGTCATCGTCGACCTGGCAGAGGCTTACCAGAAGAACCCGGATTGGCGTCCCCTATTCCATCGTCTAACCGTCTCCAAATCCATCCGCTGTGAAGTCGAGGATGACGATATGAACATCCAGCAGTGGTTCGACGGTGCTCGCCAGAATATGGCCTACGCCCAGCGCGAAATCGTCCAGAAAGAGGACGGTGTGGAAATGTGGCAGCGTCGCGAGAACCTGAACGTGGACATGTTCCTCCGCCAGCGCACCAAGGGAACTCGCACGTACGAGACGAACCCTAGCGCCTTAGAGCTACGCGAGGAAGATCTCGTCCTTCTTCCCAAGCGAATGTTCGCCTACGCGTTGCGCGAGCGAAGATTCTTGCCAGTCAACACGCACTTCTTGAAGCCTATCCGCCGAGAGGCGGGCGTATTCGAGAACCTTAAGATTCTCAAGGACTACAAGGACATCGTCCGTGGTCTCGTGGCGTCCCACTTCCAGAAGAAGACCCTCGAGAGACGCTACGTCGACATGTCGACCGAAGGTCCCAGCCAGGATCTGATCCAGAACAAGGGACGAGGTCTAGTTGTCCTGCTCCACGGTGTCCCTGGTGTGGGTAAGACCGCTACAGCCGAAGCAGTAGCCATGGAGTACCGCAAGCCTCTATTCGTTATCACATGTGGTGACTTAGGCCTCACGCCCTCTGAAGTCGAGTCCTCGCTCAGCAACGTCTTCCGTCTCGCGCACCTCTGGGACTGTGTCCTCCTCCTCGATGAAGCCGACGTGTTCCTCTCACAGCGATCCAAGATTGACATGAAGCGCAACGCTCTCGTGTCCGTCTTCCTGCGCGTGCTCGAGTACTACAACGGTCTGCTCTTCCTAACAACCAATCGTGTGGGCACCATCGACGAGGCGTTCAAGTCGCGTATCCACATGTCGCTATACTACCCTCCTCTCGACAAACAGCAGACGCGCGACATCTTCCGCCTCAACCTCGCCAAGCTACGCGAGATCGAGTCTCAGCGACATGCGATGACGGGCGAGCCGTCGCTGTTGGTTAAGGACAGCGAGATCATCGACTTTGCCGGCAAGCACTACGAGGACAATGCCCGCTCTACCGGATGCTGGAACGGTCGACAGATCCGAAACGCCTTCCAGATCGCGTCGAGCTTGGCTCATCATAACTACACCAACGCTGTTGAGATTGCCCGAAGCCGTGGCCAGCAGCCTCCTGCTGCGCCGGTGCTTGACCGCAGTCTCTTTGAGAAGGTGCAGATGTCGACGCAGAGCTTCGATCGCCATATGAAGGACTCTAAGGGTTTCGATGGTGATCTGCCTCTGAGGAACACCTTTTATGAGGAGAACAAGTTCGAGTAAGGGATCTGATGTGGGTTTCAAGCGCGGATTGGTTAGGTAGCGAAGACGCGGGCGCGTTATGATTTTTGACGATCTTTTTGAGTTCTCTTGGAATGCTGGTGAGCTCGGGGTTTTGCTTGAGTATATGTGGAGCGATCTCCATGCTTTTCTACTAGGAGCCTAGCGATGGTTCAGTGGCATAATCAATACAATTTTTGCCATGATACGGATGTGTGTTGATGTTTCTTGGTGATAATCTGGAATTAACTTCCCCGCGCGATTGTGAACTTTAGTGGTGTTCAGCGCCACAGATAGCCGATGTGGCTGACTGCGGGCGAAATGGCACTAAACCTCCAAATCGCAGGGCTCTATGACTGTGCTCACGCTGTATTTAATCGCTAAATTCCCTATACAGACAGGGGACTTAGTGCTGTTCAGCGCTTGACCTTACAGCCTGGAGGAGCTATAACGGACGTTTAGGGTGCCCGACTCCTTTCAAAAACACTGGAGCTCAATGATAGATTGAAACGAAGCTTTATAGCTGTCCTAGAAATACATCTCATAGGTGCATTCAAGCTTGTTTTTAATGAAAGGTCTTTGAATAAACCGACACAATTGAATGATATAATTACCTAGATGGATCCATGGATGTTCTAAGGTTATTAGGTGCCTGGTACCTGGGTAGGTAAGTAAGCAATACAGTCGGAATCCGTTGTTAGCGGTTGTTGAATTGGAACCTTGGAGGCCCCGAATAACACTAAATCATAGGGGGTTAAATAGTACAAGTACAGTGTAACAGCCACCAATCTCACCCTACGATTTTCCAAGGTGTGGTTAGCGCTGGGACCCCGTAAATTGGGGCAGCTTATCCATATCATTCCCCAACGTAAGCTTCCATTCACTTTCAACATCATTCCTTGAAGTTCCTCAAATAGTTCCGCGACAAATTGAAGTCACAATATTAGCAATGAGGATATTCAGCAGTCTCATTCGACAAGGAAGGTTTGTTCAATTTTGCTTCGTAATCGATATCATAAGTTGATTGGCTTCGCGAAAACGCGAATAGTTTTTTTTTATAATCCACATTCCATAACACCTAATTCCAGACCTATCCGCATCAATCCAGACAGACAGATATCAAAGATATTTACTACTCATGCAAGAACTGGTTAAACCAACTAACAGCAGAGTCCTTAGCTCTAACCATAGCCACTCGCTCACCAGGCTTATTCTCATCAGCGCGGACCAAACCTCCATGCTCCACGCCGGCGAAGTGGTGGTAATCCCAGTCAATATTCAGCTTCGAGAACGTCTCGAACGTGTACGTCTTCAGCTCCTGGGTGTACATGGGGTCGTGCTCAGGCGCAAGAATTTGTGTCGGGACACCAATCTCTTCGATATCCTTCTTAGTCAGCATAGATGGGTGGCCGGTGGAGATAACGTCGATTAGAGGGGGATTGTGCTCCTTCGCGCCGAGCCGGAAGACGGCCCACCCGCCGTAACAGTAGCCAATGGCGCCGACTTTCTTGTACTTGGCCTTCAGCGTCTTCGCGGCCGCGAAGATCTCGGGCTCGCGAATCTCGCGTGCGTGGCGCTTGGCGAAGCCTACCAAGTCGAACTTGGAAAAGTCCCCGGCCAAGATGGGCGCTGGTTCGACGATCTCGCCTGCAAAGAAGTCGGGCAGATATACTGTTGCGTTGACTTCCTTGGCGAAGTGGTCGGCGAGAAGACGGCCGTTGGGGAAGGTCCATCCTAGCACGTCGTGGACGATCATGATGGCGACATCAGGGTTGTCGCCTGCGATGTCTATAATGAGGGTTAGTGGGAGATATTCCTTGGTCAGTAATAAACTGAGAGGGGAGGATGTCCTAACTTACAGACATCGTTGTCATTGAGTTTTGAGACTCTGCCAGTAGGCGTACCGCTCCACTTGAATCCCTTGATGCAGCACTCTTTCAAAGACATTGTGAGAAGTTGTAGCGGATAGGTACTAGGTATGTGAAGATCTAGATGAACTATTGGAGCTGTGCAGTTAAGGAGAAGGGTTATCCAAGCATGAATCTATCACCCCTTTATATGGCTCTGGTTGGGTAGACGACCTACGCGGACATAGCGGTCTTAGAATCCTTGCTCGGTTTATCCCGCGTTGATTCAAAGACGATAATCGCACAACCCTGCGGGGTATGCTAGGATTCTGTTCATCATTGCTACTCGGTACTCGCTCCAGATGGCTATTCCGAGGAACAACTGGGTACACTGGCTATGCTATTGGATACGGTGTTTACCAAATGCCGTACAGTAGTGAACCGGGTTATCGGTTTGTAGTTCGTGACATACTTAAGCTTGCTAAGTTTTGAAATTTTTGTATATGGAGCTGGAATCCGCTTCTAATACATCTCGAGACGAGCATTTATCCCTGTCCCCTATAAAATGAAAGCATAAGGGATTTCATTATGTAAAACAGTACCGGAGTTGAATAGCACCGGGTTTCACGGATTTGAGAGCTAACCCCACTATTCCGGTGCCTGATTTTCTGATTGGCCAGGATTAGCATAAACAAATAATCGCTCCAATCAGAAAAGCCAATTGTCTAGATCCGTACAATACCAAGAAAAAGTATCGCACTTGTAGTTTCCAAACAAGACCCGTTCATGAAGGGATGATTCTCCAACGGCATTTATTATATGAAGCTTATTTCAACTTCCTCGCGACTTATAGAATCACTAAAAATCGAAATGGAAATTACTCCTTTGCATCCTAAATTTTATTTCTTCGTGCAGTTACTGCGTACAAATAGTAGGTGCCTATCTCGGTACGAAGCACTAAAGTATGCCAAGTTTAGTACTTACCTAGGTAGTAAAGTAAAAACTTCACAGTCCATTCTTAAGCGTGACTACTCACTATTGGAATGATAGACATGGCCTAATTGTTTCTAATCGTAGTTTTGAACAGACGTACGCCTGTAAACAAAGAAAAAATACTCATACCGCCTTATTGAGGAGATATCATGATATGCGTGGAAACTAAACCGCAAACCTACATCGGCACTCGGAACACGCGCTTGTGCCGGGATCAACCGGATCTAAATTGGATCCCGAGCCCCGGAAACCATGCCTTTTAGAGCGTTGCCCTTGCCCATCAGCATGCAAAGTCCGCAAAAACGCAGTCATGCTAAGAAATTCAGTTCCATTCTTGTTTTTTTTTTGTATCTTGCGGAGTTTTACATAATAGAAAGAGTTCACAAGCAATTTACCTTCTCCGTTAATCATATAACTCTATTTCTGGTGCTATTTTCGCTCTTTCTTATTACGTGATGACCTAGTAATCATGGCCCGAGGCGGCTCCGCAAAAACACCATTTATTAGAACTTCTAACTCATTCCTCAATTGTCAAATACTTGAAAACGAAACTTAATAAATGAACGAATACCAATAAGCATGTCTCTAAACTAGTCTCGAGTTTAAGTTGGTACTACAAAACAACACATTGGAAATTATCGACAGCAAGGTCTGCGATAGCCACCTGACCCTGGCTGCTCGATAAAATCCATAAATACCTATTGACCGAAATATCCCCCGCTCTTAGCTTACACATGCTTTGGTAGGTAAGTAATGCTTGTCCGCCGTTGAACATGGGGATGGCTCATAACAGTGCGACACAGTACAATTAGCACATGAACAAAATATTAACGTCATTCATCTCATCTGAGTATAACTATTACATCTAGCTATGATTATAAGACGCGAATGCCATAGCTTACTAATTAACCTAGTGTATAATAGGACGTCACTATAAAAAAGGGCTGACTTGAAAAAAAGTTTGATCGGACCGCCGAGGGAATCGAACCCTCAAGCGGAGGCTCACTAGAGAAGTTAGAGCTATAGCAATTTCATCGATTGTAAGCACCGCCGCACCAACCCGATCATTATTTCTAATCTATTAGTAGATTATTATAATATTGAACCTTCTTTCATTCTATAAACCTTACTGCGTGATGAAGTTACCCGAGATTGGACCGTTCGTTCTGAGCATTGACCAAGCCCGACACCGTATACGACGCGTTACACGCGACTATTCTAGGTAATCTACTAGGCATGCAAACAATCAGGGACACTGTGTTAGGGGATGTAGCTCGACTCTCTGGACGTATGTCGCCACAATGAGGACCTATAAGGTTTCAGGGGGAAACTCCCTTTGCCCATGACCGCGGTAGCCTTGGAGGCAATCATCTGGTTTGACGTCTAAACTGATAAGTACTCTGGTGAATTCTACTTGTAATAGGAGTGGTGTTATCTACACTTCATTTGAAGTTTGTATACCGTTGGTATAATCATGGTTTTGGATCGTAGCCTTCCCAGCGGGATAGGGACCTACCTACCAGGTACCTAGTATACGGTGATCTGATCTGATAAGAAGCGAGGGTTCAACTCATGATCCTATGATGAAGTCACACGTATTGAATCTAGCAGTCTCATATACCTAGTAGCTGCAGCAGGTGGCTTTATGGTCTGGTATCAAGTAGGTATTTGGACTTTAGTATCACACTTTGGCATAGGTATTGAAGCCCAAGTGTTGAACTGAGAATATAATGATTCCGATATTTGTTAGTACCTATCCTATTACTTGCTTTAGTTTACCAATCGTTGATAGCGAGATCGAAATATTCCATCCAATTAAAATTTAATACTAGAAGTTGAGAATACTTCCCAAACGCGTTAGTATGAACTTCCCGATCATGTAAATTGCTTTTTCGATGTTTGGTAAATGTAAGGCTGCAGTTGGTTTACCCGTCGGGGTACGTCTATCAATGCCCTTGCCCGTAGGAGTACTTATCTACATGGTAACATGTAACTTCACGGACACAGCCCCTCTCAGTATTTATCTTGAATTGGGCGTACCGGTCTCTTCCTCTCTTCATATATCAGTAAGTTGGGAGATATCACTTCAAGTTGAGGCTTAGGCGATGAGTTGCTGTTAGCCTTCTGGTATAGCCACGCTCTTCCAAACTCGGCTATGCCCTATGCTCGGTTCCGTCTTTTTCTATCTTCTTTTCCCCCAACTTATACAAGGGCAAAGCCCAATGCAGCCTCGCTGTTGTTGTGCATTCTCCCTGTTCCGTGACAATAAATTTCTCAATCCAATTTCCTTCTGGTCTTCGCCGCAGTCTCATATTCGATCATCATCAACCATGATGGCCAAACCATATGTTTTAACCGCCATAGAGGTGCTTAATCTACTTAAGAGCAACACTATAACTGTTGAAGACTATGCCTCCTCTCTCCTAGAACGCATCAAGGAACGGGATAGCATTGTCCAAGCTTGGGCTTACCTCGGTAGGCTTTTTTCTTTTTTCGTAACATGCTATCTTCGAACATGTGGGCTGATTTTTTTTTTTCCAGATCCAGCATTCGTGTTAAGCCAAGCTCGAGCTCTGGATCAGGTTCCGCAAGAACAGAGAGGGCCGCTGCATGGGCTCGCAATAGGCGTGAAAGATATCATGAATACTAAAGGTACTTTAGTATGTCGTCAAAATTAGGAATATGCCTAGGTAGCTTATGCGTTCTAGATATGCCCACCCAGTTTGGCTCTCCCATTTACAAAGGGAACCAGCCTGGCTTTGATTCATCTGCCGTTGCCATATTACGAGCTGCTGGAGCCCTCATTTTTGGTTAGTCAACTAGTAATCTTTCACTTTTCGTAGTCTAATCTTTTCCGTAGGCAAAACGACTACTACGGAATTTACTGTAACTAACTCGGGAGGCGGGGATTTTGGACCAAATACTACTAATCCCCATGACCCGAATCGCACTCCGGGTGGCTCCTCAAGTGGATCCGCCGCGGCAGTAGCTGACTTACAAGTAACTGTTAGTCTTGGTGCACAAACTGGCGGTAGTATTATTCGTCCGGCATCATTCACCGGAGTGTACGCCATGAAGCCAACATACAACGCCATCTCGCCTGAAGGCCAAAAGACCTTTTCCCCTACCTTTGATACCTTTGGTTTCTTCGCCCGTAGTGTCGATGATCTGCAGCTACTCGCGGACGTCTTCGGTCTCAAGGATGACAAGGTCCCGCGAGAAATACCACTGACGCAAATCAAGGTTGCTTTAATCGAGACTCCGATGTGGCCGTCGGCAGGACCTGGTACAAGAGAAGCCATGGACGCGGCTGCGGGTATTCTCCGAAACAAGGGCGTACAGGTCGAAAAGGTAGACCTTCCGTCCGAAGCCAATGATTTTAGTACCCTGAAGCGGATACAGAAAGTCATCACCGTCGGCGAAGCCCAAGTGGCCTTTTTCAGGGAATATGAGGTGAATAAGACGAATTTGTCGCCGGACGTTCGCGGTATCGTCGAAAACACGTATAACTACACCCATAAGGAAGTCATGGAAGCTACCGATGCCTACGCCAGTATGCGGCGCGCCGTTAATAAGTTAGCGGAAGATTATTCGTTTATCCTCGCGCCTAGCGTCGTAGATGAAGCTCCATTGGGACTTGACGATATGGGCAGCGCAGCCTTCAACACCCTCTGGACGGTAAGTACTTACTTAATCTCGCTTCCAAAACCGGTATTGGTTCGTTGCTTGCTGACCTTCTATAGGGATTCCACATGCCTGTCATCAACGTGCCTGGATTTTATGGTGCCCATGGTATGCCAATCAGCTTATCTCTCGTAGCCCCTAGATATCATGACCAGCATCTCTTAAAGATGAGTAAGGTTTTTAGTGAGCTTTTGGGTAAAAGTAACCCCTTGGGCGTAAAGGTACAGATCTAATCTTTTTGGATCCTTTTGGAGAGCCGGTGAAGACCGGCCTTGATGTCAAGGGTGTTATTTCTCATGTATGGCACATGTCATAAAGTGGTAGTCGAGACTGGTCCAGATTTTGGCGTGGGGTAAAGGATGTTTAGGATAATAGGTTATTTACGTACCTAGGTATAGATTGCATAATGAAGAAGACAAATATTTTCGGGTGTGTGAAAAGATAGTTCCCAGGTTACTAAGGAAATGAGGCTCTTACGTGCCCATCTTTTCTTATTTGGGACAGCTAGATTTCAGTGAGGCTGCCTGGATGCGAGGTAATCTGTTAGGCATCGACTGTGCCAAGTACCTAGTAGTGAAGAAAGATAAGGGGGTTGCAAAAGGATTCGGCCGTGCGGTCCTATGTATTATTGATACCTCTCTAGTATTGGATTAGTGTTTCCGGATCGATGTGTGATGTGGCGCTCAATAGTGCTGAAGGTCGTCGTTTGTGTTACGTCGGGTTGGGGGAAGATTTATAAGCGAAGCACAGTAAATTCAATGCTGTCGTCACAACGGTCATCGTGACGATCCTTTGAAAACATGCCACCTACTGGTGAAAACTTGAGGGATCATTAGGAGGAAAAAGAGGAAAAAGAGGAAAAAGTCACTTACATGTGAACAACATTGAAGTCCCAGCGTGACTAAATTCCTAAATGAGTAAAGCGCACAGCGGGAACTAACTGCTCTATTCCGAAAGGAGGTTGGGGCGTTGCCTAAAATAGTAAAAGGCGGGGGCTTCCGTTACTACGGATCTATGTAGTTGGGGGCCAAAAGCTCAATAATTGGAAGTTTACGGTGTCCGAAATTGTACCGTACTGTACAATAGAACCAATAAAATCGGTCGCGGTTTGGGGTCAGTATCAACCTTTCATCCTTCTTTCACCTTGTGACCCCCTCAAAACTTGACCCCGGATTTCGCATTTTCGGTCTAATTATGTTGAGCAGCGGACTGCGAATCATTTTGAAATTTACTTTGGTAGCCTTCGCTTCGATCTTGATCTCTTAATTCCTTGTATGTTTGCCTCCTTATGTCTGCCCCCTGTTAAATGATGCGACATTTCTCAGGGTTAGCCAGAGTCCCACTACCTTCATTTTCTCATCAATCTCATCGATCTCTGAGCCACTTGATATTAGAATTAGATAACTTGGTATTTTTGCGTTCTCTTATGAGCCTTTATTTCAACCTTTATTCGGGTTGCAATAAATACTTAGGTACTCTAAGAACTCCAATGTCCAACCTCCATCATATCCTCGAACCCTCATTATTGCGTCTTTCAACTCCCCCAGATCAAGATGCGTCTCCTTCAACGGAATGATAATGGCGTATTTGAACTCACCAGACATTTCGCCGTGGAGGAACTTCCTAGCTATGCTATACTGTCACATACTTGGCTGTCAGAAAATGACCAGGAAGTTAGTTACGACGATCTAATACAGAGCAACGCCGAATCTAAGCCCACCGGCTACTCCAAAATCCAATTTTGTGGCGAACAAGCCGCCAAAGATGGCTTAGAATACTTCTGGCTGGATACCTGCTGTATTAACAGGAACAGTAGCGCTGAACTCCAGGAAGCGATAACAACAATGTTTGTTTGGTATCGCAACGCCACTCGGTGCTACGCGTATCTGACAGATGTTTCAGTCAAAAAGACACCTCGCAGTGTCACGGCTGATGAACCTACACGCCCATGGGAATTGGCCTTTCGTCGTAGCAGATGGTTTACTCGAGGTTGGACGCTCCAAGAGCTCCTTGCCCCTGCATCCGTCGAATTCTTTTCTGCTGAAGGTATACGACTAGGAGACAAGAAATCCCTCCAGTCAGTTATCCATGAGATTACAGGAATCCCATACGAGGCTCTCCGAGGTGACGCAGTGACGAATTTTACTGTTGATCAGCGGCTGTCATGGGCAGCTAACCGACAGACAAAACGCAAAGAAGACAAGGCATATTGCCTATTAGGATTGTTCAATATTTTTATGCCTCTCTTGTATGGCGAGGGAGACCACGCGTTTGAAAGATTACGACAGGAGATTGATAGGAAAGACGCAGAGAACGCCAAACGGGATTACCTCCTGACCACGTTACCTGTCGCCTCAGAAGCAGCTTTCAATTCGCGCCACAATCAGCACGAACCAACCTGTCTCCCGAATACCAGGATGGAGCTACTCCTAGAGATCGAACACTGGCTCGAGAGCCCCGACGAAAGGTGCATCTTCTGGTTGAACGGGATAGCGGGCACGGGCAAGTCTACCGTGGCTCGGACCGTCGCCAGGACTTATTATAACCGTGGTAAACTGGGAGCGAACTTTTTCTTTTCGCGAGGTGGTGGCGATCTTGGCAATGCCATCAAGCTAGTTACAACTCTTTCCCGACAGCTAGCGGCTAGGTTACCTCCCGTAAGACCCTACATATGTGAGGCTATCGATGGGCAGGAAGATGTTATGGGTCTATCCTTAAAAGACCAATGGCAGAGGCTAATAATCAACCCGCTATCAAAACTTCATTTCAACCACCCTCGACCGACAGTTCTAATTGTGATTGACGCTCTGGATGAGTGCGAAAATGAAGGAGACGTCCGAATCTTGATAAGGACCTTGAGTACCGCCAGAACGCTCACTAATATCCGGCTGCGAATCTTCGTCACAAGCAGGCCTGAAATCTTGATCCGCCATGGTTTTACAAAGATACCAGAGGTGGAACGCGAGGTCTTTGCCCTTCACGAAATCTCGCCAGATATAGTCGACCGGGACCTCAGCATCTTCTTTGAGAATCACTTCTCGGCGATCCGAGAAGAACGTGGCTTCGACGACGACTGGCCCGGTATGAGAATCATAAAACGTCTTGTCGAGATTTCCTGTGGTCTCTTCATATGGGCCTCAACTGCGTGTCGTTTCATCCGCGAAGGTAGACGGCTTGCCAAGAGCCGGATCAAGATTCTAATCAATGGGTATAGATCTGGTGCGGGTCCAGAAAAGCAACTAGACCTCATATACACCAACGTCCTTCGAAATTCGATCCAGCAGGACTACAACGAGAAAGAAAAGGAAGAGTTATACGGCATGCTTCGAGAAGTTCTTGGGAGCATCGTGATCCTCTGCTCTCCCCTTTCTATGGAATCATTGGCAAAGTTGCTCGCAATTCCCCTGGATGATATCAAGGATACCCTTGCCGACTTGCATACCATCTTCAACATCCCTCCCCAAACGTCATATCCCCTTCGTCTACATCATCCCACATTTCGTGACTTCCTTCTAAATAAGGAGCGGTGTAGTGATCTCGATTTTTGGGTGGACGAGAAACAGGCCCACCAAGCTTTAGCCGACAGCTGCCTCGCCCTTATGTCGAAGAAACTCAAAAGTGACATATGTGGCCTCGGATCACCCGGCACTCTTGTGGACGACATCGACCCCGATTTAATAGAACGATGTATCTCTCCAGATCTCCAATACGCTTGTCTCTACTGGGTTGAGCATTGCCGACAGAGTGGGAGGCGTCTCGCCGATGGTGATCCAATCGACCGCTTCTTCAGGGAGCACTTCCTTCATTGGCTCGAGGCTATTAACCTAATGGGTAAGAGCGCTGAAATGGGTGCCATCATAAGATTGTACCATGCCCTCCTTATGGTATGTTCTTTTCATACTTCCTACCATATCCGAATGCTTTCTTACCTGGCAGTCATATTCAATCTACCGAGTTGCTGACATGAGTGATGTTTTAGCCAGATGCTAATCCACGTCAATTACCGTTCGTCAAAGATGCAAGGCGATTCATCTTCAAATTTCAGAATATCATCAAACGGGCACCCCTCCAAACATACTGCGCGGCGCTTTCTTTTGTCCCCTCGACCAACGAATTGAAATTTCAATTTCGAAGTCAGATGCATCCTTGGATCAAAGGTATCCGAATCGCCGAAGCAGATGTACCGGCGGCTAAGGATGAGTTCAACTATGTTAGTGACCTAGCGTTCACGCCGGATAGCAAACAAATTGCATCGGGATCAAATTTCGAGGCCGTCAGATTTTGGGACGTAGCATCAAAAACCACGCTTGCCAAATACGAGGGTGCGACAGATAAGATGAGTTCAGTTGCCATCTCGCCCGATGGAATGACCATCGCGGCGGGTTCGGATGACTTCACAGTCATGGCATGGGACATTAAAACAAGGGCATTGCGGTATTCCATCAAAGCCCATTCTGGCTGGGTCAACTCCGTATTCTTCTCACCGGATGGAAAGATCCTTGCGTCTGGCGCTATGGACGAAACAATCGCGCTTTGGGATGCGCTTACTGGGCGGGAAATTAAACGGATTGACAACCAGTCGAGCTGTGTTAACACCGCCACCTTTTCTCCAGATGGTTCATTAATCGCGACGGGCTCCGTCGACGGGATGATCAGGCTCTGGGATGTTTCAAATGACTCGGAAGATATACGCTTAATACTCGACGGCCATTCAGGTTGTGTCAACTCCGTCCGATTCTCTCCAAATGGAAATCGAATCGTCTCTGGCTCTGATGATATGACAATCAAGCTTTGGGGTACCACCACAGGAACAGAGTATATGACGCTTAAGGGACATACGAAAAAGGTCATGGCTGTCGCATTTTCGCTGGATTCTCATCTTATCGCATCCGGTTCTGAAGATAAGACTGTCAGAATCTGGGACGCTGTAAATGGCACCGCGGTAGCTATTCTGAGAGACCATACGAGCGGCCTCAACTCTGTTCTATTTTCTCCTAACGGCAAGCTACTCGCATCAAGTTCCTTTGACGACGAAGTAAGGCTCTGGGATACAAATACTTGGGCACTAGTCGGTAAGCTTGACGACTTCGAGGAGGATATCAACCCTGGCATACTACCCAGCCGACAATCTTCTACTATATCTACAGGAGAGATGATGGAAAGTGTTATGCCATCCAAGGGCCACTCTAGCACAATTACTCGCGTAGTATTCTCGCCGGATGGCCAATGGCTTGCTTCCGGTTCAGAAGACGCGACGATTAAGATCTGGCTGAGGAAAAGGGAGCACCATAAACTTGGAGGCCATTCCGATAGAATCAACGACCTTGCATTTTCGCCGGATAGCGATCTCATAGCGTCAGCCTCGGCTGACAAGACTGTGAGGCTATGGAGTGTAGCAACTGGAGTGGCTTCTCACATATTTGAAGGCCATTCGGATAGTGTCCTCGCTGTCCTCTTCTCACCAGATGGCCAACTCGTCGCTTCGCGTTCCAATGACACTACAATTATACTCTGGGACCCATCAATAGGAGTGGCACTGGGTAAAGTAGAAGGCCACTCAGGACCGGTCAATGGTATCGCTTTCTCGCCGGACAATCGCTTTATTGTGTCATGCTCAGTGGATACGACGGCTCTTCTTTCCGACCTAGAAAACAATGCAGCATCTGTAATGCTCCGAGGTCACACCGGCCCGGTCAATTCAATTGCATTCTCATCAGACAGCAAACTACTCGTGTCTGGTTCAGAGGATTCTACCATCAGATTTTGGAGCAAATTGGGGGCGGGAACTGGCGTAATAAGGGACACACTTCCTATTAATTCCGCATGTTTCTCTCCCGACAGTCAGCTGATGGCTTCTTGCTCGATTGACGGGACTATCAGACTCTGGGACCCGATCTCCAAGTCCGCGGTAGGCTCACTCAATGTAGGTACAGTTGTTCGAAATCTTTCCTTTTCTAGTTGCGGCCAATACCTTGAGACTGACAGAGGAGTATTGAATATTGCCTCTTTTAACATTCCTTCTTCCTCTTCTCTCTTTTCTTCTACCCGTCCATATTCCCTATTTGTAACTCACGATTGGCTGAGGAGAGATATGGAAAATGCACTTTGGCTTCCTAATGAGTACCATGCGACCGACGTGGCTACCTGGGGTAACTTAATTGTACTGGGGCATTCAACCGGGTCAATTTCATTTATCGAGTTTAGGATATGATATTTATGAGCTATGAGTTATGAAAGATACCCGTTACCCCTACATAAAAATGACTCTTCTATCGCAAAGCACACTGTCTACCTAGTACCTTTTCCCTCTCTAAATACCTACCCAGTACCTGTCTACCTACTAGGTACTAGGTACCTAGGTAGGTAAATATCGACCTTGGTAACTTGAAGCAAAATAAGCCATGTCGCTTATCCTTACCTCACTGTAACTCCCTACGTCTGTAGTAGGATTGCCTCTTCCACTTACATTGTTTGCCTAGGTAAATACCTAGATTTCTTAATCTCACCAACCCCATCATCACCTGTTTTACTACCTTGCTCGTAGGCCGAGCCTCATTTTCGCATTTCTCCAGTCCACGAAGATACCCATCGACCACCTTGTCAATCTCATAATAGTACATCCACGACACGGAGGCCTGCGATATTCTCTTAACTCGTTCCGCAATCTCCTCGTCGACCGGAAGGCCCTCTGCTCGAAGCGTAGCCTTGATGCTAGTGAAATTATCCAAAACTTTATAAAGACGCTCGTAATGAGGAGACCTGATAGAATCAAACATGTCGAGCGCATCAGACAAGGGTCTTCCTCTAGGCAAAGCCCAGCCGATGATCTTGGTTAATGTATACACATCTTCAAGGGCAAATGATGCGCCAGATCCGAAATTCCCCAATAGGGGATGAGAAGCATCGCCGATAAAAGCAATGTTCCCGTGGGACACGATGCGCTTTAGACGAGGACCAGAGAATAATGCGAATTCCTGTGTTTCTCCTTTGGCGGCAAGATTGAGGATTTGTCGGATCTGTGGGCAGAAATCTTCGCATTTATGAAGGAGCGTGTGTAAGTCAAATGGTCGACCCCAGCTGGGCGGCTCCGCCCCTTCTTGCGGTCGACGTATACGGAGTGTCACCTCAAAGTCATCATCTCCGAGAGGACACGTATATACGTATAAGCCGCTAACATGCTTCCAAAAGATAGGAGCCCATGGTATGCCATCGATCTTCCTAACCTCGGACTTGCTAACGATAGTACGGTACACGGTCTGTCCGTTGTAATGAGGGGTGTTATTCGGAAAGCTGAAATTGCGAATAACCTAAAGCTAATATTAGTCTACATGTCGCCTTGTCTGGGGGTTATAGTTGTCTTACAGATCTGAGACCATCCGCTGCAACTAACAGGTCAACTTCGTCCACAAAACCATCCTCAAACGAGATGCGAACACGGTTGTCTGGGAGGTGTTCAACTCGAACCAATTTCTTTGACAGATTTATGTGGGTCTGGTCCACGTTCTTTAAAAGGGCAGATTGAAGTTTGGACCGGGCGAGACGGCAACTTCGGCGATCCAAAGGTACGTCTTTCGGATTGTATTTTATGGTCAACAGCTCCCCACTTCTCCCATTGCTACAATCACGGAGTGAGTAAGAGTAATCCTATCATTATTCTGGAAAAGGAACACTTACCGTCTTTGCTCAAGATGTCCCTCAGCTGACCGAAAGTAGTCGTTAGCAGTAAGGTGGGCCGCCGCACCGTTATGCTCGAGTAACTTCCAAATCTGTGGCTGTAGTGATAGTCCTCCCCCTGTCTCACTGATTTGGGGTTTCTTTTCGTATAACTCCCAGTCGATGAATGTGAGTCTTGCTAACTCGATTGCGAGACCAAGACCTGCTGGCCCACCCCCTAAAATAGCGACTTTAAGCCGCTTCTCGTTCTTGGTTGTATGCATTTTGAATGAATTGGGTAACCTGTGATGTTTGTAATGTTTCACATCTAGTTGTGGATCTATAGAAGATAGGTATCGTGTGCTTTTGTATAAAATTTGGACGTCGCCCGTCTGAGCTAGGACACGCACAAATGGGAGATACGATGGTCTAAGCCATTCGTCTGTAAATTGGCCATGCCATTATTGTGAGGCCTCTCGTACGCATTCTCAGTAGCAATAGAGGATGAAAATGCCTACTAGGTAAGTGCCTACATAGCTCGGGTAGGCACCCGTTATACTCAATATTGGCCATAGAGAGAAAAGTCAGCCTCGCTCGGCAGAGATCGAACGAGCCGGCTTGAAATTATGCTTCAGATTGTGCTGACCTACATGTCAAAATAGAGAAATATCGTCTACGCACTGTGCTTTAACCATCACATCTCGTTCCAAGATCTGAGCTTCGGAGCCTTATACACAGCACTGGGTCAAACACATCGAGAAGGATTCTGTGATGTAACGGCGAGTACCTAACTATGCTGCTTGGAAATTATATGTTAATACACTTGCCACACTCGACGAAAACTGTGTAAGCAGCCACAAAGTTGAGCTTGAGTGATATCTGACACTGGAGAGATATCTTGAGTCTCGTGGTTTCTATAACAGCCATCATACGATGCTATAAGCGTACACTTGCGAGCTCAAGCTGCGGCCAGTTAAGAGATCAAATGACGAAGTTACGAGCAAGTCAACATGCCATCAACTCAATCGGTCTTGCATGTAGATACGTGTATGACAAATAAAGGTACTGTAAGCTCTAATCGAGTACCCCTTAAGGTACCGGTATGTCGTTACACTAAAGGGGGTGGCTGGTAAGGCTAAAGGTCATCGTTCTGGAAGCTTTCGATATGAGATGCCACGTATCTCGGGTCCTGGCTGAGCCATACATCTTGACCAGCGTTGCCCCCTTTCTATGATGTAGCTAATAGCTGCCTAATGAACCCTTGCGATATCCTGTAGGACTTTATACTCATTCATACCTAGATGGTAGGTAGGTAGGAAATATTATGGTAACACAAATATTTCTGGCGAACCCGACGTTGCAATGGCTTCTGTTTTTATCAAGATAGGGCTAGTAATTGTACCCTACATGAAAGAGCATGGGATATAGTAGATAATTGTCCGCGGCGGCGATGTTTTCCGTTTGGAGAAGTGCAATTGTTGCCCGGATTTGAAGGGCTTGGGGTTAGGACAAGTGCATCATGTAAGCGATATATAATATGACCAGCGCCCCCTATTGGTGGCCTTGAATTACGAAGGAAGCTGAACCATGAAGTTCGGGGTTCGCTATATGATTTTTTGACTGCCTCCGATAGGTCGATAGTGAACCATTTCCCCGGTGAGCCCCGATACATACCCAGGTACATTTGCACCAGATCAGAAGAAGGCGAAATGAGGCAGTGCTGAATGTAGTAGTAGTAATAACTCATCACCTATGTCACAGTCCCCGACATTTTTTTATTTCCCCTTTTTACCAAGGGTGGGACCACGATCATGCCAGCGATGGGATTCTTAGATGTGATTGACGTCTGTGACAAGTAAGTGCCGCAAAACACAACTGACCGAGAACTTGCCACTAATCGCCGATTATGCAGCTTCCCACAGCATGACGATGCTATTTGGAATGCCTCCATGTCACAATTATGGCGGTTTTTCCTACCGGGAGATGATCGCGCATTTGGGTATCTGACTCAAGCTACCATATCTCAAATGCCGTGGACATCAGATTTCAAAATAGATGAGTCTACCAAAACCGTCCACTTAGCGCCAGAAGACATGAACGACATCGTCGCGTCTAGCACCGCCGCCATATCGAGGATTTTGAAAGTAGCCCAGGATGCCAAATCATTCCCAAGGCTTTTAAACTGGCCCGGGGAGAAATTTCCCGTCCTCGGTGCCCCGTTTCCTTTCGCGGTCGACCGCGCCATAGCGACGTACTTCGGGATCGTGTCTACGGGCGCGCAGCTCACGATTTTCGTGCGCGGTAAGACTGCATCCGTTACTGGGATCTGGATCGCGCGGCGTGCAGCCGACAAGCCTATGTATCCAGGCATGCTAGACAACGCCGCAGGAGGAGCGGTTGACTATGGCGAAACACCGTTCGAGAGTCTCGTGCGCGAAGCGGACGAGGAGCTGGGATTTGATGTTAAGGCCGCCGTGTCTGGCGGCTCTATCTCGTGGTTCAACATCAAGGACGGTGAGGTGGGGGGTGATCTGAACCTGGTGGAATGCGGGGTCCAATATGTCTACGACCTGGAGGTTGACGCCGAAACTGTCTTGCATCCCGCCGAAGCTGGGATCGATTGGTTAAGGCTGCTGAGTGTCGATGAGGTGAAAGACGCTCTACGACGGCAAGAATTCAAGCCAAGTTGCGCGTGTGTTATGATCGACTTTTTCGTGCGGCATGGGATTATCAATGCTGAGAACGACAGGGACTTTGCGGAGATTGTGGCGAGATTGCATCGTCGGCTGCCGTTGCCTACGACTTACCCGCTGAAGACGGCATGATGCGTAGCGTAGTTGATAGTGATTGAGTACCTATAGAATACCTAGGGATTTAGCGTTAAAATCCATAAATTGAAATGATTATCTCTCCAGGGATACCACCTATTTCGTCTCCGTCGTTCGGCATATCGGTCAATTAACCCCTGCCTCCATTTCGTCCTGGGAGATAGCTGCCCGAACATCCCCATGGGCGGTAAAAATCGCTGCCATCGGGGCATTCTAGCGAGGGCGATGCGCTATTGCGGAGGGTTGCATTGCAGCACGAGCCTCAACTAAGCCCCGCGAATGACCGCATCATCGTTATCGTCCCCTAACAAAACGCTTAACCGCTATAAGGCTTATTTTATTCCCTGTCTGCCTTATTTTCAGGGTTTTAGGAACACTCCCCCCGTAGCTGGCCATAATAACAGGGGGCCGGGGGTTGAAGAGGTCAGGTGCAGATATCACTCCCCCTTTTCCTCCCCCAAGCTTATTGGGGTAACTTGATTTTTATTATTTTAATCGATATTTGGACACTTGAAAATACAAGGGTTTATAATTGCATTCTATTTACCCCTATCTACTAATGTAATAGTCTACCTACCTACCTCCCTAAATATTTCCATATCATCCACCATGGCAATCACGGAGGTGAATTTGGGCTCGCAAGCGGTGCCATGTAGAAGCCAAGGCAGACTGGCTTCCAATATACCGGTACTTTTCTTGTGCGTTCTCCGATTAACATTACCCTGCTTATGCTAATGCGTATTAGCGATGTGGACGACTGCCTGTATCCACAAAGCAAGCAGCCCCTTTCCCACTTCCCCTGAGTATGTCACTCAACATAACTGGCTAACCGGGACTATGATACTAGGTGCTAGGGTTCGAGAAGCTTCCTCAGACTTAATAAATCGTTATTTCGAGAACCATCTCGGTTTAAGCAAAGAAGATACCATCCGGCTTCGAGAAGAATATTATAAGAACTTCGGGTTAATTGTTGAGGGACTAGTCTACAACCATAAGATCGACCCCCTGCAATATAACTCCATGGTAGACGACTCTATTGCGCTCGATTCCCTGATAAAGCCTGATCCTAAACTCCGCCAATTGCTACAGGACATCGACAAGTCTAAGGTCCGGCTCTGGTTATTCACCAATGCTTATGTTACACATGCTAGAAGGGTCGTGCGGCTGTTAGGCGTAGATGACTTCTTTGAGGGCGTGACTTACTGCGATTATGCCAGAGTGCCACTGGTCTGCAAACCCCAAGCGAAGATGTTCGAGGAGGCAATGAGAGCAGCTGGTGTCGAAAGTAACACAGATTGCTACTTTGTCGGTTAGTGATTTCTTCTCATATCATTTTTACACTTAGTTGGGGAAGTGCTAATCTAGGACGGGATGCAGATGACTCATTTACGAATTGTCGTGGCGCGCATGAGTTTGGCTGGACCGCGGTGCACCTAGTTGAGGAAGGACTTCCGACTCCTCCGTCACAAGCATCGCAGCACCAGATCCAGAGTCTGGAGGAGTTACGAACCCTGTTTCCTCATTTCTTTAAGGGCAACAATGAGTTTCTTAGTACTTCACATCTCTAATGGCCTATTTTATATCTTGTTCATGGTAACCCTGATTTTGGACGTACTTTGCAGAATTGGGGTTAGGGTTAGGGTTGTCCTTGAAAAGATTAGTCAGCGACCCCCCTATCTTGTGGAAGCTGGGCAAACGTGTTGGAGTGTTGGAATTATATCTAAAAATGGTAGCAGATACTATCATAATTGATTCCCGACCAACATTGCTGCCGCCTTTCCCCGTTGCCACCCGTTGAGGCTTTTTAATGTCGTCGTTCACTTAAAAACATGATCTTGCCGTCATTTTTTGGACGCGAAGAAATAACAATGAATGTACTTCGAACTAACACTCTCCAATTACTTGTTCTCTGTGCGTAATATTAAACCAAGAGATTTCACTTTATTTCTGGCCGAACTTTGCAATGGATGCTGTCAAAAAGCTATTGGGTTGCACATGTTCAGTGCTTGTACTTTATGTAAGAAGGAGAAACGTGAATGAGCTTCTTTTACTGATGTTAGGGCGTTAAGTATGTCATCGCGTTCGGATATCGCCTTTTGTTTCACCCTCTTCGAAAATATCCTGGGCCTTTTATTGCCAAGCTCACAGAAGTGTACGGTGGGTTCTTTGCGCTAACGAAAAGCCTCCATATTGAGACATATAAAAGCCACTTAAAATATGGTAGGTTGTTTACCCATCTTCCTATCTTATTATCACCTGCTAATGCTGAGTAGGTCCTGTCGTGAGGCAAGCTCCCAACCGGCTCGTTTTCAATTCAGCTACAGCCTTACAAGGTACTCCCTTTCAACCCCTTTTTACTTGGTAGCATTGTAATAACAATGAGAAGCCATCTACAAAAATGACCTACTCGCGAAGTCTTACGTCTATTCTGCTGCTCAACCTGACCAACATAACATTTTCACGACGACAAGCAAGGCCGAGCATCGCCCTAAGAGAAGACTAGTCAGCCAAGTTCTCTCGGACCAGTCAATGAGGTCATTCGAACCGACTCTACTTGCACAGATCGATGTATTCCTAAAAATGCTGTTACAGTCGAACGAAGTCCCTGTAAACATGTCGCCCACCTTCCGATTCCTTGGTTTCAACATTGCGGGACTCCTTGGTTTTGGCTATGACCTTCATTTACAGACCGATGACACCTATCGATACTTAGCTGATGCAATAACATTAGGAAGCTATCGTGTTAATGCTTGCATGCAATTCGCATTCTTAGCAAGTTTGAAGCCTGGGAGAATCTTGGGTTTGTTTCCAAACAGTCTCCATACCAGACTGTTTGACATGATCAGAACGATGGTTTCGTCAAGACTCGCGCAACCAATAGATGCTCAGCACGATTTACTGGCTACCTTCCATAAGCAATCCAAGAGCGACAACCAGGAAATGAAGCTTAACGATATTTGGAACGAAGGTTTCTTATTGTTTGGGGCTGGTGAGTACCTGTCTCCTACTTACCTATCTTTTCAGTACCCCACAACTTTTCATCTGGGGCTGATAGCGATATCTAGGTGGCGACACAACCGCGTCGACGTTATCTGCCGCCTTTTTTTACCTTTCGCGGAATGAAGAGTGCTACCAAAAGCTTTCTGAAGAGATACGATCCACTTTCAACTCCGGCTCCGAGATCCGTGGTGGACCACGTCTTACTGGATGTCGGTATCTTCGCGCGTGCATCGATGAGACACTGCGCATGTCACCACCTATCCCAGGGACCTTGTGGCGCGAACCTCAGATTGATAGTAAACAGCGACCGGTCATTGTCGACGGACATGTCATTCCGCCTGGTACACAGATTGGTGTGAACATCTACAGCCTCCACCACAACGAAAAGTACTTCCCCGATGCGTTCAAATTCCAACCAGAACGATGGCTCGAAGGTAGCAAGAATGCATCGCATGAAGCGATGACCCCTTTCTCGATCGGGCCCCGTGGTTGCGCGGGAAAAGCATTGTCCTATCTTGAAATAAGCTTGGTTCTGGCGAAGGTATTCTGGTACTTTGACTTTGAAACGGCGTCAGGCGATATAAAAGAAAAGGGCTTGAAGATCTCCGAGAACGAGTTTCCTACATATGACAATTTCTCCCTACAGCATGATGGTCCACATTTGGTGTATCGTCCCCGCGATAGCGCCAAATTAGACCTAATCGCGGAATAGGGGTAAATCGACAGACTCTCAATTGGAATAAAAGGCATTAACCAAAGCTTTCTATGAAGCTATCCAAATCAATTCAATCCTGAAAAATACCTAAGTTTTTCATTGCCTAGGTAGTTTCTAAATTAATATAAGCAATTATTGATTCGCGCTGCTGGAATATCTACTAGGTAGGTAGGCTGCTTACAGGATGTTTTCCAACGTGATCTCCCCTACCGATGCACTCTGCTACCAACTTGCAGATCTAGCGTCATCACCTATTCCAACAGCTTGGAATATTTTATATCTCATATTGGTGGTAAGCTATGTACTAGCTTCCTACATATTCAATTCTTATTACGAAGGCTCGGGTCAAAATTCCGGATCATACGCTAATGGGCCAAACCTGCGTAGATTCAAAGATTGTCCCCTGTTGGCCACCTATTTTCTTAGCGCATAAGTCCCCTAAGCATGCTGGAGCTATGGGGGACAACTATTAGAATTTAGTGGGTAGATCACCATTAGGTCTCATTTTAGCTCCCTAGGGCTTAATACAGTGTGAGGATATCGCTTATCTAATCATGGACTGGGTAACAGCAGTGGCAAATTTCGACCTGAACTTTCTCAAGGATAGATAGTACAAAATTAAAAGCTAGAACTTGCTGATAATAGACCATAGTTGCTAAATCAAGGATGCCAATCCACTTGGTGTTGCAAAACTGTGGAATGCGGACAAACTAATGTGCACCAACACTGCTATTTGGGATTATATCGCAGCTTAGTAATCCGGTTCTTCAACCTTCTAACATCCACTTATTAACAGTTGTCGTTAACAATAAATTAGCTATGGTATAACAGAAGTGTATCGTGGGTTTCGTTATAATATGGAATGATTTTGTTAATACTTGAAGGGAAAATAAGGGTTCGTATTTGTACAGCTTCTGATGACTAAACAATTTCTTTACGGGTCAAGGTTGGGGTGAGGTTGGGGTTAGGGTTAGTTTCTTGATCGCCGTTTACGTAATCTGTTTACGTAATAACAGCTTCGTTCCATGACTAATCCTTCTATTTATTCCATTCCTGTTTGTCGAAATGTTATGAAATTTCATTCGAGTACAAGATTAAAATCTCTGAGCTACAAAATCTTTTATTACTGTCATTTTTCGAAAAGTCTCGATATCATGGTGAATTTGAAGGGAAAGCGTTACTTGGATACCGTACCTAGTAGGTACTGGCCTAGGGTGTTGGCCCTGATGTAATTCACTCTCAGCGATGACGCGTCCCCCGCGATAGGGCGGTAGGTTCCCGCTATATAAAGAACTTCCAACATCATTCCTATCTACATTCTAAACAAAACTTATTCCAACTATTATTTAATTGTCAGGTAACATTTCGATAATATTTTTATAAGCATGTCATGAAATATTGTCTTCAACAATAAACGATCATTTGAATTATATCCTCGAGTTATCGCAATCAGCCGTACCCCCAATGCGCTAAACAGGCGTTGTTTTAGTGGGCATCGGCGCTATCATCTTCACTCAACCTTCTAACACTTATTTTCATACCACGAGTACGGATGCTGTTTGAACTTAATTAATCTCTATTGAAAAACCCATGAAATCTTGTCTGGTTGGATATACGGTACGGTACATAGGTAACTATGGTCGCCAGGTACACATGAGATTAGGAATGAAGTCGACAGCAACACTTCCGCGATTCCACCTTCGGCATAATTGACTTATTCAAACTTGGCACTGATCGAGTCACCTTGACCAAGAAACCACAAAAATGTGTCGTTTGCCATAAACATTAGGTACTATTCTACTTAGGTATATCGTCTTTTTTGGGTATCTAGGTACATTTCATCCCCTACTATCCACGCTTAATCAAATGGCTATGCAACCGTGGGAACATTCGCCAGTTCTATCGGAATACCCGACTGACCCAATGTTTTCCAAACCAATTGGTTACTTGTGTCATACGCAAAAACATGTATGCCACTTACACCGTCGCTCACAGCTTTAGGGGGGCCCGCGAGTCTATTTTCGGTTGTTATTTCGTCGAAATCGTCTTTGGGTGTCCAGGTCTTCAGAGTGCTATCGTAGTGCTTGTGTAGGATATTACGTCCCTGGGCAAACACATCTATGCTATCCCATCTGGTGCTGATGACGTCCGGCTGGGATTCGATTGTCATATCCTTGCTAATACGAGTCCAGTTGGTCCAACTCCTATTCTTGTCATGATCGTACGAAAGGTGCCAAAGCCCGCCATCGCCGCCGCGAGCGAATACATCGATAATTCCCGGCGTTCTCGAAACAGCCACTGGAGGCGATGTCACAAAACCACGCAAGTCCTCATAGCTAGTCCAATTTGTCGACTCGGAATCCCATGATGCGTGTAATAAGTGGCTGTTCGCCCTCGACACGGCGAAAATATCGAGGCGTGTGTCGTTCCTGTTCCATGCAACTACTGCAGGGGTGAAAGGTTGCAAGTCAGGCCCTGGAATCGGTATGAGGTTGGTCCAATTGTCCTGGGGGTGCCATTGAAAAAAATTGGCATTGATCCCATTATCACCTTTGGCCAAATAGAAAACTTTCATGACTTCCACCTCCGGATCGTATTTTACCTCGGCGGGACTGCCAATTACATTGACACGCTGGAAAACGTTCCATACGTTAGGACCGGGATTGTCCCACACCTGATTTGCTTCATGCCATTTGTTATAAGCGAAGTTTTCGCCATTTATATGAAGTTCGGTTCTATTCATCTTCTGGCCCGTTATCCGATAATTCACGGCGATCGTTGGCGCGTCTTTGAAATTGATTCCTCCGCCTACGAGCTCCATATCCTTCCCGGAAGGGACGAAGTCCGTGTCGGATGTCGCGTTGACATTTCGGTATTTGCGGTACACGGATTGGGTAACGTTATTCGTCATGGCGAATATTTCTAGGTGAGGATACCCCCAGGATATTGCCGTCGGTGCTAAGCCTACTGACACGCTTGTAGGACTGCCTGTCATTGCGGCTGGAGAAGGCCCAGTGTATACATCGCTCTGCGCAGCACTCCCCTGGTCACTTCCACTCTGTCAGCACTCTCGAAAATACATGTTTAGGTCGTTATGAACTTACTTCGCATTCGTTGTCGTGGACGCCTGGCTCTGTCGAGTACCTACAACACCACCGACCACCGCACCAATAATGACGAGAATACAGCAGAGTACGATGAGTACAATCCTCTTTACACTCCACCTCCGGGGTAGAGCATTGGCTGCATTGGCTTCATTGGCTTCGTTGCCTTCATTCCCTTTGACACCCACGAGTGATACCTCTTTGTCTTGTAGTCCATTCGGGACTACTATCGGTGGTAGAAAAGGTTGGTTTACTTCAAGGCCAGTACCAGGTTTTACTTCGAGTCCAATGTGACCAATGTTGTATTGTGTGTAATTATGCACGACTTCAAGTCCCGGCTGATCAGACTGGCCATGATGGAAACCTGCGTTCGCCATCGCGACGCCGCTCTCGATATTAAGGCGTGAGGGTAGGACAGAGAGGCAAAGCAGAATTAAAACGAACGAACTGGATTAAAATAAAACAAGAAGACTGGAAAGCCAGTCTTCTTGTCCAAAAGTCATCTCAATCGCTGCAAGGCAATGGATTCAGCCCCTAGACGGGTGGGTTTCAGAGTCGCCTAGCTCGGCTAAGGACCTAAGGCTGCAGGTCTACCGTCTAACCAACACAACCACACTTTCACGCAATTAGGTACGGTTCAGCTGGCTTACCTGTACAAACTCGCCCGAAAGACGGCCTAATGCCAACATTGAATTGCTGATGGAATTACGAAGACTAACACCTATTACCTATCTATCTCTATAAGAACACTTCAGTATGCTGGATTTATTGTTTCGAATACCTACCACGCGTAAAGCCAATTTCGGTAATGGAGAGCGCAGTAGCAGTACTATGGTAGGCCGCCAAGATAACAAGATTCAGGGGTACTAGTTGCGATATCATTGGCAACATATACGACGCTATTTCAAGATCCCAGCGCCTAAGATCGACCCGCTAATACAGCCCTAAATTCTTACATACATGGGTAGAGGCTCACCTACTATGTAAGACTCGAGAGTCCTATCCAAGTTCTAATAGACATAAACGAAGTTTGGGTTTTCCTTATCCGTCAGATTCTGGAATGCCGTCGCATTTAAACCCTCGGCGTTGTCCGTTATTACACCACTTTCCCGCAAAGCAGCCCGAATCCTCTCTTTTCGTCGATTCTCCCATTTGAACGCGTAGCGGAAGACGAAGAATAACAGGAATTCGGCGAAGTTAGCGACAAGCAGAGAGCCGATGCCAAGATGATAGGACGGCGCTTGCTCTGCCCTATAAAAGAAGGGGCTAACGATATTACCCACACACGAACCGAACCAGATCATACCCGCCACGATCATTTTCTTAGACTGTCCCCCCGTGTTACTTGTCACAAGGGACAATGAAATAACGAATGACGCCTGGTAAGATCCAGTAAGATAGCTGACAACTGTTAGAATCGTATAGAGATTGCTTTCCTTAATTCCTTGAACTTACAAGCAGATTAATCGACCAACATAAGCGTCAGGTGGGGCGAGTAAGAATCCCAATCCTCCTGCCATTGTAGGTAGCATAAATAAAGCAGAGACAGTCGTGCGGTTATTTGGCGGCATGAGTTTATTTGCAAGCGCGCCAAGACCGATCCATATCACCACGAGAACACCCTGTGGAATGCCTAACAACGTGGTGTGCAGGGTATCAAATCCTAGGCCCTTGATGACCAGCGTCGAAAAATTCGAGATACCACCATTCGGCACCGCCCCAAGAAAACCGAATAGCACGAAAAGCCAAGTCTTATAATCAAGATACGCTTCCTTCACCTGACCCCAATTTATTACCTGATGTTCGATTCCGGTCTGGTTGCGGCGCACTCGAGCTATCATGAGTAATCGTTCCTCCTTACTGAAACCCCAGAAAGTTGTAGGCGAGTTGGGTAAGAGGAGGAGCAAAACGATGCCCCAGAAAGAACATAGCGCGCCCACCACGATGAATTCGTAACGCCACGACTCTAGCACGCCTTTCATCTGGCCAATCCCGTACCCTTTTTTTATATAAGAAACCGCAATTGCATTAACATCTTCTCATTGGAATTTCACTCACCAATAAGGCCGCCACCTGCTATGCCCACGCCATTCCAAGCATACCACGCCGAAATACGCGAAGGTTGTTCTTCACGCGTATAAAACATCGAAGTTATAAGCATGAACGCAGGGTCCGCGATAGCTTCAAACGCCCCGGACAGAATTCTCAGCGCAGTGAGACCGGCAAAGTTTGAAGCTGCGGCTTGGCACATCAAGAGCACGCCCCACATGAAGATGTTGAACGCTAAGTACCATGCCGGCCGGCAGCGTTGCATGATGAGATTTGACGGGATAGACCAGAAGAGCCAACCGAAGTAGAAGATGCTCGATAGCCATGAGTATTCTGCTCCTTTTAGGTGGAGGTCCGATTGGATGCCGAAGATGGCGGCATATGAAAGCGTGGTTTTGTCGACATACTGGACGTCGTGGTTAGTCTCGCTTACAAGTTCTAGGTGCTAGGCATGCGCACGTAAAAGAAGTAGCAAACGCCCAACAGAGGTAATATGCGTCTGTCAAGTTTTCGCTTGAGTCTCTTCTCGCTTTCTTTATCAATGGCGTCATCGTCGGGGTATTGCCGTAATGCTTCATGGTACATCTCTTCATGGCGCTGGTTGATCTTCGCGGTAACCTTTGGCTTTGAGTCATTCTCGACATGTTCAAATCCGCCTCCATCGACTTTCGCCGAGGCATCTTTTATTTCATCGCTTTCTTCAATCATGATGAATTGATTCGGTATCTCGAGATCCTTTATTCCAAATTTCAAGAGAGACTATCTCTTAACCTCTTAATATTCAATTTTATACCCGAAAAGCCGAAATCGCGGTGATGATTGGTGGATTGGAATTCCTCCCCTTTCTCGTGGGGAATCGCTGCGTAAATATCTACTGCTTGAGTTTCGATTCTCGACTTGCCCCATAGACAAAATGAGGAGAAGATGGATCAACAATCATGTCTTCCAAGCCGAAACCACGACGTATGTTGAATGATTGGTTCTCGGTTCCCCGCATTGAGGTTGCTTCGCGATACTCATATAGGCGATAAGGGTGCATTGAAGATGGGGTCTTGTTTGTCTCTCACCTTAGGTACCTACGTAATATTCTTCTACGAAAGTGACGCTCTCAGCTATGAAGCCTATGATATGTTACGCTTTGTATTTTATGAAAGTACGCGAAGTTAAAACTAACGGGCACTATTGGATTTATAGGTAGTTTCTTACCAATAAATAAGCACACAAGGAGATCACAGCGCAACCCTAGGCCGATTAAACATGAACACTAGCTTCGCCAGAACTCCGCTTGTTAGATTCAACGTGCTGCGCAATGAACCCAAATTGTGGCAAAGATAAAATCTAGTACAAATAATAAGATAAACTAGAAACGACGTTCGACGTTGTGACTACCTAATTTACTAAGTGCTGGCAGGTACAGTTCGCATACGCGGGGTATCTTACCCCTGAACCCCTGAACCCGCGATCTAATTACTAAGCCAATACGCAACTCATCTGTGTCATCCATGACGGCAATTGGTAAAATTCATTAACATTCATTATTATTCATTACTAGACTGCATCGTATATTCATCACTGGTTGCCCGTATCTCTTCCCGTCATTACCAAGATGGCTCCATCATGATGTTCCATTCCCCATCAACGCCTGGAGGATGGCATTTATGAAGTCCGAGGCAGTTGCTACGAGCTAGATAGAGAAGACAAGTTAGCATGTTGGTTCTTGGTGAGAAAGATACAAGGGTGGGACTTACCGGTGTGGCGTCACCTATTAACTCGGTCGTTTGAGATACGAAGGCAGCTGACAGCAGACTCTCCGCGTTACCCAGCAGATTCAATATTCCCTTCACTGATGTCGGTGTAATCAAAGGCGTGACCTGGTCGAGGATACCCTGGATGTCGATCTTATCCAGTGAATTGAGCAGAGGCTTGATGGCGCTGATGAGACCAGTAAAGTCAATTCCGCTCAGTGTACTGAGAAGTGGCTTGATCTGGTTGATGAGGCTGGTGATGTCGATCTGTCCAAGAGCACCAACTAAGGGTGCTGCCCCATCAATTATGGTGTGGGTCTCGTTGACAAATTGGCTTGTGAGCAGAGATTCGGCATTGTCGACAAGCCCGAGGATACCGTGGACGGAGGTAGGTGTGAGAAGTGGGGAGATTGCATCGAAGATACCCTTGATGTCGATATCGCCAAGGGAGCTCAGAATAGGGGTGATTTGCTTGATCAGACCATCGAGATCAATCTCTCCTAGGGCATTTAGGATAGGCTCAACCTTCTTGATAAGGCTTGCAAAATCGATCTGTCCTAACTCATTGAGGATCGGGCTGATTTGTTTAATCAAGCCTGCGATGTCAACTTGGCCGAGCGCAGTTAGGATAGGCTCTATCTGCTTCACGAGACCACTAATATCAACCTGTCCGAGGGCATTGAGGATTGGCGTTATTTGTTTGACTAAGCCGGCGATGTCGATTTGGCCTACAGCGTCCAAGATAGGCTCGACTTTGTCGATGAGTCCGGCTATGTCAACCTTGCTTAAGGCATCCAGTAGTGGCTCTACCTGGTTTATAAGGCCTTCCAGGTCAAGCTTGCCTACGGCGGCTATCAAAGGAACGGCTCCAGATATCAGCGTATGTGTTTGGTCGACAAATTCGCCTGTCAACAGATTCTCGGCATTGCCTAGCAATCCAACGATACCCTTCACCGAATCAGCCGTCAGTAATGGTTCAACGGCTGATAGAATGCCCTGCATATCTATCTTGCTGAGTGTGTCGAGCAAAGGCGAGATCTGCTTGACTAGTGCCTGTAAGTCAATATCGCCCAAGCTTGAGAGTAGAGGTCCCGCAGATGAGATAAGAGACTTGGTTTGATCCACGAAGTCCTTCGTCAAGAGGTCCTCGGCATTTCCTAGAAGTCCTATGATGCCCTTGATAGAGTCGGATGTCAACAAGGGGCTGATGGCTTCGAACAAGCCTTTAAGATCAAGTTGGCCGAGCTCGTTGAGAATTGGACTGATCTGATTGATTAAGCTTTCCAAGTCAATCTTCTTGAGGCTGTCTAGAAGAGGTCCCGCTCCGGATATCAAAGACTTGGTGTCGTCGACGAAATCCGATGTAAGCAGGTTCTCGGCATTTCCTAGGAGGCCAACAATGCCCTTGACGGAATCCGCTGTCAAAAGTGGAGCAATAGCATCAAGAATACCTTGGAGATCAATCTTCCCAAGGCTGTCGATGAGCGGTTGCGCACTAGAAAGAAGTGTCTTGAGCGAGTCCACGGTGTCCTTGGTCAAAAGACTTTCCGCATTAGTCAGCAGGGTTACAACGCCCTTGATGGCATCGGGCTGTAGTAGTGGTGACAAGGCGCTGAGTATGCCTTTGATGTCGATACCCTCGATCTCTTCAATGATACCCTTTAGATCTAGTGTCGAGATCAAGTCGACCAACGGCTCAGCCTTAGTGAGAACATTCCTGGCGATATTGGGGATAGGTGGCTGAAGTGTCGCAGATAGATACACCATAGCATCGTGTAAAGCTTGCAAGAACTCCGCGGTTAAGAGTGATTCGATTGCCTTGAGAAGGTTTCCAATATCACCCAGTCCTGCGAGGAGCGAAGTCAAACCTTCGATGGCTTTACCCAGATCTCCCAGTCCCGTAAGGTCTCCAAGGTCAAGTCCACTACTCGACGAGGAACTAGAGCTTGAGCTAGAGCCAGTACTGTTGCCAGCTCGAGGGTATATGGGAACCTTTTGTTGTTGGACTTGATTTCTCCTGAGAAGTCCATTGAGCTCAGTTAGAGCATCTGTGAGGTCAGATCGAGGAACCAATGCCAAATTATGTTTTGCAAGAATGGCATCGAGATCCAACTCTGGCACCGATTCGGCAGCAACGAAGCTGACCGGCGCCAGAGCCGCTATGAAGAGTTTAGAGAACAGCATGGTGATGGCTGTATATTGGTCGTTAGAAAAGCTTCCGAGGTGTCGTTCGTTCTATAGCTTGCAGCTGAAGCTCCGGTTCAGCTCGACCACGGAGTAGGTAAAAAGCGATGCAGGCGAACCAAAGATGGGAAGATCGAGAATATGAGCAATCATTCCCACCAACTCCATCGCATGCATATCACTCATGTCACATGGAATTTAGCATCCATGAGCAATTGGGAGCTGGAGAGCTGGGGTGTGAGCCTCGGACGTTATTCCATGTTTGGATCATCGTCCATCTATTACCCACATGGGTAATGAGCTTGCCGGCGTTAGCTTCTGCTTAGCCAGATAGCTTAGCTAGCGGAACGACAGCGGCCCCAGTTTCCCCAACTTCTCCACGATGCCAATCCCTAATGTGACATGGTTGCGTAGGGCACGAGCCCCCATGTAACCCATGATGGGTGGATCCAAATCAGCGAATTTTTCTAGATGCTGATTCGACAATTTGTCGTGGGAGGGTATGATTGTAAATACAAAATGTACGCACTCACACTCGCCGTTACCGCACCTGCATTGAAGGTCTCACAGTGGTACCATTTAGCTTGTTTACATTGAATCTGATAATCTCGTCGCCGCTCGGCGTTACAAGCGGTCTGCTGCATGTATGTCCCTTGTTATGTGTTGTTGATCACGATCCATAGTTCCCATAATTTTCCACATTTCTTTGACCTTAAGGATACGACGCTCGTGAGATTTCGTTGTATTCGAAGATGAAGAGATCGTACACACGTGCCCCTTTCTGTCTTTCCCTCATATTGCCCACCGATATTTCAACATTTTATCCGCGCCACGAGCTGACCTAGCACTAGCTTTCTTTTCCCCAGGTGCCCCAGGTCTAAATTGAGCGATCACGATAACTACCCAACTAATAACCCCGCGAAAATTTGGACTATTGGATGCCTTTCGGGAGGTATAGACGGATTGGGAATCATATAGGTATATCTTTTGCCATATTAGGAAGGACGGGCGTGACTTGACATCATCCCACTCGGGCGTTTTATTTTCTTCGTAGTGAAAATGAAGATCTGCTAAGAGTAATTAATGGTTGGGGTTGTACTATACCGAAACCCCGCAAGACTAACATCTTATTTTTCGACGGTAATGTGCGTGACCCTCGTAAAAACCAGTAAGAATCCCGGAAAAACTCAAAGCTGACCATCCCCCTGCCATGTTATATGACCCAAAAAACCGGGGTCAAAGCTTAGATGGAGTTGGATCGATGCGCGCAAGACGGAATAGCTCACGAGGGGTATGCGATGTGTATGTAGCTGCAAGGCGACGGTAGTTGGGCAAGACTCAATGCCCTGGTCATTGTTGCAAGCCGATGTGATAGTCGACTCCGGCATATTGGGTATACATGTGATAACCAAGCTCGCCTTGAAGTTCAACTCCCCGTCCTGATTCTAGTCCAGTCTTTCGACCTGCATCTTTCTGCCTCCTCCTACCTTCCAGAACCTCCTCCAGTCTAAGCAAAGTGATCATGGCGTCCGCCTTTAGAGAAGACCGATCTCACTTTGAGGCCAATAGTCCTACGACCTCTGTACATGGTGGTCGAGGAGAAGATGGCGATGGAACGACAAATGCGCCGGGGAGGCAGAGTGATGGAGCCTCCTCAACTGATCATGTCCAAGAGAAGGCGGCGGCCGTGGCCCCTCTTACCAAGAAGCAGAAGTTCAAGCGTCATTGCAGACGGTTTTGGTGGTGGTATCTAATAGGATTGGTTATTTTCCTAGCCATATTTCTACCAATTCTGTATGTTCTCTTCTCAGCGGTGCATAGGCCCATGCATTAACAGTCAGTGTAGATTCTTAGTGATCGTACCCGCTATCGTTCAGCGCATTCTTGACGATCAAACAATGCCTATTAGCGGTGGTCAATTCATAGCTGTGTCGCCAACTCAACTCAACGTCTCTATTATCACGTCACTCGATTCGCCTTTACCGGCTAATATCGACCCTATGATGCTGCTCTTGTACAACGAAAAGACACCTACGTTTTCGCCTTTTGTCAATGTTACTCTTCCGGAATTACACGTCAAAGGGACCACAGAACTCAATATCAAGAACCAAATCGTGACAGTAACCAATGAGACTGAACTCACCTCATGGTTCGCTAGTGTTTTTGATCAACCAACCGTCACTCTGTCCACTCGCGGCGATCCAAAAATCCATCTAGGCGCACTGCATACAAATGGGCACATAGACAAGACGGTCACGGTGAACTCGTTAAACAAGCTAGATGGCTTTACTATCAAGGATCTGCAACTTTTAATGCCAGCCAGAGATAACGGCACCAATATCCAGGGATTTCTCAATCTGCCCAATTGGGGTACTCTCGACCTTGGCATAGGCAACTTGTCACTTAACTTGATGTCGGGAGATCTCAGAATCGGTCTAATTACTGTCTACGACGTCTATCTTCCGCGCGGTAACAATATCAGATTCTTCAACGGCGAGCTATTTCTCGACACGCTCTTCCAGAACATCGGTACCGTCCTTTCCTCTCAGGGAGATGCCCTAAGCGGTGGAAATATTCAGATCAATGCGACTGGTAACGCTACCGTGGTCAATGGCCAGCACATCAGATTCATTGAGACAATCCTCAACAACAGAACCGTGACGTCAACTACATCGGTCATCAAGCTAGCAAGCGACCTCATTGGCAGCTTTACCAACGGCAGTCAAGTTTCCATACCCGACATGCTCGATGAAGTCTTTGGCAATACCACCTTCATCCAAGAAGTCCTCGGCCATTGGAATGCGACCAAGACTAATTCCACGGCACCCACAAAGAGGAATTTATTAGCGTCGATTCCAAGGAGCGTAAGGGGTCCAGGGGCTTTGAGCTTATTTAAACTGGGGATGAAGATGAGGATGGGGAAGTTCTAATGACAATGCCCCGCGAGATACAGTTGATTTTAACCAACCCAATGCTGTAATTAGTAGGGTTAAATGGTTGGCGACTCAGTACAGTAATTACCTAGTTAATGTTTTAACGTTTAATGAATGATACATGAAGTTAAGAAAAGCAGTAAAGCATCCATGAAGTGAAGCCGACACAGTTACATTCCCGCTTACGTATGTCTAGAGGAAGAAGTATCTGGATAGTGCCTCCAGGCAATCAATGCGTGGGTGGGCAGCCCTAATGCGCTGGATCTCTAGGGGTTGGGCGCTATCTCCATACAATACAACCTTGGAACTTTACCGGAATTCCAGGGCTTGGGAGTTAGGGCTGTAGGTACCAGGTACCCCTCCAGCTAGGCAGCCACTAAAGCCACTAGCACCCCTCGATCTTAGCGAATGCTCCAGGACTCACTCACTAGAACTAGATAAACACAGCGAGATTATAAGCGATTAGGGCATGTTATAGAAGGTAGGTATTTTCTCATTAATACTTCCAAGGTTCATTCTATTCCAAGGTTTCCAACCGTTCAATTCCGAAATCCCACTAAATCCAATCTACTACGCATTTTACATGGTCTGGCCCGGAATCGAAGTCGTCCCTAATTAGGGTTAGCCAGGTCTTATCTACAAATCTCGAAATATTTAGCTGGAAGGTTAACTTACATCCATCGATATCCTCCTCAACAACGCGCGGCTTCGTGCACTTCATCGCCGCCTCCGAAGACTGAGTCTTGAGCGCATTGCACACCGCGCCGTTGCAGCGGGCGTCCATGGCACGTTGAAGAGAGTCGCCTTCCCAACCGAAGACGTAGTCTCCGTGCTGCGAGTATCCGTCCCTGCACACTGTTTAGAATCGTACCTAAAAATGCAAGCGTAATTATGGAAACTTACTTGTCGTTAGTAGACCAGACGAAAGGTTGCGATCCGTCCTCGGGCCAAATGCTCTTGTCGTTGAAAGGTCGGGTCTGTTTACCCCAAAGTCAGCAAACACCACAAGAGAGAAAGGTAAATCAATAACACTTACATCCCACATAACCTCCAGCATGACCTGCGGGATCTTCACCGGGTGGCTCGCGGGACAGTTACCCGCCGCACCAACATCATTACCGTTCGATCCCTCAGGGTAAGCAACATGGGACATATGGTCCGGGCTATCGGTATTGACGCCGTCCCAGCAGGTTGGGAAGGTAATGACGGAGCGAATACCGCCGGCGCATTGGCCCGCGGGTAGCGCTTGGCTGTCCGGAGCGCCGCAGTTGATGTTGCTGTTGTCTCCCGTCTTCGGCATGCAGCGGTGGCATACCTTGCGTGCGGACCCTGGTGCTGTCGCGGCGGCGTCTCCGACGAGCATGCGGAAGCCGGGCTTGAATGCCGTGACGTTGGATCGGCCGTCGGCTGCTGGGATGTAGTACACTGTGATACCGCCGTCGGCGCGGAGACCCTCGCTCGCGAATTGGGGGACACGCTTGTATGTTCCGTTGCGGGCTTTGAAGAACAGGACCGCGGTCCAGTAGTTGGAGAAGTCTTCGGAGAAAGTGCAGCTGGTGCATGTAGAGGACGAGGGGAGATCGTGTGTCGCGGGGTCCATGGATGCGTTGAACGAGTTACCTCCGACGATCTGGTGCAGATGCGGCGACGGGATGGAGCCCGGGGTCACGAGGGGGTCCAGACGGTCGACGACGAGCTGCGAGCAGCTGAACCGCATCATCGGGAACATCCCCTGGCCGAAGCCGCGCTCCACGAGGAGGGCGAGGGCGAGTGCTTTCCACTGCATCTTGGGCGATTTGGGCTGCTACCGTCGGTGAGAATCGAAGGCTTGTAGTGCGAAGGCCGGGGAGCTGGTGCGGAAACCTGGATCCTAGCTCCTAAATACATGGTTCTCCTGTCGCCTCTCCTCCTATATGCCGCTGGGCGTGGTTTTTGGTCGGTTAATATCAATTTACTTGTATATTAATAGATTTAGGCTGCGGTAGATAACGCCTTGTTTCGACGAATGAGATGACCCTCCAGGCCCCCTCGACTCCCAGACTTTTGAATATTTCAAATCATGGCGAGTCGATTTCGGTCTTATCTATGTGTATGTGAAGAAATAGACACGTTGAGATAGTATGCATAGATCACTCGGCATTTCCAAAGCCAACTGCGTGTCCAGATGTGAGTTAGAGTGATCTCATCGCCCCTAGAACCCGGCCCTATTATCGAGTAGTATCTGCGGATGGTTCTATTTTCGGTGCCACCAACCTTAGTGGTTTTCTCATCTTCGCTGTAAACCTTGGATGCATTATGCCCGAAGCATCATATAGCGGGCAGGGGGTAGGCAGCCGGCAACCGACCATACGTCTCAAACTTGAACATCTACCAAGTATTTAGGTACCTAGTGCCCATAAGGCTTTATATAGTACCTCTTGCGCTAAGCTACCTCTTTGAAATCGCAACAATAATCACTTTCTATAGATATCTCTCTTAACATTGATGTCAGTAAGTTTAGAAAATGACTCTGTTAGAAGGCGACAGCAAGGTTCACGATAACCAACAACATAAGAATATGCCAGGACGTGTGCAATAATTATCATTTGTTACCACCGTTAACTACCTAGTAATTGTCCATTCCTCCACGCTATTCTAAGTACAGGTGCCTAGTAGTCAAGTAAACCAGTGTAATCACAAGCAAAGACGACTATCAACAGCTCTACGACTGTGTGGCTACCGTAACCCATTCATTTTCATGACTCCTATGAAATATTAGTTACTGATTCGTATGTGTCTAGCTAGAGTTTCGCTCCAATATTATCATACCTCTAAAACAGTCGCATTGTACTGTTCGGTAAAACTGGCGAATTGCGCGAGGGTTTTCTTAGACACGCTCGGTCCGGTTCCTTGGAGAGCCTTGCTAAAATGACGAGTCTCGAGACATAGTTTGGCCTTCTCCTTCAAGTCGTCTCCGACCTGAGCCTGTTCCTGCTCAATCGTCCAAATCGTAGCAGCTTTTCCGCACAGATTGCTTATATCCGAACCTGAATAACCCACGGTAACCTTTGCCAATCTCTCAATGTCGAGCGAGGGATGGATATTTTCGTCTTTCAGGAAGAGTCGAAATATCTTCAACCGGGACTCCTCATCTGGGAGTTCAAAGAACAACTTCTGCGGTAGTCGACGGAGCAATGCGTCGTCAAGATCCCAAGGGCGATTCGAAGCAGCGATTAGGAGCGGTCGCCTTTTATCGTGTACAGTTTCATCAAGGCAATTTAGAAATTTAGTAAGCGCCTTTCTCTCGGAGATTTCGCCATCGGAATCACGACGATAGAACAAAGCATCCGCATTGTCAATAAATAAAATGCACGGGAAAAGTTTCGAAGCAAGTGTAACTGCAACTCCACGAGTTAGTAGCCATAAAGCTAGACGCAAGAATGAACAAGGAAAGCCAGTTCTCTAGCAAATTGAACAACAAAATTAATGCGTTCAGGGGTAGAACAGAAATAATAATAAAACACTTAACAGTAAGCTTCGATGTGCTTTTGACCACCTCCAAATCGCATAGTGTTGATATAAGTAGAATCGATCTTAATCATATTCATTCCCGAATCTTTAGCGATGGCGCGACTCAGATGTGTCTTGCCTATTCCCGTAGGTCCGTAAAGCAAGGCACCATTGATCTGGACCTGGCTGGAAAGTAGACTTGAACTGGCTTGAAGGCAGAAGTTCGACATAGAAGCTAAATACTTCACAGTCTCTTTGCTCTCCGAATTGATTATAACATCGTCGTACGTTACCTCGAGGTGTTCTGTAGTGATGTTAGTTCAAGCTCTTAAATCTAGAGCATCAATATCTAAGTAAGTAAGTATTGTACTTGCCTGGATTGGCCATAGAAGCTATAACTTCGCATTCGCAACAGTCACAGCCTCTTTTAAGGCGTCTCATTTTCTCGTCCCACGTTGAAACTTCATCTGCCTTATCATCTTGGACTGGTTCCTCGATTCTAGGTTTCAGATACATCCTGAAACGACTAAGAACAGTTCCAATATTGTCATTAAGGCTTTCGGCAGGTTTCTTAGCCATTCTTCCTGCAATTTGAAGTGCCGCCCGTTTTAGGTCGCTCTCGCGCCAAAGTTCGCAACATAGGTTCGGAAAGTGACTCCAGTCTGAGCTTCGGCGTAGGATATCCATGGAAGTACCGTTGGCCAGTCTATTCCTTAGAAATGTCTTCAGGCGCCGCGAGTTAATGTTCACGGGGTATCCTTCACTTTGCGGTACAGAGCCTCTGTAATGACTCCACCCCATCATCAAAGAAGATTCGTCGCAAACTCCCATCTTTCGCTTAAGTTTTCGAATCAGCTCACGGTCATACTCGCCATAGTTGTCGCCAGTACGCAATGGCTTCTCGAAAGTCAATGTATTTGCCACTAAAACGAGGTTCTCCCCAGCCTTCCGATGTTCCTGGAGAAAGTTGCGGAGCCGGGCTAAGAGTCTGCATTTTTCATCCATATCCAATATCCGATTCGTATTGCGGAGATGAAGAATGATAGGTAATTCGCGTGAGGCTTCTTTGGAAAGACATCCTTGGGAATTTACACGCGCAGCGTTGACGATTGCTGAAATGGCCCGGTTAACCCGCAACCAAGCGCCTTTTGACTCGTGTCGCTCTGACCTAACACCGAAGTAGTAGGAGACGTATGATTTCTCCTTAAATGATGGCATCGCATAATCATCAATCAGCGGTGCTTGGCCATGTTCGGCGTCCTGTCGCCAGAATTCGTAGCTCAACTCTTTGAGGTCTTCAAGATCTATTGATATGACAGCCGCGCCTATATCTTTGGCGATATACAAGACGACTTCGTCAAGCGGTTCAATAAGATCCACGGACCATGTTTCAAGTTCCACTGTTGGTAATTCAGGAGGTAATTTGCCGTCACTATTACGAGCAAATGTCGCGAGCGTGATATCGTTCAGTTCCTCCATTAAGCTGCGGCTAATCTCGCAGACTTCAACAATGTCATTTCCTCTTTTATGAAACCTGCCAGCAAACTGCACACGAGGCTTGTAATGGGCAAGATCAGTTGCTGTCTTGATATTTTCCTTCAAGAACCATTCTGGTACGCGATATTCGTGAGATTCTGTTCCGTTCGATATGGTTTCAATTTCGGGTGCAGAGTTTGGTGACTCTTGTTGAGTCTCGTCAACATTAAAGCCATCCATTTCTGAGGCAATTGTCGTTAGGAAGTCGATTGATCTCCAATGTTTGGTTGTGGTTTTTCCTGTACAGTTAAAAAGTTGAAATTTCAATACGAATCTTAATTGTTTATATAGAATTTCCATAGGCCTTGAGCAAAGCTGCGTCACTGAAAGTACTTCATGTGTTCATGTTATTGTATCGAATTGTGCGCTTGAGTCACCTTTACTTTAGGTACATTTGTAGGTATTATTGTTAATTATATAAGACAACGGATGGTTGAGCACATATTGGTAAGAGGTAACTGATATATACCTAGATATCTACCTAGTATTTGCTTGTTATTCACGAATATACCAAACACATACCCTAGAATGGTGAGTGTGAGTAGAAAGTCGGACATGACAAACACTATTTTAAAAGTTTTCTGATTGTGAGAGAGGAGAAGTTCGGTCTGCTCGTATCACACCTGTATTCTGTAAGTATCATTGCAAAGCGGGGTTTGGAGGGGGTGGCTTGCTCTTGGTAGTCAGCCCTAACAACACACACCAAGATTGCCTAGGACCAGAGCACTCGACTTTAGGAAAGGAAGGTTGCTTCAGTTTTAAACATCAGTTTGGTAGGTAGGTAGATATTCAACATAGAATCTTAGCACGTGGTCCATGAGAAGATTATCCGTATAAAGATCATGTTGGATCTCCACTTTATCTTAACCCCTTTTATATAGATCTACTTAAACACAAGAAATTCATACAAAAAGGGGTTACGAAAGCCGACGAGATGTAACTGTGCTTCTGTTCCAATCTAGAATCAGAACGGGCAACCGCCCAGATATTTAAGCGAAATACAACACTGCCTCACATCGAGTTCATCTTAAAATAACCCATATACCCTAAGGCAAGGGATACCAAGATTAGCACTAGATAGGTGCGCAAAAGTTCCATTCCCACCCCACCCAGTTAATTCGTATGATCTGTACCTAAGGTCGAACGGTCGACCCAATCTGTCGGGATGTTACTTCGGCCCGGCTATCCTGGCTCGGGATGACCTTTTGAAAATCCGCATTATTCCCGCATCGACGAAATTACGTGATAGCCGCTTCAAACAGAGTTGGATTCGAAAGAAGCGTTTCGACGAAGCTTAGGTAGCTATGAAGCACTATGCCATAGGTAATCACTATAACGATATCGCACGCGCCATTCACCTTGCTTGCTAGAGTATAGGAATCCACACTACACAATGCGATAAACCCTTGTCACCGTCGCGACGAACCCCCAGGCTTCCGCCCATATATGTAAGTCCTAGCAAGCGTCAGTCAGCTTACCACAGGTAGCATGCACCTAGTTAAACTAGGTAGGTACTAGATAGGTAGGTAAGTAGGAATAGAAGAGCACTCACACAGTCAAATAAGCATGAACACTCGTATCCCTAAAATCCCTCTTCACCTCCTCCACAAAGCCCTTAACCTCATCCGTCGACATCCCCAATCCGCCCAAAACCTTCAAACTCATCCCCTCAATGCCCGCCAACATATCCTCCTGAAAATACGCCGCCACAAGCTTAAAATACAACCCCTTCGCCCACGGGCTCGTGGGCCAGTAGAAGCGCTTCTCGACGATATCCTCGAACCCGGCCTCCTCGAAGTAGCGGCGGTAGTTCTTGACGTTACTCCAGGAGCGGCCCAGGCGCGTTACGCCTTCGACCATCATCTCGTTCCAGCGGTACAGCGCCGAGTCCACCGGCGTGTCGCCGACGTAGCTCATCGGGAACAGCGCGTCCTGGAACTCCATCACCCCGCCGGGCGCCAGGTTCGCGAAGGCCTGCCGCACCACGGCCGCGGGGTCGTTGAAGCAGGACATGAGCGCGCGGCCGTGGATGAAGTCGAAGGGCTCGCTGAAGGCCCATTCGTCTTCTGCGTCGTCGATTTCGAAGCGGCAGTTCTCGGGGAGGCTGCGATCAGGTTAGTGTCTAGGTAGGTAGATAAGACGGCGTGGTGATCGGTGGGGCTGGGTACAATTGCGGTTGGATGGGACTGAGATCCGTGCCGAGGACTTGCGATCCGGGGTGCTGCACCGCTGTGCCACGGGTTAGCATTTATATGGGGACCTAAGTCGGGAAGGGTGGACCGAACCAAATTCTATAGCCCATATGCCGGTTCCTAAGATCGTGTTAGCGGAGACTAGGGGTTGGAGAGGATGGTCGGACCTGTTGCGATGTCTAGGACTCGTAAGGGGTCGTGCGAAAATGGGGTTATGTTGAGTTTATTCCCGATCGCTACGGTGAATAATTGGTGTTGGAGGTCTATTTTGATAGTAAGTACTAGCTGGGTAAACTTGGAGGTAAACGAAGCGAAAGTGCGTTTAGGCGCTGTGCTGTATACCTAGTCGTTCTTGTTCTGCCTGTCAATGTATCCGTCAGTTGCGGAAGAGGCGGGCGAATCCAGCTCAGAACGTACAGCATCATTCGGTAGAAAGTATCCTAAGGAACACTATCAGTAAATGATTTGACGTCTATAAAGGTAGGGCAATCCATACTGCCTTCTTTATATCGATGATATGTTCGGCCATTTTCCTCGACAAAATGGTAAAGACTCGAGTCTATCGACATGGTCGAAGATCTTGGTGAGAATAGTTAGGAATTCGCCAATCCAGATACATCTCGAATCGATCGTGTCATACCTCACGCTTCCCGAAATCGATCTCGTCTCCTAGTAACCGTTAATAAGGAGTCGGATTGCAGTTCCTTGTCGCAATTGGTACTGACTGTTTGAGCATCATCGTCGACAGATGGCACGGATGGTTGACTGCCACTTCCCCACGACAATAACGATGGATCCTGTTCTACCGCGGTCCGGGTCGACGCCCATGAAAATGACGTCGCGTCATCACGATCACGGCTTAAACTAGAAGAGTCTGCCATTATCTATTCTTCGCGACGCGGCGCAAAGCTGCGTCTCGGCGCGCGCGATGAAACTTCACCAATGAGTATGAAATTTTGATACGAAAAAGAGCTGGGGATTTACGGGTAGAAGGTTTGGCACGAGAACAGGACCGCATGGGGTAACATTTTAATATATATCGAAGGTAAGCAGCGGGACGGGAAGCGTGTCAGCACGAAAACTCAGGATTGACCAGTCATCTCATCGAAAACACATCCCGCGCATAGATTATCTTAGCATGCATCATCCCGAAGGAAGCGCTAGACGAGACTCTCTAGGAGCGGCTGGAATTTAAAACAGGTACGTTGCATCCTAGAGAAGCAGTTGGCTCTGGACTCGAGCGGGAGGGTTGATGTAGTATTGTACTGTATGTACGCTGTACTATGTGCTGCATTGCAGACAGGAGAACTAAAGAGCGAACCACTGAGCTGTAGGCGCAAAGTCATGCCGCGCTGGAAAAGCCGAAGCAGGCTTTGAAGATCCTTTCTATTTCGACAAGGCAGGTATCTGTTTGTACTTTGTTCCGGAATCACGCCGTTGGCCAAGCCTGTCCAAGTATTATTTCGTTTACAAGATTGCTCGAAACCTCCTCACAGTTCTTCTCGGGATAACAGCCCCCAATCCTTGCATCGAAACCTGCCTAAAGAGGAGTGCTGCGACCGACAAGGCTTCCTCCCTACCGGTATCAGGGCGGCTCGGCGCCAGACCCAGATCGGCGGTAACGCGATGCGCGCCAAATAAGAGGGGAGGAATGGGACTTTTTTCTAGGTAGGTCTCATATCGCCACGTACTTAAAAAGAAACCTTGGAATACAATCTACAACTAGATACAAACGAAAAGGACACGGATATGCCTTGGCTTCTGTATGCATGTCAGCACTAGACAAGTTTAAGATCTGTACGGATGTGTAACGGCGAAGATCGAAGGAGAACCGCCACGATAAAAAATGAAGAAAATCTCTTTTTTAAAAGGCTCGATTCGACAGCCACTAAAAGTGGCAAGCAATTAATATTTATGCATCATTCTATGGGATGTGAGAAGACTCGAATACGACGGCATCGCCCTCTAGGGTTGCAGTAGTTTGGTTTCGATGCGCCAATGTATCACCGGGCTCGGAGTTGTCATTGGTTGTCTTGCGGATATTTCCATTAAAAAGCAATTTGACAGCTGTAACCTAATCCAAACCATCGGATATGTCGTGTTATCCGTAGCTGCGTGGGACACACCAATTGCTGCTCATCGTACTAGAAACGGAACAACCACGCCACCAGATACAACGACGACCCCAAGGTGTAAGGGGTGGCCGTCGTACACAGTGTACCCGACCACGCGAGAACTGCCGAGAATAAGGCAATATTGGTTACGCCCCTACAACTTAAATCAGAATCCCCTCTAACGCCTCTTATGCATCCCGTCCGGTCCGTATACCCATTCTAATGAAACGCCATGCCAGGAACGCTCCTCCACGTGTTCCTCTAATATCGTGACATCGTGATATCATATGCTCTTATGAAAACAGCGTCTATCCTTTAGCTTCGTCCCAATCCGACCAACGTTTAACAGTTTCGTCGACCATAGCGATTCCTTTCTTGCTAGCATCGATCTCGAACCATTCCCTGTGCGCCTTTCCACAGACATCGCAGTTGGCCTTGTCGCTGACTCGTAATCCGGCACCGGCAAGTTCGAGGTGTATCAAGCGCTCGACCTTATGGCTATGCGGCATCTTCCGAGGCGTCGACGGCTGACTAGATGAGATGTGGGGGTAGTAGCGGATAAGCGACAGATTATAACCGCATTGGCGTGTCCATTCGTTGAGACGTCGCTGCACATTGGATGCCCGACCAATCTTCAAGAGCACCTTCTTGGACGACGACCCGGTCTTGTTCTCCTTGACGGCAAAAGTCTCCAAGACATCGCTAGTTCGTCTTTGGCGACCACCCGGACGTGGCGGCGCTAGAAGAGACTCTGCTGTCTCGGCCGGAGGGGCTGCCGGTGCCGACTCGGGCGTTAACCAGAAGATATAGATATAGCCGGCTTCGTCTGTTTGTGAAATAGGCTTTGCTAGCTCGGCCATAAGCTGCGAAGCTGTCTGCGGTGAGGCCGTTGCTGGAATCAAAGATAAGTATTGCGACGTCTGCGAAGTCTGGCGAGATTCCGAGGGGCGCTTTGAGTCAGCACTGGGTCGTCCATGCACAGCAGGAGGGATGGTCATGTGCTGGTCCGGTGGGCTGGAATAGGCAGGTTTCGCGGGCGCGCTCTGTACCGGCCTAGGTTGGGGTCGCACCGGACGTTCCTCCTCTTCGTCTTCGTACTCGGTAATGGTGAAACAATAACAGAAATTTCTTTTCTTCTCCTTCGGTCTACGTCTATGCGGTCTTTCGGTATTTGTGTTGTTCGAGTGTGAGATCTTCTCATTATGCCGGCCGTCATCGGGTCTCGAAGGCCTATCAGAGTGATGGTTCTTTCGCCCATGTCTTTCCGCCTCGACTATACCCAGTCGATCGATGAGGGTATCTAAACTCTCACGGGTTTCGAGGATCGGAGTTGTCTTTGGTCCCGGACTAGATTTGGCGGACAAGCTTGCTTGATCTTTATGCTGCCAGCAGTAAAGATCAGGGTTACTTGGGTCGTCAACAAGTAGTTTAGTAGGTTTAGTGATTCGAGGGGCTGCTGGTGAAGACCCCGGAGAGGAATTCAAGTCGCGGCGACAGGGTCGGCCTCCTGAAGTGATACCTCGACATGTTGTTGCCGGGTTTTTGGAGTCGGTACGGCCTATCAAAGACTCGGGTGTGTTGGGAATGAATGGCATTGTCCTCGAGTTAGCTGCCTAGATGTAAATCAAACCGACAGTAAAAACAGAACTGCAACCACGATAAAGAGTGTAGGTAGAGTAAGATTCTGGAGGTTAAGAGAACGTAAAGTAATATTCTTCCGGCAGGTGCCAGGACTGGACTGATACTATTTTAACATAACCGTGACTGTAGAGATTTACAAGTCACTAAGACACTCATGGCCTTAAGTGAATCCACTCTCAGGAACGCTGGCGGATGATTGTGAGTAAGACATCTCGAATTAATTGGAGGGGTTGGGATGATTGGATGAGAATGATTGGTTTGCAAACAATTGGGTTAACAATCTGCACAATCTGCACTGAACCTGCAGCTTCCGGCTGTTGGGAGGACTCCGGAATGTGGCTCAATAATGGCTGATAGGGCTGAGTCGTGGCTGAACCACTTTAATTCGCCTGCACAGGTGACTTAACCTTCACCTACGTGTAACAGTGAAAACCTTACAAGTGGTTGGACTGAACAACTCAATCAACTTTAACCTTAACCAACTTGGAATTCACTGACAACACAACCTTGTTCGACCATCATCCTATTTTCGACGCCCAAATGCCTTACATCTTTTCTTCTTCTCTTCCGGATGGTCAAAATTCAAGGAAGGGGAAAGACTTACATATATCATTTCCAGGTTCTTTATCTTATCATATCTCGAAGATGTATCCAGTACTATTGCTTTAGTGGAAACGAACGGACTTGCCGAGTACCGAGGCTCTCATCATCAACACCGACAAATCCATGATAATCTTCATAAAACATATCCACAATTCATATGAACATATGCATAAATATACATACATATGTTATTTCGGTATGCCCTCAAGATCTTGAGTTCATATATCCTCGGTTCACAGCTCGTCCGATTAATGACTATTGATAACTCGGATCGAGCGGAGTTGGCGAAGTGGGCACCTAGAGGCAGTTTAAAAAATATCTACTCCGAGGAATCACTCGAGTAATTTCACCATCATTAACACACGAATCCTCACATGGCTTTTACTGCTCGAAACAAGTATACTATTAATTAGGCGTTTCGAGAGCCGTTCTAATTATACAATCATCTATCTATGCCGAGGTTGAAGGGGGTATTTCTTCTATGGTATCCTGTTGTATCCATATATGCAACCTGTTTTATACCAGCGCCTCTGCCGAATTCCAAGAATGAAACCAATGCCTATGAACAATCCATCGCTATGAATGGGAGACTCCCTATATATACCATTATACCAACCAATTACCTATTCTAGCTATTTTAAACCATGTCTTCTCCTACACATCTCCCTTCCCAGGCTGCTTCTTCTTCCTCACATCAACCCAGCCCATACCAAACGAGGCCACGAAACTTAAGGCGGCACAAGCAATTAACATGTAGCACACCGTGTCGAAAGCCGTGGCAAAGGCTTGTATCACGCCAGCGAGTTCGGGACTTCCCGGTGGCACTAAGGCCCGGACCGCTTCCGCGCTACCACCCGCAGCTAGGGCTGCCTGCGGGTTCACAGATGGCGCAAGCCTCACAATCTCTTTGAGCAAAGTCTGCGTGAAAATGGTGTTACCAACCACGGAAAAGACGGCAGCCGAGAAATTTTGGCAAAAGATGAGAAATGCGGTTCCAAGTGCGCTCTGGGCGGGCGGAAGGGCGTATTGAAGCGCCACAAGACCGACCTGGATACCACAGCCACGGAATCCGTAAATGATCTGGTAGCCAATCCATTCTCCCGTCGAGGTATTGGGGGACCAGGTCGAAATAAGGCCGGCGGCAACAGTTGTACCCGCCGCAGCAACTACTGCCCATGGGAGGTAGTAGCCAAGTCGCGTTACTAGTAACAGTTAGCCATGGCTCACACAATCATTCTCGTAAATGGGGTGATCGGAACAACATACTCAGCGCCCCAGAGAGAATGATGAACAGCACTCCGGATATGATATTTGGCAACATATAAACACCACTTAGGGTTGGTCCTACACCCTTGACGGACTGGAAGTAGATGGGCAAGAACTGAGCGCCGACGAAGACGCTCGTCATCAAACCAGTGAACTGCATAGCGCTAACCCACACGACCCTCTTGCGCACCATGGAGAAGGGAATCATTGCTTTATCACCCTCTCGATACTCCCAGTACAGGAAAATAGGGAAAGCTACACCAGCGCCCACGAAGAGGCCAATAACAGTCGACGAATTCCAAGGGTACTCGGAAGAGCCGAATTGTAGAGCCAGTAGGAACATGATAGCAGCCGGGGCGAAAATGGCGAAGCCGACGAGATCAAGGTCCGGAATAATATTGCGGAGTAACTTGAAGGTGACTCGCGGCTTAGCGGTCTGGTCCGGCACGTGCAAGAAGGAAAGGAAGAGTCCGGCAAGACCGCCAAGCGGCAAGTTAATGTAGAAGCACCACCGCCAAGTCACGTACTGCGTGAAGACACCTCCGATCAAGGGCCCGGTGATGAGACCCATCTGTCCGACTATAAGCCGTTAGCATGCCGGTGAAACCAGTCCCCGTTGGGACAAGAAGAAAGGGTAGGACTCACAGGCCATCATAAGGGACATGTAAACCGGTCTCTTTTCCATGGGAACAGCGCCGGCAATAACAGTCAAGGCGCCGTTTTGAAGTCCCGAGCTACCCAGTCCAGCGACGGCTCGTCCGATGATAAACATGGTTGAAGATTGGGCGACGGCACATATGAGCGAACCGACCTCGAAGATGAAAAAGAAGAATAGGAATATCCATTTCGCGCTAACACGGGTATACACTCTACCGGTTAAGGGTTGTAGCGTGGCACTACATTAACTCAGGTAAGTGACCATTCTCAACATATTTTAACATCAGTGTCAAGATGCGACATACCTGGTAAGCTGATAGGCACCTGTGTACCATCCGATATCTTGTAAACTGTGAAAATCCGAGGTGATCTGCGGGATGGCCTATTGTCCGACGGAATGTCAGTCTTCACTCAAATCCCAGACTCTTCTCGCCAAACCCTGCCAAGAGTACATATTAAAGGGAAGGAAACGCGCGACTGACCGTACTGATAATCGACATATCCAGCATAAGAAGGAAGAAGAAGGTGGTGACGCTGAACAGCAGGAGTCCAAGCTTATATCCCGATACGTAGTCGCCGGTTTCGATATTTTCCGCTGCTATGTTATCCGTCGATGAGGACGCAGATGGTTCTTCGTTCCCCCGGTCCTTCTCTCCATCCGGTGCCGATTCGCTTTCTCCTTCTCCCCTCGGCGCCCAATCGCCGCCTTCTTCTTTCTCTTGCATTGACACAGTCGAGGATGTGGTGTTGCCGTCGGGTTTAGACACCGATAGTCTTGGTGTTTGCGCCTCCGCTGCTTTCTCCATGGCGCCTTGTGGAACCTCACCTTCTCAGCTGCGTATTGTTGACGTTACGTATGAATACCAGCAGAGGAGACAGGTGATTTGATTATTTGGTGTTGTTTTGTCGGTCCTAAGACGTGACTATCTTCGTTAGGGAGACGAAGTCGTTTATATTTGCCGAGACCCAAAGTGGATGCCAAGAGGACCCTGGTAATTCGAGCTAAGAGCGATATCGACCTATGATCTGGCCACGGACTTTCTTTGAAAATTTGATGCTGGAAAAAACCGTGTAAGCTTATCTTGTTAGTAAGTCTAGTATGTCGTTCTTGATTGAGAGGTAAGCAAAACAATATGTAGTATGCCTCGAAGGCCGAGAGATATTATATGCACCGAGGAGCTCTACTCTGCAACACAACACAAGGGAAAGGAAAGACGGCAGATAGTTTGAGATAAGTAAATAAATACAGATGCCTATCACCAAAACAGAACGTCCTAGAACGACAGGTACCCACCGACGTCCGGTGTTCTACGTACGCATTCTGCCCTACGAATCCCATCCCATCTCCCCGGAAAAAGTTCCATGCGCTAGTATTCGCAGCTGACGGGTTTGGGCGCAAAACTTTTTGCTAGGTCCTTACGAGATGTGCCGTAGCGCGCCCTATGGTGCAGCACAGACCCGGCTTCCGTCCTCCTAACCCCGTTTCCGAATCCCGTCCCACTGCTTACTCGACTATGCGATAGGGGGATCTTTAGGGTTCGCCATTGAGTCATTATGTCAAACATACAGGATCGGGGACTTTTTGTGATAATCGTGAGACCTATTTCAATGTCCGGTGGCACGTACATCCGCAATGTGTACTACTATACACGATTGCGCCTCTTCCCAGCATGTCTGCGCGAGCAGGTGATGCAGGAACGGGAATGGTTCAAAGGTGCAACTCGGCTCAGTCACACGTCACACAATTAATTGCCTAACACTAGACCCGGATCTCGGAATATAAGAACAATACCGCCTTTTCTCGCTAATCCCGTCTGTTAGCAGATCCACTTTAAATCTGATCTAACCGTTTTCAGCCAATAGAATCTAGGGTAAATTTAATAATACATTATTAAATTTTTATTTTTTTTTTTTTTTTTATTTATTATATATTTATAATATTATTTCGTATTAAATTAATAAAAATCGTAAAAAATAATTATTATTAATTATATCGAAATAATTTATATATATTACATTTATTATAATTATTATATATATACGAAACGTAAAATTAATTTTTTTTTATTATTTTAAAAATTATATTTAATTTTAACGATTTTTTTTATTTTAATTTTAATATTACGTATAAATTTATTTTACGGTAATTTTTTTTATTAAACGAAATAATTAATATATTAATTATTAATAATAATAATAAATATCGCGGTTAATTAAAAAAAAAAAAAGTTTAAAAAAATTATTTTATTAATTTAATTTAAAGTTTATAATAAATTTTTAAATAACGTTAAAATTATTTATACGATTTAAAAATTAAAAAAATATTAAAAAACTTAAAATTTATAATTAAAAAATAATCGAAATTTTAAAAAAAAATTCGATATTATTAAATATAATTAAATATTATTAAAATTTTTAAATTAATTATTTAAATTTAAATAATTTATATTATTACGTAATAATTTTATAATTATATTAATTTTTTTATTTTTTTAAATTAACTTTTTATTACGTAATAATTATTTTAATTTTTTATTAATTAAATTAAAATAAAAATTTTTAATTAAATTTTTTAAATTTTTTATTATTTTATTTTTATTTATATTTATTATAATTTTAAAAATAATTAAATTAATTATTATTATAAGTTTAATAACGTTAATAATTTTATTTTATTAACGTAATATATTACGAAATTTTTTATATTATTTTTTAAATAAATTTTTAATTTTAATTAAATTATTTTACGATTCGTTTAAACGTATAAACGTATTAATTTATATAAATTTTTTACGTATAATTTATTAATAATTAAATAATCGAAATGTTTTAATTATTTATTAAATAATTATTATAATTTTAATTTTTTAATTATTTATTATTAAAAACGATAAAAGTAAATTTTAAATTATATAATTATTTTTACGATTTTATATTTATAAATTATTAAAATTACGAAATAATTATTTAATTAATTTATTTAAATACGTATTAAATATTTAAATGTAATTAATTATTTTTTTAAAAATTATAATTAATAAAATTCGAATTTTTTTAAAAATTCGTTTTATTTTTTTAATATTATAAAATTTTATAACGTTTATAATTAATAAAATTTTATTTTTTATTATATAACGAATTAATTCGTTTTATATTTAATTAATAAATATTTTTTCGTTATTATACGCGTATTTATTAAATAATATTAAAATTTTTAAAAAGTATAATTTTTTTTTTTTTTATACGTAATATTTTTATTATTATAAAAAATAATTAAAAATTTATATATTCGTTTATTTATATTTATATAAAATAAAAAAATAATTTAACGTTTATTTTATTTATTTCGATTAATTTTAATTATAATTATACGCGTTTTTTTAATTTCGTATATATATTTATTAAAAAATTCGAAAAAAATAAAAATTTCGTTAAAATTTAATACTTTTTAAATCGGAAAATAATAAATAATTAAAAATAAAAATATATCGTTAATTTTAAAATTTTCAATATAATTAATTAATTATAAAAAATTATTCGATAAAATAAAACTCGTTATAAAAATTAAAAAAAATAAATTTCGTAATTAATTTATAAATACGGGATTTTAAATTAATAAATCGTTCGAAAAAAATAAATATTTTCGAATAAAAAAATAATAACGAATATATGTTTTTTTAATTTTATTAAATGTTTTATTTACATGTTTAATTATTTAATAACGATTAAAATAATATTTTTTTAAAAAATTCGTAAATTAATTATAATTAAATATAAATAAATTATTAAATTTTAAATAAACTTTTTTAAATAATTAATTAAAAATTAATTTAAATTACGTTTTTATAATTATTTTATTAATTATTTTTTTTTAAATAAATTTATTATATAATTATTTTTTAAATTCGAATTAATAAAAATTTAACGTACGAATTTAATTATAATTTTTTTTTAATATATTATTTTAATAACGTTATTATTTAAATAACGTAATTTTAAATATTTTAAAAAAAAAAAGTTTTTAAATAAATAAATCGTTAAAACTTTAATTTTAAAAATTCGAATTTATTAATAAAAATTAAATTAATAAATTTAATAAAATTTTAAATTATTATTAATTATTTTAAAAATATTTTAATATATATTAATTACGTTAAAATTTTAATTTTTTTTTTTTATATTACGTGGTTTATTTAATATATATAAATAAAATCGTTTTATAAATTAATTAATAAAAAATTTATATAATTAATTAATTTTTTTAATAATTAATAAAATAATAAACGAATTATTTATAATAAAAAATTTATTATTAAAATTAAAATAATTATAAATAAAACACACGTTTAAATAATTTAATATTTAAATTAATAAAGCTTTAATTCTAAACTAGCCGTATATGGCCAAGCGTGCTTAAAGTGGCTAGATCAGATTTAAAGTGGATCTGCCAACAGACGGGATTAGCGAGAAAAGGCGGTACTCGGACACCGGGTTAATCTGATAAGATCAAAGCCAATTGCCAAGATGCAGCTGGCGAGATGGATTTAACGGTATGCGGATTAAACCAACATTGGCAATCTGGGAAGTTTGGGTAGCACCAGTCCGAATCCGGGCCTTATATCCGCCAAAATCCGGTTTGAGACTCGGATTCGGTCGGTGTATAACGTGGCTGTTTTTTAGCTTCGAGAGCTGAGGATCGGATGGTTGTTTTGTGATGGATACCCTGAAGTATTAATAACTATCCGTGCCCACATGAGGGTATTCCATATAAACCAACCCTCAACCCAACCCAGTGTTCCATAGGTGCCTAGGTAGGTGATTGATATTTAGGCTAAGTATCTGTATATCGGTTAAGAATTCCCTTCTAGACATTCTCTGACTCATGGAAAGTTGCCATGAGAGGCATATACGAAGCATTGCGGTGAGGTACTAATAGGGACCCGCTGCGGCTGACGCTCAACAGGTTTAATATGAGATGCATGCACCACCTGGTTGTCGTACGTTTCAAGTTAAAATTGACGAGGGTTACGTAACTATACCATATGGGAATAGCTCATCCATATAGTAACACCCGAGGCCGATAGCGACTTTACGGATTTAGTAGCGAGACTCCTCACGTCTACTTGTGGATGAATGGTGATTCTAAATATACCCTAGTCCACGTCCCGTTTCGTAGGTATCATGATACCTTCACATTAAAATCCACAAACAAGCAGTGGCCGCGTTGATAGAGTGAGAGGAATGATATCAATTCCATCCCTAACTACACCTATCTCCATTCCTACCTATCCAAACCCGTATCCCCTTTTCCAGACGCCAAAGTTGGGTATTGTACCTAAATATGCTATATGTCAACAAAACAGCAACAGCCAAAGCCACAGTAGTAGTAGCAGTGAACCGTAGCAAGATATTACACCCGGATACCTAATAGAACAGCCAAACCAGTACCAGCCAGTTACTTAGTCAGTCTCCCAACTAACTCCCCTCCCACGACCTCAGCATATCCGTCAACCACGGATCATCCAACCACTCCATAGACGACAACTCCGGAATCGCCGTTCCAGGCGGAAACATCGTCTCCGCCCCCGCTCCCGCCCCAGACACCGGCGTACTCGCCGCCGCGACCGCCGTCGCAGTCGCAGAGGATACACACCCCAACTGTTCCAGCGTTGCCGTCCAGCTCGGGATCGTAGCCCTGAGCGCATTCGCCGCCTTCGTATAATAATCCAACATCTCTGGATCATCACTCGTCTCAATGCCGCAAATCTGGGGGACCTGCAAGAAGCGATTCGCGGTGCGTTCCATGACGCTCATGAGATCGATAGCCGCTTTGACGATATTCCGGTCCCACTCCGGGTCGTCGACGACCATCAGGCGGTACACCGTCTGTGTGGCGCGGCCGAAGTGCAGGGTTAGCGACATGGAGAGACACATGTATTCGCCTGGTGCGAAGGAGAGGAAGTTTTCTAGACTCGCTTTCGAGGCTTGCAGGCTGGAGTAGTAGGCGTCGAGTTTCCCGACGTCGATGCCGTTGCCGCTGCTGCCGCTTATGGGCGCGGGACGTGGCGGGTGGGCTGTTAGCCAGGGGTTTACGTTCCAGAGGGACATGTCGGCGATGGCGATTTCGGCGGCGTAGAGGTGCGAGAGGACGACTTCTGTTGGGGGGTTAGTGGATACGTTACGGCCTAGGAAGATGGTTGTGGTGGGGATGCTAGGATGCGACGCTGGTTTGATATCTCTAGAACGCTAGGAAGGTACAGAAGGTAGGTAGGAGGAGGGCAGAGGGTAAACGTACTGTTGTCTTTAAGGGAAGCCGGGAGCTCTTCTTTTATAGCCTCTAGGTTTGCGCGCAAGGCCTTGACGTAGATGAAAGGGGGCGCCTTCACCGAGTTCGAGTTTCCGGAATGGTCGGCAGCGCGCCAGGTTATCTGCGCGATGTCTTCCTGGATCCTGTATGTCCTTACCATCACAACGAGAAGCTCGTCATTTGGAGTTTCTGGTGATGCGGCAAGTTTCTGAAGCGAGTCTTCCATGTGAGGTGTCCATCGCATAGTCTGGGTTCTTAAAAAGTTTGATATGCTACATGAGGCAAAGGCTTAGCTCAAGCGTTTAAATTCAGAGTGAAGACATACATACCCCGAGCAAAGAATGAAACAGGCCAGGGTAGCTCTCCTCTCTTCATTCGTTCGATGAGTGGAGAGTACCTTTGGGTAGCCGTAGGTAGGTTTGAAGCAATGTAGCTCTCTATAAAAGTTATCCTGGGGCGGCTTGTCGAGACGAAGATCGGCGACAATTGTAACAGCCATGTTTATATAAGCATTGATATATGGCTTGCCGGTGAAATGGTGCATGCCCCTATAAGATTCGTTAATTTGATCCTCGATACGTAGACATAGTAAAGAGCACATGTGTATCTGGTGCTTCATGTAGAGTAGTAGGATGAAGTTGGATTGCATACCAGCCGAGATAACATACAACCCCAAGTAACAAATCAATATTTCGATCAAGATCTATCATCATCTTCTGTGCTAGATACTCTCTAATTTTCTGGCTGTAGGCTGCTTTCCTTTCCTGTGATTTGGAACAAGTACATGCTATCGTCAGCCATAAGAGAGGTCTTTCCTGTTGTAATTGTGCGACACTGTAACCCTGAGTTAGCCCATCACAATTTTCAATAAATACCTAGATAAGTAGGTACCTAGTAGGTAATCATGTGACACCAATTATAGAAAAAGAGAGGGCAATACTAACGTAGTTTCAGGCGGTATATATACGAACGGGAAGAACGGGAGGAATCGATCTTGGAATACCCGCAAGATCTCTTCGGCCTCGACGGGAGAGGGACCACCATCCTGAGACGAGGCGATAGACGGAGGGGTAGGGTACGAGTTCATACTCGTGAATCTCGTACAAAAGGCGGCTTCAACGGGTGGGGGCAGCGGCAGCGGTTGGGTGTTAGACGCAGCCTTATCACCCGGGACCGGCACTACCCCTATGGTCGGGTCCAACTCCATAGCAGGACCGGCATTCGCGTCGGGATCAATGCCGGGGTCAGGCAGATCATCGCTAGCGCCAGCCCTATAGGCCCCGGTCGGTGGCGTGCCAGCAGCCTGAGCCCGGAGTATGGAAACAAGGTCGTCGAGCTTCTCCTCGAGATGTGCCGTCCTTTCGGCGGCGGGGCGCCGAACGGCACGCTTCCGCACGCTAACAGATGGCACACATTGTTTGCCTAAACGCTGGCAGCGCTCGCAGATAGAGCCCAGGACGCCGCGGTTAATACACTTGCACTTGGCTTTGGAACAGTTGGTGCATGCTTGGCCGTAAGGAACGGATTTGCGGCCGTGTAGCGTTACTTGGCCGCCTGAAGTTGAACCAGTTGAATCGAGGTCCATTCTGCTGGGCAAGCGCGCCAAGTAAATTAGTAAGTATGTAAGTCTTATACGTATTGTGTCACGGAACGAGTCGAAACCGCCCAACGACGGTGAGACGATACACACGATTAGCGGGATCTAACCAGGCGAAAAACGATTCCCGTTCTCTTGACGGGATTGAAAAAACGTGGAGAATAAAATGAAGCAATGAGGCAAGATGTTTAATAATACTACGAGTTCGAAGAGTTGGGGTGTAGAATACTGTACAAGGCCTTTCAGGGCGCGGGATTCGGATTTATCGGATAGTCCAAATCCCGTTTTGGCTCTGCAGCGTGGCTGATGCTGATGCTCCGGATGATTTAATAGACACCAAACCGACTAAACCTGGGTGCCATAATTTTAGTACCCACCTAAATTTCACTCCTTTTCTACTAAATGTGATAGATTCCTTTTAATCTAGGTCTGCTAGGGGTGCGGTGAGACATGTACTTAGGAGGTAGGCATAAATCCAAACACCTATTCAGCAATCGTTATTTATGTCATGTCCAGGTTCACAGAATACAAAACACATAACTACGGAATATTCCTCTTACTTAATCCAAATTCCGACTTGGCAAGTCACTCACACACTAGGTAGCAGCATGCGTACCTAATCAATGCATATCACATAGCTCAAAAGAGTAATCCGAAAAATAGGGGTAAAGTGAAAGAACAGAGCTTCTCATTGCCTATCATCCAACCTCGTCGGCCTGGATTGATGGGATTGTATCTCCATCGCTGCAGAACCTCAAAGATGGCTCTCGACTTTTAACCCTGATAAAACGAGTAATAGCTAAACTGAAGCATTCCATAAACCATCCCGTCAAAATGCTGGGCTCATTGGATCTCTATCGCTGCCGGTTCTGGCACTACCACCGCTGGGACTACCACTACAGTCGCTAACAGCCTCCCCGTTGATATCACTTCGAGGTCCGGTAGGTGTAGGATATTCAAGGCCCAAAGGAACACTCGAATACCCCGAAAAACCAGACCCATCCCTCATATGCGAGTACGCAGGGATAGTGGTGTTTCCATCTTCCTCGGCTGCGCTGCTCTGCGTGAAACCGGACACATCGCTAAGCATCGACGACGAACGGCCTCTAGCCTTGATTCCGGGCTGCGGAGCATTTGGTGCCGCAGTTCCCTGTGGCACAAATCCGGGTCCAAGAGGAGAGGGTCCCCAAAGTGACGAGTTGTAGAGGGGATTGTTCCAAGCAGCCGTCGCTTCATACGTTGCCGTGCTAGTTGCGGGTCCTTGGACTGGTGGCGTAGGACCTGGAGAAGAGAAGGGAGCCGTAGCGTCGGGATATTCATACGATGCCGCATAAGCATACGCTGCCTGCTGCGTGTGGAACGAGTCTACCTGTGTTTTGAGTGCCATATTTTCTTGCTCCTTAGTATAGATGGCAAGATCGGCTTCGTTGATCTTGGCGATCAAATCACGCTCAACTTTTGCTATGTCGTTCTCGTATGTCTCTCGAGCTTGCCGTCTTCGCTCCGCTTCATCAAGCCCACGGGCATTGGCATCGGCGATACGTGCATGCTCACCGTCGACCTTGGCAATTCGGTTGCTGATCTTGTTGCGTTTGGCTTGGAGACTTGTCTTCTCTTCTTGAAGGCCCTTCATTCCGCGATCGACAGACGATTTGAATCCTTTAAACGCAGTAACGGCGCCATCATATTTGGCCTTCTCGTTCGCCCACGCAGCCTGCTTAGCCTTCCAAGCAGACCTCAAAGATTCAGGGACAGAATCCAGCTCCTTCAATTCCGATTCTACGTTAGTAATAGCCTGTTCGGCCTGTTTGTGCTGGGTAGTGTTCTGCTGGATTTTCTGGCGTAGCTTATCGTCACCCGTGCCGGCTGACTGAACAGCAGTAGAGAGCTTTTCATTCTCTTTCTTCATAGCATTCGCCTTCCGATGAAACTCCTTCCGTAATGCCTTTTGACGCGCCTTTTCCTCGGACAATTTACTTTCAGCTGCCGCGATCGATGTCTTGAGGGTCGTGATAGGTGAATCGGGTCGAAGGGAGCGCTGGCCTGACGGCTTCGTAGTGCTAACATCTACATCTGCTGACTTGGCCTGGGTAGTTCTAACGCTAGTCGAAAACAAAACCTCGTGCGTCGTCGTACTGACAAATTCGCACTCGTAATTCGACATAGGAGTAAGCCCATAAATATCTCCACTCCATCGAGTTCCGCGACTGAGATCCCCTTCGGAATCCTGCACAGGCAACATTCTAGTAGGCTGCCAGACCGCATTATTGACACGGACGTAGAAGGGTTTGGGAATATCGAGTGAGACGGTAGGTTCCGGAGTATCGATGAAGTAGCTAGTATTGAAACATACTTCGTCACATCCAACGTAGGTGATCCAGATTTGGTCGGGCTGCGTGTTGAATGGAGCGTTGCCCAGGTTATGAATATCAGTAGCATTCGAACCTGCAGACTCCGCTGCGGCGTGGGTAAGTTCGTATTCTTTCACGACGACAATTTTTGTGCTCGCTAAAGCTGCCCAGAGCGGTTGTCGGTTCCGAATCTGGGCACTCTGTTTTCTTTTCTTTTTTGTAGTTAACGCTGTTGAGTTTTGAAGGGAAGCAGTATCGCTATCCGGTGTCGAAAATCCTCCGTCATTGTCTGCGGTATAAGATTTTCCGGCCTCGGGATCGGCGGCATTCTGGGCTAGAATATCACGCCTCTCCCGCCTCAAGTACCAATCGCGTATGTATTTTACGAGACCTTGTGTTAATATATGAATGGCCAATATGCTCTTGACCCAACCGAACCAACCCGTCTGAACCCTGTCATAGCCGCGTATAGACTCAAGGGATTCTAACGGGTCGTCAAAATCGGGTGTCATGAAACGACTCGAGCCTAGAAGGTATCCTACGGGTGAATATTTCATCTTGGTATGACGCAAGACGTGAGATAGGAGAATCATGCTTAGGCAGATGAGAGTATTCTTCATGGATCCTCCATCTCTTGAACTCGAACCGCCACCTAACCCTAGTGCGATGACCATCTGTGCCAGATCAAGGATAACGTGTTGAATCGGACCCCATAGGAATAACCAGATCAGAAGTACGATGCCGTCGACGCAGATGACAGTTGCCAAGGAGGGTGCACCTAGGTTCCACTCGAATACATCGCTAAAGGTGAGGCCGTTGCTAGTCACAAAGGTAAGTAGGGTGAAAAGCACGTAAATACCGGACAGTGCAAGAGGGGGGATCTGCATCAAGATGATGAGGATGGCGATGGTATCTTGCAGAGGACATGATCGTAGAACGGTAAGAGCGAAATCGACGCCGAACGGGCCGGGGTCACGGTGGACGTTAGAGTTCTTAGTAGCATTGACGTCGATCCGACGATGGTTCTCCTCAGGGATACCATTGCCGAGATGAGAGTGGTAAGACTCCGATGATGACGACTCCGAATAGCCACCAAGCGAGCCTCTCCTCAGAGACTCGGTAATCCTATTCTCTGCCGGCATCTCAGTCGGTTGCTTGGAATAGCCGTTCGCAGAGGGTGGCGGTGTTGAGGGAACAGGGGGTATAGCCGCATCGTCGGGGGGCTGCTTCGCATTTCCGTTTCCGTTTCCGTTCAGGTGGTTGAGGCTCTTCTGTTTTGATACGCGCTTTCCGGGACCTACCAGGCCATTCTCGTGTCTAGTATCGCGATGATTCGAGGCACCGTGCTGTCGCTTTGCCGATGCTGAAGCGCGAGGCATACGCTTGCGTATTGCTGACTAGACCCAGAAGCTTGTTCCGAGCCAGCCAGTCAACCGAAGGCGACGAGGACTACTACAACACCAAATTCTCTTTCCTTCGGCGGATCGAAGGAGACCAGATCGACCAAAGGATAGAGGGGAGGGTGGAATTACGCTCTGTAGATCGTCCCGAAGTAGGAATCATGGGAGGATATTCCGTAAGAGAATGACGGGGACGGGGACGGGAACGGGGCGAAAAGGAAGGGGGAAAAAAGAAGGTTCTCAAGATTTGCCGCCGTCATGCGCAGTGACTTATTTCAACGGACAATGTTAAAATACTCTAAGTTCACCGTATTAAGGTGATAAGAATTATTAAATAATATCAAATTGCAACCCGAGATGGAAGAATTATCTTGAATCCGCAAGGGACTCGGGTGCGTAGATGTGGGAGATCAAGATCGTGGGATTGGATTATTGGATTATTTGATCAAGATGGGAATTGCTTGGTGGGAGAAAAAAGGAACAAAAAAGCAGTACAACGATTCAGTGTGAACGAAAGCATCGACCACGGGTACCGTAGATACATGTAGAACAGCCGCGATCGACTAAGTGGATTATGTACCTTGGTACAAGCATAAGGATCGCACATGCCTGCGCGAGAATAGAAAATGACAAGTACAGTACAACCCACACTTTCTACGGCTCTACCTACATCCATGGATAGTACTCAGGTACCTTCCGACCCCCAGGTGCTGCTGGTGCTCCAGGCTGTAGGAACCCTTGTAATCGTAACCCTACCCACCTGTAGTCTACCGGCAGGAACGATACAATTAGACCTGTAAATGTCGGATGGCAGCTGGAGGATTAGCACGATGGGAACAAACGCTCAACGTGCCTCCAGTGCGTGCGCGCGCGGGAAGGTCGGAGTGGGTTTATCCATGGATGTCGCACAAGGCACTATTTCGGGGGCTCGGGGGGCACTATTCGGCCACTAGATTTTGTTTTTCCAGTGGCTGGAATCACAATGGATCTCCATTTCAGGCTTCTAATAAAAGTTTCAATTATCTATCACGAGTACCGGCGCATAGACTGGGTTTTGGTAAGTGCTCTTGGTAATTTAGTGCTTGTGGTACAGAAATTTACTATTAACGGATTGGATATATTTCTGTTAGCGTGCCTGCTGAATTTTCAGCGATATTCAGCAATATTCAGCGAAGGCAACTACGAAACATGTACTATGTAACTTAAACCCGTCGGAGTTCCCTCTTCAATTCAGCTTTCCCCAAGTCTTTCCCCCTAATCCCTACCGACATACAGAGAGGTATTGTACCTAGAAATCCCTTTCCCTAGTCCTCTCCATAAAATTATCCTAACATCTTTCTTATACACGTGCACCAACGACCCTGATTTTAGAAACGGACTGCAAGAATACCTGCTGTCAGCATTTCAGCCCTTGATAATGATTGGTCTATTAGCTCACGCGGCTATGTACGCCTGGTATGCGCATTACCTGACAATATAAAGATAGCAGCAGAACAAACGTCAACAGCCAATCCGTTTATGCTCGATAATTGGAACTAGGTACCCAGATTTGAAGATCTCTGCTATCTCCTTAAGACTTGGCGAGCTTCCCCAACTTGCTTGGCGTTGTCATCGAACAGGCGACATGGCAGTTCAATCGTTGTACCGGACAACTTGGAACTACTAGGTAATAGGTCACATACCTACCGTCGCTTCGTGTCGCCTTGCTTGCGTCGCCTTTAAGAGATCTGATTTCTTACGATTACACAAGCGGTGAGAGCATAAAGACGCGTCACTATTAGACCAAAATAACTCATCATATTCGTCTTTAACTGAGTATCTATCGACGTTTGAAAGTCTTACCAACAAACCAAACAGTACCTACAAATGAGGGGAGTTGATATTGGTGGTATAATATGGTATGTTATTACATGTCTATGAACTCCTCTAATGACTCAGATACGATCGACGAAAATAATTTATTACTATGTGTCTAGCCATAGACGATACTCTCAAGCTAGCCAATAGGAGACAACTCATTATGTACTTGTAAGGTTCTTCCATGTTTTATTTTTTTTTATTTTTTTCGCCATGCCCTTTTCTTCTCGGTCATATCTGGTTCTCTCGCTTGCCCCTCTCACATACTAGGTATACGAGATCTCGAACTCTTCAACGAAAACCCCACACAATATGGGGACTTCTGTGCAAAAATTATTTACTGGTGCCGCCATTATCGACATCTAGAATTCGGCGAGCCCTAATAAATACAAGACGAACAAGACGATCCGTACAGTATACCATACAATACTCCAACGAATAACACATAACAAAACTTCATCCTATGCACGTTGATGAATAGGGTCTCATTATATGTACTGTGATAACGCAGCATTGCTGTATCAGGAGATCATATACATTCCTTGAGCTTGTTCAGACTTCCAACTCCTGTCGTGCTTCTATATTATTCCTGTTCCACCTGAGACATACAGATCTATCTACAGTAATCTCTCAGCCCAAGCCTCAGTTTCTTCGATAGCAGCCCAATGTTTCCCACCAAAAAATAGGCATTTCATACCATTCTTTATTCTAACAAAAGACAGGAGTTTCGATTCATATTCATCATGACAGCATCGCAATAAGTCCCAACGCGGGGCAGTCCCTTAATGCCTCGATGATCATCGATGCAACTTAACAGGGTTGGCATTGACGATGTACAGTACATCCATCCTCCTACTCCAGGTAACGAAGAATGTCGAATTGTGACTGGCTAAAGCAAGAGTCCAGGAGCCGATTCCAGGGCGAACAACGGCAATCTATGTGGAGTTGGCGGAGTCAGCAAAAGTCATGCAGCACGCCTGCAGCCAGTGAGTGAGCAGCAAATTTCAACTCGCATAGTCGATCACTGCCCGACGAGTGCCGCTAGGCTTAGTCTGGCTCTTACTTAAGAAATAATGTCCATTTTATATTCGACTAGGATCAGTAGGGCTCGCGAGCACTCCGAAAAAACGACGCTTTCTGACTGGCTCTTTTGTCATTCACTGCTCACTTGGGGGCAAAAAATCCCTTCAGATAAAACCGCTGCGAGGAACAGGACACGCCCTCCGCCGTCTCCTCTTCGCTACATATCGAGGCTGTACTGAACCAAAAGCACGCGATTCCTTACCAGGAAGAGCTTCATGACTGGTCTATTATCAAATGCGAGAGACGATGACGGAATATAAGTGTTCAACCAATCTCATCACAGCACCAACTTAACAATGTTTCATCAGCAAACAGTCGATCAATAAAACATCGTGCCCCCACACCACCATCTTACGGAGGCTAGCAGCAAATTGACGAAGCCAATTCGATGGCCCTGTCGGCATTTGAGCGGTTGTGAGATCGTCTACCGAAAAATAGAGCCCTGCCGTTCTCATGGCATCACCCGATATTTAATGTCTCAGTTACCGATGCTATACACGGGAGTTAAACTCAACTAAGACATACTAACGCTGTTATGTTTTTCCTTCTTGACGATTCAGGGGCACTAAAGCCAGAGAAACCGTTCAAAGGTTATCGTGCATCTTGACGAGTCCCCTCTCGATCCCCCATTTTCCCGGCTATTACATTCGTACATACCTAGGACTAGGTACATACGCTACTCACCGCTTAACCCCCTCATCTCATCTCTCGTCGGTTTATATTGTGTCCGTTGAACTGTAAACATCGTAAGATGTCAATGACCACAAGCCAAGCTATTATAGTAGATCTACCTCTTCCTACCCAAAACTAACATATTTATTATTTCAACCTTGCCGATGACACATAGTTTCCCGCTTCCAAGTTCCCTTTACCATTTAGTCAAGCTATACCATTGTGGGGTATATACCTTTAGTTGAAGAAGTCTTCAACTACACATGATCACGAACCGCGTCTCTAGTCGCGAATACCAGCATACAGTAACATCGTCACAGAAAATTTTTATAGAAAGGTAGGTAACTTCAAGAAATGCTTAGTCCTTTTACATAACCTATCACATGCTTCTTCGAGATAACCTGATAGCTCGATAACTCGTAACATGTAACACGCCAATTCCTCTTCCGGACTTAACGCCCCTAAAAAGGCCATCCCAGCGCATCCCATCCTTACTCGGATAGGCAGGCGGTTTTCCCTCACAGCCCAGCTGCACCCGTGGACCCAGTTCTGAATAAATAGCCTAGGTAGGACGGCCGGACCTACATAGAGTTGCAGGCGGGTGGCTTGCATTCGAATGCTCCCCTACCGAGTACCTACCTTCACTGCTCCCCAGCATCACGGTCTTCCTTTCCACTTCGGTCCAAGGTAGGCAGGTGCTAGATATGGTAAACCGGCGCGCGGAAAAAGTTTCATTTGACGTGCGTGTCGATGCGGGGATTAAGCCGCAAAAGAGGGGATGACGTCGATATGAGGCCAGAACTCGAGGTTCTTTTTTTCGTGGGACCACGTTCGGGACTTTAGCCTCGAGCTGCTGCGTTTGAGATGTCCTTTTTTTTTCGGAAGATTCCTTAATTGCGTGTGGGTTAGGTTAGGTACGAAGTAGAGAAGGTATGTATCTCGGCACACACGCTTTAAGGGGTATGGCGTTCGTACTGACGAGGCACGTTCCTCTTCGTGACACGGCTTTAAGGGTTCTGGACCTGTGGGGTGGCATCGATGGACGTATATATGAGTGTATTATATGCTGTCGTCGTGGCCTCTTTTATCGGAAACGAGTTACTATCCATTGACTCAGCAAACTTGCTTATCTACATTAAATACCTGCCATAACCCCTATCTTCATGGGCGCATTCTAGGACCGGGAGTTCCTTGCTGGCGAGAAATAAGAACAAACATTTGGTATTGCGCATTGAGACTTGTGTTACTGCTCGTAACATCAGTGTCTCCCAGCAACATATTGACCGAGGCGATGCGGCCGAAAACATTGATTTCGCTAAAAACAAGGAAAGGCGGATATTAGAGAATTGCGCCATATGAGTACAAGAAGACAGGCATCGATGTCCCGAGAATACGAGTCTATACCCCTAACCATCTCCATCTTGTACTTATCCAGGAGTTCAAGTAATTACGTGTATTCTAGACGTAAGAGATGTTGATAATTTCCAAGGTTTATATAAAACTGCTCTTCTATTTCGACTCCCCGAATAATGATAGCCAGTAGTTGGATCTTGACATCTCGCTAGACAGATGCCTACAATGTAGGTAGGTAATGCTCAAAAATCATGGCGTTGACCCTTTCAATTGCCCCAGAAAGAATATAGTATACCATTTCCTTTGGTATATTACTCCAGTTCTCCAAACGCAATATCCACGCCATCAATTAACCAACGCAGAGCAACATAGGTTGATATATACTAGCAAAGATATGGAAGATACAAATGCAATGTCAATTTGCTAGATCGCTGTATATCGCAAAATCAAATATGAAGTCCTCCATATCAAACAGATTCTAAACGCCAAACCATGCCATACTAAATCCCCATTCAACAAATCGCAATGCTCAAAATCCAAAGCTCATTGTCTAATGACCACCTCTCTTACTACCCCGCTTAGGCAAATACCTAACCTGACTGGCGCAATTGCCCTGGTCGCCCTTAAAGCTATCCTTCGCCGGCACAAAATCGCCGCCCTGCAAGCTGCCCTTGACGAAATACACGTACCAGGCCTCGTGCAGCACATTGTGATGTCTGCCCGTACACTTGAGGATGACCTTCCCGCCGCTGAAGTTCTCGAGCGTGGACTGGATCTTGGCGAGGTCGTAGGTCTTCTTGTAGTTGGGCTCGATGCCGACGTGTTGCAGGGCCCAGTACGTGTCGAGCTGCTTGAACAGGCTGAAGGCGCGCACGAAGTAGTCGACGACTTCGAGGCCCGGGGTGTAGCTGTCGCCGTAGCAGGAGGGGGCGAGCGTGTTGATGCAGGTTGCATGTTTGTTGTATTCGTGCGCCCAGAGGTGGTTGTTTGTACCGCTGTTGTTCATGTTAGCATTCTTATTACATCATTTATGACACCATGATGGTCCTGGATTATCCATTGGTGGGGTGATGGGTGATAGACGTACTAATTCGCGATCCAATACCGGTTCATATCCGCTAGCAACTCGCCCTGGCCATAGTGCTCCAGCACCGTGCTGATATTCTCGAACCGAGGTGCCATGCCGCAGAACTGGTCATACGAGCCATCGCATAGATCTGGCCATAGCCCATGTAATGTCCAATCTTCTTCGTTACCACCGACGTGCGCCTTCTCGTCCCAGAACTGCGTGAGTAGTAACCGCCCACCGGGGTGGATGAAGCAGCATGAATCGGCTGCAGTGTTGTTGTTGCAGCTTACGGGACTGTCGATGGGACAGGACGGCGTTCCGGTCAGAGGATCGTAGGGTTCGTAGGGGGTGACGGAAGAGTCGACGTCGACGGGTGCCTGGGGGTTGAGGGCCGAGAGCGGGTTCGATAGGTTAGGGAGGCCTAGAGGGAATTGCGAGACAAAGTTGCTCGCATACGCGAGTACGGACCGCAGGGAAGCGGCTGAAGGCATATTCAAACTACTTATATATCTAACTCTGAATTATGAGGATAAATATTAGGAAATATGAATGATGAATGGGATAATAGGTGATGGTCGCTGACCGAGATGGTTCTTGTAGTTCTTGTAGTGAGAGGAATGCAAGTGGTTACGGAGATAGCTACAGAGTTCCGACTAAGGGGAGTGGAACTCTGACGTTTTGGCTGAGGGGCTAAGCTGCTTTAGGATTGATTATTGGATCTGATTGGTCTAGATATGTATGTACCTAAGTACCTAATGCATGTGAGCTTTAATCCCCTGGAATATCATTGATTTTAATTCGATGCTTCTTATCACGTTCTACTTTCTGGAGCACTCATTTGATTCATGGATGCCACGAAAGGATACCTAGGTGACATATTCTCAGCACGAGGTGAGCAGTTAGCAAGATCCATACACCTGACTCATCTTCATCGCCGTGATAAAAATACAAGGCAGTACAAGCTATATCTGCTACCTATTAATGCAAATGAATTCTACGGACCGCGAAGAGCATGCTGTCTTTCTGGGTATCAATGCCATCTTTCTTTAGCCACACCACCAATAAAAACGCCACCTCTTGTTTAAAGGGATATATTATTAACGAAGTAAGGATATCCTCCAACCGTGATTCAAAAGGGTTCCAAGGTTATAGTGGTTGACTGCAACTACTCATGCAAAAACACCATCGAAAACATCGAGTCCGGAAGATAGGTGGTCCGTCCGTCTCTTGCGCATCCAACTCTTTCTTGGGTATCTCTATTACTCCGGAATAAAGGCTAGCCAGTCTAATCTAATCGTAGGTAATTCGGGGTTAGTAGCGATAGTGATCGTTCAACACTTGCTGAAGTCACTGTTCTAATGGATGTCTAGAATTGTTAATAAAGCAAATCGAGTTTGGCGTCCTCGGGCAAGAAGGAACTTTCCAAGCTTGTCAACTTGTTAAACAGCTTCCCAATCCATAGCGTCCACCATAAACTCCCAATCATCCTCCTTGGCCTCTATTGGTTTATTCCCCCTCTTGCGTAGATACTCAACAGCAACAATGTGCGCCTCTTCAATTGCCGTAAGAATGGTTTGCATGATCACCTCGAGGTTGTAGCTCGAAAGAGATAATGGCGCAAAGTTGATTGGGTCGGCTTCGTCGATATTCTTCCAGCGATTTCGAAGGTCCTTGGCTCTCGACAATTGGGTCCGAACTTCTGGCTTGCCGAATATGCTGTAGAGTGGGTTCTTGGGGTCTTGGAGGGCGGTCAAGACGTTCTTGTGATAGAAATGTTGGATGGGACGCTCCTTAGAGTCCTCAACCGTGTTTTGATCTGAGCTCTCGTCCTTAGCGTTGTTCATTCTGATAACTCCATCGATTATGATTCCATTGCGCCTGACTATGACCCCAAATATGCCCATAAGCCGGACAAGGGCGCGCTCAATTAACATGTAGAACTCGTGAAAATCCAACTTAAACTGGGTTTCACATGCTTGGATTTGCGATTGCTCCTTGTCGGTAACTTCCTTAGCCATACTATATCCCATCTTAAGGAACGGTAGTTTCCAATTGAGTCTAGCAACGATCTTAAGAAATCGTGAGAACTCTTGTTCAGGCAAAGGTCGATCTTCGAATTGGAGAAGAAGGGTTTCGGAATGGGATGCGGACATCGTCGCATTGGAGGATGAAGATCGTGCATTTTGACCAAGACGTCCGCGATGTTTATTTATGCGATTATGCTGGTTCTTTGGCGCCCAGCGCGAGTCGTCTAGTCCGCCGGGCATGATTGCGGTTGTATTTCTTGGGTAACAGGGGGGAAACGATAGTGAGGTATGTATGCTAGATTGTTAGACGACATGCTTTAGGGGATAATGTTTATAAGCCAAAAAAAAAAAGAATGTATTTCGGTCTTGTTCTCCTGGAGAGGAAAAAGAAGTTGGGGTGATGAAGGTGAAGAAAGATGAATAGTCACTATTTTGTGAATTTTGATGATAAGGTTGACAAGAGAAGGTCGTTATTTCCTTTCGATGATTCGCTGCCAGGCAGTTACCAGGTAACTAAAATAATTATCTCCGTGACACACCTGCTACGCGCCGGGAATCGGAAAAGGTCCGGCAAAATATTACGTCATTGACATATAGGCGCATGGTCCCTTTATTAGTGCGGTCACGTCTCTCCCGAGATTGATGAAGATTCATACTTCATACCTAATATCCTGTGTAATAATTCGAAATTGTGATATTGATTTTTAATCACAAGAGTAAGAAGTTTTATATTTACGATGAACCTAGCTAGGTGCCTAGATTCTATCCTCTTTCACCTAAAAGCAGGCTGACTTCTCATCTAAGTACTCGGCTTCACTCAGCTACTAAATTCCGCAATATTAACCTACTCATCTCACCGATATTTCTCTATTCATTAAAGTTTACATCATCTATTTACCGACTAATCGTCCCTGGACGACTAAGTCAGGAGTCTCCTAACGTTCTATGTGGGTATGCTAAAGGACTGAGTCATGACCCAATAACTTTACAGGAGGGGCCCCGTTTTCGCTGAGACGACTACGACGTAATAAGTGAGTAAGTAGGATCCCTTTTCTTGGTGCTCTTTCATTAGTAGAGTCTAGTAAAATACCAACTGTGCTTGGCTTATGAGTCCCAGCCATCTCGAATAGACAGCAGTTTGCTCATTACGAGATCGGTCGGCAACCCGCATAGAAGAATCTTGACCTTGTACTCCGATGATGGTGGCTAGAACCAGTCGCTTTCCGTGTGATATGCCGCCAAGATTTATATTGTTCCGATGTGCTGGTTATATTGAGAATATCGGCAACTTACCGCCAGGCACGGGTATCCATGTTACATCTTCGCGTATGACGGCACGATGAGCCTCGACGGCCATCACCGACCTTCCCATATCTCGCATGCATTACCCGTATATCGGAATAAGGTTGAGATGGTGTTGCCGCCGTCAGCCTAACCGTTATCCTCTCGGGTCTAGATTATCCGCAAGCTTGGAGCCGGATTCCTCACCCGTCCCTCCACAATGGCGAAAGGTCTGAGGTATTTAAGATTCGAGCCATTGGTGGGAGGACACCCTTTCGACCAGTCTGATAGACATCAAAAACACTGCGACGTAAGCATTCGTTTTTATAAGATATTGACTGTCCACGCGCTCGCTTTCTATTTGCCCCCTATTACGACAGGCTAGGAAATTAGGATATTTCGAAACTCCCACTTCCCAAAATGCGTCCTACAGATATTCTTACTGGCCTCATCGCCCTCGCATCTGGTGCTCATTCCGCAGCCCTTCCCCGAAATGATCCATACGTGGGCGATCTAAGGACGTTTGGCCAAGTGGACTGCTCGGCCGACAACCAAGGGGTCGGCACTTTCACCCAGTCAATGACTGGCATCTGCAACCAATGGCCCGAAGCGTTCAGTTCCATATACGTCCACCTTACAGATGGATGGGTCTGTGAGTATCCTCCTTCTATATCACCAATAAATCTTGCTATCGTGACGTGGAAGTGCATTGCTAACTATTTGTTATTGAAGTCCACGCCTATACCACCTCTAACTGCTCAGACAATGGGACCTTCATCCAGGGGTCTGTACCAAAGGATGGATATCCTGTCGTCTGCAATAACTCTCCTACTAAATGGATTGCTTATACCGTAGATCGGCTTGAGCCTCAGTCGCCGTCTGACGGATCCCCTACTACATCTACACCAACATCTACACCTACACCTCCTACACCTCCCCACGGACCGCCACATGGTTGGCCTCCACATTTTGGACCACCTTCTGACGGATCAACTCAGAACAACTCATCTTGATACTACGTCGAGTGGTTGCGTAATCAGTTTATGAGGACTATACCGCGTGTTGATAAAAAGTGTCGCCTGAATAAAGCCACGGGGATTGGGCGAGAGAAGTTCGCGAGAGCCATACTTCTGGCAACGAGGGCCTATCCTTCTCATTTATCACATTGCTAGGATTTGTATACATGTGCAGATGTACACAAAACAATAGTTGGAAAGGATACTTTCACATACATACAAGTACCATCCCAAAACGTTAATACTAGATAAATTACTCAACAAGAGCTTGTAATTTCTAGTTACTAAAGTCCTTAAAATTATATTTATAACCCCATTCCACCTCCTCACTAATTGTCGTCTCTTATAGTTATGCTGGACTTGTTCTTGGCAAGCTTGGACATGACTGAGATATTTATCCTTAAGGAATATGGCTGATAATCCTACTAACCGCTAGCAGGTGGTCTTTCTCAAAGTATAGCATCCGGGTAGTATAATCATCAAGAACAGTATCCCAAGGTTGCCTTAACCCATCCCTGTCCGCTAAATTGATTGTTTAAACATAGTTTCGCTTAGTATTATACCCTACCCAGTGAAGATGCTCGCAACACTGCTCCATCAAACACCAATAGACCATGAGCTCATTATACTCCCAGATCATTTCCCCTAACGCGAAATGAAGATACCGAGTCGAGATGTCAGGAGCTAAGAGGGGAAAGTAAGGTAAGAGCGTACTCGCTATACATGTTGTGTAACACACGTACGGGCGAACATGAAAGGCCTTTCACAGAGAATGTGAGAGAATGTGGGCTTAAATCACTGTTCAACCCTACCTCTAGGTACTTACCTACCTAGGTACCTACCCTCTACGGTAGGTAAGTAGCAAAGTATTTCTACAATCTGCACTTGCTAAGACTTTTACGTTACTTAAGTATTAAAGTCCCTAACGGAGTTCAGAAAAATTAACGCTGAAAATATCTCAATGACCGTTATGAAAAAATTTAAGTAAACCTTTTTTAATAAAATGATTTTTTAGCATATTAATCCTTCGTAAAATTAAAATATAAATTAAATATTTTAAAAAATTTAACGCGGTAAAATTTAATCCGTGTTTAACGGCTAAAGGGACAAGAAATTACTTACTTAAGTACATAAATTAAATACTCGAGCAATATTTTGATGTATTAAGCCTTTTAATCTGGCAGCCTACGTCAGCATCCATTTTATTCGATCAACAACCTGTTCCTAGATCAGTTGTAGACCAGTTGGATCTCAGCCACATAATCAAACAGGGATACGTCACTCTACCTAGGTACTGAATGCAATAAACATCGAGGCTGTGGGTGGCTGCTGGATTGGGCTTTATCAGGGACGATAAATACCTATATTCGTTCTACCGCCTCTTCTTCAAAACCGAAAAAAACACAAGGCTGGATACCTCCTACTAGCTACCTACCTACCTTATATATCTTGTCTCTCTTGCAACGTGAACCTCTACAGATACTTATTTTTTTCTCTGATCCTCCGACTGGTTTCTTGCCTAGTTGGTACGAAAGGCTGTGACCAATTGCCACATGAGAGCAGATCAGCAGGATTACCAAACTCACCGAAACTAATAACACATTTCATATAGTTCTATGACGATGGAAGTACTCGGTGCTGTTGCAGCTGCGGGCCAACTTTTTGGCACAGCTATTGGTCTCATGGATTCGATAGTCCAGCTCCGTGACTTCCTTCAGCATGCCCCGGAACGCTATAAAGGCTGGCACACTGAGTTGACAGTGCTTGGTGATACAATAATTTGCATCATCGACAACCCCGCATTGCACACGTTCCAAGTTGCGCGCATCGTTCACTCCATAGACCTCAAAATCAAAACCCTGAAGGACCTTTGCGCTCAATATATACAGAAATCTAAATTGAGCTTTATATCAAGGTTGAATAACGCCTTCTCAGCTCGCATTGTCGAGCCCCGTATTCTTCAGATCCTTGAGTCCTTAGAGCATGATAAAACAACTCTACTCCTTACATTAAGCATATTAAAAGAAATATCATCGGATGAAATTTCTCGTCAGGCAAGCCCAGAGCCAGAAGAGGCAAACCAAGGCTCCCAAAACATACATCTCAATGGCTTAATACCATGTGAAGCTGTGAGTCCTTCCAATGTCGTTGATGAAGATGAATACCTATACATGCTAATGGAATATTGGCAGGCATACAATCACCGCACTAGACTTCGCCTAGCATCTTCTACGAGCACCAATAATCCGACTTCTTCACATAGTGAGTGTCAGGTCGAAAACGCAAAAAACAATGAGAAGGACATTGTCGCTATGAATAAGTCAAATAAAGGAATATTTGGTAATTGCATTTGCCATTTGAATATAAACATCTATAAATAATTCTGATAGAGTTATTCGGTGCCTGATCTCTCGCGTGATGGACGGTATGATTTATTAACAGGTAGGTACCTTCTAACAGGGGCTTTGCCCTCAGAACTAAGTTAATCTAATATATCCACACTCGACTGACACAATCAAGGAACTACCATTCCCTAGGGCAATCAGGGAGTGTGGAGGGCTCAAAGGGTTTAGCAGACGGTTCGAATCCGCGTAATAGACACATGCTAGATTTCGTGCATAGAATTTCATTGGTAGATGGAATAGAATATCCCTCACAAAGAAGGTACATATGGCTTCGTCGGCTATATCCAGTCCTACCAGGTAGATAATTGATGTTATATGATTGAGGCTCAAGGTCTGGGCTGTGCTCACTCACTCGGATATCCTCCAACTCAATGTTAATTTCGTAAATTAATAGGAGGAGGATAGTGGTCATATCGTCAGATGGGTGACCAGACACACCTGTCTGTAAGACTCCTAGAAGTTACCTAGATTAACCTTTTAGATAAATTGACAGGTATGGATGTAATTTGTATAAGTAGGTAAGTACCTCAACTGAGCACCTACCTTTGTTATACATTATACTGAATACATTCTGTTGCTGGTTCATAGGAGATACTTTGCTGCGTAGGTAGGTAGATACCTACTTCCAAACATGAATACATTGTCTCACCTGTATATATCATACTTACTAAAGGAAAAGACATATCTAGGTACCTAGGTAGATAAATCAGAAAAAGGGCTATCGGTCGCCGTCTCGGTCTTGACGATGAAATGCCCATATTCAGATTGCTCTGAACTTACGCCTTCTTTCTATGACTAATATAATCCTGTGAAAGTATTACATCGAGACCTCTCATAGGAATGACATTGTTACGGTTAGTAATTCAATAAAAAACAATTCAAACAACTCCGAGGAACCTTCACCACCATCAGTACACTTCCAGATCTACTGAATTAACTCAACCCATACGTACCCCTATAGCTCCTTCTTTCAGCCAGACAGGGACAATCACCTCCTACCACTACTCATCGATCTACCATTCACACATCTAGTCTACGTTCATTAACATCTACAAAAAGCTAACAACTAAGAAAAGCAAACTATGCAAGAACTCATGAATTTCGGATATCGTCAGAAGTCTACCTAACCTATCAGAGAGACCAATTGTTAGAGGTCTGATCGGAACAACCCTTCGATCCATGCGCATGCGTGCGAAGACCAGTCAACAACTAATCCGACGACAAAGGACAGTTTAGCAAAGAGCAAGGCGTGTATGTAGAACGATCCTAAGCAAGATTTCCGCGTGCAATAAAGTCTTTGTGTCGTTATCGTCTCATCTGCTAAGTCCACATCATGACAGGTTCGGAGGACTACCCGTCTAACCCTGGGTGTCAGCGATACTAAATTCCACTAGAGTCATTGAATTGAAACACCTAGATCTAGCACGTGGCACGTTGCAGCATAAGAAATCATGATTGTGCGGGTTGAGCAGGCTAGGCGCGGCGCGTAAAACACGGCAGGCCTCGCCATTCTCGATTTCTTGAGTAGAAGCAACTAACGTACATCGAGTAGGTACTTCAACGCCAAAATAATGAAACTGTGGAGATGCGTGTGGTGTTATGTTGTAATAGCAGGATCAAATCGTTGTGAAAAAGGCACCATCCTCATTCCATTTCGTCACCCCCTCCTTCCGAGATGTCCAACCATTGCCCCAAAACCCATCCTTAAGAGCGTGGGAAAAATGTGCTGAATTTCACCTCATACCATCCATATACGTGTAGCCTTATCGCAAGGCATCCTTATCATAACTAGCATCAACTGGCGGGACTGTTGACGATCAAGGGCCCCAAGATACATGGGCGCTTAGATGAAATATGCCCGTCAGTTTAAGTCTCGGGATTGATTTCTCGAGCTACCGGACTTGTCTTGGTCAGACGTGGTTTTCTTATCCTTGCGCGACTTGAAAACGAAATCACCCATGATGTGAATGTGGTCCGCCGGGAAATGGTAATTCGGAAAACCCGGTACCCGCTTCAGGTATTCGTAATCGGGTGGACCTAGTAGCTCGATCACATCTAGAGTATTGGTAGTATACCAAATGTAATCAATGACACCGGAAAATGTGGGGGTGTAATTGGTAAATGTTAATTCGTCGGGGGTACCGAAGAGGTGAGCATACGAGTTACGCAGGCTGAAAGGATGCTCAATACCATCTCTTGTGAAATTTCCGTACGAGTGTCCTAGTAGATCAGGGTGGTCGGGTGCAATCCGCCCCTTCTCGAGTAATTCGTACACGGAGCTATCGGCCATTGAGTTGTAATCACCACAGAGTAGAATGGGAATGTCCGTATTGTTGCGGTATTCCTGAGAAGGCACGGGCTCTTGAGGTGGTTCGTCCCCATCCTCCGAATCTCCGTCAGCAGAAGGTGGCGGCGATTTGCTTCTCTTTTCTTCCATCGATAGTGCCGGCCTACGCGTGTATCTCTCGGACTGTTTCGTAACCAGTTCCATCAAAATTCCAGTCTGTATAGCCTTGACATCCGCTAGGTAAGATTCCCAGCATAGATGTGCATTGACGACTATGAATCGGTTACCAGTGTATCTCGATTCGAAAAAGCAGAAAACAGCAATGGTGTCTTTCGGCATTAAGCGATTAAAGACATCGTCGGCTGTCTTCATATCGGGTCGGTTGATGGCTGTTTGCCTAAAGTCTACCATCTGTTTATCCAACAAAATATACTTGTCGCTCTTATAGAAGATCGAGCACCCGTCGACAGACAGTTGATCTTTCCCGGTCATGTGCTTGACCCGAGTCTTAGGATAGAAGACGCCTCTATAGCCGATCTTCATCAGCTCTGGAAGGAAGAAATCGTCGTAAGCGTCCATCGCGGTTTCTTGTAGGCAGAGAATATCCGCACTTCGGTCGCGGAACTCTCTCATGATGCTGTCCTTGCGGTACTCCCAGGAGAGAGCACTTGCCGGGGTGTAACCATACTGCGCGCTGGTCGCGTACTTGTCGCACAAGGTATTCCACGACATTACCCGAATGCGCTCCTTCTCAGATCCGACATCTTCTTGTATGATGATCGGCAGGCGTGGATTCGGAGGAATTGGTACTGCCGACGAAGTTAGCTTACGACTCGTGATCATAGTGGGAGTAAATATCTCGTACCTGGTGCCTGTTCCTTAAGGTGAGCGATCAAGGCTTTAGTGCCCTCCTCCACCAACTTCTGCTTCTGATCATGCTCCAGAGGGTTTCCCTGGATACCAAGCAATTCTAAGAAGTGCAAGGCCCCTAGTTCAGAAGGGATGGTTTGAATCAGATTGTTATATAAGAGAAGCCGCCGCAAAGGTGTACACATCCCCAGCTCGGGAGGCAATGTAGTTAACTGGTTGTGTGAAACATCTAGATGACGTAGTGACCGTAGCTGCCCGATTTCCCTTGGTAATCGGGTAAGACTATTAGAAGCCAGGTACAATTCAGTGACGAATTCATAATGGTCGAAGAGCGTCAAAGAGATGTTCTTTAGACCTTGTCCACTGAAGTCCAAATTCATCCAATCCTGTCGATCGAGGTTCTTATCGACGTTAACAGGTCGGCCACGGTCTTCCAATTCGCCATCCACTGCAGTTTCGGCAGCATTCGCACTCGGGGCAGGAATGATGCCTCTGTTTTCGCTAGCTCGGAGCCTAGCAAAGTAGTGAGGTTGATGCTGCTCAGTCATTGTCTGGTGAGCCTGCTCGGAGTCCTTGAACGACTTGAGTTGTTCGGTCCAGTGCTCACTGTACTGTTGAGTTTGTCCACCCCGGGAACCTGGGGCGTTTCCATTTTGATGATTACTTGGAGTAAATGGAGTAACTGTTGACATCAAACCAGAAGAAAAAGTAGAATGGGTGATGGTACCCGCCGCGCCACCATGAGCCCCATGATCTTGGGGTAAATTCTGGTGATGCTGTTGGGGATGGGTGTGGTGCTGGTGAGCACTTTGCTGCTGAACGAAATTATACATCATCTGAGGTGCCATACCGCGGCCACCAGGGACGCCATTAAGGCGTGTGTTGTGCCCCTGCTGATGATTAGGACCATACATGCCGCGCGGAATATTAATCGGCCTATGGTGTATCAAGAAATGTTAAAGAAGATATCGTGGTATCGCAATACGACAATGATGATGCGGTTGAACGGTTATGTGACGCTAATCCGATGATGCTTGTAGTCGTACTATTTAACGATTTCGGCGATAATGGTCGATAGAGTTGTGTCGTGTTGAGATCGTAGAGGGTGTCGAAAAAACCGCTTCAAGTATAGGATACTACTAGCTGCCATGGAGTTGCTAAGCTATAGCCCTGGAGGTCTGTCGCGCCGAGTGAAGAGGATCACAACGGGCCTTGCAGAACTGGCTTTAACAACTGGTATAAGCGTATGAACGAACGAATGAAGTTTCAACGAATATCCATGCATAGAGATCGTGGATCTTGTTAAGAGGCATGGAAAATTCGGAGAAACAAATCGGTTATCGAACGATACGTATGTGACGATCCCAGGCTCGGATACACAGGAATCGGGTCGCAGAAGTAGGTACGGTTGAGAGATGATATTGTTGTCGTTTCCTCTCCGGATTGGCGCTAGTCCTGCAGGAGGGGTTTGTTACCCTCGACAGGTGCGTGAATCGAACGTGAACTAAAGCGCAACGGACTATGGTCGGGGAAGTTTTGGTTCCTTCTGTTGTCTTATCGATTTCTGTGGAAGGTCGTGGATTACGAAACGTGGCGTCTCTTTCTCTAGTGCTAACCTGTTGAGAGATAGGTAACTACGTTAACATCTCACGTCTCCCGTCTCGCAAGTTAAGAATCGGAATAGATGTGGGAGAAGGTAAGGCCGACTTCAGATATGGACTATTAGGTTGAGGAGTGGGGATCGCAAAGGAGCTGGGATACGCGGCGAATCAATGGACGCGGCGGGGGTGGGTATGTAGGGGAGTCAATGGCATGTTGAAAGAGAGCAACGATTGAAGTATACAAAGATTGTTCGATGGGAAGTGATGGCATCGGCGGATGGCATTGGGAGGGAAGGGGGATGAGAGTAAGGACGACTTACAATTGAAATCTTTTCAAAAGATCCGCAGGAGAGCTCTAAGCAGGAGAGAGGATGTTGAGAAGACGCGAACGAATTGACGGTTTTAGGTAATCGAAATCTTCCAAGGTTGTAGAAGTTGCATCCAAATTCGTGGCCTGTGATGCAGTTGGAAACTTGAAGATAAGATCCAATGTATGTAAGCGTAAAGTAAGGTCCGGGAAGGTCTAAACTGGTATGTGCTTCTTGCCTAGACTAGGGGGTAGGTACCTAAGAAGTTCAGTATGTACTGTAAGAGCCTCCGTGCTTGGTTGCTTCAAGGTTGGCTGCTCCAATCTTTGATCCAGTTTGGTAAGGTGCGGGCGGAGAAGAATTCGAAGATTTAGCCTCGTCATGTGACTTCAACAGTTAAACTCTAAAACGCATTGACCTTTTTGTAAGGTACCTGGGTACTTGCAGATGTTATAGACAGCCTTGTGTACATTGGGCAATTCTCTCCAACTCTAATTGTACCCAGGTACCTAGTACGCTAGGGTAGTATGATTACCTACATAAGACGGGTAAGGCGGATACGGGTAGACGCGGCACCCGCATTTCATTGGCTGTTAGGCTGTGTGTATTATTCAATTCAGCTAGACCCAATTCTATGTTCCTTCAAAGTTCACACAAGCTTTCAACGCTTCTTTTAGGGAGAACTGCCTACCGGTAGGTACCTAACACACCTAATTGTTGGATATTTCATTACTCCCTTGCGTATATACCTACTATTCGAATATCTTCAATCACCTCCTAGAAGCTAAGATCAAGTATCCAACTCTTAAATGAACCGGTGTTGCTCAATATTCCTATCCCCGAAATAGGATCTCCGTACCGCCACCATAACACAGCAATGCTACTGGTTACCTGGTGTCGACTTCACCAAAATGTTCTCAGGTTTTACCGGGAATAGAAGTGCTAAGATAAAGATGAAATAATTGTTCTAGTTCCAATGCCCAGTATCAGAACGCCATGCCGATTAGCTATTTACGTACCTAGGTAGATAGTATAGTATGGGAAGAGATGACAAGACTGGCGGCTTATCTCTTAAAATAATCCCTGAAACCAAGCGGTGGGAGAAGGAAAATGTTACATGCCGCAAGTAGATATTCTCAACGATCACTCCCTTGAAGCAACTATCAAGATTCAAGCTCAACTTGAAAACCTGTTAGCCTGTCCTTTTATAGAACCCGTCTCGGCAATATGACTTCAGAGATTTCACGTACGTGTCAAACCATAATTAGCATTACGCATATGATTAATGTGTCGTCACCTCCATGCGGGTAAAGACCAACTTGTAGGGTACGCTTGCTATAAAGCTTGATCTTCGACCACATCAGCCTCAATACTCTTGTTCTGCGCCAAGAGTCTGGAAGCTGGGGAAACCGGGGAGGGACCTGACTGGATTTCTCGCATTTCAGCCTGTTCGATGCATATCTGCACGGTAATAAGCGAGACGCACTTAGAACGTCTATTATTGGTGTAAAAGATTCGTTAAGCTTGACTTGCGTAAGCTTGTCGAGGCTGTCAAGCCTCAGCAAACTAATATCTTAGCACAACTTGGAACAGGCATGGTCGAAATTTGACCCTTACCAAGTCGTGCATTCTTTGCATGACAAGCCGTTAGATGTTGACTATATTCAATTATTTATCTTAGCTGCGCCAGCGTGTTCTCCGGTGGATCGTCATAAGACAGACCGCCTGACTCGAATCGCTCCGAACATAGGGCCTATTTGTGCAAGGCGAACATCCTACGGCGTGCAAGGCCGTATATTCGGAGGCTAGGAGATCTAAGCCTTTATTTGGTTGGACCAATTACCTGGGAATCGTTACCCGATCCCTCCAGCATTCCCTTGCTCCGACTTCAATGTTCCCAGTATTCCCAGTAGCATGCTGCAGGTAGTAACCGAGACCCCCTACCAGTATTCCAGAATGGCTGGAACGAGGGTCCGGGATTCTACGAATTTGGATCGATCACAAGCTATAGTGCGCTGTAGTGCGTCCTGAGGCCACATTCTACCTTCCACCTTCCACCTTCCTGTACTATGCGCAGGAGTGTAGAGCGAGCAAGCGAGGAGAGCTGACAGGCTGGACGCCGCTATGCAGGTGTAAATGCGGGGGAACCGTACAACATACCGTTTACGTACCTTACCCGCAGGGATCGACGGTCCACTCGTTGACAGATGGAAAATCGCAATCGTCCCAAAACAGCCATAAGAGGATGGGTTAAAGCATCGTGATCACAATGCGGAAAAGCGCTAGACGGAATAGGGCCGGGGCAGTTCTTGGAGGACATACATAGATACTTACATATGTAAATACATAACTAGCTACCAAGCCGCACTCGAGTCGTGAGCGACTCGACTCGCAATGAGCATTTGAAGTATGCGCACTTCTTTTCGGCATTAATCGTTGTCTTTGTCGTGGCCGCGACAGGTTGTCACGATCTGAATTTCTGAATCGCAACTTATTCATACTAGCTGATATTGCGAGATAGACCCTGACGTCGAGTGCGTCGAGAATTTTCGGGATTTACCGTCCTCGAGAGACCTAAGCAGATAAATTGAGATCTCTGATATCTCTAATATCTCTAATATCTTCACCTAAGCTTCTACGAAAAACAAACTGCATACCGGACATTCTTGAGATCAGTTCTTGAAAAACAGTTCCGCAACGCCAACCTTGAACTGGTAGAAGCTTACCTCAGGAAACGATTTGTGATCGGAGAGGAAAATAACAGGTGTCACGTGCGAAAGAGAGACAGGCGCATGTGAGATGCGACACTCGACCCCAGATTTCTGAAAGAACTGTTCGGAGAAGCGTTCGAAGGGATCCGTGGAGGTGTTATCGATCAGTTTGATAGGACAGATCGAAAAATTCCCGATATCCCGAGGTCTCTCGCGCCAAGAGACTTTTTTGGTTGACACCATCCCACACATCCTTACAAACTCACCGAGAAAGGCACCGGACGGAGTATTCGAAATTACCAATTAGACGTCATTCGGAAACAGAAGACCCTAAGGAATACCTAGAGATCCTGCAAAAAAAAAATTATTTGAAGTGGACTGGTTTAACAATAGATCCACGACCACGAGATATTAACTGGGCTCGGTCCGTTCGTTCGCATCCATTCCAATTCATTGCACCCAGATATAGGGTACCATTGCTATTATAAGTCGAAGGCGGGGGAGGGGAACCTGAACCTGGGGAAGAATTATCAGGGTGCACTGCACAAATGCACGACTGACAACTGACAGCTCTTCCAAGATTATCATTTGAATGCTCCAGTCGCTTGGCCAAACAAGCAACAGCGGATGACGGATGACGGATGACTGTGTGTTCCTCTGCAACCGCGGGCCATTCCGTTGTAACAATAAAACGGTATCAGCCAGCGCATGCTATCATATGTTGGTCAACTGTTACAACAGATTTTTAGCGGATTTATTTTTTTTTCTCTCTGGGAGATCCCGCAAAAGGCTGCATATCCTCGGATCGGGAAGCAACACCGATTCATGAAACAAGAGAAGCATTCCTTTCGGGTAAAGGTTTCCCAAACGAAGACGAGACGACCGGAACTGCTGCCGGAAATCGAAAACATCCAATCATCGAACGGGTTGACGCAGACCAAGGCTATAGACCATGGCCAGCATGGTTTAGTAGGAAGAAAACGGATCAACAGAGCGACGTTAGTAGCTCAACCCACAATTGTTGATTTGCAGCGGGTCATTATCGTCGCCGTCGCTGTATGAGATCGAACCGATAATATCGCACACAAAATCAAAACGTTGGTAAGTATTAAAAAGGACAGGTTGGAAAGTCGACTTTTACTACCGATGACGTTTGATCGATTCATTTGCTGACCATTACAAAAATTCAAGGGTCTTACACATAGTATTTGGAGAACGACTTGTTGTAGTAAAGTGAAAAGGAGAAGAAGAAAAAAAAACAGAGTTGCGGTCATTACGAGCATTGAACCAAAGAACCAAAGAACCAAAGTGGAAGTGCAGCGACATACCCATGCCACATGCCACAAAGCCCCCCAGAAGGGAAGGTTCGTTGAAGAATTTAATTGATCAAGGTATTCCAAGTACTCCAAGTACCAGCTAAAGTACAGACGCTGCATCGGGGCAACTTCCAAGCAGCGTACAGCTCCGAATTTTAGGAGGACCCGGTCCCGGTTGATACTTGGATACCTTCGGGAAACAAAACAGTACATTGACAATAGCGCATCGCAACTGGCAAAATGGAGTTCGCATACAGTTTGTCGATGTACTCACCCCCTGTAAAGGTAAGACCAGCGAACGCTAGAAGAACGAGTTCTTCCAACACCAACTCTTACACTTTCGTCCACGGGGCCAATAAGCAGGACGGAAATAATCACAACCACAATAATCAGCAACAGCATCAAAATCAAAATCAAAATACCGAGGATGGATTAGGAGAAAAAGATAAAAATAAAAACAATAAGAATAAGAATAGTATCGAGGAAGTAGAAAATAATAATAATAACCAACAGCAGCAGCAGTCGCAACAGTCACAACAATCACAACAATCGCAACAAGATCAGAAAAAAAAATCGAAAAGGAAAAAGAGCATCGATACAAGTTCGATTAGGTCAAGGATCCCTGGTAGACGTCGGCCTCCGCCCGCCGGAAGTCTTCCGCAACCTGTCGCTCACAGGCCGGCGTCGCATCATTCCCACTCGAGAACTTCTTCCTCCTTTAGTGTCAGCACCCGAACGTCGCACGAAACACAAGCACAGCAACAACCAAAGGCACTATCACAAGCACAAGTACAAGCATTAGCACGAGCGCAAACACAATCTATACAATCTACACAATCTACACAAACACAAACATATTCATACCCACAAACACATACACACACATATACACATACACACACAAATACACATACACATACCCAAATACCACATAGTACATCTGCCTTACATGAACATATATCGGCAGAGCGACAATTGAACAGATCTAACCCCACTCATGCTGCATCTGCCAGTATCACGAGTGGCACCCTCATCTCCTCGTCACCGCCTGATATCGAAAACTCAGGCACAGGCACAGGCACTGGCATAGGCATAGCCATAAGCCCTACTTCGACATCGGGTTCTAAGCCAGATGGTGGAATAGGCGCAAGCGCCCTGACTGCCACCAATTCTAATTCATCTGAACCTACCATATTCCACACCAAGAATAACAACAAGGACGATAACGAAGGTAGTGACACAAACACTACCACACAAACCCGCATTCTGGACTCGACCGTTGCATCGACATCTGCACCCGCGCCGCCGCCGCCATTACCCGTCACTTCAGCCTCAACGTCGACTCCGATCGCATCACCTTCTCCATCCGCATCCACATCCGCCTCTACTGCGTCGAACGTCTCAGATTCTGAACGGCCTCCCTCTTCACCGAAGTCTTCCAGGTTCATTAGATCCGTGCACATACCCATCTTCAGCACCGATAGTGGATATCACCATCAACAACCCCTTACCGCCTCCCACCCTCCTACGAATAGACTACAGAAGCGTGACTCACTCCACTACCGGTCGTCAATTAATCCCAAACGTCCACAATCTCCAACTTCACCTTTGATTCAAGCTGTTGCGGGCCTCTCTTCGCCCATCCGTCGAAGAACATCCAGGGGTAAACACCATGATGACGCAATGCCCCCCGAGCCTAGTCAATTCGTATCTCCTCAAAAGTACATCCCCACCTCCTACTACCGTGCTGGGAGCATTTCCCACCATTCGGTACCATCCATCCGACCTGGAATCATGACTTCCAACGACAATTTGATGAACTCCTCGACTGAGGGGAGTGTCGCCCCGTCCAACTCTTCGATATCTACCAAACCATCGTCTTCCGTCGTTGCCAAACCCTTTATTATTCGTAATAATCGTACTTATATCAACGAACCCACACTACTATACCCCTTACCTGTGGACTTGGCAGAACTTCATCGCCAGTCTCTCCGTACGCTTATGCTCTTCCAGTTGTTCGGTGGTCCGACAACAGCCCCCGAATTCTCCAATAAGCCGCCATCGAGCGTCCTCGAAGTAGGATGTGGTTCAGCGTTTTGGAGTATGATGTGCCATAGGTACTTTGCCCAGCACGGCCATTCGTCCATATCATTCACCGGTCTCGATATCGTCCCATTGGTCGGTTCGGGGCTTGATCCGAACTGGAAACCTGATAAGGACATGAAATGGCGATTCCTCCAACACGACATGCGACGAACACCGTGGCCCTTACCTGACAACGAGTTTGATTTGATCATGGTTAAAGATATGACTATGTGTCTCTCGACTTTCATGCGTGATCCGCAGATACTATTCGAAGAGTACCTCCGTATGCTGAAGCCAGGCGGCGTGTTAGAATTTTGGGAGAGTGATCATAGCGTGCGCATGCTTCGACCACATGTTCTCAAAGCTCCAGTTATGTCGAAAGCCGATTCTGATTCAGACTCTAGCAGTGAAGAAGAAGACGAGACGGAGAAGCTAGGAGCATATATTATGACGAACAACACGCCCCTCAGTGCACCGTTGAACCCATATCTAGTGGAATTTAACGGATGGGTAACTAAGGGACTAGATGCACTAGGGGTGTCCGCTGTGCCCTGCACGCTGATCGGTCCATACCTTCTACAAGAGGCGGAAACTCTGATGGAGTTGCGATCGAAGCGACTAGCAGTACCGCTAAGCGAGATCAGATGGGAGCGTGAAGGTGTCGGCGGTGTCGTGACAAAAGATGGCAAGAGCTATATCGACTCGATGAAAAGAAAAGGCAAATCGACGGACTCGAAAGGTGGGGGTAAAGGCCTGACCGCCTCTCAGGCCGCTCTCAGACGGACCGCGCTGGAGACGGTCGTAGGATTGATCCTCGCCTTAGAGCCAGTTCTTCGGGAGGTTAGCGGGAAAAGCCAGGACGAATGGGATGGATGGAGCGGCAAAATGATGAACGATCTACTGCGCGAGGGCGGCACCAGCTGGGGAGAGTGCTTGGAAGTCGGAGCATGGAGCGCTAGAAAGAAGCTAAGCAGCTCGACATCATGATATGGAGACTGCCCGGCCTCAGTATGTGGCCGCTTAGGCATTCCGTGTCTATTGTTTATTTTGCATGTCTTAGACATGTATCTGATCTACTCCACCGCTCTAAACCTGCACGGTACCGACATCCTTGAGGGGGCGTATTCCCACCAACGCATCCAAATTTCTATCTCGACCCAGAAAATTTTCGGTTCCAGTCAATTCATCCCCTTCAAGCTCTGTCGTCGTACCTTTTCCTAAGCGTGCGATACCTTTTCAAGTAGTACCTATACACCACACGTCAACACCGCAACGAACAAACGTTCCAATTTTCGCATTTACGTTAAGTCGGACCAGGTGGGAAAGGCTATAACGTTTGAACTCGAAAGGTGAAGTAAAGAGAATCTGAGGAAGAATAGATCTATGTGATGTGCATATTCGGGACTGGGTCCTTGCCTATTATTCTTTGTTTCCTATTGATGCATCGGACGAGATAGATGGAAACGCGATTCTGGAACATATGGTTTGAAATATACTACGAATATATATATGCGACGTATGTGTATGTATGGAAGTTGACTCGACCGGGGGGTGTTGGCGGTCGTGTCGGTTCTGGTCATGATATATAAAGGGAGCGGTCGCCCAGCCCGATGTTTATAGACGGCATGAATGATGGATAAGTTTGATTCGATTTGGGATATCGCGTTGCTCACGAATAATAATTGGTGATTCTTTTTTATTTTATAGATTTTATCAAAGAAACAATGTTGGACTCACAGCGCTTCGATTTCTTCATGGGATGACAGGTTAGCCTACAGATTCTTCTTGTCAAACGAGTAGTGCATGTGTGGGAATGAGGGATCTAGCTATGCCAGTACCTACCTTTCCTAACGTAGTCCGCCTTCGCAATAGCACTTCGTATAGCATCCTCGTCTTGTAGGTGGGCGTTAGCCATGAAGGCCTTGTGGAGTCGTGGCCGAAAATAGGAAAAGCCTTGCGGATAGTCTCGACCGAGGTAGAGGAGCTCTTTGTAAATGGCTACGACCTGACGCCGCAGCTCTGGGTTTCGCGCCGACATTGTAGGGGCTGGTCAATCCATTGACTACAATGGTAATGAATGTTGCGCTTGATTATAATAGAGATTGACTGTTGTAGCAATGTTGCTGAAGGTTAGGATGAAGAAGTTGTAAATGTGTTTGTGTACCGGTGTGACTACGGATTTGGCGATGGGATGAAGCGGAAACTGGCGGCTAAGGTGACGCCATAGTACCATATCTTATCGCGAGACTCCGAGCCCCTCCGAATAAAAGTTACAGCGCAGAAAAAAATGGTAGGAGCTATAGCTACATCCTACCTTGTGTGACTTCCCTAACTTCTATTGGCAGTATTAAATGTATTAGTTAGTAGCTTGAAGGTTTCCCTTTTCTTCTTATTAAAAAGTCAATTGACAATCTCTTCGCTTCTCCTCCTCTCACTTCCGTGCGCAAGGCCGCGAACATTCACAATGCCTCCAAAACCACGAATAAAACGTCCCTCTCGCCAATTCTCCCCAGCTCAACGTCAGCGACGATCCTTCGCCAGACCCGATCCAGCCATCGGCTACGAAGTTCGTCGATTAGGACCTTTCGACTCATCGTCCACAGCCAATTCTTCCAACGAACCCACCCCGCCCGAGCCCACGAAAGATGAAAATGACCTAATCCCGTCTGGCTACTGGGTCACGGAGATAAAGAAGCGGCTAGGAAAATGCATCATGTTTGGCTGCAGCCGGGGACAAGCACGTAAGATAGCGGATGTGCTGCAGGAGCTTACTACAGAATGGCGCGATTTGACCGCAGCCTCGGCGGGATTCCTGACAGCTGGGAATAGTGGATTCGTGGACCAGAAACTCGCGTTTGGAGAGACGGCAAGCTGGGTACGTCCTGGAGTCACATATTACCCCGTCGCTATGCTCTTTCGATTGATATACGATACGAGACAAGGCAGACTGTTGAGAAATCGACAGGAATACGAATAGGAACACTCATTAATGAATCGCGGTCGATAGGGATATATAAGTAACGCCAACTACTTTCGATTCGTCGAATCTTCGCGCGTCAACTGGCTCACACACTTCGCAAGCGTGGATCCGAAGCATGCCAACGAGTGGAGGGAACTCATGATGACTAGGGGGCCAAGTCTTATCATGCAATCCTTCCGTGCCAGCTACAAATTCGTGTGTCTCTCTTTCTCATCGTCGTGCCACTCGTCAGATCGACGGCAAATAACACCAAGAGACTAACTAGACACCCACAGCCACTCAAATTTCCAGATACCGTTTCAGCATACCATAAACTCCAAACTTTGCCTACAGCTAAAGATAAGCTCCTCTTCATGAACAGTATCGTAATATCGCACAAGCAAATGCGTGTCGCTGCAGCCACCAGGGAGACCGCTATATTGTACAACCACAATATTCACCAGAGGATAGCAATTCCTCCATTTATGCTGAACGTTTTTCAAGACATATGGCGTCAACAAGAGGAAACGGAGAAAAGGGCTAGACAAAGAATAGTTGAACTCACAAGGAGCATACGAAAGTTCGAAAAGCAGATTTGGGATAAGGAGGGTGCGGTTGAGGATATGGGCTAGTGAACAGAAGCATTACTGCGTAAATATGTGGAAGGGACAAAAGGTAAATATTCCAGGCGTACATCTAAGTATACTGGATGCTCATAGTTGCTGCATACTAAATTACAGCCTTGCCGTGAGTTATCCTGGCCGAAGATTAGGATACTCATCCATTTAGGTACGCATAGTATGTACCAAAGCTCGACTTACATGTCAGGAGTAAAACACGAAAACGAGAAACAAGACAACAACGAATGTAGTCTTTTGGCATGAGCGAGAGCCTACTCAAAAGTCCAAGCATTTTCGAGATCGCATACCTAATGCTTGAATATGATGATATCCAATACACTGTCGCTAAGGTCATAAATACAGTTGCCCCTTTTCCAATTCAATATGACCCAATCCGACTCGTCTACTACCTCTTTAAGGCAAGCTCATCCACAAATCCAACATCGCCGGGAAATTCGGTGTTCCCAACCCTGTAACGGGATCCCACCCCTCCGACGCGATAAATCCGGAGGTCCCACACCCAGAATTGTTCCCCTGCGTCACGTCATTCAGCACTTCGGGATGGGCATACAATACAGGATTCACGAACCCGACCGTGCTCTTGTTGGCGGCTAGCCGCGCCTCGTTGATAAGCGTCAGGACAGAAGCGAAGATAGGTGCGGCCGCGCTAGTTCCGCCGATAGGGTATACGGTCTGGTTGTACGAATATATCACCATGTTGTCTCCCGCGGCGCTGATGTCAGGGTATCCGCGCCCAATGCGATTGTATATGCCACCGTTCGCGCCTACACTTTCGTTGTATTGGGTTGAATAGTATGGATATTCCTGCACGATCGGATCCGCGGCCTTAAAGTACTGCGCTACCGCGTCTTCTTGGTACGTCGGCGCGGGAAAAACGTTACTAAACCCACCACCGGACTTCAGGCCTATGCTATACGCAGCGACTTCCGGGCTTTTACCACCCGTGCCTGAAGACACGTTAACCCCTGGAGGCAAGTACGTGGCCCCGGCTACAGTCACGTAGGGACATGTAGCCGGGTACGCGGGATTAAAGACGGTTCCGTTTGTGCCCATACACGCGTTCGGGCTTCTATTCACGCTCCAGTCGGGGCCCCCGCCGACCCCGTAGTCCGCCGATGAGAAAACGACAGAGATCCCCTGCAGCCCGAGCTTAAGCCACTCGTCGCACTGGCGCCGCTGGTATGCGACCGGGAGCACGGCCTCGGCCCAGTCGTAGGAGATCGAAAGCACGTTCGTCGGCTCGTACACGCCGCATTGTAACTCCCCCTTATACGCCCCCTCTGACTCCGACGCTGGGTCCGGGTACGTGTAGTCGTAATCGGGATTATTCCCCGTCTCCTCGTACGCGGAGGACGTGCAGTAGCTCCCGTCCAGCGCGTCGAGGAAGTTGTTGAATAGCCCCTTGTGGTCGAAGGGTCCGTTGCTGTAGTTCTCGTCTTCGACTTGGTAGATCACTGTTTTTTGTGGGTAAATGAGCGGGATCGCGAGGGTTAGGTCGAGTAGCGATTCGATCCCTTTGCCTTGTGCGCCGGGGGATACGCCCCCGTCGATGCTGTGGACGCTGGGGGCAGTGCCGGCTGGGATCGAGGGCGTGAAGTCCCGGAAGAAGTGGTCGAGGTCGATTTGGTTCCAGGCGTCGGCGAATTCGTAGATGCCGAGTTGGTTTTGCGGGTTGGGCGTGCTGGTGAACTCGGGAATTTGGTAGAGGGCGCGGATGCACGGGATTGTCATTACGGTGTCGCAGGTTGTGAGGTTCGTGGTGTTTAGCTGTGTTAACGATAGGGATAAGGGTGAGTCGACTCTCCCTTTTGTTAGGGAGGCTCTTTTCTGTTTCTTCATGGAGGCTTGCTTTTTGTCCTCGGCGTCTGGAATGAGTTTGATTCCTGGCGTGACATAGTCCACGTGTTCGCGAATATGGCTCGGGAGGTGGTATCTAGAGATCGGTTGTAAGAACAAACATGGTTCGCGGAATCGGAAAGCTCACTCATCGCAGGCAATTTTCTGACTCCCAGTATCTCTATGCTGGTATACATGGTATTGCGTCCTCAGAAGCCCCTCGGCTTCCTCCGTACTCGCATCGAACTGAAGCCAGCCCTTATTCGCAGACTGGGAGACTCGCTCCCTAGATATACCCGCGTCCTCAAGCCACCCGCGCACCAACTCCACCGTCTCTGCCGCCGGGGCGAACAGCTCGCGCACCTGCGCCGCGGTGTAATATTTCCCGTAATTAAGCGAGTCGGGCCGCGACACGTCCATGAGCAGGTCGTGGCCTCGCTGTAGATTGCTCTGCTTTAGACCTATGCGCATGGGTAGGATCGCGCTCGGGTCGACTGCGGTTCGCTTGCTCCAGGATATGGGGGAGGCGTCTCGCTTTTCGTGCGGGAGGGAGTTGGGGTGAGGTGCTGGTGGGAAGGTTGATGCTGCAGACGCGGACGCAGACGCAGCTGCTAATGCGCTTAGAGGTAGCGAGAATAACATCTCTAGCGAGAGAGCCAAGAGATTTTTATGAGGTTATGCTGGGAATTTCATTTATCTCTTGCATGAAGCGGACTTTGTTGGATCTATTCGTATCTACCTATCTATCTATATTTAAAGGAGAGGTTTCTACATATCTACATCGCATATTATGTTCTTCATATCGGGAGTTTAGAGCCGGGACATGTGTGTATCAACAGCGATCAATTCCTCATCAGAACTATTACCATGGAATACAGTGGTTGCGATAGGGTTATTATATGACTGCCTTGAGCTTCTGGTGAGATTGGGTTTGTATATCCAATCGTGTAGGAGAGAATTTCGGTGCCTGGCGTGTAATGCTGGTTCGATATTTCATAGGATTGACAACGCGTTTTTGACGATATTGGCTTGACTTTCATCTGGGCTGTGTGTGGTTGACTTACGAGAATTTGTAGCTCTTTATGATAATTTTGAAAAGCATTAAACCATAAAATGATTCAATCTAGGTAGGAGGCAGGTGAGGCTTTGAGAGAGAGGTTGTTGCCTGGTGAGTTGAAGAAATTCGTCTACACACAACACCAATAGATTATCAATAACCAGTATCATGATAACTTTCTCCGGAAACAAATTGAAACAATAATATTTGTTCACTAGGTACCTACTTGGGTACCTATACTACATATCTTTTTTGCTGTCACAAAGAAAGGGGGTTTAACAATATTTTAACATAAACCCCTATTTGCAGCTAATAAAGTGTGGCAAAAAAAAATTCATTATAGCTTCAATAGAGCTGCATCTTCTTATCTATATCTAAGAGAGATTTCTTTGTATAATAGATGAATTATAATCCAAGTTATGTCGAGTAGTTCTACGTTTGGCGGCTGGTAGGCCTTTCGGACCTCATACTATTTCACGGTATCTCACATCCTACCCCCAAGATTTGCTTACTCAGGACCAGGCTCATCCATAACTCGTCAATCAGCCCGGCAAACCTCCTAAATTGTTATTCCAAATGTCAACGTAATGGAAATCAACGCACATGAACCTACCTAGGTAGCTAAGATTGAAGAAATTTCAAGCCATGGCCTTTCGGCCAGAACCTAATCTTTCAAACACCTAACCCCTGAGGTGGTTTGCCACCGCCAGATTCTCGTCGGCGCTGACGACGCTATGTCATCTGCCTGTGCAAAGAATCGAATGACGCCTTTGAGTCGAGCCAGAATTGGCCAGAGACCGACGCTTTAGAATTCCTCTAAGTCGCATCGAGGGTCTCGCCCCTATCTAGCACATATCACATGTAATCGTGCTGGACGAACTCGTCGGCGTCATTCCTCTGCTCCAATATCGCTTAAACGCTTTGTCTATGTCATCTGCAAGATAGTATTCAGCGCAAGCTGCATTGGGAAAGGCATTCGTGAAATTCAAATCCGATACCCCATTGATATGCGCTCGTATCCGCCGCACATCTTGTTCCGGTCCGAAGTAGCAAGGCTTCGGCCGCGCATAGACTTAAAACAAGATATAATCATTATTCTATAGGCTCGCTAGGTATTGGGTAGGTAGGTATGAGGTAGGCACCTATAGACTCGGGGGTACTCTCAGCGCACCGCTGCGTTGGCTAGTGGAAAGAACCGCCGAGGGGGGAATCGCTCGTGGAGGCTTGTTAATCTAAGGGATCTAACCCACCTGCCCCCAATCGACCGAGTGGTGCCGAGTCTAAGGTACGCCGGAATCGACTGCGATCTTATACTGCAATTGTGGTATTGTATGTAGGTCGAGCCTGGCACATGCTGCTGCTAAGACGCCAACACGATACGCGAGAGTCCACTGGACAAGGGAGGCGGAGTTTGTCAGACGTCGAGGCGGAGGTTCGCGGAAATCACGGGGTAGAGTCGACCACCCACCCAGCCATCCGATGGTATACCTGCTACTCCAACGGCGCATCGACGCCTTCTCCAAGGCCAGCTGGCACCGGAGGTCACATACACGGGGGAAAGTCGTTGCAGCTGAAAGATGCTCGCAGCCTGCAAACAGTGTAGAAAGAGGTATATCACACCGAAAATCTCACCGTAGAGGGAAGTGACGGGCGTTGCAAGCGGACTGGGGATAATAACTAACTATGCTATGGAGACTTCGCTTAGAGAGAAGGTATACTAGCCCGGTTGTTAGGAGCTGTCTAGCTTCGATCTACGACAGATGGAGACATGTGGACGGGCTTCTAGACGTGCACATCTTGGAGCCTCTTCACGATCACAAGGAAGTTGCCGGTTTTCTTAGGACCTCTTGCTCCTTATTAGCTCGCATTGAGCGTACCGGAAACCGGTACTAATCCAGGTATGTATAGTTAGGTAGGTAGATTTGGCCCTATAGTTGGATCACATATACCTAACCCAGAACTAGGCTTATGAGCCTATCTAGTGGTCTAGAGACATACTTACATATCGCCGTAGGGTTGGTTGGTTGACCCCTTTTTCCGATGGTGAGCCTATGAAAACGCGGATTTCTAGTAATTTGCATCTCGTACGATCCGGTGTCAGATCGTAGGTTATTTGTTAGTCTGATGTGGGATGGACGATTCTAGTTAGGAGATTGTTATGGCACTAGGTGGTAGATTAGTTATAAGCTTTGGTGTAGGTAGGAATCGTATGTATATGCTTCGTGGCGGCGCAGTCGGAGATATTTCTAGAACGGTTTGGTAACTACCGCGATAGAGACGTTTGAAAATATGTATTCCTCAACCCTTTCAATTATGTGAAATTGAGGACTCTTGATTTGACAAATACCGTCATTTCGTACGATCGGACGCAGTAGCGAACCCCAGATTGCTGTCATCTGGGTGTGTATGTCTGGGAGTGCCCGGCAAAGGGACCTGTCTTCTGTCATGCGACGGGATTGGTGGATAAATTCCGTCCCCCAGTCATGAAGAATTCCAGGGCAGCGGCCCCGTTTCATAAGATGCGCAAAGCCGGGGAAAGGTATAGATATGGCATCGCATCTTCCTGTATTCATTCGGACCGACGCGCCCATGGGGTCGATTGTTTATGGTGCGATAGCGAAATGAACAAGCTTACTACTGGCATGTGGCTGGTAGGTTTTTGGCCTCTATTTTGCGGGGGAAAAAGGGAGGTTTAAGCATGAAGAGGAAAAGCTGGGGTTCGCTTGTCGCTTGGACGATTCTCCACATACACCGTTACGGTCTAGTCGGAGTTCTAGCAAGATGAGTTTGAATATTTTTTCATGTGAGATTCCATGGATGGATGAGCTGTCGCGATGGGAGATAACGACGAAGACACAAGGAGGCTCTAGTTCACGATAACACGATGCAACGGAGGTCAGTTTTACCTGCTACTCCTGTTGAATTCGATCGTCGAAAATAAATCTCCTTCGGATTTCGGCAGTCCTAGGGGAACACAGTGCCTTGGCCTTTACCGACGATAGAAATGGATACCTCGGCAGGCAAAGTCCCTCTGTCGCTTGTGATTTGCGAGCAATAGACAATCTGACAATGGTTCCTACGGCAGTTAGGAAACACAAAGAGGCTGTGGCTGAAGCGTACCGTATTCTTCGCACTATGAGCATAAAATGTAGTTCTGGCGGATTGTCATCCATGTTTGCCCCAATGTCACGTATCATACATATTCATATTTTACGTGGGAGAGACGTTTACTTATTACTCTAGTAAGCTGCTGTGCGACGCCCGATGACGACTCGTCGTCGAACGGGTTTACAAAAGTGGTGAGATGTGGCGTACATGAGCTGAAAATGTTAATTCGATATTTATCAGCGATGACGATGGTAGTAGGTAGTCATGATAGGGGTACCATAGGTTAGTAGGGGTAGGTGCCTATATTTGCTATGGTTAAGCAAACATTCTCCGGGAGGATATCAAGAAAACATTATTAACTGAAGCCCTGAAGCCCTTAAACCATTTCTCAATACGATGGCTCGACTTTAAAGTTGACCCCTGCTCGATCGAATTTAGTTTAGGCGGGTTGGCCAGGCACGGAGAAGACTTGCTGGAACTGGCTGGAGTTTCGTGAAGGGTGGTTTGCTTGACCTTCGGAGATCGTATTTAGTACTCATCCAGGATGATCTTCACCGAGGGTATTCCTTAAAATATAAATATATAATGCGTCTAGGTAGTCAGACGGGCAAAGCCGACCGCCAATGTCTTGCACGATTTCATGCTATACATTAGGATCTTCGATGTATCGATATTATTTTTTTATAGATATCTTCAAGATTCCAATACCGACTAATGTTTTCATTAAAGTCTTTTGGTTCAATCTGATGCCGTTTCAAAGTTAACCCATACTGTCGGTGTCACGATGATCGATGAGATGATGGTCGTAAGGTGGAGAGGAAAGGAGATCTTTCCAGAAAAGCACCAGACATGGATGGCGAGCACCTACAATCCACAACTACCAGGTATGTACCTAGCCTTAGCCCTACGATGATCGTACATCTAGATAATAATTCGGGTGGGTTAACTCTTGAAGTCATCGATACAGAGTATATAGGTACAAATGCATACGTATTTTGAGGCTGTAGAATGGTGTCAACTACAATCGTGGAATTTTTGTTCGGAGCGTGTAAGCTGTCAGCTTTGTAATAGTAGCAGTAGATAGGATACGCGGGAAGATTCCGAGAACATTCCAACGATTCCATACCGTTTCCCCTCGTGTATTATGTGAAGGTTGCACTCAAAAAAACGATGCTGGGCGATCACTTGGCGTTCCACCAATGAGACCAAGGAGACAAACTGCCTGCATACAACGTAGCAGCTGAGCACCCGCAGTGCTAGGGCTATTTTTGGCTCATCAGGAAGCGCGGGAGATCGCCCTGAACACCCACAAAGACCATCAGCGCACTTACCTATTCGCTAACTCTATCACATCAACTGCCTATCGGCACGGACGCTGGGCACTGGCAGACTGGACACTTAACGGTGGGCGGATAAGCAAGCGATCAATGTAAACTGCCTGATATGCTTGCATAGGACGAAGCGAAATGATTTTGTTTTTGTTAGGTGTTGGTGAACTTGAGAAGAATGTTTAGCGACTGGTTCCATGCAGACGGACATTCCATTCAAGCACATCCAATATGAGGTGTCACCGTAATCGCGTCTTTCTTTGCAACACTAGACCACTGGCACTTGGACAATCCTCTCGCAAAATTAGCGGTCATTTCAAAAGTCGGTATTCCCCATTCTTGAAGCAGAACCATAATTTGTATATGCGGTCAGCCTCTTATTGTTATGTACGTAAGGAGAGTGGAGGAACTGGCTGCTTGCCTGCCTCGTCGGATTGCCCATCAACACAGCCCTGTAGACAAACATACTAGGAAACAACGGAGTAGGCGATATTTCGTTCAACCTCGACGGGAACGGGAACGGTTACAGGAACAGCATCGAATCCTTTTTAGATGTTATCAATATCGAATAACATGGATTGCCTATTTTGTTTTCATCTAACGATCTGACGACTCGCCCGTAACTTCTCGGTGACGATAGTCGCTAATAATACAAACTGTTGTTGTGGTCTAGTTGTCTAGTTGTCTAGTCGTTGATGGGGCTATGAGAATGGCTTTGATGGCTTTGAATCTAGGTACCTAGTATGGAGATTAGCGTTGCTAAATCGCAAACCATTGTTCAACCTAATGGGATTGTAGCAATTCCGCTCTGTTTTGAGAGACAGTATTAAAAAAAAATAGCACTGAACACCATTATGTACAACCATAACCCCATAGGGCAGGACTTTTTATGATACACATATGTTACATGTTTTTAGCGGACCGCAGCAACTCAATGTACGGTACCTTACGTGTATCCTTTCTCAACCTGCTAGGGGTTTGTCGTCAGCATCCTTGACCTTGATACTTCCATTCCCCAGGTCTTAAAGCCACAGAAGTAAGTGCCTGAGTTGCCTGTGTTGCCTGTGATTTAAAAATGTTGTGATATTTCGAATACCTAGTATTATTTCGAATATTTTTGACGGAGTGTTGACCAATTACTTGTTGTAAATCCCGCTCCTCGTGAAATTATTATACTTGACGCTTTAACATAAAACAAACCTTGGAATACGTAAACAAATACATACATATGCAGCAGGTATCGTCTATTCGGACAGCTTTCCTCTCCGAGTTTAGGGACAGTTTTACTTGCCTCCAAACTTGGGCACGATCGGTGGCTGCGAGACAGAAGAGACAGAAGAGACAGAACTGGCAGATTAAAAATTCAGTTTAATCCATTAATTGTCTTTCCCCTAAGCCACACAGTGCCGGCTCTCCACCGTCTTCGATCTGCCAAGGAGTCGCCCATAACAAAAGAGTACTAGCGTTAGCTGCCGTCTCGAGTTCGGGTATTTTACTTGATATTACTATTACTCATTTCATATACCAGCGCACACGACCATTCGCCGGAGACGATTACCTCTTTGGGATATACTAGCCCGAGTCAGCATAGTAGCATCGGCCACTCACAGTGTGTTTTCAAGGTTGCTGTCTTGAAGTCTTGCCTCTGTGCCCTGCTTTAGGCCTTCTTAGGGTCCTCAAGCCGCTCTCATTTCCCTCTTCCCCCTTCTCGACTCTACTTGACTCTAGCCGGGGAACCCTCCTCGAGATCTTTTCCTGATCCTCTTTTGTCCTAGCTTAGCTTAACGTGCCTAACCCGCCTCGCTCCAAGCGTCCAGCGCTATTCCTAGTATTCCATCATCCCATCCGTCCGTTCCCTCGTCTCCCCATCTTTTTCTTTGCCCTTGGCCTAATTCGCCTCCTCTCCCATTCCAGTTTTTTCTTTTTGTTGTACTGTGGTGAATTACCTCGACGACGATCTCTCTTCTCTTTTACTCTTCTAAACTCTCTCATTTTTTGGACTATCGTAACCAAAGTTGCTTGACTGCTGCACTCTTTTCCGCCATCGCATTTCTCTCTGATCTCTCCGCTGGTGACAAAAGGAGGTTGCCCACACCTCTTCGACGACCCCGGACGCTGAATCCCCGCGTTTTTCCCAATGAACGTGATTCCTCCGCCTTTCTCTCAGCGACGGGCCGATTAAACAACGCTTGTCCAATTGCTTCACTCCAGATTCTCTCCGCAAATACTGCCGTGTCCCTGGTTTTGCTCTCCACACGAGCCTTGTAAAGATTACTGAGGCTGCATTTGGAAATATTCAAGAAGACGACGTGTGACGAACGAGCCGGCGCATAATAAAACTGCGTCGAATCATCGAATTGTCGAAACTTGGAATTGGAATTATCCGCTTTCGGTATACTCGAGTATAGGGACGTCAGAATGTCGCAGGCCGTGAAGAGGGCTTGCGATGCATGCCATCGACGAAAGGTCAAGTGCGATGGCATCAACCCGTGCCGTAACTGCGCCTCAGCGCAATTGACCTGCACGTACAATGCGATACCACAGAAGAAGGGGCCTAAAGGTTCGAGGGCGAAGGTCATCAGCGAATTACGCGAAACCCAGCGACAAACCAGTCTCTCAGCAAAGGTCCAGAGCCGGTTGAATGGACTCTCCAGTCCCCAATGCAGCCCTACGTTACAACCTACTCCTGGCCTGCTAGCCAGCGAGATGGCGAAAGAATGCATCGAATTCTTTTTCGCTAATATGTATCCGATTATGCCGATTCTTCATCGACAGCGACTCGAACAGCAGTCGATGTATCTCGAGCAGAGCCTCGACACCTATTGCTTGATCACTTCGCTTTGCGCTTGGATGATGTTCCAGCCTGGAATGAACGTACCCGGTGCTGACCCTCTTCTCGAACATCTACCCGGAGCCAACATCGCTTCTGGTATGGTTCTCATTGAAGAAACGATCCGAGTTCGAAAAGGATGCGATTACCAAGAATCGCCATCTCTAAACACCCTATGCACCAGCTACTTCCTTTTCTGCTCTCATTACGCACTCGACATGCACGACAAGGCTTGGTTCTATCTTCGAGAGGCTACGACTTTAGCCCATATCATTGGAATGAACAAGGAGGAAAATTATTTGCAATATGACAATATTGAGGCCTCACGACGACGACGCCTTTATTGGCTTCTATTCGTGACAGAAAGGTAAATTTGCAACCCCCCTGATGAATAATATAAAATGTTTGGTGATGCTAAAACTGGAAATTAAAAGGGCATATGCTCTCCAGCGTGGACGACCTTTGACGCTTCAGGCTTCTATCAACCTTCCGACGATGACCGATGATCCATCGGATCCTTTAGCTCCCCAATTGAATGGCTTCGTTCTACTGGTAAACTTATTTAGGCCGTTCGACGATGTATTCCTTTCCTTATGGAATAAGACTCGCGCTGAGTCATCTCCATCTTACCTCAGTGCTCTGCAGAAGCAATTTTCGGACATGATTCCGCCATACATGAACGTCCAGGATTCCGACCAGCGAGCGAATCAGCAATGGCTTAAGACGGTTAACTGGCACCTAAGCATGCAAAATGGATGCGTTCCTCAGGGTAGCCAGGAACAGATGCCGATGCAGTACCCGATCGATATGTCTCGAGACTTGATGTCTATGACATCCCAATTCTCGACTCACAGTAACGAGTTGATTGGATTACCAATGGTTGCTAAGTTGTTGGATATCTCATCTGCTCTGATCGATGTTTTATCTATAATGCCTTCATCTGGTGATCCATTCAGCATGGGTCCTCGTGAACAACTCAACTCACTCCTTCAGCTTCTATCGGTCCTTCGCAACGGAGACCACCATTTCCTACCGCTTCTTCTGAACAAGGTCCACGACGTCTTGCCTCGCTTGGCTAACCCCATACTTCAGCGTGCACCAGAAAACGCCTGCATGCAGAACATTGATATTTTTGATGGATTTGGTAATGCCGGTATGGCTCAGCCCCCGATGATGACGGATTTCAAGACCGAGCCGTATACGCCTGGCAGCATGCAGCACATTCAAGATATTGGAACCGACTCGGGTCATTCGAATAACGGCGATGATATGAAGTCTCCTTTTCCCATGGTTAGCTCGCCACCAATGATGTCGCCTGGAAATGCGGAATACCACGGAACAGATTTCAATTCCATCCCTGACATAATGAGTCCGATGGGACAATCATCACAACATGGACTTGGCCAACAAGGTCCACTAAACCCACAGCAACCCCATCATCAGCATCAGCACACACACCCGCATACGCATCCGCATCCGCATCAGCACCACAATCTGGCGTCACACAACATGAACCAGAACCACAACGTGGGTAACCCGATGCAGACCGATATGCACGCGAATCTTGGTCACGCCCTTAACCAACCCCCCAGCATCGCAAATATGGGTCAGCAACAACAACAGAGCATAGGCCAGAACCCACAATTTGGTATGATGAATAATATGCTGCACCGACAACCGCCACAGAGACAAAATAGCTTCGTCATGCACCAACAACACCAACATCAGCCATCCCAAATACCGAGGACAGTCGGCGACTTCCACGCACTCCAACGAGCGAATTCCGAAAACGTATCGATGAATTCTCTCGGCCTTAGTCACATGAACGCCGAGGTAGACTTCAGCGGGTTAAGGTAGTAATGCCGGGGATGGCGCTCATCTACACGAGAGGGTCCGTCTTACAAGCATCCTGGCTCGCGATCCCCCTTCCATCGGTCAGTCATAACCAGAACAAATATAACGACAACAACAACGACAACAAACAGCATGACTTCTTTACTTAACTTATACATCATTGACATTTATTCGCACGAATGCCCAGCATCTATACCATATAGCATTGGTGCAAGCATATACGACGTACCAATTTAGCGAGGCATTGCATCTGCGAGGAGACAAAAAAATTTCACTACGGATATCATCATCGTCTATGTACTCGGCCTATACAGAAGTCCTTGGACCAGGATATCAAGTGGATCTTCGGATGTTTAGTGCTTTTTTCTTCTTTCTCGAATCGTTTTTTGAAACGCTCCTTTTAAGGGGAGTTGTAGTTCGTTCATCGAGGGCGTCTAGGGATAAACTAACCGGTGTTTGTGGAGCAAGAAACACCGCGTGTGTACCATTCTACATGTCGGTATATTTTTATTATTCTTTTACTTTTTTTTACTTTGGGTGCAGGTGGTTTTTGAGAGACCGGTCTCCGAGCGAGGAGGTTGGATCTTGCCTAGCTCTTTTACGAGTGGAGGATGAAACGCAAGTTATTACGACGAAGGGATGATAAGAGTATGGGTTGTTTAGATTTATAGGATCGGTAGTAGGGTAATCCGGCTCCGGTGTAGGGGAAAGAAAGGGGGTCGTTGAGGGTGGTGTACAGGTAGCACCGTGTTAGGTAGAATCATACTTGAGAATAAAGTATAATTAAATAAATGAGATGGCTTAATGTAATGTATTGGCGTGAATGTATTTGTTATCCATGGATGATAGGATACCTAGGTAATCATGGTGGTTTGAATATTATTCATCAGTGGACGGATTTCCTGAAGCAATAGCTGGAATCCCTGGTGATATCCACTAAGGAATGCCCTATGAGAGTGCGATTCCAGAGGTAAGACATGCTAGGAGATGCCTCTTATAGCGAGGTCTACAGGGATTGTAGCCAATGAGATTTAATGAAATTTAGGAATTTCTTGGAAGAACATGGCCTTCGCACTCCTAAATTCTAATAGAATTTGAAGTTACCATGTACCTAGATATAATTGAAAATATCCTCGGTGTTTTATAGTCAGATATAATATGAGGGATGCATTGTGTTCTAGGCCTACTAGGTACTAGGTAGCTGCCCTAAGCGCCGTGTATTGCACCTAACAGCGCTGAGCGGTAAGGTTTACTTCAGCGGATCCCAGCACTATGGATATCCTTACCCATAATTAATTCTAGACGCGTAGCGGAAAGCGCGTCAAGCTTCCCTCCACCCAAGTTTCACCTGCAGGTAGGAAGGAACTGTCACACTCGGCACATACGTGCATACCAACCTATCGAATGCAACTTCTAGAACATGTCTAAGTGGGTTTACCAGTTGGGCAAGAACGCATCATGCCCATTGTACTTCCTGGTCGGCGGAAGATTGGACTCTCCGCGTCTCGTGGACCTGCACAACTCATGACCTCCATTCCCTCTATTCCCTCTACAAACTCTGGTGACGTGGGCAACGACTTACCTCCCATCCCTCAGTATCAGGCACAGCCCGTTACCCCTCAGACGTCATCCTCGCCTGTACCCAATTTCTCAGATGGCTCTAACATAGGTTACCAAGTTCCTACGCCCATCCAACCAATCCCATACCCTCAAACGCATTCGTCGGACACGAATCCATACGCCCATCCGTACCAGGCGCCTATAAATGCACCGTACCAGCAGCAATGGCTTCCGACCTACCCCTCATCTTCTGTGCCAAAGTTAAGCACCATAGGCACCGCCGTACCTGACGTATTCGAACTTGATACCGTCTCGAAGCGACGAAATGCACAAGACTCGGAGGTAGAGGTCATCAACTTGCTTAGTGATGATGAGGAAGGCCCTACCACTGCAACCAAACCTCAAAAGTCGTACTTAGGTAGAAAGAGGAAGGCCTTTTCGAATCCCGATGGCCCAATACCAGTACCAAACCAACATACTCTTGAGGGAGACCTCACGATGAGTGCGACAGAAACACCCAACAAACGATCAACTAGCAATGCCACATATTCTGCTCAGTCTACGCGTGCTACTAAATCTCGTACGAAATCCGCCATCAAGAAACGTTCGAGTATGCGTCCGATAGCGGAGCAATCTTCTCAGTTGGGAACGCCATTCTCATCTTCACCGCCCCCATCCTCGACACTTCCGTCAAGGCTAAACAGGAGTTATTATGAATTCGGTAGCGACTTGACGAGCTCGTCTCAGACCATGACGCCGCCACCATCCTCATCTTTCGACCCAGATTTGAATCAAACTCAGAATCAGAACCAAGCGCCACCGCCCCCCAAAAATGTTGAACCTCAGCTTTGCCCGGAGCAGGCTCGCCTCGTCAACTTAATAGAGAGTGGCCAAAATGTATTTTACACAGGTTCGGCCGGCTGCGGTAAATCGACCGTGCTTAAAGCTTTTACCGAAAGGCTCCGACGCATGGGGAAGAATGTTCGTATTCTCGCACCCACCGGACGCGCAGCCTTGCAAGTGAACGGGTCTACTACTTGGACATATGCAGGCTGGACTCCGGATCATCATAAGCGTACCTTGGACGAACTAAAAGGGGCAGCACACGGAACATTCGTGAATAGACGGTTTAAAGACACCGACGTTCTTGTTATCGACGAGATTAGCATGGTAGAGAACTTACATTTCGAGAGATTGAACGAGGTAATGAAAGAAGCGCGACGTAAGCCGCCTCCCGGTAAGCCGACCGCATTTGGAGGAGTTCAGGTGATTGTCACTGGAGACTTTTGTCAATTACCCCCTGTGAGGCCTTTCCAACACTGCATTCAATGTGGTTTCGAGCTCGCCGAGCGGATGACTCCTGATGGAAAGCTCTACGTTTGCAAACGACACGGCGAGTATCGCGATGAAGATAAATGGGCTTTCCGGAGCAAGGCGTGGCAGGAATGCAACTTCGTTCACGTCCACCTAAACACCATTCATCGCCAGAACGACGAGACATTCATCCGCATACTCCAGAAATGTAGAATTGGACGACTTCTCAGTGCGGATGATACTGATCTCCTAATGGATCACAAGTGCATGGTGCACCATGCCACCAGACTCTTCGCCACCCGCGAAGAGGTAGGTAACGTCAACAGACGCGAGTTCGAGAGATTAAAAACCATGAACCACACCTACTGGTGCTTAGACGAATTCATCTGGCAACGGACCCTACACCCTCACCTTGGCTGGAAAGAAATGCGAAAGCCCGCGGATACCCAAACCAAAGGACCTTTGCGCGCCCTCGAAGACCACCGATTTGACGAGTGCGTGCAGTTAAAAAAGGGCATGCTCGTCGTCCTACTCGTGAACCTAGACCTGGAATTGGGCCTCTGTAATGGTAGTCAGGGGATCATTTGCGGCTTCGAGAAGTTCGACCCGAAAAAGCTGCCGCAGGCCAAAACCTTAAAGGGAGAACCAGCGAACGCGCTTTACGGCGACCGCGCGCCCTTGAAGGAGACCATGATCAAAAAGTTCATTTTGGACCCCGGTGCAAAGTACAGGACGTGGCCGATCGTCAAATTCCACAACGGCCAGCTCCGCACTATTTACGCGGACTGCTCTATCACGGAGCTCGGCGACGAGAGGCCATATAGCTTGTTGATCCGCACGCAGATCCCGCTCGCGCCCGCGTGGGCTATGACGATTCACAAGAGCCAGAGTCTTACGCTCGATCGCGTCATCGTGAATCTGTCGCGCGCATTCGAGGAAGGACAGGTATACGTCGCGCTGTCGAGAGCGACGGGACTCCAGGGTTTGAAGATCGAGGGTAGTGCCGAGGGTCTAAAAGTCGGGCTAGGCGGAAACCCTGAGGTGCAGCAGTTCTTAAGGGAGAAGTTTGGCGACATGGATGATCCTGGATCGGTATCAGGATCTCAGCCTCGGGTTACGGAGGAATTGGATGAGAGCCCGGACCAGGATTAGGGTTAGGACTATAAAACGGCTTGGGTTAGATACTGGAAAAGGGAACATGTAAAGGTCAGGTTCTACTCATATTAGGCCTTTCGGTGCCTTCCCTTTTGTCTACTCGAATTCTAGGTTAGATACCTTGTAGATAGGACTGGGTAGCCTCACTGGCTGTGTGGATACAGTTACTTGTGGAATACCAGGCATAGAATTCAAGGGCGACCCGAGACGGGACATGGATTCTCCCCCTATTTTACTATTCACGTGACTTTATATCGCTTTGATTTTACGAGTTCCCTCTAGCCGTGAAGGGTTTGTAAGGTCTAAATCTGAACTTGGTATTTATAATGTACCAAAAATATGGGATATATGCTGTCTCAAATTTTGGACATGACTACTGAAGCGTGATAGGAGGCTACATGGATGGTAAAGGCTCTACCACATGTCCCCTTTAACTTGACCTCGTTATCAGTAAGCAAGCCTGTTAAACGGCCAGATAAGATCCTAGCATATGTTTTCCAAATTCTGGCTGATGCTATAGACGTGCTGGTTTTTTCTTGTCCTGTATTCCGGTGTCTATGTTTTGGCGGCTTTGTGGGAAATGAGGTCGACGATGACACTCTTTGCTCAGGCATAGGTAGGTAGGTACCTGGGTATCTTGATGCCGGCATGACTTCTCTGGTCGTGTGGAAGGAGGAGACGGGGAGCGCGGGTTGCGGACGTGTATAAGACTTTCGGAATACATGGGCAATTGATCTACTTGATCTCCGACAAGGGGGCTGCGATACCGCCTCCCACTTCTTTGGGGGTGCATGACTCTAAAAATACGAGATATGTATACCTATGTGGGATGTTAATATATTAAGAAAAAAGTAGAACCCGGATTTGGTCAGCAGTATGTTGATCTTTCCAACTGGGATTATGATATTATCCCTTAAATCAAGTAATATCATGGGGACGCGTACCTATTTAAGGGTAGGCACCTATCCTACTTCCCGTCTGCCCCGCCCTTTTCCCTGTTTTGCCGGTATTTGTGTGAGACATACTGGTGATCATATTTTCACATGTCGGCAGTCCACCGGCACTGGTCCGGCGCCGTAAAGCCGGATGATGCCCCGCCCGGGGGACTGGACGGCGCTATATGGCACGAAACTTGGAAATGCTATACATCGTGCATATTAATGAATGCGCGATATTCAACTTATTGATTGAAGGAAATCTATGCGTCTGACAGCAAATTCTTCAGATAAACATTTCTGTCTCATGTGAAATCACGTGAGAAGCCAAAGTTTCACCACTTACACGTGATCTCGAAGAAGATCTGACTTGAAACACGTGACTAGGAAGAGTCAGCAGCCACCTGATAGTGAAATGGCTGATAAACTTTCGTCACGTCAATTTCTTCAATTACTCGCCGCCTGGAATTGATGCTCTACCAAAGGAATACAGGGCGACACACAAGTGTTACTTATCCGTGTCTTACACCTTAGGCTCGTTGCTATTCCAGTCTTATGTTGACCCAATGCTTTCAGTTCGTTGCTATCGTCTGTCTAGCAGAACTCGGCGTAGGAAGTACGCGCACTCTATCTCTCAGACTAATCCGCTGTTGTCATCCTTCTCTCGCTAGTATTTCTAAATGTTTCTCATTCCGGAATACTGAATGTCATGTCATTTGCATTTAATGAGACTAGTGCACGTTAACGAAAAGCCAAATTCGAAGCCGTATCCATGGATCCGAAGCCTAACCCACCGGAGCTCCGGACAAGGGGCCATGATTACAAGGTTTAGTAATCCGATTCTTCTCCTATATAGGATATTCATCCATGAAAGAGCTTCATCGTATGCTAAAGACTTTAGCGACTCCAACGACAACTCATCTTAGGTATTGATTAATACCTAGGTACCCTTACTACGAGCTCGCCGCTTGCCGCTCCCCGCTCACCTTCCTTACTGACCTCCCAACAACCAAAACCAAGCCTTTATGGATATTGATAGACTGTTATCTTGTCGCGGACAGCATCGACTTATATTTAATAGAATAAGTAGGTAGTGAGTGGCTAACGATAGATATACATGCAAGTATCTACGATCTTTAATAAATATCCGAAACATCTCGCTAAAAATAACTGATGGTTACTCCCGACTTCCGAGTTACACTGGACCGAGGGACTACCGGCTCTAACGTAACAGTCTGATATGCCTGAAGCTGGAGGGTAATAGATCTGGGGTCCAATTATAATAGCAGAAATTAGCTGGTCGACCCGATTGCGGTTAAAGGGGACCATGTTGAGATACGGGCGGTTGTACTCCGAGTCTTAATATCTTCTTAATTGGTACCTTACTACGAACTCCACCGAGACAAGCTCATTTGATCTGGGGGTATACTGGCACTTCCCAAAACTCGATTTTAACTGGTTGGGACTATTACTAGGTCAGATGAACCTGTTTTCAATCGTGCCTGTAGTAAGGAGCCAATTAAGGGGATATCAGGAACATAGATGCAACATGACGATCACTCACCCACGATCTCGCGCCATAAACCACTGCTATCACGCCCTATCTACGAGTTAAGCTTTTGAAATCGTCCTTAAGCCGCTTGAGATCCGATGGACCCTTGGGGAAATCGCGCGGGAACACGTTAGTCGGTTCTGCGCCTCAACGCTGAATCTACGAGACATCTTGTCTTGGACGGGCCGCCCCATAATTTTCGATCGTAGGGCTCCCTGGGTTCGTTCTTACATCCCTGATCAAGGTCAAATATCGATATAAACTCCGGATCGGAATGTTAAAATCGATATTAAGCCGTGCTTAAGATCTCGTCGCGGCCACGTCTGCCCATAGCCAGGACTGGCTTTTCCGGTCCAAAGAACTTCGGCGAGATACACCACCAAAATGTCGACATCAATGCTTGACGGTGGCTTCGGATTCTCCAAGATGATATCTCAAATATCTTTGTTCCTTTTCACTTGCGCTGCAATGGTATCGGCGCTTCCATCAAGCCTTCAACCTCGCCAATCGTTCACAATAGGCTTTTACGCGCATGAATTAACACAATTTGGCTGCAGGCCCATCATATTCATCTGGGCCAAAGCGACCATAGAGCCTGGCAATCTGGTACGTGATCGAACTTCTGCACAAGAGTAATTGCGTGAATTAAACCGTGCCGCTTACACAATTTCTAGGGAAATACAGTTGGACCAGCGCTGTCGGATGGGCTGAAGGCGGTTTTTGGACCTGCGAACGTCGCGACCCAGGGGGTAGATTATTGGGGCTTTATTGAAACGAACTTCTACCCTGGCGGAGCGCCACCCTGGGGAATTTACGACATGCAACTTCTTTTGAACGCGGCAGCGACTTGTCCCGACTCAAAAATTGTTGCTGGAGGCTACAGGTACTTAAACCGAATCTATTCTTCTCCCCGAGAGCTCTTCCGTGAAGGGTCCATAATGCTAATCAAACCATAGCCAAGGGGCAGCGCTCACTCACCGGGCTATTGAAAGTCTAACCCAAGAAGTGAAGAATAAAATCATAGGAGTGGTGACCTTTGGCGATACCCAAACATGGCAGGACGGGGGCCGAATCAAGGACTTCGATACGAACCGGACACTTATTATCTGTAACGCGGGGGACGCCGTGTGCACCGGGACCCTCTACGTCTTTCCGGTGCATTTCGACTACGTGAAATGGGTGCCTACCGCTGTTTATTATCTCACAAATAAATTGCTCGATAACGCAGTTACAAGGCCGTGGCCAAATGGAAGTTTTATATTCCCCAACGTCACTGTACCCTCGATACCACAGGTCCCGGCGCCACCCCAAGCCGCTGACGCGGTTCCTATGTCGCTTCCTCCGTTACCGACACCCATCATCTCGGATGCCTGAGATTTGAATTTGAGCGTTTTATTGATTATGTTATAATGGTGTTATCTTTGGTCTGGGTGATCTTTCTACGCCCGAGGGGTTTGCGCATTATTGGTTTCACGCACCTACGAGCATGACCTGCTGCGGAAAGGGAGTTCGGGGATGTTGCCGAGCGATCGAGACTTCGATCATAGAATTTAGAGGTGCATAATCGCAGATAGATTTTCTAAAGAGGCGACGTGGGTTATCATAATCAGTCTCTACAGCAATCCAAGCAATAAGAGTTCCATTCTGGACTCGTCAGTTGTGAATACAACATTTTGACGCTTACCAGCTCCTAAAATCGGGATATTATATGTGGGTATCGTGAACATCACTATACAGGAGGCAATTGCCCTGTAACAAGCCAAAATGCCCCCTCCTGACTTACGATAAGAAACAAGACGATCATGGAAGGTGGCACAAACTATATGATAGCCGATTTTCCTGTTCGGCACTTTGAGGATACTGTCTAGGTATCTATGACAGGAAGAGGCAGCTTTAAATAGTTTTCGGCAAATGTAGGACGTTGCATCTGGTATTGATGCCATAGCTGAACGAAGTGAGGTGATTCCGTTATTCCACTACCATTTCTTGAATTTACTGGATAAAAAGTAGGGTTTGGGTACTCGATGAATGTGCTGACTAAACCTCGCTGGCATTGGTGGCTTGACGATAGGTAAATTTTTGGATTCAATGACGTCATATACATAGTACATAGAAAAGGCAGAGAAACATAGGTACTAGGTACATATGTACCTAGGTATAGAACTCCTGCATCCAGGTACCTACTTGTAGCTACCTAGGAAAAATCTAGAAGGAAGTACCTACGTAGGTACAAAAAAGATTGGAAGAGGGGATACGATGTTGTATTGTAGAAGTTCACTGGTTCTTATATACTTCTACAGTACAATTCGCACCTTCCTTACAAGTAGACCCCTTCTGTACCTCTGTACCTTCGGAATAGCCTCTAGAAAATCTGTTTATAGGTACATAAGTCACCTACAACAAAGGTCAACCGAGTCCGACGAAATCACACAATCAGTACTGCACGAGCGTGGTCACCACCTACTATATATCTCGTTCCTCAACCGTCCCACTTCCACTTTCTTTTCTTTCCCTCCACAACATTTTTCGTGTTCACGATTAATATGTAAGTGAACCGTTTTATTCACACCCAAATATTATATCCGATAACGAAGAAGAAGACGATTGCTGCGCTCGTCTCGCGACAAACAATAATTCTTAAACAATTATATTCATTTAAAAAAATTACAACGGCGTCAACACGCCCTTATCTCGCGGCGCGCTCCTACTTGGAGGCGTCGCAGATATTTCGGCGCGCCTGGCCGGACAGGCGGCGCATTTCACAACCTCGCGAATTAGCGACCGGGGAAAGGGGGCATAATCATCATGAATTCAATATAGCCCTTCTCAAGCCGCAACACCATATATAAAACAAGAGCGGAGGGGGGCGGGGCCGCCTCCTCATCGTCGTCGCCGGATGAATCCGACAGGAACGCCTATCTCAACGCCGCGTGCCCTATTCCTAAAAAATTGGCGACGAGAACGCCTTACCAACTTTCGATACCCTAACTTATCATACCCTTACGCCTGACACCTATTTCTTAACCAGGCATTACTTAACCTCTATAATCGCCTCCTCGACAAACCCTATAAAGGTGTCGAGGATTTAAAGACTCGGTTAAGTGTTTAATAACACTGGCCACCACAGTTCACTTCTTCCCCTTCGCCCCTCCCATCTTAACTTTCTGGGCCTATAAAAACGTTAGCCATTGCATCTCAAGGGGAGATCGGCACCTTAAAGCCCACCACCGGCCTAAGGGGGAGAAGAGACGGAGAAAATCGATGGGAGAACTTACATCTCGAGCAAACTCTAGACTCCGCACTGTCTCGTTCTCATTAACCTTAAGCGGGCTTACCATAACAAACATAAGGGTCCTACACCCTTTTCCTAGACTCGGTCTCAGGAGCTGAGTAAGGGTATAGCTCCTGAAGTCGATACCTTCGGTCTTACCCTGACCCAAGCTCGCGAGGACGGTACGGAGGTAACTCAGTGAGGAGTTGATTTCGACGCCTTCACGGTAGATCTGTTCGCTACGGGTCTTGTCGGGGGATTCCGATCCAGCCAGATCGATAAGGTTGAGAGTGCCTTTGCGGGTCTTGATGATTTCTCCCTCCTCGTTCTTCTTGGTTCCGATAATCTTTAGGACGAGGATGGAGTGGGATCGCGAGGAGCGGTCGTTCATTGCTGTTGCCGCGGTGTGACGGTTGTTATCTGCCGTTCGGACCATCTCGTCGAGGTCTTTTTGCTCCTGTAGGAGCGTGAAGCTGTGGCCCTTAATGTTGAGTTCCTCGCTTATCGGGTCTACGCTCAGGGGCTCGGGCTTGGCACTGCGCGATGCAAGGAGATCATACAGCTTGTCTTGGTAGACTTCCAAGTAACTGCCCTCGACCGTGTACTCCCAGCCCAACGCCTTCAGTCGCTCGACCTCGCCGAATATCATATCCTGCGTTCTGGGGATGATGCCATCACCTTTTCGACTCATTGTGAACGTCTTTCCCGAACCGGTTTGGCCATAGCAGAAGATACAGACCTTCTTACCATCCATGACAGATTGCACGAGCTGACTAATCTCGTCGAATACGTCTTTGTTGGTACATTGGTCGTCGAACACGCGCTCGAAGTTGAACTCTTTCGGTTTGCCGGGGATCATCTTGCCTGGTTCCCTGAAGTCCTCTCGCTCTGTCGGTATGAGAAGTCCGTCGATCTTGTCTTCGTCGAGTTCGCTTGCTCGTGGGTTAAACTTGATGAGAGCGTCACCTTCAGGATCCGAGGGAGGTTTAATTCGACACATGACACGGATATTCCCCTTCAACTCTTGTACTTGCTCGAAGAGTTTGTGGCGTCGTTCCTCCTCCTTGATGAGCCTGTCTCGAAGTAGCCTCGTCTCCTCGTCGATCCTTTTCTGTGCTGAGAGTTGCATCTCTTGCATCTTCTTCTCACACTCCAACTGAACAGCCTTGTTATGTTCTTCTAGACTCTGGATGCGTTCGGAACTGAAGTCTAACTTCTGGCTTAGCAGGCTGATCTGTCCGCCCAGATGGCCTTTGTCTTTGGAGAGACTCTCTTCGGCATCTTCGGCTCTCTTTCTTAAGCGGTCGATCGTCTTGAGATTTTCGTCGATGGTGGCCTGAAGGGCTTTCTGCTCTTCTTCCGATTTCTTCAAACTCTCCTCAAACTCCTTCATTCGGAGAGACTGTCTCTCGATATCTATGTTAAGTCTGTGAAGTTCGCGTTCATGGTCTCGCTTCTGGAACTCGAAGTTACTACGAAGCTCCTTATTCTCACGCGAAAGATTTTCTAGCCGGGCTTCGGCTTGAGCGCCGCACTTGTCCTCGAACTCCCGCTGAATCTTGACTGCCTTGTCCATTTCACGCTCATAATCATCGACCTTGGCTCTCATCATTCGTTCATGATCCAAGACTAGATCTTCACAATACTTCTCATGCCGTCGTTGCTGATCTTCGATATCCAAAGTTAGAATACGAATCTGACGGTCGGCGTCGGCCAATCTGTCCATCGCCTTGGATTTCTCTGCCTGCAAGTCGGATCGTTGGTCCTCCAGGGCCGCCACTGTTATGCTTTAGCATCCGAAAAACCCTATCTCAGAAAGATTGGCATCGCATCTTACCTCGTTTCTTGGCCATCTCGAGCTCTTCCTTCACATTCACGCTGTTCTTCTCGGTGGAGTTCATGAACTCTCTGAGCCGCTGGAATTCGGTATCCATCGACTGGATTTTCTCTTCGATCTCCGAAACTACATATCCTGTTGTGTTAGAATATTTCGATAAAAATGGAGCCTTTGTAGGGGAGGGCGTCATGGCTGCAATAGGAGTTTTCTTAAAGTCGTTGAAACTCTTCTCAAAACCGAGCAAAAGCTCCTTTGCCGGACTCTTAGGGGCTACTGAGTCCCTCTGGACAAGCTCAAGCTTCATCTCGTGTTGACCTACACCGCCATCCCCCTTCTGTCTAAAGACGGGCTGAGGGATGAAAGTTATAGGAGGCGGAGGCATGCTTGAGCTGTTGGGAGTCGCTTGAACTCCTCGTCGGTGCTGGTTCCTGTCGCTGAGCGATAGTGACTTGAATTGGTCACTGATAGAGACTTCTCTGGATGTCGGAAGAGGCTCTTTGTAAGTTGCCCCTGCTCCTCCAATGTCTTGGAGAGACTGGTATTTTCGGGGCTTCTTGTTTTGTTGGAGGCTGCTGTGGCTGGATTTATAGGATAGGGGCCTAGGTGTGGATGGGGGCACTATACCATTGTTGCCCTGTTGCTGTACTTCCTCGCGTGTTTCCTGGCGTGTGCCCTCGCGCGTACCCATAGACGTCGCGGGTCGTCCAAGTCTAGTAGTCGACCGTGCTCGGCTGTGTGCGATTTGCGATCGGGAGGGAGGGCGAACACCGGAGCCTACGCTCATGGTGTAGTTGCTATTATTGGAGGAGTAGCTACTGGTGGAAGTGTGTCGGGATCCTGGGGCGCCAGGTCGTGCCTGTTCATCATGCATGTTAACAAACGAGCTAATCCAAAAAATAGTGAGACGATAACGCAACGAGGCCATTTTCGATATTCGAGCCTAGTACATGAAGCATAGAGGAAAAACGAAAGAAAAAACAAAAGCACAACAGGCTTAGCTCGACGGGGATTCCATATCCTTTATGGTCGCCGATTAGCAGTTTCGGGAAGGTTCTCATGCCTTGGAGGCGCGTATACAAAGGCACGAAAGTGTTCGTTTTACAATGGTGCGGACTGCACCGCGACGGAGATTCGAGTCGAGGCATAGAGGGGTATCGAGACATCGAGACACCGAAAAATCGAAAAATCGGAACATCCAAACGCGACTTCTACTTACCGTGTCTCTAAGGGACACACCCTTGATATTCTGCGAAGGGAGGTGGGAGGTGCTAATAGGTTTATCTGGAAATTCGCCGGCTCTCTTGGATAGAGGTTTTCGCTTTGCATCAGATTGTACGGCTACATCGGGTCGTTGTGAGTAAACGGGTTTATAATCGACAAATGGATCGTTCGCACCTGGAGTCGGTACTCCGCGCTTCAAGCTACTGTTGGAGGCGGGCATCAACGAAGCTGGTTGGCGCATGTTGGTCTGAGAATTAGTCATCTCGTGCAGACCGCTGCCGTTGGAGACAGACGTCGAGAATTGGGGGATTCGCGTCGTTGGCTTTTGAAGGCCAGTTGTTCGATGTTGCTGCGAAGGGAGTCAGTTACAGCCATAAATGACCGACGCGATGCAGGAAAGGGATATGATCGGTTCAAAAATAAGGGTGTGAAGACCTACCGCGTTTTCCTCCATGTTGGTGATTCTCGAGGCGCGGGTGAAATTTGGGTACTCGAAGAAACAAAATAGAATATCAAGCTATAAAATAGCACGCGACAAGCTTAAAGACTAATAGCATTCAAGCCGAGTGATACTTAACGTAGGTTTGGAAGCTATACTATCCTTCCATGTAACGACGAAAACGACGAAAGTGACGAAAGCGACGTTGTCACGGATAAGATTGAATGTGATTGATATCAACCTTGAATTGTGCAAGTTTACTGTTATCCAAGTTATCCACTAATATGCATTACTTAAGCTTGAATTGCCTACTTGGCACTGTTGACCTGGTAACAACGCCACTATCAACACTATCAAGACAGCTACTAAGACAATTTGGGGAAAGCTTGGAGAACTTGTGGACCTTCTAGAAAGGTGGGACAGGATTGGCTTTACACCTGGTCCGAGTGTCTCAATTTTGACACTTCTGCTTCTATCAAGCCCGACCGGACAGAAAATAATAAAGTTAGGCTAGCTTTTACTAAGTGTCCTTCACATGCCAAAGGGTACCTTGACGCCATCGCTATCGAATCGTCTAAATCCATCTTAGTCCATATTGGATTACTATTATCACTCTATTCTTCATTGTGACAGGTTCAAAAATCCTGTGGGATTGTTCTTTTCTTACACATCGTACATCGATCTAACCCTTATCTAAAACTCGTTACCGTTTCTGTCCGACGTCAAATGTCCATCTTCCGCACTTTATTACCTTGGATGTCTCGGTAGTTTCAGGGCTTAGGCAGATTTGTCTACCTAGCTACTCCGTCCGTTACCTATCGTTGTCACGATACTCGTCATCATTCGACACTTTAGAGCTTTCGCTGTAGCTACAGCCGCACAACCGCTCTCACCATGGAGAAATACAGCCAATTCCGCGACCGGGGCTCCGGCATCTCACCCTTCATCCCCTCGACAACACCTACCTCCCCCGTATCCAAACTCCTCCACGGCGTCCTCTTCCTCTTCCGTTTACCCTTCTTCCTCGGGTACAGCGCCTTCTTCTTCCTATTCCTCGACCACCTCCCCTCCCTCCTCATCCCGCAAGTCGTCCGCAAACTATTGCTATGGACACTCCTCGGCATCCCGGGGATCTGGTGGGTAGACCTCCAACTCGACGGAGTGAAGCGCGGCTCGCTGTCGCAGCAGCCCAGTACACGGTTCCCGGGCAACGCGCGTCGCTCGATTATCGCAGCGCAGTTCACCAGCCCCGTCGACGCCCTCTACCTCGCCGCGATCTTCGACCCCATCTTCACCATCTCGTACCCCGGCACCCGCAAGGTCCAGCGCGTGTCCCTCTTCCGCGCAATCCTACTCGCTCTCGCTCCTCCGACTTCTACTCCAAGTAATTATAACAATCTGACGACGCTGCGCGCTCTTGTGGATCAGAACCCGCACCGTGTTATAGCGGTGTTCCCGGAGATGACCACGACGAACGGGAAGGGAATCCTGCCGTTTTCCCCGTCGCTGTTGTCGGCGCCCGCGGATGCGCATATTTTCCCCGTCAGCATGCGGTATACCCCGCCGGACATCACGACCCCGGTCCCCGGGGCATACCTCTCCTTCCTGTGGAACTTACTCGGACGCCCGACGCACTTGATCCGTGTGCGCATCGCCGAGGGGGTAACGAACGATTCCGGGGCCACGACGAACGGGGACACGCCGCTGGGCAGTGAGGGGGAGGAGGTTGATGGGGAGAGGCTGACGGGCGAGGAACAGAGGCTTCTTGATAAGATCGCGGAGGCGCTGGCGCGGTTGGCGAGGAATAAGAGGGTGGGGTTGACGCTGAAGGATAAGGCGGCGTTTATTGAGGCTTGGAATAAGGGGAGGAAATAGAATTTAAGATGGGGTGAGTAGAATGAAGGGTTGGGGTTGGGGATAGATGTTTTGATAGGAGAAGAAAAGAAATGAAAAGAAAAGGAGACGATTTGATGATGAGATTGTCTACATGTCGGCGTTTATCTGTCTATCGAACGTACGTCATTGTTGTTACGCATTTTTCGGTGGAGCATGCATTGATTTTCCCTCGCATTGTTTACCTACTTGGGTAGGTATGAAGAGAAAAGGAGACGATAGGCTGGGGATGAATCCGGCGGCAAGGAGGCAGGTGAAGGATTCGTGGCGTGCAGGTGTGGACATGGTGTCTAGAAGATCTAGCATGGACCTCATTTGGAGGTAATCATGCCTAGGTACTAGGTAGGTAGGTAGGTAGTTAAAGACTATCAGATGTTCAAGATGATGAAAGGGTGTATCCCCTATCCAGATCACTCTCAACGATCAAAATCTTGTGTATATGCAGCTCGCATGACCAAACCTGCTTTTAGATCTTAGATCAAACCTCCAGAAACCCAAGTAAAGCTATCCCTCAAAAACCTTGTTAAACTTGAACTTTAATCTTTTTTTATATTACTATACTGTCTTCAAATCATACCTAGCGGATGGGATTAAAAAAAGGGGGGGAGGGAACATTTCCTTTCTTCCCGATTCCGTTTTCCGGACCCGAAAAAAAACCAGACCCACCATACTCTCCGCGCGAAGACATTCAAAGACCGATAAATACACTTTTACCCAGATCCCTATATGTATTTTATATACGTCCGCACTGTACCCAGGCACATCCGCGTCTTATTCATCTCATCTTCGGTATTTACTTTATTCCCTTACACCGGTGGTAACGCAACCGTGACTCGCGTCGCTGACGAGCGCTGCGTACTTGGTAAGTGTGCCTTGGGAGTACCTTGGTGGAGGCGGTGTCCATTCGGCCTTTCGTCTCGCCATCTCCTCGTCGCTCACATCTGCGTCGATGACGCGCTTCTCGGCGTCAATCGTGACTGTGTCTCCGTCCCTTACAAGACCGATAGGACCGCCCTCCCTGGCCTCGGGCGTGATGTGGCCGATTAGGAAACCGTGGCTACCACCGGAGAATCGGCCGTCTGTAAGTAACGCGACGTCGTTGCCGAGACCGTAGCCCATGATGGCAGAGGACGGCTTCAACATTTCCGGCATACCGGGTCCGCCCTTGGGGCCCTCGTATCGGATGATGACGACGGTCTTCTCGCCCTTCTTGATCTCCCCACGCTCGAGCGACGCGATGAAGTCGTCTTCTTGGTCGTAGCAGCGCGCCTTACCAGTGAACACTAGACCTTCCTTACCGGTGATCTTGCCGACGGAGCCGCCGGGTGAGAGAGAGCCGCGCAGAATCTGGATGTGGCCGGTCGGCTTGATAGGGTTGGTGAATGGTCGGATGATCTTCTGGTCGTCGGGTAGGGAGGGCCAGGATTCGACGTTCTCTTTTATCGTCTTACCGGTTACGGTGACACCGTTGCCCTTAATGATGCCTTGGCCGATGAGGAACTTGAGGAGCGCAGGGGTTCCACCAATCTTGTGCATGTCTTCCATCACATATTTGCCCGAGGGCTTTAGGTCGGCTAAGAAGGGTGTCCTGTCGGATACGGCTTGGAAATCGTCAACGGTAAGCTTGATGCCGACGGCATCGGCAATGGCGAGTAAGTGAAGTACGGCGTTGGTGCTACCTCCGAGGATGTTGACCACGACCATGGCCTCCTCGAAAGCTTCCCTCGTCATGATATCTCGTGGTCGGATATCTTCCCTCATGATGTTCTTAATGGCTTCACCAATATTCTCGCATTCCTTGATCTTACTTGGGTCCTCAGCAGGGCTGCTACTGCTGCCTGGTAAGGTCATACCTAGTGTCTCGATAGCCGTGGCCATTGTGTTCGCCGTGTACATTCCACCACATGCACCTTTTCCGGGGCACGCATGTCGAATGATGTCGTATCGCTGCTTCTCTGTGATCTCGCCCGAAATGTACTGGCCGTAAGCTTGGAAAGCGCTAACGATATCAATAGGCGCACCAGCCATGCTGCAACCCGGCTTAATAGTGCCACCATAGACCATAATACTAGGTCGGTTTACTCGACCCATAGCTATTAAGACACCAGGCATATTCTTGTCGCAACCAGGTAACGAGATATTCGCATCGTACCATTGACCTTGCATAACGGTCTCGATACTGTCGGCAATAATTTCTCTACTTTGCAGAGAGTATCGCATACCCGTCGTACCCATAGATATACCATCGGAGACACCAATTGTGTTGAACCGATAAGGAATGAGGCCAGCCCGTTTGACAGATTCTTTTACTACGGCGGATAGGTCCATTAAGTGCATATTGCACGGGTTTCCTTCGTACCATACGGATGAAATACCCACTTGGGCCTTTGCTAAGTCTTCGTCTTTGAGACCTGTCGCGTAGAGCATAGCTTGTGATGCGCCTTGCGCTTTAGGTTGTGTGATGTTGCGAGAAACTTTGTTGAGGTCGGTGTCATTGGAACGGCGACAGGATGTTGTGCTTAAGAGGCGTCTGGATGGTTAAAACAGTTAGCAAAGTCTCTCACTAAGCTTGAATAGAAACCAGTCGTAAACATACGCATATTGTCGGGATGGCGCAAAAGCGCTTCGAGCCAGAGCCGTAGGAGCCCTAGCTCGAAGGAGAGTATGAAACGTCATACTTGGGCTTGGAGGGGTCGAAGCTAGGCTGTGGCTGATAGATCCTCTCCTACTATCTAGTTAAGGCCAATTGACGAGAATGACCTTCCAATAGCCAAATCCAGTGCCCAGGACTAGAGAAATGGCAGCCGGATATCTTGGTGAGAAATGGTGAAGGAATCGCACAATTAGACCGTAATTCTCGGTGAGTCGAATAAAAAAATTAAAATATTGGGCGACATCGGCTTAGTGACAATAGCTGCTCATTGATTGGAGAAGCGACGATAGAATTGCTGCTGTAATCCATGTCATGTCCCACTACACCCCGCACTAATTGGAGATCACATATGACCATTTTCTGCACTCTCATTGGCTCAATGTGAAAGAGGTCATGGCCGATAGCGCCTGCAGCAGTGAACCCCAACAGTGCAAGTGCTCCCTAGGGGCAAGCAAATTCAACAGCTACCTCCAGGGCTAATCTTAATCAAATATTGGTGAAGCATGGTGTCTTGCGAAAAACAACTTCCTTGTTAAATCCCTTGCAATAGAGAATAGTGGTATATTTTCGAATTCGTCGACCTACGGAGTTTCTATCAGGATATCATGTTCCCTTGGAAGCCTTATATTATAACCATCTACGATAAAGCCATGTATCCCTCATTCCAGTCAGTCTTCTATTTGAAGGTAGACGTGTCATCTGAACTGCTGAGGTCCGTGATAGCCGTCCATTACGAGCCGATATGAGCCAATTTAACGCCACTTTGTCTCAAATTCACAACAATATGGAAGTGGCTTGCTTCCTTCGCTACAAACAGCGATGGACAGCCCCCCACTTGTATTTCATGATGAGAATTCTCGGAGATCTCTGGCCTACAGATTCTGTCAACTCCAGATATTTAGTCCGGCCTTGAATTGTCAGGTACCTGGTAGTTATTATAAACTATATATCTAGGTTATTAGTGTCGACTATTTCAGGGCAAGCTTGAAACTATCATGGATACCTATCGACGGTCCAATCCGAGTTCAGCTCGAAGTCTTTTCTTTCCAAAAAGGGATAATCGCACTAAACCCCGGTCCATGTCTTCTTACAGCTGGATTGCGACCTACCCCAGCTGTCCAGCAGCCTGGAAGCTCACTCAATTCTTATCGCAGAGCTCCTCCGCAGCTTACTGATACCCCGCTAACTTGGGTTCCTGCAAGCAGTAAATATAAGAGGCTTATCTCTAATATACCGCATTACACCGTGGTTTACAGGGGTGGCCGATAAAGTCGTCGCTGACAATGATGCGGAGAAGCAAGTGGATCAATTTGATCCAAATATCAATAACTTTTGCTCATGTATCCGGGCGAAAGTGAGACTATTATCAGGCTTGTCTAATATTGAGGTCGACATATCCCATTGGGTATTTTATCAACTACGAAAAGGACGACAAGGCGGATTGAGCACAGTAAACATCACCGTTCGGTCGGGGTGTCGCTTACATACATGCCTCAAACCGACGATTCAATAGTATGTCGAACAACACTTATCACCCAGAAGGGCTCTCACATGAGAAATTTGATCGCACCGGTGGAAATGACTTGGTTGAAGGAGATCGTGAGATGGGGTTCACTGGCCTTGGACTTCCGGGTGACGTGTTCGGGGAGGAAGAGAACCACGATATCAAGTATAAAACGATGACCTGGCCACTTGCTGCTGTTCTAATGATCACGGAGATCGTATCAAATGGCATGCTTAGCCTGCCAAGCTCACTTGATGCAGTTGGTATGGTTCCCGGTGTCATCGTCACCGCTTTCCTAGGTGTTTTTGCTACTTTCACGGCTTGGTTGCTCATAGAATTCAAACTGCGACACCCAGAAGGTAGGTGAAGTCTATGTTTCTTCAGGTAATCGAAGTCTTGCTAATGAAATTGTCATAGTGCACAATATGGGCGATGCGGGATATATCTTATTTGGGCCCATCGGTAGAGAAATCTTAGGCGGAGGTACCATTATTTTCGCTGTTTGTGCTACGGGGTCACAGATTCTTGCTGGCCAACTCGCACTTACCGTCCTCTCGGAAGGAAAGCTCTGCGCGGTCGCTTTTTCCGGTATATTCTCTGCGGCTGTCGCAATTTGCAGTTTCCCTCGAACTCTAGACCATCTCAGTTATCTCTGCATTGTCGGTGGCGCATCTATTATAATCGCAGGAATAGTGGCTATGGCTGGTGCAGGAACTGTTCCCGTCAATCTAGGTAACATAGTGATTGCGAGAGCAAGTGATTTTACCACTGCCTTTATCAGCATCACGAACCCCGTGTTTGCTTATGCGGGGCATTTCATGTTCTTCACACTCATATCAGAGATGAAGCATCCACAAGACGCGATGAAAGCCGCCTGGACGCTCCAAATTGTGGCGACTACTCTATACATCACTCTTGCCATCGTAACTTATTGGTATATTGGCCAGGGGGTCTCAAGTCCGAGTTTTCTTAGCTTAAGCCCGCTATGGTCCAAGATCTCTTTCGGGCTCGCCATACCTAACTTTTTCATCGCGGCTAGTCTGAATATCCATACCGCAGCCAAGCTCATTTTCGTGCGTCTCTTTAGACGAAGTCGCCATATCCACTCTCATACGTTCGTTGGCTGGGGTGTATGGACCTTTCTCATTCTTCTAGCCAATGTTGCAGCCTTCCTCTTCGCAGTCGGGATTCCCATTTTCAACTACTTGGTCGGTATTGCGGGATCCATGTTTGCTGCCTGGTGTAAGTAGCATCTCAACTGAATCTACCCCTCGCAAACATCTTCCGGTGGTTACACTTTGTTGACCACCCCTGGATTTATCAAATAATCATCCACTAACCCATCATTAGACACTTATGGTCTTGCTGGAGCCTTCTGGCTGCATGATACGTATCACTTCAAAGGGGGATATACTGGGTGGTCTAAGAGGCCTATGATGTTTATTCTCTGCATACTTACGGTATGTGCTGGTGGGTTTATATGCGCTGGAGGGATGTATGCCACTATTTACTCGTTACGAGAGGCTTCGATAGCTGGTGAGCTGCCGTCTCCATTCCAATGCTGATATCGGTATCTCGATGTAAGTTAAATCTACAAGGGGTAGGCTGAAATCGTACACCCAAACCACTTGAAAGTACTTTAATTGGATACTAGGGCAAAAAATATACATATAAAAGAGTGTATATTGATACAATTGAAAGTTGCGTGGTGGTCTAGCTGCCTGATACGCTAACTTTAGCGCTCGGGGAGAAAGCTCCTTAATAACGTCAATGGCGGTCGCAACGCAACAAAAGATATCAAGTAATTATCCCCTCTCCACAAAATTACTTCATTTTCGATTGCACATACTCTTTTTGAAATCAATCTCAAGTTCATGAAAATGAATGAGGTCATAGTCGTACAGCTCTGACGTTTTGCTACTTATGACGTCAATGATGGAAGCCTCTCCTATCAGCCCCTTAACATACAGCAGGTAGACCATATTTAAAAGAAACACTGAGCAAACAATTGATGATATTTCCAATCTAACATTTAATCCAATCAAGGACTTTTTACCATCCAGAATAAATCCAATCTGACATTTACCATTTTCCACCAAATCCAAACAAGCAAATCACATATTTAAATCATCCGCCATGTCCAGCAAAGCACCCAGCGAAGGAACCAAAGTAACCCCCGGCCAAAATGCTCCCATCACTAGCGAGGGCCCTGGGTTCATAGATCAACACTCTCTCGCAGCGGAATCCCAATCATTCCGCCAGGCTAACGAAGTCGCGCCCCAGAACCAGCAGCACACAGAAAACCCTCTTCACAACTCCATTCCCAAGCCCCACGAAGGCGGCATTCATCAGACCGCCTCCGGCTTCCTGAACAAGACCTCGGGTCCGGGTACGGCGCCGTCATATGTTCAAAGCCAGTATATTAAGGGTCAGGGAGGTCCGCATGGTAAGAATGTGACGGAGGACGAGAGTATCGCGACCGAGGATAGAGAGAAGAACGCGAGTTTCTCGCAGTTTGGCACGAAGGCTGATCCGGGTAGGGAGGCGGAGCGGAAGTTTATGTTTGGACAAGCGGCGAATCCGGGGGCTACTGCTGGGAGGGGAGAGGGAGGTGATAGGGAGCAGCCGTTTGGGGTGTTGGGTTCGAGTGAGGAGGCTTGAGGGAGGGATTTGGAGAGGGGGTTGGGGGATAGGGGGTGGATTAAGTGTTTATGTGAAAGTGTGTTTGTCATGTTAGATGTATAGTCTGGCTTCGGCTTATGACAGTTAAGTCTACCTAGAGTGAACTATATCGTACAAGATATTCAGATATCATGAGATACAATGGCTCCTCGTATACCCACTCAGGGTCCAAGCCTTGATGAGTTTCGGTTTTAGTTTGCCCTAAACCAAAGCCAGGCCAGTACTGATGAATGTGCATCTCCAAACCTGTGGAATGTTGAGGTTGTAAGGGGGAGGCGATATTTGGAAGGCGGACGTTCAAAAGGCGTATAGGGGCTAATGGTGGTAGAATTCAGGGGATGGTTGATGAATCATCTTTCTGGAGGGTGTCCGGCTACCTGATGCCTACCTCTAGGTGCATAGATGTTAGTTCACCCCCTTAAAGTGAAGCTTCAATAGTAGTAGGTATGTTAAATGACCGATTTTCATCGGTAGCATTCCCTAAGGCATTATAGTGGATTAATCGTTTGTTGGAGAGGCCTTATAGTTCCCGCTTTAACAAGCTCCTGCAATGGAAGCTTAGGTACCTACCTAGGTAGGTTTCGATTCTGAAAGAATGCATATCTCTTGAGACAGTGGCAAAGAAGTACTTAGTAACGGTGGTCTAGCAGCTACCTGGACGATCAACAATACAAAGGCTGAGCTTTTCGAGGTTTTATTTCTTGCTACCTACCTGTTATATCACAAGCAAAGTGTCTAATTGTAATATAACTTTGGAGAATGTATAAAATCCTAAGTAGAATTCATTGCCAGGAGGGTACAATATCTCTTAAAACAGGAGCCTGAATATTTCACCACGACAAAGAATGATAGGTGCGAGACCAATATGAATGTCTAGACTATAACTGAGTATTATCCATAAACTAACATGAAATATAGTTATGGGAAGTCTCACTTGAGCATAACTGCTTCTTCAATGAACCGTTAGAGATTCTTACAATACGTCTTGATGATCTCTCCCTCTAGTATCCAAAGTATTCAATTTCGAACCTACCTAGGTATTATCTAGGTAGGTACCTTAATCACCTACATAGAAGGTAAACACATGGTTGTGTCTGTTAGGTTATCTTCTTTCATTCTTACATGGTGATAAGATCCTCTTGGTTAAACAATATCAATCACTTGAGTGATCCTTAGAATCAGTATTATAACTAGGTACCTACCTAGGTATTATACAGCTAGTTAGGTATTCTTGTTAAAATGTTATTTAGATAGTCCTGAAGGGCTATAGGACTAGTATAACTCGCTCCCTACTAGGTACTAGGTAGTTACCTTTGCAGGCATGTGCCCCTTTTCACATGATTTCGCATGTATACTAGTTACCTAAGACAATGTTTTAGTATAATTATTTAATTTACTATATTTATGTACGGTACTGTCGCATATGATTGATTCGATGCACTGCCTCTCTCGTTTTCCAATTGCCAAGTTCTTCGCCCCTTTTGCAAAGATTCCAGCTCGTATTCTAAATCACGTCGTCTCATCGTGGAACTAATACTAAGGTACGCAATGACGGTTTCAGGGGCTCATTTAGTCAGAGGCTGGATTATATTCGCGCAGTCGTAACAACTATGTAGAAATTAGGTAATAAAGTCGGAAAAGGAGAAATTCCATAGAGGGTCTGACGGCAAATCTTGACTAGATTTAGAAAGGCGAATCTGCGTTCCCTGGCTATCACCGGCGACCTCGCGGCTCTAGCAATCTTCCCCCACCGGCCCGTTCCCTTCCCTCTCCCCTGTTCGCTCTCGCCTTTCAACACCGGAGGAATTTTCAAGTCCCGTCCATGAATAACAGCTGTTCGTCTGATCCTCCGAGGAGCCGCCATGACAAACTGGAAAATATTGCGCAAAAAAGTAACGTCGTAAATAGTATGGGAATGCCGCATGTCAGATGTTTTGTGGGTGATTCCGTTCAATAGACCTGCCGGATCGGAACTCTAAGCGCTTCCATACTATGAGACTTGCAGTAATGATTTACCAGTAAATCAATAAAGATGACGACGCATTTTGACTCTTAGACGACATATGTCGTGAGAAGCACAGGAACGATTACTGAGCCACTTCCGAACCAAACTTGGAATGTGTTACTTGCATCAAGATGAGCAGGTTCTTATCTAACCGTGCAACAGTCTGAGCGCTTAAAAGCATGACAATTATTACCAGTAGGATATCAATTTTGGTGACGCGTAACAAATTGATGACGCGTTTGGCTGCGCTCCAACATAACCCCCACAACTCTTAGACCTTCACTGCAGATTCATCGCATGGACAGAACTACTTCATATGTAATTATATCCAAGACATAAGGACCATGCTTCTATAGAAAGACCAAAAAACTGATAATGCCATGTAACCTATTTGGCAGCATTGCATGCGCATCACGATTAAAAGCTTAAACCTGTCTCGTTTCAACCTGCAAGCGCACTTATCAAGGGCCGAGATGTCGAATATCGTAACTCATACCTTCTCGACTTGATGATGTTCATACCACATTCCTTTCTTGATGTTTAGGGTGGGTATATGTTTTCCAGAGCTTTGGTCGTTCCACACTATTATTAAACCAGTTCGTCCGTTGCATGTGAACCTAGGCGTTGGGTCGTTCCACCCAACCCCCACGCAGATTCCTTCCCGTATCTATGAAGCTAATCGACGATCATTCGAACACAGTATGGTTAGTTTATACGTAGGGCTCATAGTATGCATCTTGACATTTTTATCGGGACTTGCTAGTATTAGAGGAAATAGAATTTAACATTCCAAGGTTGTGATGGGTCGTGCAAATCACTGAAACTCCCTTAGCAGGTCTTTTAGAAGGATTCTAGAAAGGATGAGAGATTCAGGTTTTACTGTCTTGACTGTTAGGTAACGAGGAAAGGCCAGACAATTCTTGCGCTTTCCCCTGATTCAGATGTCTGTGATTGTAACACGCCACGGAAAATCACATGCTTGGGATGAACCGTCTTGTCCGTCCCAATACCTAAGTCAGAGCAAGAAAGGAAACTCACATTGAACATCCCCATGCATCTATCAACCCTAACCCACCGTGGAGGGTGTGCGTGTATCATTGATAGAACTGGATAGACGGAATGGTTGCTCCAAAAACTGAACCGTCTCACTCGAGATAGCCACGAATCGTCTGCTTTACTGTTGCAAAACTTGAGGAATCCGTAAAATGTCTCACCGTCGAGGTCCGGTCCCGAAGTACTGGAGTTCGAAGAGATTACGCAAGCTCGAAGATAGAAGTGCCCAGACCTTAGCAGGCTCGCGCTTACGTAGTATCTATCCAGCCTCGCGGAGACTGAATGAGTTAGGTGGTATGTAGGTACACTCCCTCGGCCAAGTTGCGGTGCTCTGCATATATGGGGGCGGACCCCTTATGTCAACACCGGTCAACCTCGCGCGCGCAAGTACGTCTATGTAGGAGCGGAAGATAAGGTTGCCTTATCTGGCTGTACGCTCGCGACACGGGAAGGATCAGGAACGGATAAGTACCATGCACGGCGCAGAATTTATGCTGAATTCAGGGGGGGTGAATACAACGGACCCTGTAAATCAAAGATGGACGACGTCGTAGTCCCAAAAGGATCCGGCATGCCCGATATGCTTTAGACTGCCGAGAGCATTGCCGATCCTTGACTGATCATACTGCAACGCTGTGTACCTAGCTAGTTTGTACTTTATCTTGACGTTGCATCGTAGGGTTTAGTCCTTGGTGATTAACGTCTAGTACAGACTGGGCACTGGGCATTGGACACCGAGCACATTGCGCGCTCGGGTGGGAGGATCGCGACTTGTAAATTGTAAATTGCACAACGTGGTATGTAATTCCTTATTGTCTATCTCTCAATCGCTCTAATTAATTTGCATGTTCTGATTTCTGCATTACCGACATTGCTACGGTTCATGACGTTCTCATTACCAAGACCTGTCTAAGCTTAATAAATAATATGAACTAATCTATCGATCCAAGGCCTGTGCCTGACACTATATCGTAGATTAATTAGTATGTCATACGGTGGTAGTTGTTGTTGAGTGTAAAATCTGGGCGTACGTACCATGTTGTGATATAGGCCTCGCTTCTGAAGGAGGGAATTGTGGGTGCCTGTTTCTAGAACCTGTCCATCGCCAACGACGAAGATAATATCGGCGTTCTGAATGGTGGCAAGCCGGTGGGCAACCACTATCATGGTCCTGCTTTTCTTCGTCCTCTCGAAAACACCTTGCACTAGCTTCTCCGTTGCCGAGTCGAGATTGGATGTAGCTTCGTCAAGGAGAAGAAGCCGTGGATTCCTAACGAGGGCTCGAGCGATCGATATTCGCTGTTTCTGCCCGCCGGATAGCAACACACCTCTGATACCCACTTTCGTATTGTAGCCTTCCGGGAGCGAGGTGACAAAGTCGTGAATCTCTGCATCGCGACACACTTGTTCTAGTTCCTCGTCGGAGATAGTGTCAGGATCCACCCCGAGGAGAATGTTTTCTCGGATAGTGCCGTTGAACAGGGATGGTTCTTGGGCTACCAGCGAAATCGTTTTCCGGTAGTCCCTTAGATCGATGGTATCAATATCAATATCGTTGTACGTGATGCTTCCAGATTTGACACTGTAGAATCTACATGGAACTATGAGCTTGAACAATTCGTCCGAAGGGATATTGGGAAGACTCACCTTTCCAACAAGGAGATGACACTAGTTTTTCCACAGCCTAAATTCTGTAAGTTTTAGAGTCACACGTTGCTGTCGAAAGGACTTACCAGACGGCCCGACGATGGCAGCGAATTGACCTTTTTCAATCTTGGCAAATTAGTAATTGTCGACTTTTCCCGGTGGGCGGCGCACTTACAGTCATGGTCAACCCGTTAAGCACAGGTGCATCTCGTGTTGGGTATCTAAACCAAACATCCCGTAGCTCAATCTTAACACCTCGCTTTTCATCATCGACTGGTTCATCTAGAGTGATGCCTCCGTCGTCCTCATCTTTCTGCCTCATAGCCTGAATTCTGTTGGCGGCTATGGTCGCTTGCGCAATATCTAACAAAATGTCAGCATTCGCCATAGGACGCGCGTTGTTATTCAAAACTTACTAGGTCCAAAACTGAGCCATTGTCCTGCTCCCGTGGCACCCTAGATCATCTCGGTTAGTTACCCTATCCGGATTCGCTGTGAAGCTGACAGGATTCTTTACCTGCACCACGGCAATATATACAACCACTGAATAGACGTATTAGCTCATGATCATCTGCAATAAGAACTTTAAAGTTGCTTACAATAATTAAACGTCTGATACTCCCCCTTCACAAGGAGAGTGCCTCCATACCTAATGCGTAGTGAGTAATTAGTAAGACGTATAGGTGTACGCATATTGAGCAAAGACGTACCATAAAACAAAAGCCATGCACAAGAATGGAAGACTATCACTTGCTGAAAATACCAAAGTAGCTAGTCGAGCTCGTTTGAAAGCCTTCTTCACATGCGTCTGCAGCAGCTCTTCGTATCTTTCACATATGCCTTCCTCAAGTGTCAATGCAGTCACTGTCCGGATAGCTCCGATTGATTCGGTAGCGAACTTCGCACTTTCAGCGAAAACCTTCAAGTTCATGGCTTCGAACTTCTTCTCAACTCGGATGCGGAAGAAGCCGGCGGCGACAGCCAAGGGTGTGGCTGATGATAATGCGACGATAGTGAGCTTCCATCCAAAGTAGAAGGATAGGATCAAGCATCCAACAACGCTGAAAATTGAGATTGCAGCGAATGTCATGTTGTTCCCAAGTAATTGCTGCAGCTGGGTAGGATCGCTAGCCACGATTCCCGTCAGAGCACCTATGGACCGGCCTTCGCCGTCGAACCAGGATACCCTTTTCGAGATAATATTTTGGAAATACTCCCGGCGGTAAGTAGAAGTGATGTACTGCATATGATTAGCTAAGAGTAATTATGAAGGGGGCTGTGTTTGACGTACGAAAGATACGACGGTTGAGGAAAATCCGAGTGCGAAGTAGCCGACTCCAGCTGCAGACGCTAAGGCAACGAACATGAGACACCAGAAATTAGTCAACGCGACCAAAACGTCTCCCCAATATGCGAATGACGAAATGAGCGCTGCAAATATGAATGCCTGCACAGGTGGACTCGCTGTACCCGGTGTTAGTAGAATTCAGGTTGGCTGAAAATGCATAGGGACTTCGGGAACGTACCACCAGCAACTATGGCACCGGAAAACATCACCGTATACCACGGCCAAAATGGCTTCTGTTCTACGAGTAGTGCACCAAAGCTTCCAAGTACACCCTTCTGCTTGTGCTCCGGTTCGTCGACTATGGTGCTTTCGCTATCCCGAGCTTCTTCCTTGGTTTCATCAAGGGTCATGATATCCATAGTTCTCTTTTCCCCCTCTGTGACTTCGGATGAGGTATCTATGGAATCGGTGTCTCCCATCGATATTTTTTGCGAGTTGGTAAGAAGCCAGTAAGCTCCACCAACCTTGGCCATGAGAGACTCATGAGTTCCCCATTCGACAACCTTGCCCTTAGCGAGTACCACGATATTATCCGCTTTCTTGACTGTTGAAAGTCGATGAGCGATCATAATCGTAGTTCGGTTCTGTGATACTTTGTCAAGCGCAGCTTGGACAACTTTTTCTCCGCGAACGTCGATCGAACTAGTTGCTTCATCCAGGATTAGGATCTTAGGTTGCTTGACTATGGCTCGTGCGATCGCTAATCTCTGGCGTTGACCACCACTCAATTTGATACCGGCATCTCCCACGTGCGTCTCGTATCCTTCGGGAAGACGAGAGATGAACTCATCAGCGAAAGCTTCCTTGCAGGCGTGCTCCACTAATTCTCGCTTCTTGGTAATGTCGGCATCTTCCCATTCTGTGCCTATCAAACCATTTGCGACGTTCTGAAAAATGGTCGAGTTGAAAAGAAATGGCTCTTGTTGTACGAGACCGATTTGAGATCTCCACCATTTAAGATCTATATCGGTCAATTTCGTACCCCCTATTTTTACCGAGCCATTGCGAAAAAGCTTGACCTATGAAAAAAAAAGACAGGGTTAGTGACCGAGCGCTTGGCGAGAAATCGGAATATTTCTTACTAATCTCTTTTCTTCTGAATCACCGTCTAACTCGTACCATCTTTCTATGAGCGCAACAATCGTACTTTTTCCGGATCCCGAAGGACCTACGATGGCTGTCGTCTTCCCCGCTGGAAGGATCAAATTCAGCCCATCAAGAACCTTCAGCTTTGGTCTCGTTGGATATGTGAAATTGACGCCCCATAGTACGATATCGCCCGTTGCTGACACGTCAGGGTGCTTGAGTCCTGCAGTGGCTTGACTTGGCGCATCGATACCATTGAAAAGAATGCTCGCTGCGCCCGCCGCACGGGCTGCGGCAGAGATTGGCGCTGCAATTCCGCCAATCCCCATCACTATCATCATTATGCACATCAAAACGCTGTGTATACGTAAGCTTCGGTTAATGTTTGTTCAAAGGGAGAAACTAACGTGATCAATGTCCCGACATTGTCAATCTCAAAATTGAGCAGTAACTTCACCGCAAACCAGAAAGTGAGAGCAAAAGTACTGTTAAACGATTAGCGCATGGCCACATTGGGCTCAACATGAGATACTAACCCATAAACACTGAAGTAGACTGAGGAATTATGTTAGCAAGATATTTCCAAAATGACCAAGAGAGCTAGATTGCATACTGATGCCTTGCTGAAAAGCAACGATCTTGGACAATCGAAGACCTCTGCGCTGCGCCTCGTCCACCCACTCCTTGTACTTCTTGACCATCTTGACTTCAGCTCCATAAGCAGCCACCATCCGGATGGAGCCGAATGCTTCGCTTGCGACTGCAGATCCCTTGATATTGGCGTCTTCAACTTGCTTCATGCACTTTACGACAAAAGGAATAGTCACACAATACGTAATTGTGATTAGAAGCAAGCCACTGCTCGTTACCAAGCTCAATTTCCAACTCCGGGTGTAAGCTATGATAATAGACGAGACAAACAAGGAAATATTCTGGATGATCGCAACTAGCTTTTCTGATATTCCATTCTGTAAAGTGTTTGCCGTGGTTGTTATGATGGCAGCCACTTGACCAGGGGGCTGGGTGTCCAAGAGCGACACCGGTAGGCCGAGTAAAGCTTTGAAGTAAGCTAAGCGCATCGCTGAAGAGATACGTAAACTCATAGAGCGAAATCCAAGCTTCATTTCTTGTTAGTATTGAGATTCTCGTGAAAGGGGGATGTTAACTTACAGTAGCAACGTATCCCAACACAAATCTAGCTACGAAGAGGTACACCATGTAAAGTCTATAATTATAAAGTTAGCTCAATTCTGAGTATTATGAATTTTATAGTCCTTACGAGTATTCGTCTATGAGCGACGTATAGTGTGCCTTTGCGCCCTCAGCACTTAAGTCAGACCTAGCACTTGCGATAGCTCCAACAAGTTGGCCTAAGTTATTAGTGACTGTTATACATGACAGCTTCTGGATTCAAAGATAACATACCGAACACGATTGTCATTATGGGGAAAGCAACACCGGCACCACATGCGGCAACAGTGGAGATAAAGAGAAATATTCTGTCGCTCCATGTTGAATAAGTAAATATCCTCTGTGCCTTAGTTAATATTGGTAACGTAAATTATATGGAGACAAAACTCACGAAGAAGTTTGACGAGGTTTTCTTCAATTTTGACGGTTGCTTAGGAGGCGTGGTGCCTGGGGCCTTAGGGGTTGCTGGAGGAGTACCAGAGCCAGCAGAAGTAGCAGCAGCAGTAGGTGGTGGTAGAGGAGCGGCGACCGGTGATGCAGGTCCGATACTATTCCCGGGAGAGGCTGATGGGATAGTAGAGAGTATGGTCCCCCCCTCTTGTGACTCTGGCGGTTTAGCGAGCGAAGATAGCGATGGCTTCAAATTTATCAGATTATGTTGACTGATAGGCCGTGAAGCATCATGCTCCGTCAACGAGGCTGCTGTTGAGGATCCTGACACTATCGAGTCTGTTCGACCATGCGGAGCAGAGGCTCCCAGAAGATTCATAGTTGAGGACTCCCTCATGATACCTGGTGATGGGGGGTTCTCTTCTGTCGAGACTGAAACAGAAGTATCTACTCTAGGAATATCCGTAGTCGCGATACCCTCATGCAGCACATCTATGGGGGCATCTTGATTAGCCGGGCCCGAGAGACCGGCAGAGACCTCATTGTGTGGGTTCTCAGAGGCTTCAGCTAGACCGGCGTCATTTTGCCCCATGTTGCATGTGCGCGAGGCGCGACTTAGATCCTATGCAGTACGAAGAACAACTAACAGACCAACAAAACAAAGCCTAAGCAGGGGATTTAGCAAGAAAAGGAAAAGTGTGTGTATGTACGACCGAAGGTTGGGGGACAAGGATACAACCACCTCAGAAAATCAAGAAAAAATAAACCCAAACAAAACTATTAGAGCGAAAGATATCATAGAATCACTAAGTACAAAATCATAGCATAGTATGCCCAGGTGAGGTTCGAAAAAAAGAGACCCCTAGCAAAAGGGCTACAACAAGGAGCGTGGATAAAACACGATAGGGTTGGTCGGAGGCATGCTCCGCTAAGTAAGAACTAGGGACCTAAGAACACTAAGCATCAATTAAAATAAATGAGCCGATATACCCCATTGGCAGGGCCCCCCCTTGTCGTGCCTTATCCGCGTACAGGTCTCGGGAGTATTGGGGGGGATCGTCATACCCCTAGCAGATGGTCGCAGTGTGCCCTAGCTGCCGATCATCTTCAATATAAGCATGCATTTTCCAATAGCTAACGCGGCATATCACAAGCTGGGCTGTTGGCTTGTAACTTAAGGCAAATTTAGGGCCAACAACTCCCGTGTAGGCTTGTAGTAGTTGTCATCGGCCTGTAAAAAAAGCAGCCCGTCATTTACATTGGCGTCCATTACATCGTATCATGCATATAATAATATCAATTCTATTTCCTTTTGTCATAATTTCCTCTTTTTTTTTTATCACAAGCAAAATACTGCGAATTGTGGCGTGGCTTCGATTATTATGTGCAGTTACATCATGCACGGAATATTCCAAATCTAACTGGCCTCCCATTTGCTGGGTGCCGCCGTCTCGTTTTCTTTGGAAAATAATTATGCAAGCGTCGGTAATTATATTGTTGTATCTAGGTAGGTAGGAACCCTTTCTGCATGTAGTAAGTTTTATATACAGAAAACCGGACTCGGGAGAGAAAACCACAAGTAAAGGAGTCTACGGCGAATTCTATCATCTAAAAATGTGTCTATGCTGACGCCTCCTCCATCATCGTACGGATAACATCCCCTAACTCCTTGATCACACCTTTTTCTCTGGGAAGAGTGTGTCCTTTACCATGGTCGAAAATGTATGCCGTGTCAGGTTCGCAAGTGTTGTAGAGAGCCATCGAACCCGCAACATACGGGTCAAGGGAACCAACTAGACTTACTATCAATATCTAATATTTGAGAATTGTTGGGAATATTAACTTATCGACTTACTAATGTGACAGGTGTGAATATTGATCATGAGATCAGACTCATCTGAGAGAACCATGGCGAAGGTGGAGGGGTCTAGAGGCGGCCAACCGGCAAAAAAGACGCCACACTTGATCTGAGGAAGTCTGCCGGTATCTTCAAATCTTTTCTGCTCGGCGAGAAGAAAAGTTGAAGCGACAGTAGCCCCCTCTGAATATCCGATGATTCCTTCGAACGGGCCTTCTTTCTCACAGATTTCAAACAGGTATTGGATAGCGCGATTCGTGCTGAGAACACTACTAGCAACGCCTTCTTTCATGAGTTCTCGCATCGTGTCCTCAGCAGTATCGCATTCGGGGAAATCTCGAATTCGAGACAAGACATCGGTGTCTTTTGATTCTTTATCATCGGGTTCGATGAATCGGTAGTATGGAGGTTTTCCGAAGAAGTCTTCGAATCCCTCCGGAGGGACGGCTTCGCACGGAGCATCAACGAAACGAAATGAGGCAGAACCATCGGACATCATCTCGTTCACTAGCGGCGCTAATGAACATAGTCAGTAAAGTTTCACCAAAACGGTCTTTACACAACATGACGTTGTGATTCATACCTAGTTGAACTTGGAATTTCTTCACTCATGTTAGCGTTACGAGGTATGCTCGAGGGGATACGAAGACTTACATCAGCGCTTCCATAGGCGCCTGGTAGACACAAGAACTTCATGATGGATAGGTAGCGTGAGTTAGCTTCTCAGAACCGTGCACCTAGTTACACCAAAATTTCTTAGAGTTAGGCGGGTTCCCGTCCATAAGAAACAAGCATAAAAGGCAAGGAATGTAGTAAGATGAATAGGTGCATTGAAGAATAGGAAGACTCAGCCAGGTTAAAGCTTACGTGTTAATCGGTTTACGTAGAAGATACTTGATATCCTGGGCTGGAACTGAGACCCTGCGAGTCCGAATCCAAACCCGGTGTGTGTTTAAAAAAGTCCGTAGACTGTTTTAGATACATAGATCTTGGCGGGATATGCTGTAGCACTCCATGCAGTATGTAACGACAACCAAGGGATTCCCTATCACACCAGGTTGCACCAAGTTGCATGACATGTGGGTAAAGTACCCATCTACCCATCTACCCCTGTGCCCAGGCTTACAACGGGTAAGCTGAGGCTCTTGCCCTTGAGACACGCTATTACTAGGTAGGAATTTCTCGATCGGATTTATAAAGACGATATATCTATATATCTATGATACTATGTCAGTTAGCGGTTAGCTTGGGGAATAGCGTCGGCGCCACCCGGATAGATAGGGATTTAGCTCATTCGGGCATTCAGGGGTTCTAATGTTGTCCGGATGCTAAGGACTAAGGGGAGTTGATAAAATCAAGGTTAGGCCGCTGCTATTGGACCCAATAACCAGCCAGCTACGTAGTAGAGAAGGTAATTCTCCCAGTCGGTCGAGGTCGGTGATGCCCCCACCCGCGCCACGGTCCATCGAATGGAGTTCAAAGTGCCGGATGCCAAGGCGCGGGGTGGGACTATACAATCTATCCATATTGCGAGGTCAAGGGTCCTATCTACGAGGGTATTTCGTAGTTCGTAGTTCGTGCCAAGGTAGGTACGTATTCGATGTCAAGTGTACCGGCTACGTAGCATGTGGTGTAAGACGTATGTATGTAGGTATTGTACCTTGGTATATGTCAGGGACGGTGAGGTCAAAGTCTTCGTTGCATCCTTATCGAGCTGCCGCCATAATTCAATCCCTGTCACATCGCAATATCAATGTCTCATCCTTTTTTTTTCTTACCTGGCTTATCCCAAAGGGGACTCAAAAAGCTTCCGGAAATGACTTCCTGAGCTCGGAAAGCAAACAAATAAACCTGCAAATAAACTTATTATACGCTGCCAATCTTAACCACTCTAATCTATTACTCGGTTAACATTGATGCACGCGTAGTCACTATTGATAAATGGATCGGCAGTGCTTTCCGCTGTCTCGACTGTCCGTAGCCCTAGGAGAAGCAGGAGAGCTTCCAGATCGAGTATCTCGAGGGCTGCTGGACCCTGCCGCTTGATATCGCTAAGGCGAGCACGTCACCTAGTTATGGGGCCATCGTATTGTCGTCTTCGTCTTCGTCTTCCTTCTTTGGCGTTTAGCGATACGATAAGCTTGCGATGACCCTGATCGCTCGTTCGTGACATGACAGATCAAAGGGGGGGCTTCGGCCTACGGGGAGATGATCCCCAACAGATGGGACCGAGGCCGAGGTGGTCGTCGTCTTCGTCGTCGTGTTCAAGGTAGCCAGATCCAGCAGGTCATCCCCCTGCATAAGCTTCTTTTCGAGGTCTTGGCCTCAAAATCGATGATACCACGGAGAGTAATGTGCGATGTCTAAGACAAATTGACAATATGATCGGCACCCTGACAGCCATGATAGTCAGGGATGACAAATGGTACAGGAAAAACCAACTGGAGACTGGACTATTGGATCCTACGTTTCCCGTGTAGCTGTTTCCGATAGACGCCACGAGATCTATAGGAGTGTTCCTCGCCTAAAGTTACAGCCATACTTCCGTGCTCAGGGTGGAAAGATTTTCCTATCCTCCGAATATCAGGCTCCATTGTCACATATGACAGAGCACCCTCCCACCCGGTACCCCGGAGACGTACGACATATTACGCGTCCGGAAAGTTCCCCTTGAGTCACGAATATAAACTCCAAATCTTCACTCGATGTTTACATTCTGCAACTTTCCTTAGAGAACGTTCGGCCACTATAGTACCGTCGCAACGATATCCGTAGCCATGGCCCCGTCAGCCACAAACGGCAGTGCATATAGCACATCCAACGGAGTGCACGAGGATTCGAGAGCTCCTACTAACGGCTACACTAATGGACATACGAATGGACATACAAACGGACATGCCAATGGCTTCGCCAACGGTTCTTCAACTCATGCCAACGGAAATGGCAACATCAACATCAACATGAACGGCACGAACGGGCACTCCACTCAACCCTTCGGTCACACAAATGGTCACCGAGTTGGCCAAACAAACGGCCTCAGCAACGGTCACACTAATGGCAATAGCAATGGCAATGGCATTGGCATCAGCAACGGTGTCAGCAACGGCGTGAATGGGAATCAAACTCCGTCGATCAAAGACAAGGCGCAACCCATAGCCATTGTGGGCATGTCGTGTCGGCTGCCCGGAAATGTGGCAAGCCCGGCGGAGTTCTGGGAGCTATGCGCTCGAGCTCGGAGTGGCTATTCGGAGATACCTAAGGAGCGTTTCAACACCGCCAGCTTCTACCATCCGAACCCGGGCAAGGCGGGTTCGCACAACCCAGTGGGCGGTCACTTTCTCAACACCGACCTCCAGGCCTTCGACGCTCCCTTCTTCAGCTTGACGGAGAAGGAGGCGATCTCCATGGACCCGCAGCAGCGGTTGTTACTAGAGTGCACGTTCGAAGCGCTCGAAAACGCGGGTATCCCAAAGCATACGATCATCGGCAAGGAAGTTGGTGTGTTCGTGGGGGGCTCGTTCCCAGAGTACGAATCTCACTTGTTCAGAGACCCGGACACTATTCCCATGCATCAAGCCACAGGTGAGCTGGACCTTTCCCCCCCCTCTAAAGATTGTCCTTGCATGTAGTTTCCCGCGCTGATTACGTTGCCAGGTTGCGCGTACGCCATGCAATCTAACAGATTATCACACTTCTTCGATCTGCGGGGTCCCAGTTTTACCACGGATACAGCCTGCTCGTCAAGTCTGGTCGCACTGCATGTTGCTTGCCAGAGCTTACGCACCGGCGAGTCAAATATGGCGATTGTCGGTGGATGCCATCTGAACATGCTTCCGGAGTTTTGGATTTCTTTCTCTAAATCGCGGTAAGGCACTTTGAGACATACCTTAGCTTTGTGATGCTTATTATTATCTGATTATTTTTCATGTCTGTCAATGACGCTGACATTTTCTCATCACCAGTCTCTTTTCCGACTCGGGTCGATCGTTTTCTTTCGATAGTAGAGGTACAGGATTCGGCCGAGGCGAAGGATGTGGTATGGTAATTCTCAAACCGCTAGAGCAGGCTCGCAGAGACAATGATCAGATTAGAGCGATCATTGTCGGAAGCGGCATCAACCAGGATGGAAAGACTCCCGGTATTACGATGCCTTCCGGCGATGCGCAGGGTAAGAAGAATTCTCCGTGAAAGCCAAGAAAACCCAAGAAAAGCCATAAGCTGATTTTATTTGCCGCAGAAACATTAATGCGTCAGGTATATACGAATTCCGGACTTAACCCTTCCGATTGTGGCTTCGTCGAAGCACACGGAACTGGCACGCGTGTAGGAGACCCGATTGAGGCCACCGCTATTCACAATGTATTGGGTGCAAACCGTTCAGCACGTGACCCTCTTTACATTGGATCTGTAAGTCTCATCTTATCTTTCTTGACCTGCATCGTGACGTATGCTGGCGAGTATGACTAACCCGGGTGCACGTGATAGGTGAAATCCAACATCGGCCATCTCGAGGGAGCTTCAGGTATTGTGGCAGTTATCAAGTCTGCCTTGATGTTAGAGCGAGGTTTCATTTTACCTAACTACGATTTCAAATACCCCAATGAGAAAATACCATGGAAGCAATGGAACTTGAAGGTACCTGTCAGCCAACGCCCATGGCCCCGCAACAAGAAATACCTCAGCGTCAACAACTTCGGCTTTGGTGGTACCAATGCTCATGTAGTCCTTGAGAAAGTACCATTCATGACCAGAGGTTCTAAGAACGATGCCGATCTCAAAGATGATAACCCGGGAAGGAAACTCTTCGCCATCACGGCGAATGACAAGAACACACTCGAGGGTGTCCTAAAGGCCCTAGTCATCTACTTGGAGCAAAGACCCGAAATGTTCCAAAAGGACTTGATGGCTGATGTCGCATACACGCTCGGTCAACGTCGATCTCATCTCCAGTGGAGAGTCGCTATTCCTGCCCTCAGGTCCTTCGACTTGATCGACGCCATCAACAGCCAACAGTTTTCACCTGGCAAGGAGGTCGACCCATTGAGAATCGGTTTCATTTTCACTGGTCAGGGTGCCCAGTGGTACGGTATGGGACGGGAGCTTTATGAACAATACCCCGTCTTCACCCATGCCATCGACTACGCCGATGAATGCTTGAGGGTTCTTGGTGCATCCTGGTCATTGGTTGAGGAGTTGAGCAAGGATGAAAAGACTTCTGCCGTCGGCGCAGCTCACATCAGCCAGCCTTCATGCACAGCAATCCAACTGGCCTTAGTTGATCTCATGCGATCATGGGGTATCCGACCTACAGCAGTGGCTGGTCACTCCAGTGGAGAGATTGGTGCGGCCTACGCTGCCGGTGTCCTTACCTTCGAGGCTTGTGTGTCTATCGCATACCACAGAGGCCGTCTCATTCCTGTACTGAAGGAGAAGTACCCCGACCTCAAAGGTTCTATGATGGCTGTCGGCGGTAGCAAAGAAGAGTTTGAGCCCCTACTCGCGGAACTCAAGGAGGGTGAGGTCAAGATTGCCTGCTACAACAGCCCCAGCAGTCTTACCATCTCTGGTGATGAGGCTGGTATTGATGAGTTGAAGAAGATCGTTGAGGAGAAGCAACTTTTCAACCGGAAGCTCTTCGTTGATACTGCTTACCACTCCCATCACATGAACCTTCTCGCTAAGGAGTACTATGCATCGATCGACCAGTTGGAGGGACCTATCTCTACTGAAGTCAAGTTCCACTCATCACTACTTGGCCGACGTATTGATGGCACCGAGCTTGAACCAACATACTGGGTTCAGAACCTCACATGCCCTGTCAAGTTCAACGAGGCCGTACAAAGCATGCTTGAGCCTACTGAAGAACATAGGACTGGTATCAACATGCTCCTCGAACTTGGACCTCACTCTGCTCTGCAAGGACCTCTAAAGCAGATCCTTAAGACTGTTGGCGGTGATGCAGCCAAGATCCCATACGTTTCTGCCCTTGGGCGCAAGAAGGATGCTGTGGGAACTGCATTAGATGTCGCAGCGACACTATTTGCCAAGGGTGCCCCGATTGACTTCGAAGCCATCAACTTCCCCAAGAATGGCAAGTCGCCAATGCTCTTGAGCGATTTACCTCGTTACCCCTGGAACTATTCATCCAAGTACTGGCATGAATCTCGCATGACTCAGATGCACAAGAACAGAACTGCCCCGCGTAATGATATCCTTGGTACTCTTGCCAACTTCTCGAACGACCTGGAACCCACATGGAGGAATATTGTCCGCCTAGATGATCTTCCATGGTTACAACACCACAGAATCCAGTCCCTCACAATCTTCCCCATGTCTGGGTACGTCTCCATGGCAGTCGAGGCCGCCGCGCAACGAGCCTTATCTGCCAATGTGCATTTCGACAAGTTCGAGCTTCGTGATGTCTCAGTCCTTGCTCCTCTAGTAATCCCAGATGAGGATGTCGAGATGACGACAACTCTCAGAGCTCACCAAGAAGGTGTGCTGGTTTCATCGGAAATATGGGATGAGTTCCGCATCTGCTCGTGGACGAAGAGTAAGGGATGGAAAGAGCACTGCAAGGGTTTAATCGCTGTTCAAGCTCATGAGTCTAATGGAGTCGATGATGCTAGACAGAGCCTCGCTTCGCGAATCCACTTACAATCCACCATCGCCGACATTAACAATGCCGCATCCTCACCTATCGCCATGGACAAGCTCTATGACAGTTTGTCCGAGGTTGGTGTAGCTTACGGCCCTACCTTCCAGGGAGTTAGCAACTGCAAAGCTTCCAGCACCTGTTCGCAAGCTGATTTGCTTGTTCCCGACATCGCAAAGGAGATGCCCAACCACTATGTCACCAACACCGTCATCCAACCTTCATTCCTCGAGTCCCTCATCTCCATGTACTGGCCTATTGCCAGCGCCGGCCAAGAATCGCCGGATACCATCTACCTACCATCCTCTGTATCAAGTATCTCTATCTCGAAGGACATCGTTGAGATGAACGGCGATTCCAGCAAGGCATACCGAGCATACTGCCTCGGCTCTCTCCCTACGGACAGTCCCAGACCAACCAAGGTCTCCATGTTCGCCACCTCCCCATCGAACATCTCCGAGCCTATCATCAAGTTAGATGACCTCACTATCGCGCCTATCCTAGATCGTGATGCACAGACGGAAGAAGCCCACCGTGAGCTATGCTACAAACTTGACTGGGAACCAATCTTAGATCCCGTCTCTGTCGAGTCCGACAGTGCATCATCCGAATGGGTTCCTGTCGGCGAACTAGAACTCCCAGACACTGATATCGAAATCGTGTATGGAGAGGGCTCTCTACAGACCCAAGTTGCCTTTGGCTTGGCTGAGGCACTTCAGCGGATAACTGGCAAGTTGCCTAGCACCAGCAGCCTCCTTGACGCTCAGGCTTCGGGTAAATTGCTCATCTTCCTGTCGGAGATCGACCAGCCTCTCTTGTCGCAATTGAAGGCGAATGAGTTTGAAGCTCTTCAGAAGATGCTAACCACCGTAGAAGGCGCTCTATGGGTTGTTCGGGGCGCGTATGATAATTCGACGTCACCAGACCTGAACATGATTCTTGGTCTGAGCCGAACAATCCGATCGGAGACTCTGTTGCCTTTCGCGACGTTAGACTTGGATGGACGCAACCAACTTTCCAATGAGCAGGTCTCAGAGGCTATCCTAAAGGTGTTCACTTCGGTCTTTGGTAAGAGCAGTGCCTTGAACGGCGAGCTGGAATTCCAGGAGAGAGATGGTTCGTTCTACACACCACGAATCATCAATGACCCTGTCATGAATGAAATCGTCCACCGGGAGACTAAGCCTTCAGCTCAACAACCCACACCTTTTGGCGAGAACAACCGACAACTGAAGATGGCCATCGCGGACGCAGGCGCTCTCGATACCCTCCACTTCATTGACGATGTTGTCTCCGAAGCCCCGCTAAATGGGGAGGATATCGAGATCAAGGTCCACGCTGTCGGTGTCAACCACAGAGATCTCACTGCAGCCCACGGAAAGCTTGCAACACACGACTTCGGTATAGAAGCTAGTGGTGTTGTCACTTCTATTGGTAAGGATGTTAAGAACATCTCAATTGGAGACCGAGTTGCTGCTATCACAAAGGGTGCCTTCGCCACATCTACCCGCACCAAGGCCACCTTCGCATTCAAGCTTCCGCGCGACATGCAATTCGAAGAGGGTGCCACCCTCCCCTTAGCTTACACCACCGCATACTACTCTCTCGTCGAGCTCGGCCGACTTAGCGAAGACGAGACCGTACTCATCCACGCAGCCGCCGGCGCCGTCGGCCAAGCAGCCATCTCGCTCGCGCAAATGATCGGCGCAAAGGTCTTCGCCACGGTCGGCAGCACAGAAAAGAAGGAATTCCTCATCAAGGAGTACGGCATACCCGAAGACCACATCTTCTACAGCCGCAACCTCTCCTTCGGCAACGCCGTCCGCCAAGCAACCAACAACCACGGCGTCGACGTCGTCCTGAACTGCCTCACCGGCGACGGCCTACGTGAAAGCTGGAACAGCCTGAACAAATTCGGCCGTCTCATCGACATCGGCGCACGGGATACCAACACCAGCACGCGCCTCGAAATGACGCAATTCGAGCACAACGCCAGCTTCATGACCGTCGACATCATGGCCATAGCCGGCGAGCGACCCAAGCTTCTCCAGCGACTCCTCGCCGACGTCGCGAAGCTGATGCGGTATAACAAGATCCGCCCCGTCTCCCCCGTCACCGTGTTCCCCATATCCGAGGTCGAGTCCGCGTTCAAGACCCTCCACGGCGCTAAGGCGCATGGTAAGCTTGTCGTGGTCCCGCATGCACATGATGTTGTTAAGGCTACGCCTCCTAAGAAGCCTGCTCAGCTGCTTAAGGCTGATGCTACGTATATCCTAATTGGTGGTACGGGTGGTCTTGGTCGCAGCATGGCGAGGTGGATGGTTAGTCGTGGTGGAAGACATCTAGTCCTTGTTTCGCGAAGCGGTAGTGTTACTGGCAAGGTCAAGGAGCTTGTTGACGAAGCCGCACTAGTTGGCGCTGAGATTGTGGTTCGTCGCGCTGATGTAGCTAGCGCTGCATCCGTCGACGACCTCGTCAAGAACGGTTTGGAAGGTCTACCTCCCGTCAGGGGCGTGGTCCACGGTGCCATGGTTCTCAACGTAAGCTCACCCTCCCCCCGTCCCTTATCCGCTCCCTCATTAAGCTTAACCAACTAACACAAACCAGGATGTCCTGTTCGAGAAAATGGCCTACGACCAATACACAACCGTAATCGAATCCAAAGTAAACGGCGCCTGGAACTTCCACAACGCCCTCTCCAGCACTCCCCTCGACTTCTTCGTCGCCATCTCCTCCGTCGCCGGCGCCGTCGGCAACAGAGGCCAAGCCGCCTACGCCGCCGCAAACTGCTTCCTCAACGCATTCGTGCAGTTCCGTCTCTCGCAAGGTCTCCCCGCCTCCTCGCTCGACTTAACTGCCATCTCCGACTCGGGTTACCTAGCCGAGGACCTTGAGAAGGCCGCTGAGGTCGCTAAGAACTTGGGCAGCGACACGATTTGCGAAGCAGAGGTTTTGGCGCTCCTGGGCGCCGCTATTGCGGGCAAGTTGGGCGATGTGTGCAATAACCATACGATTACCGGAATGCGCATCACCCCGAGCATGCAGCCTTTCTGGACCGCCGACGCGAAGAGCAAGCACCTCCGCGAGGCAATGGAAGCCGCTGCGGCGGCTGACGCAGCGACGAATGGAAGCGCGAAGGCGATTTCGTATAACGCTGCTGTGAAGGCAGCCAAGACGCTTGAGGAAGCCGAGGCCGTGGTGTGTGATGGTCTTGTGCATAAGCTCGCTGCTGTCATGATGATGGAGCTCGAGGACTTGGACGTCACGCGCTCGCTGTCGCATTACCCGCTCGACTCGCTCGTCGCGATTGAGATTCGGAATTTCATCACCCGCGAGTTCGAAGCTACGCTGCAGGTTCTCGAGCTGCTTTCCAGCGGCTCAATCCAGACGCTCGCGAAGGCGGTCTGTGTTAAGAGCAAGTTGGTGAACTTCTCCTAGACATTGGTCTAGGAACCCATTGCCTATTACCTATTAGGGAGGTAGGAAAGCACACAAGAAAGAAACAAAGAAAGAAGAAAACAAGAAGATGAGGAGGGTATTTGCACATTGGGGACGGACCGGAACGCGACGATTAGAATGACTTGGAATGAATGAGGATTCGCTTCCTATTTTTCTTGCTCTCTACTATTTTTTATTATCATCTATCCCCTTTTTACTCCTTACTTCTGGGCTCGGTAGTACTATTGTCTTCCTCTTTTTTTATCACGCCTCATCACATTAACATTAACACACACACACTATTTGAAATACGGGTCTAGATGAGATGATATACAACGCGGCTGTTTGGCGACAACATCTAGACTTTAACCCCCTTATATATTGTATACAAGTTACCCCCTTACCCCCCGAAGCTTTGGATTCTGGCGGTTTGATGTTTGGATGTTGGGGATGTTGGGTTGATGGTAATATTTCTTCCCTTAGTATAGGTACTTTTTACTGGTAATTCATAGACTGTCTCTATCTTACTCGAATGTGTGCGATGCCTGTGAACTTTTGTGTGAACCCATTTAGTTTGAGCAATTGTAGGAGTATGTAAACAGTGTTGTTTTTTACAGGTGCCGCCCGAACTCTGTTGTTAATGCTGCGGACCCCACTAAAGCCCCCACAAGATTATGCCTATAAATGGCCCTAGAGCCCACCTTTAGCTTGCGGAGTCCCAAACCCCACTGGAGATACCTAGGTATATAAGGGCCTGTGCTGAAGGGGAAGGCCTCACAGTCAACATATTGAAAACGGCACCATATTAAGAATACTCGATGTGAATGTTATGTATTTCATATATACACTAATCTCATATCTCAGCTTGTCAATGAATTCTGAGTGCATCAATATTTACAAGAAACATCCCATATTCCTTACGAAGCCCTAGGATTCCAGTTCGGGTCAACATCCGCCATCAAAGCACCGCCAAGCACATCTCTAAGATCCAACAACTTGAAGCTTGCCTTATCACTCGTGCCTCCCTCAGGTAACTGGTTAGCATCGTCATGAACAACCACTAATCCTCCCGGGAACAGATCACCGAGGGCCGTTCCGACCGCCGTAAGACCATCGGTGTTAGTTACAGCATCTATACCCTTTTCCTTATTCTCGTATATCGTAAATGTCTCAACGTACTCGTGAGGAGCTGCGCGACGATACACGTTGTACGCACTAACACCTTGCTGGCTGACAATGATGAACCCCTGGTCTGCCGAAGGACCTTCCACGAGCGTCACGCCCTCGTTGTCGGCATACATTGTACCGCTGCCAACTTCATCGATGAGGAAGCCGCTGGTAGAATCGTCGTCGGGTTCCGCGCCGTAGCGCCAGAGAGCGTGCGGTTCCTCGCTAATAAACACCCATCCGTTCGGTTCGTCCGCTACACATCCCTCTACTTGACCTCCCGCGCCTCCGGTGAAATTGCGCACGAGACTGGTTTGTAGCGCGTCGTTGGCCCATGATAGTTCGTATTGAAGATACTCGGCGCTTTTGGCGTTGACGAAGAGGTATTGTTTGCCGGTCTTCTGAGAACGGTAGACGCAGCTACCATACACCTTGTAGCCATCTTTGGTAGGCTGAGAACCGCCGGCTATGGTCTGTAAAGTACCATTGGAGGCGATTTCGAAGAGACTAAAAGCGGTTAGTCTATAAACTGGAAAGTTCATGTTTGATTAAACGTACCATAGTGTATTGTCTGTCCGGCAAGCAGCGAATGCCAGGTCAACAGTCCGGTTTCCAGCCTGAAAACCGTATATAACATCGACGTTGTCCGGTTCCCCAGCATCCATCACCTGAAGCATGTTTCCACTAAGATCGAACACTCCGAGTCCGGAACCTTCTTCGGATTTTGTCGTTGTGATGATGCGCGATTCCGATACATTACTCGGCGATATCCAAATGGCAGGGTCATCTCCGTCGCCGCCGTATGCATCCGTCTCGATAGCAGGTTCTACAACCTTGAAAGCGCAATAAAGACCACCCCATCCATCTTCGCATTCGCACACATTCGCTCCGACGCATTTACCGTGAGCTGAACAGCTGTTACGACAGGTAAACGCCTCGCATCGCGCCCCAGTGAATCCCGCGAAGCATGAGCATAAACTTGAAGACCTGCTATTATTGCTGTACTGGGAGAAGCCGCTGAGATTGCACTCGGGGCGGATAAGGGTAGAAGTGTTAAGAGACTTCTTACGGGGGTCATAAGCAGTGTATGATTCTAGGCCCAGGTCGCTAAACGCTGATCCCAGAGAACTGACAGCAAATGCCTTCCCAGAATCAGAATCAAGTGCGTAGGTTAGTGCGCCGGTCGAATATCCCTGGGTAGCGGCTTGGTATACATTGAGGCCCTTTACTTCAATACCCTCATCTCCGGTGACCTTCACTGAACCTAACAATGCGAATGAAGTATTGTAGATTGATATGACATCGTCCTGAGCAACCAAGACATAATCAGAGTTAGTACCGATATAGGCGGCGAGTCCAGTTATTTTATCGTCAGCTTCTCCCAAGACGCTTATTTCAGGCGCCGTGGTCGTTTCTACTGCTGGAAATGCGTAAACCGTCGTGCTACCCTTAGTCGTGAAGTAAACAGATTGCGCAGACAAAGATACGGCACAACCCGAAGCTTCAACCTCAGTCTCAAAGGTCTGAATCTCGAGGAGCTCATAAGAGCCATTGCGGGATCTCAGAAGAAATTGCACGGCTTCACTCTTACCGAACAGGTAGAGGTACTGTTCACTGCTGGACTGGCTTTTCCACCCACATAGCGCCGACCAATCGCCTAGGGTATGTGCAAGAGGTTCCCCGACCTGTTTAATGGTGCTTCCATCATACAGGCGAAAGTACGAATCCGGCTGAGCTATGGTAACAATGAGGTCCTTCCCGCCGATATCGTATGCGGTCGTCACAAGCTTGGTTCGTCCTGGCGTCTCGTGGCTCGTCTCCGTCAGATTAGTTTCGCTATCTAAATCGAACGTGCGAAAGCCACCCGTACTAGCGCCACCGTCGTTACCGACGAGGATAGGACGCGCCGAATCGTAGATAACGGCCGTGAAGCCGGAATCAACCTCGTCTGATTTTGCTGAAATCGGCAGGTCGACTTCCAATGCAGCCGCTGCTGTGGTAACTCCCGCAGCTAGAGAAGCCGCAAGCAAACTGAAGGATCTCATTCTGTAAGGACAGGCCACGCATTCTAACGCAAGGGAGCGCGGAAGGAGAGAATTGACATGTAGCCATCGCCGTTCGATTTAAAGTAGTCGCTCACAAACAAATTCTCGCCGCTCGACGTTGCAGTCTTTGGGACCTCGTTCATGGCCATCCCTGTGTAAATCGGGACCCGAAACATACCCGTGCGTTTATACGACGATGTCGTTGGTGAGTCTGTCTCCACGCCAAGGAGCCAAAGAGATGCGCCGAAATTCGCCTTCCGATTTGGCTATGGTCGTAAAATATCTGCCCGGCTTTCAAGATTTAAATGGAAAAGTGGTGACATTTAAGGTGAGAATATGGGTAGCAAAGCTTATTTAGACGCGTAATGAAAATTAAACAGGCTTGAATATAAGGAGGGATTTTCCTTTACATGTTCCTAGTATCCACATATTAAGACAGGTTAGCCAAGATTAGGGACAGCTGAGACCAGCTGAACTGAAGACCCTCAGCTGGCATCACTAGATATGCAAATGCATAAATATTTCGTATCTAGCTGCATAAACTTGATACTATAATGTGCAGGCCTGCAAATAGGTAGGTAGCACTAATTCATATATTTCATATTTACCAACGAAACAATCAAATTATTTACTATCTCTATATCATCGCCGGGTGATAACACTTTATTATGTCTGTAGATACCTGAGGGAACGTCGTCATCGCACATTCTCTCTTCCATTTACTTGGTACTGGACCCGACCAACACGCTTAAATGGTTTGCATTGCGATATGCATTGCGATACGTGCTGCGACGACAACCTATCACGTCGCTCACCTTGTCATCGGGAATCCCAAGAAATGAAAATTCCCACCAAACAATGGGTGCCGTGCTGCCGAGCCAATACCAACCCCAGAATCCACTTCGAGGGCTTATCTCAGGTCGCGGGTTCTCGAATCATGATTGGCGGCACAGGGGGATGGCCTTCTCAAATAGGAAATGACATATCACATTGGGATGTGGGATGCGGGATGGGAGATAGATATCGATAAATTAATGCTATTTGAATTGATATGGAAGTATGGATTCGAACGTAGAAATCTTCTGAAACAGGATCTCAGCAAACCTACGGAATACCCGTTATTTTCTCCCGAGACAATAAGGATTCTAGAACTCGCATAGACCCAGGAATATACGAACGACACAGACACACTGGATGCAGCTTCGAGAGATTTGGGCAAAAATAAGCCATTGCGTAACGATAAGTAGGACAAGGCAGATCGAGTGGTTGAACCATACAAAGTAAGATTCCCGGGAGGCGATGATAAGGGGCGACATGGGAGATCCAGCCACAGCAGCTATCCATCAATCAGAATTAACCGATTTAACATAATTTGCCTTGAAGGATTATCATGGCTAACCATTTACTTTTTCCAGGTTGAAATCCTTTAATGCCCATTGTCTTGTGCCACAAAATAGTTGGCGTTGTACATGTACATCGTGAAAGTCCGCATTACATTACATTGTAACCTAGGTAGATGACAATGAACGAATCGTTTGTTGGAATGCTACAAGGTGACCACATCAAGTTCCGAAGTACTAACATATTCTACAACACGTTATGCGAAGTCAGATTTCAATCTTCCAACGTAGTCTGTTAGCCCATTAGCACGCTTTTTGTCGAGAATATGTTAGATACCTACTCAGCCTAATGGGCGTAAATGTTGTACGACAATCTTCCGGTGATCCCGTATGAATTGAGCTTTACTCGTGGAAATAATGACTCTGTAGAGATATGATTCGTTTAAACAGCTAGTAGTCTGAGACAATGCAAGCTTCCCTTATCAGCTTCATGGCTCAGCTTCGGTGTGTTCTCTGCAACCGCTCTACTATTCCCTGCTATATCAACAATTAAGCCTTACCCGTGTTGGGCTTCATTCTTTTCGGACCGTCGGTAAAGACATTGTATTGTAGAATAGAGTTTTCAGCTTCTTCAGATAAGGGGTCGTCGCTCCCGTCCAGCCCGTCTTCGGTGACTCAACTCTGCAACATCGAGGCAACAGCTGACGGGGAAGTTGCACAGGACCTTGCACTTGCACACCGTACACACCACGCGTTGCAGGGTCAGCCACGACTACCCAGCATCCATTGATAAGCCTCTCGTTCCTGCTACATTTACTGGTTTACATATATAGGTACAATGCATCTTGTACCATAGATCCCTAACCTTCAATCGTTTCTTTTTCTAGAAGCTTTCCCTCCCACCCCAAACCTTCTCATTTCACATTGCACAACTCCAACCTCAAAATCTCGATTCTAGTCGACCGACGCGTCGCGCATCGCCTTCGACCATGGAGGTCAACGATTCTCCCACCGGTACCCCTAATTACCAGGGTAGCGGCGATAACATCAACGAGAAGCACAATGAGATGGCCGATCATGTCTACAGCAGCGATCATGGCGCCGAGACTGCGCTTCGTCGAACTCTCAGCACCCGTCACATGACAATGATCGCCCTCGGTTCCAGTATTGGTATGGGTCTATGGCTCGGCAGCGGTGAGTCCCTCGCGGATGGCGGCCCTGCTGGTATCTTTCTCGGTTACTGTCTTGCCGGTTCTATGATATGGTGTGTCAGTCATTCCATCGGTGAAATGGCCTGCATGTACCCTCTCCCATCGGCCTTCGTGCAATGGACTGGTAAGTCAATACTACCTACCTACCCAATCAATGATATTTAGACGCGTTAACTAACATGAATTGATCCAAGGCAAGTTTGTCGATCCAGCCGCTGCCTTTGCCCTGGGTTGGTCTTACTGGTTCTCGTACTGGTTAGTCACTATTTTTGTAATTGTCTACAACCCTTTCTCTCCACAATCTCATTGTTGTAGCTATTCGAGATATAATCTCCTATTGGTTCTGTCCAGGGACACCGAGACTACCCCTACGCCGAAATTGCACATCCTCTATTCAAAAGAATTACAACTAACTACGTGTAACTATCTATAATATAGTATTACGATCGCGAACGAACTACAAGCTACCAACACCGTCATCAACTTCTGGACTTCCGCCGTCCCCGTCGCAGGATGGATCAGCATCTGGTTCGTCGTCATCGTGCTCATCAACATCGGCGCCGTCACCCTGTTTGGTGAGATCGAGGTTGTCGCTAGCACTATCAAGTTCGGCTGGATCTTTGTCATTATCATCTCCATGATAGTCATGTCGGCTGGAGGCGCGGGATACGGCCCGGTAGGGTTCCGATACTGGAATTCGGAGCCGTTCACCCACGGGTTCAAGGGCTTTCTCAATGTGATGCCTACCTGTATCTTCGCCATGTCCGGATCCGAAAACTCGGGCCTCGTCGCCGCCGAGACGGCAAACCCGCGAAAGGCTATCCCTCGCGCCGTCTCTTCCATCTGGGTTCGCTTGTCGCTATTCTACCTGATCGGATCCCTGATGATCACCATCAACGTTGATCCGCATAATGAGAATCTGTTCGGTCAGTCAGGCACCAATGCGTCCCCCTTCGTCATCGCCTACCGCGACGCAGGTCTTCCCGCCTTGGCTCACATTATGAACGCCATCATTCTAATTTCTGTCATCTCGACCGGCTCCATTTCAGGCTACGGCGGATCGCGCACGACGATGGGTCTAGCGCACCTCAATATGGCCCCGAAGCAAATGCAGTACGCCGACCGGATGGGCCGCCCATGGTACGGTCTAGTACCGACCTTTGTTCTTGGCGGTGGCCTAGCCTACCTAGGTGTTAGCGAGTCGGGATCGAACGTATTCACATGGTTCTCTAACCTAACCTCACTATTCACGCTCTTCGGATGGGGCATGATCTGTCTCTCGCACATCCGCTTCCGTATTACCTGGGCGCGACAAGGCCACACGCCTGAAGAGCTGCCGTGGAAGTCGTGGATGTACCCTTGGGGAGCGTGGTGGGGGCTGATTATGTGCATACTCCTGATCATTGTGGAGTTCTACCTCTCGGTCTGGCCGCTCGGCGAACCCTCCAGCGCCAAGAATTTCTTCGCTAACTACGTCTCCATCATCCTCATCATCGTCATGTGGCTCGGCGCCAGGGTCTACTACCGCGGTAGCTGGTGGGTCGATATCGACACCATTAATCTCGACGAGGGACGCAGGTTCTATGCTACTGCTGATGTTGAGAAGGTCGAAGCTAGGGGCGTCAAGGGGATCGCGAAGAGGGCTATTGGCGCGATTCTTGATTAGGCTGGTGATCGAGTGAGGCGCAAGGTCACAGGAGTACATCAAGGGGGGAACCTATGATTGGAGTGCTGGAGTTGTACATGTCAGGCCTTACACTACAAACTGAATATTAATTAAAAGAGTAGTAAATTAAACTACATTGTTGCATTGTATTATGCCAGTGACGTCGTGTTAAGAAGTGCCATCAAGGTAAGTCCGTTTTTAACTTCTAAGTCTACACGTGGTCATTAAACGTTGTTTAAACGGTTTATTCTCCCGTCGGATGCAGCACTGGGGTATCTCACCTACCCTCGATCGATGTAAGGTGTCAGTCTATCAGATAGAGTAATACTGACCTCATCGATATATGACAATTATTTTACAATTATTATTCTGCTCTCGTGTTCAGGTGGATATTAATCCTCTTTATTCCCAAGAAAAGGTAATTGAGGTTATCACGATTTTCCTGCGCCGATCGCCCCTTTTCCGATCGCACATGGTAACGTAGTAGTCCGGACTGTGTTACTGACAACGCGGAGAACCTGGATGTAGATCTCAAATCATATATGCTTGCTGCTGAAGTAGGTAAGAATCGGGCTTTGGGATATACTATGGCGTGCTATTTAGCCGCCATGGCATTGGGTGTCGTATGAAATTGAGCACCACGGTACTCATCAGTAGGTTCCGATGTGTCCTTTCCTATGGTAAGAAGATGGTTCCGGGGGTTGATGTTTTGCCGTTTTCCCATGTAAGGGACCTTGAAACTCCAGAAAATCAAAGTTATACCCCTGCGAAGTGTTTTAGAAGTGGGCTTAGGGGGTTTGGCCTATCATGACTTGAGCCAAACTCACCTAACTCCGGAGAAGATTCATTTACTTTTTTCAGTTTCGAAATTGTCGATCTCGATCTTCTTGCTACCGTTGATGCCGACGACTTGAGGTTCAGCATAGGTAGATGCAGGGGGCTGTCCTCCGTTCCTTACTAATATACCACTTACACGTTGGCCCATAGGTAATGTTTAATCAAAGGCGACCAATGGCATGGTTGGCGATACCTCCGCCACTTACTACAAACTCCATTGACCAACTCAAGTTAGGGAAACCACCAATTAATTCGAGACAGAATCTGGCGGAGTTCATAGTAAGTTGTACATAATTGCACTATACCTATCTAAGAGGATATAATTTAATCCAAACGCGATGAGTTCCAGCTTACGCCTTAGAGTCATGAGAGTAAAACGCGTCATTGACGTATGTAACACCCATCTTGTATCCTCGTAAGAACCCAAAATCTTCTTTTACAGAGTATTGAACACCAAGTGATTTGTAATATAGTAGGGAAGGTTCAGGACCTAACTAGGTCATTGTATGGATAATAGAACCAAGAAAATACGCCTCTAATAATGTTGAACTCGAGGCAACCTTGATCTTCCCAACAGGGTTCCAACAGTAGGTACCTAGACAGCCCATAATTCCCCAAACTGATATAACGGAATTTGAAATCATATCACTCATTGGAAGAGGGATTGTGAGATATTGGGAGTCTCGTCACATCAACATGAGGGGGTAACTGCCGAATTATTAGCATTTTTGGGTAGTAAACTTGGTTTAACGATGACAAATATTACTAGGTAGTAATCTTTCTCTATTGTAGATGAGGCTGCAAAAGGTTTGGAGACTTTATGACGTAAAACTATTGGGATTTGTTTGAGGTATGAAAAGAATATGACTCAGACTGTGAAAATTCACAATAGGAGTCCTAGACTGAAAGTGTATAACTGCGAAACGCTCTGATGAAAATTGGTAGGTCACGTTAGAAAGTTCAAGTGACAAAACTACCATGAGCCTCTTCTTAAATACAGGCATATGGTCTATTAGGCAATTCTCATAAAAATCTGCCGACTGAAAAAAATAGTTGATCGTACCGGTGAGGGAATCGAACCCCCAGGCCTGTGCTCACTGGAGAACCCGAGCTATAGCTCAGGAATCGATTGCAAGCACCACCATACCAGACCGGCTGCTATCTGTAACCCAGTGTTGGATGGTTGAAAAAATAGGAACTAATTTAACAATATAAGTCTTGTTACGTGAGTAGACAATTTGACGAAGTAGTTCCGGGGTCGCTGGGCAACTACCCCTATTGACTACGATTACTAAGCTAAGCCAATCCCGGGGTATCGTGAAGGGAGTACGGAATTTACGAAGCCTAAGTGGACATGACCAAGCCAATGACGGCTCAAAAGCTTCGGCGTTGTTAACCCGTTGCTTTCCTTGACCCCTCTCCACCTTCGCCGTCAAATCCATGCTATTACCGAGGTTTACAGCGAATATTGGAGACCGTTACTTCCAATCCTCATCTGATATCATCTCCACCTTCCGCTGGCGCCAGCTACCCCGAGCCGACACCCACCATGCGGTCTTCATAAATCGCGTGGAGCCCCGGGTGCGCAGATCTCCGGGGCAACTGCGGCTTGGCTACCTGCTTACCTGGGACCTACTTCCTATACTCAGCACACTTTAACAGCTAGATAATACACAACCATGGCAACCCTCGCCCTAGCATCCTGGGCCACAAACCTCACCTACACCAACCTCCCCACCCCCGTCCTCGACGCCGCCGTAAAAAGCATCTACAACTGGGCCGGCTGCGCCATCGGCGGGTTCGGCCAAGACGCGCCGCAAATCGCGCTCAACACATCCCTAGCCGTCGGCTTCAACGGGCCCGCAACATCCAGCATCCTCGGCTTAAACAGCTCCTCCGACGCGTTCGCAGACGCGCAACTCGCCGCGTTTATAAACGGTATCGCGTCCCATGTCGACGATTACGATGACACGCACCTGGCAACAGTGATCCACCCGTCTGGAGTGATTGCTAGCGCCCTGTTCGCCATAACTGAGGCACGATCGCAGACGTCTCGAGACGGTGGACCAAACCCTGTCTCCGGGCCAGACTTCCTAACCGCGTTCATCGCAGGCGTCGAAACCTCGCTGCACCTGGGCCGGTCCGTGTTCCCTGAACACTACGACGTAGGATGGCACATTACCAGCACTACGGGGTCAATCGGAGCCGCGGTAGCGGTGAGTAAACTCCTCGGGCTGGACACCGAGCACACGCAGCAGGCGATCGGGATCGCGTCGACGCAGGTAGTAGGGATGCAAGCGTTCTTCGGGTCGATGACGAAGGCGTTCCACATCGGGCGCGCGACGCAGTCGGGGCTTTTAGCCGCGCTGCTTGCGCGGGAGGGGTACACGAGCTCGCTTACGGCGTTGGAGGATCAGTATGGATGGTTGCATGTAGTAACGACGCGGGAGAACGCGACAGCGGAGTTTGAGCAGTTGGGGACGGTGTGGGAGATTGAGGAGAATACGTTTAAGCCGTTTCCGTGTGGGATTGTGATGCACCCCGCTATTGATGGTGCGATACAGATTTATGATGAGATGGTGGCGTTGGGGAAGACGGTTCAGGGGGGTGAGGTTGAGAGGATTGATTTGAGGATGAATCCGGAGGTTTTGGTGTTGACGGGGCAGACGGATCCGCAGACCGGACTTGCGGGTAAGTTTAGCATTTATCATGCTGCAGCTGTTGGGCTTTTGTATGGACAGGCGACGCCGGCGCAGTTTACGGATGCGGTTGTGTTGAATTCTACGGTGGTTGCGCTGCGGAAACTGGTTAATGTTACGACGGATGCTGATGTGGCGGAGGATGCCGCGCATGTTAATGTGACGTTTAGCGACGGGAGCACGGTGAATAAATATGTCGAGCATGCAATTGGAAGCTTGGCGAACCCCCTGACAGTAGCGGAGCTGAAGACGAAGTTCATGGACCAGGTGACGAAACAGATTGGCGGCGCGAGGGCCGAGAAGGCGTATACGGCTTTCACAAATATCGGTAATATGACGGATGTTGGGACGCTGAGGACGCTCTTCTAAGAGCTGTCCGTGATAATTGCTGATGCTCTAGCTCTACCTGATGGTCGGGACCCCTTTGTCCGCGAAGAATTCCATCTTTGAGATTGGATAATGAACATAATGGACCTTATTCTAACAATAGAAATTCTTTCGTTAGAAAACAATACACGATTGAAAATTCAAAAGCATTGTTTTCAAAATGTAATGGACGTATATAATGTAATAGCGCCCCTTCAGAACACATAGGCCTTTGACGGAGTTTGAGACTGCAAACACTGATTCCCTCCGCTAAGTCACTATGTTAAAAGCTGACCAACTACTCCTCAAAGCGCGCGAGCGCGTCTCAAAAACAACGTACAAGTTCGTAAACAAGGAGACAGGCTGCTACGGCGTCGCAGAGCGCGCTGCGCCCCGCAGAAGGCCTAACCTAACAATCCACCACAACGAGCGATGCGAATGTGTCGACATACCTATGAAGACTATAGCCAGACACGCGCATGTGATGTTCAACAGAAAATGTATCAGGAGAGGGCGGCGCGACGACCTGACAGTAGCTATAAAGTTGCGGCTTCCAAATGTAGGTATTAGAGTAAAGATACCGAGGTCCACAAAGCGGATTAATCCCGAAGAGGTAGACGAGAAGCCCTTGAGGGTCGTGGAAGAGGCGCTAGGAGGACAGTTGCTTGTCGAGGTATGGGATACACCAGAGGCTTGGCGTAAAAGGACAATATGGAAGGATTGGTGAAAGAAGTAGTATTTCAGGTAAGTGAGCAAAGATTAAAGTAATGAGAGATGAATATAAATGATGCCAATATAAAAAACCCATGCTTGAAGATACTAATTCGAAGTGAAATATGACTCTTAAACTCTTTGAACTACTCCTAATTTACACCCATCCCCATAACCAACCTATCCACAAATCCCCTAACCAAGCGTTATAGGGTGTCTCTCAAGGAAATCCTCAAAAGTAGCCAACTTCCCCCTCGCATTCTCTGCCGCCCACTTAACCTCGGCCTCGCCATTGGGGCCAAAGTACCCGAACTCCTCCTGACATCTGAACGCATCGATAAAGAAATCCGCCATCATAGTCGGCACGCCAACCAATTCCTTCTTAAACTCCTCGACGGATACCTGTTTATACGCGACCTTCTTTCCCGTAGACTTCCCTATAGCGGCGTAGATCTCCTCCATCGAGTAGAAGCGAGTGGCGGCGGAAACTGTGCGGCCCTCATACTTCTCGGGCTCGGCGAGCATCGCGCCGACGAACTTGCCGGTATCGCCGACAGCGTCGATGAGAGGGAGCTGCGCCTTAGGCGAGATTTGGCGGGCGAACACCCAAGTGCCGTCGGCGTCCTGCTTCGGGCCCATGTAAGTCTGCTCCAAGAAATTCTCCATGAACGTGCCGGCGGATAGGAAGGAGCTTTGGATGGGCAGGCCGCGGATGTACTCCTCGACGGCAGCCTTGGCGTCGAAGGGCGTGATCTTGGTGTACTTTCCGCCGGAGAGCTTCTTGGCGGGAGGGAGTGTGCTGAAGATGATATACTTGGCTCCCTTTTCGACCGAGATGTCGGCGATGTCCTTGCCCATGTTGTATTCGGCTTCGTAGGAATCGGAGGTTGGGGGCGGTACTGTCATTGAGAAGACGGTGTGTACTCCGGTTAGAGCCGTCTCGAGGGAGGCGCGGTCGAGGACGTCGCCCCGGACAACTTCGACCTTCTCCTTCAATTCCTTAACTTTGGGTGAGTTGACATCGCGGGTGATGGCGCGGAGTTTGAACTCTTTAGAGAGCTCCGGGTCGTTCAGCACATAATTGATGACCGAGCTACCTTGGTGGCCGGTAGCGCCAAAGACAGCAAGGATCTTAGACATGTTGTATGTTTGATAGTGTTTTAGGTGAGAGTTGTGTAATATGTTGTTGAATAGGTATGATTCCGAAGCATCTTAACAGCTCTTCAGAAGTTAGGTTTTCTGTCCTTTTATATTGTTAAATTTTGTCAAGATGGCCATGAACAGATTATTTCGTCATTTTTTCTCAGGTGCTCGTGGCGCGATTCAGTTGAAATTCACTAGCGCGATTGAACTCCACGGAACTCCACGGCGGTGCTCCACGGCGCTCCGTAACCTTCACGATACTATGAAATTAGTAAAAAAATTCCCATTCTCCGAAACTAGTGTGATTTAATTAGTAATTGCTTACCTATCAACTGGAGAAATTAACAGACACCTATTAGACTTGTTAAATGAAAAACATCACATCAACTCAAAAGGTGGGGTTTGGAGTAATAGGGGTAAACTAGTATTAAGGCAGCATTTGATTTATAATATCTTGGACGCTGAAGAATGCTTTGGAACCCATGTGCATGTCACGGTATGAAGCGTGATGCGTTAACATACTCAGTTATCTCAGCAAATGCAGAAGGACGCCATCTAGCACTAGAGTCATCAGAACCGATATGTAATATCATAACCGAAGGGCCAGGCGTGGAGCCTCGAGAATGTGGCGAACCCTCTTGATCCGTCCAGATGAGAGAATCTCTGCGAAGTATACGAAATCTCTCGGCGCGAATGCTCTCTGCTTCTAACGGTTTTTTGGAATGTAAGAAGAATCTCTCGAGTTGAAAGAGTGCTTCGAGCACACAATCCCGAGACCCAGTTCTCTTCGCCGCTAACACTGAATTCTTGTAGTAACTTTCAGCTGCTTGAAAATTCCCTTTCAGACATTGAATATATCCAAGCCAAATGCAACGAAAAGATTCGTCTCTGGCCACAAGAAAACTAGAGTTCAAGCGAATTAGAGCCTCTTCCGCCTTATCCAAACGCTGCTGTTCCAAATTTAATTTGCAAGTCGCCAACGCATGCTCCAGTTTAAGTAAGCCCAGTAAAGACCCGTCGGCAAAATTCCTGCCAATCTTTGATAATTGATGCCCAAGGCTCTGTATCTGTACTCGGGGGTCTTTTTCCCGTTCTACCGTGTCGAAATATTTAAGATATGCTTCAACGGTCAATGGGTGAGCCTCTCCTAATCGCGTGCTGTATTCAGATACACATAAAGATAATATGCGACCCATGGCATCCTGTTGCTCGAGTTGAGGGATTGATATGAGGCTAGTCCAGAATTTCGCGAGAGGATGATCTTCACTAAACAGTGTTACCGTGAGATCTCGAGTAAATTGTAACAGCAAACATCCAATTTCTCCGCGTCCAATTCGATTTAGATGGGCAGTTGCTGAAACCAATTTGGGAATCATTATGGGCGGGGGGTTTCTGAAAACTCTGATTAACATAGCGAAGGGAACGTCAAGAGCATGGCGAATGGCAGCTGGTTCAACCTGACGGGTCATCGATAAACCTGCTGTTATGCATCTATCAAGAACTGCACTTAAAAGCCCTGCGGGCCCATTTCTTCCGCGGGTATTCCAGCAGCGGCTGTCCGACCAAGACCAAAGGTCTGATGCAAAAGACTGATCTAAATAAGTGTGGAGCGATCGAAGCATGTCCTCAGGGACAGGCGAGAGCCTATTACATTGTACCACCGGCGATGGGGACCTAGACGGCGAAGACCTAGGCGACGGAGTTCTAAGTGATGGAGTTCTTAGTGATGGTGACAGCGACGGCGACGGCGATGGCGATGGTGATGGCGATGGTGATGGTGAAAGTCGTTTTGAAGATAACGACGGAGACACGGGTGGAGGAGGAGTTCGACAGCTGACATCTCGAATCGCTTCTACGCTAGGTTCCGCACCAGCTTCAAGTTTTGCGAAGACGGTAGGATTTCGTGATAGATAAACCTGAAGACTGCAATGATCGACAGGCCTATTCCTGATAAAGAACAGGGATTGTTTCTGGTCTGCATCGCGAAGCTTCTTCAAGTGCAGGATCCGAAGAACCTCATCCAAACGGAGGTTTTTGAAGGCACCCCATGCTGTGAATTTCTTCTTATACATAGAAACACTACCTCAAGTTAGTTAAATCGCATAGTCCTAAGTTGTTGATATCACTCATACGTAGCAAAGAATTCATGATGTTCCTCCATAAACAATTTCACTTCCTCGAGAGTCTTGTCTTCGTCGAGGTACAAGCGCATGATGACATCTTGTAATCTTGCCCAATCTTGCGAGGTAGCATATCGTTTCGCTGGCGCAGTCATCTTTCATCGTGACTGGTTGGGATACGCAAATCCTGAATCGAAGGCGTTCATATCCAGAGGCCTCCGATGGAAAGTTGTCCATGGTCTTCGTAGGCATTATATATTGAGTATCAGAAATGTCAAAAAACAAGGTGAGGCTCTTAGATGGCTAGAAACCTAACCAGATTTAGAAGAGGCCGTACGAGAGTAGCCATAAGGCGGGATGAGTGTTACGGCAGCCTAACCATGATTGGTCAGGAGTCGGCCGTCCAGCCAATTACGGCAAAGGTTACCTGCAGCACCGTCATTAGAGGGAACAGTCCGGGCTGAAATAAGGTCCGAGGAAATCGGTATCGAGCTGAAAAACACCCTGGAATGCCTGGGATCCTAGCAGGATTTCGTAGATGCGGAGAACTAATATTTTTATTGGACACTAAAACTCATGTGAGGAATGTGAAGCATATGTGTTTCTCAGGATCATGATGGATTTATGATACTTGTCCCCTTGTCCCGCTGACCGAAGCCATGGAAAGCCATTTCGGGAAATATAGAATTGTAAGAGGCTATCGTCTGCATCTATCGTGTGCGTCCACGAGATGACTGCATCGTGGAAATATGATAATAAGTGGCGATCGCCTCCAGATCGCCTTCGGTCCGCCTTCGCTGGCAGTGTTGGCTCAGTAAGATACGTCTTCTAAGCATTCTTACCTAGTTGCCTAATAGCTTCTTAGCATGGGCAATGATTCATCTCAGCATTTCGGTAGTATTGACTGTATTGTGCAACCCAAAATATCGATAATATTGTTAGTAGGGATGCATCGAATACTTGGCTGAGCTGATCTGAAAACCACTGCTTGGCGTCTTCAACGAATGACGTCGGATACTTATATATCTCAGTGCCGAAGTGAGCTGCTGAGCTGGCTCTCGGTCCTCTAAAAATAAGCAAAAAGGTTGAGGAGGCGAGCGTTGTCTTAAAACACGAGTTAAGATAAATTTAGAGGGTGGAGGGTCGCATAGTGGGGTTAAAGTCAGACATGGGTGGGAAGTTATGGAAAAGCGGGCTGCGGATATCGGTTGACATATCATTGGTGGGTTTTAATTGACAATCGCGCTCCACTGCAAGACGCGCTTTCCATCATCAGAGTCGCGTCTTGGAAAAGTTACAACCCTGGAAACTCTTAACTTTGAAATGTGGCTAAAGCAAAAAGTATCCTACAACTTCAGCAAAGCAACTTTACTATAGTACAGTGTATGATTCGCAAACCTCACGATGCTCAGGCAAGACTTCAATCGAGTAGACCACAAGAGACGCCAAGTTGTCGACCATCGAAAGAGACAATTCGCCGATCCGACTTACAAGCAAGTCGAGTACATTCATCGTCTAAATTTCTATGAATTCCCTCCGACGGCAGACATTACACTCGAACAATTCGAGCAATGGGCTATAGACAGGCTTCGAGGTATAGACTAATTGTAACCACTCAATAGGCATACCCCTAATGCTAACACCAACTTTATTATTATAGTCCTGGCCGAGTTAGAAGCATGTTCCTTTCGAAATAAGACTCAAGCCGAGACTGCGGCACATATGAAGCCAATCCTCGAGAAATATCTTCCGCTCGACTCTAATACAACCTCCTCATCCCAACTTTCCGCCCAAAGACAGAAAGACCACTACAGCCATTTCATACTACGACTTGCCTTCGCATCAACTGAAGATCTACGTCGGAGATTTAGTCGTGTCGAAACTACACTGTTTCGTTTAAGGTTAGACGATTGTCTTGCGCGCGAGAGAAACGCTTTCATACAGGCTCTGAATTTGGATTGGGAAGTTGTCACCAAGGAAGAACAGAGCAAATACTTCGCTGAATTAAGTGGAACAAGTGGGCTTAAGAAAGGAGAAGAGGACGCCTGGTTCAAAGTCGATTGGGAGCGCGTACCAGACCTAGTCGAGGGAAGGAAAGCGTTCCTAAAGGCCGGAAAGGCTTTTGTGCCTTCAAAAGAACTACCGAGCATGGTAATCGCTGAATTCGCGAAGAGACTCGATCGAGCACTAGAGCTCACGGCCCGCGCACTACCGCGACTCGACGAAGACGACCGACTTACACCTATTCTCGACCATCTCTCGAAGAATTTCGTCACTCCCGATGCTTCGTACACCAGCTCTACTTCCAATGTTCCTGGCGCCGAAATCACGGCACGCAACATTGATAATCTATCTCAACACTTCCCGATGTGTATGCAGCATCTGCACAGATCATTACGTCGGGACGCCCACTTAAAACACTTTGGACGTCTACAATACACCCTCTTCTTGAAGGGTATCGGCTTAAACTTGGAAGAATGTCTAGTCTTCTGGAGAAGTGCTTTCCACAAAGTCACGGATGACACGTTCAACAAGGAATACAGGTACAACGTGCGACACTCGTACGGTGATGTTGGAGGTGACTCGAATCGTCGCGGAGGCGGATATTCACCATACTCATGCCAGAAGATCTTGACGGAACATCCGCCCGGTCCCGGTGAAGCACACGGGTGCCCGTACCGACACTTCAACATGGAGAACCTGACCGCGTTACTCCAACAAACGGGCGTATCGGATCGTTCAGTCCTACAAGGCGTCAAGGAAGACAAGGACAAACAGAAATTCCACATGGCCTGCAATCGGTACGTCTCTATCCCATTCTGCAACACACCCGCTTCCTTTATATCCCAACTAACTTTCTGGGTAGTGTATTTGAATATGTCCACAAGAATGAACTCAAGAAAGCCAAGGACGAGAGTATCATGTCTTCACAACAGCTCGAGACGATTGTTCACCCCAATGAGTACTTTAGAAGGAGTTTCCTGCTGAAGAATCTCGGAAAAGTCAAAGAAGAACAAGATGTGAAGATGGAGGGTTTCTGACGAGGTTTTTGATTAAATTATGTTAATATCTCATGATTAATAGGGGTCCCGCAGGGCGTACGTCGGACCGTACGCGTTGGAGACATGCATGGCGGGCAAGGATCCGAACCGGCGTTGTGGTGTTCTCCAATGATTCAAATGGCATAACGTTGAATTTCAAGTTATTTTCACAATGTCGGGTTACACGGCGCAAGCTGAAATGCGTGCTTACCTACCTACAGTATACGTGCAGATGGGTGGTGACGAAGTACTGACGAAGCTCGCGACATAAGCATGTCGCACAACAGTTAATATAGCGATTAATAGAAGCCCTATTTCCAACGCATACGACATGCATATAGACTCGGGCATAAGACTGCGAAGCCGTGGGATAGCAGCTTGATAAGGCAGCCAGCGCATCACAGTACGGATATGATATGCATATTAACATGCAGCGATAGAGTGGAACATATGATGGCGAAGACGGGTGACGGCGCATCCGCGCACGAAAGTCAATCTGGGATGATCGCGTGGGGATTGGGTATCTATTCTCCGGTCGTAGATAGATGAGGCTCTACGGGAGGCAGGAATGGGGGTAAGGCAGGGGAAAAGGCATGGCTGCCCTAAGATTCGGGACGTTGCGCACGTAGATTAAAACTCATGCAATGGATCGCAAGTGCGCTCTTCCGAGATGTTGGTTGTGACACCTACGCAGCTAGGTAGGTAGGCAGACGTCCGCCCGTCCTCTTACGCTGCAGCGCTTGGCAAGATGCGCAGATGCGAGGCATGTCGTGGCGCAGGCGTGGACGTGGGCGGCATAAGACAGGCTGCGACCGAGCCTTGACCGGTTACGTGTAGGAGGTGAGCGTGAGGGAGGCGGCCGAAAAAAAAAAAAGAAATTTGCATCTGGTCTCGTATTTCCTAAGCAGCGACGATTCTGATGTATGTATGTGTCGATGTATGTGTCTGTATGTGTGAGAAACATCCAATACCCCCACGGCGGGATGTAGAGTAACGAGAAACAACCGCGCGGCACTTGCTCCGGTAGGGCGGCCGGATACCGCGGATCGTACCTCCCTTATGTACGTTCCGCTCCAACCTTGTTCTCCGGGCGGTGGCGCAAGAAGAATGTCCGGTGTCCGGAAATATGAAGGTTGATAGATCATAGATCAGGTTTTTGAAAATCCAAGATTGTCTCGAGGATTACGCATCAGCGAAACTTGTTTACGGGCTGTGCTCGATTTTTCAAGGTTGTTATGTAGGTGTTGTACACGTGTATGTGTTTCTAACCTTGGAACTTCTTATCTCCTTGCCTGCTAGGTATGTATGTATGTACTGTATTCTGTATTGTATTGTACCTACCAGCCTACCTACATATTAGCAGGGCGGTCTATACCACGCGTTCGATGATACGCATCCAATGCTTCTCGACAGCCCTACACCTGTACTCAAAACCAGGTCAATTTCGATCAATTTTTCTAAATGACTCAATTCGCCAGTCAGATATGCATAGCAACCACGGTTTCCACGGATACGCGGCCTAGGAAAGACGGTGTACCCGGGCGTCCCGGCCCCTAAACGGTATCCATATTCGGCAAGCCAAGCTTGAATAATTTCCCGCCGAAAGGGGAAGACTCGGACCCCAACGCTTACCTGGCCGACCGACTCAGTCGTGGCCTCTTGCGGTGAGTCAACATCCCCGAAATCGCAGGGTTACGCAATGGCTTTGTATGGATAATGCTCGGCGAGGCGGATTGAGTTGTAATATTTGTTTTCTTTCCTTTGTTTCAGCTGGACGGGTGCTCGGTGGGCTGACTGAGACCGCTTCTCTGGCTGCTAGGATACTTTTTCCGCGGGATAAACACGGGAATGTTCATTGTTTATGAATATTGGGGGAGAGGGGACGAGCTTCGATGAAAGGAAATTCGTAGTAATTCGAGGTTCTAGGCACCCGACTAGAATTTTGGTATTATTGTACGAGTCAGAGATATGCAATGATCGTCAGGAACCAGCATCTGGGTAACTTGTGATCATTTTTCAAGCTTTGCTCCGAGATCAAATGTAAAAGAATTGGTCCCGTGCGTTGGAAAGGCGGACAGTTGATTGGGGGGACTTCGTGCTGCGTAAAATCCGATTTCGAAACAATGGGAAATTTGGAAGACATGGATGGCACTTCTCGATCTCGATGGTACGGTAGACGGGATCTATCACATTTCTCTTTCTTGGCGGGTTGCATAAGATCGTAACTACTTGGCACTACTTACCAATAATAAAGTGGCTCTAACAAATAGTTTAGAACGAATATGGCATAGGTAAGCTTAGAAGGAGGAGCTTGTGATCGTGACTAGTGTAGGTTCGTAACCTTGTAACGTCCAAGGATTCTAGATGCCGGCAGACTCGGTAATGAACAATGAGCATGAAAGAAAAAGAACACGCAACCTCGTCGCGGAATAGTTAAAATAAATTTGGCATCATCATCATACAAGATACTATATTTTGAGGTTTGATGATGGTACGATATAATATGTCTTATATATGTATGTAATACAGAGTACGTAAGGTAGGTTTATGTACCTGCCATCGGCTCCCGTAACCATCGTGGATTCATGGATCTGGAACGTTGGAGGTCCACAATTCCATCTATGTATGCCACACCTCTGGGCAGTCCTGGGCGGCGGGAATCTTCGATCGTTTGTGTCGATCACTTGTTCTCTTTAGGCCGAGATCCCGACATCGTGTCATGTAGTCTATAGAATGTTGTTTGTCAATGTTGTCAATGGGGATATTGACTTCCTTAATAGAATCGTCTGGATTGAAAATAGTTCAATTCGTCAGAGATTGGACGACAGGGCTTAAAAGTGAGGCTCTATTCACTACCTGTCAAATTTGGCTAATACCGAATGAGTTGCCCCCATAGAAGCTTCAAGAAAGCACGTATGGACTCATCTCGACTCACTAACCCGCCTAGAAATTTTAAATATTATAATAGATAATGCATCTCGATGGAAAAGAATCGATAGGCACCCATGTATAATCTGAATGGTCGATGACATTGACAAGTTCGGGTTGTTGCATGTAGGGACACGAGCTAGTAGCTATGATTCTCAGGCTTGCATATGGGCGTTATGTTGGCGTTCCTGCTGTCATCTCGGATGTCAATAATTTCTTACTTTCGACTGTTACACGTGAAGCTCATACAGCTTCAGCTAGATTAGGCGCGCAGGGTCAAGCGCTGCAATCCATTTGCTTTAACGTAGGCTGGGGCTGGTAGGGTCCTAACCTTAAAGCATACCGTCGTGTAGCTTCAAGATGTGTTTTCCCAGTACTTCACCCCACCCGCACACCCCATTGAGTGGATCTTAAAAGATCAGAAAAGGTCCATAAAACGAACCATGGCGAGGGTATTGTAAAGCTGGGGTCGACAGAGAGTTGGGTCGCGACCGAGCAAGGGGATTAAGGGATCTGGCGCCGGAATAAAGGATTAATCCTGTTGGTCTTCTATAGCAAGCCTCTTCTACCCGTTCAGTGCCAACTCTCTCTGTGAACCGTTGTGAAACTGACGCCGTACTATGCTGTTCTTGTGCGAGTGGCAAACGTTCTTCTTGGGAAGGTTGCTACGAAGGTACAATATTGATGGATCCCACGAGATCCCCACCGGCAATGATCATCGCCAGGTCCCAGCGGGAGAACGGTCTGGATCGAAATTTAGCTGATTCATCGAAGTCAATGCGAAACGGGCTGGCTCGGCGGGCCACGATCTCTCGAATAGAACGATGGTGGAAAAAAAGAATTTCCATCAGAGTCTGCCAAGTTCGCACACTTTTTTGGACACGGAATATATGTTTTTATGAAGCCAAGTTTCATTGTGTTAGGTAATGCTATTTATCATAGATCGGATCGTGAAAAGTGACAGGTTAGACCCGAGCGCCGCCATATGTACGATACGGCCTACATGAGCCAATCTGCTGCAACTTATCAGACAAAAGATATTAAGCCGAGCAGAGGCTGGCGGAGGCACATGCAAAAAGAAGCATGCAGTCAATGCTGTTTTGCCTACCTAGTACGGTAATATTCCTAGCGAATAGTGCGCTAGGAGGGATTAGGAGGGATGCAAGTCGAAAATGTAAGCCAAATATCAGCAAGTCTCAGCCATCGTGGTTCTTCGTGAGCATCGCGCACTGTCACTCTGCAGTAGTATGTATGATATGTATGATATTTCAAATGAGTGTGAGAACTTTTTCTTCAACAGCCGAAATCTTAGAGAAAGCCGATTCCGCGACCTCGTCCGCAACGACTCGTTTTGATGGAGATTGTCGATAGCAATAACAGGATTTTGTCACAGCGCTCCGGATGATCAAAAGGGAGATTAGGGGACCGTTCCGCTTATTAACGAATATATGAAGATTGACTTGAGGAGAAACACCGCGCTACGCTTTGATATTCCTCCGGCGCTCTATGACGCTGGAGTAGCACGCGCAAGCAATGATAACATCCCGTCGATCTTAGGTCTGTCGCATCCTCCCTCCAAGAAGTAAATAATTCAACCTACTCTACCTGTCTGTCTGTGTAGCTACGGCTGCTATGGATGGCTGCTATGTATGGCTAAGCTACAAGCTTACTGTCCACCATCTTCGATGGTCTGAACCATAGCACGCTTAGGATCTCGATAGGTAGTAACGACATGATTCATTGAATGATATCGACCTGTACGAACTTGCAGCACACCTCCCTAGCGCGAGACTAGGTAAACAATAATAACAAGGGAAAATAAGAAATTAGACTCTCCTACTATCCCTTAAGCGTACTATGTGTACTTCGTGTACTATGTAGCGGAAGTCATATCAACCCCTTTGAGCCTCTCCATTTATTTCCCGCGACTCGTCGGTCTCACTTAAGGTCTTTTGAGCTTTAAACAGTTTAAAGAAGTATGCGAAACGATTCAAGCAAGCCCCCAATCTATTAATCAGTCGACTATCTTTTCCCCGGTACCAGCCTTGACAAGCACATCCATGATAGAGTATTACTTGTCCACCACTACGTCCCTGAATCAATCACATAGGGTTGCAGTACGTAAGCATACTTGCTTAGAAGTCAGAAAACAAAGCCCGTCCCGAAAGAGCCATCTCATACCCCGGCCTTTTACCAGCTCTGGGAGCGGTACATACATCGGCGTCGTGTCATCGAAAAGCCACACCCAAAGAGTCGTTGTATTCTGCGCATGAGCGAAGCCGTGCTGTGCTTCGAGCCCGACGGATCCGCTACAAGAGAAAGCGAAACGCCGAAATCGTCGGGATTTTAGGCACCACGCTATCCCCTCCACGCTCTATTTTTTCCTTCTTACATATTTTTCTTCTTTCAGTGCCCTACCTTGCCTTACGTTACACCCTTGTCTATTCGTGACCTGACCGGGCACAAGCTGGACGCCTGCTGCTCCTCGTCGAGTCTCCACTTTGGACACTTGTGCCATTTTTTGCTACGGTCTACGAGACTACCATTGCTACCTACATAACCACATACTACGTTTATATACCGGACCTGGTGCTACTAGCCTGGACCTTTCTCTTCTGGACTTGGTCAGACTAGAAAAGGACAAGACCCTCTCACTTGCGGATCCCATTCAACCCCTGGTGAACTGGATCTCTCGGCTCGAGCCTGCAATAAACGTTCCGAAACAAGCCCCCCCATATAAGACTCCACGCTTCACATTCCATCCCAATCCTATTTGGAAAAAGGCTTCCACTTATACATAAGCTGCCAACATCCCCCCCCGCCTCTCACTTCATATATTTGTACTAGCCCGCGTCGCTCATAGTCCAACAATATGTCAACTCGACCATCAAAGACACATTACGCCAGCTCCTCCTCAACAGACACAGACAGTAGCTCACCTTCATCGTCGGATACCGACCTGTCCATCCGATACAGTATGGACGTTCAACCAGTCGCTTCGGTAGAGGTGTTGCGCTGCCTGCGCTGCCATCGCCATGTCGAGGCCACATCAACCGACGACCCAGCCTCGACGGGAATGATCCGAGTAGGGTTTAACCTCTACTACTGCCAGAAGTGCGCGACGGCAGTCGGATACAAATGAACGCGGCGACATCTATACGTGATGTGAGGAAATGGTCGACTACAACAACAACTACTACTACTACTTCAAGAACAATAGCAACAACGCCGAAGCCTGAACGACGACAACGAAAGATGCATCGCTCTATCACGAAAATCCATACCGCTTTTTGATCTGGCTCAGCCTCGCCTTGGATTTTTCAACAGGAGGGAACACGAAAGAATTGATGGCGTGCGAACGAACAAATCGCATTCTCAGACCTCCATGAGACGGATGGGAAAACCTGACAACCCGCATCGCATCCCTCCCTTCGGGAAGGGTTGCTACACTAGACGCGCATTCTTCACGCAGATGAGGAGGACAACACGAACCGCATTACGACAACACCCTGCTGCACCTACATGGATGATATGTCCTGTGGTGTCCATATACAGCGACAGCTGCATGGCGGTCTATGGAGGTGTTTATATATATGTAAATGCCTACCTAGGTGCCTAGCCTACCTAGCTCAACTAAGTCCTGCTAGTCCTATATGGCTAATACTTTTTCTCTCCCCCTTTCCTCAATTTCCAATGGAAGAGTGGGTTCGATTACTTCTTGTTATTATTATTATTATTTTATCTTTGTACATATATATTACATTTTCGCCACCCCCAGGTCGCAGCGAGTCGACGCATTCAAACGTTCGATTGACAGGGACCTCAAACCAGCACGGCACGAGTTAGGAATCTTGCAGAAAAGCATGGCGACACAACACTCTCCCGGAAGCTCGTCCGGCTATCTCGCATATCCGCCACCCAGCTAGATCTTGGAGTCCTTTTTTTGGAGCCTGGAGATGGGAAGCGAAGCGCGGCTTTTTCGGGTCCGGTTGTGTCCCTCCACCCCTCCCTCCCTCCTCGCTTTTTCCCCTCTTCTCTCTCCATTATCGCGATCGATCGACTTTTCTACTTTTCTCATGCAATTCTCCAAATTCGCATGTTTGGCATGCGGGATTATAGGTTTATGGATGGGGCTGAAACGCCGGGACACGCGGCATCTAAGTTTGGTTGATTTTCTTGCTCGTGCTTAGCAGATGTTGCAGCGCTCAATGGCTCGGCCTAACGGTGAAGCCGATTTGAGTCGATGCGAGGCGCAGTTATAAGCACAAGCATCGCATATTATCTCTTGACCAATCAATCAATCACAGATAGTTGGCAAGGATAAATGGTTGGGGAAGTTGTATTATTTTTTTTCTTTCGTGTGCCCACTATTAGCAAGTTCACCGCCTCTGTTAGGTTAATTGGGCAATGACGGGCGGATGGGTTGGGTTGGATCTATTTACAAAAACATTCAACACCATACATCATCACGAGCGCTCTTGTCATGGCTTTTTTCTTAGCTCAGGTAAAAAAGGCACAGAACAGAATCATAACACGAACCTAAAGAGTCTCTTCCCCTTGATCCCTTGTCAATACACACGTCATATGCGTCTCGACCTAGACACATTTAACCAATCCGAATTCGCCAATGCCTTTCAGTATGGGTTCTTATCCCGTCGATTAACCAATCACCGCTCCGCAACCCGGCTCTAGCCCCGGCAAATGCTACCGACCCCAGTCCGTTCCTTCCCTGTGACGTTGATGTGCTTTCGGACCCGCCAATCAAGCCGGGGCAGCAGCGAAGCGAACGAACGCTTACAATCACACACATGTGGCACGCAGCTCTTTCCTGCCGGTCGGTCATTTTGGAATACGTACAGCAACGACCAGCCAGCCTCTTGCGTCCGAACCGCATTTGAGAGTCGGCAACAACGGGAGTACTTGCCTTGCTTAGCCGTATGTTATCGGCTCGATCGCCGTTGTATTTCTCATTCTTGTTCTCATTCTTGTCCTTGTTCTTATTATTCATTTCCTGTTGGCGCATTTCACTTCATCTCATTTTTGCAAGCATGTATGGTATATGCAACCCGAAGTGATATTGAATCCCGCTTCAATATCGCTCCGGAAGCGCTATCGGCGGTTCACTTGCGTGATCTTCCTAGTAGTTTTGGATAAATGAAATTTGTGTGGAAAGTTGGATACCCCCCATTCATCTTGGCGCACGGTGGTAATTGAGAGGAACCGGTCGGGTTGCATTCTGTTTAAACGGCGTCCAATTGGGATTCTAGGCATGTGGAGTACCATTAGACCTCGGGCATATGAATTAGGAGAGGGCCATCTACGGTATTGGTAACGACGCTTGAATGGATACATGAAAAGAATCTAATCATTTATTTGGAATGGGGAATTTACGCCGGGAATACACGCATTTTAGACGACGGAGATATTGGGCAAGCCAAGATTGGTTATGAGATCTACGTGTTAGACGATACCCGGGAATCATAATATGGTTTATCATTTCTCTATACATTGGGGTACTGAAGAATCTGCTCTATCTGCGTGCCTACCTATCTACTTGTGTGATTTGACCTAACAACTGCCACGGACTACAACATGTAAGGGCTTTTTAGGTAGGTACCTAATCGAACTTGTTCTACAGTAGCGCATCACGGGAGAAGATTCTATTGCCTCGGGATCTCGAGGCGCTAAACTAGAACGGCAGATATCTTTACCAAGAGATGATTCATTATCCCACTAGAAAATTTCATATACCAACCTCCAACTCATTCTGTTCCGATTATGCGATGCCGCGTACCCAATATACGTAGATAGCTTGTATGTCAAACCGCCGGTGAGCTAGCGAGCGGACACTAGATATCCCACCGTGGGATGGGAATGGGGCAAAGGAGGCCGCCCAAAGCCGCCTAAAGGATAGCGTGGGACGATGTCAGGGACGGCGCGCGACGGTTTGCTTGATGATCGCCTCTTAGCTTTCAGCACGGGCTATCCAAGGTTCCGGGTTCTTGCGTTCTTGGGTACAGATGGAGGAGGCCATTGCGCATCTAGTTAGAAGCCCCATCGATAACTTCTCTGATGTTAGTTTCCACCGCAATGTAAGAAAGGGATCATCTAACCCCATAGCTTCTTTAGATATGGGATCTGCTTCTGATAATCTGGTAACATATGGGTCAGGATGTTTCAGTTCACCTACTCCAATATATGCCAAGGCTGTTTCATGTCATCACGCGGTCGTGGGTTGGGTAACTTGAGAAGCTGACATCACGATAGTCATCGTAGGTACGGAGGCGATTATCCATCCCATCAAACATCAAACACGCATTTCCCACCTGCATCCAATATTCTTACCGCGCTACCGGTTAAAGTAAGCTTATTGTTAGATTTTATCATAGCAATCTATACTAAGTACGCTAATAACCTCTATCTTACTCACATTAGCCATATCCTGTTCTGCTAGCAGCGAACACGAGTCAACCCTTTAGCAAGCATACGAGAAGATCACCACTCATATGCTGAATTATATGAGCCTGACAAATATATGCACATAGTAGTAGAGAACCCTAGCTGTAGTCCCCCCACATAATACACTACTATAAGACTCAATATAGTAATCGTTCCAAAGCAAGCGCGCCAAGCTTTCGGCCAACTGCTACGTAGCACCCTAAGCAGATCCTTAAATCCTGCTCCGTCGCTCACAATCCGGCAAGCCGCCCGGCCGCGTTGTAACCCTTCAACGTTACCTGCTTGCCAATACGCACACGCGCGCGCAGGGAACGGCTGTTATTTCATACGAGTTGGCAGTTGCTCATTGGCCTCGAAAATCCCGACTTTTCTCGTCCTGTTCTGCCGAGATGCGACGATCAGGGTCCTGAATTTCCAACATACATCATCATGCAGCCTGCACGTCGATGTCATCGCGCAGGAAGAGTAGTTGGGCAGGCGAATAAAAGGGAGAATTGGCGCCATACCCTAGATCGCTGCTCGGCGGCTAGCGTGATGGTCCCAGGTATATACGGATGTATAAGGTAGGTTCGGATGGGATGTATGAAGGGATTGATATGGGTCCACGATATGCCTGGGTTTAGGAGGGTGTTCGCGATATCGACATAATCGACATATCGACACTTGCCAGCCAACCAACCACATATAACTCATAGAATTATTCGGCTTAGGCGTTAAGGGAACGATGGGTGATAGCTACGACCCTTACTAGCTGATAAGCTACCTACTCATGCACCTGGATCCTACCTCGCATGCGATGATTCGCGGGGTTCTTATCAGGCTAGTCAGTAATGAGGGGATTCGGAATTCCAGACCGCGGGGAAAGCCCAGAACCACCGGCCGTACGCGCAGTAGCACTGGCTGCAAGAATCCCCACATGAGCTCAAAGTCACCTACCTAGGAACACATGTGGGTGGTCATATGCTGTACACATACCTAGGTGCTACACAGCTGCGGTGATTAAAATCGTCGGCGAGTCATTGTTGGGCGGTGTTTGGCCTTTGGGAGCTTAGGCCGCCGGCGTCAGGAACGCGCCCCTTTAGAGTCGACGCTGGCTATCTCGCTAGCGCGGAGCGAATAAGCTTAAGCCAACAAAGCGCCGCCGATTTACGTGCGTTGGTATGGAAAATGATTATCATTTTTTGAAGAGCTCTTTCTAAGGCAAGAGAGCTGGGACGGTAGTTGACGATCCAATCACGGATGAACAGCCCACTATCCGAGCGAAACTATAGGTTTCAGTAAAATGAAAGATGCCCACTCTACTTCTCGCAGGATGCACCGCTCAGGGTCCAGATACTCAGGGTCCAATGCAAGATCGTGTGTTATTCTGTTAAACGGTGGCAGCATAGCTCGAAATGCATGCGGCGCATTGCCGGAATCTTAACATGTCTGGTGATGTATATTCGCCCGCGTAACTTCCGGCTTACAGGACTAATATCATGTTACATTGCACATCCGCCTATCTCTGAGTGTCTAATGAGGCCAAAGCCAATATAATTACGAAAAGAGTTAGTCGAATGTTGAAATATTGTGGCTTTGTGGAGGACAGCGCCTTATCAAGCCAACCGCCTCGACAGTCGAAATTTGACTAATATGCACCTGGGCATATTTCACGGATGGAAAAATTTGAGGAATATTGGCATTAGCTTGCAGGAATACCCTTTTAGTTAGATGACATGTTTTTAGCTCAATAACTCTGGATGTGGAGTTCTGGCATCCGAAGGCGCTGTCGTTAGGTATTTGAAGCGATACCATGCAAATAGTCTACCCGTACCTTGGTACCAGGTAGGTATCGGCTTATCGAGTCTCTACCTACATACCTAGATACATACCTAGGTAAGAGACAAATTACATGAAACTATGTAAAATGTAGGCAAGTTTAGGTAAATTTGAGCATAGACGCTCTTGATATTGTTGGTTGTTAGAAGAGATTTATAATACCATAACTATATTATCTTGTCAAGATAGGGGTATCGTGAAATATCCGTGACCAAAAATAAGCAGCCCTCGTCCCGGGTGCCATGGCGCTTAGTACTAGGAATAGATGTTCAATGTAGAACCCGAATTACCTATTACGGTGCCTTCAAGGTTATCTTGTATATCCCAGTATACCTACCCGTATATCACTCCTTGAGTTCTCATCAGGCACAGCCATGTCACAAGTATCGAATTTGACGAGAATAAATCTACCTTCATATAATGACTCAGCTTCTCCTAAGGTCTCGTACCTACCAATGTAAATATATCGATATTCATCAAGTATACCTAGAAAGAAACCCATGTCCTGCCTATCAAACATATTGAGAGTCTAGTAGAGAGGTAATGCACCTGGGGATACTAAGGATTCACATTAATCCCAATTGCTTTATGAAACCTTTGATTAGCCTTATATTTATCTATATTATCGTGGCTGGTACTATCTTCTATTTTCAACCGCACAAACGACTCCGTGTAACATCATCGATTGCTAGGTATTATCCCATATCCCTTTTGCACAAAAAGAGGGTCGGGTGATCCTTCACCCACGAGGCCTATGTCTATGAACCATTCTGTAATCATTGATCCGCGGTCTCGAAAGAGGGTTCATGAGTTGATGCGGATTTTGACTATGTTTGTGATGACGAGAAGACCGAGAGTTCAAGTTGGCATATTGAGTCCTGTGTGCTGAGGTTCTTTGCTTAGGGGAACTGAAGCATAGCCCCATGATTTTTACTGTTTAGTATTGACTTGATGGCGTGGTTGTAAGTTGGGTCCTAGGCATTGGTGGTTTGTATCGTCGAGGTTGGATAGGTGCAGAGGTTAGTGAGAAGTAAAGTTACTAGGTATTAAAACGAAAGAAGCATCGTACTAACTACCTAACTTTTATATATCTTCCAATTTCGATTGTATCTTGGAAAACAAATAGATCTTGTTAGAATTATATCATTAATGGTAAGTGATTCACTACCTAGGTATGTTATAATTTGTGCTAACCTAGATACGTGTATTTGGGCTGCTAAAATGTGATCTGACTCACTTTTCACCATAAACGTTTCTTGTCTACCTACCTACTAGGTGCATACGAAGATGATCCATATATTATATCTACCTAGGTACTAAGCGCACCTACGGTAGGTATTTATGAAAGAAACTTCCTTGACGTACGCTGATTGTTCCATTGAAGTCACCTACCAACCTATTTTCGTGAGGGTCTTCCTTAGTTTTTGTTTGTTATTTTAGGATACTGTTAAGTGAATTACGCCTCATTACGTTAGAATCTGTTGTAGACCATATATTTTTACAATCTAAAAATTCAACATTATTAAGTATGTGGTGAGATTTCATGAGGCCAGCTTGTCATATACATGATACTCAGGGGAGGGGGGCACTTGTAGATTAGAACGTTTGCTGACACGACTATTACGAGGTAAGCAGATAAATGTAAAATCGTGTATCTTTCATGCAATCTCTTTTTGTATTTCCTTTATTAATACTTTGTTATTAGTAGGTAAAAACAAGTGCTAGTCAAGGTAGGGGATAAAAAGTCAATAAACAATTCATTAGTGACAGGATGGGTTGGGTTTTTTTACGGGGCAAATAGGCAGACTTTACAGAATACAGGGCGGCAGTGCTGAATTACGACTAAATAAGAGCCGCTTATTGGCCAACACTCCTCCACTTCCTGATGTGTATTTTCGTCCTAATGCTGTAACCTAACATCTTCAAATATTGGTAAAATAGTCTAAATAGGATATATCTTGCAGCTTTAATTCCGACAACACTTGAACTTTACGTCGTGTCCTTTGTTATGCGATTGCGACACATAGGTATGTATTACCTATGCCTCACTAGGTGGTCCTACGAAAGGTGGGGTGGCCTTATTATCAGAAATAATAGAAGTGGGAAATCTGTTCCTTCAAAAACTTATTTAATTTTCTCCCTACCATTGAAACCATTCATGAATTCATTAGAACAGTCTTGGATATCCTAGAAGGCCTAGATTTTGACTCTAGAGAAACATCAATTGGAACGACGTCTCATTCAATGAAGGAGTACTGAGCTTTCTTTTCAAGCCTTCATCTCTGTCTACCCGCTACAAGGTCTCAGCATGAGAATTATTTGGTCCTTCTTCCAATATCTAGCAAACCTCGAATGGAAAGAAGTTCAGAAAGACTGTATCTTTTGCGACGAAAACAAGTTCAAATCGAAAATAGTAATTGAGGTATTGTTGAACCTAGCGAGAGCTTTCTCCCTATCCCACTAACAAATTTCTCTAGCATGGTGACCTTTTCGCCATAAATAACATAAGAAATGCAGGGATACATCATTGGATTATAATGCCAAAATCTCACGACTGGCGCGATATCGAGAATTTGGGGCCTAAGGATGCGCATTTAAGTTAGTGATAGATGCTCTGCGTGAGAAGTCGGAAACAAAACTAATAAGATATGTCAATCTGTATAGTCAAATCTATGATTGAGCTGAAGGAAAAGCTGTTAAAGAAGAATTGTCCTAAGGTTTCTCCTGCAGACGTACATACTGGATTTCATCGCGGACGTCGAGTTCTAATCGGAAATATCTTCTGGCCCGACATTATTTCGATCCACCATTTACACATGCACGTTATTGTTGGACCTCGATTCTGGTTAAAGTTCTTCAAATATCCCCCATGGCTTTCACTCATGGTATGTATGAAATATCATCTCAAAAATTTAGGGGATACGTTCAAATTACCTCTGAATTTCCTTGGCATGGATAGAAGCTAACACTGGAGTAGTGAGTGGAACAATTTCATCTTATTGATTTGATAACCCTAATATGAAGGGAAAATCCGGTATATTCTGGAAATGTATGCGAAAATGCTAATATGTTTGACTCTACTAGGTGGAAGTCCGAGAAACAGGTAGAACGAGAACTGAACGGAAATTCGACAGGCAACAAGCTTCGACTGTTTAATCTTATAAAGATCACCATACGACGTATTTTTAAGGGTGAAAAAATAGATTGATCATGGGTAATACGATAGGTATCTAACCTTAGGTACCTAGGTAGGTAGGTACCCGTTTAGGCGAGGGAATACATCTGTTCAGGTAAACCGAAAGATTGAAAGGCACTTACGTGAGCTTGGATGCCGACTGGATATTAATAGGAATCCATGTGAGTAGGTAGGTAGGTATATAACTAGATTGCATATAGTAACCGTATTCCTCATCTCGACCCCTTACTATAACTCTAGTCTATATATTCAACTCTCTGTCATTATGGACACGATCTATAAAACATTTAGGTGCCGGGATAGTCTAGGCTTCCGTAGGTCGCGTAGACGGATGACTTAATTGAGGATTCGCGGTTCCTCAACTGCGATTTATACGGGTATATAAGTACCTACCTAATAGGTAGGTAGACGGATGAACAAGAATTTGTGAAGATCATTATGCTAAAATGACTTGTTGTAATATAGGGAAGTTTAGGCCCTATCGCGCTATCGCATAGGTACCTACGTAAGCAATAGAAGGCATACATAGCTCCGGAGCCAACCGCCGTTTGGGCTCACAGTGCACGATTTTCAATTAGGTGATAAATAGTGATTAGTGTTATTTTAGGTACTAGTTGGGGGGGTACATACTAGTGCATTATGAAGAACGTCCTAAGGCATATAATATAATATAGGGCTTAAGGCTTGTATGCACTAATTCTACCTACCTTCCGCCCGCTGTCCCGTAAACGCCTTCTGTTATGGCGGTAAACCGTCCAGAAACCTACTCTAAATTATTAAAGTGTCATGGATTAATAGGATAGAAAACTAGCGCGCATATTGAAGAGAAGGAAGTGAAGTGTACATGGCGGGGTACGAGCGGCGGGGTTTTACATAGGACTACGTTAGCGCTCTTTTGGAGGGGCTTGGAGACCGCGGTAGGCAGCCCATGATTGATGCGCTGAAGCTGTTCATTAATATGCCAAAAGTACACGGACGCCCAAAGGAAATCATGAATATCAAATATCTACTACGTACTTAATAGCCATGAATTTCTAGATAATAAATAGGACGGGATTTCCTTAGAAGAAATTAATGAGTGTTTTGAGAAATAGAAATTGAAGTGATGTCGATAATGAAAATATTTGTCAGTCTAGATTTAATGTTATGTGGGGTACATGGGTCTTATTTTCCTCCAGGGCGTTCTTTTCTTTTCTTTTGATATAAACTATGTTAAGTTCACGACACATTCATCCAAGGACTAACCTCCTAATAACCAGGGTCCCATAGCTCAGTTGGTTAGAGCGTCGTACTAATATCTTCTCGTCATCTAGATAGGAAATATTAAGTAAATGCGAAGGCCGAGAGTTCAAGCCTCTCTGGGACCAAGTTCTTCTTTTTGGCGTAAGCGTGCATTTTCTACGCACACTTTTTTTCTCTTACAATTAGAAAAATCCACTTGATCTCATGCTAGAAATTTCCTATCGCGATAATTCCAGCACTAATAGTTGATCCTAGAAAGCGATATCTCCGGGGCCGACAGGCACTCCGTCGGGGCACCACAATAACCCAGACTATCTCGGCCAGGGCTAGCGGAGATCCTCTATCGACTACGGACTATATACTCTTTCCCTCCTTTTCTTGGTCGCGGAATAACTAGGTCCTTGTTTTACATGCTGCTTGTTGGTTCGGCATATTGCTCCTCAACTATGCACAGAGTACTGGTAGGCTTAATGCTGTGTTGATACCACACGATTATTTTATTGACCGTCTAGGTGCGAAGAGTGGTGCATTGGCTATGCTGAATTGAATGTGGTATGCCTGTGGGCGGGACGGGCGTTTAGTGTTGGTGTTGGTTCTGTATGCCTTACTTTCGACCGTAGTACTGAGACTAGTCGCTACCGAGCGCTAATAATTGGCTGCTAAGTGGCTTCTACCCCTGCTACCTACCATATTTCGTGGTAGTATTGACCTTAGAACGCTCAGCCTCCTAGAATTTGGGTAATATCTACGTCTACCAACGATCAGTATTTAGGTACGTGATTTCCCATTGCTCTAGTTCTTAAAACTTGCAAATTTCCTCACCGTCACATCTTTAGACCTCGTAAGGCAATGGATCATTCTGACAGAAAATCACCGATGTTGACATCTCTTCAAGACTTGACCATTATCGAAGCCCTAGACTCGGAGACCAACGAACCTAAATATGTGACCTTTTACTTTATCACCCCCGATGAAGAGCTATACTTTGGTCAGTTGTTTAAGAAAAGGAAGGACATCTCTCTTGCCGAATACAGCTCCGCATTGGTATACGTTCAAGATGAAGAAATTTACCCATTGGCACCAGAAAGTATTACGTTGACAGCAGCGCCTGTTGACATAAATGAAGAGACGGCATACATCAAGAGACCTGGATTGAACTGCTACGAGTCAATGAAGGGGTCTGATTATGTTCCTAAAGAGATCCTTAACGAGACTGTCATTATGGAACGCATCTCCGCAAACCCCCACCCCAATATTATCAGGTACTTCGGTTGCCGCATAAAACGTGGTCGAATTACAGCATTGGTCCTAGAACGTCTCGACATGACCTTGACGCAGTTTTGCCAGACACCCGCTTTCAAACAGCTTGACCTGGTCAAATTTTACGAGGCTACAGAGTCGGCCGTCCGCTATCTACATTCGCTAGGTCTAGCACACAATGATATTAATCCGGATAATATTATGCTCAAGGATGGGATGCCTGTATTAATTGATTTTGGGTCTTGTCAACCATTTGGGGTGAATCTCCAGTCGCTTGGCACAGAAGGATGGTACGAAGAACTATTCGTCACATCTGAGAAGAAACACGACGATTTTTCCCTCCGGAAACTACAACAGTGGCTACAGAATCCGGAATGATTATCACTTACCTAAGGTACATAAGGGAATCGATGAAGATTTGTCAGTCTCCTAGGTGCCTTTCACACTGATAACTAACTGATAACCTCGGAACTCACTGACCTCAAATATGCATTAGGTACCTACTAGGTACCTTAAAAAACTAGTAGATGCAAGAGGCTCGATATGAATTTCTATGGGCTTAATGTCGAGAGTTTTATTGCTAAAGAGTTTAGGATACTTAGTAGAAATTTGAAGCATTTCTGAAATAATGTGTTGACTTCCAAGTTAGCGCATCGTAGACACCACTCGTGAAAAATAGATACGGCCATGATGGACCCACGGGCATGAGTGTGATGCCGCCTACTGGCGATAGTTGAGAGAAATCGAATCAAAGCAATAGGTTGATATAGAATTTTGGAATAGAAAAGGTTGTGAGACTGTTTGTAATAATGCCTAGGTAACGGTACCATTAACATGAAAGAGTCTTCGGATGAGTCTTCATGATCAGGTCGAGACGGGTGGAAATATTCCTAGGTACGGAGTCCCTACCTAGGTCCTGTAAACTTCCACCACTGCGTACGCCTCGTGCACTTATCTATTAGATATACAACTAAAACTAACATACTAGGTACTATGAGTGAATAGGAAAATACCCGAAGAGGAATGTGGACCTCCGAATCATGCGCGTTGATTGGCTGAAGCAACAAAGTTAAGAAGCTGCCGCTAATTATGGTCCTCCCGACTTCGAAAATAGACCAACCCTAGAAGATAATAGAGTAATTATGATATTAATGTTTATTCATTGCGAAAGAACGCGGGATTTATTAAATACGGACGTTGGGATTGGTTTGAGTTGGAAAAACAGACGAGGCTGAGGAATAAGGTATGTTATCTGGGTAGGTAGGTAATTTATGATAGATTTCGCTGCTTAGCATCCTCGTTTAGTGACCAAGCTCTAGAAGATCCAATACCTACAGCGGCTATCCACTAAAGTCTAGTGGACTATAGGTGGGTCTACGGGTACCAAGTCCCTACCTACCTAGGTACCTAGTAGCTATAAATAGGTAGGTAGGTAATCACTAGGTGCGAAAGGGAAAGAAGTAAAATTCTTATTACATATACCTATCTACTACCCAATTGAAATAAGATATATACAAAGAACTTGGTATATTTTATGTACAATGCAGAATGGAATATTTTCGCTGGGTACTAAGCTTAGGAGGGACAATATCAACCTTGGTAGTTGATGACCTTTATGCCCTCGCTATAATCCCCTTCGGGGAATTTGATTTTACCGATATACATTCGGCGCTTCGTATCCTTCGGATTACCGGGCTTGTCGCGACCGTGGAAAGCGATGGTAGTTCCGTCCGAGGCGATATCCATATGGCCAGGTCCGTAGATAGGTTGGTTGGGGCCTGACTTGGCAAGGGTCTTACGGTGAGCAAAATCTCCATCAGGAGAAGTTGCCCAAGCATACTGGATATCGTATTTGTCGCTGTTATAACAGTGCGTACTAAAGAATAGAACCTATATTGTAGAGTGAGTAAATTGCGTGGAGGGGTCTAGGGTTAATGGGCATTATAACCATAATCAGGATTTGATTAGGGTCACTTACATATGAGCCGGGCCTGCGCTTCCACATGGCAGGCCCCTCAATGAGGCCATCGTCCGCGTCCCCATTATGGTTTAGAATTGTCTTAGGGTTTCCCTGAAGAGTCAAGCCATCTCGAGACACCCTTTGTATCCTGATTGGAGTCGGCTTGTAATCGCCCGTTTTGGGGCCGCCCGTGCAGGTAGTCTTACCCCCAAGCGCGTTTCCGTCGACCTTGAAAATGATCCAGCGATTGTTGCCATCGTCGAATTGAACTGGGTCGATAATACCACCTCCGGCATCGTCACAGATAAATGGCTTGTCTGTAACATTGAAAGGACCTGCAGGGGAATCCGCGGTGGCGACACCGACACAACGGCGGGCACCATTGCGCTTACCGGAGACTGAAATGCCGTCAATTAGCTAAACTCATTGCTTAAAGATTTCTCAAATGTTAAAATGGAATAAATACTCACAGTACATGACATATTTGCCTTTATCGTTCTTGAAGACACTCGGGGCCCAGATACCCCTATTACTGGGGTCGATCCAAGAGCCAACATCCGGCAATGCATCCTTCTTTGTCCACGTCCACTTATTGCCGTCGTTAGAAGTAGCTAGGGGAATGTGCCCGGTACTCCCACCCGACGTCGCGTAGGCGTACCAGACTTTGCCTTCGATGAGCAGCGTCGGGTCCGGGAAGCTGATGTCCATTACGGGACCGTTCCACGGACCACGCGCCCTGGCTTGGATATCCCCGTGCTCGAACTCGCCCTCTGTCACATTGAACAGTTCTATATCCTAACAACTCGTTAGCGTTAAGCGCTGAATAGCATGTATAAAGCCCTACTTACACCGAAGTCCGGGGAAGGCAAAGCCGTTGCGAGGCCGGCGACAGCCGCCAGTACGAAGCTCTTCTTCATGTCTGCGATTTTCCAAGATTCGAGTTCAATAATTTCACCTAGGTTGTAGATAATCCAAAGAAAATTACATGGCGTCCTGAGGATAATGTCGATTTTTAAATAATTCTAGACCTAGACATGATAGGAGTGTTCCATTAGCCGCAGCTCCATTCCAACTAGCTGGACCGACCGAACTGTAGCGGGCAGGATTTCTCTTTTCAGGTTCCTCTGACACTCGAGCCAACCATCGTGCACTGGGCAGTAGTCGTAACATCCGTAGTCGCTAAGTTGTTCTTGGACTTCTGCCTAATCCGCGGGCGCGATAGGATTTGAAAGCTTGTCTCCATATATGCTCACTTTTTTACCAATGAGTACCTAGTGACAGGCCATAATTCCGAATCGTGTCGGGAGACGTCCAGAGGGCTACACGAAGGATCGCGACCCTCCTTTAATGTTATAATTACCTAGTATATACGGTATGTGCATTTGATTAACAACTTCAAAATGGCAACCTAAGCTTGCTTACCTTCAAATATAGTACATAATTAATATAGGTAACTACCTATATAAATACCTACCTATTCAATGAGATATTGGGTTAAATTTTGACATGCCGTTTCGCCAGTACCTAGATTTAGATGGGTCTGTTTGGTCAGTCTGGTCAGTGTGCACACTGACTAGTACCTACCTCCTAGTAAGGATTTAGGCGATTTCAGTCCTCGCCATGGGCGAAGCAGGCGAAGGTGAGAGGACATTGAATTACATACTCCAATCGTTCAATGGAAAAAATGCCTAAATTCTAAGGCAACCTCCCTAAGAATTTGGGGAAATCTTTTTCTAGCCTACGATATTCCACGCTTAGCTTTATTAAATATTTTATGTTTTTATAGGAGGTAGGTATCGGAATGTACTTTTCTTAGACGGTCCCAGTCTCTACCCGAACTGCGGCAAGGCATCAGGGCCCCGCTGCGCCACAAAATGTACCTAGTAGGTACCTAAAGCAAGTCTTTAGTGCGTTCACCTGCTGCGCACCAATTCGACCTCGTTTTTTCTACCCTCACATTATCAAAACCAAGTTGCTGATCGCTCTAAGAGAAGTTACCAATATAGTAATTTCCCCCATAGCGCCTAGATGGTCTACCATCGTCACGTATCACCGATCCTAAGTGAGAAAAGTTTAAATCTGAAGGTCTCTGAACGAACTCACTACACATAGTGGCCGAAGCCATGCGGCATTTTATCGGCGAGGAATCGACGCTGAGGTGATGCCTATTGAACCATTCTACCTGCCAACATAGGTACTAGGTACCTACCCGGCATATAATTTTTCTAATCATAGGCAGGATACCGCCGTTATAGTCTTATTATTATCAATAATCCCTGATGAGTATGACTTTCATGATCTATTTAAAGTACTTGCCTTTATCGTTCCAAAATCATATTTTGTCAGATAGCACGCAAACTCGACGCTATAACTTATCAACCATACACTCTAGAAATCGGAGTAAGTGCAGGCATTCATTTTATTAGCTCTATATACATAAATTCTCACCTACTCTTACTAGATCTTTATATATAACATCATCTTGACAATACTATCTCTATATGTAACCTATTGTCGAATATGGGGTTACCCTGGGTCCTAGAACGCGGCAGGCACGTCAATGATCGGTAAAGTGATTTATTGTCTATTCATTAACACTTTTACTTTCATTTATTTCCCCTTTGCAACAGCTTATAGGGCCTTACTTATACTATATTTGCCTTTCATAACCTTATTCGTGTCAATTGCCCTTTACAAACTGACATCGTCACCGTACCTTCTTAGAGATGCACCTGTAGGTGAACAACTCTTCTTGACAAATTTATCCTCGGTTTGGCAATGCATTTCACCGGTGGTCTTGCCTTTATGGTCTATAATATCTTTGTACAAGATATGGAAATTGTATGGTTGGCAACACCTTCATGAGATAATGTCAAACGGAATGACATTTAGCGAAGTCGTTCTAGCGTTGGCTCTCTTTAAATATGTTGCCAGTTTTGACTGTGAGCTTCAATCCCCAGGAACCTATGAATCTTTTCGTATGTTAATAGTTTAAATACCTAGACTATGCAAACATCTCTTCTTATATTCCGAATGATGGATGTCTTATTCGTGCTGGTAGGCTACCCAACGAACCGACCACAACCCATGATACTAACTAACCTTCAACGTGGTCCGGGGTCATTAAGAGACATCAGGTTGGGATTTACAAGCAACCATTGGAAATCCCACCCCAAGAAGAAGTCGATGAGGGTCGCTATGATGACTAAGAATGTCCAATGAAGGTGTTACCACCAATGCCTGGTAACATATTCCTCCATTACCTCGAACATGCAAAGAGAATGGCAAGCAGCAAGAAAGAGATGCAGCTGTACCATGCGGACAGCACGTTCCTTAACCGACTGCCCAAGAGATTAGAACAAAGTATCTTCTTCGGCGAGGCAACGGCAAATGCAAATATCTCGTATGGTTGGGGAATCTATATCGTCGACCGTCCCAGCATATTCGCACAGAATTTGGTTACGGGATTGGTGGCATTCGTCAGCGCTATCATATGCCTGGTAATATTTGGTATCATTTGGGCTACCTCGGGTCGTGATGATGCCATCGGGATAGGCCAATATGCAACAGGGGTGCTGACGCTTCTCAATACGGCTGTTTATTTCTATATCCAGGCATACTGCAGTTCTCTTTCCCGACGCAATTGAGTATTCATGCATAGGCTCCTAGTGAGCGGACCTTGGAATATCTTGTTGGGAGTATCGGCGTACTAGATTCAACTTTGACGACTTTCTGAATGGCGGGGGCGGGGCTGTGCTTGGATCGGTAGAGGCGGTCGCAGGACTGTCGCGGGCGGACACAATTGGGAAGTTGAGCCTTTCTTTAAACGATGATGTGATCTTGTCAATTCAGAAATCCCCTATAGTCTACTGACAGTCTTTACAAGATAGGTAGGTTATCTATCAACCCGAAGCACATACGTAACTACGGTAGGTACCCTTGATAACTATCATTGTATCAATCTCCGCGAGTTTTTTTCTGGTGGCATTTGCTAGACGGGAAGCTGAATTCAAACATGGCGGCTTGTGCGCTGAAGAGGGGTTATTGACCGCTGAAAGTGGTCGATCATACTGAGAAGAATAGCGGTATGCGGAAATAGTCGAACACGCCGAAGGGAATCATACATCTGAAGACGGAACCAAATTGGATAGACGTTGGATTTCGTTATTCATCAACCTCCTCCTTTACTAGGTAGGTAGGTAGTTCAGTAGGTAATGTAGGTTTCGTTAGATGCCTTATTGCGGGGGTATGCTTCCGTGGAACTTACCGTACTCTATTAACATATGCGATTGTATACCGCGTCGTGTTACTTCGTAGATACCTAGATATGCGCGTGGCTTCACTTTCCGATCATATCAAGATGCTGGCGCAAGTCCTAGTGGAGTTTGTGGATTAATGCAAGGGCAAAATGTATCTCCGTTGAAACTAGAATGAGAGGCTGTGAACAGAAGTTGGGGGAATCACATTCTGTTCTAACCTTTTCATTAAATAGGTAGCCTATCTTTGAGGTGGGGAGCGGTTAGAATCATCATATGTCGTCCTAACCACCTAGAGACTTGGTACCTGGGCAGCTGAAGCGGCTGGCAGGGCAGTGCTGATGAAAGCTTGGCTTAGCTCTTTAGGGCTGTGTTTAGCACACAGACACATCAACAGGGGTAATTGGGGTATTGACGCCTGGTCTCCTGCTAATTGGCGGGGTGATGGCGGGTAGAGGTCGATCGCAACTGTCGGACGAAGTAGGTATCGCGAATCCTGGAAGTCTAAACGGCGTATCAGCATCTAATGTCTACCTATCAACCAGGTAGGGTGACTATCATATGTTAATTTATCCGATGGATAGGTAACTTGACATGTTATATACTACCTAAGTATGTGGTTGCATTCCTAGGACGATGTCTGATCCCTAGTCCTGTTTTCTAGGTGCCTAAACCAACTAAGTAAATCTCTAGCCCAAATAGACTCATATCTAGTAGTAGAAGAGGGAAACTCAGCCTACCTCCTATGTGCCTAGTCTAATCAACTTAAGAACCGACTTCCATCCTTAGAACATCAACATCCTCTTCATCAACAATTCCAAAATTTCCAACTTCAACATGGGACCACCACAGCTAGCACCCTTTCCCCGGCCGGTCGGCATCTTCGGGCCCTTCATCGCGAAGCAAAGCGAGACGTTGGTGCTGAGAGAAAAGGTCATGTCGCTGTCCGGGAACAGCTTCGATATCACTCTCGCCAATGGCCAACCTATTTTCAAAGTAAAGGGCGAGTCCATGACGCTTTCCAATCGCATGAACGTCATGGATACAGCCGGCAACCTCCAGTTTTGTATTCGCAAGAAGCATATCGCCATTCACACCACATACTATGCTGAGAACGCCAAAGGCGACGAGATTTTCGAGGTGCAGAGCAAATTTAGGCGTAAGTTTACCTACCCAAAAGCTGGGGTGGCCCGGTAAATTTGGGCATATGCACATGATGCTGTGTTCGTGTAACTGATATGAAATAAAGTGGGCGGGTCTAAATTCATCGGCTCCTTCACCTCGGCGTCCGGTCAACAAGAGCAGCTGCTCATGAAGGGCGATTGGACGGACACCTCAGCTGAGATTACAGACGAAGCCAGCGGGCAAGTAGTCGCCTCGATCTATCGCGACCGTTGGAATGCGCGCGAGCTCCTAGGCGGACAGCAAACGTACAATGTCACCATCGCGGCCAACGTCGATATGTCTATTATCGTAGCGATGTGTATCTGCCTAGACATGAAGAGGAACGAATCCAGCAGTTAGCTCTTACGTGGTGCTTCACCGACCCGGACGTTGGGAGTTGGCTTTCTTGTTACGTATTTTTTGGACGAGGTGTCTTCTCGCCGCGCTGTTTTGGATACCAAGAGAGCGGAGTTACCTAGTAATTTAGGTGCAACGGAGAGAGCCTCCTATTCTGCGAAGAATCGTCAATCTTAACAGATGATTGGAATATATAATTATTAAATGATTGCAATTCAGATAGGGGATGTGCCGAGTAGAGAAAACCATAATAGAGATTGGTTAACCGTGGTTGCAATTGAACCATGCATTATGATGTCTTGGATTTTCATCCCATCCATTAGGTAACTGCCTCGATGTTTCGCGGTGATACAAAAGTGCCTCTTGGAATAGCGCTTGGCGTAGTGGGTATTGAATAAACTCGGGACCAAAGCAGTATGCAATGATTCAAAGTACCTAGTAGGTAATATTGAGTTGCTGTCAATTGAAGATAAATTTCGCGCCCGTCCAGTATCCCTACTAGATATGATAAATAAGATCTTGGATGAGATGGTACGGGATTTAATAATCAAGGTTGTATTCAGATAGAATAGAAAAACTGGATAAAAATTGGATGACAGTTGGTGATGTACGTATGGATGTTAGATCTATCATCTCCGCACATTTGTATAAGTGGGTATTGAATACGAATTCACGGAGGATTAGCCAATCAGAATCTTTCTATTTAAATTTAGGTATTATGGGACGAACCCAGTACTTGCCGAGCACTGAACCTTTCCACATTCCGAAGAAGGGGTTACGTAAGGCTTGTACAACATAGTACATCTGACTTCGGCTGAATCGGATAGGGAATCGTGGTAAAAAGCAAGTACCTGAAGTGAAGGAAAGTACGAGCCTCCGAGGACCAGACGGCGTCGCGTTCCCGAAAAATTCAAGATGTAATCAATGATCAACATTCAATATCGCTGTCTTTTTTCCCCTCTTCAACATCCAATGCCCAAACAAACAACTACAATATGCATGTTCGAATCCCTAAATTTCTTGTAAATGTAATTGAAAATTGACTTCTTGTCATCATCTCTGTTTTTGGAAACTCTTCTTTTGGAACAATAACCCCCTTGTCTCTTTTTGGTTCGATAGACGAAACGCTTCGTTTCAGGGGTTGGAGTTGCATCCAGACCCTGCGTTTGGACCGTCAGGACCCAGATTCTCTTCTCCGAAACGTATGATGACGGGACAGCGGCTCGACACCACTTCGAAGATGGCTTTCTCTCCTTTACCATCTTTTTTGCTAGCTCTAGGTCTAGCTGCTTTACCGATGGCTTCAGGTCACGATCACGATTCTTCCCATATCGAGGAAGGGCAGACTATTTCTGTCGATCCGATTGTATGTTTTGGCCACGCAACACTAAAAATACCAAAAACACCATTGGCGGAAGTGTCGGAAACTGATTCTTTGTATAGGACACGACATTATGGATTCATATCTTCATTCAGATGTTTGCCTGGGGCGTCATCTTCCCCTTGGGTATGGTGCTTGGGGTATGTATTCGATGCTCGACATTCCGTATCTGATGATCTTCAATCTAACCTGTGCCCCTCGTCTCCGTAGATCGTTAAATCCCGATGGCACGTTCCAGTTCAAGTTCTCGGTACCGCATTAGCAATCCTCGGATACGCCTTAGGACACATGCACGGCGGTCGCGAATTTCGCCATAACAACGTCCATTCCAAGTTCGCAACGCCGCTTTCCTTCTTACTCTTCGCGCAGATCCTCATGGGCGTTTATTTGAAATTACACCTCGAGAAGGGTATCAATGGGAAGATTAGGCGATTCGTCAAGATAGGGCACGGCATCATTGGAAAGGCCATACCTGTACTCTCTTGGACGCAAATGCTGTTCGGTGGCATCACGGCCCTCGGTTTTTGCCAGGACGATCATCTTGGTCAATGCCTGGCGCATTTTATCATGGGAAGTGCTTTTATCGGCTATGGCATCATCTTGTCAATTATGTTGCTCGTAGGACAGTTATGGCTCAAGCGTACTGGCCGATCGCAAGAATTCTTCGATAGCTCCTTCATTGCTGCTTGGGGAGTAGTGAACACTTTCACGGAACACCGATGGGGCACCGCGTGGGTTAAGAATGACTGGCAACACACTACTATGGGCATAATATGGTGGGCTGCAGGATTAGCCGGTGTTTGGTTGAGCAGGGACCGAGACGGCAGACCCCAGCGCAACTTCATCCCTGGTTTCGTCATTTTGATCACCGGCTGGGCCATGAGCGCGCATCCTCAAGAACTAATGATCAGCGCCGAGACCCACAAGATGTTCGGGTATACCCTTATGGCTGCGGGTGCTACTCGAATCATCGAGATATCATTCGTAGTACGGGATCGGCCCGGCATGTCCGACGACGGCCGTGAAACAAACAGTTTTCAATTCGTCCCTGTCTTCGTAAGTTTCTTCAACTTTAATATAGTCTACACGTTTCCTAGCTAACAAATGCCAAAAGTTGCTTTACGCTTCTGGATTTTTGTTCATGGGCGCCACTGAAGAGCAAATGGCCTTGGTCGCCTCTTCAGGTATGGACCATGTTGCCTATATCTTGATATTATACTCTCTCGCCTTCCTCATCTTCCTCTTCACCAACGTACTTCTCGGCATATACGATCGCAACAGCAATACCGCGCTTCCTACGAAAGATGCAGCCAATGGCCGACTGGGACCTCGGGTAAACGGAAGTATACCTGTTAGAGATGCTCAAGAGTTCGAGCTAGAAGGCTTAATGAGCGAGGACGAGGACGAAGGTCCTAAGATGCATAGGGATGACAGTAGCCTAGAAAGCCCGAGCACTGTGGGCAAGAACAGCGACGGGGTTGCCCACTGATTCTCATCAAATTAGTCCGAGTATTGACGCTCGTTGACTAGGGGGCAGCCGACCTCAAAAAAAGAAGGGATATCACACTCTGATTATTATTGCATAGACCACAGGCGTTTGGACTAAGGTTGAGGGAAGGCTGGATCATACTCTGATAGGACGAATTTTATAACTATAGAAATATTCGTATAAATAAATATAATAGTCCACAATAGCTCTAATCAATTGGTGACATACGTATCTACCTACTCTCTTGACGTTTTGTCCTATACCCTCTAACTTATTTTATAAGCTTAGTAGATACCTGGCATATACTAGTAGGCAAAGCCTGAAGAATTTCCAGGGGGTTTTACTTTAATGAAGCGTACTTGTCGACGATGAGATATTTGACATGTCGGCTACTGTCTTTTAATATCGCCGTAATCATAGAAATTGAAAAGGAGCAAATATCGAGATCGTCAAGATACAGAAGTATCTTCAGTGAATTCTTGTAGCTTTCCATGGAGGTTATCTCATTGTTTTGGCTTAGACGTTTGAACGTATCGTAGGACTCGAGTTCGAAAAGAGAACTTACTCTCCCTACGGTTTCTTCATTGACGTATAAGGCAACCCGTCCCCAGACTATCTCGTTCAACCACAACGCCTATTCCCTTCCAAGGTCAAAATGTAGTTTTTTTCTTTTCTGTCAAGTGATTTCCCTTCGTACCATCTAGTTCATGCCCTAAACATGTAAAACCCGCATCTTCTACTTCCCCAATTTCATCAGCAACATCGCATTTACTGGCCGCGATGGCTTCAAACGACGACTCGAAGGAGTCAGATACCAAGAAGCCAGATGACAAGAAGCCAGAAACCGACGTGGTCCCTCCCAAGGCTCCTTGGTGGGACATGTCTGCCCAGAGAGTGAAAGTTAAGGAAATCCTACTAGACGCCGAATATTACAGACTCGACATCAGATTGCAGACTCTGGAGATTGTGCAGCATAAGAGAGACTTGTGTCTGCTGAAGTTAAACTTCGAGGCGCGTAAAGCGGAGATCAAAGCTGATTGCAAGAAGAAGTTGAAGGTCCTTGAGCGCGACTTAGAAAAAATTCAGCGCTCGGTTGACAAGCTTCATAAACGCCGCTTGAAAGTCGAACGAATCGCATCTAACAATGCGAAAGCACATGAGAAGGCCGCCGAAGAAGCCAAAAGCCAACAGTCATTCCCGACTATGTCCGTGGGTCCCCAAGAACTCCTAGACCTGGGACTTGGCGATCTCAAGACACTTGTCGAGGACAAGTTAGTCGACCTTGCCATAGAAGACGACGAGGCTCACGAGATATATACTACCACTCTCATCAGAGATGTCGCGGTCCAAGCGTCACGCCCGAGAATTTCTTCCTCCCTAGCACCGGTGCGTAAGTGGATGAATCCCAAGCAGAAAGTGAAACAACTACGCAAGCGATTCTTAGCAACGAGCGGACAACGCCAACACAAACGAGTCATCATCGAACGCACGAGTCCCCGCATCGAGATGAAGAAGAAGAAGCTCGCCGCGATGAAGAGCACCCGTCAACATTCCCGACTACATCGGACGGAAATGCTGTTCGGACCGAAGTTTTTCTATCGTCTAGCGAATGAGGTATACCACTGGCACATTAGCCCGCCTCGAGCGATGCTTGGGTACTTTGTGCGGAAGGCGTACTGGAAGCGATGGAATGGTGCAATCCCCGCTGATTATGTGAGAGACTGGGATTATATGATGAGGGACCTTGGCGAATATACGGCGGCCCTGAAGTGGCCTTGGAAGACTTAGTCAAGTCGACCCTACGAGGAGGATGGGGTTTTATTACATGGCTTGTGGTCGGTTCGGAGGTGTTCGATGGAAGCTTTAGCTTAGCACGCCTAGTTTTCCCTTAGGGAGGCTCCGAAAAAGCTACACGAGTAGCTGCCTCCGGTCTTGATAGTAACGCAATTCTTACTATAACTGCTGTTGTATTGGATAATGCTAAACCTCCCTAATGAGAATACCTACCTACCTACACATTATACCTGATTGGGTGCGAACACCATACGTAGGTACGTATAGGAGTGTGGGTTGATTGATTATCTAAAGCATGTTCTCCGAGGGATCACCTGTCTAGAGGTAAGTCAACCTAGTTACTAGATACACTTGGTACGAACTGCTCCCAAACGACATCAGTGATCGGCAGTGAGCTTCTAGTCCAGACCAGTGTATCTAACTGCCATTAATTTGCGGGGGACCCGCGTATGAGGCAATGCTTAGACCTAATTCGCCAAGCCGGATGATAGACCATGCACAAGAGGTGGCCGAGCCTGATCAGGAAAGTTCCCTATTTAGCCAACAAGCTTATATAAACGAGACGGCGATGATATTGGCTTATTGTATATTGCCAGTCCCTGGGCAATGTAGAGAAGCTCCGCATAAGCTATTGCGTGAGGGTCTAGTCTTGGACGGCGAGATAATATTTATACCCAACCAGACGCCTGGTGGCCACACCGAGAGTGTGGGTTGATGATTCAAGGTTATTATTATCAATATTTCAATTCAAGATGAAGGGCAACAGTATCTTATCCGCATTGGCACTTGCTGGCATTTCCGCCGCTCAGACTCCGTCGGGGTTTACTCCAGTTGTCGAACAGAAGCTAGAGGTCACCTTCGGAACCAAGTCAGTCACGCCGGGGTTGGCTTTCGCAAAGCCTGAAACTTCGAGACAGCCGACCATTGGGTTGAACGGTACGGCTGATGGTACCTATATCTGGATGTTAATTGGTAAGGCAACATCTCTTTTCAAATTTCTACAAACTCAGTTAGCTAATCGAATTCAGATCTCGATGCGTATGTCTTAACCCCTATATACCCAAAGCGCCGGGTTTTAACTAACTTGATATAATATCAGCTCAACCAACTTCGTGAATCCCGGCGCAGGTCAGCCTACCACTTACCTACACACCGTGATCCGAGACTTCAAGGCAAGCGGTTCCCCGTCGGCTGAGGGCATAACAACTCTTACATCTACGTCCAACACACCCGTAGCATGGTTTGCGCCAGCACCACCAGCGGAGAACCCCCCGCACCCGCACCGATACACGAATCTCCTCTGGGAACAGCCGGAGAACTGGGCGATCCCCGCTGCCGCTAGTCAAATGCTCCAGAGCCAAAAGACTGGCTTCAATGTCCCGAAGTTCATTACTGCGGCGGGACTTAAAGACCCTATTGCTGCCAACTACTTCAACGTTACTGGTTAAATGGAAGATGAAGATAAAGTCAGTAATTTGACGGAGGATTATAAGCGTAGAGATGTATATATGAGAGAGTATCGACTTGAACTTGTAAAGGAGACTTCGGGTTCGCTCGATAACTATCAAGATATCCACAACTGAGACAAGAATATTCCCTTTGTCGCTATCCTCGGTCCCTTTTCTCAGTGATGATACCAAGACGATTTGTGATGTAATTAACTTATCGATCAAGAAAATTCCATTCTTTGCGGCACTTAAGCCATCTCGGTGGTAGGAGGATAGTAACCTCCCTTAGGCAGCGAGTCGAGAGCATCGCGGTTGATCTCCTTCAAGTTCGGGTACCCCGCAACATTCATCAGGATATCGAAATCGGCCAGCAGACTCTTCATCACATGCCTCACGCCCTCTTCGCCACCAGATCCAAGGGCATAAACCCATAGACGTCCTATGAATACGAACTTAGCTCCAAGCGCAAGTGCCTTGAAGACATCGGCTCCGCTGCGGATTCCCGAATCGTACATGATCTGTACCTTTGTTAGCAAGCCCCTTATTTCACCCATGCAGATAGGTGACCACTCACATAAATCTTATCCCCAACAGCATCCACGATTTTCTCCAGCGCATCTAAGCTCGCAACTGCTCCATCAACCTGCCTTCCGGCATGATTCGACACCACAATCCCATCAACCCCCAACTCCACCGCCTTTTTCGCATCCGCCACACTCTGAATCCCTTTAATAGCAAACGGCTTCCCACCACTCAACCTCTTCCAATTCTCCATCAACCACGGAATGCGCTCCCAAGAAAACGACTGTCCATGCCAAATATGTCCATCAATCCAGCTCGCACCCACTTCCATCTTATCCCCTTCACCCCGCGGATCCAATCCCATCTCCTTAACCCTATCCACGAAAACCGGATCATTCAACCCCAAATCCCCCGCCCCGTGGTCGTGGTAGAAAGCGTAGTTCCCATGCATAACATCATCATGGCGCCACCCAAGCTGCCACGTATCGGTAGTCAACACACACGCCTCGTACCCGTTCTCCGCCGCGCGCTTCAGCATACTCAGCGCAACGCCGTCGTCCGGGCTCCAATAGAGCTGGAACCATCTTATCCCCATCCCTTCCCCTTTCCCTCCCTGTTCCTCTCCCCCATTTCCCTTCCCTTCCCCTTTCATTCTACCAGCATCATTCGCCCTCGCCACATCCTCAATCCCAAAACTCCCCGCCGAGCTCAAACAATACAGAAGCCCCAACTCCCCCGCCACCTTCGCAGGCGATAACTCTCCCGTCGCGTGGTATATGCGGTTTATACCGATTGGCGCGAAACCGATGGGAGCAGAGACGCGACGCCCGAAGACGGTGGTTGCGGTGTCCCGTGTGCTGGTGTCGATGAGCGTGCGTGGGATGATTTGGTGGCGGTAGAAGGCGGCGCGGTTGGCGTGGTGGGTTAGCGATTGCCCGGCGTTGCAGGAGGCGTAGTGCCTGGGGTTGGGGTTGGGTTAGCGGTTTGGGTTAGTGATTGGGGTAAGAGATGGTGTTAGGGTTGGTGTTGGGGTTGAGGTTGTGCGACGGGAGAAAAAGGGGTTGGGGTTACCATCCCGCTTGGCTGAGGCGCTCTTTGGCTGTTGCTTTGAGCTTGTCTGGGTCTGGGGTATTGGTTAGTAAATTTGATATGAAATATTAGTGAATTGGTTACCTAGGTACCTGTGTTAAATGGAGGATGTTTGTTTTCGTTTGGACCCCAGAATAATTCTCGTTGGTAGAGACTCCATTGAGGCGTGCTGCGCTGCTGGATGTTGGGGTTATTTGGGTTGCTCATGATGATGATGGGGGTTTCGTGTAACTGCACAAAATTTGGATGTTAACTTCTTTGCTGATTTTAATGTTTATTTACAAGAGTTCCATCTTGTTTATATTGATTTTATATTCCTTTTGGCATCCTTCGTAGACCAGGAAAGCTTCCGATCCACGGACCTAAGAAGATCGTCGATGACGTCGAGAAAATGTCATTGATTCGTCCGTGACACTTGGATATGATGCGGTAATAGAGTATAGGACAACAATAAGCAACGTGCAGCTATTTAACAGCCTCATTTTCGTAAGATGTCCTGCAATACTCCGCGATTAACCAATTGCGCTTTCCACTCAATTCTCTTCGTCTATACCCCAACCCCATACGGAGCCGCATCGCCTCCGAGACGGCGAGATTCCGAATAACTTCCAACCGAAGTTGATGATGACAACATAATAATATTTCCTAAACTAGGTGATTATGTGTCGTCTTATCCAATCATTCAGGATTAGATCGCGAATGGCTTCCTCGGTAGTATTCGGTTAGATGACGACCCCTCACATCGTCAATGTCTTTCAACGCACTTTCAAGAACGAGATGGCCATGGTCAACTAAGACAGATTTACCAACCCTGAAACTTCAAGGGTCGATATTGGAGCTTAGACTTCGATGTCGCTATTTTCTCGGGCTGTACATCTTTGAGTATTCTCCGAAATGCCATCCAAGTGATCGCCGTAAACGGCCTCCATCTCATTTCGCTGACATTCGGACATATAATGGCGTTCTATTAGTTGAAGATAGAACGGGTGACGATAGAATATCGAGAGCTTTCCATTTCTTTTGGGGGAGATGATATGATAGTACCTAGGTTAGCGGTAAGCATACGCGGCCTCATACTTTTGGCCATGCGGAGAAGGAAGGATAACAATGCTTACCTACCTAGTGTAGACTCTAGAGGGGGTTGATCTCACAAATGTCGCAGACGAAAACACAGTTGTAAATTGGCCATTCTGAATTATCGTCCATCGCCTGCTAAATCTAAACCAAAATGACATATTGGGTATCTGAACATAAATCCATCATCGTATCAAATCAACCGCAGCAGACTGATGCTTCCTCCAATCCCTCGGCTCCCTTATCGGGCTGGGCTTCATTCTCACCCCCAACAACAACCTTCGCAATCATCCAATCGCATAAGAACTTTCCGAACCCGGCTCCGATGATGATGCTTATTATAATATATCCATTGAAGGACATCGCTATTAACATAAGTATGTACGCGACACCAAAAGACGCAGCGTGTACGACAGAGCGGATCAGCTGCTGCAGGGGTGTGGCTCGGAACGTGACGACTTGCGGACCCGGAGCCGGCGCATCGGAACAGCACGAGCTATCTTCTTTCGATGCCCGGAATTGCGCGGTCGCATGTTGCCGGAATTGACGTAATATGAAAGTGTCGTATTCCTTGCCTAAGCGACGGACAAGCTCGAGATATATGACGAGGAAAAAGACACCGATGCAAGAGGCTGCGAATGCGCCCTCACTTTCAACTTGCCATGATTCGGCGAGGAAACCTGCGAGTTGTTAGACACCATCTCTGCCGTATTTCCGTGGAATATAGTGAGGTGGTCATACATGTACCAACGGTGTTCCAATTCCATGTCATCTACGATCTCGGTCAGTTGTTGTCCAGTCGGCTTCATTCGTATATGAATTAGTCACACTTACCGATTGGGAATAGGTACTGTTGCTGCTACTGCTCATATCCATCCTTGCGGTTAATATCGAGGTGCCGGCAAAATCTATATATTTCCTGTTGCGCTCGTGCGGAGGATGATATTAAGTAGCCCGTATCGAGTAACCTGCGATTGGTTCCGGCACTAAACAAACGTCTGCCTAGGTTTGACCTTGAATACTAGGTATGGATGGCAAAAGACTTGAACTCGATCTCTTATCTCTCCTCGTTTCTTATGTATATCTTTGAGGCCTTTTCTCCACGCGCGTCGTAGACAGCTGACGATGTGTTAAGCGAAAATGAGAGTATAAGAGCAAGATTTCGCTATTTAGGATGGTCGATATGGATATGGATATGGAGTTCGCAAGAGGGACTTATTACTTGGCGACAACCGTGCCAATCTGCCATCAACCAACTCCCATATCTTTCATCCTTTTTTAGATAAAGAACAATAAGAACCCCTCGTTCCTAGCCCCATGTGGCGGGTCGTTACGTATCCTTGCGCGTATCCAGATGATCTAGTGAAATCTGGGCAAAGTGGATCACATTCCCGATTATTTGACCCATCGGGTCGTTTCTTTAACGGGTCGTCGCCGCAACGGTTCATAAGTCTAACATTCCATTGGTCCTTCTGAGGCTATTATCCTTGTCCGCCAAGTCTTCTACGACCCCTGGAAAACGTGCTCAATTATTCTCAGACTTTTCCTTCAGAGGCTTAAGGTCCGGGCGACGTATGTTTCGTAACCCATCGTGGGATAGCAAAGGGTAGCATCAGACATCTGGATTCTTTGAGCAAGTTTCCAAGAAGATAATTAACGGAGAACCTTGACAGAACCTTGATAGAACCTTGATAGTAGCTAACTTCTTAACGAGCAAGATGAGGAATCAGCCCAAAGATGACACCGCGTTTACCCCGGCGCGCGGGTACGACCTTAGATCGGATAGATGGTGTTATCCTTAGTCCAGCTGGTCTCTCTCGTCCACTTATTATATCATCATCCCGTCGAATGATTTTTAGGAATGAATGCAGATCATCTCATTTATCGATCAACCTTTCTCGGGACATTTGACGGGAACTAGTCTGCATACCTCGCAGTCTAAGGTATTAAACAAAACCTTCCCGCTTCTCGGGTCCCGCCAGTCGCTCGTTCGTCATACCTGATTACCACCTTCTAGTTGTGTATCGTCAAGGCGAACTGCTCAAGATGGCAACCATGGAGGCCATGAAGAGCCGTCTGGTCGATCGCCATATCCAAGACCTCACCACGGCGAGTAACTTAGAGAAGCACTGGGGCTATGTCGACCGAGCCATCCCGTGTACGAATGATGCTGGATCGTGCGCCTACTTGGACGAGGTGTACGCGAATCATGACCTAACGATGGTCTACTCCGGAATATTCTGGTCCATAATCGGTGGCATTCTCTTACTATGGGCTATTGGAAGACGGGTCTTCCCATCCACTCGCGCCGATGAAGTGTTCGCGAATGTCGACAGCGAAAAACTGTCGAAAAAGATAGCGGAACGACGCTCAAGAATAAGAATGACGGTGGCGTCATTAACCCGCCGTTACTTATTACCCGACTCTGTGCGATCCATATTCGGCCGAACGACGCGGCTTCAGGTCATCATTCTAGCCGTCCTGACAAGCTACCTGTTCATATTCAGTTTCACCGGCCTCACGTACGAAAAATGGATCACACCAGTAAAGAAAAATCCCGGTCTATACAATACTAGAACGACTCTAGGCCCGTGGTCTGATCGAATTGGTGTTTTCGCCTATGCCCTTACGCCGCTCTCCGTTATGCTGTCGAGCAGAGAATCGATCCTCTCCCTGCTTACCGGCCTTCCCTATCAAAGCTTCAACTTTCTTCATCGGTGGCTCGGATATATCATCGTCCTTCAAGGAACTTTACACGCTATTGCCTGGACGATTGTTGAAGTCCGTTTATACCAGCCCCAGCCTGCAACCGCACAAGAGTGGATTGCGCAGCTTTATATGATTTGGGGAGTCGTTGCTTTGATCCTGCTTCTGCTCCTATTCGTATTGAGCACACCTTGGGGAATTCGTCTTACTGGCTATGAGTTCTTCCGTAAAGCGCATTACGTTTTGGCGATGGTATATATCGGAGCTTGCTGGGGACATTGGGCGAACCTGAAATGCTTCCTTCTTCCTGGACTAGCTATTTGGGGCTTAGACCGTGGGATCAGGTACTTCCGCTCGGCACTTATCCATTACCAATACCTTCCCGACGGATCGATGGGTTTCAAAGCTGCACATGCATCCTTGACGTATTTCCCCGATGCCGAGCATGGAGACATAGTGAGAATGGATTTCAAACACCCCCAAGATCCGTGGAAAGTTGGAAAGCACTTTTACTTGTGCTTCTCGGAATGCAGCATCTGGCAATCGCATCCATTTACGCCGCTTAACTTGCCGAAGGTGGAGAACGGGCTTGTTTCCCATTCGTATATTCTTAGAGCGAAGGGTGGCGAGACGAAGAAAGTTGCGCAACTGGCCGCGAAGAAATTGGCGGAGGCACCAAGTGCCACAACCCCCTTAATATTGTCGGGATCCTATGGAGAGTCGATAGTGGAGCACTTAACACCTGATGTTAACGTGCTTTGTGTCGCCGGCGGTACAGGTATCACATACGTTTTGCCAGTCCTGCTCGGCTTAATAGAAAAGAAGGAAGTGAAAGACCGAAAAGTACAATTGGTCTGGGCAATCCGAAAGAAGGACGACACACGTTGGATTGAAAAGGAGCTCAACGATATTCGAAAGGCCGCTAAGGCACACAAAATCGAAGTTCACATATATGTGACGAGAGAAGCAAGTACCAAGCATCTATCAAGCAGTGAAGATATATCCGAGAAGGAAGATGTGGTCGTAAAGGATGCCGGTGCATGTTGCTCCGCTGGTTCTTCGATCAAGGAGGTGCAGTCTAACTCAACCCTCGACGTCCAGAGGATAGGAGGGGAGGGATTCGACACACATCCCGACCTCGAAAGGATAGTAAATGAGTTTGTCGAGGGTACCATAAAAGGCTCGACAACCGTATATGCAAGCGGACCGGGTGGCATGATCAGCGACTTGAGGAGTGTGGTAGCATCTTGTAACTCAGGCGCAAAGGTCTGGGGAGGTAATGAGCGTTACGACGTTCGGTTGGTATGTGATGACCGACTTGAGTGGTAGACATACCCTTAGACAGTATGAATAAAAAAAGTAGAATGGTCAAAGCTCTCGTCAGTGTTGTCGTCGTGGAGACCAGATGTGTCAGGTGGTCAAGGCTCTCAGGCAGCAACCTATCACCTCCGAAGTAAACCTTATATACTGTAAGAAGTTACCAAATTTTCAAGAAATAAAATGGCGGCTTACCAACATAACCACCCAATGGTCGGTTTAGTTGATGCCTCAGATACGGACACTTACCCAATAATGTCTCTCTGGAATGGGAGGTCTAGGGTTCGATTCCTGGAAGAACCAGGGCCTGAAAGGGCAGTCGCAAAGAAATATCTGACAAAAGGAGGCGCAGAAGCTCAGGGGCCATACACCTGAGTCTGGGCCATGAGGACGGTTACTCGATACTGTTCTTTTTGCCTTTTGTTCTTCTGATGTATTTGCGATTTGATCATGGTGATGCATCCAGCTCAAGATCACGAGGCTTTTTTTACACCCACTTTCTCGTTTTCGACCTTCAGACTTTTTATCATCCCAATTTTAAATGATTCCACGATAAATCCGCAAGACTTTTTTTTTTCTCCCTCTAAATGATTTGAACCTCGTGAACCTCGAATCTTCCTAAATCGACCTCCACGCTTTTCGCCGTGGCCATCCCTATTCTCCGGTACGACCCATCGTCATTCTTATCGAGGACAAGTAAAAACCATTCATTATTTGACTGTGCAATTACCATTGCCCAACAAAATCGTGATTTCCGACGATCCAAATCCATCACGCAGCCGCTTAGTGCGCTTGACGCATCACTCGGAGAATCTGACTGTTGAAATGTCAACGTCCCAACATCATACTTCACTTCTTCCGGAGTATGATAGAACATCCGCGCAACTCGACCCCTAAGTGTTACTACCCCGTCTGGAAAAGCCTCCGTAAGTTCGTTCTCCCCAACACTCATCTTAACATCCAAGACCTCGACGACGAATCCTCCTACGCGCAGCGCCCAAAAGTCCAAGTGACCATCCAACGCCGCCCAACTCCAGCTCGGCGCGCGCCTCTCCGGCGGTTCAGCAAGCGTAGATATCCGATCACTCGACGAGATCCCCCAGACCTTTCTCCCAGGCACATGATCATAATGCGCACACCAAAGCAACCCCCTCGCCAAATCCTCTTTCCACAGCCCAGCAACATACGTCGCACCCGTCTCCTTATTCGCATTCCTAAACAACCCCGCCGCACCAGCAAGCGCAGGCAACTTATCCGTCGACACCGTAAACCTGCGCGTCGTATACTCCTGCAAAAGCTGATACCACGCATCCCAATCCAACCTTTCCCCCCGCGCCGCCGCAACCCCAATCCGTTTCCTAATGCGTAGAAACTCCGCCATAACATGTCCATCCGAGTCCCCCGTAAAATCCCTCCCATCCTCCGCCCTAAACAACGACCGACACTCCCAGAACACCTGCTCCTTCCCAAAATGCAGTAACCTAGACGCCAGCAACCGCTCCTGCATACACCACCCCCGCGAGACAAGCGGACAGGTAACCAGGTAGTCATTGAGTTCCGGCAACACCTTCTGCACCGCGTACTCCGCCCCCAGCACAGCCAGGGGCAGTCTATCCGGCTTCAAAAACCCAGCCGAGCTGGCTGGGCTGTCGAGCGCGGAGATCACGACAGCTGCGCCGGTGTACACGGCGCTCATGAGCCCGGCTTCGCGGACCCAGTCGGATCTCGAGTCTTGGACTATGCACAGCGCGTCGATCCATAGGTAGCGCAGCCCTAGGGCGCGGGTTACCGTTATTGCGTCTTTGAAGTTCTGGGGGAGAGAGGACAGGGGGAGCGAGGTTGTGCGGGAGGCGGCATTGGTGGTTAGGGTGATGCTGGGGATGGCGCCGCCCCAGCAGTGGCTTAGGGTTGCGTAGGGGGCTTTGAGGTCGTGGGTTTCGAGGAGCCGGATTTGGGGTGTTGGGTCTTCTCCTAGGTCGAGGACGCGGGTGGGGAGGACGTGGTCCGCGGGGGCGTTGGAGCAGTTTGGATGGTTGGTGCGGCAGTCTTGTTGCCAGTGGGATACCATGTTTGCGATATCTGATGGGGTTATCGTTGGGTTTACGGCGGGTAGGCGTCTGTATGTGTCGAGCCAGGGGACTTGCTCGCCTTCGTTTAATGGCACTCGCCGACATACTTTGAAGCTGTGGAGGGGAATACTCCCGATTTTACTACTACCCCAGGGCATTCTATCTAGGGAGTCACGGAAGCCGGCGCGGAAAACGCCTTTGGACTTATTTGGTCCTATACGGCCAGATGAGTAGAATGGGTACAGCCCTAGCCAGCCTTGGTGAAGAGATTCATCCATAAGCGAGAGGTCTGCGTGCAAGACATTGCAGAGTTCGCATGATTTGGCGCTTTGTGCAAGAGCTGCGAGGGTCTCATGGTGCCGGAAAGCATCGCCCCAGGGACCCCATCCTGAGCCTATTGGATGCCAGCGAGCTGGGTAGGCGTCTTGACTGGTAAAGTCGAAGGAGAAAATATCGCTGATGAACTGGTGGCAGAACTCGCAGAGTGATCCCGTAATGGTTATTGGTATTGGGCTCATTTTGAAATAAGTTAAGAGGTACTTATTAGAAAGTTCCCTTTAAAATCTCTTGGAGTTTGTGAAGACCGGGTTTATGCCCCTTATAACATAGCATTATGTGCTGAAGTGGACTATGAAGTGTTATTCATGAGTTGATATTTTCCTCTCAAATTTCCAAATTGTTTTAAACGGTAGAGAAATCATATATTAATAGAAATGCTACAACAGTGATAAGGCATAGTTTGTTGATATTGCGGACATTGAAAATAATGAGACTTCGATCCAGTGGCTGCTTACTTCTCAGCTTTGTCAGCTCATATCAAAATAGGGGGGCAGGAAGGGTTAGTAACACTCCATGGAACGAATATTACTTACAACTTGCATAAAGCCAATTCCGCCTGCATATCAATATACCGAGGCACGGAGAACTTCCGCCGTCTACCCCACTAAAATTTATTTTCACATTTATGATTTTCGATCTCGTCCCCTCCATCCTCTTTCTCACCCGCAACCTCAATCAAACACACTCAACTACCGAGTCACTCTAATCGCAACCCAAAATGCCATCCGTCAAGAACCCCAACGGGCCCTCGAAAAACCGGCTCGTAGCGCGCGCAGCCAAAGCCCGCAAAGCGAACCAGAAGCGCGTAGCCGGGTCTTCGAACAAGAACAACCGAGTCGCAAAGGCAGACGAGAAGCGGGGTGCGCGAACGGGACTATTACCGACGAGCGGGCCGAATGCAGCATTGAGCGCAAAAAAGAGGCGCAAGCTAGAGAAGAAGATGGGGTATGCGCTGAAGCGGAAGATGGAGGCTGATGGGGAGGTCGAGATGAAGGGTATGTATGCGATTGGTTCCCTGGTGTACGACGAGTGTAAAGGGGAGGAAGAGGAGAGATTTGGGTTGCTGACTTTGGGTATAGATGTTTCTCAGGAAAAGACGAAGAAACCTGCGGATGAGGACATGGTGATTGATTCCGAGAATATCTCATAGACGATTGGTTATGGAACTGAAGCACAGGTTGAAAGTAATTCGTACAACGCTTCGCCTTGGATTGTACAGAGGCTACCTCGAGCATCACTGCATGACGGCCTATGCGAAAGAATTCGGCGAATTAGTCGACCTTGTGAAACCCTTTCCTCTTCCAAACAGGGGAAGACAGCTTCGGCAACCTCATCCACATCTTAAGATAATCCACCCTACCAACAGTGTTATATTTGGCGACGTGGATAAGAAGATCTGGGAATTAGGGTTCTGTGTGACCAGACTCCCGAGGCATGATCGAGAGGGAATTTGGAAATCGGTGTACCGCTTGCTACTCGGCACCTAATTTCGCGAGAGTGCTATCTGTACTCCATACATTTACGACGTTGAGTATGAGGCCAAGGGCAGGGAATATGTCCTTTCAATACACCGAAGGTGACAATCGTCATACACCAAGCACTATTGATAGTAATGTCAAATGAAACAAATCCGGCGGATCCATCCCCAAGTGGCCACTTCTCGTCCAAATCATCTGTGAATTCGTGTGTAGATGACCCTTCATCCTTTGCAAAGGTCCTCGATTACTTTCTTGTCACGCGTAAACTTTCGGCTAGCTTGGCGGAAGTTGAGCGTAGGAATATATTCAAAATCGTCCCTCTGTAAAATCTCTTTTATTATGATATACATCGTCTTATAGATATAATATGTTATCTTCGTGTCCACATATACAATTCGTTTCCCCTAGAACTCGGAGCGATTCGCATTCGTCTAAGTCGTGTTGGGTAAATAATAGGTACCTACCTACATTGTTGTAAGCTAAGATTCGTGGAACACGTCGGGCTATTGCTGAATTTCCTTAGGGTTCATCGTCATTAGGTATCTAATAAGAGCTACTTTGCTGCTCTGTAGGTCTTTATTCTAGCCCCGTGGTCCATTGCGAAGCTGCGAGACTTGCAATATCTCCTAGTATGCTTGTAAAAAGTTTAGCGATTAGAAGAGTCTCTTCGAATATGTCCTGTAAAGGTCGTCTGGAGTAGTATCGATTAGGTGTTATTTTTAGAAGATGAAGCTGAGGAACCAGGTGGACCAAGGACGGTGCGCTGTATTAGGTGCCTTAAGTTTATTCAAACAATAAGTAGCATGGTTTCTGTTTCGGCGACCATCGCAATCACAACGGCAGCCGACACCCCCTGGGATCTCATTGGCCCAAGTCTTCTGGACCTCGTTTAACGCTTGCGACTCGGGCAATTGGCCCTCTGGTGCGTTGGCTGGACATTGATAATACCAGTCGTGGCGGTATCCAATATCAGCGAAGTGGTGTACTTGATGTGGTTCGGCAAGCATATTCACGGCGAGTGAATGGACTGCAGCGTCACCCCACCTTTCAAAGTAGAATCCGCCGGTGCGTTCAAGATGCTGGTAGAGATCCTGATATTTAGGTCCGCGGAAGAAATCGAGATCGGCGATCTCGAAGTTGCTCCAATAGTGGCAAAGATTCCAACCATCCCCAGAGCTATCGCGGTGTGAGAACCAACTCAGTAGACTACGGAACGGCCAGGGCATCCAAGACGCATCTACACTCGCTTTCCACAGTGTGGTGCTAGGAATGCCCTGCTTTTCCTTCCAGTCTGACACCTCTCTGAAAAGGCTAGGGCACGTCCGTTTCTCCTCCCAGAGCGATATCGTAAACCCGTACACTTTTTTATGGCGGGCCATTTCGACAAAGGGGTCGTATGTAATCGAGCAGGAGAATTCGACGTCTGGTTCCAGTCGCCAATACCATTTATACTTTTTTAGAGCTTCGATATTGTAGAAACTCCTACACCGCCAATCTTAGCAAGCCTCAACTTCACAACAGAATAGGCGAACCTACCCAGAAAAAAAGCGACACATGTGATGGTATGTCTCCTTTCCAGCGTATAATATTCCACGATCGCCTTGATCTTTTATACTCGCTTGAGCCACGTCCTTGTCCATCCACGACGGGAACGTCCATTCTTCTTTCGGAACGGATTCGAAGAAAGTCGGTGCGCTAGTGGTGGCATTCATGAGGGATATGAATTCTTCGCTCCAGGGCTCATCATTAAGGAACACGATCGGGTAGCGAAACCAGCGGTTAAAGCGCTGCTCGATGCTGCGGACGGAACGGGCCGCTTTCTCTGCCTCCTGGTTGCGCGCGAGCATGACGATGGCAGCATTCTCACGTGGGGTCTCAGGCGGTGTCGCCGGCGGTTCCTGACACGACTCGTAAAAGGGAGTATCGAGTTCGCGCGATGGTACAGGTACTCGGTAGCGAGAAACGTGAAAGGAGACTTCGAGAAGACATGCGACACCCAGGACCCAAAGAACAGGCGACTGAAGCCATCCTCCTCTTCTCCTTCGCAGACGCTGCAGCCGGTGCAGCAGCGACATTCTAAAGAGAAGATTATTGGCTGGCAACTATGGCCAGCTCATGAGTGATATTTTCAAATCAACAATTCGAATCTTTGTCACGAAGCCATTTACACACTCCCTTGATTGTTGATTTCCAGTTCAAATTTAAATGTAACCTTGATTTTTTTAAGTCAAGGGTGTCCCTTATTAAGAAAGTTACGTAGCTACCTGTCAGTGTCGGGCGAATTAGTCTGTTTTTAGCGGTGTTGTGGCACGTGTATCTCTGTAAGACCCCTATTTTAAGCCGAACTTTGCTGCTCCAGGGCTGTCGGTCTGCAATTCTGACGCGTGTCTGGAGCTTACACCCCGTTACAATGATAAAGCGACATTTCATATGATGTATTCCTGCATGATTTCGAATGTACAGCCCCACCAGTACTACGTATGATACAGGCATCAACCTTTAGGTAATAGCTATGACGGATCCGTAGAAAGCAGGAGCTACTTGATTCAATGGTTCTTATTAAGCATTAAGCAATATCAAATCTTAGAACTTCCCATGTTCAACATTAAACTTCATCACCCTAGACCCCAAGAAAGAGGAACATTGAACGATGTTGTTTTGCTAATAAAATACATACCGTTTCATTAACAGATACAAGAGCCGACGCTAGCGAATGCAACCGCGCGTCCGTGCTACATAGTACAGGGATCGCCAAGACCGCCGTTTTTAGGACCCTACCCGTCTCCTTGGTAGTTTTTTCGGACTCGTTGGGGAGGCGCCTGAAAGTTGTTTCTTACCTTACAACGCTCCCAGCATGCATTATGACATGGGATTGCTACGCCGCCGCCGAATTTATTACCTCGTTCCCCTCGTCTTCACCTTCATCCTTCTCAGTCCTCCCCTATGGCCATCCGTAAGACAGTTCGGTGATCACGTACGGCAGACTTTGCCGTTCGCCTACCAATGGAAAGTCCAAGAAGATTTCGTGCCGACCCAACACGAACTCGACTGCCTCCATGGCAAAACCCCGAGATTGAATACCGGCAGCGATGAACAAATAGAACCGATCCCGAATCATGTCCATTTCATATATGGCCTTAGCAATCCGTATAACAAACCTAGTGCCGGCACCTTCGACTTCCTCTGCTACTTAGCTATACGGAGCGCAATTGTGGGAATGAAGGCCGAAAAGATTTCGCTCCACTACACCTACCTCGCAGACCCGCCATCCCCCGAACCAAATGCGTCTCCTTTATCAAACCCGTGGATCCGCCATTTAAAGGATGATATTGAATTAATATATCATTCACCGGAAGAGATGGCCGCGCTGAAGAGTTCACCCGATGCGACCTGGCAAGCCGCCCATGTGTCTGATATTCTCCGACTGAAGCTACTTCAAGAGCAAGGCGGAATCTATATGGACATGGATGCTTTTGGCTTCCGACCCTTTACCAATCTCCTCAAGTCACCGCGCGATATAATATTAGGTCACGAAGGTGGAAACCGCGGAGGTCTGTGTAACGCCATCATGGTTGCCCGAAAAAACAGTTCTTTCATAGCGAGGTGGCTTAGGGAATATAGCGGCGCGGATCTTTCGCAGGAGTGGAACTATCACAGTGTTGTTCTTCCCAAAGAACTTGAGTTAGAACACCCGGACGAGGTCTGCACGTTACCTCCGAATGCTTTCTTTTGGCCGACGTGGACTTGGAGCCATATCGAGTTCATGCATGAACAGCTGAGCTCGGACGAAGCTCGCAAATGGGCCGCTGAGATCGACAAGAATGGTGGTAGTCTCTACGAGGACCAGCTCGCTTACCACGCTTGGAGTCAAATGGCTTGGGAAAGGCATCTGAGCAAGCTGACCCCCGAGGTTGTCAGGAAACGTGACACGAGGTTCAACATGCTTGTACGGGACTTTTTACAGAGTGACTTAGGGCGATCGTGATGATACTGGTCGGATTGGTGGAAGTAATGTTATAGGGTTAAGAAGCGTGATGTTTAATGAGTGATTAGGGTTTTACCTGCTGTTTGTATAAAATTAGCATCCTAAGGAGTTTGGCCAGTGGTGCTTTTAGATCATAATACAGTTATGTTTCTTGGATGACCATTCCGAATTGTTTCTCCAGGCTTCCAGATTTCGATACGTAAATAATTCGCTTGAAGTTCTATTAATCCATAGTAGATATACAGTAACCTGGTTATTTGAGCAGGTGTCATGCCATTGAAATCAATCGTCGCAAGACTACAACTCCACCATAATCACCTATAGGCGTCGCGGCAATAGCCCCCTAAAGCTTACTAGCGCTGAGTTATAATTGGCTAGATTTCACACTTCACTCTTAAAGATCACTGTATAATACATCCCCTAAGAACTTTAATGCCCTAATACCTAGCAGGGCAATCTCACTATGATATTCCGCTTTGTACCTATAAACTAGCCCTGTAGGCTAAATTTGCTGAGACAAATCCGCTAATTCAAATGAACAAGCGGTACATAGATATCTAATAGCATTCATCTTTATACTTGATTATATTATTGTCCGCATCTACAAGAAATTTAGTATAGATTTTTCGGCACTTGCACACCACATAAAGACCAGCACTGCGCGATCTTTGAGATGCTTCCGTGAATGGCTTCCTTGGGCAGTAGTGAACTTTCAACATTAGCAATTTACCTGAGAAATCAGTTCGGAATTGTCCTCTACATGAAGAGATCCACGGGTCTTTGATCACCTAGCCCAACACAGCTCAATCGAACAATACCTTTATGACCTATCTTGTTTTTGGTGGTTAGCAAACGCACAATTGTTTTTATTATTGGTAAACTAAACAAAGAAACAGGTTCTTTCTTTGATTATTATTCGTTTTCGCGGTCGAAATCATTCAAAAGCAGTTGACGAACTTCTCGAAAATCGCAACAGCAAACCTCATTGCATTCTACACTACCACAACTAAAACTAAGAAACCCTATACCCATCATACTCCAAAATGGCAACTCCTTCTAGGGATATCGTGGTGTCTGTCACCAGTAAGATGTCACATCGATATACCTTTGTCCCGAAAGGAAATCCCTACATGACTCTGAACTGTCGAAGGAAGGCACGCGAAGAGGATTATGACGTCTATGTCGTTAAAGATTCCAAGGGGAAGTCGTTGGGGCTTCGTGTGCCAACCGCCATTTTCGAGCAGGTTCAAGAGAAGTTCGAGCAGACACGTGAAAAGCGAGCTCAAAGCGTGAAGCGAACCGACGAGAAGGCGAAAACTGAATTCTCTAACTCGGTTCGCAAGCAGTTCCCTAAGATTCCTGCTGAGGATGTGCCGAAAATCGTGGAGCGGGCGATGGAGAAGCACAGTGGACGAATCGGCCGGACCATGACGTTGGGTATCGGTGAGAAAGCGCGGTTGGGCGTTCGCGCTTACATCCGGCATAAGTACACCGAGTACGACAATCTCCTAAAGAATGGCGTGTCTAGAAATGAGGCCCGAATTCGGATCTACGAAGTCGTTGACAAGATTGTGTCGGAGTGGGGGGGATCATTTCAAGAGGAAATCCCCAAGACGGTGGATTACTCGACTGACGATGTTGGTAAGAAGCTTGCCCAAAGGACTAATCTGAAGAACAGATTCGCTATGAAGTCTCGACTTCGTCTTCGCAAAATGAAGGGGAGATCTGAGAGATCTGCGAGCGCGCCGCCGTTGTTGTAAGGACTGGTCCTATGCTAGATCCAGGTCATCGACTACTTGCTAATTTGATCTTGATAATCGTAAGTACGAGCAGGTAGGTGTCTCTACTATCAGGTCTTGCATGTATCCATGAAGCTATGGGTAGAACCACTACCAGTAAGTCTACCTCATATTTCCCAGTAATTTCATCAGCACCTATGTTTCAACTTTGATTATCCGCGGATTGTTTCGACAGCACTGTTTCTATCGTAGCTTCTGTCCCTACCTACCAACAAATTAATAAATATCCTATGAAGTACCGTACTAGAATTGCTACTAATATCGAAAATAATAGAAATATATATGTGAGTGAATTATTTACAGCAATATGTTCAATTGTGATCCGACAAACCCCCTTAACCTTAGACTACAGGCCAACCACTTGAAAAGTTGATGGTATTCCACCCGAACCGCTTCTGACCATCCGCATAACCAATCGTAGTATCAACATAGTGATAATAGAGAATCTGCGAAACATTAGCGATGGTTCAAGGATAGAATTTAGAGGTATTTCGCTCACAGGTCCATGTTTGGGGTCATTGTACACTCCTTGACCTCCTGGTCCGTAGACAGTTCCATGAGATTGGAGAACAACAGTTCCACCACTGCTAGTACAAGCCTTGCCAGCAGAATCCACGTACCCTCCAGTCGCAGAGGTAGATCTGCAAACCATGATCTTGTACTCATCACCCGCTGCCGGCTTGCTTGTATCGTAACCGCAGCACTTGCCTTTACTGAAAAATAGATAGTAGTAGTTCCCGTTCTTGAATACGAAAGCACCCTCTTCATCAGTTTTAACAGAGTCATAGGCGACTTGGTAGGTGGAAGCGCCGCTTGCTACGGAGCTGGGTGTGCTCGCCATCGGTACTTGGTAGATATTCTTCCAAAAGCTACCGAATGTGATGAGGTAAGTACCGCCAGCATTGATGAGATTGGCATCGATCGCATTGTATGGCTTGCTGGACGAGGATTGGATTCCAGTAGATCCAAGGTCCGTCCAGGTGCCTACATCTAAACTAGAGGATGTTGCGACTCCAATAGCAGAGTTCTGGACGCCGAATGTGCTGACGGAGTAGTACAAGTAGTATGTACTACCCACCAAGGAGACGTCCGGTGCCTATTCCGTAGAGGTTAGTAGAATATCGATGTGGCTCAGCGATAGGATAGACGTACCCAAAGATCTTGATTTCCGGCAAGGTTTATTTTGGAGCCCGAAGGGAGCGCCGCACCTTTGTACGTCCATGGCCCCGTGATGTCCGGAGCTGTGTGAACTGCGATCTTTCCGCCCGTAGAAAAGCGGAAGTAGGTTCCATCTGATCGTCGGATGATAGACGGGTCGTGCGTATTCGTGCAGGTACCTGAGCATGCGCCAGGGTTCGCGTACCCCGACACGGCACCGAGAAAAGGCAGGAAGCCCAAAATCGCGGTAGAGATCCACATCATAATCAATTTCAGCCCTATCACTATTGCTCGATTCTAGAAAGAGAAGTTCTTGGGACAATCGTATATCTGATTCATCAGAAATATATTATCATTAATATACATGTTGACCGGTAACCTCGGCGGGCATCATAGACCCCATGCCTGTGGACTTTCTTAATTAGGGAATCTGGGTATCCAGTTCACGGCCTTTAATTGGAGGAATCATGGCTGGGATTTCACCGTTGAGGAGGGTCTCATCTGATATGCGCACCAGTCAACCAGTAACTTTAACGACACAGCACTTTTTCCGTAACGACACAGCACCTTCCTAATCGGGCTTAGTTCAGCCACACAAATAATCTGCCACAGTGGCTTTCATCGCATCTAAAAACATTAAATCATTAATTTTAGCTTAGTGTATTATCGCTTCGTTTAATTGGTCAAATGACTCGGGTCCGCTTTTTATCAGTTAATGATTGGTCCTGATATAAGTTTTGAGTACTTTGAAGACTATGATTACATAAGCTAGAAGCTGCAGCGGGGTTCATTATGTAATATTCTAATGTCCCATATTGATTACATAATATTTTACTTGAACTTCAATAATTCTTTAAAAATAGTACTAATAATAATAAACTTAGTATCGCTCTATAGGCCTCTTTTCAGCAAATCTAATGATGTAACTTTTATCTAAGTGCATCAGCCTTTCGAACCTGTATCAGGGTCTAGAGTGGACAGGTGAACATTTTGATGGAGTCACGTGACACCCATCGAGCTCAACGCAGTTGCTTATTCATCCACATACACTTCAACGATTAGTTCAACAATTATATAATCTATGAATATATAACTTATATCAATCAATTCATCTCGTCGCGCGCTATATTCCCATATCATTCAATTACTTTTTCTATTTTGTAATGAATTCTTTCGCAAAATTTCAAGATCAGTATCGCAGTGCGCACGCTTATTGGCTGAAAATAAAAGTACACAATACAAATTAGAGTTAGTATGTGAAGCTAAACTGAAAAGGTGCAATTGTGCCAGATTAGGTACTAAGTTGTTGTGTGGCTGTACTAGGCTCGATTAGGAAGGTGCTGTGTCGTTACGGAAAAAGTGCTGTGTCGTTAAAGTTACTGCCAGTCAACGACAATAAGTTGGAATTACGATTGAAGTTATGAATATCGATATCTAGTTCGACAATTTCAATTTAGGAAGCTCTTATGCATTACGATTCTGTACCCATTCACTCCCGTGCTTTAATAATGGCGGAATTTCCAAGTAGCCCCGCGGATGCGGATGAATTTCCATTCCCCTCACTTTCTTGGCGTCGATCCGGAGACCGGGCAATATGCAGATATAAAAAAGCAACTCAAACCAGGTAACTGTGACTGTGAGGTGAGACCTGCATACTTACGAAGTAGTACTTGAAAATTGAATCGTGATTCTGTTCACTTGCCATGATTTTGCAGGGTTTGTTAAATTGATGAATTTAAGTTAATAAACACAGGATGAACTTTATTACGTAATCTCGTACGTATGTCTACCCCATATATTATAATTACCCCTTCTCCTCTTGGAACATAATAATCTTAGAATTTTAAGTGCACGTTTATCGGTATGAATAGGAACAGGAATTCTGAAACATTATTCTGACTGCATTAGTCTAGTTTTAAGACATGAAGCTAATTGCTTTTGACTAGATACACATACTATGTGCTTTCCCTTCCGATATTAAGGTTACTATCGCCTTTCTGATCAGATTTGTCACAGTCAGTACAAATGCCTTTAGAATGATATATGTTAATGGACGAAGCTGAGAAAATGTATTGTTCCTAAGCCTCATGTATGACGTACCTAGTATTGACGCTGAAGACGTCCCTAGAATGGATTTCTATTACCACATATGCACCAATCAAGCAATTCTGCGAGGTATGGGGAGAGCTGAACACAACGTCGATCTTTGACACGAGCATCACAAGGACGAATGAAATGTCTAAATGTATGTATAGGTTCATTTAATATAATTTCTAATGCGGATTTATCATGCCACTCAATGGCCAATATTATTCATAGGAATGACTGATGTCTGTTTTTGTTCTTTATACCATCCAATGAGCATCATCCTCTCTATCGAACATTTCCAGGCGATACAGGTTTCAAGTAAAGATGAAGCTCTGCAATATATGATACTCTGGTTACATTATAGGTAATTTTGACGTTGATAGGTTCATTAACCGTTCATTAACATGCGACTTGAAAATTCTGTCCTGTATCAAGCTGTTAGGTGGACAAGAAGATATGCGGGTAGGTACTACTTAGGTGAGATGTTTTCTCATATATATCAATGACAGTCTTGGAAGGCATCAATACCTACCAGGTAGGTAGATTTATGGCGATCTATTATTCTCGGTGTTTGATGGGGGGATGCATCTACTCAGTCGAATAACTCTCACGGAATTATCATCAGAACAGACCTAGTAAGTATCTACCCAGGTTGTGGGTTGTAGCCCATTGTGTAGCTACTATTAAGGTGCAGAGCATAGGAAATAGACTTGAAAATGAGCAGTCACGGTACACAAAGGCGATCATATGGACCGTATGAATGAAGCCAGAAGGTATGTTGCTGTATCAAGTATCAAAATGAATGCTAAAAAGTATGCCCAGCCGAGCATGTTCAGCTAATATCTCGATAATATGCCCTCCTACGTCTTTAATAGGTTATAAGACGCCTTGTAGGGTTGCGGAACCAAAGTAATAGGCCTCTCGTATGGCCAATATCCATTCGTTAATCTCCATACGCCGAGAATATTGAAAATAATCGTCAGTTTCCTCATCACTTGATCATCATTTCATAACAAGAGGCTGGCACACCGCCATTATTATTTCTCGCGACTTGGAGAGGATGCAGCGATATATGTATGATCAGCTTTCAGCTTCGCTGCATGATACTCCTGAGCTTCTTTCGGATCCTCATGCAAAGAATCAACATATGTATCCGCCGATGAAAATAGCAAAGATCTGAGCATAGAGTGTGTAAGTCTATGAATCTCATATTCCAAAGTCCCTGCCCCATCGTGTATATAATCCCGTGAAGTCCCCGGTTCCCTTTTAATATAACCTACACGATAACAACAAGACAAACACCAGAATCAACAATCTTCCAACAGCACCACTATACACATTTCCAACATCTACACATCATGGCATCCTTCCAATCCCTAGACGGTGCCGTCGTCAGCTTCCTGAACTATGGAACTGGCACTGCTATTGATCTAACTAAAGGTAAAATTTCCTTCTCTTCCCCGCCCCTTTGCCTTTCGTGATAAATACCTAACCATCGTGTGAAGGGGGTAAACAGGATGGCACACCTGTCATCGGGTACGAATACCACGGTGGAGAGAACCAGAAGTGGAAGCTTCAGAAAGTAGACAAAAGCACCGTCTGGCCAACCTTCACGATCCGAAATGTGCAGGCCGACAGTAAGTAAAATCTCTGTCATAGCTAAAATCGGGGTTTGAGATTGACATCGTAACAGCCAACCTGGACCTCTACCAGGGTGGAAAGGAGGACGGAACTAAGATCACTGGCTGGGCAGGTCCTGCGACGGAGAATATCAATTCTCATCAGCTCTGGTACTTCGTCACCGCTGATGATGCCGGTACTGTGTTTATGTACGTCTGTCTTATCCCATGAGAATCCCCATTGCTAACGTGTGTAGGATCCAAAACGTTGGAACTGGCACCTTTGTCGATCTCCTCAATGGCAACGCGGCCAATTCGTAAGTTGTCCTAAAGCACTACCATGAATCTTTCTTGAATGCAGAATGTTGACCTGATCGGAATAGGACTGAAATCTCGGGCTGGGGAGGATACGTGCAGAACAAGAACCCCCACCAGCTTTGGCGCGTCGTTCGCCACTGAAATTTCCCACAATAAGGGAACGTGGTTGCGTCTATCTTTGTCAGAAGTAGAGACCAAAGATTCACGATAATAGGAGAGAATGAATGTCGTGTCAGGAGAATTGAAGGCATGCTCGAGGGTTTAAGTCGGGTGAAATGGATCACTGGGAGCAGGAAATCTATTTTATAGCTTTAAGTAGCTAGCTCACTCTCTTTAGGTAGTAGGTAGTTGTTATCGTCTCCAAATACAACGCTCATTCACTTCCTGTACCGATCCATACAGAAATCTGCGAACTTTCATCGATGAACTAGTGTCCATGCGGAATGACATATCATAATCCCTCCCATTTATGTTGAGCGAGGTTCTCTTCGCGGAACATCTCAATACGCTTGATCTAATGTATTCTTAATCAGAATTATTTAGCGTCGTTGGAGCCAAGTGTTATTATGGTAACAGTAGGATTGCCTACAACAAAGATGGGTTGGCGAAATTCAACTGCAGCTTTTAATAGAGTAAACTACCTAACAACCTTAGGCTTGTTAATTATCCATATCTCAACCGACTAAAAAAATAGGTAAGCTTATTCACAGGAGGTCCTGGGCGTAATTCTGGGCGCCAATGTTTGTAAACGACAAAGTCAGGATTCAAGGGTGAAGTGTTACACAAGCCACAAAGAATAAGGGGAGGGGGCGCATAGCAAAGTCGTGAACAGGATCCAGTGTGTCGATTACTACAGAGCACAGTTCAATTTCCGAAGGGGCTAAACCATATGATGTATGAGATGCTACCTATTGTTAGACGAGCCCAGATTTGGAGACATAATTGACTTATCTACCTACCTAAGTAGGTACGAGACCCATGTAGTTTTAATGCTGCGCCACAGGGGGAGCGCACGTTCTGAAGCTTGCGGGACCTGGTAAACTCGGCCGGGACTTCAAAAAGCTGCAGATGCATCGCGTGTTCGTGGGCTGAAGATATCTCGGTTTGTTTCGTTTCTTCCATCACTTACCTGCAGATAAAACATGCGACTTGAGAAGAATAACGCCTCTTTAAGAATCAATCTCGTTTTAACTTACTACACGGTCAAGGGGTTCTGCAGTCCAAATATAGTCATTTCGCGGGCTGAGGAAGAATCCTTCAGAGCCATATCTTGGCGAAGATGGTTCTAAGACCGGCCGTTTCTGAAAGATGAACGTACCGCCAGCAAACAGATTTCCATGCCCTGAAACAAATTTCCTAATCAGGGTAATATTAGAACATACTGAAAGGATGAAGGGCAGAAAGGTAAACATTTATCTACCTAGGAGCCTGTCGCTCAATACCACAACGAGACTCATGCTTTCGCAACTACTCTTGGCATATTGTTACTAATAGCTAATTTATCCTAATACGGAATATTATCCACAAAACAGGCCGCACCGGAATACATCGGGACTCAATGGGCACTTCAATATGGCAGTTCTTGAAAGCGATATCACTTGCGGTGGTGCTCGTACAATACGGTGTCCAAGGGCAGTCGTCGAGTGATAGCAAGGAAACTAGTAAAACTACGAGTTCGCCATCTATGATCATTACCGGAGACCCATTCCAAGGGTTCGTCATTGCCGACAGAATAAGTACGTAGATTCATGTTCCTGAATATTGTACCTCTATCTAAAATCATGGACACATGGAGCTAACAAGGGCTGCCTAGCTACGCCTGTCTCGTGTCCTAGTGGTGAGGTGTTCGTCACGTCCGCGAAATATGTGGCCTGTTGTGTTACGACAGATTCATCATGCGCATTCGCGACAGCCTGTAAGGAAAACGCAGTCGTATATCAGAACAGCAAGGCGTCAGACTGGTAAGTTTTTACATCTGAACACCTGAAGCGCATTTTGATCATTGACTCTAAAAAGCGGCCCATCACAATGTTATATGCGACAAATATACTCGGCATATGGGGACAAGGAGCCGGCTTTCACACAGCCGATCTGTGCTGGTGCTGAGGAGAAAGTAAAGTTATATCAAGCGGTGCCAATGACATCAAGGTTGATTTTGCCACTAGTTGCTGTTGATGCCACCATGGCCGCAACAATGGATGTCTCGCCAATAGAAACAGGTCCGGCCGCACCGACGAACGAGAGTAGCAACCCCTCACCATCGAATCTCAATCCCACTATCCTCGGTGCTGTATTCGGAGGCATAGGCGGCTTAGCGCTAATAGTTTTCGCGTTTTGGTATGGGCGAAAACAGGGGATCGAGAAGAGAGCTTCGAAGGGTAAAAGCGTATATGAAATGAAAACGTTCTCGGCGACGCAAACTCCAGAGAACATCTCATCCGTTAGCTTTGAGGCAAACCCGAGACTGGGGCCCTCGAAGATATCTGGGCCATCCGCAATAGCGGGAACACTCAACAGGTGACGCTGGTGGTACTTGACGAAGGTGTTCACTTGTGATAAGGATGTAAAAAGAGATAACTTTTGTATATTATTCCAAAAAATGCTAATATTCTGGCAATACTGCTCAATTTCGGATTATGTGGCGCCGTGTATATACCTCATTTACCGCGATGCAGTTCTCATACCTTGTGATAGTTGACGAAAGTAATGTGTCTACTAAGACGGGAGGAAAAGAATGGACTCGAAGATAATGTCTTCGTCATTTGAGGCTGCCTCTTAACCAAATAACCAGTTAAACCACTTGGAAAAGACATTGCTAATCTGTTCAGTTATGACGTCTTAGATGGCGGAGGGAGTAGACTTACCTCGGTGGTGACGGGATGAATTTGTTTGTGTAGTCTTCGACAGCAGCAACATCTCTGCGCAAATCGACTTCATAGGGTCTATGAAATCTCGTCTTGTGGACTACCTTCCAGCCAATGAAAAGGAGCGGGCACACACCAATCATCGTGTAACTATCCGCATTAGTTGTGATTCGTCAATTGTAGAAGTTTCGGGATATCGGACTTACGAGAATAGGAATGTCGGCACATCCCACTTCCCCGGCAAGAAAACCGTATAGCCGCCTATAAACGTCATAATAAATGTCGCGAACAACCCGAAATAGGCGGCATACGGCTGTAAGAGACCCTTGTATGGTAGAGAATCTCTGCTAATTCCCTGTACCTTCAGCGCTCGATGAAAGCAGATGTACGTAACGCACATGACACTGAAATTGATCAGTTGCGACGCGGTTACGAGGCTGACGAACCAACTAAGGACGACAGCAGCGTTCTCGCTCACTTGAAGGAATGCAAGTAGCGCAATGATCAAGACAAGTAATACGCAATAGACGGGAACGCCTCTTCCTGTGCACTTCGTTAAGAATCTCGGTGCTTTGCCCTCGAGAGCTAGTCCGTAGAGCGATCGGGATGCGCAGTATACATAGCTATTGCCGGCAGAAAAGGCGGCTGTCAATACCATAGCATTGATGATGTGTGGTAATATTGGGATTCCGAGTCGGTTCATCGCGACGACATACGGTGAAGCTGCTGCGCCCGGCTCGGAATTAGCGAAGGCATGCGTCAATTCAGCGTCGTCGTACGGAACTAGGATCCCTACACACAAGGAGCCGAGCATGAAAAATGTGGTTAACCGATAAAATACGGCATTAAAAGCTTTGGGCATGACCACACGAGGATTCTCTGCTTCGCCAGCAGCCATTGAGACGTAGTCAGGACCGGCAATCGTGAAAGAAGCTTGGATCAAGCATTGCATGAAACCCATAAATTTTCCAAGAGAACCGGTCGTGTAATACTCAGCGAACGACCCGGGCTCGTACCAATACCGAAAGCCAAACCGGTCGTGAAGAGGATTACCGCCTACCATGACAATAAAAGTGAATATGATTAACCCGACGATAAGTAAGACCTTGCCGAGGGCCGCCCAGAACTCAGTCTCGCCATACCATTTCACAGCCAGGAGATTGATTAGTGCATACAGCACCAGGACAATCGCGATAATTCCACCGGCAGGTACAATATCACTCCAGTAGTGAATAACCACATTGCATGCTGTTACCTCGAATGGCACGAGCGCAGCCTCGAAGATGAAAAAGTTCCAACCGGCAGCGAAGCCAAAGGCCTCATCCACATAGCGACCAGCGAAACGAATCTGATGTACCGAAACCGAGGGTTGTCAGTATCTTTTTACGTCCATTTCTAACACGTGATCGGAAATCGTATGCCAATTTTTAGCAGGTGAAAATTATTTTTACTTACTGCCATGTTGTTAGCTATCAGACTATGACATTTTCGGAATCGTTCGATAATTTTAATATTAAATTTTTGAATTGAAAAAATATTTCGCACGTACCAAATGGTGAGGAGATGGGCAGATATGTGACCATCTCGGCCATAGACATTGTTATGGCAAGAATTACCGCACACCATAGCGAGAAGGCGATAAAGAGGCTTCCCGGTCCGCCCTGCAGAAGACCTTTTCCAATTTGGACACTGTAAAATCGAAGTTAGAAATTCGTTCTTAAAGAAAGCTCTAGAAATTCTAGAAATTCTAGAAGTTTTAAGCATGTCTCGAGAGCCAAAACTCATTGGTCAGCTCGATTGAGTAGTTTTCGCTCTTAATACAAGCCAAAAACGAGAAAAAAGAGTCCTCGATATTACGTACTAGAGAGCAGTGCCAATGGTTCCACCAATACCTATCAATTGGATGTGGCGGGGCTTCAGTTTCCGATGAGTGCCGTCGCTGTCGTTAACCGTGGTGAGGGACTCGATATGGCTGCCCCGGCGACCGAGGGTGATTTTCTCAGGATCTGTGACATCATTCCCAGCCACGTAGCTGGGCGGTGAGGCTGTCGAGTATTCGACACCGGAAGATGCCATGGTTGGTTTTGGTTGTCTTAAACCAGGTGCAGACTTCAACTAGCGGGAAGCCGATTGCTCGAGACTGCGTTCAGTCCGCGGAAAATTCCTTTAAGTAGAAGACAAAAGAACTCGGCTATGAATTCCATAGGTGATAGCTGTTGGAAGTGACTCTCGCGGAGCGAAGATAGTCCCAGCTGGGCTTATGCGACTTTGGTGAGATCAGCCAGTCAGCGAGAAAAGAAATACAATGTAACAACAAAAACGCCAAAGCCCAACAGAAGGATGATTCTCACTTGCGCGGCCTTTAATAGGTGAGTAGATAAGATAGCGACAATTCCGGAGCCTTGGTTCTAGTCTTGATCTGGGAACGTGTAACCCAGTCAGAGACAAGGATTCAAACCAACAGATGTGAGTGGTGATTGGTGGTTAGCGATCGGACAAGGGTCGAAATATCAACGCCATGGACGCCAATGCATGCGAGAAACCAGTTGCTGCTGAGGATTGACGGCAGGCTAGCCAGGAACCCATAGATAAGCGTGGGTGAATCGCCCATCTACTGTGCGGCACAGTGACATCTCTATGATGGTGGCGGGAGTGACCGAGGAATAAAATATTACATCAGCACTTCTCGCATACTAGGTGCCGAAAGGTAGTGAAATTGGTGAGATTTCGCCGCTAACCGATTTGAAAATGGGTGTTGTTAGTAGCTGAATAGCCCCGAATTCCATAAACGTTACCGATCCGTGTTAGTAGGTAGGTACAGTACCTAACAACAGAAAGTGATGTCGTGCCGATTTTATTGTTACCGGAAAGCCGCATATCGGGGCTGTCTGCGTCCAGCGAATAAGGTGGCGAGCTAATCCTGGAAAGACCGTGGCTTGGACCTTGTCGTATGCATACGACTCAGGAAAAAGCGGCTTTTCCTACAAGGAACGCTCATTGACTGTCGGTCAGTTCAATGTGACCTCGGGCGGTACCCGATCTCCGATTTATTTCTTATTACCCTTATCCGATGATAATAATCATAGGTAATAGGTAGTGTACGAATTATAAGATATAATGCTGGACGGGTCAAGTTGTGTTTATTTCTCTTAACCGAGGCATTCGGGGCTAATCTTGGTCCAGTCGTATCCGACTTTCCGCGCGTGGGTTAAGATGTGGGCTGAGCCGCCTAGGGAATTGGCATACCCACGCTAAAGACGCCTAGTTTTAATCGTTCCCCAGACTAACAGGCTTGACAGGGTCATTGAGGAATCGTTCAAAAGACATCCTGGATGTCACAAACGCGGAGAATCCTAGTGTGGGTCGTGACGAACTTGGCGTCCCCTCTTCAACATCCTCTTCGACATCATCCCTCGTCCCGCCGTCATCCTTACAACTCCGACTAGTAGTTCCTTGGCTTAACTGTCGTTCTAATTGATCATCCGCCGTAGACGAGAAAACCGACTCCCGCCGACCGGAGAGTACATTTCCAACAGCTTCACCGATCGTAGACGCGATATCCCTCGAGTGGAATAAGATTCCTAATTCTTGGCTAGTAAACCAACTTGCGCGATCCATCTACAGCACATCAGGTTAGCATATCCACCGTACAAATATGTCGGTTATTAGCGAGGATAAAGAAGGCTTGCAAGGATTAGACCGCGGAATACAGAAGTTACTCACGTTTCCGGACCCGAGAACAACATATTGACCATCTACGAGAGTGAGCTTCAGGTGCGACTGTACTGGCTCTTCAGCTGTTCCGTCTTCTTTGCACTCCGCCTGGCTTTCAGCGTCCGGACAATAATAGTCGATATTCAAAAGCCCGAGTGGAGGCCGTTGTGCTTCGATATCAGGGTCAACACTGGCCTTGGACCTGGATTGTTCGGCCTCAAGCTTTTTATATCTCCGAATCAACGATCCAACACAGAGGGAAGTCGTGGTGCCGGCTGTGATGAGTTGTTCTAGAATCATCAACCTCTTGCTAGTCACTATGGCCACATTGACACCCCGCTTTAAAGCTTCGAGGAGTTTATCAATAACCGCCCAAGAGGTTAAGTTAGGTGTTTGAATGTAGATGAAATGTTCTGCCAGGTTTAATAACCGTAACACCGCTTGATTGAGAGGTGTTGAAGGTGGCAACGGCGAGTCACGCCACGGAAAAATGTCGAACCTTGGATTCCGGTGATGGGAAGACGGTAATAACATGGTCGGGGTTTCACGTCCTGGAAAAAAGGTATTGTAATAACTGACGGGGCTTGGCACGATGGGTAACTCAAGTTCGCCTAAGTTAAGAGGGTTGGCAGATCCATCGTCTGGAATATCCCTAGTCGTAAGTTGCTCAAGTTGCCCATCCCAGACATGCCGGTAAAACTTGACTAAACCAGCCACAGCTTTTCCAGTTATTTCGACACACCCTTCAAGCCATGCCTCCCAACTCACATTACAGCTGGGAAGCCAAGCTCTCTCGCGATCGACGATGAGAAATTTGGGGTGCATTACGCTGAAAGGCAAGAAGAATAAACTCTTCACACGTAAATCGATACGCCCAGCCTTGAGAGTTTCTTGACTCGGCAGGCCAAGTTGCGTTGACCATGTCGACGGCGGGTATACGTATCCATCTTTAGACGTTGTGTGAAAGAGCTTCTGGAACAGAGACCGTGACGAAAAGCAGATACGTATTCTCAGAGGCGATAAAGATTGATCGTCTGAGTCAGATGTACGGATGTATTCGTGACGCGCTTCAGCCAGCTGCTCTAAGGCGTCTTTTATTGCAGACAGGGTTGGAGAAGGCGCCCAGAAACAAGTGACGAGAATAATTTCATATTTGGCTTCCAGTATTGCCGGTATCAATGATTGTGTATATATAGACGCGCCCGTGCCCAGTTGAAAAGAGCGCACTTGAGAAGAGGTCACTAAAGAGCTCGGGTTACGAACATGATAATCTGGAAATTCGTCGCTCGATGCCGCGGCATTTTCTATAAGCGAGTCTCTCCAGGTCTCCTTGAATCTAGGGAATGAGTCAAATGTGATGTAAGGTTTTCTAGGTTCTGTTGAGCCCGCACAGTCCATCATGCGGATATAGAAGTCAGTTTTAGACGCGCCAGCTAATGGATCGAGTCTATTAATGAATCTTTGTTCACGTAAATAAGGTCGTTATTGATTGGATAAAATGGGTAAAGATCGATTAATTGACTAGGAAAATAATAAAGAATGAGGCTTTAGGAAGCCCGAGTATTATTTTCCATGTCTAGGACTGCCTTAGGACTTTAAGAAGACGTCCTTGTTGATGGATTTGCTCCATTGAGAAGCATACCGCGATGAGATTCGGAGGCCTTCAGGGGGCTTTTGCGGTGAACAATTACAGAGAATCGAGGCACTCTAAGCCACGTGTCATGTGACAAATGCCCCTCTAGCCCCTCTTGATTTAAGGTTGCCACCCCACTTTCCTAATATGATAGACTAGTGGATATTGGTAGTGGGGTCATGGAAATGTCCCGAGTCGATGACATCGATGACTCCATTTTAATTCGTTTCAATTTCAAACTTAACATCTTCAACATCATCAGTGTCTTCTTCATAACTTGCTCGATTCAAAACAAGTTATAATTCAAAACTACCTAGTACATATTCTTTAATATTGTATTAAACTATGTCCTTTACATCTTCTACATATAGTACTTCCGTTTATGTACACGCGAATGTCGACTCTTACACTTAAAATATCCACGCTACACAAGCTCGGAGTTCTGCGCCGGACTAATCGATACTGGGTAGTAGAATAACTCGTGGGGGTCAAGATCTGCCTTTAGTTGTTGCAACTTGGCAAGGTTTTCGCCCCAGTACATCTCCTGCGCCTTCGTTCGGTTCAAGTTTGTGTCGGGGTAGTTAAAGTACATTCCCCAGTCGGATGCCGTTAGAGGAGTCGTCGTGGCTGATGCCCAGTCGTTGATAAATTTGAACCCGTCTTCCGGAGCGCCAGTTGTCGTGATGTAAAACTGGAGGATATACATCTTGTCGCGATGCGCATAAGACGTCTTTTTCGAGTCAACTTTCCAGACCGCCGAATTCTTGCCTCCATGGATATCCAGCTGAATATACCAGTGTGCTGTTTCTTTCTTGGCTACATTGAACAAATAGTCGGAAAATCCCTTTGCTGAAGTCCCGTTCAAACCCTTAAGTTCAAGACTTTTACCGTAGAAATTCTCTTGCTACGACGAAGTCAGTTCCGGTCCACCGTGTCAGACTATTAGGTATGTTTACTCACCACTTGTGTGTAAGGGTAAGTCTGATTTAGTTTCATAGTAGCGAAATGCTCAAGACCCTTGAGCCAAGTGACTGTCTGGGCAACGGCTAATGTGCCTCCAGTCTTGTTTAATAGTGGCGCGAGCGCAGCTTCGAGGTCGGTCTTGTTGCCATGGTAAGAACCCTCTAGCTGGGTAAATTGGCGCGTAGCATAAAGACGCATGTTCAGCTCGGCCGGCTGAGTATTCATAGCGAAATCTTCCAGCGCTTCCAACACAGCAACGGATGTGTTCTGTTTCAACGGCAGGTTTACTACGAACCATGTAACATTTGCGGGAGGCTCAAATGTGTTGAGCTCATAACTCGTGACGACGCCGAAATTCGACCCCGCGCCGAGCAAGCCCCAATAAACATCCTTATTTTCGGTTTCCGAGGCATGGATAAGTGATCCGTTTGCCAAGACAACATTCATTCCAGCTACCCAGTCTAGTGCTAGACCTCGTGTGTGGGAGCTCATACCAAATCCGCCATGTAGGACATGGCCGGAGATACCAACACTAATCTGTTAGCTTGTTTATCGGCCTCGACTTCGATTTAACTCACCCGGGACAAGTTCCGTGGGATATAGCGCGGTTTCCTTGGGCGAATAGCTCTGCTGCTAGATGGCCAAGTCTTGTTCCCGAATCCACAGTCGCGATATTCGTCTTCGTATCCAATACGACAGAATTCATACGATCAAGCTCAATGACGAGATGACCGTCCTCCCCACCAAGACCCAGAGAGGCATAGCTGTGTCCCCCGCCCTTCGCAGTAACTTTGTATCCTAGCTTCGAGCCACATGCCACGGCACTCTGTATCTGTTCCACCGTAGTTGGTACTGCAATAGCGGCCGGTTGAAACTGCAGACGCTTGTTGAAAGGTGTGATATCACGATTGTAGTCATCAGAACCGACTTCATCCACAACAGTTCTGCTACCCGAAAGACAATCCTCCAAAGCAGCGCGTCTGTTGAGGAGAGCGCCTTGGGCGAGGCTAGCCATCAGCCCAAGACATAAAGTAGCTGTTGAATACATCTTGTCATCAGCCCTGAGGATAAATGATACTCGTAACTGAGCTGAGATGACACCAAGATGTTCTATGACGTCCCGATCGTCTAAATCACCAGCTTCCTTCGGAGATTATTATATCCTCTACTCGGCCAATTCCGCTTCGAAAGACTAGAGATTCTCGAACGACTTGTCGAACCATTTCACGATTGTATCACAGGCTGCTGTTTATACCTAACTTATAGCGGACGTACAGTTGAGGACGATAGGGCTAAATGACCCGATATTTTAATTTCGAACACCCTTGGCTGTTCAATTCGGGAGTTCCAAGCTCCCTACTACGGATGTCCCCGTGGATTGACCGAGAAATATCAGATCTATCTCACAGAATGACGGAAACGTAAGAATTTTGGCCCGTGCGAGGCTCGCTCTCCCAGCGCCAGTGGGCATGGGGTAGATCTTCTCGGTATCTCGCAATCTTAACTTGTTTGGATTACGATATCATATACAGCCTATATAAAAGGACATAGTTCATAACATTTATGTGGCACCTAATTAGACGCAGCAACTAATGATAGCGCTTAGATTCGAACATCTCCACGCGGTTAGATGCAAGTCGAACCACCTCTCGATGTTAACTATCAATACACTAAACAGACATACCCTGCTCATTTCTCGGGATGATTCAACTGCGGCAACACTCCTCGTAGACGCATCTAAAACAAGCGCGCTGAGGTATCGGATGGATGATCGAAACTCGGCAAGTCGGGTATGAAGAGGCGGCTTACAACCAGGATTTACTAGATCGGTGCCCCATAAGGCTGGCCCACTCATATGATCTCACGGAAGATGATGCGCCATATTGGCAAGGCTCTCGATAGCGAACGGCCTATACGGTGATAATTGCCGGCGTCTAGCTAGATGGAACTACAGACGAGGTCGTCAAAAGTCAACTTGCGATGGGTCCATCCGTACTGCGGCTAGCTGCAAATCAAACACATCTGGACATATATGGAAAATTTCTTAGGTCACGCGTCAACTATGTTTAGGTCGGGGTGCATAATCTCTCGCTTAGATATAGGGTTTTAAGCGCCGACTGCATATTGTGAGCTTATACTCGAAAACGAAAACGAACCACTTCAATTAGGGACACGTTATTTCCCCATGTTCTGACTGTCCATCAGGACGCAGGACCGTTCCTCCGGGATCGTCGCAGAGAGTGTGGGGGACATCTGGGGTATCGTCGCATTGAACGATGTACGAAGAGTCCTCCAGCCAACGAAATTATTCCCTCGAAATTTTTAATATGTCTAGGGTATACAGGTAGAGTATCCAGACGCCACAGACGCGGTGTTGAGCCAATTAGCCTTAAAGGCCCCTGCCGAGCGTAATTCCTCCTGTCCGGAGCGTCGCACAATCGGGAAGATCATCCGGGACGTTGCCCTTTGCGCTCGCGGAGCTAAGAGGACATTCGGTTTTTCGTAGCAGCAATATGTTCGCGACAACTTTCCCCGGACCCGCTAATCACGACATCGCCTTTTGAGGCTGTAAGATTGGAATGTTACTCCCTTCTGTTGCAGTTGACTCCCAGCACCCGGATCCTTACGGTGGGAGACGATCATCTCAAAGGTGAATATGTTCGCATCGCCTTTGAAAGATCCATTGTTTAATTCGTATCCTTTACCTTCGCTCAATCTACTTTCGTTCAGCCCGTCCCCTTGGTACTCTCTGTAAGATAGGTCTAGTCTGCCATGGCGTCCTTCAAGACGTTGATCTTAGGAACGCTCGGCCTTGTACCGGAGGTTCTCGGAGCCAATCTTCTTGCATCGCACTACACTGGCAAGATCTTCTCGCTTTCCTACACAGACGGTGATGTCAATGCCACATTGGTCAATCAATCATCGATAGGAGGATGTGGTACTCTTCCTGCTTGGCTACATGTGAACTCGAACTCGACACTCGTCTATTGTGTTGACGAGGATTGGAATGGAAGTGGTATGCTCTCATCCTATTCTATAGGGTCGGATGGAAGCTTGAAGCAGACTGGACGAGCTATCACCGCCGGCGCTAGTGTCCATGGCTCGCCCTTTGGTAGTGGAAAGGAGGATGGCTACGGTTTCATTGCTACGGTTCAATAGTAAGTATTGATTACCTATCGATGTTTTATCCCCACCCACCTAGGTATATAAAAATTTCTAAACACTAACAATCACTACAGCGACCCATCAACCTTGTCAACCTATAAGCTCCCTCTGAACAATGCATCAACTATCGCTCAGAAGCTACAGTTCAACATGTCCGAACCCGGCCCCAACGCCCGACAAAACGCACCTCACCCGCATGCCGCCCAACTTGACCCAACGGGACGATACCTAATCGTACCAGACTTAGGCGCGGACTTCATCCGCATTTTCAGCATCAACGCCGAAACAGGCAATCTCACACAATGCGAACCCGGCAAGGCCGACCCAGGCGACGGGCCGCGCCACGGTGCCTGGTGGGCCCCTCACTCCGGATCCACCCTCGGCCAGAGACTCTACACGGTGAACGAACTAGGCAACTCAGTCTCATCCTGGATCGCAACCTACCCAGACGAAGGGTGCCTCACCCTAACGAAGACACAGACAATTTCTACCTACGCTGAGGGCAGCAGTGCGCCCAACGGATCCAAAGCCGCCGAGGTCCAAGTCTCTGGCAACTTCCTGTACGCGGCGAACCGCGCGGACGAGACCTTCGGCCCCCAGAACGATTCTATCGCTACCTACAGCATCGACCCTACCTCCGGCGACATCAAATGGGTTGAGGCCACCCCCGCGCACGCCTGGTTCCCCCGCACCTTCTCCATTAATAAGGCGGGTACCCTCGTCGCTGTCGGTGGTCAGACTAGTAGTAATGTGGCTATCATCGCGCGAGATCCCGAGACGGGAAAGCTGGGTGATCTTGTGACGAGCTTGCCGATTGCGACGCCGGGTACGCCGCAGCAGGAGGATGGGCTTAGTGCTGTTGTTTGGATTGAGTAGGTTGACTGGGTGAGAGAGGGGTTGGTAGATAAAATGGTGTTGTGGAGATGGTAGATGGAGATGGGAGGTGGAGATGGGGCAGCACAGGTATGTTTCACTTATAGGCTCCAAAAATTGTACATATTCTAAATTTAAAGTATTATTTTTGTCGTATACATACATATGTATCCCTGGATACCAACACCTGTGGGCTCTCTGGGTTATCATACATGCTACTTAGGTAGATTATGACGGGACTTGCGATACCTCTACCTTTCCTCTGCGGACCTATTGGGTCTTGGTCGTGCGCCCCGGCATTGCGGGTGAGAAGAAACAGGTGAAAAAACAATATTTCCAACAGTTGTAACGAGATGAAACTTTCGTTCTGTGCTCGTAAATGGGCGGTCAGACGAGTTCTGCTTAACCCCAGCATGTGATTATGAATGGAACGGGATACGGTTATCTTGATTTCTCTCATTCTCTCACAGTGGTGGGTCAGGACGTCGTCTATTGCAAATATTAGCTCGTTCGGTTGATGACTGCCGTGCCTTTATCTTACAGTTCCCCTGTTCCTAGGTACCTGATATTGTGGTAAAATGTTTAAACACTTGATTTTTGACTGTTAATACCAATGGTATAATGAAGGGTGAATTTGAAGAAACATGGGCCCTTGGTCCATTCGAGTTCTATCCCGAAATCTTAATTGGGATCGTCGTCCTCGAATGACTGTGAGGCCTTTTCTAGGTAGACAACAAGTTGAAATTCGTCGGCTCGGGACACATTGGCAATCGCCGTATTGGGTATTGCGGGCGATCGGTCTTCGGTTGGTACCTATGTTATTCAAAATGAGGAAGAAAAGGAGGAAACCTAATCTAGGATCTTCAGTACCTAAATAGCCACCTTTGCAGTTTGTCACCAAGATTTCCATTGTAATTGCTCGACGATTGAAGATAACGTAGACACGTGGGTAGGTATAACGAAGCAGTCAAAGTCTTGCAGCCCTACACTTTAAGACATTTCATAGTGACCTTAGCGAGACAGAGAGTAGAAGATAGGAGAAGGTTATTCGTTATTAAATGAACTACAGCCGTTTAACAAGCGTAAAGCCCGTAATGAGAATTTGATGAGTGTTGTATATATATAACTCGAACTGAAGGAAGTCTCTATATGTAGGTAGGTATAAGGTGCGAGGCCCTGATTAGCTAGGTAGGTATAGCACCTTATGATAATTTAAGCGATGTAAAGCTCAGATGCATGTGGTTTAAATAGACATCTTAATCGTCTCTACATCATGAGTTGATTGATGGTGTGTTAGTCATCGGTAATAAACCCCTGGTTTTTCATGAATGTACTTAGGTATGAAACTGACTAAAAACAAATATATAAGTGCGGTGCGCACCATCAACAATTGATCTTCGCACTTGATAGAACCCATATGACTCTTTAGTAAAGGAGTGATCGATTGACTCATAGTGGCTTTAGTTAGTTTCCTAAGGGGGCAGACATTCATGGATATATCTCTACCCCTTGAGTCATGATAAAACACTATCCTCTAATATACCCGTTTAACCACCGTTGACCACTCCGGATGACGACGGAATCAATCTCGTAACGGGTTTAAATATAAAACTGATAGGGAATACAATACTAGGTGTCCGTCTCAAGGCACCTTAACCAAATCTAGTCTCAAATATACTCGGCTGCTATTCGCAAGACCATCATCCCTGTCAATATCTAACATGAACCCGTGAATCGTGTAGCGCGGTTCGTCCGAAGCCTACCTGTGAGAATGCCAACCCATACCAGAATTACCACACCTTATAAAAGCCATTTTTAACTCCGCGAATGCACTCTCCCTTAAACTGTCCCGCTGATACTAAGTTCCCGAATCTCTTGCAGTACCTGTTCCACCCTTGAGTCCAAATCACCTTGAGCGTACTGCTCCCTAGTGTCCGCGTCTAGGTATTGTTGGACTTGCGCCATCCTGCTGTATGCCTCGGCACAGAACCGAAGTTGAATCTTGACGAGCGCTTCGAAGCTGGGGTCGAGATATGGTACTCGGAGGTCGATGAGTTGAGGTAGTTCAGTGGATAGCTGCTCGTTGAGCTGTTCGTACGCGGCCCTTGCGATTTCCATCTCCTTCTCAGTGCGTGGGAGTTTCGTGACATCCTTGTCAGGCTTCTCGGCTAGCTTTTTGACCTTCGCCCGTAGCGCATCGTAGTCTAGAAGTTTATGGCCACGTTTCTTGATACCTATATATTGTATGAGTTGTAGAATCAAACGCCGAGGACGCGAAGACCTTACATTCGTTAACGTCAGGGAAATATGCGCAGAATTTGGTGATGGGCTCCAAGACCGTTGTTCTATAGGGACCGTCAAGAGCTTTTATGGTTTCGGAATCTAGGTCCTCCACAGCTTGTTTATAACTCCGGCTGACGCCGTCCTTAGCTCCAGCGTCACCATAAAATGCATCTATTGTCTCGGCTATGCGCATCTGCGAAGCGGTCATGGCTGCGGATAATATTTAGCAAAGGGCCCTATCCGCATCGTATAGGCCCTATCGGAATAAACTAACCTCGTATCGAATCTAGGTATCCTCTTGCTTCCTTCTGAAGACGTAGTGAAGCAGCCTCCATTGTCTTAAATCGTCTCTCTTCGACCTCGTAATCGCGATCGTTCGTTTTCTCGACATGGCCTGTCTTCATCATCACCTGCGTCGTTGCGCGATTGACATTCTTCTTGAATCCTAACGGAGTCTTGATTAGCATAAAATTGGTCTTGGGGAAAGTATCGTGCCTGATTGGCGCCATACCTGCCCACGACATTTTCGCGAGGTTGCCTAGTTTCTACTCAACAATGGTAATAAGGTTGAATAATTGAAATTGGTATAAAATGACGGTTTCGCAATCGAAAAGCCAGAGATTTAATTTCCAGGAGTCGTCTGTTTAGTATTGGAGGTTGAAAAGGGATTGGCGGACTTGGGTGGTATTTGCAGGTAGCAGGTTGATGGTGGGTAGGTTTGACGTTCACAATTGGGTCATAATGCTGGAGTTGTCCGTGGCTGAGCGTTAGATTAATTGGAACATACGTCAGCGGAGTGTGATTGCGCCACAAACTGCATGTGTTTCCAAATCCGACCTGCCGACGTAAGGGGTAGATTATGTACCAAAGTACTTCCAGTTCGAGCCTTACCAGCCTTACCAAGCCACAAATTCAGTGTTTGGTACAATAGCCACAATGCCTAACCGGGTTTTCTACCGTTTTTTAGTGGAGATTCTTATCATCAATTTCATCTTCAACATTTAAAAATTTCAGACGCTCGTTCTCATTTCTGTCGAAGATATGGCTGGGGAAATATTTAATCCTCGTTTCTTAATCGTCAGTTTAGGCAATCAAGCCCCATACTACGATTGTCTCCATTCCGCTGGTCATTTCGCCCTCGCTTCGTTACAAAGGTTACTTGGACCATCACAACCCTCGTTTACACCAGAACGATATGGCGGGCAAAAATGCTTAGCCTCGACAGACTACAAATATACTCTGGTACAGAGCCCGACCCAGATGAATGTTTCGGGTCCTTGGTTTGCGAAAACGTGGAGGGAAATGCTACAGCGCCATCAATTGCAACCCGCGAACTTAAGTTTAGTACTAGTTCACGATGATCTAGAAGAGGAACCAGGTCGAGTAAGGATACGCGACTGGAAAGCAAGTCATCGGGGACATAACGGCATTAAAGATATCAATCGGGTTATTAAACCGGCCTCCTTCAATGGTGCACGTTGGTCGCGTATCTCAGTCGGGATCGGCCGGCCCGTACACAGGGATCAAAACGCTGTCTCGAGTTATGTGCTGAGAAAACTGAACAGATCCGAGAGGGATATGATGGAAGAAGAGGTCGGCCCAAGCGTACTTGAATGTCTGCACAAGTTAGAAGAGAAGTGGGCAGCAGAGCACACTAAAACCTTATCATAATCACCGTGGTAAGGTTTTACTGCATACCAGGTATTGCGACCGCGAACTTCGCTGCATCGGAGTTTACGTACTAGGATGCGTTAAGTTACCATATGACCGACAGATACCGGTTTTGATGAAATTATTGAACTTGCTTGCTCTTTACGGTTGCGTTCAAGGCTCGATCCTATTTTATGTTGGGGAATCATCTAACGCAGACTTATGAGTCACTCGGCGCAAGTCTTTATCGTCAGAGAAGTCATTCAATCTGTTGGTTAACTAAAAGTCTAAATCTCGCGCAATAGCATATCTCTTTACGCTAATTCGCTCCGAGCATTTCCGTTGAATATTGCAGCCACGCGATCGGCGCGCCAGCGAGGTCCATCCCCGAAGCAGATATAGCTTCTCGACATAGTATGGATAATCGACTGTATCATCTCAGTTAAAGGGTCTCCTGCCAGGCTTAAGTCGCAGTTTTCTAACACATGTTCGAGGCGCCTGTATAACTCATCACTCATAAGCCCTCGAAGCTTAGTTTCGACGCCTCCTGGGGATAACCAGATAGTCGCATCATCTCCCCTTTTCTCATAGTCCGCTAGTACATGTTCATTCAGAATCTCGGCCGAGTCGACTTCACCTGCAGGATTATTCCCCTCGATGTAGCCACGGTCGCGAAATTCACGGCGCGCTTCCGCTAAGGCTATAATATAGTGTATATTATGTAAAGGCGGTGAATGCTGGACCATATTCCAAATCCTCTGGTGCGCTTCCCTTGCGATTAATGGATTTGTTTTATTATAGGCCTCGACTCTGCGGCACAAATCCAATAGATACTCTCCGCAGTTCCAGAATAATCGACCCGCAAACGTTTTCATCCCTTTACCGAGATATGGAACGATATCTAGAGGTGGGTCATCTATTCGTAGAAATCGACCGGCATCGAACCAAAGTCCGTAGTCCAATCGCGGGCTCACCGGTTCTAAATCCAATTCAGTTCCGAACAAGCTCGACTTCAGATTGTTCAGCCTCAAATCTGCCCAGCTCTCGTGGTGCATACTTCCTAGGGCAGCACTCGTCGTCCTAGCTGGATGAATCCCACTCTTTGGTACATAGTTCTCGGTATTTGGTGGGTATGACGGTCCCGTGGTAGCCGTCCCATCTTCGTCTCTGCTGTTGAGAACTTCGCTTGACCTCCACACGTCCGATCCCGCTACTTCAGCCGCCTCTTGGATTGCTCGAAGAAGCTCCGGACGATCATCACTGTGTGCCACCTTAATAATCCCATCTATTGCCGCTTTCAGTCTTCGGGTTGCCTCTGCTTCATTGCGCTTGTCTTTTGAGACTTTGTTACTCTGGCGTTTCCTGAATGCGCGCTGTGCCAATTTGCCGCGCTCACGCCGCCGCTATCGTCCTAGATTAGTAATGATTCAAAACAGGATAGAGGATTCAATCAAAGTCTCTAGATCCTTACGCGCAGTTCTTCCTCGGCATCTTCTAATGATTTTAGTCTCTCGGAGTCCATCATCAGTCGGGATATGCTAAAAGATGTATTCGGGCTGATTTTGCTACTCGGCAACGACCTAGGTAGGTAACTGGTTGGGGCTATATACTGGGGTCTCGGACGAATAATCTCCCCGACTCTGTGATATCACGGATTATGTAAGCCACATTCTACTCTTTCGACTATAGTGTATTTGTCCAACAAGGCACTTCTGTCCCAACACGGTGGTTTGACCCCTTCATCAAAAACATGATCAAATGGCAATTTACCTATAAATGACTTTATTGAAGTTGAAACAAACTGTTGGATATATATCCTAGTACTAACATCTACCACATAACTCTAATGTTGTGGAAAACTTCGTTATACATTGATATGCTAGGTACCTACTAGGTACTAGGTAGGTACTTAATGAAACTGCTTCGGATATTGTCTTGGGAAGACCTTGTATTGATGAAGTTTAGTTTAGAGGCTGAAACCACTTAACGTTTATCAAATGATCATGGTGAATGGTCCTCTAGTTTGAGCTTACGATCACAGGGCCAGCCTCGTTGCACATACTTGCCAATATAGAACCTGTATTTACTTGTGTGATGAATGATAATTATTTGAGTGCACACATTCACCTAAGTGAGATAGATACTTGGCTCTCATTTGATTGGATGGATGTTTTCCTTTTTTATCTAAATAAGTCATGTTGATTGGTTGGTATGTCCAATGTACCTCCTCACGCACAGCGTCTTCGTTAATAATCCTCTTATCAAGAGGTAGGTACATAGACATATTTGACAGGTGCTATCTAGAACGAAGTCGTTCTTACCCTAAGTATTAACTTTCTATCTAATCTTGTCCTTCCTATAATACACACCTGACCCTAGGTACCTAATCATCCAATGATTTCATGATTCTTACATTAGCAATACTGGCCTCTAATTATCTCCTGGGAAGTTTAAGCCACTAAATAGGTACCTACATCAAAATCTGGTTAACTACTTCAATGTCACTACCTTATTATTGCTTGCTAAGTAAATTCTTCCTACTTTTCCTACCATTTGAACTTCTTCTACCATTCTGCAAAAGGTTGACCATTAAAACTTCAGATATACAAACTGATCCTTTGCCTTGAGATTAAATATCTACACACTCAATTTTATTTCCTAACCTGATACGTCGAAATTCTATAATATCCAGTTAAACGTTGGATGTGGTCTAAGCTTTGTATTGGCCCGCGTAGTAGCTAATCTGCGTACCTAGTAGGTACCTAGATTGTGGGTTACAGGTACCCAGTTACTTGGAATCGTCAACTTTGTTGTCGCTAAATCTAATCTCATCCATAGGTACGTACTTAAATTTCTTCCACCTTTCGTACCTGTCCCTACTACTTCCTACTGGGAAACACCGATTTATATATTCGTGAGTAGGTACCTACCTAGTTTTTATCCTGACACAAATTTCCATATCTACCTGGGTACTTTTTCAAATTCCTCTTCTTTTTAAAAACCCAAATCTTCTCATCACTTTTTTCATCTCTCAAATCTTCAGACAACATACTCTACATCTTTCGATTCGCACACTCATCATCCCAATTACCAATCCTCTACATACTAACTACATTCAAGTTTAAACCACTTCAAAGATCCCTTGTTACTCTAAAGCCTACCTCTTTCCACCATGGGTCGAAGATCTATCCAGATGCCTCACCTAGCTAAGAAACTGGGTATACCCCCAGAACACGTTGTGCACATAAAAAGATTCCGTTTAGAGGATACGCGATCATTTTTCATTGCAATGTTTTGGCATGCTAAGGCTTCGGCCTACCGATACATAGTACTTATGAAGTCAAAAAAGGATGAACGATTGCGCTCGAGGATAACAAGAGAGATTCAAAGACGCCTGAAAGCCGCGATCAATCTTAAGGAAGCAAGATTCGATCTTTGCCGCAAAGCAGGAAAGGATCAAGCGAGAAAGGGACCATTTCGAATCGCAATGCAGCCTACTGTTGACAATCCTTCGAAACCTCGACCGATCTGGAGGAATACGGAATTGAATCAGTGGATTAATCAGGAAGCCAGCATGAACCATCGCCAGCTTTCTCCATCATTCGAATCTGCCGTATCGATACACTCGAAGCCTATAGAGGAATGGGATCCGTGGTCAGGCACGGATATGCAATATGCCCCAAGAGACCGAGCGTTAGTCAACAACACCTTAAGCTTCTACAACCAAATGAGGAATTTATCAATTCCGCGAGAGATTATGACTTCCGAAGATCTTTCGAACAAGGAGCAGACAACAACGGGAAAAATCAAGTACATCCATTCCGACCACGAGCTTCGCAAATTCAACGGAAAGGCCGTCAAATTGATACAGAAGTACTTTGTATCTAAAGGGAAGGACGATGAGGCACGCGGCATTAAGAAACAACACTCAACTATGGATACTCGAGATTTCGCCGCTAGGGCGAACGCTGTCGCCAAAAAATGCTGCATGGAGATGTACGCATTTGATAAGCACATTAACGACAGTACAATCGCCACGAGAAAACGTCTTAAGAAGAGAGCACACGAAATTAAGAATTGGAATGGATCTCGCGTGAGTAAAGGCCGAGGTAAATTCAAAGGCCTAGCCGGTGGTCGCCCTTCCCCCCTTCGCACGTCAATCAGCGTGACAGACCTCGAGGACCATCCCTTTGATGCGAAGGATGATACGGTGATGGAGGATACGGAGATGAAGGCTACAGAGCCGGACTGGGGTGCTGGAGGTATGGACATCGATTTGACCTCAGTGAACTGGTGAGAGATTTGGGAATTGGGCACAGGAAAGCCATGATGCTTGGGCAATATGGCAATGGTGGTTCTGATACCAGGTTGGAGCGATCATGAATGGATAGGGACACGGAACTTCAGCGAGCCTCAAATACACTTGCATATTTAAATCAAGCAGCTAAATACTTTGCAACACATATTATAGTATAATGAAGTGCACATGGTTTCTAGTAGCTTCCAGAGATCTCTTTTATACCGCCGCCCTCTACCATTGTAGTGTTTGTAGTATCTATCGATGGTTCTTTGAGCTTCTAGAGTACTTATTTACACCTGTAATTTTACCTTGGAGTCCAGCTCTCGTTTACATACCACAGCCCGACTGACTGCGTATTTTGATCCAAAATATTTCATTTCCCCCCTCGCACATCTATGAGGTACCCATCATTACCATACATATCGTACATAGTCGATTTCTTCGCCTTCGCGCTAAATAAGGTAGAGGATATCATGCATAACCGTCTCCGGGAGAATTCCCACCAGCAGGTAGTCGTACGAATCCAGCTCTGACTCGTAGGTATCCATACACGCATGGGGCAATTACTTGGTATGGTAGCCCTCGTATTCGTACGCAATCTCCGTGTCTTAGGCAATCTGCGCGGCAACGACGTCACGTAGGGAGGCTAAGGTGAATTTGTCTCGCGATAGGGCGCGGGTCGGCTCTGGCGTAAAGGGTGGTAGCGTGAGGTCTAGGTTTGGATGGACCATGATGAATGGCGTAGGTGTAGTAGATTCGGGCGTAGGTGAGCTAAAGAACCTTGAAGCGTGCTGTACTGAGAGTCTTGGGGGGCTTGCGCTAGGGCTGATAGTGCCGCGTTGCAGCCCTGGAGCCTACTAGCGTCGCAAAGTGCCCTATTGGAGCTTCTGCTTAGGTACCTAATAACCCTGGAGCTTATCAACGCTCCATAATAGTGCCTAATGGTACTTGGTATTAGCGCTTGGTATTAGCGATGGCTCACTATCTCATACCTAATAAACAACCTTAAACCTTTCACTGCACGAGAAAATGGCAAAACACGTGGTCAAAGTTTGACCTTTATAAATGTTACGGAAAGTGCTTAGATTGAAAGTTAATACCTGGTTCTTAACGACTTGCTCAAATATTATGGGTAATAATGGCCGATGTATTTGGATTTGACTTCTGTCAGGCCTGATAGCGCCCCCGAACGAACTTGCGACCGAAACTACTGCTCCTATCATAACTGAATAATTGACGACACAGAGAAGGTGTAATTTTGGTCTCAATTTCATATTTGCAGTCTCAGCTTCACAGGTCGCAACAACTCAATATTTAACTTTCGGAAAGAGGTATGGGCTTTCTTCGGGGGGCTTATTTCTAAGTCTGAGTGTCTTCCGGGTACAACCCACCTTCCACTGCCAAGCCGGTACGGCACGAAGCCCGTCCACCCCCGCACCCCGCCTTCTGTATTTCAAGCACCGGTTTATGGTGGAACCGACTAACCAATTCTCCAGAAACCGTCCGGTAATACATGATGGACGTTGCTATTCGACGGATATAAGACCCCCGTCGATAATGCACGATGTAATGTTGGCCCATGTGCCTGTCTGCTTGTCAATCAGCTGACAAACCAATGCCAACCGCATCGCGCTGCTCTGTAAATAGGCTAGCCGCTGCCATTAGCTTCGACTACTGCTTACGGCCAGCTGTATAAAGATTCGCGTTGTCCCCCAATTTGGGTTCCAATGGTTTTACGCTCAAGAGTTTGAGAGATACTCGTATCTTGTAGCTTTAAAAGAGGAAATCAATATGTCTGCTTACCCCACTATCGAAGGTGAAGTCTCGTTTGAGGCGCCTAACAGCGGTAGGCCTTGCAAAACGGTAAGCCGAACTCATTGAAGATCTAATATCATGTTGAGTAGGGGGATAAACGGGAATAAACGGGAATATGTTGACTCTCAGTGCTAGTGGTATAAAATCGTCGGAGACCTCGAGAAGTCCACATCTCTCCCCCTCGTAGCCCTTCACGGGGGTCCCGGAGCGGGCCACGAGTACCTTACCTCGTTTACTGACCTTATCGACCAATACAATGTCCCTATTGTATTCTACGATCAAATCGGTTGCGGGCACTCTACACACTTGAAGGATAAAATAAAGGACGAATCCTTCTGGACCTTCGACCTATTCATCGCCGAGCTCGATAATCTGATCGACCACCTACAACTCCGCACGAAAGGCTTTTATCTTTTAGGTCAAAGCTGGGGTGGTATGCTTGCTGGGATGTATGCTGCGCGTCGGCCGGAAGGGTTGAAGAAGCTCGTATTATGCGGCGCTCCTGCTAGCTTCCCGCTGTTCGTCGAAGGGGGCAAGCAATTGCGCGCGCAGCTACCGGAAGATGTCCGAAAGACGTTGGATGAAGGCGACCGGACCGGAAACTTCGAAACGGATGAGTATGAGCAGGCTAGCATGGTCTTTTACAAGAACTATGTATGTCGAGTCGATCCGATGCCGGAACCAGTGCAGCAGGCATTCGCGAATTTGAAGGAAGACCCCACTACCTACCTCACCATGCAAGGTCCCTCTGAGATTGTGGTTACCGGTAACCTTAGGGACTGGGATGGGACGGAGGAAGCGAAGAATATCAATGTGGATACTCTGCTTTTGAATGGACAATACGATGAGGTCTCTGAACTATGTGTTGAGCCTTGGTTCCGGTCCATTCCCCGGGTTAAATGGATCGTGTTGGAGAACTCAAGTCACATGGGTCACTGGGAAGTGCGCGAGAGGTTCATGAAGTTGGTAGGGACTTTCATCACGTCTTATTGACTTTGGGATCAGAACGTAGCGATGAAACCCGCAGCAGAAAACATTATTATCTCAATTCTGAACGAGCGGATGTCTGTCTAATCTTAAGACTAGTAGGCCTTCAACTTCTTATCTTCCTCCAACACTCGGCATACTTCAATTATAAGTGAATCAATGTAGATTCCTTACATATCCATTTGACGTCCCGGAAGCTTCGTGAGCCCTATCAAATAAGTCGTTAGTTCATACTTTCCAGTAGTACATCTTGATGACAGGAATAACTTACAGCCGTCAATGTCCTCTACAACAGTGCTCTTGAGAGTGCACTGGTTAGACTGAGCGACGCTCTGGGTCGTGATGCCGTTGCTAAGAAGGGACTTGGAGTCCATGGCTCGCTGGAGCGCATCGCCCTTCCAGCCGAAGACGTAGTCAGCGTGTGTGCCGTAGCCGACGCTGTCCTCGTAAGACCAGACGAAGGGCTGCGATCCATCCTCAGGCCAGATCGACTTGTCGTTGAATGGGCGGGTGTCCCACATTGTCTCAAGAGCAACTTGCGGTACTCGGACGGGGTGCGAGGCGGGGCATGCGCCAGCGGGGACGAAGCCACCTTTGTTGGTGTTGTACATGTGGTCTTGGTGGTTCGGGCTGTCGAGGTTCTTGCCGTCCCAGCATCTGAAAAGCTATAATTAGCGCGTGAAGATCCTAGCTGTGCAGGGGGTTACGAACGCGGGGAAGTGGTGGATAGCCATAATTCCGGCAGGGCATGCCTGCTTGGGGAACTCGGCTGTCTCGGGGAATCGAGTCATGACGTCCTGCAGACAAGTGTAGCGAAGGCCGGGGTTGGTGCCGTCCTTGCTGTTGGGCGTGCCGACCGTCATTCGGAAACCCTAGGATTGTGAGATTGGTCTATGGTCATGTGAACACCGAAGTAATGAACTTACAGGCTTGAAGGCTGTCATCTTCTGGTTTCCGTTGGAGTTGAATGATTCTTGGATGTAGTAGACGGTCATTCCGCCCTTGATATCACCCAAGAGAGCGTTCGGGTATTGACCGACTCGCTTGTAAGTTCCGTTGCGGGCTTTGAAGTACATAACGGCGGTCCAGTAGTTGGAAAGATCCTCGGAGAAGGTGCAGGTCGTGCATGTAGCCCTCTGGCTGACATCCTCGGTAGGGTCCATGGTCGCGTTGAAGCCGTTTCCACCGATGATCTGGTGGAGATGGGCCGAGGGGACGACGCCTGGCTCGACAAGAGGGTCGAGACGCTGAACGCTCAAGGTCGCACATCCGAAGCGGAGGTACGCCTGGGTGGGTGCGGCAAGCGCCGCGGCGATTGCTAGGGAGTTTCCCTTCATGTTGAAGATGTCGATGTTGAATTCGACGGCGATGTTGGCGATGCGGCTCGAAGTTGCTGGAGATATCAAAAGACTAGCGTCATGGTACTGGCCGGTCTCCGATCAGTAGAGATATATACAGAATGGTCAACCATTGTATCAATTAAGATTCGCTTATGCCGCGTTGGTCGGCGAAATACCCGGCGCTGGATTATTTACTTTGCATTCATCCAGACGCTTGCAATTAAGGTAGTGGTTTCTATAATTACTAGAACCACTCACCTATCACACCGAATAATAAACACGACAAGAACACCGGCAACCGCGCGGGTGGTTAAGGCTAAGAAATCGATACTTAGGTACGAACGAAAAGGTGCAGATATACGACCCAAGAACAATTGGGTAAGCATCAAGTTATCCCAAAAGATTAAGGGGATGCCCGAATTTGGAATACGGCAGTTGGATGATTGGATTCAAGACTCATAATGCCGGCGATCCCCGCTCCGAGCGCCCGCATTTAGTTTTCCCCCCTAGACCTATACGGACTTGGATACTACCTCTATCATACTTACTTTCCGACTACCGGCAGTCGTATCCCGTCCGGCAGGCACCCAACGTAGATAGGATAGGTAACCTCTGAAATTTACAGTGGCTGTTTCCATTATGCCTTCAATGTTTTAAGTGCCTATCTGCGTGCCTACCTTCCACCGGACTTTGTAGCTGGCCAATCGACGTCGGCCATACACTAGCGTATTGCCTAATTCGGTAATTTCATACGGTCACTTCCCCACACTTTCTCTTGAATCGATCGAAGCTTGCTAGGAAGTACCAATGTCATTTGCCATTTTAAGAAATTTACAAGAGAATTAATAAGACTTTATTACGTGAAGATATTCACAGAAATCTTCGAGTTCCTTATATCACAAGTAGGTGCCTAGTAATGTCCAGGGAGTTTCTGTTAGGCGGGTACCTAGGTATGGCGCTATGGGAAATTTTGTTATGCTCCTAGTACCTAGGTAGTGAGAAAGACCACACAAGACCACTGAGGCTGAGGAGTCAATTGTGAAAGGATGTAGAAATCAGTCTTTGAAACTATTCTATTCAATCTGGTAGAATCTAGTCTTCTTTCAATCAAAATCATACGCGCGCTCGTAATCCCAACCCAGAAACCTTGCCCAGAATATCCTGCCAGTGTAGCCCCTATTCTAAACACCTGGAATCCCTTCTTCCATCACTAAATCCTACCTAGAACTCAAACATGTCTACTCAAAAAAGCATACCCATCCCCAACCGCCCTAACCGCCTCAACATTCGCCTCATGGCTACGATACATATCAAACAAATGCGCTGCATTCCCAATAAGCCTCAACTCGACGTCCACGCCTCCGCGTCGTAACTCATCCGCCGTCCGCTGCGCCTGTTGCCACGGGATCAAGTCGTCTTCGTAAGGATGGACTAAGAACGTCGGCGTCTTGTAAGCGCCTGCTCGGATCTGCGCTAGAGGGCTAATGGCCTGCACTTGCTCCGTCGTGGGCGCAGGGAGCTTCGGCACCCCGGTTTCCGTCGCGGCGGTAGACTTCTTCAGTCCTTGGACGAGCACGGGAACGGTCTGCCCATGCCAGTTCATATGCAGCACGATCCGCGAGCGCGCGTCGTTCTTCGCCATCCAGCCACCTGCCGCGCGCGTCCCCGTCGGCGGGTTGTATGCTACGATAGGGGAATCCGATACTCCTTCCCATATGTTATAAGCTTCGGCTGTGAGGGCGGCGTCACCGTAGGGTTTGTTTTCGCGCGACCAGCAAGCGTCTTCGTAGTCTGTTGGGCAGTAGAAGGCGAGGATAGCGTCTGGGGGTTGCAGACCTGCGGATGGGGCTGTCCAGCCTAGACTTAGGGCGAGGGTGCCGCCTGTTGACCATCCGACGGCGACGACGTGTTCGCCTGTGATGCGCACATCAGGGCGTTTGAGAGAGAGGGATGGGAGGGTGCTGCGGGCCCAGTTTAGGGCGTCTCGGACATCTGTTATGGGGCCTTCTAGGAGAGTGGTCTCGGGGCAGAGGCGGTAGTCGACGCTGATAGGTAGGAATCCTGCGTCTAGGAGGGTTTGGGTCTGTTTTGGGCGGACGTCTTTTCGGGAAAGCATTATGTGGCCTCCACCGTGGACCATCAAAGCTAAATGACTTCGTAATTAGTATATAAGTAGTCTGGGATAGTTAATAGGAGGGAAGCTCACCGATAGGTCGTGCTTTGCTGCCGGTTTGCGATGTTGATGGGTAGAATATGTCGGCCTGGAGTGGCAGAGAACCGACCTGCTTGAAGACTACTGTCTCCTCTGTCTCAAGAGGAGAAGCTATTTCAAGAGTCGGAGTGTTGATTGGGGGAGATGAAAGCTGAGATGTTGGCGATGCAACGATCACACGCAGAATCTTAGCTTCCTCGCTTGCTCCGTCCGACCAGTCGACCCATTGGAAGCCTGATGTTTCAAGGTCCTTCTTCCACCTTAACTCGGAAGCAAGTGCATGTTTGCGACCATCGTCGAATAACCACCATCCCTCAACTAATCCCCAGACGAGATCGAACCAATACAGGTTTTGCGTGTGCTCTACGAGGCAAACCTGTCCATCTTTGCGCAACATTTTTCCGATGTTAGTGCAAGACCGGACAAGACTTGGAGTTGCATGGATGCAGTTAGTGGAAATGATCACATCGAACCGTCCCTGGACGTCCGCGGCCGGCTCTTTCTCAATATCCACAATACCGTATTCCATAAATGGGTATTTAGCGAATTTTCTCTTCGCTGCAGCGACCAGCGATTTCGAGACATCGGAGAAGGTATACCGAATCTTCTGTCCGGCAGCGCTGTTGTTAAGTTGTTCAATTAGATGCTTCGTTGTCCCGCCCGTTCCAGCGCCAAGCTCCAAAATTCGGATCTCACGTTTACCCTGGAACCGCTCGCAAACATCGACCAAGAAACGAGCAAGGTACGATGTCGCGGCCCGGAACATGGGGCCGTTGGTATAAACATCTTCTGTCAATTGTCTGGCTTCAGCATTTCCAAACATAAGGGCCAAAGGGTCGGCCTGGCCCTTAAGGCAGTCGGCTAGGCGAGCGCCTGTCGTGCGCAGGAGTTTGTGTTCTCCTGCGTGTTGGGGGAATTTCTGCACGATGGCATCATGGAGGTCCGTAGCCGAAGCCTGGGGCACAGAGAGGCCCGTTCGCGTGGCGCTGGCGCCACTCCCCGCTATCAGGCCGCCATCTTCGAGAATTTGGTACATTTGCGCGATTAACTTGTTGTGTTTGTGCTCATACACAGGCTCAGGCAGACGGTCGCCAGAGTTGAGCGTCCGGAGATCACAACCTATGCTTGCTAGGGCTTCGACAGTATATGCGATTACGAGCTCTGACTGTAGCGGGTAGACGTTTTGGCGGAATTGACCGAACCCGTATTTTTGGATATCCACGTCGAACGAGCTGCGGTTGCTGGAAAGCCAGTCACTACTGACAGCTGCGACACCTCCATCTTCAACCTCTGGCTCTTCCTCTTTATGCCCGTTTGTCGTTCCATTTACGGTAGTCGATTCATTCTGTGCCGGAGCTGTAGAAGGAACCGGAGCAGGAGCTGATGCACCACCGCCTAATAGTTTGGTCAATGACTGAACATCCGTCAAGTCTTGCATGTCATCGATTGATAAAGTGACATCGAATCGCTTCTGAATCTCGCCAGAAATCTCAGTGATCATCAACGAATCTACACCCAAGTCCGCGAGGTCCGAATCGAGTTGTACTTCATCGACGCTCATTCCGAAGATCTCGCTTAGCATCGTTCGGACGGACAAATCGACCGCGGAAGCGGCGGAAGAAGAAGCGGCAGCAGGTGCAGGCTCGACTGGCGGTGAAGGTTCTACGACAGCGTGGTTTTGCGAGGTTCCATTAGGCAGGGCCTTCGCAGCTGGCGTTGAGTTCCCATTTGTGAAGACACCGTTCGTTGCTAGCGGCGAAGAGGAAGCCTTTGATGGCGCAGGTGTAGCCGAGTTCTCATTGATCTTTGACAAGACCCTGCGAAGGGAAGCAAGAGGCACTGTGGTGAATTCCGCTCCTAGCAAGGCTACAACAACAGCCCCAGTAGCGGCGTCCAGGACGAAGACATCGTTGACGAGCGTGTTCTTTCCCTTGGGTTCCATATTCGAGTACAGTCTCCATGTCCGCGCGGAAGGCTTATCTTGGCTATTCGACTGCAAGAACGCGTCGCTCCATAGGACCTCTCCGATAGCATTGCACACGGAGACTTCGTCGTCACTACCCTCCAATAAGCAGTTCACATGGATACCCGCGATCTGTAAGAAGTTATCAATAGCCAGAGGGTCTGATATGCTATCCCCAAGACGTTCTGCTTCTTTTCCGGAAGGCATAACCACGTCACCTACGACTTCTCCGTCATAGGCGACGGTGTTGCGGACACCCTTATAATACGGCGCGTAATTGACGACTCGAGCAAAGATCTTGTACAGAACATCTCCGGCTAGTCGGTTTGCACCAGGGTTCGAAGCAATCTGGTCGTACCGCGATCGCCCAAGCAGACGTTTAACGAATTGGAAGCGGGAAGTTGCCGCATCTGCCGCGAGGAGAGTCACGGTACCTTGTGCGTGGTTGGTACGTTTGGAGGTAGGTGGCGGGTTTACGACGTCGGCGGGCGTAGAGAAGAAAGTGAAAGACCACTTTGGGCTACCGCTCTCGTTATTGGCGCCCCGCTTGAAGCTAATACGAAGGACTCCGTTGGGTTTCAGCCCGAGTGGCGATAGGATGCGCATGTTCTCGATATGAGGCACCTTCGAACTCTTTTCTCCGGCATCTTGAAGTGCCTGTGCCGCTCGTATGGCTAGCTCGAAGTATAAGCCTGCTGGAGTTAGGCTCTGGCCAACCACAGCGTGGCCCTTGACACTTAATTCGAAGATCTCATGAGAAGGATCAACGGCGAATATGGTCTCTCCGTCAGCATCTCCAAGTCGTTGTAATAGCTCTGGTGGTCCTGCTGTGACTGGTGCCGGAGTCTCGATTAAAGATTGGGGTCGATGAGGTTGGTATTGTATCCAGTGCTTCGTCTTCGCAAACTGGTAAGGAGGGAGGTCCAACCACTTGTATCGATCTCCATCAGTGCCATGGAAGGCCCAGAAATCTACCGTGGAACCAGCCGCCCAGAGACCAGTTGAAGCCTTGGAGAGACTAGTCCAGGGGTTGCCACGACCTAAGTCCATTGATAGGAAGACGTCTTCTCTGTTTGCTGGCACAGCGCGGCGTACCATACCAGTGATCGGGGACATGGATCCGGCCTCGAGCCAGACAGATGAAGGATATCGATTAGCGATTCTCTGCACGGCTTTTGCGAAATACACGGTTTCGCGTGTGTGCTCGGCAATCTTGGCAGGATCGATGCTGGTCCAACTCTGACTGCGAGAACATGTCTCTACCGGAATCGACGGCTTTCGCCAGACGAGAGATCCGGCCAAATCCTCCAGGCCGTCCAAGATTGGGTCGGCGAGGCGAGAGTGATACGCATGACTATTAGCTAGCTTGACTGTCTTGAGACCCGGCGAGGCCTTGCAGGTCTGCTCGAAAGAGTCCACCGCTGCCGCTTCTCCGGCAAGGACAATGTTGCGCGGGCCGTTATAGCATGCCACGTCAAGAGTATTAGCTTCGGCAACAGTCTGCAGTATGGTATCAAGACGGTCTTTGTCTCCTTCAATCGCAAGCATGACCCCGGGATCCGCACCCCAAAGCTTCTGCATTAGCTGAGCGCGTCCTGTAACTAGCCGAAGGCCATCCGTTAGGTCAAGACTGCCAGACACAGCAAGAGCTGTTAGCTGACCAAAGCTATGCCCTATCAAAGCGCTAACTTGTAGCCCAGCATCAATCCAAGTCTTAGCACTTGCATATTGCACGGAGAATAACATAGCATGCAGCAAGACTAGGTCATCGACAGGAGCCGGGTCGAAGATACGTGGGAAGAACGACGGCAACCCTAGAGAGCGACTCGCTTCATCACAGTTCTCAAGGTGGGCTCTCAGCAGAGACGAGCTGTTGAAAAGATCTCGCGAGAGGTAGATGCTACGACCCGTCTGGCCGCCGAAGCAAAGGACAATCGGCGCCGGCCATTGCACCGCAGATGTCTTCTTCTTGTCGACCTTTCTCTGGGACAAGGTACGGGCACCAGACGTAATAGCGTCTAGATCTGCCTTGAATGCAGACAGGCTTGTAGTGGTCCACGTCGACGTATACTCGAGGGTCTTGTTTTGCTTTCGCGCCAAGTTGTACGCGACGTCGCCGAGTGTGATTGAGTCATTTCGATCTAGGAATGATTTCAGAGCGGCGCTATACGCACGTAAGCTCTCCGGTGTCTTGGCTGATAGAAGAATCGGGTACTCGATGTTACTACTCTCTGGTAACTTGCTGATGACATCTTGCTCCGTTGAGGACGAGCGATATTCCTGGACTACGATAGCGGCATTGCTCCCAGCCGCACCATAGTTGTTGATTAAGGCTGCGCGTTTTGTAGTGGTTTGCCACTGGCGAGCTCTGTCGGCAATAGCTAATCTATCGGGCTCCAAGGCGGGAATCTTAGGGTTGAGGCGAGTAAAATTAGGCTGCTTGGGAATAGAGCCATGTTGGAGCATAAGAAGAGTCTTGATAACTCCAGCCACGCCCGAGGAGGCCTCAGTATGACCGATCACGTCCTTGACTGAACCAATTACCAGCTCTTGTGCCCGGTGAGGGTCACCGAATGCAGTGCGAATGCTAGCGCATTCAATGGGATCGCCCACAGGTGTACCTAAAATCGCAGGTAAGTATATTTCCAGTATTCTTTAAATATTCTTCTTTTATCAAGAATAAAGGTGGAAATACTATGTCATAAGTATGACTAGGAGTGGGAGATCTTTAACTTACCCGTCCCGTGAGCCTCCACGTAGGAGACCTCCGAAGGCGAAATGCCACCACCGGCTAAAGCTTGGAGGTATAGATCGCTCTGGGAGTTCGAATCCGGAACCGTGATTGGACTGCAACTGGAGTTCTGATTGACAGCCGTTCCCGCAATAGTGCCGAGGATGCGGTCATTGTCGGCTATGGCCTGAGCTAGCGGTTTCAAGACTAGCACACCAGCTCCCTCACCTCGACAGTATCCATTCCCTGTAGCATCGAAAGCCTTGGAACAGCCAGTCGGGCTAAGGAAAGAAGCAGCAGCCAAGTTTTGGTAGAAAGTAGGACTCGTGATCACGTTTACACCTGCCGCAATGGCGATGGAGCAGTCATTCGTCTGCAGAGCCTTACAAGCATTGTGAATGGCCACAGCAGATGAAGAGCACGCGGTATCGAATACGACCGAAGGACCAGTCCAACCGAAGTAGTGACTGACCCTCCCGCTAATAAAGGCCCGAATAGCTCCGCAGGCCGAAAAGGCATTGGCGTGCTCCGACGCGATGTTGTCCTCGTACTCAACGTAGCCAGCGCCTACATAGCAACCTATCGGGCGGTTCGGCGACTCCGCCCCGTCTGGGTATCCGGCTGATTCCATAGCCTCATAGGATACTTGGAGCAGGAGTCTCTGCTGCGGGTCCATGGATGCGGCCTCGCGGGCGGACATGCCGAAGAAACGATGGTCAAATGCATCATGGTCCTTAATGAAGTTGCCGAAGAAAGGACCCTTGGGCGTACGCCATAATTCTGAAGACTTGAAGCGATTTTCAGGCACAGGGGTGGTCGCATTTTTGCCCGAGTTGATCAAGGACCAAAACTCTTCGAGGGAATCAGCTTGGGCATATCGACATGCCATGCCAATTACGGCGATGGGCTGCGTGGTCGCCGTGACTGGAGGTGGGGCTAGGCTACACGGCGTGGTTTGTCCGGTCGTCAAGTTGCTGTTCGGCATGGTAGTGAAAGGTGGGGTGGATGTCCGCGAAGACGGGGTAAGGAAATCATCTACCACGGTCGTTACCGATTTCAAAGACCGAGGAATGGCCCCAGAACTGTTACCGATGGGAATCACGTTCACCGACTGCCCGTCCCACGCGTCCAGAGCTGCTTGAACCGTATCATACCACTTGCATACGTCAACTAATATGCAGTTCAGAGCGATTTCATGAAGCACCCCGCTCGTAATAACTTCAGTATCCGAGGTAGATCTCAGGGGTGAAATCAACTGCTCGGCCGCAGGGAACTGGAACTGCTGATTTTGCTGGCATAATGTCTTCGCCTGCTGCACTAGCTCTCCTCGGTCCGGCTTTGTTGTGTGGTATCTGCCACATAAGCCGATGGGCTGGGCAGATAGTCCGCCATCAGCTAGTTGCCTAGAAAAGCCGATAAAATGGCTCTCCGATATTGTAATCGTCACTCTATCCACATCCGTGATACACGACACGTACGCCTGTGGATTAAGGTCAGTTAATGGCAAAGAGCAGGTAAGAACTTGACTATTTCAACTTACCTCAGTAAAAGACGCCAGCGTCTTTTCCAAATGCTCTTTTTCAAGGGCCGATGTCCAGCGGACAGACCATGTAGAGCTATGTTCAAGTGTGGTATGTCCGTCTGAACGTTCCTGCTCATCAAAGTCGACGATACCTCCAATAACAACAGCCAACCGAATAGCGGTAGCCGTCAATTTCTCCAGTTCGTCCTTATTCCGCGCGCTTGCCACAGCAGCAGCGGATAGAAATCCGATACAAAATCCTTGGACGGTTCCCTGGTGACCGTGATGGATGTACTCAGCAATCTGGGAAATGACTGTTAAGGGGGCAAGAAGTAAGTTGTAAGGGGGCGCCAGTCGGGGTGCCTCCTCGTCCTCATTTTCAAAAAATGTCGCAATCTGTCTCAGTTTGTCTTTGGCGTTCGTATGAGACCCCAGACGGGGGACGGCTGGCTGAATTATATCGGCCCACAGGGAAGGTAGCCCCTTGATAATCTCGATAAGAAATTCGAGATTAGGATCCTCTAGAACCGTCCTTCGTAGTTCTATGAGACGACTTGGTACCAGACGTGCAAGTTGAGGGCCGAACAATAATAAAGTGTTCTCGGCCGACTTTGGAGCCATTGTATGCATTTTGCAAAAAAATGAAGTCTAATTGCACCCTTAAAAGAAAAAAAGAAAACAAGTTCTAATAAATGGTTGGGATCTATTCTTTGTATAAAGAGATGTAGAGATAATGTGCCTATGATCTCATATATCTTCCAAGGCAATGTGGCTTTTTATGTCTCGGTCATGAAGTTGATTCATGAAACCAGTGACAATGTTAAAGGTCGTTGATTCGGATATTGGAACTCTTGTCTAGAATCTGGCGAACTCACTTACAAGGACAACGGGGCTGTTTAAATAGTATAAGCTAGAAAGCTTTGAAGATTCTTAGGTAGGTAGTAGATAGTGTGTGATCCTTCTCGGGGAGGTATCATTCTAGACGCCACCCGCGTTTCCTTACTTGGGCAATATAGGATAGGTACCTATCAAAAGATCGAAGACAAGGCTAGACACAATGTTCCACGATCTTCGTCAAGGACACCACGTTCCATGATCTTCCGAGGGATCAAGGGGCAAAGACGAGACGCTAGCCCATATGCTCAGTTCATACAGGTACTTTTTCCACCTGTCTAATCTGGTCGCTAACCGTTCGTATCCTTGGCAGATAGTATCCCATCTTCGGCCAATATTTTCCTCTGGGGGTGTTGGAATAAGCTTAATTAACTCGCCTCGGGGAATAAAATCACTGGCAGCTTTGAAAAATGGTCTTATTAACCTGTTAGTCAGAGACATCTAAGTGAAGACTCCTATCTAATCACCCACGCTGTTACCGACCTACCGCGCTAGACTGGGGTACCATTCTCGGACTTGTGATTGACCTGCAGCCTCCGTATCTGGAAGTCTGTCATTCAAGACTTGGATGTACAAGTGTGGCGCAGTATCTGACATGATATGACCCCAGCCCAGAGTAATAGCACATGCATTACACTAGAGCCGTTTGCTCCGAAGGCTAACTACCGTTGTGTTGTATGCATTAGATGCATCAGATGGAAAGAGACTCTGACAAGAGTATCACTTGCGTTCACCGCATTTCTATCGCCGCGATACTATAGCGCTACGCGTAGGATCGTAATCTATAAGGCGTTTCATTTTAGAGCCTCGATAGTACGCCGAGCTGACGGCCAGTGGTGTTCAAAGTTCAGAAACCCGCATAATGAGGTTAGCATAAAAGGTCACCTAGGTACTAGATAGCATAAACCAACTAGGTTCCTATTAAATGAATACTAGGTAACCATGCCTCACTGATAAATCAGAGTCATCACCTGCCTAAGTAATAAATGGCATCATATTAAGTATATAAATCTGGTTGAGTTTACAAGTAGTTGAAACTTCACCCGCGTTTATTCATTGGATCCCTGCGCATTTCTAGAATGCTACCTGGAGGGTTCAAAAATCAATAACAGGGATACGCCACGACAGCAACACGATAAACATGGTTACGATAAGAGGCGTAAGAGGAAATTTTCATGTGAGGCTATTGTAGATCGAGGATGTATGTTGCATTTAAACGTAGAAAAGGTGATTTTTGATAGATCCTCTAAAATATATGAATCAATTCAAGTAGTGTAACAAGGCCTTTTTGACAATAGGCTTTGGGTTAGGGAGTGAGTAGCAGTGCAAAACGGCATCTGCATATGCAGCAACCTGGCCCGGCGTGCATGGAATCCTGTTGTTGCAATTATCCCCGGTAGATACCTAGGTAGGTATCTAGGTAGGTATCTATGTTTCTACGTGTCAAAAGGTTTTTTTTCGGTGAGTGTAAGAAGTGGAACATATCCATATCTTTTTCCTCTAGAAACTCCGTGCCACAACTCTTTCTGGAGAAGGAATGCGCGCCGATGCTGCGGCAAATGATATTGTACCATGGTCTGCACGGTCCATTACAGGAGGTAGACGCGGAAATATTCGCAGAATGAAGAAAACTTATGCTGACAAAATTGCGTGTCATTACGTACTGAAGTCTTCATTGAGAATACGCGTGACCATACCAGATCTACGAACGGAAGTTTTTCAGCGTCATCAAAAGTGGTGCTTTATAAGACGGAGGGGAAAACCATCCATAGCGCTAAGCTCCAATAAGTTAGGAGCTAGCTAAGGAGACTCATGTTAGATAAGCAGATCATCCCCCGGATCGGCCCGCAAACTTAAAAGCCACATCGTACGCTCGGTCCGTTGTCGTTGGTACGCCACTAAATCGGATTGCGCTCCGTACGCGGAAACCACGACTAGAGCATTCTTGGGTTTGGGTGCGGTACTCCGGATTAGATAATACGTGATGGAAGGTGGAAACCCTGAAACGCGGAACGCGATACCGGATTCAATTTTCCAAGCTTCCTATCCAAGTTAAAATGATCGCTTAATTAATTGGGGGGTTCTGGCCCTAGATTAGACCGTTTCCCCCAGTTTTGAAAAATACCATCAACACGACTACGTATTGTAGATCTGAAGCTATTATTCCGAGACTCTAACTTGAACTTCGGTCCGTAGTTCGGGGCTCGGCGGACTCTATGATTTAGTACGCAGTAAAATGCATTCCGCGACGATCCGATTTTTGCAGCAGTTGACCTAAATTGAGCTCCGAACTATTTTAAGAGAAGATCGGTGTTAAGCCCGATTCAATTTCCTGATTCGAATTTAAATATGTCGCTAAAATGTTCAGTTGTTTAGTAAGTCTACCTAGATAGGTACCTAGTACCCATGTAGGACTCAGGATGACGAAATAGCATGGTTAGGTACATAAACCCATGATCAACATCGACGCTATCTTGTAGGAATTCCAGAATTCACATGCACCTTGACTGCTTAAGCTTCTAGGCGGATAATCCTAGTTCTATCAATTACTTTATTCACCTTTAGCCAATGCTTCCTTACATGCCTCAAACACATCAACCCTATAAGAGTTAGCACATGCATTTGGAATAGATGGCGCCAGCTAGACCTACCTATAATCGTGTGCGAGCCGCTCGAAGAAGGAAGTTGGTACATCTAGCAGGAACGTCAATAGTGGGATTTTATACGACGGCAGGATTAAGCATAAAGATTGGCTCGTTTAGTCAGAAGCTAATATGAATCCGATCAAACGTACCTGAGCCTGGTGGATCGGCGTACTGGCGTACTCTAGCCTCTACCTCCTTTTCCTTCCCGAGTCGCACCCTAGAAAGTGACTGGACTCTAGATGCGCGAAGTCGTCGAACTTGTTCGAAGAGGGAAAGGCGGCCGGGGACATCAGTTGCAGATTCCTTGCCACCACCGAAAAGCGCCCCCAGAGCCCCCGCGTCTTCAATAGCTTGATTTGCTCCTTGCGCGCCAAACGGAAGCATCTTTATCTTGCGTAAGAATTCTGGAGTAAACTGGAGTCCAAGATAATAAGGGGTATGTATAACGTACTGGATGAGCGGCGTCCCCAACTAGCACGATTTTTCCTCGATGCCAAGTCGGGAGAGGATCGTGAAAGGAAAGAGGCCAATCGGTGACATTGGGGGCCACACTAGATGAAATGTACTTTTAGCGAGCTGTTCCATATTAACAAGAAGGACTCTAGGGTGCCCACTTGATGATATGAACTATACTAGGGTGATAGTGACCAAATTGCTTTAGCATGAGTGTTTTGGTATCTTTGTAGGTAGAGAGGTTTTCGTCAGCTCTTCTGTTCGCAGATCACAGTAGACTTGTGCTTACCTCCATCGCCTCTGTGGATATTCTCGTGGATACCTGCGAAATTTTGAACTTCTCCACTGTGTGAAACGTGAGTCTTTTGTTTCCGTAGGGGGTGTGGTGAAGGTGAAGACGTACTCCCGACACGTGTACCAAACCATATGACGTTCAGTCTGCGTGGTCGTATCGGCTAATACACTATTGCCTCTCCCTTTCGACTTCAGTAGCTCTTGGAAGTGAGGATCCTCTTTCAACTCAGAGGTTGGAATCATAAACCGGAATGCGCTCATCCCTGAAGGGGTTGGCTTGGCAGCATCCTGGTCACCCAGCGCGATGCCTCTCAAAACTGAGTGAAGGCCATCCGCACCGATGATGAGGTCGGCATAATGCTTCGTTCCGTCTTCTAGAAGTACAAAACCTTGCTCTGCATCCGCTGCTACCACCTTTGATGATAATTGAATGTCTAATGCCGACGTCAGACGAAGAAGCTCATTGTGCAGATCCACACGATGAACTGTATAAAGCGGCGCCCCGTACTCTTCACGGGCATTGCTTAGCTCAGCGCGGTGAAGAGGCTTGAATGTGACTCCATCCAATACCTCAAAACATGTCATATCATCGGCTCGGGCTCGTTTGAAATCGAAGCCAAGGCGAGATAGTACGCGTTCCCCATTCGGTGTGATGAGGAGAGCGGCTCCCACTTCAGCAGCAAAGGCAGACTTTTCCAAAATCTGTAATCCATTAATATTTTTAACACGTCTGAGATTGGGTGATAATTAGCGAAAGATATTGTAATTTCACCTTGACGGAATGACCAGCCTGCTGCAGTGCGACAGCCGTACAAAGACCGCCAATTCCTGCCCCAACGACGATCACTTGAAGTGGCATCTTTTGACACGTAATGTCTTTTGAATATTGGATTATCTCTTTCTAAGACAATTGAGCGTGTGCGATATCACTATCAAGTGACTTTATTAGTTCATCCTCTGTCCGGGTGTCCTTATTTCCCACAGACTGTCCTGATACAGCAAGTCTGGGCATAATGACATATTATCTACCTAGGTAAGTTTGGAATACACGGTGCATATTATTATGGGGCTAGATGATGTATGCGGCTTCAGGAAGTTGACTGATCGGGACCAGGAATGATTGCTAGGTACAGAAGGACGAAGGATTATTGCTTCACCTCTCACCCTCGTACGATAGGATTAAGTACCGTAGTACCTACCTACCTACCTAGTAGGTAAACACTATTTTTTGAAAGAATGTGTTTATGTAAGAGTTATCAATTAACACATCTCCTTTGTTATTTTGAATCTAATATACAACTTCTGACAATTACTGTAACTAGATAGATATTTGTCCTAGATCTAGGTGAATCTATAAGCTGACTAAGCTGATTCCCGCTTCTTCCTAGAGGGCTACCCCTTGCAATTTTCAACCCCTATCCAAACTAACAGCTACTAGTAGGGATATAGGTAGGTACGTACCCAGGAAATATGAAATAGCCTTTCAATAGAACGGCTATATTATTATTCAAATACTTCGAATAAGCTATAGTTTATGTGAATATTACAGGCCTGGTCAATATCTATACGTACAATTTCATAAATCCCGTTTTATAGCTTGCATGATAGAATAGAGGCTAGTAAGAAGAGCTCCTATGTCCTGTGTACCGAAGTTTGGCGGGAAATCGCTCCTTCGCCGTTCTTGTGAATCCGATGACCCGGGGGTAGCATCCGTGCCGCCCCCGCCCCTTTGATCAGCACTTGGAGATAGTCTCGGTCTATCTACGCGTTCCCACAGATAGAGAAGAGCGGTCGTAACGCTCTGCAATGCTCTTCGAACCACTACTCCAATGACTTCTTCCTTTGCCCCACCAATTAACTTGAAATTACCTACTGAGACTTCCACGTCAAGGGCAAAAGGAAAAGCCTGGTTCATTGTGGTTTCGGATACAATATCGTTCTTGTGAGATGTTGAATTGAGTTTTTGAAACAATGAAAGGAGTATACGAATACTTGTCGCAAATAGGAGAAACCCTTCTTTTTGGTCCTCTTTTCTCTGACACCATCTACATTCCATCATATCTTTCCAGGGGACTTGAGCTAGTTGGACTCCGCGAAGGACCGAGTCAACAGTAGGGGTGCCGGCATTTGAGCATTGTATATCCCCAAGTTGGTAGACTAGTTGCACCTGCTGCTGTAGACATGGACAGTGAGTCGGCTTCTGAGGTACAAATGAACCTATACCTAAGTATTCATGTTTGTCATCTAGGGATACCGTACTCCTGGGAGTGTGCAGTTCTGTCTCTTCCGCGTATGAGTTGATGGTTGCGGTGGTATATTCACTGTCGTATGCGGAACTTGGAGTCCCGAAAGCCAGGCTTTGATATGGCGATTGATCTCTAGCATTGCTAGGCTAGGATGAATGGTATGATAATTAGTCGATTAGAAAGTGATCAGAAGCCAACGTGTATGCTTACACGTGGAAACGTTGCACTCAAATCCCCTTCTAGACTTGTGTGCGCGTGTGACTCTCCGATTGTGTCGATGAAGGATGCAAAATTCGAATTGAGGAGGTCTTCGGTTATGCCGGCGTGAAATCCATGCTCTAAATCAAATTCCGCCGGCATAAAACCCGAATGCTGCTGTGCCTCTCCCCGTGCACTGGGTTCTGAGCCTCGACGATCAACCGCGCCGTTGGTATGCTTGCTTTCAGCTGTTTCGTCTCGCTTGTCCTTATTCTTTTCTACCGCGACCCGCTTGTTCTTGCTCCCTTTTGGTCTGCCGAGACGATTCCCCGGGCTATAGCTGCACTTGGCTTGAGAGACCAAGCAAGTTAAACAAGGGTTTCCTCCCGAACATCTGATCTTAGCTTGATGACAAGAGTCACACGCCGAACGCAACCGGCCTACCGACTTCAATGTCTCGGCGCGCTCTGTAGGCTTTGATTGGCTAGCAAATGAAGGGAGTTGAGGAGACATCGGTCCAACCTAGGTATTATCAAAGGTGGCTACCTACATAGGTAGAGAATGCAGTATTAAGCAATGGAGAGATGTTTCGGGGATTTTAATGAACTAGAACCGCATCTGAATAAGTAAGTCCTACGTTGAAAACTAACCATTTACGATTAAGGAGAAACATTTACCATCAAGTTGACGCTCGGAAGATATTGTACCTATGGGTAGAAGTGGGTAGCCCGCAATACACCTATAGAAACCCTCGCTGTATTGGAACCAATACGAATCATTCTATTACAGCATAATAGACAGCTGAAACAGCGCAACCGGCTTTAAGATAAGGGAATTAACTTTTCTTACGAGCGAATCGAGGCTCTGCAAGCATAATTCAACGACGGATAAAATGCTTGGGCTGGCAAGGGGCATATCAGGGGCCAGCGGGTCATTAGTTTCCCCGTCTATGGAAAACAATCGTCGAGCCATGATTCTTTTTACCGCTCTTCTTGAAAATTCGCTTCTCAAGGTTCCGATGAAGTTTCTTTCTTTGAAAAACTCACAGTGAATCGGCTGTGGGTTCGAATTCAACTTACACGACATCAATAATTAATATATTTTTTACTGAGATCATGTTATTGACGTAGTATTAATGTTGTATAAAGGCCACTTTAACCTTAATTTCTAGATGTATGTAGATCTGACACTTTACGGGGAGTGCATGCATGGGACCTAGACCGCCTGAGCATGGGTCATATGTAATGTGGTTGTTAGCCCCTACTACGCGCTACGCACTATGCAACCGAATCTAGCTAGGAAGAAAGCATCGCGTGTATTCTCAACATCCCTTGGCAAAGTCCGAGTGTGCAGATAGAGCTTATAACTATCGCCGGTTCATTGATGCGATTTCATTTTTCGGCTCGGATTCGCGATTCTCTCGACAAATCCGAGACCTTCAGCCTTACCGGGTCTCCTTGCCGGCATGTTATGCACCCATTCCGAAGACATTTATGTAGTACGGTACACCTAGTAGGTAGTTTCCGATTACGAATTCGACACACCGCCGGTACAAACCGTATTCTACCTACTAATGTACTTTGTAGACGCAAAACAATATTGAGCGGAGCATCATCTATATGAGCTTTATTATAGTGTAGTAAGCTTCTTTTCGCCCTTAACTCATTATGTACTTTGTATAATTCAAGATCTTATGTAGAATATTAAGGTTATCTGATCTGTCCTAAAATGCTAACGAATCCCGAACTATAATGGATACCCCCACCCCCTCCCCCACGTTTACCTAACCCCTTTCTGAACTTGCTAAGGTTGCTAAGTGTTAGGCGCATAAGCGAAGGTCGATCTAAATCTGACTAAGATCTTTTTGATTCCATACTAAAATCTAATTGGTTGCTGCTCGTGTCCCTACAAGCAATCCTGCCAATCCGCTTCTTAACATGTGAAAATGTTTCATTTCAAAGAAACGCGTCTTATCGTGCTCTTACATGCTTCTTACATGGCAGCATGGGTATATGCTTGAGTTTGACGAATGACCCTACATACGTACATAATCCTTCGAACCTGCAGCTGCTCAACCATGTCTTTTCTCATTCGGAATCTCACTCAAAATTACTAACACGATTCCCTCGGTCTGTATTTCTTTGTAATCGTCGACACACCTGATGTTTAGATTGGCTATCATGAAGCTGTGATGAGTCAATTTGAATATTTTAAGATGTGGCGCCCACGTTTCGGTCGTTACACAGCATCGGCTGTTGAAACCAGGTTGACTTGCTATGCATATAATAACGGTTTTTTGACTAAATAAGCGCTTCTTTTAAGCGCCCGAAAATCATACGATCTTGATTCTTGGTATTAGGGCTGTTAAAGCATGCATATCAAGTCGAGCACCTTAGCGTCGGGACCAACTAGATTAATAGGGTGGATAATGGAGCGTCAGGCCGAGATCATTCCCAACACCTATTGTATTCTTGATTCGACAATTCCCCGAACTTGGGACTGCTGTCAGATCTTAGTGGGCTTGTTCCTTGCTTTATGCCAACAACTCTTCTCACTCAACAAATCCCTCAAGTCCTAGGCTTGCCCCGTCCGGGTTGTTTTAGGCATCAGCTTAAGAGCTCGTCCCCATAGTCGCAATTGAGATGCCTCTTCACATTTTGAAGTTTTCCTGGTTTTTTCCACGAGACGCTTAAATGTATCACATATAATCAATTAATGTAGCATCAGCACTATGATATGGGGTTGTGAATAACGCTTGGGTCTTTGGAATCTAGGTCTAAAATCCTTCATCCACTACTTCGAAGCTACCCGCCTTAGTTGCTTAGGTAGGTACCTACATGAAACATCAAAACGTAGTAAAAAACGCAGCCTTGAAGCAGTTAAGAGGCGGCATCTAGGTATGATGCGAGAATCATCCTTTTATTCATGAATGTTGGATAGTTGAACCGTTGGAATATTGCATTCAATTTGCTGGATAGGTAGCTAGGTTGTGCTAACTTGGATCGGAACCGAACTTGAACCACAATACGTTGGTTGATGGTTACCTAGGTACCTACCTACTAGGTACCTAGTAGGTAGGGTCTTCCGAATTTGTAAGGTCCCAAGAAACAAAGCTCACAATTCATCAGATAGAGAGATAGGATGATATTTGATACCATCTTAGAAAGTTATTAGGTGATGGATCGATCTTCCGTAATTAAGTAGATTTAAAAGGATCGCATAGTTGCTTAGGGGCTAAAGCCACGCAATTTTAAATACCTACTCTCCCAGATCAAGTAGTGTTCTTCTTCAGTGGCTCAGCGCTTGAGACTTGGTGGATGTCCGCTAAATCTTAGTAGAGTTATAGGTGGGTAGATCGCTATTCCTAACCAGGGCTGGCTTCCTAGTAGTGAGATGTGGCTGGTGTGCGAAGCATCTCCGCGCCAAACATTTGGACCATGGGCTGCGGGTGCTGATGGTCTGAAGCCGTGTAAATCGAATATTTTCTTACCGTGTGGCGTTTATTTCTAGTGGCTAAACCCCTAAAATAAACTCAAGTTATAGCGGTTATCTACTAGAATTTAGCGGCTAGATCATCGCTTTTAACCTAAACCTAATACAGTATCAAAAAATAGCTTATTTCGTCACGCACTGAGTAAAGAACGCGGCGAATGGTACAAATTTGTGACCCGAACCTTCATTACAGTGCATTTCTCTAGTGGCTGAACTCCCTAAAATATAGCTTTCACCCATTAAATCTCAGCGGACGCATTACCTTGAAGGTTAATTGCGCATTGAGCAATATTCAAAACTTATAACTCAGACCTTGATACCTACCTATATAAGAGATATCCTTAAACTTTAATTTCTCAGGTAAATACCTGGAGCCTGGCCAATTGCTTGTGATATAGGAGTAGTTCCATAGAATACTATGATTACTTGAAAATTAGCTACCTACCTAGGTAGGTATGGTTTACCGCTTATGGTGAGAACAAGACATGAGTAATTACTGGCACAATACCTAGGTACGTAAGAAATAGAAGAGACACAATAGAAAATATATGATTCGGTGTTTCCATATCTCGCCATGCTTCCATATGAACTAAGCCAAGGAACCCCAGATTTTATGAGTGAAGTCTTTAATAATGTCGACAACGCCGCCAGTCCAGCTTAGATGAGGCGAGTGTCCGGCCGGACAATAGTATCTCTCAAACCTGCCGGTCTTCTGGGTTTGCAATGCAATCATCCCTTCCTGGTAATCTTTAGGTAGCGTCAAATCTCCTTCTAATACAAGACAGGCGCAAGGCAAGGCCTCGTAGGCGTTGTTGGAAAGTTTTGTAGTCAAGACAGGAGATGCAGTTAGTCCAGCCGCCCACTTCTTCGCATCGGATTCTTCAAGACCATTGAATATAAATTTCTCTGCCTCGACAATGGTACCGAGTCCAGCCGCACCATTTTTCTATGATATAATCAGCTAAGTGTCCTCTAGTTTATATGGGCATAAAACGGAATTATTGACAACACCTACATGAAATGTCATGAATGGTGGCGTTATGGAGGAGCCATCCTTTGGCTGGAAGAAGCTATGGATAGACTCTCCAATAGGAACGATAAATGCACCGAGGTATAGAATGCCAATAACACCCCCGGAAAGGCCTTTCTCCTTTCGAGACTTCAATTGTAGTTCATGCTTGGCTGCTTCTGTAGCAACCCAGCCACCGGATGAGTGTCCAATCATGAGGACGTCCTTCCCTTTGTCATTTACTAAGGGACGCAGAACGCCGAGGATGACATCTGTGTCGGCTTCGCCTTGAGGGTAGCCCCCTCCTGGAGGATCTCGGTCGAAATCAGGATGATCAACATCGCCAACATTGAGCTTAGTGAGGTCGGCAGTTGGAAGCTGAGGGCAGTAGGCGTCTATTCCTTCAGCTTCCAATTTTTCGATCAAAGGATGATATGGAGCTGGAGTGTGATAGCTTCCATGGCAGATAACAACAGCAAGGTTAGAAACTGAAGACATATCTAAGGAGTTTAGATGGTAATGTTTGGGGAACGACGGAGCATTGACGGCTGCTCCAAAGTTGTGATAAAATTAGAGAAGTTGGCAACTTCTGAGTCGACAGAGTGACTTGTCACGTAGGCACTGGAGTAGGGATTTTCTTGTGAAACCTCACCTCACCTTGTCTGCTTGTTAGAAGGGAGAGTTAATGTTGTGTAACCAGTGCACCCCGCCGGCGGCAACAGATATACGTAGCGGGGTAAAGGTCCGCATAACAAACAAAACGCGACCCCCCCATACCATATTGAGCTCATACATCCAAAAAGAAATCTTGGGACTATTAATAAAACTTAGGGATTATTCAGGTGCATATATCGGGCATGAAGCCAGTGAACTGAAACTTCGTCGCACGAGACGATACCTATGTAAACTGCAAGCCATAGCAGCTGCCGCGCAATATTAATCCAATTGGCTTCCGCATCGTCAAAAAAAACATCCAAATCAAGGGCGACTAGCGTCTATCCAACCGTCTAACAATGGAAATATATATGTACCTAGTAAACGTGAAAATACCCTCTGCTTGCCTATATCCTGCAGAATATCAAATCAACACCAGCTAATGATGGAAAACAAAGAACATACACGCACGCTCAGCTTAATTTTGTATTGCGTGATGTGGGACGCAAGGAAGAAATTATCGTTGATCTAATTATCTAACGGTGGGATGGACCCAACACGTTATCAATGCGCCCCTTTACTTTGTGTAACCTTAAGCTTTGCTTATAGTCGAGTCTAGAGTGCAGGATTGAATAGCAGTAAATAATAGGTGCTCTACTAGTCGCAAGCTAGGATCTATGGATGAAATCTAGTAGTGATGTGCCCACTATATTCCAGTGAATGATCGCTGAATTTTAAGGGGTTTACCCCTCACTAGAAGCGAACGGTATAGCCCCTCCATTTTGACTCATACCTAGACACCCACCAAGCTTTTGATGTGGACGGGTACTGTCTTACGTTACGCGAACGTGAACTAACCCGTATCTATTTTAAAGGTGTTTTCGAATCGGCTACTTGATATCCAACAGACTTAGAGTGATATTTTGTTAATTCAAGGACACCATAGGGCATAAATTTACCCTTTATCAACATTGTTACCTACCTATGCTGTTCACATATGGACACGGGATCTCATATAGCCGTATGATAGATGAAGTCGTATTTTTAGTCTACGATAGACCATAGGTTGAAGAGAACATGGTGGTAAGGAGAGCTGCGTCCTTAAATAAGCTGATCTAGATCTTCAACGCCGTTAATTTCGCTCCTGAATGAAAAACTTCCAATGATGCATTTATTTATGCCCTTTTAACTGGCAGTTAACCTTAACTAGGAGGAATCAAAAGGTATGATTAAGTAAGCAACTTGATTTCGTAAGCTAGGGCTGCCCACGGTGGCGCGTGTGGTTATGTAAACCATGCGAAGCGCTGAAAGCTTAACCTTGCCCAAACATTGAAGGTAGTTGTCTTACGTAATGTCTTAGGTAATCTGGGGTCTCTCGACAGGGCAATGCGTGAGACGTCATTATATTCGTTTTTCACCATAGAATCAAAATACAAACTGTATCTCCTCACCACCGATCACGACATCAGCACGCTCCATCTCCTCTCCCTCATCCTCGTCGAGCACATCAGCCCAAGTGACATCATCTTCATCCATCTCCAGAACAACATTCACATCATTTCCTATTCCAGCAGCGTCGTCATCGTCGCTAAAGCTCTCTTTACTACTCTCATCTTCGCTCTCATCTTCACTACTATCCTCGTCCTCGTCATCAGAACCCCGATCGGAGCCCCAACGATCTCTTTGTGCAAAAGACTGCGACGCAGGCAAGTCTGGTCCCTTTTCTCTCAACATGATGCTGTTATTCATGCGTAGAAACGATTGGATGACCGACCTGCGCACGGTCTTGTATTGGAGCGCAAAGATGTGGCTCCCTATGCTCTCGCCCGACACCTCGGCTGTATCCTGACGGCTGTGCGAGCCGGAGATGCTCGGATCGGTCAGCTCGGAGGGGAGCATGATGCCTGTTGTGCTAGTGACGATGGTGGATACGGGTACTGCTACGCTGGCCGAAGTTTCGACGCCGCGCTCTCGCGAGTGGGTAAAGGCCGCATCGCGCCAGATGAGAACCGCGGTAACCATGAACCCGGCATTGCCGCCACGTGCGAGCATCCGCGCGAGCTGAGTCCGCGTTTCGACATGCTGGCTTAGCTTGTCAAATACTCCGTCGTGGTCCTGAAGACGCACGCACACAACCTCGGAGCTCGAGAACGAGAGGCCGCCGCCATTGCTAGTCTGGCGGGATGCGTGAATAGCCGATGTACCGAGTGTGGCAGCGAGCGCCTTATTCCGCTGCGATAATGTAGCTAGATTTGCGTTGGTAATGATGCTGGTCGCGAATGGGTGCGTTATAAATGGTGTCGGGTCGACTGGAACGAAATTTGCATCTGGCTCAGAATAGCACTTAACGATTCGACCGAGCCAAGTGGACAGCGCTGAGGCGGGAAGCAACCGCTCTGGAGGTAGAAGGTAGAACGAAGGTCGAGCCGTTTCGACGGGCATAATGACGATGACCTAGTTCTTGGTGACTGTGAGTAAGTTAAATCCAAAGCAATTCAGGATTGTGAAATTCTCTCGACAACTACCTAACCTTAAGCAAACGATCGAAATCATTGCGTTGGGTCATTATGCCGCGTTTTAGATTTCAGCTTTCAGCTTTCATCATATATCTAATCGACAATGCCTATCACAAACAAGCCCGCCATCACTGCTGCCCGATAACTACCTAATATTGTACTATATGTACGTTATGCATGTGGCTATTCGTCGTGTAGGGGTTAGTTCAGCTTGGGTCCACTTCAAGGAGGTGTGTGGGGTAAGTATAAGTCCTGCCCCGCGGTATGGGTGATGAGGATGAGGATGAGGACGATGATGAGTTCCAAGTCGAATTCAATTCCGAAACCGTAATATCTCTATTCATCGTAGCTAGCGAAATAGCTAGATAAGAGAGAAACCGAAATGGCCATCGTCGACATCACCCGAAAGGGTGACCTCGGCGGTTTGCACCTTTTCGACATAACCATAAGCAAGGCAGATTCTGACCCAGCGTGTGCCCGACAAAAAACCTCATTATCAGTCAGGCCCCCTATGCTGCTGGCAACAGATACTCCGGGGGTATACCAAACGCCGGGTGGCGGACCAGACTGGGTAGTTAAGCATGTACGAGACATGGTAGAAGCGCTACAGGTACGCACGATCCTACCTGCCAGTTCCTGCAGCGATACACTGATTATCCGCGTCACGGAACAAATATCATGGGATTCTGATGAAATGGAAGATACGATGCCCGTAGTTCGCGTGCTTTGGGAGCTTCTAGAACGGCTTGACCTTTGGGAACCCTCAATACGACCGTCGTCGGTCAGCGTGATCCGAACAATCGCAGCGGACGCCATCGACCAATCCAATGAAACTGACAGTAAAGTCAACAAAAGTGATGGCCACTGTGACGACGGCAATGAGGAAAGACCACCGAGGGTCGTTGTCTTGGCGTGTCGCGCCCCTAGCGGCACCACTACCAATACCGACAGCGAGTCTAAGTTTATCCGACCGGTCTTTCACACCATCTTGGCGGCGACCGAGGAGCCTAACGCAGACGCCTCTACCGCCGTTGGTAATAACACCAAAAATATCACCTTTGTGCGTCCCGGTTCTTTTCGAGCCCTCGAGGCCGAACTCAAAGCCCGCCCACGGGGCTATTACACAACGATCCATCTGGACATGGAAGTTGTGCACAAATCCAAGTCCAAGATATATTTTCAGTTTATCAAACATGGAAAAGGCTCGTTTCAAGAAATACAGGCAGATCTCAAGTCCGCTTCCAAAGTTGGTGCGTTGCTTGCGCTATATGGCGTTCATCGCGTAATAATTATTCCCTGCCCGCTTGCAAGGTCCGCCACTGAGGCCGCAGCCGCAGCGCTTATTAGCGCCGGTATGTGCACCGTGGTCACCTTAGCATACCCAGCCGCGGAGAGGAGCGTAGATTTGTTCACAAGACGTCTTTACATTGCTCACGTTCAGCAAGCTCTTGGCCTGGAAGAAGCTGCACGAAGGGCGAGGCGATATTTGAGATCAGCAAGAGCTGATGTTGGTAGCGATGGGAATAAAGTTCCTGTCTGTGACTTCATACCGCTCGTATACGTCGATAGGGGTTGGCGCGTGCCTAGCCAGACGAGCTCCCACGTCAACATTAACGACCAGTCTCGTCAGTATGAATCCAGCAATCACAGCCAAATCCCATACCCATACGGACGCGAAATCGACATTCTCCACATAGAATCAATATTTCTGCTTGGAGACAGGTTGCCGCTTCTGCTCCGTGGCCCGCCCGGCATCGGCAAGACCGCGCTTCTGAACCACTTGCGCGTCTGGTGGAAGGCCTCAGGTATGATTGACGATTCGGCGCATCTCCACCTTGCCACAACTGGACCCTTTAATAAGGATGACATTCTGCAGCGTCTACAGCTCCATTTTACCCAAAGCCAGACCCCAGACCGTACATCTATTGATCCTTTGCGTGAGCATCTGAAGCGCCATAGGTGTCTCGTCGTACTTGACGACCTCGAGTCGGCTACTCTCAATAACCAGCATCGCCTGTTTCTGAATCTCTGCTCGACGCTGTCTAAGGCCGGTGCGATCGTAATTATGGCGTCGCGCAGGCGGGAAAAGTGGCTCAGCAAGGCATCGAAAGCGTATGAACTTGTTGGGTTACATACTTGGCCAGCTACTCAGATGGTCATAGATTCTGGGGTTAGCAACCGTGTTATCGATATCGATCTGCCTGCATCGCCGTCTACGCAGGAGATAATGAAAACAAAAGAAGACAGGGATTATATTGATGGGATCGTCGAGATGGTCGACGGAAACCCGCTGGTCGTAGAATTTATGATTCGGAGCGGCTTGTATCGATCTATCACCCCTAGAAATGCGTACTTAACCTTGCTTATAAACTCGCGCAAGCCCGGTGCTAGCTCTACCGCCCTTGACCTGGCCAACGTCTTATGTCCGGTGACTAAGCCAGAGTTACCAGAGCAGTTCCGCAGTGTGAGGCAGCTAGAAACAATCTTTCAAAGCCTTCTTCCCGCAAAATTAGGCGAGGGCTTCCTGCCAGCACTTCTTGTATCTTTTATTGGCGGCATCCCCTCAAAGGACCTCATCACGCTTCTGTACATCTGGAGCACAAGATTGAGACACAAACTAGGAGAAGCTGCTTCCATTCGGCGTATCCGCACCCACCTAGACTCTCCTAAGCTTCTCAGAGATAGCGCTAGACTCATTCACGACGCGGGTCCCGCCCTGAAAACTCTGTTGGGAATTGCTGTGGCGGTCACGTCCGAGCAGAGTTCAGCCTCAGGTCTTTACAGGCAGGAATCCGACAGAGGCACATCTTCTGTTACTCTTGCTAGTGCCGTCGTCTTTCGGGAGGACGTCGAGTTTCCTCAACAGCCACCAGCAATAAACGGCTTGCTGAATGCCATGTGCGATCGCGTCAAGGATACACTAGTCGAGGCCGGCATGCTTGAAGAGATACCTCTAGCTGACAACAATCGGGGCCTTATGCGGGTAAATCCACTAGTTCCTTTGTTCCTAAGGCGAGAAGCAGACTATGTCAACGACACATTTTCGATCGCATCGACGGCGCGCGAGGCATTTGTACTCTATTACTGTTACCGAGGAAAGAGGTATGTCCTAGTAGCGTTATAGTTTCGTCCCTCTTCTTTTTCATTAATGACACACCTTTCTGAAAACTACCTACTTACTCGTGCACAGGTGGCCGTGGGGCTATTGGAATCATACTCGGGGTAAATGGCCAGAGGCATTTGCCGATATTGAGGTTGAATTCGACAACTTTGCGTCTGCCTGCTTGACGGGTCTCTATATAATTAGTTTTGACACATTGCAGCTGCTTTCTTTGCTAAGGATTGCCGCTGTGCTCGAGCATGGCACCGGCGAGCCAAAATATTACTATAGGAAGAACATAGTCTTGCTGGTGTGGACTCTGGCTCTGGCCAGGATAAACGTAGCGATAGCAAAGCTCGAACCGACAGACCCAGGAAGCCAGACCGAGCTGTTCACGCTTCTTCTGGCTGCCGTCTACTTTTGCAGTCGGATTGGTCAATATGAAGAGGTTAACAGAAACTCGGAAGGAGCAAACAGAAGTAGAAAGTTGATCTCCAAGTATGCTATATTAGCCAGCATGAGAGTCCCGGAGGATGAAGCCGAAACGACACGCTCATTGGCGCCTAAAGCGCTCGAGACTGTCGCCCGCATGGCAGCCAACCCGGACTGCGAAATACGTTACAATATTTGCGATTATATCACTGGTCACATCTTCGAACGCATTTCGGATCCATTTCGTGCTCACACTCCGCCGGCGTCGTCTGTAGAGTCGTTGGCTTCGTTTGAGATCGATCTAGTCATTATGTTCTCTGTATGGGCCGAATTTGGTCGAGGTGCGAAGCTGACTAAGGATGCTCTCACTGCCGTGCAGAGAGGCGACTGGACTGCGGCTAACGAGTCGCTAGACATGACGCTCGAGCTGGAGCTCAATGCTGAGAAAAACGACTGTGCAAACAGGGCCCGCCTAGTTAGTCTGCAAGCAATTGTAGCTGATGGGCAAAAGGATTTCGAGAGGGCGAAGCATCTAAGAGAGGAGCAATCGAGACTTGAAGGAGTCGCCGCTAAGGCAAGTGAGGGCGAGGGTTTGTTTGATGGGCTCGGAGATTAGGTAGCTTCGAAGAATGTCGGCATAAGCGCGGTGGTTATCGATTGTGTGCCTAGCGACTTATATGAGCGGTATTAGCAAGTCCTTACAGTCAAATGGATTGTATCTCGAATTTCATATATTAATCAAAAGCCAATTTTTGTAGGTAGTTGTGAGTTGTTTTCCTTGAGTTCTAAGGTTTAGTCTAAAACTTCAAAATGTTCTACCTATCCTCTTGTGCACTTGATTACGTAACATTCCATAGTTTCCTAGGTGGGTCTGCACCTAAGAAACGTTCACGGTGCTATTAAGTATGTGCACTGTGAGGGGGAGCGGTACATATTTCTCTTCCGTCTTTTCCTTCCTCATAGAATATAGAACACCAACACATCCCAATTGACCTATTCTTTCATATACATGACCTTTACTTCATTAAGACCTACTATGTACAGACGGACACCTCAGTATTGTGCATCGGGGGTTATTCTCATCTTTACAGTTGAGGAGCCCCATCATTCCTCGTAAGAGATGGTAAATTCCTTCGTCTTCTGGATAGCCTGGCTGTTCCGCAAGATGCTCTGTTGGCTACCCGTATTCAAGTTACCCCTATTTGTACCGATTGCTGTCGTGCGCGTATTCTTGATGTCCGGTCGAGGAATGGTATCTAAAGCAAGTTCCGTATCCGTTTTTCTCGCTTTTCTTATTCTTCCAATGGTCATGATCTCGTTAGATCTGTCGCTATTCCCATAAGATTGATCTGTGCTGGTCCTGCCAACAAGCTTCCTCCAAAGTGGTCGAAGTACCGGGGCGGATACGCAAACAATCGTGATGGTTAACTCACTACTCGTCCACATGACAGAGTCGGCAGTGGCATCTAACTCCATGAGATTATATATTAGATACAGATGCTTAAGAGACGCAAGTCGGACTTACAAAGGTAATCAGCTGTCTGGCTTAATACTGCGAGTCCTGAGGTCCTGATAATGCCGCAAACTCCTGCGCTGTTGATGATTAACTCGAGACATGCGATTCAAGATAGGACATGACTTACAATATTCCTAAGCTAAGGGATACACAGATCGTTACTTTCTCTCTCCTCTGCATGTTAAGATTCCAAAGGATAGCCCAGGGAAATGCAGCCAGGAAGAAATCCATCGCAGCAGACCAAGCTTTACAATGTTAGTTCTCGCAATCCCCCTAGGTACCATCAGTACTTACAACACATTATAAATGCGATATTGGTTAGATTCAAGGGGCAAGATTTGGTCTTGATGCGCTCATCCCAAATTGACTCTACTGGGGTGCACTGGGCGAAGCAAGAAATAGCTAACAACAAAGACCAAGTCATCATAGTAACGATCCAAAACCAGAGGACTACCCTATGCCTAATATTGGTGAGCACTCCTTTTAGTAGCATAATGGGGAAGCTGATCATGAACATACCAAACAGTTATAATAATGCGCATCAGAAACATGGCCACGGAAGTCTTACTAAGACCCATCGCAAGTGACACTACCAATTGGCCGATAAGTTCGATCTTGGTAGCCACTCGAATATCATCTAACGAGATGTCCTTCGTATGCTGTCCGAAGCCATAGATCGATGAGGCAATCATGAGGGCCACGAAGAGTGCTTGGAAGAACTTTCAAGGACTTGTTAATGCTAGGGATGGGGGCCCTCCAGTGCGTCTTACTTACCCAAGTCATTATGAGAAGATAATCATCGCTCCCAACGCCCCCTTTTATAACTTTACGAGTGTAGAATCGCATGGCAACGAATGCTGCTGAAAGAACAGCTTCTGCAGAAAGTACTGCAATAGTCGTAGGACCTTTACCACCAAGAGGCATTTTGTCTGAGGTTAGATACAGATGTTTAGAAGATAGGGAATTAGTCTTCGAGTTGGATATCTACCTACCTACTTAGGTATATATGTATAAAAGATATAACTACACGATATATTTATTGCTAAAGGACGGTCGCGGGCAATTGATGCAAAGATAGGGACTCTATGCTGAGCTCAGGCACAACACCCCTGAGTTTGGAACTACTCCACGTAAAAACATGGACAAGGACAACTATGTCCCTGCAGGACTATCTTGAATTTCTTGATATGAACTTATTAACCTTCTCAAATTTTCCAAAGGCCAATTGCTCCATGTAATGGCGCGATCCCCATTGGTTCAGGGCCTCGGGCCACACGAATGCAAGTTCCCCTTCCCGTGTCCCCAACGGAAGAAGCTTCAGCAGAAGGTAAGGTCCAGAGTTTCTCACTTGTCTACCTATGAAGCTTACCAATATTTTTGCATTTATTCGGCTAGCATGTTAAAGTCTTAAAACTACCAAGGTAGGTAGGTAGGTACTAAGGTAAGTAACCAAAGTCATTGCGCCGTCGTTGTCAATTCAATAAGGCAGAGCTAGATAACTCAGAGACTAGCAATTCTTCGAGAAAGTTACCTACCTACCTACCTAGGTATGCTAATAGTATAATGGTCATTTTTAGCAGAGGTCATTTCAACCTCATGACTAAGTCGGAATAGACACTTGCCCACAAGCATCAAACTCACATTCATAAAAACAAGGTCCCATGTACTTCGCCAACACTAGAATCATAGTCCACTAATTTCTGTTAGCGGTGGCGTTCGGGCGTGTTTTAGATTTTTAGCCTGCATGATAGGTCCAAGGATCTCTGTAGATGGGCTTTTAGGTCACTTAGGTGGCCGTAATTCAGCGCCTACCCTCCCACAGTTAGCAAAGTTCTGGCTTTTGGCTACCCCCTAATGAATGAGTACAACGTGATTTATCAGAATCTTTAGGAACCAAAACTCTTCTGTACGCACGTAAAAGCACACCGCGTGCTAATATTTCTGTATTGCTTGATAAGTTACCTACCTACCTCTATAGGTCCAGCCGAGGATCATTAAGTTCCTCGTCCCCAACCCCATCCCATGTATATTGAATTGGATCGACGAATCGGAATCACCCCCTGGACCAACGCGGCAAGACCTGCAAGAAATCTCGATCTACTGTACGTACGTGCGAGTTCAATGTGAATCCCTTGCTCCCCGAAATAGTACTTCTGTAGTATTCGAATCATCACATCTTATTTCCGTTACTAGGCCTTTCTTGAAGTTCAGCCGCCATGGCGTCCTTGAAATTGACAGCCACATCATCACCAAATTTCGCAGAAATCTCTTCGAGCGTAAGGTTTTTAGTCTATAAAGAATATTAGTGGTTCCAATCGAGAATGCGGGTGTGCTAACACGTTACCTCTGGGAAATAGACAGCGATAAGTGCTGTAGATACCACAGTCACTGTGACAAAAACGAGATAGTACTTCCAACCAATGTTATCCAGCGCCTGGTTTATAGGGGCGTTATACGCAAGAGAATTGGCGAAGAATGAAGCAAAAATGATTGTAGACCCTTCGCTTCGCAGATACGTGGGCCATATTTCCGAACCGTAAGCGTACGAGGTACAATCAATCATCGAGGCAAAAGCGAATGCGAAGATGAAGTAAAATGCGACGATAGCGTTGATACCGGGATGATAGGTAGAGCTAAGATAATATTTCATAAGCCCTGTCATGATCGCGAGTGCTGCGGCATTAATTACTCCCCCAATTACTCGATCGAGCTTGTTAGTCGAAGAAAATTCAGGAATTTTTATAGAAGTCTCACCAAGAAGCCTAACGCGACCGATTCTGTCGATTAAACTGACGTTCACTACGCACCCAAAGATCACTACACCTGTCCACGCACAAGCCAAGCCAAGCTGAAGAGTGTCGTCGAACCCCAATCGGCCCATAAGAACGGGGAATAGATTAGCAATGGCAGTAATTCCAGTACCTTGTCCCATTACCCATAATAGTATAGAACATAACGCTCGTTTGCGAAGTGGTCGTGTTTTGAAGATTGATATGTACCCCTTTGGCAAATGCCTCTCGGCCTCAACCTGAGATTTGATCTGAATAGCTTCAGCGCGGACAAGAGCCCCATTTGCATCCGACTGAGTTCTATGTAACCTCTCGAGCTCTTTAATGGCTTGTTCTTCTTTACTTTTTTCCATGAGCCATCGCGGTGACTCCGGTAGAAAAATAATCGAGAGGGCAAACACGACTGCTATGGCGGTTTGGACAATGTATATTAGACGCCATTGGACTGGGCTTTTGACAAAGCTGAATATTAGAGCGCACACTGAGCTGGTGGCATAGGCACAGCCGATTGCTATACCTTGAAACCCTACCAGTAGACCGCGAGTGTGAGGCGGGGCGACTTCACTCATGTAAACTGGGCTATTGGCGATTACCATTCCGCCACCGATACCACAAATGACCCGACCGACGAGAAGCATTTCGATGCGATAAGATGAAGATTGGAGAACTCCAGCCACGGTCGAGACAAGAGCAGCCGCGAGGTTTGCTTTACGACGTCCCCATTTATTCGACACGGGAGCCTGTACAACAGCCCCAATGAAAGCGCCACCCATAAAACATGCTAGCAGCCCGTCCATGAGAGAACTTGCGTTTGATGTCGTTAGGAATAAGTTTTTGAAGCTGGTTTGTGCCAACGTTCCGCTCATAGAATTTACCGAGAAACCGTAGAGATATCCGCCGAGAGCAGCCGTGGCGCAGACCTAAGGAAGTACATATCAGAGTGAGAATGCCCACATACATTTGAGTTAGGTATCTTCTTTTTTTACCTGGATCGCCCGTGTCCCGGTACCCCTCGGACGAAGTTGGATGTCATCTCTGTCATTGCTGACATCGTTGCTCTCTCTGTCGGAGATAGGAGGATCGTTTTGGGATCTCTTCGATTTTTCGAGATGATCCATAATACGTGCAGGGCGTTGGTAACACAAATGGAGCATGGAAGCGCAATAATTACCTACCTAGATAATTTCGTGGCCAAATACTCCTTATGTATTTTGACATTGCTGCTTGCGCATGTCACTGCTTCACTTTGAATGGACTTAGCATTATAACGTGCAACCATCTCATTAACTTGATCTTCCATACCAGGTAGGTACCGGTAGGCATATAGACCATACCTTGCCATAACAATCTTGAATTGACATTTAAGAGGCTGTGGACTTAAAATGTGGGAGGGTTACATCGATCTGCAGTCTCCGCGCAGATGGTACCTATATTTTGTGATTTCCTACTAAATCTATCAGCGCTAATTAACTTTTCTAATGATCTCCTTAGAGATAGGGCTTCCACTGCAGGACAGGGGGCTGCGATGATTCATACTTTGGTATATAACACACCTTTTGATCCTTTGAAAATACATAATTCTAACCAATAAGCCATCCACTACTTTGCTTATTCTGTCGCATCTACCGTGAACAGAATCATTCCAAAATGCCTCGCGTTGCAGAGGCTAAGATCTTTCCGGTCCTAAAGGACAAAGTCGCAATCGTAACCGGCGGAGCGCAGGGTATGGGAAAAGCCACCGCGGAAGTTTTCCTGAAAGCTGGCGCTAAGGTGGTGGTCTGCGACATAAAAAAGGAGGGGGAAGACGTCGTCACGGAACTATCAAAACTTGGTGACGTTATCTTCGTCCAAGCCGATATATCCAAGTCCGCAGAGGTGCAAAACCTCATCGAGAAGACAGTAGCACGGTTCGACCGGCTCGATGTCGCGGTAAATAATGCAGCCCTGACCCCAGACAAGACGCCACTCACGGATTTCGACGAGGATTATTGGAATAAACTCACCAGCATCAACTTGACGGGCACGGCGCTCTGTTGCAAGTACGAAATGCAGCAAATGATCAAGCAAGGCGGAAATGGATCAATCGTCAACATCACATCCATCAACGCCTACAGACCTCAGCCCAACATGCCAGCATATACAGTTTCCAAACACGCCTTGATCGGACTCACCAAGCATGCAGCCACGGAGGGCGGTCTTCATAACATCAGAATCAACGCGATCGCACCAGGAGCAATCTACGTGAGAAATGCCCCTACCTCGGCTTTGAATTCCGAAAGCTAACCAAAAGAACATAGTCCGACATGTCCGCTGCTGCATTAAAGACGATGGGCACGACAGAAGAGGCGTTCACTCGCAGCGCCACCGTCTTCGGCCGGTTTGGGATGCCGCATGAAGTCGCGCAAGGATCCCTCTGGTTATGCTCCGACGCCTCGTCGTTTGTGACGGGGGTTTGCCTGCCTATCGATGGTGGCTTTCTAGCTATGTGAGACTGAAAGGAGTTGAATTTATTCGTGGCCATGACGTGTGTGGGGGGCTTCAAATCATTCGATTCATACGCGGTATTCGTAGTTCATGAGGTTTAAATCATTACTTCTAAAAATACCTACCTAGCTAATGGGAGAAGTTCCATGCTATCTGCGATATGTTTAGATTAAATGACCCGACGCGATAACACGCACATCATATTCTTCGCGTATTTAGTGCGAATTATACAGTTCACGTTATTTCGCACTGTCTTACAGGATACCCCGCTGCCCCTTTTCTGGGGATTCGTACCTCCAACCTACGACGGAATTTGCAAAAGACTTCCACCATTACTAGCGGGAATAAAGATCGTGATGACTCAGGTCCGTCCGAAACACTTCCATTCCGCGTAATCGGTTCGGGCGTTCCCCGCAGCTCGCTTATGAGACGTTCTATCTCATCATATCGGCAATCGTGCCATTTATTCTGGAGACAGGGCAGCTTTTGTTTTAGTCAGATGTAACACAGATGCATTCGTATTACCTTCTACCGAATCCCGCGGCACCAACATACATATATATCAAGGATCGGTCCGTGGATCGCGGTTTATAACCCGTGAGGGAGTTGACATGTGCGGTTTAGTTGTACGATGTAACCCTAGAAGACGAAAATCCGGGTCGGAAACTAACATTTCTCTATCTTAAAAGACTTGAAAATGTAGGTATCTACCTAGATAGGTAGTATATAGGTAGGGTACCTACAGAGTGGTAGAGCATTCCTAGCTAGGTTATTCTGTAATATATCAATTCGCTCTCCAAGGATGAGTGCCCCTCAAGTACCTTCATCTAGACCCGTCGTCCCGCGGATTCTCGAAGGCAAGCTAGCCATTGTAACCGGTTCCGCAAGAGGTTCGTCATATCTGCTCAACCTGCAACCTTCATCATAATCTGTATCTAATACATAGTATAGGTATTGGTGCGGCAATTGTCCGCAATCTCGCCAGTAAAGGATGCAACATCGTCATAAACTACGCTACAAAAGCCTCTGACGAGGCGGCGTCTAAAGCGTGTGCTGAATTAGAGAAGGACTTCGGCGTGAAGGCAATCAGAGTCCGCGCCGATGTCTCACAAAGAGCAGACTGCGCCAAGATCATCGAGGCATCCAAAACCCACTTCACAGACTCTCAAACTGGCAAGCTGCAGATCGATATCCTGATCCACAACGCCGCAGTGGTCGTGGTTGGTCCGCTTGAGAGTATCGACGAGGGAGATTTCCAGCATATCTATTCCATCAACGTGCTCGGTCCGATGCTCTTGACGACGGCTTGTATTCCGCATCTACCAACCGATAGATCCGGTCGGATTATCATGCTGTCGAGCATCAACCCCAAGATAGGCACATTAAATACGTCCTTGTATTCCGGTACTAAAGGCGCGTTAGAGGCCATGGCTCGTGTCTGGTGTCGCGAGCTTGCCGAACGCGCAACGGTCAACAGTATTAACCCGGGTCCGGTAATGACCGATATGTACTTGAGGGCACCTGAGGAGGCAAGACAATCGCTGGCACCGTGGAATCCGCTCACGCCGTTATCCCGCGTACGGTCAAGTGATTCTCCTGAGATGCGGGAAATAGGAGATCGTTTGGGTGGCCGCCCTGCCTACGTCCATGAGATTGCTGGTGTTGTCGGTATGCTGTGTACTCCGGAATCAGGATGGTGTACGGGCAGTTTAATAAGTGCCAATGGAGGGCTATCGTTCAGTTATTAGGTTATAATTCCATATTATCTGAGCACACCACTTACTCAACACCCCAAGATCTTACTATCCCCGTTTCAGTCGCATTTATCAAATCAATTTCTTGGACTCCTATGGTTTTAGGATCAGGGCCTTTTCCAGAGTAGTTAGCACCTTTGTACAACAAGCATTTCTACTCATCTTGAATGGTAAACAAAGTTGTTCAATTGCGAAGGAACATTACCGCGCAATCTATGACCAACAACAGTTCGTACTTTACGTAATTACCTATGTACGTGAATTACAAGCTCTAGAAACACTCAATTTCTTCACCTAGGGTGACAATTCATTATCAATTATGACCCTAGCCCAAGATCGTAAAGTTAACATGATACGTGGTCGTCTAAGTGCTCGCTTTCCGCTCTACACCACCGTCCCCTATATCTTCTATGTCCATACCAGCATACACTGCCATAAAAGATGAAGACATCCAGAAGAAGACGCTTCCAACGCAAGCTAAGCGCCAAATTGCAGTAAATTACCAATATGACGATAAACCACCCAGTCACCTCAGAATGTGTTATGTGTTTTTTATCCTAATGAAATTATTTTCAATTTCCTTTCCTCTCCATCTTCCCATCCCTCATCCTTCATCCCGCAACCCTCTTGCAAAACACCACAATCATGGAACCCTCTTCGCCTAAGCGGCCCTACTTGAACTCGGAAGCACTCGCTCAGCTCCCAGACTGCTCGCGTGATTCGGACATCTTCGACCTCATCCTATTACCGAAGCGGCTCGTCGAAGTTCACGCCCGAGGCATTTATCGTCATGGGGAGGTATGCTCACCAAGAGACGAAGCCTTCTACCGCACGGCAGTCCTAGCCATGTTCCAGGGTACTAAAGACGGTCGCATACTCAATGCGACTGATCTCGAGAAGGTCTTCTCCGACTACAGCACAAACCCTGTCCGAGTCATCGATCTCAGTTTGCCGGTGTTGTGGGTTCTCAATACCCGCTACTTCGCCAACCAGCAATTCAACGTCATCTTGCTCCTCATGGGCGACTCGCTGGAAGTTAGCGAGCTCCAGAAGTTGGTCATCCTCATGGATATCATCTTCTACTTCAACAACCTGCTCATGCGTATACTCGATGCTAAGTGCACCGAGGAATTTAAAATGACCATGTTTCCGCGGGAGGTTTATGTAAGTTTTCTATTTTCTTACTTCCATCAAACATACGCCTATCCTTTTCCAACACTTTCAAACCCGTAGAGAGCGCGTTCTCGCCTAGCACGAATACTGCAAATATCGGGGCTAACTATTGTAACAGCATATGCCTATGCTGGCCGATGACGGTGAATTAGCTTATTTTGTAAGTTTCCCCATTATACATCTACCAAATCATCATCCACATCAACTTGTATATCTCAGCATCGATACCTTCATGAGTCGGTAGCTGTTAGCTTGTGCAATACACGTCCCCATTTCCCTCTCTCAACTTCTTCTTGTGTTACTTCCTAGGAAACCTTGTATTAACAAGATGACCCTGTCTACAGGAGAATTTCATCAACTCGATGGAATTCGACGTCGATCAATTGGTATCGGAAATGCGTCGGTAAGCCCCCCTTTCTCCCCACACTTACTCATTCTACATCCACATCTCACTAACATATCTGTATTAGCAACGGAATCCGAAATGGCAACCGACCCCTTTAAGGCTTGATTATTTAGGATTGTTCACCATGCTGAAGAAAGACCCTGTCCCAATCCCTCAGCTATCGACGTAGCTTTCGTCGCACTTGATCACGAATGTTCCTTCCCGCAATCGATTGCCGACAAATTTGGACTTTGCGCATCACTCTAGCTGATCCTTAGCCAACGAGATGAAGTCAGGACCGCATAGAGCAATCGATGATCAACGATCTGAATACATCCACGATTACTGAAAGACTTTTAACACTTGTTCCGTGATTACCTAGAGAGGCGATATCATGATCAATCACGTCGGCATCCTTACCCGTTTTCTATAAATACTTGCGTAGACTTCAGGGATCTAAAGTCAGATACACTGAATACGGCCATTACAGAGAAAAAGCCAGATATAGCTAAGACGGGGATAGTCAGTCCCTGTTTAACATGATAGAACGTCGGGAGAGGGCTGAGTGGTTCCTCTTCACTGGTAGAACACCTTACCACGATACGGACGTAGCAAGTGAAAACAGAACGGCGTTGCCATTTTTCAACTGTTAGAATACTAGGTAGTGACCATCAAGTAGACAGTATACTTCCCAAAAATTCCATACTCCGCAGTACGGCCTAGCGGTGTATGGACAATGTAAACAGATACAATTTAGAATATGTGTTGATCAACTAGCGTCGTTTCGCAGACCTGAAGTTACGGAAATGTTAGGCTGAGCTATACCTGGGTAGGTATCTTACGCTTATATAGTGGTTGGTGCTTGTCGAGAGGAAGAGCGCAACTGCATGATAGTCTGTCTGTCTGTCTGTGGTAGAGTTAAGAAACCACTAGTGGTTATCATCAATGACATCATATCACGTAACACGTCATAGTATGAAGAATTACGAGTTCTCTTTCTTGAGTGTCGTTTTTCTCATTCGGTGCCTAGACGACGAAATTCGTTGAATACAGGACCGGAGCCGGTAATATATCCCTCACCCCATGACCGCCCTGCCTTTCCTCGAATTCCGCAGTATGACAAGTGCAAATATGATGATCGAGTTTCCCTAACCCTCACGCCGGATCTAGTTGCAAGTATGAGACGAATTGTGTTGGTGTTGGTATTTGTTTTGGTCGGAAAGAAAATGCAGAAGAGGCGAAGAAACAATTAGTAGCCGAATGACTCGAGAGCCTTGACCGTCTTGGTGTCGACCTTGGCGTTCTTCTTGGCTTCCGACAGTTGTCGTAGCGCAAGCTTCTTGCGCTCGTAGTACGCCGCACCCTTCGCCTTACGTCGCTCCTCCAATCTATAATTCGTAAGTCAGCAAGGGCTTTACTATGAAGTGCCATAGCTTCACGCGCAATTTGCCAAGGAATGGACAAATAACATACCGCTCAACAACATCCTGGTACTTCCAGCCAACTTCGTGGCTTAGACGACCGACGGTGCAGTACTTGCGACCGGGCTGTAGTCGGAGAACACGGAGAGCCTGGGGAACAACCATCTTCTTCTGCTTGTCGTAAGGGGGGGGGACACCCTCAAAGACCTTCAATCGCTCTAACGCAGCAGCACCTCGGGCAGTCTTGTGGGGGATCATGCCACGGACGGCCTTGTAGAAGATTCTGCCGGGAGCACGGAAGTGGAAGGGGCCTGGGAGTTGTTAGGTAATCCATATAGTTTAAGGCGCGAACCGCGATTTGTGCGGAACCGCCAGGGAAGAGAATTCTGACGTACCACCTCGAGTAGGGTTGTATCGGGTCATCTTGCGAAGGTAGGCATGGTACTTGACTGTAATTTTTTATATCAGCTCTTGTTCTCGGACTTGAAGTCTGCCTCCATCGATGAAACAAAGAATCCCAAGCTCTTAACCAATTCCAACTCAGTCCAACCAAAATATCCAAAACCAATGTGACTGGGGGAGCGGGTGTTATAGGTGTTACGTACGCTTCGCGCGGAAGAATTCGCCGGAGATGTTAAGGGCCTCGCAGCGGACGACAACGATCTTCTGACCGCTGAGGAGCTGCTTTGCGACGATACTGGCGAGTCGACCGAGGAGGTGACCCTTGCCATCAATGACGACCTAGAGAGAAGTTTACGTTAGCCTGAATTCTTTCGAATTTCTCCAGTTATAATTATCACCGATTTGGTGATTTGGTGTAGGGTCGCGAGTGATAATGCCCATTTCCTCCTCAATCAGCCAGCCACATCAATTCGAAATACTCCGACTCGCTCTTCCCAGGGAAATCAGAACGTTGGATGGATCTTGTCTTTTACTTACAACAGGCTCGAAGGACGACATCTTTCTGAATCGTCACCACGGTTTCGCGGGTGGAAACTTAAGAGGCGGACAGGATGAAGAAAGAAAAGAGAAGGAGGAATGGAATAGGCCGAGAGCGCAATGAAATATGCGTCTATAACCTATTAAATCCTCGCTGTTGTATGTTAGTAAAGTCGCGGGTTGGTTGTTGATGGTCGCAAATATGAAAGGTTCATCACAAGATGTTGAAAATTAATCGGGAAACACATTACCTGAGAGTGTGCACAGTGGGAGAATATCACTAATCCCGATTTGGAATGGTGGGGCTAAAGCGGAAGCGAGAGGGTTTATCGCCTAATATCACTAGGGCTTGCATAACCTAATAATTCTTACAAATTTAATGCCTGCCAAATTCGAGTAGCAGCTGGCAACGGGCTGAACGGCATTTCGGCAAGTCCATCTGACTCATCTTTGGTGGACATCCGGACTCACTTGCCGGATCTACACAGTCTACGTAGATACTTAGGTACATGTCATTGAAGCACTCGATGTATCTTCACGATGTCTTCTCGCTGTTCAAATACCTGTCCACCGTTTCATTCATGCTTGAAATCTTACAGCCCCATTCGCTTGACAATGACAACGATAGCAATGATATCATTATTAATTTTTTCTTTCTTGTTCTTTCATAAGTCAAAATCTACCTTTATCAAATTGACACCCCGTCTGCCCGTGCAAGCCTGCTAATGCAACCAATCGCCCAGTCTTGGTGTAGTATTAGAGTCAATGATCTCTCCTTCCTACCTCACTATGCTCTTCGTAAACTGTCCGACTATGGAAAGATAATCCTTCGGACGTAGGCAACGATCCAGTGCTATGGTAGGCATTTGAGGGGAGAATCGTTCTATACAGGAAAAATAAAAATAAAAACTTGTCGTAAAACATGTTATAATTGGGTCAACTACCTGGCAAGCAGTTAGGTGATGGGGAATAGCTATAGCGTAGATCATCTTCCCCTTGACCTGCTGGAGGAGGGTTGGCGTTCGTCAAGCTGCCTCAAGATATCCTGAACATAATTGACCAATTCCTTTCTCTTCGCCCTGATATCCGGATCACCTCCTGTATCTACTTCGTCAAGCTTTAGTAGCGTATGTTGCATTACCGTCTCGCTTAGCTTTCGGTGTTCGTCTTCGCACTTCTTCTTATCCGATGGCGTATTGCTTATGAATTGTCGGCAAAGAGGTAAGAGCTTTGCGTCGAAGTTAGATCTGATCGCGTCTAGTTTTTCGCTGGCACCGGAAGGCACCGCAGGGGAGGGTACTCTCGATGGCTGGGTGGAAGGATCCGGTGATCCGCGTCTGCCTTCGTCACGTTGTCCTGGCACTTCGAGATTCGCAGAGCTTTCTGCAGGACCGGGACGTTCCCTCTTTCTCCTTTTAGTCTTGCTCTTCTTTTTTCTCGACTTTTGCTGGTCGATGGAATCTTCTGTGACAACAACTTCTTCGCTGCTGCTCTCTGCATCCTCGTCGCTTATCCTGCCTTCGGGTACCACAACTAGCAGCTCGCTGTTGTTCTTTACGCCGTAGTCGCGGATAGGGACATCCTGCTCTTTGAGGTGGCGGCCCTTGTAGAGCATCTTCAAGCGACGAATTCGACGATCGCTGAGATCCATAACCAATCCAGCGCGTTCACGCACATCCAGCACGCGCAACTTGCCATCGCCGATAGAATATGCAGGGAAGTGTACTGGGTATGTGATGCCTTTGTTCTTGATTAGAAGTACGTCATCGTCGAGGGGGGCGTTGGGCGGTGGCCGTCGGCCTTGAGGGTCGTAGGCTCGGGTAGGAGATTGTAAAGAATTTTGGAGGTCTTCCGATGTGATGTAGCTAAAGTCATCATCAGTGACATGAGGCACGTCTTGATTATCGGACTGAGAGGCGTAGGGAGATATGGCGTCGCGAGAACCCCAGCCGAATCGAGACATCATGCTGAGAGGCAATGCAAGGGCTGCGGCTGTACCAGCAATAGTTGAATAGAGTAAAGTCGGTGATACTCCCTGCGAAACAAGGTACTCGTTAGATCCGGCAACGGCTTCGGAAAGATGGCCAACGGTTGTCTCAACGTAAGTTTGCAATGCAGGCGGTAATAAGGCAGTGATGTTCTTGAAGGCACTAGCTGATGCCAAGAATGCCTGATTCGAAGCCACTTTGAAGAGCTAGGTTGTCCCGGAGGACACCCAGCGAGGTTTCTTTATTTTAACTTGCGGAGAAGTTGAAAGGTGCAGATGCAGCAGCAGGTGGTACCGATACTTGCGGCAGGCAATCGTCTGAGAATTAGGTATTCGCTGCTCGACTTAATGCAGGTGATCTCGGGACGGAGCTGTGCAGAATGGCCCTAGGACTTTTCAACGAGTTTCCGTTGGCCGTTTTCAGGTCGCCTTCTCCTTCTCCTCCTACCAAAAATCGAAGTTGTTTGTAGCTGCGACTTCGCCCGGCACCGTCTAGTACTGTCTAGTACTGCCGAGTACAGCCCAGTACAGCCTGGTACTAGTACTAGAAGTGTATAGGTTACTATAGGTGCTGACCTATAATATTCGTGGGGTCAGGCTCTAGACTCCAGAGATCTGCAAGATTCGTGCAGTAACTTCGTCTACTTTGGACACCTTTGGATTCGAATGGATTCTTATGGACTTCCAATGAATTTGTCTGGCTCCAGCGCTTGTCGTACGCAGTGTAAGGTTTCGTTTCGACTATTCAGCGGAGCGTTTGATGTGTTGTCACTGCGGAAAATACAGTTCGGTCAAGAGTGAACCCACGATAGGTTGTCTAGGTTGGCTGGATGGTCATGCGATTCAATGGACAGGTTGCTTAGGTTGCTTAGGTTGCTTATGGATCTTCAGTCGCGAAATTGACCAAGACGTGTGCTTCTTATTGGATCGGTTCTTAGGAAAGTTCCACAGCTAAGGCATCGCATCTATGATTGTGCAACTCCTCCTTTCTTGCCTTGGGACTTGGGGCTCGAATCACCAGATACGGGTATGCGGGATAAAGATTGAGTTATCCTCTAGCAGTGATGAGGAGATGGGATTCCGTCGCAATTGGATGGTACGTATGTATGTACCGTAGATAACGATGGGGGAAAGAAGGCATTTATTGGGCAGAATGTTAGTGAAGTTTGGTCGGAGTTAGTGAGAGGAGTCTTCGAAAAGAGACGTTTTGTCAATTGCCAATTGGTGAGCCAAGTGTCAGACAAGGCTGGCTTGGGATTAATCTTACGAAGTGTCAGTAAAAAAAAAAAATAACAGATTACATACGGAGTCCCAAGTTGCGCCTAGTAGATTCTAGTTAGATGTCCTGGCAGACTAGCAGACTAGCAGGGGACTGTTAGTTTCGCCTAGCCTTATTAGGTAAGGCGGTGGCAGAGTCGTTGAATGGCGTCGTTATGTAAGCAAGCTGTTTCCCGAGACGAAAATCACTTTGGCTCTTCATTGTCCCACTTCCATTGAATAAACATTTCTCACATCGAAGTAATTGCGTCATTTTTGTCCCTCATCTTTAACCCTGTTCTCTTACCAGAGTCCCGACTTCCAAACAAACTAAAATACTTAGTTACATATTTGTACCTGTAGCCGTTAGACATGTATCCCTAGACCAATATTTGTATGAATCAGTACTTATCCATTCAAAGTAGTGAACATTAGGTATGTATTCTGTAAATTCTTTTTATATCCCGAGGTCTCCGATTTCTCTGTTATCTTGGTTCTGTGTGACCTATGATCTCAAATCATCAATCCCTAATCCGTTCTAATCTGGTTTACAATTGCACCTTCTGCCGTCATCTACATCCCGCTGTCGCAGAATCACCTGTCACTTGGCAAAAAGGGGTAGCGGTTACTACATATCCCTCCCTGACAAATACACCCATACCATTTGCTATTTCCATATCCATTAGATCATACTAAATCGGGTGTGACTATAAAACTTGAAATACCCCACCAGTTCAGTGTCACATCTTTGCGACAGTTATCAACAACTCAACTTTCATGTTTCTTATCCGACGATTCTTCTCATCTCCTATAACAGCACAAGTCATGGCCGACGCAAAGACCAAAGCCCAGAGCATCATCGACGAGAATGCCGTTGGTAAGTTCCCATGTGATGTTTGCTATGTTCAACCCGGTTATTCAGTGTTTGCGAACCAACTGCAGCAACTCGCTACCAACATCTGCATTATCTCCCATATACCGTCTGCAGTCTACAGTCTATAGTCTGCCGTCTACCATTACCATCCTTACTTAAACTTCCCAACAAAAATAAATAGAGAGGACAATAACTAACAGATTTACCCCCTTCCGTAGCCGTATTCTCCAAGAGCTACTGCCCCTACTGCAGCTCCTCGAAGCGGCTCCTCGACAGCCTAGGTGCCAAGTACAAGCTAGTTGAGTTGGACGAGGTGTCGGACGGTTCCGAAATCCAAGCCGCGCTGGCTGAGATATCGGGCCAGCGCACCGTTCCCAACATCTGGATCGGCAAGAAGCATATCGGCGGCAACTCTGACCTGCAGGCCAAGTCCGGCGAGCTCAAGAACCTCCTCTCCGAAGCCGGCGCCCTATGACTGCATGGACCCTCCTCCAAGCTATGAACGAGTTATGAATGGATGAGTTCCCAGCCAGGGACATCACTTCGCTGTTTATAGAGTTGTTCTCTTAAGAGCTATAGAACTATACAATGCGTTGGTTTCAACATCTGAGGAGATGCATCGGAATGTACTCTTTTCTATCATGCGAATCAGAGAGCGAGAAAGCGATGCAATATGGTTAGGCTTCGATCGACTTTGTCTCGGATAGATGTCTACACACCTAAGCCCCACCGTTAATAGACTTATGGATGCGCCATGAACAGACGAAGTATGGTTCCGAAATCTTCTTGCTTGTGACTTAGTGGATACTACAACGATAAGAAAATGTTTTAAATATCTGCATTATCTATACTATGACTCGAATCAATGGTCACAAGTGCATATGTAGATTCTGTGGTTTTGGCGTTCGAGTTGGTGACTGCGCTTTATTTACTAGCGGTCAGCCCTAGATATATAGTGACGCCCCCTTAACTACCCAAGTCTAGATTCACGACCCTCCTATTTTATACTTTCTGTCCATGGTGTATGAATATCCTAATGTTTGAGTAGGTAATAACTCTAACCCCCTTTATTTGCTTATGATTTTATCATGTTATACTTCTCGAGCGTGTGAATAAACTTGTCAGATCTAACAATGACTACTCACAGATAGCTGATTACCACAACCCTTCGAATTAGGATTGGGGAAATTCCATACCGGTATCCTCAAATATCACCATACAGCAGAATTTTGACCGGTGGTTAGAATCGGTACTCCATCGGATGAAACACTAGGAGAACTAGTATTGCTATTGAGCACCTAACATTGAACGTATAATAAAGGCCCAGGGATTTGGTTTCTTATCTCCCAAGATCGATTAACAGCGAACATAACCGACAAGCCGACCAAAATGATTACTCATGCAGTCGCCAGAACATCTAGGCCGGTCGGTTTTCTCTCCAAAACATGAGTGTGTAGCCTTCACACCATCGAACAGCCAACGGCTTTTTGCATGTATATTCCTTCGCTGGCTCCGAATGCGGCGTAACTTCGTAAATCCATATCCATCTTATCTTTCAGCACACGTGCCAAAGAAAAGGTCGAGACCGTTCCGCCACGTACCGGGGCTTTGAACGTAGCTTCCGGGGCTGAATCCGAATCCGAACCATCGTAACACGGCAGAGCATACGGGACGAATAGTTACTTATGCGCCGCGTGGTGGTGATGAAAGGGGCCTCCCTCCTCCGAGATTCTAGCAAGCCTGAAAGACCGATGCGACTGATGGGACTGAAGCTCGTATGATGGCGGCACGTAAGGGATGGCTGTGGTGTCGACGCCCGGCGTACTGCCCGTTGCGGTGTCGCCCGTACCACCCGCTGTAACTCCTACTCTGGCAGCGTTGCTAGCGGCTGCTTCGGTGTGCTCGGAATGGTTCGCGCGCCGGAAGGGACAGTACCACATGGCTAAGATGATTGCGATCAGGACAATTGGGACGAGAATGACACCGATGGTGCCCGCCGTGCCCAACATTTCCCTACTGGTTAGGTCCGTGAGATAAACCGGGCATTGAGTGTTCCGACACAGTTAACTGTGCTGCTGAGGATCGGTCATTTGGGAATTCGAGAATGATCTTGGAGCGGGCATCTGGGAGGTTTGGTCGTCTAGAAATGTCGCAACGGACGGAGAAAAAAGGAGATGTTCGGCATGATCGACTAGCCTTTTTGAAGTTTCCTGGTTTCGAAAGTCTGGTGGTTACATGTCCATCCGCTACTACGTGACCATTTAATTTGCATTTTATACAGCCAAGATGGTTCTTTGCTGACACCATGTCTTGGACCTGGTGTTTTCGATAGTATTTGAATCTGCCAGCGTCAATATCACAGCCACCGACTCCGGCAGACGATGTGTGTCCTTCCTCATGATGAAACGGGGCCAAGCATCTCGGATCGAGGAGGTGAACAAGACATCGTCACATTCGGATCTTTAGCCTAGTATACCCGGCCAAGAAGCATGTTCGAATCATCCGGGACATTCTTGCATTACCGAATAAGGCACCTGGTGGTGGGTAGTACGAACGAGCAAATTGACATGATCATGATGCTCTCGCTAGATGACACAAGAGTGGATGGAATGCTGCGTAATATACACCAATGTACAGTTGCTCAACGCTCAAAAATGCGCAGTTCACCAGTTATAGGCGACTTCGGCATATACGCGTCATACTACCTGTGTAGCGACCGTACCCACCGGTCTCTCCACAAACTCCATGATACCTTCGACTATGTTCTTTCTTGCAGGTTCGGACGCAACCTTGCTGCCGGCTAGGTAGTTGAGCCACAGTAATCGAGACAATCGTTCTTCGGCCACACTTCCGAGGGCGATTATTCCAGTCTTTCCATCGTCAAATGTGATAGTCAATTGCCCGGCTGCATCTCGAACTAGGAGCATTTCCCGTTTCTTCGGCACCTTTCCGCGGTTGAATAAGCTTCGGAACTGCTTCATTGCTTCTCCGAATGCTTCATCGCCGTAGTCGCTGTTGTTTCCTTGTGACCTCGCCGTTATTGCGCGTACGAATCCATCCCTCAGGTGATGGAAGTCCGTATCCCTCGTAGGCACGATTCTGAACAACGAGCGCGGCTTCACCTCTTGAAGAATCTCGGTCCATAGCTTTTCCCCTCGTTCCGGGTCTAGTAATATTTTGCGCAACTCATCCTTTTCGTTCGGTACTAGTGTTGTCGCGATAGGATTTATCGCCTTGGTTAGACGTGACTGTATCGCAGCGATGTCTTGTGTCGCGATATAATACCCTACCATATACACTTGGATGCTTATGAAGCTCACCGTTCTCACACCTAGCCCGACCAAAGTGTATTCCACCCCATTGATCTTCTCTCGCCCTTCTTCAGCCCCAAGAGTAAGATCAAGTACCCTTGGAAATGTAGGAATGGTACTATTCCCCGTCGGAACGAGTTCCGTGCCGTCCCCGCTATGAATGACCGTCTTGCGCTTCGAGCCAGCTTCGGTACTAAAGGGATCCAGTTTATCAGGCAGTCCGCTGTCAAGCTTCTTTGGCGTGCGAAGCTCCTTATAAAACAGGTATGAGAAGTATCCGGTTATAATAGTACCGGATATCGCACCACAGAGCAGGAAAAACTGCCGTTTCGCATTATGGGCAGCAGCGTTCGCACGCATACGATTGACATTGAGATCCTCGAGTTGTGGTGTTCGTGATTGCGTTCGGATGGATCGCCATTGTCGCGGATTGGTACGTTGAAAACCTGAAAGATAGCATGGACGTGGCGTAAGAGACCTTAACGTGTTTTTAGGCAAGTAGCGTATCGGCTTCATCGTGGGCAATGGTGTCTAATAGACATTTGGTAGACTTTTAATGATTAATAAATGAAAGTCAGCAATTCGAGAGACCTTCCCGAGCTACGTATTAGCTAAGCACGCTAACGATAGATACTTAGGTACATGTATAGGGGAATGAAAATCGGACTACTTTTACGTCATCAACGGGTCAATGTAAACCCCGCTTTCACTTAGTCAGCTTGGCGCGACTTGAGTGCGGGGTGTAGCACCCCTCATAAAAGGGGGCCCCTTTTTCATCTTTCACCACTAAGGTTGTGATAATTATTTGGACATACTCTATAAATCCATAGACAGGTAGCAGGTATATACAATTTTCTACGTACCTCAAGTCATTGATCTCATCATTTAGATCCTTCAAACAGGTTCTATACTACCCCCTGATGTCTGTACTGTTATGTCATATTGAATAACCTTCCGAATACCCCGAGCTTCTTCAATATCGCTGACCTGGTCCCCCGAGTAACCGGTTTCTAACATATACTCCTGGCTGGTACCGCCTGTAGAGTGTTTTCGACACTCAACACGAGTTACGCGCGTACTTAGTATTTCTTTGTCTCCCCGCATCGGGGCCCAATAACTACGACTAGAACTGTTCGAATGCTGGCTTGGTTTAAAGCCGGCTGAGACGCGTCTCGGAGGCGAGGCAAATATCGATGGAAACATATAGTTGAGAGGCCCCTTACACATGGGCAGACATGCGCAGATAATAGCAACATTTTCTTCGATGACTGTCCAAGTGGAGGAAGCAACGTCGTAAGTGGGATCGGAACTGGTGGAAGAGAAATTAAGCGTCTGCATTCGCAATATACTTGTTATTGTGACGCTAATTATTCAGGTCAGCCATGTTACAGCTCACACTTTGCAGCGGGTATCTCATCGATGTCAGGATATTGATCACCAACAGTTGGGACTTACAAGATGCCTAGAGCAAAAACGATTATCAACGCCCATTTCTGCTTCGTTGGAAGACTGGATCGGTAGATTGGCTGCATTGGCAACACGAGTATCGCAATATCCGTAGCTATCGAAAAACCAGCATTCGCGTACCAGTTACCAGTAATGCTGATACATGTCCCTGGTATGGATTTATCCCATGCTCTGCTGATGGGGGTACACTGCCAAATCGACGAAGCAAAAGTCGCCACCATGTATCCCAGAATGATACTCAGTAAGATGTAGCATGAGATCTTAAACCATCGCTGAAGGAATATGCGGAGATACAATAAGATAACAGATGCCTTGGTCAGATTCAATGTGAGCTTGTAGAATGCTTGCGCAATATAATAGAGCTTTTCATATATCAGTTGACTTGATTAATGAGTAAGGTTCTGTCCAATATGTAGTTACCTCAAGCGTGAGTATTTGCTCCGATACGGTAATCTCATAGATATGTTGTCCAAAGCCATGCATACAGGCAACTATCAACAGACTCGAGACAATCTGAGCAAAGGTCTTGAAGGGGCATAAGTTAGTTACCGTGGAAGATCTGTCCGGAGAGGACTAAGTGAAGCATACCCATGAAACTATGATGGTATAATCATCCCATCCTAAGCCCGAGCCTGTCTTAAGCCGGGATGATATTCGTATGATCAGGAATATGGGGGTCAAGACGAAGAAAACAATGCAAGGGATTTCTATATCGAGGACATTGGTATCCACTTTGATGTTATCATCCATGACTATGCGCAGTCACAGGAAAAAATGGCCTTTCTCTAAAAAGGCTCCTGTATTGTGATCTTTGAATGTCTCGTAGGTATCACTTATATAAGGTTATCGCACATAGTCTTTCCCCGTTTCAATCATCATATCAGCTCAGAACTTCCTAAAAAAGAGGCCATTAAGCCAAGCTCATATAGTTGCGGATATCAATCTTACTATAACTCACCAAATGCAGGAATCAAATTCCCGAATCGGCAACCTTCGTGAACAGACACGTTACGCAAGGTCACGAATACCGGCGTCGTATTCAGATCGTATGCTTGTTTTCTATTGGAGATGGGCGGCACGCTTTATAACCATGACTAACTTACATAATTGCTTAACTCTAGAAACTGCCCAATGTTGGATGTACCGAGCTTCCGTACGCGGACAAGAAAGGTCTGGTCGCCGATTCTCATACCACATCTTAGTGTCGCCTAGGTTACCATCCGATCTACAAAGCCAGCCATTGTTCTCCATATAATATGCTCTAGTGATCTACAGGTAAATCTAAACCAAAATAACAATGTGTGGAAAGCGTGGGGGCATATTTGTGCTTTACTGTACAATTTAAGTCTAGAGGACAAAGTCACATTGGGGCTATGTGTGAATTGAGTGGGTTGATGTCGGAATACTTAAGCTTTATTAAAATACTTAGTTCATTAGGTAGGTAGTATGAAGATTTGATATTTTATTTCTCTATATAAGATGGTTATAAGTTCTTAACTTTATCTATGAGTCGGGACTATAGTTATGGTAAACCGAACAAGTTACATTAAATGTCGAGACCGCAGCACTCAATGTCCTGCTGACTTACCACGGTACTTTTGACTGGCAATTGACCTCGATCATTTGTGAAGACGGTTGCCCACCCATACATAATGACTAAACATTAGTATTTGCTCATTAGCAAGAAAGCTTCCACAATCTTGAAGGGCCTGAGGTTACATCGGAGCCATAACGCAATATGGAAGCTCCAACTAAGCGATATCTCTGCTGCAACTCTAGAGATGCCAAGATCGAAAAATTGTCTAGACCCGTTCTTTCCCGGCACTTGAACATAGTAAGTAACTGATGGTGGGACGGACTTCGACGGGATATGCTCGAATTTTATTACTTAGACAGAAACCCTAAGACACATGGCATACCTCAAGAACACTACGTCAATACTAATTTCTGTGGAAATTGGGATTGGCTTATTACTTGCTAGGGAACTTTGGTTCTTTATAAACCTCCCTTTCCCCTCATAAGTTTTCAATTGTGATTTAACACAAGTTCTACCCACTGAGTGAGTAGAGAGTTGGATCCACGAAGGTAGAATCTCCAAATGTCCATGTACTAACTGAGGCAATGCCCCGATTATGTGACAGTGCTTTATACCGACACTAGGCAGGTTTTCCCCAGCTTCCGCCGCGCCGGACGTACATATATGGAGATTCGGCTACAATATCAGTGTTTGGATAACCGCCGATCCGTCGAATCTAGATGCAATGAGGGGTTGGAGATCATATAACTTGTTATTGAGGTACGATGCAGGACAATAGAATTTATTATCGTCGTGATGTAGATTCTACCATATTTAGAAATAATATCATCTCATACCACTGCTAGAGAACATCATGATTGAGTCTTAACCTTACAGAATTATGACCCCAGATATTATCCTTGAAGTACATATTTAGCGACCGCTCATTATATGATGTCTTGAAGGGTTTCTTTGCGTGTAATTGAGTTTTATGCGCCGATAACATTATGAAAACATTCGCAATCGCTCTGACTATTATCGGATTCGCCATATCTACCCCCCAATATGTAGCAGCCCAAGATCCAGGACCGATATGCGATGTACCCTCTGCTGGGGACTTAAACGGTTCGAATTTCACATATCCGTTTCCACTGAAAACTTATAAGTTCACCTCCCAACTCCAAGAGGTTGAAATGGCTTTCATGGATGTTACTCCAACAACTGAGCCGAACGGAAAGACTGCTATTTGTCTACATGGGAAGAATTTCTGCGGGCCCACGTGGGAGGAAACTGCTAGGCAACTTGCTGGAGTAGGTTACAGAGTTATCTTGCCCGATCAAGTTGGCTTCTGCAAGTCTTCGAAGCCAAGCTCATATCAATACACCTTACAACAATTTTCATATAACACGAAAAGTCTCTTGGACGTGCTTGGAATTGAGAACGTGACAGTGATCGGCCACTCTCTAGGAGGAATGACATCTATACGCTTCGGCTTGATGTTTCCTGAGATCGTTGAGAGGTTGGTATTGGTAAACCCTATCGGTTTGGAAGATTGGAAGGCCCTCGGCGTGCCTTATAAGCCTGTCGACATCTTAGACGTTATCGAGTCTTCAAGCAACTATACAACAATTCGAGAATACGAACAACCGACGTATTATGTTGGAAAGTGGGACGTCGCATACGATGTATGGGTGAATATGTTAGTCAATATTTATCAAGGGGATCAGGCGGCTGCGTTTGCCTTCAACCAAGCCCTTGTCACCGACATGGCCCTCAGCGCCCCGGTGGTTTATGAGTTTGGAATACTAAAGCCGCGGACACTGTTGTTAATCGGCAAAAAGGATAATACAGCTTTGGGTAAACAATGGAGCCCACCGGAGGTCCAAGCCATACTGGGTCACTATGATGTGCTGGGAAAGCAAGCAGCTGCGGCTATGCCAAATGCTGAACTGATTGAATTTCCAGACTTGGGGCACGCACCACAAATCCAAGAACCTGGGATATTTCACGAAGCATTATTGGCTTGGCTATTAGAATAGAATTTTGTAACTTCAATTCTTGGGACGAAATTGTCAACATAGGTATGCGCACCTCAAGTAATACATATCCGAATAGCATAGACTCCCTCTATGATGCCTCTTCTATCTATACCTAGGCAACCAACTATAGTTGGTTTTCCAATGGAGCCCTATCCTCTTTAATATCGATCTTCATAGTGATACAAGTGCCTAAGCCGGCCAGTCCGGTCATAAGGGATTCCATCTGCGCACCAGTGCATATCATGTTAACGCAGACTTGATAGTGCGCCGACTGGTGACTCCATCCTGATATGCTCGTCCTAGGTGTTGTGCTCGCGCTAGTACCAAAATGCATACTAGGGGGTGTATCCCTGGAGCCGGGAATAGAGCTCGTATCTATTCCCGCTGTGGTGGAAGGAAGTATTTCAACCGTTCTGTGTAATTCATGAAATCCTATTGGGTTGGATAGATCGATATTCGTAGGCGTGGTACCTATTTTCAGTTAGTTAGAATGCCCTCGTACATTGGTTACTGGGAAGATCAAGCCCAATTACCGTATGATTTATATTGCAATCCTGTACTAATTACCCCTGAATCCTCCATACCACAGAGGTAGTTCTCCCCGGGTGTCAATTCTAGTAAATCTTCATAGTGTATATGACTTTCTGTATCGTTTGTCCAATTATCCATAGGAATAGGATGGGCGTCATGATGGAAATAGTCGAGGGAAGGAAGAGCGCTCGGCTCAGGAAAGTCGGCCCAATCGCTTGAGGCTGTTACAGCTGTGTCTTGCATCTGGATGTCTACTGCCCCATTATCAACTCCATTATGGCTATTCCCATGTTGAATTTGAGTGATGCTGTTTTTGGAGTTTCCGCCTTCTCTACTTTCATCATCTCCATCGTCGTCTTCATTTTCCTCATCCTCATCCTCATCATCCTCTTCCTCGTCTGATTCGATTAGAATGTCGACCGTATCAGATCCCCTATCTTGGTTTGTTTGAGCTGGTGGACTCCACTTGACGTCTCTCTTAGAAGGCGTCATAGTAGGCTCAAAGTTAGATGGGGATGTTTCAACTGATTTCCTGACTGCAGACTCCCTTTTGTTTTCATTTTCATGCTTTAGTCTCAGAGTAGAATACCGATTTTTCAGTGCAAGTCTGGTCCTAGGAGGTACATGGGACGCCGCTATAGTCGCCCAATTGGTGCTATGAGTAAGAACTGCATGAAGCAGATTAGCATCCTGGAAGACGTTAGTGATTACCCAGTAGTAACGTTTCGAATGGTGGGGAAGACCTCTTCTGCTGTCCAGTCACAGTAATTAATACCTGGGTCTAGCACTTGACTCCAATGACTTGAACATTGATCAGGATTCCTGGATTTTATAGCACGCGAGACCCGGCTCCAATTTGCGCCATATTTCCTAACAGCCTCAATGAGACGTTCATCCTCTTCTTCACACCACTTTGATTGTCATGGTTAGCAATCTTCCTAAGAAAGTCTTTCAGGAGTCACAAGAATATTTGAGAATCGTAACTCATTGGTGAACCTTGTTACGAAGATCTCACTCCCGAAACCAGAAAAAAAGGGGAGGGGCTTTGGGCGTTACGTACTGGCCCTTTTGTGGTGCCATCTGCTAGACTGTTCCACCATCTACGACGACAGTCTTTATTTGATCGGCCGGGCACAGATTTGGCCAAATCTCGCCAGAGTAGCGGGCGGCCTTGCGTCGTAGCTTCACAGAGTCAGTATCCATAGTATAGATAGGAACATTCTCCCCTAGTGACTTACCACTTTCCACAGCACGACGTAGTAAGGTATCCTCCTCCGCTGTCCATCGTCGCCGAAGGCGAGCCATGTCGTCTGAGTACTAATGTTTTAAACGTCGAAGTGACCTTGGATGCTTTGATATTATGATGATCCTCCCATGATACTGATACAGTACTACTATACAACTGACATGAAGCAGATATATAAACGGAGACAAGTATTTAAGTTGGACACAGGGTTTAGAGACACTGGACAACTGCAAGGATACCTGGCAGGGTCAGTGGCTTTTGACTTGGTCCCTGATAAATGGATAAATAACCTCACGAGAGATTTCGTCTTGTACCTATACTGATACCTAGTAGGCAGTGTAGGACTCGTGTGGTGTAGATGAGGAAATGGAGTTAGTCAGGATCAAACCTAGATATAGCGCTAGCAGCTACTAGATACTGCATAGGTAGTTGCAACTAGGAAAGTCCCCAGGCTGACAGGATGACGGAAGATATTTGCCAAGGTACTGTAAGAATGAGACATTCGAATGTTACATATTCAGGATACGCGTCAGGCTTTTTCCCACCCATTTCGAAATTCAACGGACTAGAGACTCCTTAGGTGCATGTAAGCGGCGCGGCGCCGTGCCGTCAGCTTCATTCCCGAAGCCTTATCTCTCGCCATCCGAGCTCGCCATGCCATAGATTCGATATGATTAGATACGATGTGTCGTATTGCGAGGTGTACTTCTAGAACACAGTCAGCGTCTCACACAAGTCAACCCCGCCTTGGGGACCTGGGAAGATGGTGGAAAGAGTGGAAGGATGCTGTTAGAGCTAACAAGGTCAAGGATTATCTAATAATCTAACGTGAATAGGTGAAGCTGATTGTCTTTTTAACCTTAAAGGCTTAAATCAAGATTTGTAATATGAGAAAGATCCATGGAATATCAACTAGTAAATGCATGGATTCGTCAGGTCCTAGGGAGGAACCAACGACCATAGCTATCATCCCGGTCCTGGGACGAGAACTTCTGTAGCGCGAACATCCCCACGTGGAGTACGGGATTTTTTAAACTTATTACAAGCCTTTAAGGCTTTAAGCCCCGGTATGTAAGACATGTATTGCTTAGCTTATACGGCCCGTCGCCGGGGACTTGTCACCCACAAGGGTCCGATTATGGCACAGTTTCTAGCAAGATCCACTGGTTAGCTTCGGTGTGACTTTGTGTAGCACGACGGAGTTAAGGATTATGAGGTGGGGCTGACCACCAGGAGCTGGTGGTGGTGGTGGGTGCTGATGATAGTGGCGGGATGGTAGCACGGGTGTTCTAGACTTAAGCTCCCTTAACCTGGTAGCCTATCGTCAAACGCCAAGCTGAATCGCTACCCTCCATCCACACAGCATTGAATGTCTAACCGGGCGTTACCAGAATAGAATAACCCGGATAACCCTATTGGAAGCATAGCATATCGAGTCGGGTTTTATAACTATATGAAGGATTTTAGTTAATTAATGATTCCCGTTGCTTATTTAAACTAGGTAGGTACCTAGGACCTAGTTACTAGGTATGATTTCGATTCGGATGTTTTCCGTGAACCGGGATTTAAAATAATCCCTTAAAATATTACCTACCTATACATTTTTTTTAAAAAAAAAATCAAACCTGTGCGCTTAAGAACGAAACTAACTCTTCTTAATAATTAAAGAAATAGGTATTTCAAAATAATACATAGCAATAGCCCAACCAACTAAATAGCTACCTAACCTTGAACAAACTACTGCGAGATAGGTATCCTTTACTACGCCACGTTCTTAGCCGACGCTATATCTTCTTCGGTTCAATTTCCTTTCATAGACTCTATGATGCCACGAGCATTCGCGAATTCAAATTCAGCTAGTGTTTCATCCCAAAGTCTCTCCGTAATCTGCTGCCCCTCTGATGTATACAGTAAAGTGGGAAACCTAGAGAGAAATGACAGGTTAGCAAACAGAAACGATTATGAGGAATGGTTTATGCAAATACTTACGGATGGATCTGCCAACTCATAATAAATCCTCCATGAGAGTCCTTGCCCTTGCTCACGACTGCGTCTACGTAGGTAGAGGCACCATGCTTCTTGTTTCTACCAGTCAGAGACGCGAAGATTGACAGCCCTACGCGCTGTCCGCCAGTGACGTCACGCCCAAGCTCAGTACCTTTGACGAATCCTGGATCTGCTAGGTTCACGATTACATCGTCGGCCGATACGTAATCAACAAGCTTCCAGAGGAACAGGTGCATCAAGAGCTTGGATGAGCAATACTGATCATTGGGATCCCAGTATTTAGGATTGTCGAATGAAGGCAGAAGAGGGGATTCATCGCGATTTGGGAACTTGGCGACAAGGGTGAGTGCCGCACTGACCATCGTGAGCCGCCCGGGCGTTCCAGGTGGAGACTTGCTCTTCAGGGCGGGTAACAAGAGAACAGCAAGTAAAGCAGTCGACAAGTAATTAATCTGGACTGTCTCTTCGTGTCCAGTACTCGAGACTGTTCCGAACTCGAGTTTACTCACACCAGCATTAAGAATAACCATATCAAGGCGAGGTAGCTGGGTGTTTACCCGTCCAACAAATTCCTGAATTGAATCATAGGAACTCATATCAAGCTTCCAGACATTGATAGTTGCTTTCGGGTATCTTGACCGGAGTTTCGCAGCAGCAGCCTCCCCCTTTGAGGTAGAGCGCACCGCAAGTATGAGAGTACCGAGTTTGAATGAGAGTAGTTGAGTGGCGGCCTCAAGTCCGAGACCAGTATTTCCTCCTGTGATGATGGCAACTTTTTCTGAGAGATTTGTGCTAGGGGGCGGATATTGAGGCTTGGTTCGGAATTGATTCCGAAAAAATTGATTAGGAAAGAATGGGACAGTTGAAGGCGGTAATTCTTTTGAGGTAGGCATCTTGGACGACAGGTATTAATTACTTCGTCGGAAACAGTTGAAAGTGAGACAACAAACTTGGATAGATGAGTTGCAACTTTCAAGCTTGACTGACGATATTCCTTATATTTTTTATATCTATCTATTTATTCTCTAGGAACCTACAAAGCATTGATGTGACCTAAGAATTGACACATTCGGGACCATGGGTTATGCAAGACATTGGAGGCCATCGGTGTTGATATTGTATGCTGAATCGGGACTAACCTCGTATCACCACAACTATTCTTTGATGGGTAATGCGTAAATTGGACGGCATAGAAACTATCACGCCTTGCTAGTGGCCTTAGCTTTCTAATAAGTACATCATAAAGTCGCATTTAAATTCCCACAATATAAAGATTGAGATGCCGTGTGAGGTTCCAATTTAAGAACAAGCCTTCAAAACATCTCCCCTGAATCTAATTGGTTAAAGCCTCTCACTGCATTCCTCAAAGAGCATATACTAAGCTTAACTCGAACTTCGATTGGCTACGTTCTATGTGAATTCTAGTGGATACTTGAATGCCCAGCCTGTAAGGAGCCGGCTCATAGAAGCTATCCCCTAAACGGAATACAATGTGTTGGTGCAGCTGTGCAGATATTCGTAATCCCGAGCTATTCCTGAATTGGTAAATAATCTCACCCCGGGAACATAATGCGATCCGACAAGCGAAGCCCCAACCTTCATTCTCCATCTTCTCTTCAACTGTTTGCCCATTCCCGTTCCCGTAAACAATATCGGCTCAGCGTGCCCACGCCTCTGCCTTCACTGATCCTCTGCGAAGCCTGTAGCCACGTGTTGATGATGCCAGCTGCGACTCCTAAGCGCTCAGGCATGGTCTAGATCTATGCACGCCGACTCAGTACCAGGTATCCAAACTGAATCAGACGAAATGGCCACCACACAGGTATCAGGTGAGTAGATGCACATGCCTTGTATCCTGTCCCTCCTATCCCGCATATTCTAAACCGAGCCTCACATCAAATTTGCAGGGATGCCTTTTGTGGTGTCGACTAGCTTAGACAAGCCCGACCCCAATCTACGCAAGTTCATTAGGAAGCATGTTATGATGGGAAAGAATCGGGGCAAAACTCGGCCGACAAAGAAAAGGGAGAAGAAAGCATTGGAGCTGGACTTAAGCGAGGTAGCAGACCCCACGATACATCTAACGAAGCCACCAGCTGCAAGCAATTCCTCCTTAGTCGTAACTCGCCTTCCAATCCCACCTAAAGTTGGCTCGGAGCTGTCTACCGTCCACTTTGCCGATGATGTAGATCTCTCCACCGTTGCGGTCGTCCTACGATGTAAGCTAAATTTACCGCTTAGAGGCTCTTTAGAATAATCGCCTAACGTGAGGCTAGTTTCTTCCATCGCAAAACAAGCTTTGTTCCCTTTAGAAACGTGCATATCCTTTGACCAGGGTGACAAAAAGCAATGGATTGAGCCATTAGCTTTCGACGCAGCCTACCTCCACACCATGATTTTTACGACGCACGACTATTTCAATTTGCTTTTGCAACGCGCACCTGGCGGAGAGACATCGACTCACTTTTTCAAGACGATCCAGATTCTTCGTGAGAGGCTATTGTATGAAGGAGATGGCCGTTCCAAAGTTTCAATTCTCACCGCCTCCGTGGTTTTGGCTCTTGCGGGTCATGCGCTCCTTATGAACGAATACGTCTCCGCTAGGCATCATTTGGAGGGCCTTCGTAAGATTATTGACCTAAGAGGAGGTTTAACTACTTTCAAGGGGAGTTCAAAACTTCTAATAGAAATACTTAGGTATGAATTGATCTAAACTATGGTAATTCCCTATTTCGAAGGCTAATTAGTTGTTTCAGATGCGATCTTGGAATGTCATTATACACTGGGTTGAAACCCCTATTCTCAGACATATTGCTCTCCTCGGGACCTTCTCTGTTATATCCGGAGCCTCTCCCGACAAGCTCCTATTGCAAAATAAATAATTTACTCGAGGGTATAACTGACGAACTTGTTACAACATGGACAGTTATGGAAGGATTCTGTTCCTTGATCAACCTCGCCGCAAAATCTAAAACTCGTATACCAAAAGAAATGTTCCTAGACGCCATGGCATCGGTTATGTATCGTCTCCTCTATATGGAATTTGCCGCCGACTCGACCAACGAATTACTCCGCCTCGCTTTGTTGGCCTTCTCTTCGAGTGTATTCTTGCAGTGGAAGTACATGAGGATGTCATATCCTCATTTCTCTGCTCTATACAAAGATTGCCTTATGAAGACGGCGGTGTCGGATATACCACCCCAGCTTCGGCTCTGGCTTCTCATGGTGGGAGGCGTGTCGGTGTTTACAAGAGCCGATGAAGAGTGGCTGAGACCTTGGCTGCGCGCTATCATGAATTTGTGCGATATTGAGTTATGGACCGAAATGCAGGACATTCTAGATTCTTTCATGTGGATCGGATTAGTTCACGATGAACTCGGCAAGGAAGTATTCGACTCTGCGTCTCTGCTTACAATAACATTATAGAACAAAAATGTTGTTTTCTAGAAGACGGCAAATTCCGTTAATTATTCCCGGTGTATGGCTATAAGTGACTAACAGCCAATCAACGTCCAGAACATATTTCTCGAATAGGAAATCAGCTCCACGCAATCATTCAGTCCTGACCCTAGGACCCATAACCAATGAGAATTTAAGGTACCTGAGGTACCTAGTAGCCTAGCTCCACTGCTAGCTGTACTGCTGCTGCAGTGCTGAAGGATTACCCCCACCTTTTGGATAGGGCTTAGCTTGGGCACTTTTATTGCTTGTTTTCCCCTAACTAATACTAAGTTCACGGTACTCAAGCTTGGCTATAATTGACAAGCGAGAAGTCATCGTGAGGCGTGTAAGACGACATTCCTTGTTTTAACCAGACTAGGTACGCACATCCGTAATGACTGACAAAGCTAACATTCAGTCCGCGTCAATCATCAGGGAATCTTATTAGAAGCCAAGGCAACTAGAAAAGCTCGTCAATCTGACCGAGCACGCTAACTTAGACCATTTACTGATCCTGAGTAGACACAAGAATCAATTAATTATGCGGTGATGACCCCGAGTAAATAAGCAAAGATTCATCACGTGGTCGGACATTGCGGAACTGACAGTCAGACATCTAAAATCAAGGTTATATTTCACCATTCCAATAAGGATTAGAAGCTTTTGTTTTAGCATTTGCCACAGTTATCCAACTTAGAACCTCCCTCAGCACACACACCACGAGATATCCCTTGTCTACCTAGGTACCAATTACTCTTGAATCCTCTAGTCAGTCGATAGTGGAAGATGTTTTCCAATCTCCATCTACCCCTTAATCCCATTGACAAGGTCAATCAACCCCCTGTGTCCTATCTCCAGGTCCAAGATGGCCTCATCATCTGCTCGGGGCTTTGCTGGACGACCGCGTACATCCTTTACATCCGGCAAGCCTACCGCGATAAGTCTTATGGCATGCCCCTTGTTTGCCTGTACGTGCCCCTTCCTTCATCTGATAACATGGGACTCACACATGAGTGGGGCTTGATAGGTGCGCCAACATAGCCTGGGAGTTCCTTTTTGGGGCCGCCATCCCGGAGTCTGCTGCCCAAGTCGTCTCGTTCTTCCCATGGTTCGTCATCGACATCGGTATCGTGTACACAACATGGAAGTTCGGACGCGAGCAGTGGAAGCATGCCCCTCTCGTGGCACGAAATCTTGGCTGGATCTTGCTAGGTGGCATCGCCGGGATGCTGGTCATGTTTTGGGCTTTTCTCAAAACGTACGACAACCGCTATGAGGCCGGTTTCTACCTCGCCTGGACGGACCAGATAATCGTGAGCACCACGTCAGTGGCGCAGTTGATGTCTAGGAACAATACTTCCGGCCATTCGTGGGGTATCTGGTAAGTGTATCGCGTCATCCACTACGATAGTCACCCACGGCTAAACAGATGTTCAGGTTTACTCGGTGGATTGGATCCGTTTTTGCGGAGTTAATCTTCGTCTGGAGATATTGGAACTATCCTGAAAGTTATCCGGTAGCTGCTACGCATTTCACCATTTTCTTATTTGTTTTGACGGAGGTGGCGGACTTGACCTATCCGTTCGTCTATGCGTCTTTAGAGAAAAAGGAGAAGAAGAAGTTGAAGTAATTGGCATAGCTCAATGGCATACCCCCCTAGACCAGTGTAATATAGATACAGATACCAAAATTGTAACTTTATTTGAAAACTACCTTTGATGCATCAATGCGTTCTTTTCATATAGTAATTTGATTCTCTGAAGATGGAAATGGGTACCTATTCACTTGACTGAAATTTTCTATGCCAGGAACTTCAGATATCAGTCGTTTTTTCCTTCATCGCGCGAAACCCTGGCTCTTCCCCCTCCTAACCTAATACACCCGCATCCGTTTCACTCAACGTATATGGCATTGTATAGTACCTACCTATGTACGGTCTATCCGGACGTAAACAAACTCATCATCCGATACTACCTCCTAGTCACGCCTTAGCAATAAAGTTCCAGTCCATTAGCTCCAGACCTAGTTAGCGAATCGCGAGATTATCAATAATTCGATGACCAGATATAGGTAACTTTCGAGATAAGGAGGCAACTAAGAACGCATTTACCCCTGAAAACTAGGTACCTAAATAGTATAAGGCAAGTTTTATTGAACGATTCAATTTAATTCAAATTCAAATACGGAAGGTGCATAATGATATGCTGCTAACAATTCTAAGTATGATACAATCTATCTCCTGACCTCTGTCAAACACAACGTGGTCGCCGGTCCCATTATCATTGGCAATATTGGAACAGGCCCCTGAACAAAGGAAAAAAACAAGATATGTTTATCTAGTAGCTCGTCTGCTTGATGTCATCGGCAAGCTTTTCGGCAAGAGTGTCTGGTTCATGTTAGTCTTGGATAGGAGTTGAGTGTCACCATTGGAGTACTCACAAACTTGGATCTGAGGAGCTGGTCCTGTAGTTGAAATGTAGTGTCAGCAGACTATCCTTGAAAGTTTGCAGATCAGTTAGATCAATGTAGATAAAACTTACCAGGTGGTAGGAATGGGAAAGATGAAGCGTCGATCACTCTTACTATGGTGTTGTCAGTAACCAGGTAATCTTAGGTAAGGATTTACTTGGGGTGGAAACTCACAGTTCTTAATTCCATATACCTTGCCGTGGCTATCGACGACAGCCTCAGGATCGGAAGCGCTGCCCATCTTGCACGTGGCGAATCCATGGGAGAATGGACGGACGGTTTCAGTGAGGTAGGCCATGATCTGCTCGTCAGTCTGCACGGTTGGACCGGGGAAGAACTCGCCGCCAATCATGATCGGTGCCATAGCGGAGGATTGCAGGATCTGGCGCACGCGCTTGAATGCAGTGAGCAGCAGATCGATGTCGGCCTGTGCAGTGAAGATGTTGGGGTTGATGAGTGGGGCGTCGCTCATGCGAGCGGAAGCGATTGATACATTGCCCCTGGATTGCGGCGCAATAACCGATGCAAGCATGCTACCGTAGTTTGCCCCGAGTACCGAACCTACGCCGCCAATGGATGTGCTTGAGACGGTTGCAGGGAGCACGTTGTATTGCAGCTCGGGCCAGTCTGCAGGGAGTGCAGATAATTCTAGAAGAAATCCATCTGTTAGTTGATGTTGGTGCAAGTGTTAGATAATAGGGGTTTGTCGCATACGCTCAATTACTTCAGCGGAGTAGTTTGCTCTGAACTCGGCCGGTGCTTTCTCCATTCCAATGTAGTCACCTCCGTTGTTTGAGAGCGGGCCAGTTCCATGGTTATTCCATTCGGCAATAGCATCGTCTAAGACAGCTCCTCCCATTGACGAGGAAGTGACTACGTTGACCTGGTAAGAAAGCGGCACCGTAATATGATCAATCAGATTTTGACCAACACCCGGAAGGTCTTTCACGACGGGGATGTTGAACTGTTCGAGCAGTGCTTTAGGACCAACACCGGACACCATTAGAAGCTGTGGCGATTGGAAGACTCCAGCGGAGAGGACAAGCTCCTTCGTAGTGGTAAGGGTGTAAGTCTGTCCTTTTGATGTAACCTCTACGCCTACCGCTGCATCCCCGTTAAAGATGATGCGCTCAGCGAAGGTTCCGTTCAAGATGGTAAGATTAGGCCGACTCATAACTGGGCGTAGATATCCAGCCTGTGCAGAGGAACGGATACCAGTAGATTGGGTGATAGCAGTCATCTGCCACGAGTGTCCTAGAAGATTGCCGTCGATGAAACCTTGGGCCTGAGATAGTCCAATAGATGCAAGCCCCTTAGCAACCCAAGTACTCCAGCTTTGAGCGAATGAAGGGAACGTGACGTCAATTCCACCTCCAGTTGATGTGTCATCAGCATTGTAAACAGGAGTAGCATTGGCCAAACGAGTGTCAGGCTTCGGGGGAGAGAAGTTCATGGTTTTCTTGTAGTATTTGACCATGTTGTCGTATGTGTACGACTCATCGCCTACAAGGTCGGCCCAATACTGATGAGTACCCTTCGACGTACGGCCGTACGCCATAAAGTTTATATCACTGCAACCACCCAACTGTGCATGAAGGTCAGTTTATGAGATGAACTTTGTTGTAAAGGAGCTAACTTACAGCTTTTGCTCGATAATAAGATACGGGAATGTTACCCAACGCCTGCATGATATTTGGTTAGTCAAAGGCTTTGGGACGGGAGTGAAAGGGGACATACAGGTTGAGGAATAGTTGTGAAGTTCCATTCAAGATCAGTCTCGGCACCCGCAAATTGAGGAGCGTACGCAGGAACTTGAGTTACGTTTCCCACAACGTCTTCAGGGAATGTGCCAGCCTCGACAACAGCAACTGTCACACCTGAGTCCTCAGTGAGACGGTTTGCCAATACTAGACCAGCAGTACCCCCACCAACAATGACATAGTCAAAGGTTTGGTTAAGGGCTCTGTTGATAACAGCAGCTAGGACGGAGTTGCCTTGGTTCAGGAGGCCAGTTGCCAAAAGCAACGAGCTAGGGCGGAGAATATACATGATCTATTTATTATTATTAAAATAAGTATGATAATGAAGGACGAAGAAAGGACAAAGGGATAAATTCGATCTTTATGAGGTTGGTATAGTCTCCGTGGTATGACTCTTGAACTGGTGATGTGATGGTTGTCTAGTCACAGCGAGGTGATGTTCTTATATACTAAAATCGACATGCTACGCCACTCTATAGACCTCTTGAGGAGGCATATGGGAGATCAAGACTTGTTACTATCAAGAGCGAAGGGGGTAAGACGTCGAGGCCGTTACCTAAGCCCAGATCAGCCCCAAGTTTACCTTGCGTGTATGACCACGTTTTTTCAGGGATATGAGGGTCAGAAACACGCATTAGACTAATTTCTACCCTTGCAAGGATGCTACAGTATCTACAAAGGATTGTCTCTAGAATATACCAAGCCAACACACTATAGCTACCTACCTAGTGGGGGAAATTCGAAGTCCTTGTTGAAAGACATTGCTATGTACAACGGTGGTGATCCTGCTGAGTCGTGAGGCACGGCTTTGGTGTATTCTAGTGGTTAATAGTTGTCCTATTTTAGGTCACACTGGCCTGAGCGGCTGACAGTTGAGCTCCTAAGCCCGATGACCTGGACGGTTCACCCCGTTTATGGCTAGCATTTCGGACCTGCATCGATTCCATTCCTGCAGTTAACCGGTCTCTTGGCACCCACTGTGCAACCATTCTGCAGGTACCAACGTCACGCGAGTTATGTAAACCACACCTTTTCGGTGCTATTGTGCCTCTATTTTGAAGAACTCGGGATACCCGGTTATGACTACCTATGGACACATTCGAGATATCATCTTCTATTTTTGTCAACAAAATTCAGTCTGGATGCTTATAGAGGCGACGAGAATAGGTAACCTCATGACCTTATGGAGAACTCGCCTCGCTTTGATAGAAGTCCTTAGATAGGTGCCTAGGTGGTTTTGGAAGTCATACAGTGTACATCTAAAAAAATCACATATGCCTACCTATAGAGAGAAATACCATTTTTCGCTAATGATGAGTACCCGATCATGGTCTAGGAGTAAATTCACATGAAAGAAATGCGTCATCACTAAGTACTTAGGTACTTAGGTATAGTTTGAGATTACATTCCGTTCAGTCTCAAACCGTTCTCGAGTTAGTCTTCATCGGGTTTATTAGTTATAATTTCTAGACATTGCCGGCACACCATTGCGAGTCTTCAACTTATCTGATGTGAATTTTGATCTAGTAAGGTATTTCAAATCTACTCTAGTTCGAGACCTTTATGTGTCTCAGTGTGATGTACACTGCCCCTATGACCACTTTATGTTGAGACGATGACCCTTGATATCAGCATTAAACCACTCTATTATCTCAATGCGTTCCTGACACGTCCGAGAGCCCTCTAGAACTTCGCTATCGATAATGGCTACAACGGTGTCATGAAGCTGTTGTTGGGCTAGATTCTTACCGATGCAAGCTCGTGAGCCAACACCAAATGGAATCATGCTCTTTTCCATCCCAGGGCGCCGCAACCCGCGGTCAGTTCCGTCATCCAACCACCTTTCAGGGCGAAAGGAGAAAGGTTCAGGGAAAACATCCGGATCGTGGTGCAGATTGTATGCAGCACAGCCGACAATAGTGCCAGGCGGGAGCAGCGTGTCACCAACCCGCAGCCCTGAACTGGGCACGATGCGGGTCATTCTTGTCGGATTAGCCATACCGAGGCGCAATCCCTCCTTGACGACGGCGCGCAGAAATCGCATATCTTGCGGTTTATCTGCGCGCACTTCACACAGTAGCCGGCTACGTGCCGCACCGTTCTGTACAAGATGGAACAGTATTGTGGCTAGCATTACGGCGGTCGAGTCAGCGCCTGCGAATACGACCGCTTGAGACTGTGCTGCAGCTTCCATTTGCGAGATCTTTGCTTGTGAAAGAAGTCTTTCGTGATAAAAGCCTCCATTTGGTTTCTCAGAAGCCTTCTCTCCTGTCGTCGTGCTCTCCAGAACGCGGTTAGTGAATCGGTCGAGCTTGGCAAACGACTCGGTGACCTCATCGTTAGTGCTCAAACGTTGAGAGGCAGCGTATAAGAATTGGAAGATACGGTGAGGTAGGAGCGAAAAACGGGAGAAAGCCACAATGGCAAAGATAAAGGAGTTTGCGCTAAGTTTAAGCGACTGGCGTTCTTTTAGAGGTAGATGCGCATTTTCCTGTAGTCCTCCGTACCGCTGGCCAAGCAAATAGCCAGTTACGACGTCAATGGAAAGTCTTGCACACATGTCCATCAGGTCTGCCCCAATTCCGGCCTCCTTGGACTTTCGAAGCTGATCCACGAACTCAGCTATACAACCACCAATAACGCCTTCAGGTCCACTTTCAGCTCGGAGCTGTGCTGGTGAGAAAAGAGGCGCGACAGCCTTGGCGCGGACATCGCGATACTCTCTATCGAGTGACGAAAAGATAGACACAATAGGCCCGAGATTGAAATTCTTGTATCGGTCGTCTTTCGGAAATCCACCCCCCTTAACGTATATCTCGGCGATGGCTTCGCTATCTGAGATAGAAACGGAATTTGGCGCAACTCGGAGGACTTTTGTCTTGTATTTGTTGTGTTGGTGTCGAAGTACCGTCGCCTCTATTCCGAGATAGCAAATAGTGTGCAGATATAGGGAGCTGAATCTAGCTAGAAAGGGACCTGGGACACGACTCAGGGAATGGAAGAACAGGCGGTGCAAAATGGCACCCAAGAATAAAATAATCGCAGCCAAAGGGATTGGTGACCACATCTTGGCGCCTATTCAAATGAAAATGTACTTTGTCTTACATATGCTGTGTCGGCGCGGTGGGATAAGGTTAAACCTGAGGCTCTAATACCTCCTTCATCGGGATCTTCCGGTCTAGTCTTTGACGCAACAATTAAGCCATATCATTCCACTTCATTTTTCGTCCTAAGTTCTTCATTTTTGGCCAAGTGTGGTGACTGGGGCTCGTATTTGGGTAACTAGAAAGCCGCCCCGTTTGCATACTCGGGGCCAAGGAGGATTACTCGGGCCTTCGGTAAGCCTGCCCCATCGCTTATCACAGGCGTCGTTATTTACCTACTCTCGTTAACTAATACTTAGCTTGAGCCAGCAATACCTACTAATTGATTTGCGATATTGAAAGGCCCCCATCAATATCCCTGCCGGAGATCCGAACATGACATCCACTACGAATGGAGTGAATGGCCACAAGGCCTCTCAGCCTCAGAGCCTCATCCAGACTCTAAACGGTATACAGGCCGAATCATTCAATAATGATGGCGAAAGAATCGAGGCTGTTTTAGCAGCATATGCTCTCGTATCTCGTCTCGAGACGCCATGGGATTTTGTCGCGAGGACATGCATGGGCCAGGTACCACTCAACCCCTATTTTTCTTGGCGCCAGTAGCTAACAATGCAATCAGCCAGCACTTGGGGCTGCCTTGAAGACCGCAAAGGATCTAAAGCTATATGATAAGTGGCATGAGCTCGGCGATGGTGAAATGACATGCGAGCAGCTGTCAGAGTTGGTGTCTTGCGACTCTGCTCTCCTCTGTAAGTGGCCCATAGATACACCCAAAGGAAGATTCGGGGGCTAATAGAGAGAATTAGTTCGCATTCTCCGTCATTTGGCAGCGAACCGCGTACTTGAAGAGACCTCAATAGGCGTTTTCAAGCCGACCAAGTTGTCTATATCTTTTACCGTTCCGGTCTTTGGCGAATGGATCAACCATCTGTAAGTTACCTCAAGATGAAATAAGCTCGCTTACTAAGAAATTCTGATTAGCTACGATGCAACAACACCATGTTTTTTTAAGATGCCTGAATTCCTGGCCCAAAATGGCTACAAGAATCCTGTTGATCCTAACAATGGCGTCTTCCAGGCGGCCAAAGGCTGGAAAGGTGACATGTTTGACTACTACAAGTCTCACCCTGTCGAGGGCGCATCGTTTGACCATGTAATGGGAGGAGGTACCAATCCATATCTGTCAAAAACTCGTTCTTTCGATATCTCTAACACTGAATCTAGTGATGGCGAACCAAGCTGGATGGCTAGAGATATTCCCGCATAACAAGCTCTTAGAGACAGCAGACGCTCACTCACCCCTCGTGGTAGATGTGGGAGGCAATATCGGCCACGATATAGAGCGATTTCGCCAAGAACACCCAGAAACAGCCAGCCGGCTATACTTAGAGGATCTCCCGGACGTCATTAAGCGCACCAAGTGCCCAGACGATGTTAACAAGATAGGCTATGACTTCTTCACACCCCAACCCATCAAAGGTAAGACCCCATTATACGTATCAGTAAGATAGCAGACCACTGATTGGCTTTTCGGCCACAGGAGCGCGTGCGTATTACATGCATGGTGTGCTACACGACTGGTCCGAGGAGCCAGCACGGAAGATTCTAGAGATGCAGAAGGAGGCAATGAAGCCAGGATACAGCACTCTTCTCATCCATGACCACATCGCCCCTGAGACCTTGGCCCACCCGCACACTACGGCCTATGATCTGACCATGATGGTGATGGTGGCTGGTGTAGAGCGGCGAGAGGTACACTGGCGCGCTTTGTTGAAGTCTGCTGGTTATAAACTTGTGCGTATTTGGAGATCTCCGCTCGCCGTGCAGGGTGTCATTGAGGCCGAGCTTGATCAATAGAATGTGGTATTGCTTATTCTTCATATATAGAACTCTTTGATCTAGACAAGCTGGGAATTTGAAAATTAGTACCTATTACCGTTGGCACCGCGTTTCGCGTCATTTTCGCGTATCTGGCTAAGGCCTGCATTTAGCCCTAAAAGGTGGTGTGAGACTCAACTAAAATAGTGATCTATCTGCTAAGATTTAGTGGATACAGCCGCTATCGCCTTCGCGAGCTTGCCACTAGAAAAAAACGCCCTACGGTGAGATAAGATTTCAAACAGGTTCATACGCGCGAGGTGTGCAGAATTTCTAGCCGACCTAAGCACGTCAACACGGATGAATTACTGCATCGGGCGTTGGGTACCCATTTCTAGGTACCTAGTACTCAAAAGAATTGGGTAGAATTGAAAGTTGATATTGAGTGCGACTCGCGACGTAAGAGGTTCTACCATGAGGAAAAAAGCGGTTGTATTTTTTGTGTTGCAATTTACTGTAGTCAGGCACTAAGAACTGCCTCCAAGCTCTAGGGCTGTATTTAAGCGACCACCACTCCCTGTTATAAGCAAAACAGCCAATTAGAGCTCTAGCTACTAAAAATGTGCGTCACGCTAAACAGAGACACGATAGTGATCTGTGCGCTAAATTCCAGTGGACAACCGCTACAATTCATGCCTTCTTGGGAAGTCTACTTCGTAGCCACCGAAGAAAAACGCGACATAGTAGCCTGTATGGATGAGAAACATTTCAATTTACACGGCTTTGGCGCATGGTCCAAAAATTTGGACCAAACCTTTGTAAATCTACCTGACTTTATTTCTTTAGGGCAACTTAGCCATGAAGAGCGAATAAAATACGACTATGGCAATGCTATCAATTTATCCTACAAGCCTTAACTATAAACAGAACCGTCCATATTCATTTGAAGATAGTACATCTAAAAACGTGGTGTTACATATAATTCAGGGGTCATGTACACTTGCAGACTCAGACCTTTCTTTGTAGAATCTTCTTTCCTTCCAAGGCCGATGAAAGTGAAGATACCAGGGTTCTCTTCCAGCTTTCTGTGGGTACTACAGAGTTATGTTAGTTTAAAATCATCAAATAGACGGAATATGGTCCTTACAAGACAGTTTCTGCTCGTTCTTCTACCGACTTTCCTCCATCATGCCAATTGTACTTAGTCAGCCATGCATCCAATCCACGCGCGATCACCTTGTCATTAGGTGCGGCACGAGCCGGGTAGAAATAGACTTTGGGAATCGGGTACGGCTTATCGGGAGAGAGCGAAAAGTAAATAGCCGTAGGCTTTGTCTTGAAAGCTGCGCGTCGGCGGGGATCTACTTGAGTGTGCTTCCAATCTTCGGTAGTGTAAGTAGACGGGCTCGAAAGCGTCATCAGGTCCCGAAACATCTCCTTGTCGCTTTCGAGATCAGGAATCTTTCCACCTAGCGTATAGTAGTCCCATACCTCCTCGAAGTCGTCACCGAGGTAGCGCATGTAGATCTTCAGACGGGCCTTACCCGCCTTGACGAAGTCAGTCGACAGACCACGTGCTCCGCCTGCGAGTTCAGGCTTGGCCGCCACATAGTCCTCGATCAACTTCAATGCAAGCAGGATGTTGGGGTGTGAGCCGATATCTGGAATCTGCCTGATTCCCAGGCTAAGAGCTTGCCAGCGGGTGAAGCCCTTGGCTTCGGATACGAAGCATGGCGGGAAGTAACTCTTGGCCATGATAGGAAGATATCCCGGAGCTAGGTCCAAGATCTTCGGGTTGATATCGAAGCCCATGATTATGTTCGTCTGGTACCCTGCTGCAGCCACTAAAGCTTTTTGTTCGCTTTCGGGTGCATGAGAGTATACGAACCATTGCGCAAGGGCACGATGCTGATCGACGCGCCAAAGTTAGCAACGTGCAAGCTAAATCAATAGAGGAAAAACTTTCAGAATGCATACCCAGTTATCGTCAAATAAGGGTGTCTTTTTGGAAAGTGATTCAATCACATTTTCGGTAGTCTTAGTGGTTAGAGGGGCGCTGTGGTTTCCAGGGCGAAGTTGCGTGAGATCAACTACGAACCGTACGCCCGCACTCTTAGTCGACTCCTTAAATTCGAAGCTGTATTCAAACGGGCTACCGTCCCAGCCCACAGCAGTTCTAAGAGCATTGCCACCGGGTTTACCCCCCAATGTTGGACAGATAGTCTCTCGGAAGTAATTGAGAAATTGGCGCTTCGCCTCGTCGGGATATCCTGCCTCCTGAAGCATTCGGGAGAGATCCTGACCACTAGTGCGCCACCAGTATGTTGAATCCGCTTCAGCAATCGTGATATCAGTCTCCTTCTCCTTCTCCACTAATGGGAGGACTGGGGATTGGACCGCGGCAGTCATCTTCACGGATGTTACAACGTCGTTCAAAAGATATTATCGTCTTCCACGTATATCCAAGTATGAAATTTCGTATTCTACACAATAAATTAGTGGCTATCGGTTTCAATTTTAGGAGGGATTGTTGATTTTAGAGGTAAACCTCTTACCTCCACCTTACATAAGCACGTCATCGCTAATGACACCCAGCATGGAGTCAAGCAGACCATTGACCTTTACTCAGCTACCTGAAAGAGCCAATCATGTCGCCCACCGAGAAACTCGACGATGTTTTGCGTAACACCATCTTTAGATTTGAGGCTGGGAGCCGAGTTGTTAATTCATAAGCTTCGATGTTTGATCGATGTTATGGACCGGGTAGTGCCACCCAAGCGTAATCCTGACTGACCCCGAGTAACTTAGCAGCAGCTAGCCACAGCACAAATTAGAACTTCCAAGCACACGCCTTTAATCGCTTGGTATTTACCCGAACTGATTGTGGCATAGGCAAGTTTTGACTTGCTCACTAAAGGCCATGGTGACTAATCCAGTAATCCCCAAGCCCCCACCGGCGCTCCGGATACCAGATTCCGCATATACAGTAGACGTTAGGGTTATAGATACGTAAGCAACGCTGTTGTTGACTAGAATGATAGAGAATTTTGAGCTAACACAATGCCAGCGGGACCCTCCTCCATCTTAATCCATCCCTTTTTTGGCAACCTCCAATTGACGGCTTTACTGGGCTTCACGCTCCGATATACTGTTTCTTGGTTTCGCATGGCAACCAACACGTAATATTTGATCTAGGCGTTCGGACAGACTGGGGAAACTATGCACCCAAGATAGTTTCCATTATCAAGGCTACGACGACTGTCACTCTGGGCTCGGATGTACCCTCCATATTAGATGAAGATACTAGCGGTCTCGACATCCGCAGCGCCGACATTGGTGCTGTTATCTGGTCTCACAATCATTTTGATCATGTCGGGGATGTGTCCCGGTTCCCACCTACCACTGACCTAGTCGTCGGACCCGGTGTTCAAAACGCTTCATGGCCCGGTTGGCCGTCGAATCCTGATGGGGCCGTACTAGACAGCGACGCAGAGGGCCGCGTAGTTCGCGAGATCTCTTTCGAGGCAGGGCTCAAGATTGGTCGTTTCGATGCCGTGGACTTCTTTGGCGATGGGTCATTCTATCTCTTAGACGCACCAGGACATGCAGTCGGTCATCTGTGTGCACTCGCGCGAACAACAGCCGTCGAGCCGACATTCGTATTCATGGGCGCGGATGCCTGTCACCATCCAGGCCTTCTTCGACCCAGTAATTACCTACCATTACCTACCGGAAACGCCTTGAACGGAGTATTGACGGGTCCATCACAATGTCCGGGAGAACTTCTTCAACAATTGACGCGCTCCGATGAGCCATTCTTCACGGTAGCGCCCCGGATGTTTCCCGACCACGACGCAGCCACAGATACAGTCCGGAAAATCCAGGAACTTGACGCAGCTGACAATTGTCTTGTCCTAATTGCTCATGACCTTTCTTTACGGGATAGGATCCCGTTGTTCCCAAAGACCATCAATGATTGGAAAGAGAGTCAGGTGAAGACGGAAACGCGCTGGCTTTTCTGCAACGATTTCATGCCCGCCCTGCACCATCATGAAAATAAACGAGGTGCCGAAGAGGGATCAGTCAGTCAAGCGAGCTTGAAGTGTAATTATATAAATATAAAAGATTAGGAGAGGATTGTATGTCTATTATCGTCAATAGTTATTCCGTCAGTCATTTAATGCGAGATTTAGAATTGTTAATTTTTGTAAAACCACGATTTAAAATCAACGTTTACGTAATTGATCTAGATGACGTAACTACTGACTCAGCATCCATTGAGCTCGATTATGTAAATGTTACGTAATATAATGCTTAGTCATTTTGGCGAAGCCCTGGGACTTCGGATTTTCCGAGTTATGTAATCCGGTTCTTCCATCCACTAAACGCGAAATTGTTCAAGGTTGCAATTTGTTTATTTCCCATCAACATTGAAATGCGACACGCTGAATCAATCAAATGAACTTATAATTCGATTTAAAACGCGTTGAGAAATTTTATATTCTACTTATATCTAACATGATATGAAATAACTATATAATTAGGTACCTGGTATCCCTTCTAGAATTTAGAATCAGCAAGGCAAGGAGATCAATCGAGCAGATCGAAATATCCGTCCTAGTCTAAGATAAAACCCGCGCACTCCTCAATAAACCCGTTCAATCACTCAAACCAACATGTTGACACAAGAACTCATATCCTTCGGCCACGATTCCCGCGAGGAATTCGTTGCTCTGATGCTCTGGGTATAGGTCAAAAAGGTGCGGAACATCTTCCACAATCCTCAGTTGAGCCTCCGTTCCCGTTGCCTGCAGTGCCTGCCACGTGCGCTCGGCCTGCTGCCATGGGACTAGGTCGTCCTCTCGGGGATGAATGAGAAACGTTGGCGTGGTGTATCTACCCGCTCGTGCTTGCGCTAGCGGGCTGACGGCCTTGATAAGCTCAGTTGCTGGAATCTGCGGCTCTATTCGGTTATTCTTGTCAAGCCCGCCTAGAATCGTATGAAGTGTGCGGCCATGCCAATTCATGTATAGGGCCAGTCGACTGCGAGGATCGGTAGGCGCCAACCAGCCACCTAATGCTCGTTTTGTAGGAGGAGGGTTATAACCAACAATGGCATGGTCGGAAATACCTGTCCAAACCTGGTCATCTAATTCGTACGATGTGGCTCCATTCATGACCCTTGAGCCGGCAGGGACGTTAGGCTCGATCCAGAACGAATCTTCATAATCTGACGGGCTGTAAAACGCCAAAATAGCCGACGGAGGTTTAATTTCACGGGCTAAAGATGTCCAAGCTAGAGACATAGCTAGATGTCCTCCACTTGACCAGCCCACAGCCACAACTCTTTCTGCGTCAATATGAACATCACGCCTTGAAAGCGTGAGCTTCGGGAGAACCGTACGAATCCATAATAATGCATCGGCAGCATCAGACATAGGGCCATTGGGAAGCGTTACTTCAGGGCAGAGTCGATAATCGATACTGATGGGAAGGAAGCCGCTTTGTATGAGCGTACTCGTCTGCTTCGGCCGAATGTCGTTCCTTGACAACATGACATGGCCACCACCATGAATCATCAATGCTAGTAAATCTTGTTAGCACTACATTTCAGTTATTCATCGGATATTCCGCGTTCTCACCTACAGGAAGAGTTCGTCCAGAATCGACTACCTCTGGAGGATAGTAGATATCTGCCTGGAGTTCTACCCCATCTACTTGCTTGAAGGCAACGGTCTCTCTCAGTGGTAATCCACCATTGGGTAGGCCACCGGTCGTCTTAGCATCAACAGCGTACGGGGAAGCCGTGATAACCTTTAAGATATGGGATTCGGAAGCCGGCGTATCACTCCAGTCCACCCAATTAAATCCAGCGGCATTCAATTCCTTCTCCCATAGTGTCTCGCGAGCCAGGGCGTGTTTACGACCATCACTAAATAACCACCAGCCTTCTAGAAGACCGAACACCAGATCGAACCAAAATAGGTTACGCGTTAGCTCTACCAGACACAGAATTCCGTCTGGGCTTAGCATCTTGCGGATATTGGTAGTCGAGTTTACCAAACTCTTGGTCGCATGTATGCAATTGGTTGAGATGATGATATCATAGGCGCCTAGGAATTGCGGGTTCGGGTCTTTCTCGATATCAACCACAGTATACCGCATGAAAGGCCATTTCGCAAACTTCCGTCGAGCCGCCGCAACAAGTGAAGACGAAAGATCGGTGAATGTGTACGAAAACTTGTACTCGGGACCGAGCGCAGCTAACTTCTCAACAACGTCTTTCGTTGTGCCTCCAGTACCAGCACCAAGCTCGAGGATTCTCAATTCGCGGCCACCTTTAAAGCGCTTTAGTACAGATGTTAGGTATTGGGAAAGAAGAAGAGTTCCGGTCTTAAACATGGGTGCGTTCGTGTAGACATCTGCAAGAAGAGCGCGTGCATCAGAAGTCCCAAATATTAATGAAATGGGATCGGCGGCCCCAGTGAGGCAATCAGCCAATTTGTGGGCTGTTGCATACAGAAGCTTCGTCTCGGAGGTATGCTTTGGGAACAACTTTAGCATTTGCTCATGAAGAGGAAGAGTGGGTACCATTTGAATCGATTTCTCGGTGCGACGAAGCACTCCGTCTTGCCCCTTTTTCAAAAGACCGGCATCTTCCAGAATCTTATACAATTGAGGGACAACCTTGTTGTGTTTTGGATCAAACCGAATCATGGGCACCTCATCTCTGGGGTTCAAGTCTGGTACCACACAGCCCAGAGAAGCGAAAGCTGCTAGAACATATTGGACGACGAGTTCCGATTGAAGGGGGAAAACATCTGTGTTGAAGTTCTTGAACCCAGTTGTTTCTGCGTGTTGATCATATGAGGGTTTTGCTTCAACGAAACATTCGCGGCTCGCAATTGCAAGATTCTCTCCAATCTTATCTGCGTCATACTGACTTACAGAGTCCGATATACTATTGAGGAGCTTCTCAGCGGTGTTATGCTTTACACCTGGCTTTTCAACAGGGGGCTGAGACTTGATGGTCTTTTCAACTGGTTGGATGAAGCGAGCAACGTCGAGTACATCAGTACATTCTTGAAATTGTGCCTGCGTAATCTTAACCTGGAATCGGCTCTGGATTTCCACCAAAACCTCAGTGACTAATAACGAATCGATACCGAGGTCATCCAAGCTCGACGAAGGCTCAATTTCCTCCACCGGAATCTCTATTATAGCACTGAACATCTCGCGTACTTGTCGGACAATATCAGGAGTTTGGGTCACTTCCTCTACGGACTGCTGGATTCCAAGGGATTGAAGATTTGATGCCAATGAAGACTGCGTGTGTGAGAAATATCCATGCTTAGCAGGCAGCTTCTCTTCCTCGTATTCTGTTAACGGGGTATAACCCTTCTGATATTCCGAATCTGCATCGTCGCTATCACTGTCGCTAATTTGTGGGCTTATCGCAGTAGGGCCAAGGATAATGTTGGTGTTGGGTGCGCTCTTGTTGTTGAGTCTGCTGAGGCTTCTCGACAAAGATCTGAAAGGGACACTCCTGAAGGTCGCGCCCATGATGGCCACGACTAATTCCTTAGATGCAGCATCACAAACGAAAATATCGTTTGCTATGACGGAATTTGACGTTGCTTCATAGCGGGTGTAAACAGTCCATGAACGAGAATGAACCCTGTTTGACATGAAGGAGGCGGAGAAAATAACTTCTTCGACTGCAGTACACATGAAAACTTCGTCGTCCTTTCGTGGAGACAAGCAGTTAACATGGATTCCTGCAACTTGAAGGAAGTTGTCAAGGGAAATTGGGTCGCAGATGCCGGCGTCCATACCAAGTGGCTGATCGGTCGGAACCGTGACTAAGCCGACCGCCTCGTTGTCCACTGCTGACAAATTTTGGACGCCGCGATAATAACTCGCATACTCGACGACGTCAGAGAATAGTTTATACACCATTGCGCCACTCACTCCAGTCGCCGAGGGCAACTTCCTAATCCGATCCGTACCGGAACTTCGAGCGAGCCTTCGCAACAATTTTAATCGACTCTCTGCCACAGCATCATCTACTGGAATATAACTTATAACTCCTTGGGCGTGCTCGGTTTCATTGCCTCCCGCATCTCCATGCATAGATGATCGGCTAAAGAGCGCAAAATTCCAAGACCCTCGTGCAACATTGCGAAGACGCATAAACACGGGAATTCCGGCACCAAGTCCAAGAGGTGCCGACATTGTCAAACCTTCGACATGAGGTATCGCATTAGTCGCATAGACTGTGTCGAGTAGCATAGTAGCACATCTAACAGCCAGTTCGACATACATGGATGCCGGACAAAGGCTTTGGCCCGTGACCGCGTGGCCTTGGCCAGCTAGTTGGAAGATAACATTGGAGGTATCAACCGAGAATAAATGCTCTCCCTTCGCACCGCTCTTTAAGATACTTACAAGACCTGATGCCTTGGAGGTGGCATTTGGATTTTCGCTAACTCCGACTTTTGTCCGAGGTTTGTATTCGATCCAGTGACTCGTCTTGTCAAACTGATAAGGCGGGAGGTTTATTCTCATGTAGCGGCTACTGGGGGACTGGTGGAAAGCCCAGTGTTGCGTCGCTGACCCTGCCTTCCAGAGCTGGCATGTAGCATTTGCCAGGTTAGCCGTCGCACCAACGCTTCCTAATTCCGTAGGTATGAAGATGTCCGACCTATCAGCCTTAGGGATTATACGGCGTGCCATAGGAACTATGGGAGAAGCTGAGCCAGCTTCTAACCATATAGCAGAGGGGAGACGAGCAGATATCCTTTCAATCGCATCCGCGAAGTATACCGGCTGTCGGGTATGTTTTACCACCTCGTCCGCGGTGAAGAGCGACCAGTTACCACCGGCAGAACAAGTTTCGACGTGAATACGAGGGGTTCGTATACTGATTGACTCGGCCAACCCCCTCAAATCGGATAATATACCATCAGCAACATAAGAATGGTATGCATGGGTGTTTTGAAGTCGAGTTTTCTTGAAGGACGAACATTCCTCCTCAACTCTGTCGATTGATCGTGTATCTCCAGCGAGGACAAAGCTGCGGGGACCGTTATAACAAGCGATATCCACACGATAGTCATCCATCGCGTTTAACCGCTGTACTACGGCTTCAATCTCTGCCTTGTCGCATTCAACCGACAACATCGCTCCGCTCTCTGTATTCCAGCTATCCCGTATGATACGGGCTCTACCAGAAATGAGGCGGAAGGTGTCTTCCAACGAAATTGATCCAGCTATGCAGAGCGCTGTGAGCTGTCCAAAACTGTGCCCTATCACAGTGTCCACCTCGAGTCCGGAATCAATCCACGACTTGGCGCTCGATACTTGTAACGACAAAAGCATACAATGAAGAGTAACGATATCTTCAATATCTTCCCCTTGGAAAATCCCGGGGAATATGCTTGGAAGGCCAAGTGCATGGCATACTGCATTGCATTCATTCTGGAAACCGTTAGCGCCCGCTCAACCGTTAAAGGTCTTTAGTATAAGATTATAACTCACCAAATTATTTCTAAAGATATCACAATTATCGTATAGGTCCTTCGAAATAGTAACATTCCTACCGGTCTGGCCACCGAAGCATAGCACTACCGGATACTTGTTCGTGCGTGTCACCATACTACCGCTCGTGGTGAAACTATCCAGGCCAGACAACAAGCCCTGCATATCGGATGCAGTAAATGCTATCCGGTTGTCAAATGCTGAATTATGGCTTCGAGCTATGTTATATGCGATACTCCCAAGCGACGCTTCAGTCCGCGGCAAGTATGCCTTCAGTGCATCCACATACAACTGGAGATTGCTTGAAGATTTGGCAGAGATGAGGATTGGATAGACGGTGGAAGATGCCTGATCTTTAATCCCCGATGTTGAATCTAAGGGACCCTCTGAATGCGCGCGAATTAGCATCGCAGCATTGCTACCTGCAGCTCCATAATTGTTTACTAGCGCCACATGTTTTTGGGATGTCCACGGTTGTGTCGCCTTTGGCACTATAATCCTGTTTGAAGAAGATGCCTTGATGCGTGGATTGAGCGATACGAAGTTGGCCTGTTTCGGGATCATCTTGTGCTGTATCATCAGAAGTGTCTTAATAACCGCGGCGACACCGGAAGCTGCTTCTGTATGGCCAATAGAGTCCTTGACGGAGCCCAAGAATAAGTCACTATCCCGCAATGGTCCTGTGAGCGCCATGCGAACACTCTCATACTCAATAGGGTCTCCAACCGGAGTGCCTGTGCCGTGTGCTTCGACATAAGTAACATCCGCAGGTTTTATCCGTGCAGTCGTAAGCACACGTTCATACAACGAACTCTGAGACCGGGAGTCTGGGACTGTAATTGGACTACAGTTGGAGCCTTGGTTAACTGCCGAAGCTGCGATCACTCCCAACACAGTATCGCCATCTACCACTGCTCGCGAGAGCGGCTTCAAGACGAGAATTCCGGCGCCTTCACCGCGACAGTATCCACCAGCCATTGTGTCAAAAGCTCTAGAGGAACCGTTGGAATTTAAGAAAGATGCCCCAGCGAGATTCTGGTGCAGAGTAGGGCTTGTTATGACATTAACTCCTCCGGCCAGCGCCATAGAACATTCCCCTCCAAGAAGTGCCTAGGAAGCTGCGTTAGTGTATGTTCCTGTTAATTCACTACACACCGTCAACTTACCTTGCATGCTGTGTGTATAGCTACAGCAGACGATGAGCAAGCCGTATCGAATGTAATAGATGGCCCGGTCCATCCATAAAAATGGCTAATGCGACCACTAATGAACGCCCTCAACATTCCTGTGGCTGCGAATGCGTTCGCGTTCTCGGATTCGATGTTGTCCTCGTAATCAACGGAACCCACGCCAAGATAGCAGCCTATATCTGTTACTCTAGAGCTCGTTTCCTTGACGCAATATCCCGACGATTCAAGCGCTTCATACGCAACCTGCAACGCCAACCGCTGTTGTGGATCCATAGACTTGGCTTCGCGACCGGATATGCCGAAGAATCTGTGGTCGAAAGCATCAGGACGGCGAAGAAAATTACCCCAGTACTCGGTCAACTTGGGCTCACGAGCAATTTCGGCTGGGTTGAATCGCTCAAGTGGCATAGTACTAAGTGCGGTTTTTCCGGCTTGAATGATCTCCCAGAACTCCTCTAGAGTGTCGGCTTGGGGGAATCGGCATGCCATTCCTACGACGGCGATCTCTTCAATCGCATTCCCGTCGTCATGGTTGTATTTGCTGGTCGAGAGGGAGCGGGGAATGCAAGACTTGGTTCCGAGGGATACAAATGTTGCCTTGTCAGGGATAAGATCACCCAAGGTCAACTTGACGGTTTGGAACCAGTGAGCTCGCTTGCAAAGGATCAATTGAATGGCAATCTCGTGAAGGGCACCAGTCTTGATTATACTACCATCTGCTGTGGATCTCAGGGGCAATCTCAAACTTCCAGCATCGGGAAGCCTAAGGTCGCTGTTTGCGTTGCAGAGCTTAACAAGTTTATTGGCAGCTTCGATATGTCTCGAGTGGTGATAGCACCCGTCAAGACCAACTGATGTAGTTGCTATTCTAGATTCGCGCAGACGTGCGCAGAATGCTTCTTCGCTACCCTTCGGTAGCGTGACGGTAAGGCTCTTGTCATCTGTAATACAGGATATATATGCCTAGTGCATCAAGTTAGCAATCAAATATCTAGGTAAGTATCAAGTAGTACCATCTTACTTCAGGGATGCTATCTAGGCATGTTTCCAAATAGGTTCTGTCGGCTGCCGTTTTCCAATGGATGGAGATTGCCGTCGCCCTATCTTGAGCGACATGCGATGCCTCTTCCGCATCGACAACAGCACCTATGCATGCCGCTAATCGAATCGCATTAGATACGTTCCGTTCAAAATCGGACCAATCGTTTGCCGAAGAAAGAGCCGCTGCCGAAAGGAATCCAATGCAGAATCCTTGAGCCGCTTCAAAGTCCGATAAACTCTCTTGAGTACCTGGATTTTCGATAGATCGGATAAAATCGATGACGTGAGATACAACTGTCAAGGGAGCCAGGTGGGTATTGGTGAGACTCTTCGAGTCTAGACCCTTCTCTCCCGTTGCGAAATCGTGAAGTTCTTTGAGACTATCTGCGCCATGAAAGCCTTCGGAGCCATAGTCCTGCTCCAGTAAGGCCCATAGTGATGGCAGTTCGAGAAGACTCTTGACAAGGAATTCGAGGTTCGAGTTCTGTAACAAGTCGGATTGGAGACTAGCAAGACTGTCTTGTGTCCAGTGTGTGGCTTGAGGTCCAAATAATGCCACCACAAACTCCCGCGTATGCCTTCTAGGCGAGGCGCTAAATTGAGTCATCGTCTACTCTTGTCCGAAAGTACGTTGAGTACTTGGGTATTGATTGCAGTGGTTGAGATAATGTTTTATTTACAGTTACAATCTCGAAAACTACACGGATATAGAGGCCATTTACGAGACGTTATTCAACTTGATCTATTACCTTGAGTTATGAAAAGCCAAGAGACTAACCTCATTGGTTACCTTCCAAGAAATCGCTTGAGTATAACTCGGTAACCAATATTATGTGAGGATGCAAACTCGAAAAGTCAATAGCCAATTATGGACTTGGAAACTAGAAATCTGTGCCAGATTGACCGGAGTGGTAAGTTTACTCGGCGTCGACGCCGCTGACGCGAAGATGAGCGGGACCAACATTCGGTACGTTCCGTACCACAATTACAAACCCGAGTAAGGACATGGGACATTATCTCAAACTTACGATTACCAAACAGTATATTGATGAATTATCATTGAGCCGCAATTGACATACGCATGTTGACGGCCCCTTGGAGAAGCCCGTCGTACGATCAGGATTCGTCGCCTCGTCCATCCTCTCCGTGTCTACCGTCTTAGGCCGTTTAAATCAACCTGTTCTGTATCTTAGGGAACTCGTAGAATATCGTATGAGACTTGAACGTCACAGCTTTTCGTGCTACCAGCAAAATCGACCGAAGCTATGGACAAGATTTCCCTTATCCCCATCGTCGGCGTGGCTCTATCGCTTGTCGTCGTCTTACAGCTCGGGCGAACATGGTGGCGATTGAGACACATACCAGGGCCTTTTCCGGCGAGCATAACCAACTTTCAGCGCGTAGGCTGGGTTAAGACCAAGAGGGCACATCTTATACTACAAGATATGCACAAGAAGTATGGAGAGGTCGTGCGTATTGGTCCGAACATGGTGTCTTTTAGTAACCCTGAAGTCATTCCGAACGTTTATCCAGCCCGAAGTGGCTTCCCAAAGGTATTACTCACTGCCATACCTACCTACCTAACCATATTAAATCCACATGTAAAGACCAGAGCTAACGTGTGTTAAGGGAGACTTCTATGTGACCCTTCGACCTTACACAAGAGGCGGCGGCGCCTTGCATGCCGTTTTCAACACTACGGAAGAAGATCTACACAAGCAGATCAAAAGCCCCATCGCGCCAATGTTTACCCCCGCAAAAACACCTTCTTTCGAGGGACTTGTTGACGAAGTTCTGGTGTGCATCCACGAGAAGCTCGATGAGAACTTTATCGATAATGAGGAAATCTTTAACCTAGGCCAATGGCTTCAGTACTTCGCGTTCGATGTAATGGGTACCATGACCTTTTCGAAAAGATACGGGTTCCTAGACACCGGGAAAGACGTCGGGCGGATGCTTGGCACGATCGTGGACTTCATGAGGGATGCCGCACCTGTGAGATATTCCTTTCCTGTCTACCGGTCAATATGTGTCTGATGGTCATCTAATTTAATATAGATGACTCAAATCCCCTGGCTCGACTGGGCGCTGCGCAAGAACCGAATCGGAGATTCAATCCAGCGTCTGTTCGGGAAAACAGCATCCCTTGGAATCCTCGGATTCGTGGGCAAAGCTATCAAAGAAAGGCAGGAACTCTTATCCAAAGGAGACTTCAAAGTCAGCGATGAAAGTAGCGGCAGAAAGGACTTCCTCACCCGGTTCATCGAACTTCAGAAGGAGAATGCTTCAGTACCAGCTTGGTAAGATCCCTTCCCAAATGTACCACCCTCAGTGATCTATACAGGGGGGTTTAACTTGATACTAACACAAAATCTAATAGGGCCCCTACAGCATGGACTTTTTCCAACGTCATCGCAGGTTCGGATTCCGTAGGTAGCCTCATGCGCACGACCATGTTCAATCTATTGGTATACCCGCACACACTAGAAAAACTATACGACGAGCTTCGCACTGCAGGTGTATCGCATCCCTATCCCAAATGGAGCGAGATTCGCAACCTGCCGTATCTAGATGCCTGTGTTCAAGAAGGAGCTCGCATGCATCCGCCCTTCGCGCTACCCTTCGAGCGTGTTGTACCCGCGGGCGGCATCACCATCCTTGGTCACTATCTGCCCGGCGGGACCGTGGTAGGTGGTAGTCCTTATGTCGTCAACCGCCACAAGGAGACGTTCGGACGAGATGCCGAATTCTGGAGGCCGGAGAGGTGGCTCGAGAAGGATGAAAAGCATAAGCAGAAACTCGAGCAGGGTGTGCTGACTGTGAGTTTTCGACCCCCGCAAATCTTGATCTACAGTAAACTAACACGCAAACCTCAAGTTTGGTGCCGGAAGACGTGTCTGTCTAGGCAAGCACGTGGGTATTCTAGAGATTAAGAAGTTGATCTCGTTTCTTGTTCTGAATTATGATGTGAGTGCGCGACGAGCATATGCTTACCCCTACCGTTGAAAATGCGCTCTGGACTGACAGATTGGTAGATCCGTGTTGTGAACCCTGAAAAATTTGAGCTTGAAAACTCATGGTTCTTTTTCCAGAGGGGGCTTTACGCTACAATTCGGAAGCGGTCTGAACCGGTACCGACGGAAAAGCAACAAGAATAAGTCGATTAGGCGAATTTTCTTAGGAGTGAAAAAATTAGATGGTCAGATTGTCTTAGACTGGGGTAATCACTGGAATAAATGACCTTTGAAGTAAATAACATATGGCCAGCTAAATCTCAATTGACGATTATAAACCTTGAACACGTAAAATACTGCGAAATGGAAATGAATTGAAGAACAAAAATAATAGAAAACATATTAGAGGGACTTGGGAGAAAGGAAAGTCCCGTCGGATCTCGTTCCCATCGGACCACCGAAGTTATCTGCTTGCGCCTATCAATACCGAAGTCATAGCCAAACATCAATCCCATAGGTCTTCAAACGCGACTAGATTCATGGGTAAAATCTTGCTCATCATTAAAAACGGCTGCTGAGGCACCCTTCTCCTCGACTCAACGCGAAATTCTCGTGAGAAAACCAGAATCTTTGGAATTTTTGGTGGCTCAAGAGAACTACCTAGGTACCTATGTGCCCCATTACTTTTGGAGACAGTGGCGTTAAGCCAGAATGACCACTTACACCACTCCACTCAGATATGAGACAGTACACGTCACTTTGCGGCATGCGACATAGGTAGGATAGGTATCTACCTCACCATCATGGCTCACCCTGCTTCAAAATCATGAAGTTTACCTATTCATAACCTTATTTCTGTTTAAAATTACATCAGGCTGTAATAGTGCTTCTTTGTCTCTGAAATAGAAAAAGAGCTGTCCTACTTTGCGTAGGTACCTTAGGTAGCCAATGCTTTGACGTTACTGTCATAAGGCAAAACATATCTGAACTTCATGCGGATCATTAAAGTATTATCCTGGAGGTAGGCATAGGATTGAAGAAGCACAATATATTTAGGTATATAATAGCCCTTAAGATTCAATGCAGCTAAGATCGAACTACACAAAGCAATCTTTCCTATTAAGGCAAAATCAAACTAATAACAATACTTTTGAGATCACGATTACTTATTTCCAACCTCTTAATATGAACAGGGACGTAGAGGATAGTGACGTATTGGCTCGATATTCCGATGACAAATTGAACTTTCTCGAATGGCGTGTTAAACAGCTCAAGGCAATAAGAACAACAGATGACAAGGAGAGACTAATGAGCTTAAATCAGGCCCAGAAAAAGTTGGAAGAATTCATTTTAAGCATAACTCTCAGCATTAGGAATACCTGGACTTAAAGAATATCCATTCCAAGGCTCTGTCATCCACTTAGGTATTGTAGCTCAGCTCCACTCTACAGCGTATGAACCCCTATTCCCCCGCACCTGGAAATTAGGGCTTCTTGGTCAATGCGCGCCCTACTGGTCAGCTCTATGTCAGCTGAAGATTTGGACATTCCTGACATTCCTCTTCAATGCCTTCTCATCCGTATCAGTTATTCGCATTCGCCTACCAGGTCTGCAGGTCTTCTAGGATTTGTGGCTTTTTTCAAAGTCTCTTCACATCTCGATGACCTGATTCTCAATTGTTTCGTCACGATACTTCTCGATCTGGGGCTGGTACTTAATAGTATGTAGCACGTAGCGGAGATGAACTTCGGTCCTATAAGTCGGCTCCGAGGCGTCGATCCACGAAGCGTAGGTAGCATGTAAATATTTCAGTCAGTACTTTCAAATACATAGCGATATATTTTGAATAAATGCCAACTCTGCTATAATGACTCTTCTCTGCACACTTTCCATACAAATCAACACCCTTTTACCGCTTCTCCTGGGGATATTGCCTTGATGTGGAGAGAGATCAACACGGATTTAGGGCTGAAGGAGTACACGGCAGCTGCACGGGTACGCAAGCAAACCCCCAGCATTACTGCTTTTGGCAACTTCTACGATATTGCCGTCTTGGGCGATTGCCATCTTTGGCAATGGCGAATAATGTAAGCTATCATGCTATGTATGAAAGTATCATATATAAACCATTCATTTCATTCGAAAGTTGGTATCTTTTTGCATCATAACATTACAAAATCGCATCATCTTAAGACAAAACCCCATTCGCCGACCTTAATCTTACCCAAATACTTAAAATCAACCATCCAAGATGAAGGCGTCTATGTCTTTAGTTTCTATCCTTCTCTGCCTAGCAGGTGTTCAGGCTGGCTTAGTTGGTACGTCAGATTCTGTCAACCTTTAAAGTGCTCAACATGGTTATCTAATACAATTACCTACAGATCGCGATGCCACTCTGAACAACCTCGGCGCTCGCCAAGTAGGCGATTGCTCCCAGTGCTCTAACCCTGACTGTTGCACTCAATTCAGGTCCAGCGCGTAAGTCTGAATATTGAATGCCTCTTTTAGAGTGTTTATTGAACTAACCTGACCTATGTAATTAGTATTTGTAACCAGTGTTAAAGCAATCGTCAAATACTATAGGTACTGGATAGTTAACTGGGAGTTACGCATCAAGTACAAACCTTGAAGTCGATGGTTACTTGTAAAACAACTGTTCTATTTGTATGGTAAACATTAGTTTAGGAAAATAAAAGTTACTCGGCCCCTGATCACTACCTACCTAGGTATTCTTCATTTGCTGCCATGTTAGTAGGTAAAGAAGCTGACTCAAAGGGAAGCGACTTGAATTCAGATCGGTACTACTTATTCCAAGAAGTGACAAGAGGTACGTTGCTCAAATATGAATATGAAATATCCACGCTTGTCCCAAGTGAATTTGAGTGAGTTGCCGGTGGAACGATAGTCGACGTGGATTTATACAAGTCCCTCGGTGTCGTATTCAGGGACACATCTACGCAGTCATCAAATACGAACGAAACAGCATTTATGTATTATAATAGGCATACAGTAGGCTTAGACATTTGAGGTTTTTTTTGGGGTTTTTTTTTTGCCAGGCCGTTAGTCTTAGTACTCCGAGAATCTAGATTATCATCACAGTCAACCTACTTCTCCCTCAAGAAAACCTGACGTACCACTTAAACATCATCATCATAAAGCGGCCGGTTTTGATAAGCTTTTATTGGAACAAGGTAAATGGCCAACGTGATGGGTAAAACTTCGCCTCGGATGGAGAAGGCTCCTCAAACCGGTGCGAGCCCGGAGGTTCTGATCGTGCGGCGACAGATAGCTGAGATTGCAGCAAATCTTCCTAAGGAGACCCGAGAGGAGAAGAAAGCTCGAGTTAAGGCTGAGAAGAAGGAGAAGAAGGCGAAAGACCGAGAAGCCGAGTCGTCCAAGGAAGCTGAGGCTAGAGAACCCGAGGACAACAAGAAATAAAGTCGATCGAACACTCTCGATGGATACGATGGTGTATGGTGAAAATGGCTGCCTGCCTACCTAGTACCTACCTAGGTAAGTAGGTAGGCAGGCATTCTAAAGAGTTTAGAGTTTTCCTGCTATCTAGCACTATTCCATACCATCTGATTCACTCGACATGAACATAGGGGGGTGAGATACTTAGTAGTTATCGAGAACGCCAATACGAAATTTCATGCTTTGAATAAATGGAGTGAACATCGTGAGACTCCTGTTAGTACCTACCTAGATAATGGCAGCCCTGAGCGGGGTAGTAAAAGATCTTGTGTGATTCAAAGACATAGAGGGGGTTCTAATAATGATGTATCCACGCGAAATAGCTTATATACGCGATTCGTGGACTTTTTACATATTTGATTTAATGTAACATTAACATTTGATATATTTATTTTTTCTCTAGGTTTATTCGAAGCGAGCTATTTCCTATTTGCATAGAAAAGAGGCATTCAAGTATTTGAAGCTATTCAGACCCATATATTTGGTGCGGATACTAGTGGGTCTGATGGTTTACCCCTCATATTTACCTAAGTTTAGGCGGAGGCAAGAGGAAGGCAATGGAGACATCTACTTAAGTTTCGCGACTGCTTTAAAATGGCTACACGGTAAATAATACCTAATGTTTGACAAATTACTGGCATCCATGATACTAACATGTGAGCCGGCTTTAAGAATAAAGACCGGAGATAGAAACCACCACCCACGAAATCATGCCCCTTGAGGTTAATTCCGCAACACCAACATAGCTCCATTTCGAATATCACCCTAACACGAAATCCACGATCAACAACTTGTGGAGAGCGATCGGCCGCCTGCTCTGGCTGGGTAAGGGGACATCACATCGGTCAAAATCCCGCCTCCGGGACCGGAAATTTGACTACGCACATCCTCCGTCCACTTATTCCCGGGGAGCGGACGTCGCAACGCGCCCATCTGATATGTCGAGTGGTACGATCGACGATGTCCAAATATACCTGACCAACATTGGATCTCGCATGCCATCTCGCATAATTATTGGGGATGTCAGAACCAACAAGAAGTCTACCTAGACTACGCGACACTTAAGTAAGCGAACGACGACATGCCTTTTTGAAATATGAAGAAGATAGATTTGTCTACCTAGGAAGTGCCTAAGGATCATCTATCTAGAATGTAAAATATGGGGGTATTCGCAAAAATCCGTATTTGTATTTAAATGATTGTGTTCAAGTCACACATAAATCCCTCGCTTCCCATCCACCAACCAGCATGTATGTATGTATGTACCCAAGCCAACCCTTACATAACCAACATACACGCGTATCCTTTTTTCTCATTTCGTTTCTCATTCTCGACGAAGAAGCTCACGACGACTTGCGGAGGTGGCTCGGTTCCACCTCGTCGTCCTTGTGGTACAGAGGCTCGAGCACGGCGTCGCGCTGGAAAAAGACGTAGCGCTTGAACCACCATGGCAGGGCCTTGGTGAGCTGGTACGAGGCAAACTTGCGGTTAGGTACCGCGAACACATAGTCGAGTTCCTCGAGTGTGCGCTGCTTCGTCTCGGGCACCAGGAAGAAGATCATGATGAACGCTACCAAGTTGAAGCCGGCGTATAGACCGAAGGCACCGACAGTGTTTAATCTTTCCAGAATGAAAGGGAAGGTTATGCTGAGCACGGCAGCCCAGAACAGGCAAGTGGCGACAGCAAATCCCATACCGACCTCACGATGAGATAAGGGGTAGACTTCGGCACTGTAGGTGAAAGGCACAGGACCCTCACCGGGCGAGTAGAACGCGGCGAACAGGAAGATGAAGAGAGCGACAAGTGCGGTTTTGGTCATTCCATCTGGAATAAGAGTGCACAACCCGGCCGCGAGCAGGGTCCACATCATCTGGGGGAAGGTGAAAAGGAGCAGAGATCGTCGTCCGAACGTGTCGATAGTCCAGAAGGCGGGAAATGCGAAGAGCCAGTTGACGAGACCGAATCCGAATGAGCACAACATGGCTTGGAACTCGGTGTAGTGGGCGTTGACGAAGATAGTGGTCGAGTAGAAGGCGATGATGTTGATACCGCACATTTGTTGAGCAATCATGACGGTGAAAGCAGCGATATTGGCACGGCGCACACGGGGCACGGTAAATAGCTGGGTGAATCGGGTGATGTAGTTGTTCCTGCTCATGATCTGCTTCTCAATGCTCAGTTGAGCGTGGATATAGTAGATGTCTCGGGCCACTTGAATCTGGTCGTTACGTAGCAGAAGCATTGACCTCCAGGCATCTGCGTATCGGTTTTTCTTCATGTACCAACGAGGAGATTCGGGACATAGGTAGATCAAGCACAGGAGGGGTACGGCAGGGATGAAGGGGGCTCCCAGCATCAGCCTCCAGTTGAGCGGGTGGTAGAAGACAGCAAGATTAATGGCGGTTCCGAGGAAGATACCGAAGGCGGTCCACATCTGCCATGACATGACCAAAGCACCTCGGATCGAAGCTGGAGCGTTTTCGGCGGCGTAGATAGGCACTTCGAAATGTTAGCGAGTCGAATATCGAGGTGGCGAGAATAAGGGGCATACTAACCAGTAGAAGCTTTTACACCCATTCCGATACCCATTAGCAGACGGCATATCAATTGCTGCTCCCATGTATGACAGAAGGCAGAACCGATGACAGGCCAGAGACAAAAGTGAGCAGAGACGAAGATAACACCACGACGACCAATCCAGTTATTAATGGGATCTGAGAGCCAGCATCCGATAAATGCACTTCCAATATAAGGACCAGAGTTTACAAGACCGACCAGCTTTGTTAACAGTTAGTCAATCGCCTGATAACATTGTCCGAATTAAGCTTACAATTCTGTCTCTGACAGAGTTGGATCCGATGCCGTAGTATGCGGGGAAGAAGATGTTTGCACCATTACTTCCCGTCTGATCCCAACCCTGGACAGCAGCGCCGATGGAGCAGGTCGCAATAGTTAGGAATAGTCGTGCGGGCATACGCCACCGATGAAGGGTTTCGTCGCGGAGGACCGTCTTTTCGACTTCGTCGAGGGCCTCCTCGCCATCTATGTCCTCGAAATCGTTGGGGTTCTGGGCGACGAGTGCGCCCTTGCGCAGAATCGGGATGTGCTCAACCAAGTTCTTCTCTAGCGCGAAAGCCTCGACATCACGCATTAGCTTCTCGCGGGGAATTCCCTTGAGCGGGTTCTTAATCCTGCCGAGTGAGATTACACGTTAGTCACGGCTTCACCCGCCCCGTGGCGTCGAATAAGCTGACAAAGCTCTCCTAAGCTACGGAGCTTCTAGGCGCCATAGTAACGAAGCTGCTTACCTCGCTTCAAGGTTTTCATTCAGGTCGACATGTTCGGCAGTGTCGACACCGGTCTCCAAATACTGACCCTCGACGCCCTTAGGCTCGATGCTGTAGCTGGCGAGTTAGATACTTATGGTTTGATGAGTAAGCTCATGAGAAATTAAAACCCACGTGTCAGCCTGAGCTTTCTCAGACATTGTGATTTAGTCCGTGGGGTACCAGTCGGTAGGGTGAGTCGTGTGGAAGGGATTAAAAAGGAAACTTAGATTCACCGCCAACAAAGGTGTGAATGTGATCAGATCCAACCTCTACAGCTATAGGAAGCGACGACACCTTGATACGAAGAGGATGGGGAAGGGAAATAAGAGTCGAGACCGGATGAAGTGTCACAGAGGGCAGGGTCCGAGGTTTATATTACCCAACGAAGAGCGCCACCAAGCATGGCGCGCAGCGCTGCTCGTAAGCAGGACGAAGATCCCAATCCCAATCACAAAACTCAATCGACAGCTCGGGCGAGAAGACCCCAGACGGGTACAATACCCCATGGAACAAGGCTCCCCCACCATATGGTACGAATTAGTACATGCCGGGATCATCCATGGGGCCAAGGATGGCGACACGCGAAGGATGCCAGCCATGGCCTGCTTGGGCTTGCCATGACCCCGGCTGAGAGGACAGTGGAAGGATTCGGCGTGCCGGTAACTAAACGCGGTCTAATGGTCTCTCTCTCCCGAAAGCCAGTAGTCAAGAGCCTGGGCGATGGTAAGCGGTCGAACTAACCATGTCAAACTCCACCGTAGGCAGTTCTTGGCAAGTGAAATGATGGCGCGGATGCGTAGACGAAGACATACATACGTACATGGTATAGGGAAACAAGGATGTTGTGCGGACCGGAAACGGCTAGTAGCAGCGGGCTGGTTGGCAACGAATAGGTGGGCGAGGATGTGTGTGTCGAGATGACGGACAGGAATGGATGGATGAATGTTTGGCGATGGCATTTTTTTTCTTTCCTCTCTCGTGAGCAATCAATCATATGACGAAGCAAGGGTATTTGGTTGTCAAAGTAGGTACCTATCCAGGTATTTTTCTTGTTGCGTACGCGCCGGAAATTCGGCTTGGCCGAGGAAAATGCTATCCAAGGCATTCTAGAAGGCTTTGTCTACCTAGTAGGTACTCTGTCTCTGTCTGCCTCTAGTTCCGAAATCTTCGGCTTAGCTTCCGCCTTTGCTTTTTAATTACTTAGCTGCTTAAAGCCTTAGGTATTTTCTGGTAGGCTATGTCCGTCTTGAGAGAAGTGTGGTAGTACAAGATCCAAGTCGGCCAGCCTATTACAATCCATCTTACATGCCTGAGCTGAGTGTCTCATTGTAAGATAATACCGTTACTATGACTTGAGGCTCTGCATAATGAGATACAACGTACGACTCAGTATGTCGATAATTTTCATACTTAAGCTTATCTTAAGCGGTGAGTAGGTAGTTACCTAGGTAGGTCGGATAGGTAGTATTCTTCTAGCTGGTCTGGGCATCTGTGTACGCTGTAAGTCGACAGTCATCGTGTCGTACGTGTGTAGCAAAGTACGAAAGTACGAGAGATGGAAACACCAATGAGCCGACGAATCCCTAAGAGGGGTAGCACCGTACCTTACCTACGGGACGTCGAGAGGGGATATAAGCCCAAAAACAGGAGAATAGAAACTGTTAAACTGCTTCTGGTTAATAAAGAGAGAGTGTTTAGGAACTATGACGACAATGTCTTCATTCTCGTCCTTAAATCAGTGAGATTCCTGCGGGGAAAGCAGGCTTAGCTTCTTGGTAGTGAAAGGGCTTTATTCCGAATCTTACCTAGTTCAGTTGTTCGCTTACATTCTCGTCCTTAGCATGTGCTCTGTGCCGTTTTCCCCATCTTCTCCCCCATTTTCTCCTATCCTGACAGCCTGATTAATATTTTTCTGCGTGTTACTAAGCCTTATTTGTCCTAGTTCTAACGGCATAGACCTTGTCTCCAGGTTTGCCTCCCCGCCTCCACTAATTCTCTGCTAAATGAAGTTGGGGTTCGGTCTGTTGGTTTGGCAACGTAGGTAGATAGGTACTTTAGTAACGTACATGTAGCTTGTTGTGTTAGTCATTTTTTTATAAATATTTTATTCCGCTGCGTTGGTATAAAGTAGTGTTATGCTAAGCCAACATAAAAGTAATGAGTTGCCGTTAGATTGATTAAATACATATCTTCTAGTCACGTACGGTTTGTGCTCCTCAGCTCGGTGAAATGTGTGAAAGATCAGCGCATCTAAATGATTAGCAGGGAGTTTCCAAGCCTAACAAAGCCCAAGATTGGCTCCGCCATAAAAAAAGATCCTAAGCCATTTTAGAAGAAGCAACATCATTGGAGGACATAAGGAAATATCCCCACAAATTCTCCCACGTCCTTATTACTTGGTACCACCATCCCCTCTGCCCCTACACCCCAAAAGCCCCCAAAAAGTGCCTTGGGGTCCCCTCCTTTTCCACATTTTCCCAACTTTCCCACTAAATAAAGTCAAGCAACGTCAAGCAACGTCAAGAAAGTCTTGTCCTTGGTAATGAATTCGTCCACGTGACGGGTTTTGAAAGACTACAACTCTAAGACGACCGGCGCCGAAGTTTCAAGATACCATCACGGGATGTCATTTGACAAAGTATTCCTCGGTTAAAGGTTACCCGATTAGACTTATGAGAAAGGATTGTATGAAAAATCTTGCTCTTCGGTAAGCAAAAGATAGTAAATCATCCAATAACGAAGTTGCTATTCTTGACATAACCCTTGCAGAGCACGGTTCACCGTAATATCTATTGCAGTGTAAGAAACGACAAAAACTGATAGATCGTACGAGACGAATCAAATCCGTTCCCAGCCGTCGCCACATTGTTACCTATGCGAGTTAGTACGCGTCCTTTGGGTAGAATATGATACGTAACACTCGAAGACCACCTACGTACATCCACATGGATAGTAGATACCTAGTGCTGCACTTTCTCTGCTTTTATAGATATAATACAACAGCGCAACGAGCCTGCAAGATCAGATGCTACGCCGCTAGGACGAAGCAGGCAGGTTTAAGGAACCGTTTTCCCGTTATTCTCCGCCATGGTGCTTTCGTCCGAATCCGTACGAGTTGTTAGTGCTGTAAATCGTTTCCCCTCATGGATAGAAGGCCGAGTCAACATCTTTTTGTTCCTTCGTGCGGAGCAAATTGCTCTAGTACTATTCTGGGGGGTCTTCAATTTTATTCCCAGCTCAGATTCATCACTACGTAGGTACATACATACATACCCCTAGCTGTACTATATGTGCAGTGGTAAGGGAGATTCGTAGGATCTGGTATGTGGTATGCGATACGTAACTATCATCACATATGTGCTTACTCTAGCACTGTATCTGCGTTATCAGGCGGGTATTCATCAGATTTTTTTCAGAAGGATTGCGCATGCAGCGAGATAGAAAATCGACATGCGATACAACTCTACCAACGCGATATGGGGGGATAAGGCATGTTAGATGTTACTATCTCTTTTCGCGTAAGTGGCGGTAGATGCTGCGCGGGAATGGCGCTCAGCTAAGAACGCTTGTGCGGCAATGGGTATTTCGTCAAGCAGGGGTAAATCGTGATTGCTTGCGTCGACATTAGCTCTGGTATCCAAGACACCGATTAACGATACCGACATCGTGGTTAAGCAGCAACAAAAGTGCACTTCTAAGACGCCGATCTATAGATCTAGATCATATCTAAGTTCTGGTATGTTTCGGAAGTGATGATATTAGAACGAAGCGCAAATACGATATACGTATCTCTCTTAGTAGGTATTAGCTGACTTCAAAGTTGTTAGTCTAGACAGTCTGGAGTCTGGACTGGTCTATATTACGTCGTAATAGATTAATCTGCATCCAGGTACAAACCGCTCCTAAACTCTACTACCTAAAGGCGAATATACCTAACCAAACATGCATGTCAGATATATGAATCTATCACGAAGATTTCTCAAGTTGACATTATATCAAGATCTCGAAAGTCATCCATCAAGATCAAGACCACCAGTGATTCTCCTTCAAATTAAGGACTAATAGACGATGGAGACATGAAGATAAAATAAGCGGCACACGTGGTCGGTGGGCGAAAGCAGGCAAGTTTCAACGCTGCTACCCCCTACGTTGTATCCAATTTCCAATGCGAACCCAAAAACACAAACACCGAACAATGGCCTAGATTGTCGCAATTGAATTCGTCAAGAGCCAATCAAAATTGTCTCTCAATCTCCAGACGACCTGAGCCAATAGGCATTTCTTGTCTCACGATTTCACGTGTCGTCTCCATCAAAACAACAATCCAGGCCAGACCCAAACTCCAGATTCCGGGTCCAGTTTTCAGATGATCAGCAACAACTTCGCTTGAATTATTCTGGGGAAATCCGTTGTGGCGGCGCTGCAAATCCTGGGGAACAAAGATGTTTGTCGCCTCTTCGCTAATTACGATGGCCTCAATGGTATATTCGATATAGCCATGCCCTAGTTATTGATTCGCCTCAACTAATCACTAGCTTTCGGTCTAGGATCGGGCGCTTAGTATTCCTCGTCTCTTTCACCTCTCCCTTGCGTCACAGTCGCACAAATCTCGTCAATATATAGGGCTCGTATCACAACAAGGCGAACTCGGAGAATCGATTGGTGGATGATACGAGCTGAAAGTCTAGACTTCTGAACGCGCCAGACCCTCTGGAATGTGTCTAACGACGCCCAGTCTGCTGATTTGAATTTCTCGACGTATACGAAAATCCCAACGGTGCTATGATCAGAAAGCCACGACGTCGCTCCAAGTCATTAATTGTGTATCCGCAAACTAGAAAAAATGGCAGCGCAGGCGTGCGACACCGAAAGATCGGGGCCGCAGTGTACCTAGGAATGCGATGTACATTGAAGCCGGCGACATCCTCCCAGCAAGGGATAACACTCGTGACTATTGTGTTTGCCCGGCTGAGTGACGACGTACCGGGTTCAGGGCAATGCATTCGGCACCATTCCGCCATTCAGCCCAATGTTTCACCTCATATCGTTACAATTGCAATCATCCAAATCCCGACCACAAAACTGTGCCCAATGATTAAACATCATGTTCGTCTATATTGATGCGATCGTGTAATTAATTATGGAAATTTGTCAGTTTGGCTGATGGGCGTAGTCGAGAGTCGAAATTTTGTATGAAATTTTAGGTACAGGATCTTCTGTTGGATAACTCGGGGGTTTTATGAAAGAGGAATATTTGGGGTCACAAGAAACATGGCAGGTTAGCCCATAGGAGTTTTATATCTACTTATCCATACGTGGGGGTTCATCTCAGGGGATACCCATGCGGAGTGCATTTCCACCAGTGAAGCTTCGTCGTTTATCATCACGAGTGACCGCAGCTTCAGCCCCGGAGTCCCGGACCGAGGTATGACAGTATGGCGCCTTTCCTCATGAAGTCAGCGGCTTGTCGTGGCTGTAACTCCCGTAATTAGAAAAGCCATCGTGCCAAAATACGCCTCAAACACGCACCAAGCCAAATGTCAAACGTAAAAGTTGAGATTGTTTACCTACCTACAAATATCGAGGGATATCAAACTACTTGCTTGCCTGCGTTCCTCACATCTACTACACTTGGATTATTTCATTACTCTCCGTCCTTACCCGTCACAATATCCCTTATCCTCTCCATCCCGCCATCTTCATGAGTCGTAACCATCATCTTCTCCGTAGACGCTGCATCCTTACTCGAACGCTCAAACATACCCTCTTCATACTTGCGCAACATCCAAGCTAGCTTATCCGCCCCCTTCTCATTCCCATTAACATATCCCACGATCCCCTCCGCTAGCTCCAAGGCGTCCATCATCCCGACATTGACACCCGCACCCGCAAACGGTGTCATGAGATGCGCCGCATCGCCCAGCAGCGAGACCCCCGGACGGCTCTCCCATTTGTGACCAACCGGTAACATATATAGCGGACGCAAAATCGGCTGTTCCGTCATAGCCATGACCACATCAATAGGCTCTCTCGTCCAGCCGCCGAAGTGCGCGTCTAGGAATCGCCTTTTCATTTTCTCATCCGCCCAATCTACCTCCCCATCCTCTACTTCTTCGGTAAGCCTCAGCAAGGCTTTCGCGCTCGGCACCTCCCCACCTATTTCCTTATTCGTCTGAACAAACACGTACACCCGTGCACTTCCATCACTATGTCTCTGCAGCGCCATCGACCGGCCCTCGCTAGCGATCAGACACGTCCCCTTGCCAATAAACGCCGCGACATCAGGTCTCTTCTCAAGCCCCTGAGCCGAAATCCATACATCGAGTGACGTGATACCCGAGTACAGCGGCTTAACATCCGTAAGCAAATTCCGAACGCGGGACCATGCTCCATCCGCGCCGAGAACGAGATCATACGGCCCAGACTCGTCGTCGTCATTCCTACCACCAATAAAATCCAACATCCACCGCGAGGTCCCCGACACCGGGGTAACAGACGCAACGCCTTTACCCCAGCGAATACACCCCTCTGGCAGCGCCGCAATAAGCAAGTCCTTTAGATCCCGGCGATCGATCTCAGGACGTCCACGAGCCTCTCCCTCTCCCTCTCCCTCCCCCATCCCATCCCCTTCTTCACCATTCCCCTGCTCGTCATTCTCATCATGCACAACCCTCCCATCCCCATTAACAAGCCTCATAGCCTCACCCTCCTCACGAGCCAGCTTCCTAAACTGGACCATAAGTCCCGCAGCAATAAGCGCGCGCTGTCCCGCGTCGGCGTGGATATCGAGGGTGCCGCCCTGAGCGCGAACAGTGGCACTGGTCTCGCGCTCGAAGACGGTGGAGCTGATGTTGTTGTGGTGAAGGATGGCGGCGAGGGTGAGGCCTACAGGACCTGCGCCTATGATGGCGATTTTTAGAGTGGTGGTGGTTGCCATGATACCTAGAGAGAAGCGATGCTGTAGATAATGTCTAGGTAGATAGGTCAATAGGTAATAAGTAGGTGTGAATAGTAAAGTAAAGTAAGGTAAGGCGCTAGGTAATATCTAGAAACTAGAAGTTATGAGGTTGATGGGGAGATGCATCTCTGGTCTGGAAAGCAGGCAATCCACGACCTTTATATATCTATTCCGCCCCCAATGGGGAGTTTGTAGTAGGACTCTGCTTCGTGTCCGAATACCGATAAACGAGAACTACATCACTGTTCATGAGGTGAGTAGTCAAAATAATTACCTGGCAGCCTGAGGAGCCTTGTGCGCCGGCTTTCGAACCAGTCAGCCACCCCATAAGCTAAGCCTGTAGGCTCGATTTCTGATTCGATACAATATCGGCCCGTAGGAGACCATTGCCTCACTTGCGCTGGCGTCCGTCGTAGCAACGCAACTCTCACCGGAGACTGGTGGCATGGGAATACTACCTCGATCTTGCTAATTGTCAAATACGGAGCCGTAGCTATGAATTGTTGAACAGGAATAGGAAGAATCGGGCGCAAAAGTGGTTATCAATATCAACTGGGTTATCGATAGGAAGATAGGCTGCAGATAAGACTCTCGGTTCCGGACCCTTTGCCGGCTGCGGGTTCTCGGGACCGAGATTGACGAGCCGTACTTCCCATCCGGAATCCAAAGGGTTGCCACTTCCATATTAACACATATTTGAATTGATTGGAGCTCTACAATTGGAATATCGGTTTACACAGGGTAGAGAATACCATAGACATTTTAAAATAGGCGTATTTACTTCCATGCTCGTCTCAATCTTAAATTACTAGAACCATCCACCCAAAAATAGTCGTTAGCCTACACTTTGCATAGAGAAATAAGACACAGTTTGATAAGAGAACAGAAAGGATTTTCTATTCATAAGACTTCTAGCCGCCTCAATAATGTGCCTGCAAAGAAGAACTGAGCATGTCTGTAGCTTGCTGCAACACCGCGAAGAAACAGGGAGCAAATAAACGTTGCACAATTGCACTGCTTTATCAAAACCACCCCCCTCCAATACTAATCACACTTGGTATCTTCATGACTCCTGCAAAAGTATGTTCATCGCCTATACGCCGCCATCGTTCGCATCATGGGCTTCTTTAGTTGGTTTGTTGCTTTATATGGGGTTTGTGTTATTAATTAATTTCTGAGGCATGCAATCCTTAGCACAGGTATGTAAGCCGGACGCCGCCTTCTATCGGATTGTTTGTCCGAACCATGATCGCAATTTAATACAGGACTCGAGACGGCCGATGAGCTGAAGTATGCAGTTTGATGTGGCCCTGCACCGAATGCAACTTTATGCGGCGAAGGGGTTTGCAGGGACCTCAACTTCGTTCGGGTAACAGGAACAGAATACACGTACGAGGATAGAGGTGAATAGAGTGCCAGGTGAACTTGGTACCCACACATATAACCACCAAGCATAGGTAGGTAAATTGGTATGGTCCGAACAGTGTAATATGTTCTATCTCCAAGACACAGCGGTTTTAAGCGGCACTTCTGCAAGCCTAGAGTGTTGAGCATGTGGAATAAACGGGGTATACTTTCGGTTCATCCGAAGATGATGAGGGGCAGCAAATCATAACCTATGATTGCCTACCTTCATCCTCCTCCTCAGCATGTCCTTGCATAGGAGCCGTACTGGGTCCCGAATTTTCCTGGTGCGTGAAAAGGCCTTGACCGGCCGTGCTCGGACCTGGTGTGCTCTCCTCAGCAACTTCCGCATTGTTGTTACTTCGATTTCGGTTCGCGTGATGAGCCTCTCCAGCAGCAGACGCATCTAAGTGCGACGGAAACGGAGGGAGTGTGCGTGCTAGTTGAAAGGGCATGCTAGGATGATGCGGCGGAGGCGGCGGCGGTGGAGGGATTACAGTATTGACTCCGTTCGTGGTAGGGTTCTCGGTTTCGAGAGCGATCTCACTACCGTCACCCATATCATCATCCTCAACCCCATCGGCATCGTCAAATCCATCCATGTCGGGTGCTGGTGCAGTAGGAACTCCTACAGCCTGGCCCTGACCTCCGTCTTGGTTAATTTGGACCGACCTTCGGTGGGCGAAGAGACTCGGCTGGTGTAGATGGTACTCGGCAAAATCGGGGTGGGTGTTGAGGAAGTTCCGAAGACCTGTGACACCCTGACCAGAGAAGACACAGAATACGGCACGCTGGTGCTCGGTGAAATCTAATAGATTTTTAGTATTTTAAGGCAAACAAACGGAGGCAGTTATAATATTTACCTGGAGGGGCTTCACGACAGAAACCCTCTAAGTCATCGCGGAGGAACGCGGGTACACCAGTTAAGCTCAGGTGTGTAAGTTTCGGGCAGCAATTAAGCAATTTGATGATACTCTGTAGACATGTTAGCATTCCCTTCCCTTCTTGCCAGGTTCCCCGGAGTAAACTAGATCATACCGGGAGAGTCAAGTTGGTACAGTAGCTAAGATGAACTCGCTCCAAGCTACCTGTGTGATACTCGTGTCTTCGAGCAGTGGTACCAGTCGTGTTACGCCTGGATTGGGATGGGCGGTTCGCACCAGCTAGCGCATACATGCTCTCGTCCGTGATGCTACTACACTTCACCAGCCCAATTCGTTTTAGTTTCGGGAGCCTTGCTAATTGTATAACGGACTCGTCCGTAAGGTGTATGCAACAGCCGAGGTCGACATAACGAATACGATTGCAGGACTGCACCAAGCGTTTGACCGCATCATCTGTGATATGTCTGCAATGGCCTAGATGGATAAAATGTAAATTCTTGCCCAGGCGAGATATGGCATAGACAGCAGCATCAGTGATGTTGCTGCACTTGGCCAGGATCAAGTTCCTTAATCGTGGGGCCACGTCGATGATGCGCTCAACGGCGCGATCTGTGAGTCGGGTACAGGAGGTAAGGTCAAGGATTCGGAGGTGTTCATAGATTCGATTGGAAGGTAGTGATAGGAATGCGCCATCGTCAATGAGGTCGCAGTTTACAAGCCGAAATTCTCGGAGCGAGTGGCCTTTGGATAGAAGGGCGGTGACGGGCTCGTTGGCGATGTTCACACATTGGTGGAGGTCGATCTCGAGAATGTTAGGACAGTTATTAGCAAAAGCGATGACGGCGGCATCATTCAGTTGATCGCAATCGTTTAGTTTGAGCTGTTCACCAGAAATTAGCGACTAAGATTAGCATGTGATCTCTTCAGTGGAGTTGCTAAAGTAAATAAAAGGGATGAAGGCGTGTGGTATGTATTGGAGAAAAGAGAAAAAGGTGACCTACTCGCTTGATGTATCGGCAACTCTCAGCAAGTTGGATCAGACTCTCGTTAGAGATCTGCTTACAATTCGACACGTTAAGACCCTGGAGCCTGTGACAACTCTCAGCAATGGCGATGATGGACTTCTCGGTAACGTTGACATCGCCGGAGATGTCTAGCGCCAACAAATGTTTGTTGCTCCTGACAAGGGGTATCAGCCCCAAATCAGTTAAGCCCTGACAATTGGTCAATGTAAGGCGCTCGACGCGGGTGCAGACGGCAAGCGGCATGACGCTGCCATCATTGACCTTGTCAGCTAAGGTGGCCAAGTTAAGGCGTTTAACAAAGTCGGTGTATGTAAAATAAGGTCTCTCCATTCCTAAGGTAGCGCAGATGGACTTGTGTTTCTGCCATGAGGTGCAGGTGGGACGATGCCAAAGGATCTCGACGACGTTGCGGGCCCATCTCTTACAAGTCAACATGCAATTCAAAAGCTCGCTCGGGCTATTGATTCGAGAAAATATGCTAATGAGGATCTCGCTGGGAAGAGCAGCAACAGTTGGGAGACATTCTTGGTCGGTCACTTGCATATCTTGCAAGTTGGGTACCACTCCTAAAGAAGATTGCGAATCATTTGCTACATGAAAGAAATCAGATTCTTCATTGTCCGCAGGAACCGGAGAGTTCGTCGAAGAAGACGATCGCGAATCCCTCGCATCGTCCGCCTGGTTCGTCGTGTTCATATTGGAGCCCAAAGGAGCGCTGGCGGCTGTAGCGGTGGCAGTGGTAGAATTAGCAGCAGCGGCGGCGGCAGCGGCAGCAGAATTACGAGCAGCTATGACATCGAGAGAAGGAGCCGGAGGCCGCATTTTTCCAATTCCGGTTGGTTGTTAGGTCTTTATATCAATACGTTGATATCTCGGATTTCTTTTCTTTTCTTTTTTTTTAGGTAGGTCTCGAATATTTTGGGCGTCTATAGCGACTAGGTAGAATGTCGGCGGGGACGATGGATGACGATGTCGAGTTCGAAGGATTCAACAAGGTGGATCGAGGGGTAGCGGTAAAGTTGTAGTGGTTGTAGTGGTTGTGTGGTGGGAATGAGAGTGGTATGGAATGGTAGCGATAATAGTAGCGGCAGTAGTAATAGTGATTTGCTATACCATCCAATTGTTTTCCTCTTCAATCTTCAACCCTCGCCTTTCAAAATCCTCGATCCTCAAATTAGTCGGGGAAATAAAGAATGGGAAATCTTCAATAAAACGAGCGCAGTGACCGGCTGTCGCTTTCCCTTTCCCCTTCACATTCGCTCGAAAATATTGTGGATGTAACTCGCAGGATGAAGAAGGAGAAGACAAAAAGAAGAAATTGGGGACGACGATGGATGCGAAGATGGGGTTGATTTTGTGATGATTGTTGGGAAGGAGAAGACCTCCAGCCCTGGTTGTAACTACGGTGCTATGGTGCTGTGGTGCTATGGCAGCAGCCAAGGGAAGACTGATTTGGAACCCTACTAGGTAGTGGTGTGGATGTACTACCTACCTGCGTAGCCAAATGATGATGACTTGTGTGAAAAGTATCTTGTACTTCCGAATTTGTCGGCGTTAGGTATGCATATTGCGGGCAGGTGACGACCGTGATGCAGCTGCCCAGGTCTTGTGTTTTGGGCGGCTTGGACCGGCGCGGTTAGGAAAGAACCATGTACTAAGATACCGGATTAGTGCATGCTGACACAGATTGCCGCGGGGTAAGCGCGCTTCTCACACTCTATTAATCTTGATAACGGATTATGGTGCTTTAAAAGATATGGGGTATGCATCAAATCGGGCTATTAGGTCGGACCACCTCGTAATTAAGCTCAGACCACTTTCGCCATTAATTTTAAAACCACTTTTTAGTTTATGAACTAAAACCCCCGTAATTTATAAAATTAATTATAAAACGTATTTAAAATTAAATATAAATTATATTTAATTTAATTTTTAATTAAGTTTTAAAATTTATTTAAAATTAAATATAAATTATATTAAATTTAATTTTAAAATCGTTTAATTATTTTTCGCTATTTATTTAAAATTAAATATAAATTATACTTAATTTAGTTTTAAAAATATTAAAAAATATTTACCTTTTAATAATTAAATTTATGTTTATTAAAAACGTTAATTTTTTATAATTATTTTAAAATTAAATAAAAATAAATATTTAAATTTTATATTTACGTTTTAATAATATAAAAATAAGTTTATTATAATTATTAAAAAAAATAATAAACGTTATAATTATAAAATGTTTAATTTTTATATAATTTTAAATTAATTTTAAAATGAAAATTTATTATTTTTACGAACTCGTTTTTTTTTACTTTTATTTTTTTTTTAAAACTTTTATTTAAAACGTTAATAAAAATATTTAATTAAAAATAACTTAATAATATTCGTATTAAAATAATAATATTAATTTATAATATATTAATTTTTTAATTAATAATAATTAAATTTAAAAATAAATTTTTACTTATATTCGATTTTTTTTACGAAAACGTAAAACTTTTAAATTTATAATTAAAAAATCCGATTAAAGTTAAAAATATATATTTTTCGGTTAAAAATTATTAATAAAAAAATAAATATTTTTTTATAAAAAAATACTTTATTATTTAACGTTTAAAAAAAGAAAAAAAGTTTAAAACTTATATTTTAATAAACCGTTTTTCGATTTATTTTATTTAAAGTTTTTTTTTAATTCGTTTTTTTTTAATTTTTTATTTAATTTATTAATAATAAGTTTTAATAATTAACATTTAATTAATTTCGATAAATAAATAATTTTATTTAATATTAATTAAAAGGAAAAAAAAAGTTTTTAATTTAATTTAAATACGTTATAATATAAATTAAAATTAATATATTATTTCCGATATTTAATAATAATAATAAAATTAAAGTTAAAAAAAAATTAATAAATAAAAAAATTTTAAATTAAATTTAAATTAATATCGTTCGTAAAAACTTTTTATTTTATCGCGGCGGATTAAATATCCCCGATTATTAAAAAGTAATTTTAAAAAATTCATTATTAAAATAATTTAAAACCGATTTAAATTTAATTTAACGTAAAAATATAATATTATTAAATTATTTTTAAATCGTATTAATTAAAGTTATAAAATTTATTACATTTAAATAACTCGTATTTATTAATTATTTAATAAAATTAACATATTAAATAAAAAAAAAAAAAAAATAAAAAAAATAAAACGTTATTTATAATAAAAAAACGATTTATTTAAAAATTATAATATATAATAAATTAAGGCGTAACATATAAATCGTAAGAAAAATTAACCGAAATAATCGCGAAATTTATCGTTATATTAATTATAAAAATTAATTATAAATTAATTTTAATATAATTATTAAAATATTTACGTTATAAATTTATATTTTTAAATAAATTAAATAAAAAAGAAAAATAACGGGTTATTAATTCACAATTAATTTAATTCGAATTTACTTTAAAATAATTATACCCGGGTTTTTAATAAAATCGAAACCGTCGTTATTTTTCGTTTATAATAAACCGGTGTATAATTTTAAAAATATTAATATATTTTTAAAAAAAAAAGCTCGGAATATTTCGAAATATTTACGTATTAATTATAATTATTTTTATACGATTAATTAACTTATAACTTTAATGCGGAATAATTAAAGAAATATATTTTTAATTTAATATTGAAATTATTTTATAATATATTTATTTTAATTATTATATACGATATATAAATGCCGTTAAAATTAAATTAAATTAACATGGGAAATTTTATAAAATAACTTATCGAAATAAACCGTATTAACATTTTAAAACGTTTAATTATATACGAAATTAAAATTAATAATAACGAAATAATTAAATAAAATAATTAATTTAAATTTTAATTTATAAATAAAATTATATATATATATAATATTATTCGAATCGTTAATTATAAATAATATAATATAATTTTTAAATTAATATTAACATTTTATATTTTAAAAAAATAAATAAAAAATACTTATTATAATTTAATAATTAAAATTAATATTATTTAAATTTAATTAAAAATCGGTTTTTAATTAATTATAATAAAATATATTAAAAAAACGAAACTTTAAATTAATTTTTATAAAAAAGTTTATATAAAATTAACATAAATTATAATTATTATATTAAAATTAAAACGTATTTATAATATAAAATTAAACTTTATTAATAATAAAAAGTAAAATAACATATAAAACGTTATTTAAATAAAAATTAATATTTTAATATAATTTAAATTTTAATTTTATTTAAATATAAAACGATAAATTTACCGGTATTTAAATTATTATAAAAAGTTATAATAATAAAAATAAAAATAATTATTTTAATTTAAATATATATAACATTTAAATTTTAAAATATTTAAAAAAAATAAAAAATAATTTTTAAATTATACTTAAATTATATTTAAATTACATTTAAATTATATTTAAATTATCTTTAAATTATACTCGAATTAATTATTAAATTAACATTATTTTAAACCGAAATCTTTCGAATTTTTTATATAAATAAATTATAAAATTAATATTTTTTATATATAAAATAAAATTATTTTATTTATTTTAAAAAATAATAAAAAAATATATAAAAACGAGTAAATAAATTTATATATATAAAAATAAAAAAATAAAAGGAAATTCATTTTTAATTAATAAAAAATAAGTAAATTTATATAAAAAATAATACGTTATAAACGTTATAAATATAAAAACTTTTTAACGCGTTAAATAATACGCGAAAATTACGCGAAAGTTATAAAAAAAATACGAAAAAATTATAATAATTAATTAAAATTATATTTAAATTATACCGGGATTATATTAAGTTTAATTTATTATTTTTCGTTTATTAACTTTTTAAGTAATATTTACTTTTTATTTTTTAATTTACGAGCTTTCGTTTCTCGTTTTCGTTTTTCGGTTACTTTTTAACGTAATTTTTTTATTTATCGCTTTTTTTCCGTAAGTTAAATATTAAATATACCATTATTAATTATAAAGATTTTTAAATAGCTTTTTTTACGTAAATTTAAATATGGTTTAATTTTAAAGTATATTAAATTTATTATTTTTTTAATATCGTTTTTTATAAATTATTAAAAACTTAACGAAAATAAATTAAAGTTAATATTTTACGAAAATAATTATAATTCGGACTTATAATTATTTTTTTAAATATTTCCGTTAATATAACGTGGATATTCCGATAATTTAAATTTAAATAAAGTTATAAATTTAAACTATTCCCGGTTTTAATTCGAAATTAAAATAACTTATTATTATAATTAACCGGGGCTAAATAACCCGTTAAATTTCATTTATTATTTAAAAAGTTTATTTAATTTTTTATTAATATATATAATAATTTTATTATTATTTTTAATGTTAATATTATTAATTAATTTTAATAATTTATTAAATTATTACATTAATATCGAACTTTTATTAAATTAATTTAAAACGATATTAATATTATTAAATAAATTCGAAAAATTAAATAAAAATAATGAATTATTTTTTTTTTTCGTTATTTACCCGCGATAATTTAAATTTATTAAAATATTAAATTAAAATTTATAAAGTATTATTTTAATTTAATTACGATATATTTATAAAATTATTTTAATTTATTTTAATTTTTTATTTTTCGTATAAAATATACTTTAATAAATGTATTTTTTTATTTATGAAAAATTTTATATTAATTATATAAATTATACCGTTTTTTATAACCGTCGATAAATTTATGAAAATTAAATGAAATTTACGTTAATATTATTTCGAAATTTTTTTATCGTAATATTTATAATTTCACGGTTATTAATAATGTAATCGTTTTACCGGTATAATTATTTATTATAAAATATTCGTTTTTATTAATTTTAATATGCTTAATTACATTATATTAATTTACGGGGTTAA